AAGAGTTTTAATTTCGAGGTTCTACAGCCTGAACGCACGGACTTTTGTCCCCATGTTCGTAACTATTGTGCGGCCTGAACATCGTTCTACGTCATGTGACTACGGACTAAGTTGAACATTCTAAGGTTTGCTGCTTAGGTGATATCCTCAATGTTATCTCGAGATGACTGTGCCAAGTAGTAACGAATGTAATACTCCACATCACTGACATTTCAGATTTGTAATAATATTATGCCCTTCCGATCATGGAAATGCACACATTCGGATATAAGTCTCAGAACTCTGAACAAGCCACTCTTTCCTCACTGGAACGACAAGCTTTCAAGATAGAGACTGAGAATGGCACCACAACGTAACGAGCTAAATGATTAACATGATTCAAGTCTGAGTGGTCATGAATAGCGCGAACGACCTTCAATTCGCGCAGCTTTGCGCCATGGAATTGAGGCTCTTCAGCTCGACGTACAGCTTCGGCCTACAGGAAGGCAAGACATGGCGTAGAACAGCTCTCGGGTTTTAGCGTATGCAAACACAATTTGAGATGAAGAAAAACGGGAGACAAGATGAACATGCCCTGTACTGTGCATCTGACGAAACGTTGTTGTGCTAACTTTGAAGATTACATAATCTATGCCCGGGGTCCTCGACCCCTATTTTCACCCCATCAAGCTTAAATTTATTTTCAGCCGCATGGCCACAAGGGCCGAGGACAACACATAGTAGGCATTATGCAATATCGCTTAAGTGCGAATCCAGTTGTCTCCTATCACTCCAGCCGCCTCTCTGGAAGTAGGATGGGCTCAGACCTGACCAGATCTCGACTCAGCTCGAGATGGCCGGGTTCATATCGAATCTATTCGGTGTCTAGAAAGAGAGCAGCACTTCTTGGCGTAAGGCTGACTGGGAAGTGACGGTCAGCACAGAAATGCAGGCGCTCTTCATGAGCCTCAAGTTGAGGTATTCCTGATAGGGCTTCTCTCTTTGTTATAGGTATACAGCATGTTTCCTCGGACGTTTTAAAGAACCCGTTGTGCTTGTGAAAGTTCGTATTTGAAGAACATGGTTGTACGAATCTGCAGTTGTTGCTGCTTAGAATTATTTTCTTCGGTCTCTCGCATATGCCAAGCAAACTTGTGGCGCCAGGCAGATTGCTGTCCGGGCTCGAGGCTTAAATCCCAGCCTCAATTCGCCCAAAGCGGCTCATCAAAAAGACTTCCCGCACCTAGTAGCATCCTTCGTAAAGCGATTCGCCAAAAATCTGCGCCTCAACCCAAACATCTCGTGTATTGCAAACAATTTTCAGCTATCGAATCTTGCCAAGACATGATGTCTCATCTTTTGGGAATATCATCTCCTCCCTTCCCACCCCACAATGTCGTCTGGATAGTATCACTTCACGACTTCACACATTGCGCATCACAGTGGCCAAGATGCGCTCAATAGCTTTTGTTCTAGTTGCTGCCACTTTGGCAAACGCAGCAGGTATAAACTACGGTGCAAATACTACATGGTACACAATACTGAAATTTATAGGTACACCATGCGCATCAATCAATGCTGCTAGTGCTTCATGGGCAGCAAGCGGAGGTTCGTCGTACTTTCCACGCAACTGTTCTTAATTAACGACTATCCCAGCAACTTCTACCCTCTACGTCAAACCTTCGATTGCTCTTGCGTGCTTAGAGTCCGTTCCATTGAGTTCAAATCTTTCAAGCGCATTCATCGATTATATCACCCCGCACATGCAATTTCAAAGCACAATCTCCTATTTGAAAGATCCACCAAAAGGCTGGACCCTGTCCGGCGTCGACATCTATGGCGGTCTCGCGCAGATTAAGAGCAACCTTCAATCTGGAGCTTACGCGAATCAATGGAGCTTCGAAAAAGACCTATGGACTCTAGTAAACATTTTGCCACACGACTTCCATTTCAATTTACCTCTTCCTTTATTGGAAGTCTTTGAGTTTAAGAGTCGGACACCGCTCGTGTCCATATCTTCGGATGGAGTCAGCGTACCAGCTGTGTACTTTGAGTGTAAGTGCCAGCTACTACTGCGACTTGATACTTCAGTTCGAAGCTAACAATTTGTCCTAGCTGACATAGGACAATACTTGAGCGAAACAATAGATTGGACACCGTCTCCAATTACGCAAATCGAAGGGCAAGATGTAGTGGCTTTCCTTGAACAGATGTCCGTGACGACAGATCAATTTCAAGACCCAGACGCCCTCTGGAATCGTCTCTTTTACAACTCACCTGCAGCTCTTCGAGACACATTTGGCCAGTATTACGAAGGAGGATGGATGTTTGGTTTCGACAATGACACGATATCCTATACTTTTGATAACGGAAGCACGGCCTCATTCTATACATACGCGGCTATTTCTCCAAGTGTAGACTTCACTTATGTCACGGACGGACCGTCATTGTTCGAAGTTGTCGAAGTTGCGCCAAATGCTCCCCAGAAGAGGAAGCGTGATCTGGAAAGCATGAAAAAGAGAAGGAGGACGAAGTTCGCACGACAGTCGTCAACCTCGTCTGAGATGCCTGGCTACCCCACCCCATTTATTGTGCATCCTGAGGATCCATACACGGCAGGCTTCTTCCTCGACTCGGGCGTTGCGGTCTTGTCCATGACCGCGTTCGAAGCCTTGAATTCCAGCAGTACGACAGATCAAGCCAACATGCAGAAAACCATCGCTGCATTTCTTGCCGAATGCAAGAAAGTCGGCAGCACGCAATTGATTGTTGACCTCAGCGCCAATGGTGGAGGAGAAGTCTATAGTGGTTATGACGTATTTAAGCAGCTATTCCCATCTATCGTTCCGTATGGAGGGTCAAGAATGCGTACCAACCCTTGGGTTGACTATATCGGAGATGTCTACTCCCTGGCAGGAATCTACAACGAAACCTTCCAGCCGCCCTGGGAAATCAAAGCTGGGTTGACGGACAATCTGACTGCTTTCACATCGTTCAAAGATCTGGCGGGACCTAATCGCATCTATGGAGACAATTTCTTGACTACTACAAGAGCAAACTTGTCAGATTTGCTAACTACAACGGGTTTCTCAGTATACGGCTATGGAGCTTTACCAGATATTCCTCCGGCTGTCTTCGAGCCTTCAAATATTGTCATGTTGCTGGATGGTGGTTGCGGTTCGACCTGTGCGATTTTTGCAGAATTCATGAAGTCCCAAGGAGGAGTCAGAAGCGGTACGGAAATCTCTCGAAGCTCAAGTACTTTACTGACACATTTTGTAGTCTCAGTCGGAGGTCGATTACAGACAGGACCCATGCAGGGTGTTGGTGGATCTAAGGGGTAAGTACTTCTTGAAGATAAAGAACATCATCTAACATATATTTAGTGCTCAAGAAGAACCTTACCTTGCCCTCGAACAATACCGCGACGGCATCGCAGCCGCTACCCCTGTTATCAAAAGTCTTCCCACCATTCCTGCAGCAGCGCAGATCCCGCCTTCGGTCGACAGCGACACACCCCTAGGCTCAAAAGACGACTTACTCCTTCGAGCTCGAGTCAATTTCCGCAACAACATCCGAAGCGGTGATACATCTCAGACTCCTCTCCAGTTCGTCTACGAAGCCGCGAATTGCAGGATCTACTACGAAGCAGAAGATCTGGAGGACATGAGCAATCTCTGGAACAGAGTCGCAAATGTGACGTGGGGAGGAGCGACTTGTGTTAATGGAAGCTCGTCTGGAAGTGGTGGAAATTTGATGGGGAGTGATGCGATGACTACTGTTGCCTATGATTCGAGTGTCAATTCGAAAGCTGTGGTTCCAGCTAGTCCAGGTTTGGTGGCGATGGGGAGTGGGCCCGGCACCGGGTCTGACAGCTCTGTGGCGACTTTCAATACTGTGGCGAAATCTTCTGGGGCGGTGATGAATGTCGTCGGTGGTAGTATGGGACTGCTAGCAGTTGGGGCTGCGTTCTTGTTGTTGTAATGGAGTGTGGACTAAACAGGGCGTGGAAACGAGTTTCTTTGAATAGAAGGTATTAAATATGTCTATATGTGCATCAATTCAAGCAGCCAGAAGCATTTAAACTTCCCAAAAACTGAGTTCGCACTTGGACATCGAGTCCATATTTTCCCGAGAAAAACCTCATTACTGAGAAGGAACGGAAAGGGTTTCAAGTACATATCCAGTTACTACTATACCCATCACTACCGCTCGTCCCTCCCCTCTCCCGGCCTCCTACTACCCGGTCTACCCCCACCTGGTCCACCTTCCCAATACCCCGTCTTGCTCGAAACATCCTCTCTAGACACACAACTCGGATGTTCATGCTCCTTAACCCCACCCAAAGGCCACATCGCAACCATGCACACCTCATCATAAGCGCATTTCCCGCATTCCAGCCAGGTAGTCCAGCCTAGATACTTGGTAAGACTATTAATTTGATCTTTCGCACTTTTGAGGGTGTTGAAGGTATTGGAATCGAGGAGAGAGGACCGTATCGAGAAGAGGGTGTGACAAATGGTGGACTTTACGGTTGAGACGGCGGTATAAAGGAGATGATCTGTATGTGTGGAGAGAGATAGACCACTGATGTAGCTTGTTGTACACCGAGAGATGGCGGTGGGGATAGTGGAGTCGGTGATGGGGTAGTCGATAAACAAGTTTAGGAGGAAGTTTAGCTCGCTTAAGAGGATAGAGTGAGTGGTGCTTGGGAGAGCCATGAATTGGAGGCGGTCCGAGTAGCGGGTTACAATGAGATCGACCACACCTTGCCAGTCGATAGAAGGCGTACTGGAGGGGTTGGAAAGAACGGACAAGACTGCTGACTTGATGTCTTTCAATATCTTAGGATCTGATGATGAGAACCGTGGAAGTGAGGCATGGGCGGGATCTGGATTAGTGAGGTTCATATCGTAGAAAAATGCGGAGACAATGTTCGAATAATCAACTTGCACTCTTCCAGCTGCGATTCCATGATATCTTTGACCAATGCCTCGGACGAACTCGAACTCTCGCAACTGATTGTGGTTGTACTCTGGCACATCAGATGGGGGTCTTGCTGTTGCGGAGATGAAGTGCAGGCTGGTGCTGAAATTGCAAGCAATGACCTCAAATCCAGCTTCCATTCTCACAACTCCTTCAATAACATGTCCAAAGTCTCGACACATGTCAGCTGCGAACTTGGCGTCTGGTGGGCCGCCGCCTGGCCCAGTTCTATCTCCATCACACAGGACAAACTCTTGTTGATCCAATGTCCCCATTGTCGTCTTACCAGCTGACATGCCGTCAAGGTATAGAACACGCATATCGTGTGCAGTACGATAGTGATGCAGAGCAGGCGTCGTCGCTTCTGTGACTTCGTCCCTTCTCCGTAATTCTGATAGTGGTTCCTCGTCTTTCGGAGGCGGACCTCCTGGGCCATGAGGCCCTCCGCCAGGCCCTCGTCCAAATCGTCCTCTAGCAAAGCCTTCGGCATGCTCGATCTCAAACGCAAGCCACTCCATGCCAGTGACCGGCTTATTATCAGGGTTACCATGGTAGAAATCGGTGTTTGCAGGTATAGTAGCTGGCAAAAAAGACATTCCATTATGATATAAAGACGATCCCCACTGTCTCACGGAAGAATGGAGGGCATTGAAGATCTGTGGTGCTCTTTGGCGAGCGCTCTCCTCGTTTGGGCCATTTTGCGACTCGATTATTGGGGACTGGGAAGCAAGTGCGAGAACTGTGCTTGCTCCTAGGAGAATGGCAAGTCGTGAAGCCATATGTCAAGCTTCAGATATAGAGAAGAGAAGACAGTAGAGAATTGAGAGAAACATTATTTCAAGTATCTCAAAAGACATACGGGGAGGTGACGCGTCAATGCACGAGTGACAGCGGATCTAATCTAATCGAGCGCAATCTGTCGATCGACAAGACTCCGGAAGCTGTCCGAGAAGCATTAAATAATGAGCTCAAGATATATGTACCCGACTGCTAAGCGTCAGCTTAAGCTCATGCAGATGAAATCAAGAGGCTTTAAGGGAACAACGGGAGCTCGTCACGTGACAGGTCAGTATGAGTTTCAAAACGACCAGAGTTTTTACAATATCATTTAGTTAGTTCTTGTGAATATAACCCATCTAAATAGTGATATAGTAGCATTCACTAGATAGTGGAAACCTCTTATCAGTGCATAACTCACGTGCCGTTACGCCGCATTCATACATCACACCGCCTAAACTTTCCTTTTCATCTTATCCTTTCCCTGTTTTTCAACCTCACTTCGCTCCCTCACCTCACCCTTTTCCCATCCTCTCTGCTCATCCTCGACCATAACCATCAATTGCAAGTATTTCATCGAAGACTAAGGACTGCAATGCCCATCACATCAAGTTTTCATCCATTTTCCCGCCTCCCACTTGAGCTTCGTCTCAGGATTTGGTCGTTCGCTCTCCCCGCACCTCAGCTCGCTTCACTTGTCGCCTACACAGAAGAAGAGAGCCTCAGAAAGACCCCTTTCGATAACCCAGGCGGCCCTCAAAAATGGATTTACATGTACTTTGAACGATGCTCCACCCTCTCCGTCAAAAAACCCCACCCACTCCTCCAAGCAAACCACGAATCCCGCTCTCTCGTCCTCTCACATCACCACTTACTGCCCTATACCCCCGATTCCGAGGTACTCTTACTTACAAAGACTAACGAAACCGTCCCATCGCCACGAAACAATGGTCCTCATCTCCTAGAGCCAAGAAAACTCCTCGCACTAAACAAGGACCTCATAGACTCCCAAACGAAACCTTTCACGCTCTTCAACCCTCACCAAGATGTCCTATTCCTCGCCGATCCTCGACGACAGATCCACTGCTCTTCACTCAGCGTCGTGGTACGCTGGCTTCATCCCCCTCTGCTGTCCAGCATCCGGATATTGGGATTAAGTTACTACACCTGGCGCAAAGATCGGAAATTCAAGATCTTGAATTTGTTGTATGAGTTTTCGTCGCTGGAGAAGCTTTATGTGTGTTTTGTGGGGAGCGGGGAGGAGTGGGATGGAGGGGAAAATGGAGGTTGGGGCGGAGGGTGGTTGGATGCTGTGAGGAGGGAGGGGGATGATATGGATGGGAGTAAGTAGTGATCGTCTTTTTTATTCTTGCTGGTTGTTGTCTTTGCTGTATTGCGTTTTCGAGGGATCTTTAGCTTTTTCGGTTCCTATTGTTGGAGGAGAACGGTGGCTAACTTTTAGTAGTGTTGAGACAAGTTGAAAAGGAGGTTTTCGAGGACGTCGAAGAGTTGGCAAGAAAGGGTGGCAAGGACTGGAAGAAACCTGTCGTGAAAGTTTTGAGAGACAGAAAAGCTTTGGTGCGAGATTGGGAAAGCTAACGTTCCTTCTTCAAGATGGTGCTCGATTATTTGGCAACAATTAGGCTGTCTGTTATATCAGATTGTATCTATGGATTTTGCAGTACATTTTTTTCGGGTTGTTCAGTAACAATTTACCAAACCTTTTTCCACGCATCTACTAATCTGGTAACCAAATCACCGTCTACCACCCTAGGTGCATTTCTCAGCGCCTCACTTATCTCCTCCGCCTTCTTGGTCTCGAAGCTAATCTCTCTGCCCTTCTCAGCTTCTTCCTTCTGTTCACGTACCCCTCCATTTCCCTTCCCCCTTCAAAATCCAAGCAATTTCCTACTCGGATTCTTCATCACATTTTCCTCCCCCTCAACGAACCCCATCCACTCCTCCCACCCCACAACCTCAAACACCAATCCCTCTCTCCTCAGCCTAGGGACAAAGCCATCCCTCCACGAAAACCCCCTCGGATTCACCAAATTATACACCAATTCCCCTGCTCCCTCTCCATCCCCTATCTGGGATTCTTAGCCCTGGCTTCGTCATCCCACCTCAAGGTAAGGCTTGGTATCTGAATACATATGATTTCTCGTGTGCATAGTACATGATGCGCAGTTTAAAGGGTACGTTTGAAGGAGGTTACACAGTCCCATGACTTTTGCAGATACTCAGGTATCTTGCAAGCCTTAGGGCTTGTAATTCTCACATGTAGAAGGGATACTACATCAATACTGCTGACGAAGAAGTCAAATGTAAACGAGCTTCTAGATCAGATGTTCAATAGCCATTTTGCTATCAAGACTAAGCTTCAAATGCTCACCGGCCCCAACTTCGAGTGACAGTGTCAGATTGTTGTGCCCTGGAAAAGCGCTCAAGATCTTGTCATACCCGTTGTCACTAAACAATTCAGGAAACAGATGCAGTGATGCTGGCGTGTGATTTTGTTGTCCCTAAGTCTTGAAAGCTCCAAGTGAAAAGATTGAGACCGATGCAGTAAGCCTGGTTCGGCGAAGTTATAGGGCCACCCCCTCAGAAGCGACCTACAAAAATTCGTAGATGCATTCGTGATATCTCAAATTGCGCATTCACAGTCTTCGAGGCTAATTTCTAGTACTCACCTACCAATATTCTCGTGTAGCACACATTCAATAGAGTGACGCATCTTGCTTCGAAGCATGGCTAGACATGCGAAGAATGCGAAGCAGGCGATCCAGCATCAGCATTTGGGGTCCAGTGACGCTCTAGAAGCGGTGATGCAGCATCCGACCAAGGCTCGTTCCCCTTCAGCTACTCTCCTATGCCGATGAAGTGTCAGGTCGTATGTTTTCTCCTTTCTTGCACTGAGCTTTCGGAGATAAAGTTTACAATTGCTCATTGGTCACAAATCGGGACCGAACATAAATGCTGTTGAAGCCCCTGAAGTTTTGCTGGGGACGCGTGGATGCATGCGAAATTTAAGTCAGGATCCACATGCGATAAGTGATCTTCACAATTTGAGTCTGGATGACGACAGCAAGATCTTCTTTTGTTTGCCTTTGCCTTTGCCTCTAGTTGACTGTTTTCTTCGCTATTATCCGTGGTGGCCTTCATTTTGATCACGATGGAGGACTTGAAGACAACAGCGTCCGCAGATATCGATGACCACCGTGATGGAACATCGAGTCGAGGCGTGCGCAAGTATCATGGAAACGATGGTGTTATGCTTATTCCTCGCCCCAGTGATGACCCTCGAGACCCTTTGGTAGGTTTAGCTTGATATGCTTTGTTACCTTTATTGACAGCACCAGAATTGGCCTATGAGAAGGAAGATTCTCATTGTTGCAACCTTATGCCTCGCAACATTTGCAGGTTTCTCGGGTGGCCTATCTCTGCAACTGGTTCCAGCGCCTCAGTCGAAGCTATATGGGGTGACAACTACTCAGATGGCGTACCAGGTTGGTGATATACGACATATGGCGGGATTATCTAAGGGCCGCTAATTATGTCTAGAATTCATGCGCACAAGGAGGCATGGCCGGAGGCGGCTTTCTGTTCTTCCCACTTGCCCGCAAATTTGGTCGCAGCTCAGCGATATTTTGGTCCCTGTTCGGACTCATGGCATCTCAGATTTGGGCAGTATGCATGACTTCCTCGGGGGACTACTCGAGCTATCTCGGCTCGCGATTCTTAGCGGGCTTTTTTGGGACTGTCACAGGCATCCTAGGTCCAAGAATTCTGATCGATATGTTCTTTCTCCATCAAAGAGGAAGAGCATTCACAGCGTTCCACTTCTGGTTTGATTTCGGCACCGTTGCTGGACCTACTGTAGGAGCTTTTGTGGCTTCTGGAAGGTCTTGGACTGCAACTGTGTGGTATGCATTTGCACTCGCCACATTTGCTTTCATTATGTGCTTCTTCTTCCTGCACGAGACTGCCTGGGACAGAGAACTTGGTGCAATTAATCAAACCCCCCCGAAAGGCTTCGTAGCAAACAGGATTGCCACGTTCTTTCCTGGAACAAAAGTCGCTCCAGCTATCAGTTGGCTCGGATTTGTAAGTGCATTTGCATCTCAATCTCGAATTCTCAACCAATAATTTTTGTTGGGCGGGCAAAGATGTTCCGAGCAAGCATTTCTCTCTTCTCATGTGTCATTTCAATGCCCAAAGTTGTTTCAGGCAAAAGCCCAATCCACTCACTGACAACTCTCACAGCTCGAGGTGGCAGGCCGTCCTTTTATTGTAGCGTTCACACCCGTTACCATAATCCTCGGGTGCTTCACGCTCGTCTCCTTCGGCATGTATGTCGCCATGAGTACGTTGAATTCTTCCTTCCTTTGCCATTCATCCTCGAGATCATCAACGAGAGCGGCTCTTCAGACGATATCCTCAGATAATTTCCTCAAAAGTGTGTACTGATTTCTCTATAGACTCCATCACACCAGTCTGGCTTCAAAAGCCCGAGAAAGTCGGCGGCTACGGGTTCACCTCCCATCAAAACGCACTTTGTAAGTCCTCTCACCATCGCAAACACCGCCTTTAACAAGACATCAGTTTCATTCACACATTGGATCGGCGTCTCTTTAGCATGGCTATACGGCCAACTCGTCTCCGACCGCCTACCCCTCTGGATCTGTTCCCGCCGCGGCGGAACCTGGAAGCCCGAATACCGCCTCCACGCCCTCTGGTTCCCAGCCCTACTCTGCAACCCCATCGGACTTGGTGTCTTCGGCTTAGCGCTACACTCGCACCTCCACTGGATCGTGCTCGCCGTTGCTCAAGTCCTGGTAACATTCGGCTCCCTTTCCTGCACACCTATCACCGTCAATTACGCATGTGAGATCTTCACTCCTGCTCCGGCTGAGGTGGCGATTATCTTGAACCTGTATCGGCTTGCGTATGGGTTGAGTATCGCTTTTTACATCAATCCGTGGGTGGATTTGATGGGGTTTAATTGGGCGTATGGCATGATGGCTTTTTTGCAGGCGACAAGTTTTGGGTTCGTGGGGTTGTTGATGTGGAAGGGGCATGAGATTCGGGAGTGGAAGTTGGGAGGCTTGTTGAGGAGTGAGGAGGGTGAGTGTGTTATTGATGAGAAGCATTCTGTGGGTGTGGAAGCGTAGTATGATCACTGATACGGGTGAGAACCCTCTAGATTGCTTGGCTAGGAGCTCGTAGATGACTTGCTAAAAGAAGAGATGTTAATGAAAACTCCAAGCTAAAAATGGAAATCTGGGCTTCTCCCACGTTCGAACTGGTGCATTTGCAAATGTAATGAAAGCCACTGACAAAAGGACTCTTGTCATCACATGATCTGTAGCACATCCATGACATCAGTATTACTCCTTTTCAGTCCTCTCTTCCATATCACATTAGACCCAGAAGATCAATTTCTACCTTATTCTCTCGTTCGTTAGATACTTCGACCCCTCGCTACACTCAAGTGGATTCAATAAAACTCTCGACGTCCACAAAAGCAATAGCCTACTAATCTCCTGCACAACATTGCACATCACTTCCCAGCTTTAGCATATATAAGTTTGCCTCCTGCAAAGCTCAAGCCATCCGCCTCGCCACTGTAATCCCATCATAAACACTTCTCAAAAAGCCATTCAGCAAAACCTCAGTCAAGCGAACCATCCCATCCCCCCTAGCCCCTCGCTCCTCGCTTAACCAAGCGACCATTTTATTTTCACTTTTCACTCTTCACTCCACTGCGCCGTGCCTCGCTTCACTTGTAGGCTAAAAGCAAAACTCACCTCGCCACACCACCCAAACCCCCTCCTCCCATTCCCAAAAAAAACTTCCAAAAAATTAATGTTCTTGAGATCCCTCAGGCGCGAGTCGAACGCGCGACTGTTCAATTGTTAGCAATTGACTGAGAGCATTTTTTGCTTTTGGAGTGGTTGATCACTAACCATTCCGGTGAGACTGTTCTATTACAGCCGGACGCCATAAACCAACTAGACGACCGAGGGTGGTAGGTTTGATTTCAAAAATGTCTTATTTAGGCCTATACGGGAGAGAAAAGAGAGGTGGCGAAGGTGAGTGGGGGTGTAGGATGAGGAAGGGTGGATATTTGAGTACAGCCCCACGGGAGGGTGGGACGGGATGGATGGGTGGGGATTGGTGTAGTGGAGAGGCTAGGTAAGTGGGGTCTAAAGGGACTTAGAAGATGTGAAGGAGTTTTGAAGTCTCTAGGTTGCTTTGCCTTGGAGTAGCTTGAAAGTTATTGGTAAAGGAGTTACATGTTCTAATCTTCTAATTCCAAGAATGCAATGTCTTATGCCTTGATTTTGAGGCAAGGTATGATGAGCTATTTTTAGGTATTTCAGTCTTGGAATTTACCTAGGTACTTGTATGAGTAACATGCTTGAGCAGAGTTCGTTCACAATTACAGGAGGGCTTAAGAAATCTTGCTACTTGTCAGTTGCGCCTAATTCAATTATTGCGCATTTCAAAATTTGCAAAGCTCTATTTAGATTTTGATTTGCCCTTTACTTACAAGACACGATGGTAGACAGAGGTGGAAATGAACACGTAGTCAAGAGATAGATGCAGTACAATTTTCTGGAAACGATAACGACGACCATTATATTTACAGACTAAATCCCAACCAAAGCAAGTCATTACCACCACTCTCCACCCCCAGTCATAAGACATTAGATATTACACCGAGTATCTGCGCACCCATCTACCCGATCTGAACGCCACCAATGCATCATCTATGGGATATACGCCACAACATCGTCAGCAATGAGGTCCTCCAACCCAGTCAAAACCTGTCTCTTTCCATTGAAAGTCTCGCTCGTATCGTCTCCGCTCAAGGCGCCGGAGATAGCCCCCGCAACATCTGTCGGGCCGTCAGAGAAGACCTGAGAGAAATCTTGATTGAGAGATGTGACGGATTGGTCGGGAATCAAGTCGAGAGCATCGTCTGGTAAGTCACGCACCTGAAAATAGAATCTGTCAGCCTGTGTTTCGTGGGGAGGTCTCAGCCGATGGTAATTGGGACGGTGATTGCGCCAGTGCAGACGCCGCAGTCGCCGGATAGGATATCGTTTCCATTTCCTATGTTGTCGTTTGAGCCAGAGTTGTTGCCGTCATTGCTTCCGTCTGTTGATTGCATTAGTTTCATTGAATCTGGAAGGGACATAAAAAGCATACTGCCAGATGCGTTGCCATCGTCTCCATTACCGGCAGAGTTGTTATCGCCATCAGAATTTCCATTATCAGATGGCGAGCCGATGACAGAATCCGAGGAGCCAGGTTCGAGAGGGACAACGACGGCGTCGATGATATTGCCGACATAGGTACCAGGAGTTTCTGGGCTGGGATTTCTTCTCACCTTCTTGCCGAGCGAGATGCCATTGTTGCCACCTGTAATCGCACCGTTAACAAATCTGTTCGTAGAGGATTCCTGGAGAAGGAGCTTCTCGACTGGGAAAACTTACTCAGAATATCATTGCCATTGCCGAATTGATCATTTGAACCACTTCCATTTCCATCGCCTGATCCGTTGCCAGATGCATTTCCATCATCACCATTACCCTGGATATTTGTTAGACATTCCCCATGCAACTCTGAAGTGGCTAGGGACTCTGCTGAACCAGCTTCAATAGAAGAGTAACTTACTGCAGAGTTTCCATCACCATCGCCGTTACCATTGCCGAATGGCGAACCGACGAGTCCTGAGATCAGGTCGCCGAGATCTTCGGAAGAGCTTGAGGTTCGGCCAATCTTCAAACCGCTGTTCCCACTGAGAATGCCGTTGGAGTTACCAAAGTCATCCCCTGAGCCACTGGAATTCTGTTAGTAGGAAAGCTTGATGCGGGCAGGACATTGCATGCCTGCCGTTGCCATCTTGTGATCCATTGCCAGATGCCTGGGAGAGTTAGTGAGGTACAATATACAAAAGCGAAAATGTCTTACATTATCACCATCATTGTTGCCAGCAGCATTGCCTATCCAAGGTGTGAGTAGCGCATTCCATACCTTCACAGCGCGAGAAGGGATATTCATAGTGAATCATGAAAATCGGGGACACGAACCATTTCCGTCTCCTGTAGAGTATATTAGCAGTATATTCAAAAATTGTAGGGTACGAAGGAACTTCACCATTTCCATTGCCAAAAGGTGAGCCAACCAAGCTCTCAATGGATTCCAAAGCGCTAGAGGTCGACGATGGGCTGTTTGGAATAGGGACAGCAACGATAGCTGTAGCCAAAGCAAATACGGCGAAGAAGGTTTGGGTCTTCATTTTGAATCTTGAAAATGTCACTGTCTGAAAGAGGTCGTAGGATGAATGGCGGCTGGGTTGAAGATGGCTGGCAGAGGATATCGAGGGAATGGGTGATAAAGAAAAGTCGCGGGTCATGAACTTGTAACTTCATATATTGAGATCTTCCACCCCTGTCTGTCTCGATCCGATGACGCCTAATCGGACAATAATGATTGACATAGGAGGCTGAACAGTGCAACTCCCGATGTCATCAAATCGAGATCAGATTCTCCACGTCGCATCGATCTTTAGCTCGGTAGGTGAGTTTCCCCGATGGCTCGAAAACCCTCGGTTGAAACCACAGATCCGCTTGTATCCTCGCAGGTTCCAGCTGAGTGGAGTAATCTTCATGTTGATCTGTTGACGTTCATCTGTTCATACGGAAGTTGCGCAGCGCAGGCAAGCATCAAAGACAATGTTATCGAAGATCTTCGGAACTCCACATCACTACCTGAAGGTTCCTGAGCTAAGAAGCTAGGAGACTAAATTCGGAATGAAGATCAACGGAGTAATTAAAACAGCCACTCGCGTCAGCCTCGTAGTAAGGGAAATGCCTTTGACTGGATAGTTTGGGTAAGGAGACTTCTCCACTTCGATCTTGTTCAAGTGCTAGAGGCGGAAGCATCGAAGCTTAAAATGAGGCTTAAGTGCAAATGCGGTTAGCTCCATGATTCATGCAATGGTGATCTGCCATTCCGGGGGCGAAGCTATGTTGACGCCGTCAACTTGACGGCGGATGACTTCTGGAGTTCAGCCCAAGTCAAATCTCTGCGCCGCCAATGGATTCGGTTGGCGTCATCATATCTTCCTGGCGGAGGTCAGTCCGCGAGACATACGAATCCAATTTTTCTGCAGGAACATTCCGTCGCACCACATTTCCACTCGTACCCAGAAATGCATGCTGCACGGTTGAGGATGCTGCTCCCCACGAGACACGGGAGATTAAGGTTATGGAGAATAATCTCTTGCCGTTCCCGAGGAAGAGAGATGATCTGAGATCCGCAATAACGGTCGTACAGCCGTTTCGTGCTCAGAATTTCTCCACTTCTTCAACATGAAATGTATGCCTTCTTACCCAACACTTGTGGTGCACTTGCAGTGAACCCCTATGGCGACCCTTCAGGGTCGTGAGGCTTTTCTCGAGCTCGATTGAAAGGCGCCTCTGACGCCATTTCAGGACTTAGACAGGCGTGCCAACATGACAAGTTTTCTGGCGGTTCGACTGGATGTGGTAAGGTGAGGGAGCAGTACTGTAAGAATATGCCGAGGCACGATCCACAGTAGCAGACTGCCCGGTTGCATCTTTGCGGAGTCTGAAATCTGGGTGAGCGCAAATATGCGACGGGTAGCTGTCGGAAGTGCAGATCCTCCGGAAACTTTTGATCGGTAGTGAAGACCGGTCAGCAGCTAACCCAGGATACAGAAATTGAGGTTATTCGGGCGAGGAACGGCGGGCATGGAGGGAGGATGCGAGGATGTTGTGACGTTGGCGTTTAAGAATGAAGCGAACAGCCGCTGTCTCAAGCGCCAACCTTTTCTGGATGCAGATCTACAACGCTTTTCTACTTTCGTACGCATTTGGACTGAGCCCAAACTATACGCTATTGGACCTTGACGACTCAGCACATCTCTTCCCAACGTCAGGAAATACCCACGTTGTGTTTGATCGCAGTATCGAAATAACATCAAAGTACCTAGGTACCGAATGACTGGCCCTTCTTGGCACTACGACCCTGCAGTCTTTGGAGGGTGATATCGCGCATGCATTATGACACCTACAATATCTGACGCTGCCGGAGTACCGTACTGCACACCGCATGAAGGAAGCTTCCCTTCATTTTTGGATCATGAGAATCGAGTACTTGATGAGCTTCGAGGAGGTTCATCCAAGCAGGACAACTTCGGAAGAGGTGAGAATCCCAGTTCAAGTCAGAAACCTTGAACCTTGGGTACCGAGTGTATGGAAGCAGCTGTCCCGGATTTGTGCGTGTGCTCGGTTTGCTCGTTCCTGAATTTATGGAGATGATGTACTGCTGCAGATCGTTTCAAAGCCTAATATACTTTGCAACTCCAAACCCCAATGTAATGTCCCTTAGATAGGAAAGATTAGCATGGGATGTTTCCTTCGGGAATTAAAGTTAAGGATTGCCCAGATCGGTCAAACTAACGTCCCGTGTTATATTCAAGTGGACAGAGATCAGATCTTGCGGCTCTAGACGGACAACGTCAGCCTCCTTCTGACCTATCAGAGTCTTTGCTTTCAAATATCTAGCTAAGATCAGCAAGACGTTAAACGGAGACTTCTACGTACTGCAAAGGATGATCATCAACGTGCTGAAAGATTGTTTGACAGCTTCTCTGGACTAGAGATTTTGCTCTCGAGTGAGACTTCAAACTCCTATGATATCATTCATCGCCGATTGAATTTAGCTTCGTTGTATGATAGCAGCGTCCCGGCAATAGCACTGCGTGGGTAATAGATGCTCCATCGGATGCAGAAACTTGTACGTACAATTACACGGATACTCCACAGAACGAGATGTTTGTTCCTCATCATCTGTTTGTCGGGTAATGGATCTGCTTCTTGGCTCGGAACAATATATTTGAGCAAAGATATAAGGACGTACAGGACTCCCTTTGTCAAGCTTCATCTCTCTTTACAACACCCTCAACCTTCTCAATTCTCCAGAGGTCGAATTATCTCATCTCTCTCAAGTCTTCTCCCTTCTATCCTTTACAATGAAGACATCATTGGTGTCATTGGCTGTTCTGGCCATAGCAGTCTCTGAGGTTGCTGCATTTCCTGCCCTTGCCGCAGAGCATGCTGAGCGACTTGCCAACTCACAACGTGGCAAGCGAAGCACTCTTGCTCGAAGTATCCACAAGAAACGAGTTACATTCGATCCAGCTTCTCAATATACCAGCACCACTGGTGCACATGCCTTCGTCCCACCAAACTTTGCCGCTGGTGATGTTCGAGGTCCCTGCCCCGGTTTGAACGCCGCTGCCAACCACGGATATATTCCACACAACGGCGTTGGTACTATGGGTGACTTTGTGAACGGCACCAATGAGGCGTATGGCATGGCCTTGGACTTGGGTGGTTTCCTGGCCGTGTACGGTTCTGTCTTCGACGGTTAGTCCTCTAAACACCGTTCTCTTATATAAGACTAATAACAAATGTAGGAAATCTTCTCGGATACTCTATCGGTGGCCCAACATCGCTTAACCAGCTCCCCCTGAACAATCTCCTCGGCCTTACCGGAGCACCCCAAGGCCTCTCAGGCTCCCACAACAAATACGAAGCTGACACTTCTCCAACACGTGGGGACCTCTACCTCTATGGCAACGACTACGAGGTCCAAGTTCCCCAATTCCAACAATACTATGATGCACTCATAGAGGGGGTCGATGCGGACACCCAATACGCCAATCTGATCGATTTCCGCATTGCCCGCTTCAACGACTCCATCACTCGCAACTCCCACTTCTTCTACTCTCCCTTCGCCGGTGTTCTCGTCTCGCCAGCCGGTTTCTCCTTCCCTGTCCGCATGATGGCAAACCACTCTGCCGAGTTCCCAGAAGGTTCGCTCAGCAAGGCACAGCTCATGTCCTTCTTCTCTATCACAGGTAAATCGGGCAAGTTCGTATACACAGTCGGCCACGAGCGCATCCCAGATAACTGGTACAAGCGCGCCATCGGCGACGAGTACACCATCCCGGGCTTCTTGGCCGACGTCCTGGACTTCGGCGAGAAATACCCTCCTCTCCTCGACGTGGGCGGAAACACCGGCAAGACGGATTCCTTCACACCAGTCGACATTGGATCTTTGACCAAGGGCGTTTTCTCTGCAGCAGATCTTCTTGAGGGGAATAACCTTGAGTGTTACGCGCTCCAGATTTCTCAGGCTGCGCTGCCAGATATCCTGGGTGGTGCCGAGACCAATATTGGAGATCTGACGCAGATTTTGAAGCCGTTGAGTGATAATATTGCGGAGAACTTGTTGGGGTTGGGATGTCCTACTCTGAACGGAATTGATGATTCGCAGTACGATGTCTACCCAGGGTACAACAACTGCCCCAATGGCTGTTCTGGGTACTCGAGCTAGATGCTGATTTATGAGGATGATAAATTGGAGTTGGCAGGTTGTTATGATTTTCATTTCTTGAATCGATCGTATTGTAATGATAATGACTTGTTTGAGTTGGGTGGAGGGTGTAATAGAGGATGGTGTCTTGTTCTGTACTGTACATAGATAATTTCTTAATGTATCAAGACTTAATAATCAATGACACGAACTTTCTTCCTAACTTCGAGCTTCATTTTGCGTCCTTTCCTCTGTCTAGATTCGTTGTCTCCATACACTGTGATCACCTTTCAATCGACGACGCAGCGTCGATGCTGGACCAGACCGAGAGACAGCTCAGCTTACAGCATGCTAGAAATTTATACAAAAAAGACGCGAACAGCAATTTAAAGCACTTTACATCATCACTGAGTTTCGGCAGCCGAATCACTCACATTTAGACGTCAAGATGTCAAGCAACCTCGAATATCTTAAACACGTGACAGCGCGTCCGCTCTCCACATGAATTTCCAGACCTGAACGCAACGCGTCCTGAACACTCAATCTCAAGATTCTCAACGCAAAACCTTCCATCCTTCAATAACCATGGATTCAGCACCTTCTCCGTCCTCTCCACCCTCCCCACCCTCCCCAACTCCCTCCTTAACCTTCGACAAATTCCCAGACCTCCCAACCGAGTTACGCAGGGTCATTTGGAAGCTCGCGCTTCCAGGTCCTCGAATCGTCCATCTCAAGCAAAAGCTATTGAAACAGCCCGAAGGCCGCTGGTGGGAGAGAGTCAGATCGGATGTTGCGATGTGGGAATGTGACAAGCCATTCGAGGAAAATGAGCCAGATTCTGACAAGGAGGTTGCTGCTGAAGATGAAGGCACAGATTCAGACTCACAGCAAAGCTCAGACTTCGGAGTCAGAATGTACAGACCTGACTCGCTGTGGGGATACAGCACAGAGACCGAAATACCTGCTATGCTGCTTGCTTGTCGGGAGTCTAGAGATATTGCGCTTGGATTCTACCAACCTTTATTCGCGTCGCTTGGGGCAAAAGCTCAGGTATACTTCGATCCTCATCGAGATACCCTCTTCATTGACCACGAAACATTTCTCTGCGAAGATGACGAGATGGCGGGCTGTCTCACGGAGGACATATTACCAAGCGACTTAGCAGAAGTCCGGGAGTTGGCGATCGAAGGTCTGGGCCCTTACCTCGATGAAGGAGTAACGTTTGGTAAGTCATTTCCCTGGCATTTCTTTCCCTCGTTGGCAGCGAAGAAGCTCCAATTGCTCCAATGCTGCTCTATTGAACTATCACTGATGAACAAGCAGAGGTTTGGCTGATCAACGTCGTCGACATCTCTGATCTCTTCCCCAATGTCAGCAAGGTTACAGAAATATGTGCTCATTTCACTTATGGGCTCCAAACCCATATCGGCCAAAAATATGTTGATCTCAAGAAAGCGGAATTTGGTCAAGATGAAGAAGACATATATGTGAAGGATAGATCAGGAGACCATCCTCCGTACGGCACTTTCTATATGAGAAATCTTCGTATTGATCGATCATTCATCGATTGGGACAATTTCATCGATCGACAAGTACCATCCGTGCGTCTAGAAGACGATCTTTTCGAGGAGTTGAGCGAGTGGCGAGAACAAAACAAAGGTTTCAAGGCGTTCAATATCAAGTTAGACGTTAGAGGCCTCATTCCTGCTGCAGACGAGAGACTTCTATTGCACGATGCGGCACTATTCGAGAAAGAGCACAACAAGGGAGAATGGCTCTCATACAGGGATTGGGAACTGGATATTCAATCTAAAGAAGTTCCTGCGCACTTCTTTACATGAGTACCTTCTATGGCTGCCGACGAGAGAGCGAGGGATTCGAAATACGGCATGGATCATGATAGGGTGAAATCAGAGCCTATATGATCGATGTTCCTAATCTTCGCTGTGGCATTGGCGGAGGTACATTGGGTGAAGTGTATAGTCAGGGGGAGAAGATCGACTTTGCATTGCCGACACAATTGCCTCCAACAGCTAGATATTAGTAGGATCTAAATGATTCTATTGCCTTTAACCCTTCTTCAACATGTGCGTGCATCCAGTGAGAAACTACAAATGATCATTGTTCCCGTGAATTTCATTAGTGCACAAATCAGAGTAACTCGAATGTGTACAGTGCGCGACTGTATTGAACTCGAAAACATAACTCCTCAAAGCCACTACAGCAGATCACAAAAAGGACGTCATTCCTCTTAATATCAAAACCTAAAATCCGCAAGGCTAGCCAATAGCTAAATACGCATCCGCCTTCTCCGCTTAGCCCTCGTCCCCCACCCAAGTACCTATCACCGCCTACCCATCTTATAACTTTAAACAAGCACTTCCATGCCATAAGCTCACATGGCATAGTGGTTGGGGTCTCCATTTCAGGACAATTGTGATGCTAAGAGGAGGAATAGGGATAAAATCGCCTGGCCCGCATACGAACGAATCGCGACTTTAAAAACTGCACACGACACCGAGCAAGTTTTCTACGACCTACCCACTTCGGTGGTTAGGTCTGAGTTTTTGCTTTTCTCGCTTAATAACTTATTTTAGTATTCGCTGTCGTCTTTTTTGTGGTTTTGCTGAATGGTAGATGGGAGACATAAAACCGCTTTTTTAGCCGAGTGTAAATAATCTACCGAAAGTAGGGCTTAACACTTGAAGACCTTCGGATAGTCTACGGAGATTTGCTTTTAATATGAATCTTAGTGGGAGATTCTTATTGTGAATATTTATGTGTACTTTTACAAAGGCTTCGCAAAAACAATCAAAACGCAATTTCAATGTGATCTTCGTCCTACTCACAACCTATCTGGGTGAGATGAAATTCAAAGGTTTCCCGAATCAATCTTTGCATATTCTTCCATGGAAACGCTCTATACGTGAATTGTTACTTACTACATTCTCAAGTCTACAACATAGGCTCCAAAGGTTTGTAATCCAGTTCCAAGTAGACCCAAGTCGTGGATTGGAGCGTTGTTGATATTATACCTGATCGAGGTTAGTCTCTTTAAGTCTCCGCTTTAACGTTGAAGCCATGCACTTTGTAGTCCATTTCTGCGAGTCAGGAATCAATAATTAAATCACATCTTCATGAATGTTTTTCAAAACATCAACTGAAATCAGAAGTCGGGATACCAGTCACGTGGTGCCTGGGATTAAGGTTCTTACCTCGATTTTGAAGCCGTCGATATCACACGTGTTTGGCCCAGTCTTAAACATACCAGCTACCATCTCATGGCCTACTGATTTCTTCGCTACAATTTAATTTTCAAGTTGTTTGATCATCTGATGCCGCATACCGCGCGGACGCCGCTCAACGCGCATTTCGCGCGAAATGCGCAATTCGCGCCATTCGCGCCATTCGCGGACCTCTCGATCGCCAGATATCAACTCGAAGCCGAAGCGAGTCCACGGCAGTCAATCGAGGTCATTACTGCGTCCACGGCTCAACACTTTCTTCGTCTCAAACTCAATGTTCCAATATCACAAACACTCACGATGCACAAATCTTGCAAGCACAACATTCACTCACCAACCTATCATTTCGACTTGAGCTACCAATCCTCTCCCGTGCCAGAGATGAAGTCACACACTCGGTAACGCTGTACTCGATGAAGAGATCTTCGTTTTTCCTCCTTATTCTGGGGTTCTGTTCTGTATTCCGCAAAGCAAGACGGTCCGTACTGAAATCTCCGAATAGTGTGACTCTGCAGATCTGTTTCATTGCACAGGTATAGAAGCAGAACTGTTGCTTTGAGTTGTGTAGCAACGTTCATTGCTGGATGTTCGGGTCTTTCTTGCGGTCTTGACACGGGGTTCAACGGGTGAGCGAAATTGGCTCTATGGTGTCGAGGTGTGGGAATCCTAATGTCATACAAGTCTCAACGTGGAATTCGAGTCTGAAGATTAGTCCTCCCAAAACTCAACGACGGTTCACCATTACTTGAGATCCACAACATGTTACCTCTACACACAACAAAACACTCGTCCCAGCTGAGAATGTTTTTTCGGACTGTGTGGAAGTCATTCAAGATTCTGTGCTGGCGTGGGTACTCTACCCTTACTTGAGCAACGTTCTCACAAGGTTTCGCTCACGAGCATAAAATTTCTCTCTGGACTTTCTGAATGCTGTGGGAAATTGCGAGGTTACCTTCAGAACGCGGGGAAGTTTCTCAATGTTCCATCCGCTCCAGTGTTTTGTCCACAAACAAGAGCTCTCAAGCAACAATGCACATTTGTATCGAGACCCCGATCAGTAATAGGGGCGAGAGACTTGTACATATAACTGAGGGCCTACAATGTCTAGTCTCATCTTCGTCTTTTCAATGCTCACCTTTCCCAACATGATGAGTTTCCCACTACTCGCAATTCTTCTTACACTCACGAGCCTTCAGCTCACAATAGCATCACCGCTCAAACCTCGCAACCCAACATGTAGGCAAACGAAAGTTGCTGTTCTAGGTGCAGGCACAGCAGGAATTACTGCGGCCCAGGCATTACACAACGCCTCCATCTCAGACTTCCTCATTATCGATGTCAATGACTACATTGGTGGCCTCCTGCATCACACAAACTTTGGAAAGAATCTAGCAACAGGACAACCATATACCATCGAACTTGGAACAAACTGGGTACAAGGACTCGGACATCCTGGAGGCGCCGAGAATCCCATCTGGACATTGGCCATGAAGTGGGGACTGAATACCACGTACTCGAACTAGTCGAGTATCCAAACTTTTGACGAGAATGGAGCGGTTGACTATGCTTACCTGCTTGACGACTATGAAACAGCATATGGGACAGTCGAACAAGATGCAGGTCGAATCTTGAAAGAAGACCTCCAGGATCGAACCTTTCGTTCTGGACTACTGGTTGCCGACTGGTTGCCCAAAGACGACATGCACAAACAAGCTGCCGAATGGTGGCAGTTCGACTGGGAATACGCCTGGCCTCCAGAGCAATCGTCTGAGACCTATGCTGTCATTGTAACTTACAATGATCCTTCTATACCAAACGTTGAACTAAGCTAACAAGCCCCACGGAACTACAACGATACATTCTACCAATTCAGCGACGAAAACAACCTCTGCACCGACCCTCGCGGCTTCAGCTACTGGCTCCAATCCGAAGCCTCTACCTTCCTCACCCCCAACGACCCCCGCGTCCTCCTCTCCACAAACATAACCTCAATCGACTACTCTGCCAAGGACTACGTGACCATAACCACCTCCACCGGGTCCTGCATCCAAGCCTCCTACGCAATCTGCACCTTCTCCGTCGGCGTCCTCCAAAACGACCTCGTATCCTTCACCCTGCCCCTCCCCCCCTGGAAAGAATCCGGCATCGCCCAAATGCAAATGGGCACCTACACGAAAATCTTCTTCCAATTCCCACCCTCGCCCTCGGGTTCCTACTTCTGGGAAACCCCCTCCTCCTCCGCCGACACGCAATTCTTCCTCTACGCCGACCCTTTCGAGCGCGGCTACTACCCGGTCTGGCAATCCCTCACCGCACCGGGCTTCCTGCCCGGCTCCGGGATCATCTTCGTGACCGTGACAGCCGCGCAAGCGTACCGGGCCGAGAACCAGGACGACGAGACGGTGAAGAATGAAGCGTTAGCTGTGCTGCGGAGCATGTTTGGAAACGACAGCGTGCCGGAACCGATCCATTTCTTGTATCCGCGCTGGACGACGACGCCGTGGGCGATGGGGAGCTATAGTAATTGGCCGCCGGGGCTGAGTCTGCAGATGCATCAGAATCTGCGGGCGAATGTCGGGAGGGTGTGGTTTGCGGGGGAGGCGAATAGTGTTTCTTATTTTGGGTTTTTGCAGGGTTTGTTTCTCTTTCTTCTTTGGTGGGGGGGGGATGATTATGCTGATTTTGTTTGTGTCTAGGTGCTTATACGGAGGGTCAGTATGTTGGGGAGGCGGTCGCGGGGTGTGTTAATAGCAGGTTTGAGTGTAGGGATGAGCCGCATTATGAGGATATTAAGGGGTATACTACTGGGAGTTCGATGCTTCAACAGAAGAATGGGTGGTTTGTGGATAGTACTTCATTTTGAGATGGATTTGGGATTTCAAAAGCTAGATAATCTCAAAATACCTATACTCTCCCAACCATTGCTGTTTACGAACATTTTCCAGACATCTTTCTGCTGAATATTGCCTCTTGCTATCAGGGATCCTACTGGTTGGAAGAGCACACAAACACAACATTGAAAGCTTGAGCAAGTCCATTCTGAAGTAACTGTTTATCGAACTTCGGCTGATTGCGCAATTGCGCGATTCGCGTGTTTGTCGTCTGTCTCGTGTAATCTCTCTGTTGAAATAACATATTTTCTATCTGGGGTAACATGAGATCTTTTGCAGAGATCTATTGCATCTGGGACTTTGGAATGAAGAATACTCTGAGCATTCACAGGATCAGAGTAAAAAAACCCCTTGGTGTACTATCAGGAAAGCTTCCCATAATCACCACCTCAGTCACGCTTCTTGACTGGCCAGTAATTTCGAAAAAGCCAGACACATCCAACGAAGACTTCACGTCAATCACTTCTGGAAGGCACAAAACATAATTCAACATCGTACATTCCCCTAACTCTTCCTCCCTTCATCCTATGTACGTACCAACCAACCAACCATCCATCCCATACAACACTAGCATAATTACACGACAGATATATGCCCTTCTTCGCTTCGTCATCATTCGCATACGCCAAGAAAAACTGCCAATGGCAGATTTAGAAAAGAAGACCCTACTTTCAAGTTGTGTCGAAAGAACAAAGTTTCGCCATTACGGGGAAGAAAAAAAGACAAAAACATGCCTGCCCATTCATCAACCATGCATACCCATACGCCGTTTGTGTCTTCATGCCATCCATACTCATGCATGTCCAGTAGAACAAGAAAAGGTCGTTCCGTATGTACACCTCTGATTATACCGAGGCGGAAAAAAAAGTTGATATCTCGTAAACAAATCAACGCTATGCAAAAGAACGTGGAAAAGAAAAGAATTCTCGTTGAAAAGATTATCGTCATGAGAAATCGTCATCCCTTGGGCTCTGATTTTGGTCTCCGTCCATGATGTCCACTCTCAACACCAACTCCTTAGTCTCTCTGGCGATTTCGAAAGCAATGGGAGGCAGTGATTGATTCCAGGATCTCCATTGTCGGTCGCCTTCATCATCGTCTCGGCCCTCATTTGCGATGGCTCTGCCCATCTGGCCAGCTTCAAGTATGCGCTGTCTGAGTGTCGACAGCTTCTTCACAATCGGCTCGCTTTGGCTCTTCAATGCCGTATTCGACGTCATGGACGTTTCTGTCTCTTGTACGACTGTGCCAATGACGTCCGCAATAGCAGTGATTTGGGTTTCGATGGCAGTTATACCTGCTTCAGAGCGAATCGATGATACGAGAGACTGAATGTTTTGCACCAACAAGGCAGTTTGATCCTCAAGATATATCTAATCATGGTTAGTCGAATGTCTAGTAGAGTGAAAAGGGTAGTAAATTACCTTGAGTTCTTCGACATCACTATCTTGTGTTCGGATGCCGAAGCCTACCCCCATTGGCGTTGGAGGAAGATTCTTGTTGCCATTCAGAAAGCTATTGCCGTTTTGAGCTCCTCTAGACATGGATCGTTGTCGTCCTGCCCAAGATTCTTTTCCTGAACTTACGGGGCGAAGGGTAGACTGCCGAGGAGAATTGACCGGACTGTACATCGATGAATCGGCACTGATACGGATATTTCTGAGACCCTGGAATGGAGGTGCATTGCTCTCCTGTTGCTGCACTTGCACTGGGAGTGGACTTCGTACCGGGAAGAAGCCAGTTGTGTCGACTGGTTCCAGATTTCCATCGTCATCGTCCTCGAGCTCACCAGCCGGGGTCGGACGAATCTTGACTGTTCGGACAAGCTCGACAACGGCTGATGTTAAGTGTGAAGCTGCTGCATCGAGTAAAGAAACTGGCGACAAGCCATTTGCTGAAGCAAAGTTCTTTGAAGCTGTAATCAAGTTGTTGGCAGTTGCCGAAACTCTTGATTTCAGCTTGGCCTGTTGTTGAGCTAACTCTTCGCTGCTTGCTGGAGAATCGTCGATATCTTGAGTAATCCTTCGCACATTGACCACGACAGATTTCATAAACTCAATGACTCTTGCAGGATCGTCAGTACGTGCAATCTTCAGAAGTTCGTCAATCGAGATCTGAAACTTGGTAACGTGGACATCCTTCACACTACCATCTGGCGACGTGAAGCCACTGTCCTTGGTGAATTTTGACGCATCTTGCTGAATCTGGAGGCCAATCGAAGAAGCTCTTAGACTGCGAAGTTGCGTCTTCGTCCTGGCGTATCGGTTCCTCCAGTCCTTCACTTCTTCCTCTAATTTGTTGACAGTATTTGAGAGCTCTTCCTCCCTTTCGTAAGATTGACTGCTCCGTTCTGACAGCATCCGCATTTCTCTGAGGAACTCTTGCGCCTCTCTTCGGACCTCATCCGTGACCCTCTGCTGCTCTCTAAGCTCTGACCTCAACTCTTCGTTCTCCTGTTCCAATTCGGCATCCGCTCCAAGGCCTGTTGACTTTCCTGCTGACTCTCGAAGCTCTTCAATCTGTGATCGAAGCTCTCTTTCTGTATTCGCTTGAGACGCTCGCATACGATCTATTTCTGACTGAAGAGTATCGTTGAGATTCTGTGCATCAGCAAGTTGGTTTTCCAGCCGATTTCTCAGGTCGGTCCATTCTTTCTTCTCCACATTGGCTGCACTGGCTCGATTTCTCTCGCCATCCAAAACATTGTTTAACTCGTCGTCCTTCTGCTTGAGATTATCCTCCATAGCGTCTAACTTCTCTCGTAGTTCTGCTACTTGGGATTGGTAGTCGTCGATCAGCTTTTTGTCAGTCTTGAGGCAAAAGTTAGCAATCATCACTCTATTCAGTCCAGGACAGTCTTACCTCAGAGCCCCCAGAGCTTTTCTTACTCTCACGATTCCGGGCAGCTCCTTCCAAGCCAAAAGCATCTCCATCGTCATCATCATTATCTTCTCCTCCTGTCTCATCGTCTTCAACCATAGTACTTTTGTTGGGTACAATGGTATTGCTCTGAAAAGTCTTTGGTGTCGGTCTTCCAAAATCTCCAGGAGGTATTCCAGGTGAAGGTGGTATACCAAGAGCTGATCCATTCATTGGCGGTCGTGGCCCATTTCGTGATTCGCTTCGCATAGAGTATCCAGCTATGGAACTAGCATCTGAGGGTCTGCGCATGCGCGGTGGCATACCATTGACAGGAGTTCCATTGCCATTTCTGCTGGGCGGACCTCGTACTGAAGCCGGGCTGCCTATCCTACTTATATCACCAGCAGCAAATCTTGGGAACCTCCGCTCCAACTCGTAGAATACATCCGTTGCAAGGTCGCGGAATCTGGGTGGAGGTAAGGTTGAAAGCTTTTGCCTGGCTTGATTTCGCTTTGGGTGGAAAGAATCTTTGGGAAGGAGAAATGGTGGAGGTCCTCCTTCTGGGGCGCTCCCATTTGGCGTTCTTCTGCCGCTTTGTTGTCGTCGCAGTAATTCATCAAAGACATCCGTACTTAGTTCCTGGAATTGTACCGGGGACAACCGTAATAACTTGTCTCGCGCTCTGTTCGGCCTGGGGTTTCCTTTCTCATCCCGCAACGAGGCTGCGAGATATCGTTTTAGCGCAACATAGTGTTCTGATAATGTAGCCTCGAATTGTTCGTCCTTCCTACTCCTGCCACTCTCGCTCTGCGCATATAATCCGGTCCCAACACTTGAACGCGCGATCGAGCTGGGTGGTGAAGGGCCTCCAGGACTGCCCGCAGACGAGCCCCTCGGAGGGAATCCGCCATTCATCGTGCTGTTTGATCCACTTGATATTGGCGGTGACGCCAGCTGTCCGCGAGAATTGGGGAAGGGCGAGTCGGTATCGCGGTTCTGGTATTTGGAAATACCGGACCATTCACTGTCTCCTACAGAAACAGGCGACAAGGGGCCATTTCGGCCATTCATCGTAGAAGCTTTTGAAATATGTAGTGGCTGACTCCTGGGAGCGAGCACTCTCCTCCGCAATCCTCGATCTATCGAATGCGACCGAACTCTCAGATTGTTCAGCAGAACAGGAAAGAGAATCGTAAGGTCTTCTGAAAAGCCGTACACCAAACTGCCTCAGAGTGCAACGAGATAAAGCCTTGAAACGTCGTGGGCCTGGCAGGGTTGTCAAAGCGAGCGCGACAGCGGTTCGCTCCTAACGGCGTGTTCGAGATGGTGACAGAACACGAGTAGTATTATAATTATTCGAAGAGATGACTGGTAAGGACCGTGACTGTGATGCTGCACAGCGGACAATGGCAATGGCAATGACGTTGAAACGGAGGATGCGTTCGAGGAGGAGGCGTGGGAAAGGGAAGCGTCAGCTGGATTTTTCTGTGTTACCCCTTTGATGGCGGCGTTGGCGTCCTGGAGGAGCTTGAAGCGGCGCGTAAATTACTTCCTAGGTGCAGCACAGCGAGAGCGAGGCCTCGATTTGATTTGATAATGTCGATAAGGTCGATTAGAGTTTCGATTCCCGGGCAGCGAAGCTTTGGGAACTCGCAACGGATCCCTCGTGGTGGGCTAGATAGAAGGAACGGTGGATGAAGGCCAGAATCACAAATTAAACCTCACTCAATGTCAAGACAACAAAACCAAACATGTTTTTTCCTCACGCAGCAGATCATCCAGATATTATTTATCACTGCACTGCACTGCACTGCACACTCGCATCTCCACGGCCCAAGCAAGGCACCATCGCTTCAGGGGTAGGAAATTTAGTTCCCAAGAGGAAGGACATTCGCGCCGGGGTCCTGATTGGTGCAGGATGGTCAAGCATTGCAGTTCATCTCACTCACAAAAGCCGAAATGTGCATCCTCTGTGCCATGACGACGCCCAATTCTCAAGACCATCGGGTTGTTTTCCGCCTATCGACGTTGCGGAGGACCGAGGAGGCAAACTTGGCAAGGCAGTGGCCACGACTATGGGCTGGCTGGATGAGGGATGGGATGGGATGGGATGGAATTCTGCGACTCGCGGTCTCTGAAGGCTGGAAGGCTGTTGCTTGCTCGTCTAGCCTTCTCGAATTTTAAGCCAAGCCTCGAGTCTAGTCGCTTCACCGCTGAGGCTTCCTCACCCCTGAATCCAATCTCCAAGGATTCGTCCGTTGGAGACAGGCCCACTTCATCCGCGTGGCGGGTTACCAAATTGTACGTAGCCCTATGCAGAATGGGGACGAGACATTATGATACTTCGGCATAAAAGCTTTCCTGACACCGGTCTGGTAACTCAAAACGTTCATTTATCCACCCCACAGCCTCAAGTCCACTCAATTGAGGACATAGAAACGCAAGAAGCCTCCTTCATTGGGGAGATGATTCCTATTGTAGATGATCCTCAAACGCCTGATATGGGTATCCCCGTCCGCCAACGCCAACATGGTCTAAATCCATGTGAATCTCCATGCAAGATGGAATAACTAGAATCAAAACCAACCAAGTGTCCATACACTTGGAAGATTGGGCCATCTCTCTTGCCATTCACCAATAATCTCCGGAACTCGCTCATCAAACCCGGCTCGACTACCAGCAATTCCACTATCAAACCCTGATGGATTGGCTTCTCGTTCCTCTGTCGCTGCTTTATTCAAAGAGTCTGCCAGATCCAGAATTCCTCTTCCACCTATCAGAGCCTCCTCATGATTGTCCTTGATATCGACATTGATAACATGGACAGGGCGATTCAAGGGCGAACCCCGTTCCAGTAGATTGTCAATGACCGCATCCCAACACCTCTCCTCGCATGTAATAACTACGTCCGGCACCCCTCCTTCCAAACCTTCCGAACCGCGGTCTGCGTTGTGTTGAAGTCTGGGAGCACCAATCTGCCAGTCCTGCCACCTCTCTGGTCCCCATTTCACACCTCTGTTTCGCTCAAGCATGTTTAATAAACCATTCGCCCGATACAGCCGCGGGTCCTTCGACTCAAGTTCTTTGTACATACTGTCGTATGAGGTCTTGTTGAATTGGTACACGTTTGGCTTGTCAATGGAAGGGCCTGGAAGTCGGACTAGAGATCCTGTGCCGAACGAGATGACTGGGTAATTTGCGGCTGCAAGACGCAGATGCGATTCCATAGATCTGTGTTTAGATACGATCAGCTTGCTGGTAGATGTGATTCTTGAAATAGCCACGCACCTGTTCTGGTTGCTTGCACAAACCGTACAGAATTTGAGTTTAAATCCTCCTGGATCTTGGCGTTCTCCATTAGAGGTGCCATTCGCGGAGCCCGCCTGCGTTTGTGGTTGGGCCATGAGAGCTGAGATTTATTTGAAGGTTTTCGTGACTTCGTTTTCGTCCACGCAAGATCTAGACTTGCCACAATCGAGTGGTCAACAAGCCCAAATCCAGACCGCTTAAGACTTGTTCTCAGCCTTATTGCCACTGGTGCTGCTACAGTCAGCTTGTGTCACAAGAGTGCCTGTGTTTGGAAGTAAGACAGCTTAAAAACGCGATCAGAAAAAAAGTTGCGTAAATAAAATTTGTGTCATCACGAGAGGTAAGACAGCTCCAATATAGATTATTCATCATTTTGCATGCAAGAGAGGGTGAGAAAGAAGCACACTTACCAAACTCTACTCCATGGCAGGACGCAATGTTGTCGTGAAGTCACTATCGCATGTGCATGTTGCTGAAAGGTGTAGAGAGCCGAACTGATTTGACCATGTAAGCGCAGTGCTACGCGCTTCGCTGCAAGTGGTCTAGTTTGGCATAGGCGAGGTATGGAAAGGCAAACCTGCAAAACAGGCAAAATTCCATCTTCAAAAGTCACGATAGTATCAGCTCCCAAACATTAATAGGAAAATGATATATCTCAATCTCGGATCAAATCTGGAGAACGAACACGCCTAGAATCTTATGAAGAACCATTATAGTTCGCGCAGTCTCTACATCTCACGCTCGCCGCTCCTAATGGAATTGTCAGCTCGCCATGGGACTCGGCTACTTGTACCCCTTTTCCAAGCCATTTGGAAGGATGCCCCTGAGATACTCTCCTTACGCCTCAAAATTGCAATACAGGACATTTCTTAAGGTCTTGGAGCCACACTCGCGATGGTCGAGTCCTGAGTCCATTTGGTTTCACCATAAGACGTCTTCATCTTTTCGAAGTCGCTTGGCTTCAGGAGGACGGCAAACCAAGGAAATCCGAGGAATGAAGAACAATAGTCAAACTCCCAAAAGAGTCACGAGAGCCTCATTGTTACCGACCCTCGAGGATGTTCTCTTGGAGTGCTCTTACATCTCTCCCTCCCCTGGCTCTCGTCGGTACATTTAGTATTCCGCTTCCATATTCGCTTGTGAGTTCAGATGAAAGCACGGTACGAACGACGGTGGGCTTGATGGAACGGGGATCATCTTGTCTCACCAGGAGCCCTCCAGCATCTGTCTTGCAGCCAACACCAGGGACATGCGAATGCGATGAATGACAGATGGAAAAATAAATAGATGCGTGGAGTCGATAGAGCAGTTGTCCCACCCCTTTTGTCCCAGAAGCACATATTCTCCTCCCTAAATGAACAGGTTGGACAACAAACATGCCCCTCATTGGCTGGACAGGACTTGTTTCATACAGGGCGACCCGGTCTTCCATATTTAGAAATTTCGGGCTTAAACTCTGGATGCGGCCCATCCATCTCTGAGAAGAACGTGAGCATTATTAAAGCCTGGCAAGCCAGCAAGAGCCCCATCTCGAAGGATTTCCTGCACATATATTGCTCCTCACCCTCGAGGATTCTTAATGATCACGTGGGAACTCTGAATCTCTTCCTGAGATTCTTCATCGTCTCTCCGTCGCTCCTTCGCATCGGCGCGCTGCGGGGTCTTCCTGGTCGATATTCAAGGCGTCAGTGTTTGAAGTCGCCGAGATCTGAGCGCCCGTCCAACATCTAATTCCAGCACCGACTCCCCGTTTTAGGCCAGCGAAAGCACAGCAGATCTCCCTGAGTCTCTGGTTGTCCGAAGTCCATTGGTGCTGTCGATTGGGTGCAGCCCGGCACGGTGGGGTCAGCCCTTGATCTTCTTCTCTCAAAAGATCAGATTTCGTTTTCCCAAGAGCGCACAACCTGGTTGACTAAATCCGTATCAGCTTCCGGCCAATCCTCGAATCTGCCTCGAACAGGTCAACGTCAACGTGCTGTCCCTGTCGCATCAACAACAACCGCCAGATCAAACATTCCTCACTCCCTCCGGACATTTGCGGGAGGGTCATATTTTGGCGATCAATAACCCAACTGTCGGACGATCTGAGGCGCAGTGATCTGAGGAGTCTCGGGAGGAGACCCTGAGAGATCCTCTATCGACTTTTCTTGCGCAAGCGTGCCCGTCAACATCTGGTGGGATTCAAGCTTGCTGGCAAGCTGCCACCGTATCTGGGTTTCAATCATCGAGACAAGAACATTCAGAGTGGCGCGGTGCGGCTGTTAAGAGGCTTCCCCAATCACAAGCGGCCAAGATGACGGCGGTTATGTCTCCAACACTCGACACTTCGTCCCCATCACCAACTTCCCCATCTCCAGTGTCGTCGCCCTCCTCGAATCCGAACCATCCCCCATTACCACCTCTAATCACCTCTCCTGCTCCTGCGCGAAGGACGAATCTGCAAAGACCCACCTCGCACGCGTCGAAAAACAGACTATCACAATATTCCAACTACTCTATGCCTTCTCGGTCGCGGCCCCCATCGCACATATTTCCGATTTTCCACTCCAGTCTTCCATATACCCTCGTCCGCGACTTTGCGTATCCAATAGTGCATCCTATGCACTATGGTCCCCCGCCTGAACCCTCTCAACCCCCCTCTGGGCTATCGACACCAGCAAGTGAACAGAAGCGCTTCTCTGATCCTCCAACATCGTGGGACAGTAGGGCTGCTTGGGCGACAGGAGGATGGACGAGCGAAGGGCTTATGAAGGGAGAGCAATTAGCACCTATACATTTTGGCGATGGGCCACCTTGGAGTGAAGACGAGGATCTGCAAAGTCCTGTTGTGGTCAGTTCACGGCACAGAAAGCATAAGTCGTCAGGTAGTGGCTTTGGAGGTAGTCAAGGGCGCGGTAGAGGACGTCGAAGAGAAGATGGTGAGCGCACTACGAGTATGCTCAGCCAAGAGAATTTTGAGCATGATAGGGGATACTTCATGGGCACAAGCGGCGACGGTAGCGAGAGATACTATGTGAATAACGCTGGAGATGAGGCAGACGGACCTGGAGGAGAAATCCTTACATACCCCCCAGAGCAAGCTCGACATTCGACACTGGCACCTTACAACGTTCCTGGACAACGAGACTCACATTTTGCTGGAATGTTACCTAGCAGATCATATACGGACGAGACAGGGCAAGACTATCGGTCTGAATCAGATGCGTCGAGCTCAGCATCTTCCCCAGGATTGACACGGCATGACGAATCACGATACTCGCGCGACTACCAATTCACAATTGCTTCACCAGATGAGGAGATGCATGGCAAGGCTGTCGCATTATTTGACTTTGAGAGGGAGAATGAGAACGAATTGCCGTTGGTAGAAGGTCAGGTCATTTGGGTATCTTACCGTCATGGCCAAGGATGGCTTGTTGCTGAGGATCCAAAGACACAAGAAAGTGGCCTTGTGCCGGAAGAATATGTTCGGTTACTGCGAGACATTCAAGGAGGTTTGAACAGCTTGACTGGACAAGCAACCGACCAATTGCTCAGCCCTCTTGCACCAGATGCTGGAACACCGACCCAAGCTGAACACGGACAGGCCTTTGGACACAATTCGCAACCCAGCAATGGGAACAATGGGTATCAACAACCTATCGTTTCCACATTCTCGACATCCTCAAAAGATCTCCATCCATATCCTCAACATCTGTTAGGAACACAAGCTGGCCAAGCGCCACCCCAGGTCATACACTATCATGGACAACGGGGCGGTAGTCAGGCCAACACACCTACCATCTCGAGTTCTCTTGAAGGTGCTCGTGACCGAACGAGTAGTCAAGATTCCAAAGCCCGCAAGACTGAGGACAGCTTGAATACAACTCCAATTGCTATGTTACCAGATGCCAAGTTAGAACCTTCAGAAGTTCTCCGGCAGCCTGATAGCCCAGACAGCGATTCAACAGATTCGTCTTTCGAAGGGGAGAAAAGTCCGACGAGGTAATGAAGATCATGTTTTATGCATCATCGTTCTTAGAAAGGAGTGGTAGTTTGAAAAATTTCCAGCGGGTTGGTTTAAGTTATGCATTTGTGTTTTTTCCCCTCTCGATTTGGGCAGCAGCAGCATCATTTTTTCTCAATACCCCATCAATTGGTCGGTTGCATGTTATCTGGGAAGAAAGAGAACCTTTACCCCAGAAAGGACATTCGTTATCTTTTTAATACTTCGATTCTACCATCAACGTGTATTATTCGCTTTTTGGGGAGTCGAGACAGGGAGGGAATTTTGTCTTTTTTTTGGAGCGAGAGATATGAGGTATGGATGGATGGTGCATATAGGTTTTATGAGCTTTATGACGGTGGAACTTTTGTTACGCATGAGCCGGCGGTATACAGGTGGTATGATTGTACGAGTTCGGAGGGTTGGGTGGGTGTGGGCTGAATAGGGAGCTTGGTGAATAGCTGAATAAATGGGAGAAATGGGAAAGCTCATTTTAGTTATTATCCAGATGATGTTCCAACCATAGTCGGTGACCTAAAGTGAAGCTGATGTTTTTTCCTCTGCTAGGCAATTTGAGGGACGGGCTAACTGAAATTGTCGAGTTAACTGTAGAGAATATGCGGGCAAAAGTGTCAGTCCTTGAGTTGAAAATCATGAATCTTTTGGTAGAATATAGCAACGCCATGCAACACCTATCATTTCCTTCCGAGCAACTTTCAAGTGCATTCAGTTCCCCTTCCCATCATAGAGCCATAATTAATAAACCATCCCCTCCCATCCCATCCTCTCAACCCTTATACTCCCTAACCCAACCAACCTCACTCCCCTCAAAATCCACACAACTAACCCCCTTCCCCTCCAACTCCTTCTCCGTCTCCGCCCACTGACTCGCATCCACCAACCTCGTCCCCTCCCTCACAACCCACGTCGTGAAGCCCTCCGCCTTGGCATCAACCGCCGTCGACGCCACGCAATAATCAAACGCCAACCCCACCACAAACACATCGCTAATCCCCCCCTCTCTCAAGACCCCCGCTAGCCCACTATCTCCGACCCTCGGATCCTTCAGCGGGGTGTAGAACGCGGAATACATCTCGACGTCCCTGATCGTGCCTTTTTCTATCACTTTGTCGATTTTAGAGACGTCGAGTTCCGAGACGAGAGATGCGCCGGGGGTGTTCTGCACGCAGTGGACGGGCCAGAGGCGTGAGGTGTAGGTTTCCGAGGCGTTGGAGGGGTTGGTTATCGTGGTGTAGGAGGTGAAGGGCTCGGCGGAGGGGTGGTTGGCCGCGAAGGAGATGTGGTCAAGGGGGTGCCAGTCTTTGGTGGCGATTTTGAGGGGGAAGGGGAGCGTGAGGAGGGTGTTGACTGTGGGGATTATGGAGCGGCCGTTGGGGACTGCGAGGCTGCCGTTCTGGGGGGAGGTTTTGGTTAGTTGTTGGATGGTGGAGGGAGGGGAAGGGGGAGACGAACTGGTGGGCAGAAATCCTCTTGTAGGTCTACGATTATGAGGGCGGGTTTGAAGTTTGGTGGAGGCGCCATGGTGAGGAGTGTTTGTGTTGTTGTGAGAGGAAGAGTTCGTTGAAGTGGGAGGTAGTTGTTGGTATATCCCTATCAGCTTATCGTACGAGCTGCTCGTATCGAAGGAAAGCTTCTTTCAGCCGCAACGCCGCGGGTTACCCCACAATCTGCACCCCTCACACGTGCTTTGCATATTCTGGATACGAGGTTGTACTATGCATTGAAGATCTTTACGTTTTGTAGATGGCATCAGGGGTTAGATGTGTATTTGCATGTTACATCGTCTGGAGATTGTGATGTTCGAATTGATTCCATGGTTTCGTCCTTTCTGATATGAAAAGTGTTCAGTCATGCCGAATGAGATGATACTGCCCCTTAATTGATGTATAGTTCAGCACATTGAGGAATTGTATTGTCGGTCCGGAAACTGGAAATGCTGGTACCATATTGTCGGTACTTGGCGAACGCCTGCAAAAGTTTGAGAGGACCTCATTTTTCTCCCGTTGTCCTCCGGATCGTCAGAGCTTGTTGGTATGTAATAATTTTAAATTCAACTAAGTTTTGAGCCTAAATAGGATATTGAACGTCGGTAATCCAGAAGGAGAATTGGATTATCTGAGAGTGACCGTACATTCAACCCTTAGTGGTATGTAATTGCACAATTATCTGGTGTCGGAGTATAACAGTAGTTAAAATTGAATACAGACGACCTCCAACAAAACCATCTATCCATGATTCTTCTTGAGGTTCAGCTGGTTTGATGTAGCATCCCAAAGACAGAACAGGAAAAAGTCTCTCATTGCTTTCAATCGTGGAGTATGAGATAAACCCCTTGCACGTATCAATCTACCATGTACAGGGAAAGATGTCTGTAAGTTGGCAGAAACCTGGTAATATTTGCCAACTTCACGAAACCTCTCTCAAAATTTATCAAACAACCTCAGCTGTGGTGGCCCACATCTTCAAATGAAACCTACGAATGATTGCAAAGTTCTCAAGCTAAACTTGCTTTCTCACTTTGCATGTTCCCTCTCTTCCCGGGCCCTCCTCTCGAGGCATTTCCCCTAATCATGAAAAACGCGATTGGCAAGAACTAGGACATACATACCCTCTGGATTCAAGATACTCAAACTCGCTGAGACACAGAAAGTATTGGACTATTGAAATTATGCGCCTCGTCACACTTCGCGCAGCAAGAGAGTACTCTAATTATTTGGTGACATGCCATGGTGCCTTGAGGGCAGCACGTAAGCCTCAACTCTTCAAGCTTGTCAGCTGTTCTAGGGTCCAGCATTTGCAGTAAGGCTCGGCACTTGCCTAATCGCACGTATGCAAACAAATGGCACAGCCGTGATAGCGAACATGGTGGTAAAGAAGGTAGCTATCTATGAGTATCTGACATGCAGATGTACCGCTGTTGATCTGTCACTCGGCTCCATCCCAGAGCTCACACCCCATGGGGGTCCCGCACTCCTGTCCGATTACTGTAGGCAGCATAACTATATACGAGCCGATGACATTTATCCAGAGAGCCCTCCTGGGACTTCCAAGGACAAGATGTTGTTATCGTATGTTGCATTATGAATGATATGCAGGGTTCTGGTTGGTCCGTCTGGCTCAATAATCTTTTCACCGCCAAGGTGAGACAAAGTCTGGAGGGTACGGTGAAAGCCCAACATATTTCTTGGCTTTTCTGCCGTGTGTACATCAGCTGTTCTAGTGATGCATTCAGAAAATGTGTTGTCTTGCGTGCTGGGTGAAGAGAATAAGATGATTCAAAGTGAAAAGTGAATGATTATAAATCCAAGAACAATGGACAAGTCTTGGAGTTGCAAGCTCCAATCGAGTCATCCGTTGTACGAGTAGTGTCCGACGGTACACGTTGCTGCCGATTTGTTGGTCTTCTCATTGAGACCTTTCACGGATGCAGAGTTTCCAGGGTGTCGATGATGAATGGCCTGCGCCTCAATTCATCGGCTGGACTGCAGGCAAGTAAGCGGCGTTCGTCGTTTGTGGGGGGGTATGTTTTTCGCATCGAACGAACGAATTGCACTTCCAGAAGCCGGTAAGCCGTTATGATTTGGAAGGGATAAGGAAAGGATTGAGGAACAAAGAAAGAAGTGTATGAAAGAAGGACGAGAACAATATCAAGCTTTGCATTATCAAGACTTGGAATCTTTACCCCAACGGTCTTTGATCTCGAAATTTGAGCGAAGAAGCGGCGGCGCCCCTTTATCGGACTGCAGCACGCTAAACCGCTTCGACTCGGCCCTGAACTAACCCTTGAAATTATCTGGGCTCCTCGCTTTTCGCCAGGCCTCCATATTAATTTCGATTTAATTGTTGATCAAGTCTGCTCCTTTTCCTGCTTCTCTTTCATGGACAATTGAACCGTCCAGAGCACATAGAGTCCAACATCTTTGTGCTCCGTCTTCCAATTCAACATCAACACGGCTCACGACCTCTCAACTCGTCATAGCACAACCCTCACATCCCGACATTTAACCTTCACCGCAAGGTTTAAGGTGCGTCTTTCCAACTATCGCGTCCCTCTACACTTTCTATTTGCTCTGTCGTCGGGCTGCATCTGAGAAGCCTTGGACTTGTGGCGTACTTAAAACGATTTGTTTTGCTCTTCGGCGGGTTTCTTGTGCGGCACCTGTGGGGTCTGGAGGATCTCTGCAGGATTGTCTGGGGAAGGAAGGACCCGAAGCCATAGCCTTCAGCTGAGGATCTACGAAACTCTGTTTGCTTTTCCTCACTCCTCTCAGTGTCTAGTGAATAGCTTATCTTCTGCGAGTTGGGGGCGCACGATGACTGACAATCATAACTATAGATCGCAGAAACACAGAAAACCAAAGGCCACCTCCTACCTCCCGCTCGTCCGTTCATGGCTTTATAGCAAACATACCATTGATACCTGAACAAAATGGTCCGATCCTTACTCACTTCCTTCTTCTTGCCTACGAGGGGTCGCGCGACTTCGGTGGCAGAGAAACCTGCTACGCCGGGTTGGGTGAGCAAGAAGATCACACCTCTGCTTCAAGGGCTTTCTCGCCGAGCATGTCTCCATCCGATACACACGATCGTGATTGTGGCTGTGCTGGCCAGTACAACTTATATTGGGCTGCTGGAGAGTAGTTTATTCGACTCGGTCACATCAAGTGCTGTTGGAAAAGCAGATTGGGCTTCGTTACTCGAGGGAAGCAGGCAATTAAGAGTCGGCTCTGAAACAGGCTGGAAATGGCAGACTTCGGACACCGAAACCACCATCCCACAAGATGCGGACCATGTTGCCTTACTTACCTTCGTCTTCCCCGATTCTTTCGCTGCGGATTCTCCTCAAAATGCTCCCCTCGCACATACCATACCTCTCCCGCAAAACCTTTCTGTTACTGAGCTCCCATCCACCTCAAATCCCTTGTTCGCGATATCTCAAGACACTGCCTTGGCCTACGCAGTCCCTTATAGTGAAGCCCCAGAATTTCTTGCATGCGCCCAAGAACTCCCCAACGCAGCGACTTTCCCTACTGATGAAAAAGCCAAACATGGGTTCGAGGCCGAACCCGTCAAGGAGCAGAAGAAGTGGATTATGAAGGCTGCTAAAGTTACCACCAGACGTGGCGTTAGAGCCTGGCTTTCTAATGCCTGGACCGAATTTGTGGATCTCATCAAGAATGCGGAAACCTTGGATATCATAATCATGGTTCTTGGCTACATCTCGATGCACCTGACATTTGTTTCCCTGTTCGTCTCCATGAGAAGGATGGGGTCAAACTTTTGGCTCTTCGCCACTACGCTTTTCTCCTCGGTATTTGCGTTTCTCTTCGGACTTATTGTAACCACGAAGATGGGTGTACCTCTGAATATGGTCTTGTTGTCTGAAGGACTGCCTTTCCTGGTTGTGACGATTGGCTTTGAGAAGTCGATTATCTTGACCAAAGCTGTTCTCTCAGCTGCTCTCGAAACAAGAAGACCACAACCCCAGGATAGCCCAACATTGAAGGAAGCTGATACTAAGAATAGCGTTTCACCGACATCCATCCAATACGCTGTTCAAGTCGCCATTGGCAAAAAGGGATACGAAATTGTTCGAGACTACGTAATTGAGATCTGTATTCTGGCAGCTGGAGCTGCTTCGGGAGTTCAAGGTGGATTGCAACAGTTTTGTTTCTTGGCAGCATGGATCTTATTCTTCGACTGCATCTTGTTGTTCACGTTCTACACAGCCATCTTGAGCATCAAGCTCGAAATCAACCGGATCAAGCGTCATGTGGAACTTCGTCAAGCCCTTGAAGACGATGGACTCAACCGCCGAGTTGCGGAAAATGTTGCTCAGAGCGACGACTGGCCCAGAGCCGACAAGAGCGGAAACAACGAAACCAATATCTTTGGGCGAAAAGTTCGTGACAGCAGTGTGCCCAAGTTCAAGGTTCTGATGGTTTCTGGCTTCATTATCATCAACATCTTGAACTTGTGCACAATTCCTTTCCGAGGTGGAAAAAGCAATGCCGAGCCACCGACTATGAGTGGACTGTCTGGACAAGGACTATCTAGTGTCATAACAGTACCACCAATGGACCCTTTCAAGGTTGCATCCAGTGGCCTTGACTCTATCTGGGAGACTGCTAAACTCCATGACAAGTCTACTGTTGTGACGGTTCTGACACCAATCAAGTACGAGCTTGAGTATCCATCTGTCCATTATGGAAAGGCAAACAAGAGTCGCAAACCACAGGATTTGCTTGAATCGGAGGCTTCCGGAGCAAGCGATTACGGCATGAGCGGACGCGTTGTCGATAGCTTGTTGAAAAGCTTAGAAGATCCGATATTGTCAAAGTGGATTATCTTCGCCCTTGTGTTAAGCGTTATTCTTAATGGATACCTCTTTAACGCTGCCAGGTGGAGCATCAAAGAAACAATTCAAATGCCACCCCACCACGTTGTTGATGCCGTGGAATTGGACCGGGCCGAGAAGTTCAACAATTCGATGTCTACGCCCGCTTTGAAACTTCCCGCTATCGATCCAGATGCAACCGAGAGAATTAACCCGCCAACTCCAGCCGAAACCGACGATGAGGATGATGCTTTAGTCATGTTGACCAGAGCACAGTACAGGGATGCTCCGCCAGCACTCAGAAGGACACAAGCACAAATGGAACAAATGCTTATGGAAAAGCGAGCTCCTGAGCTTACCGACAGAGAGCTCGTCGAATTGTCCCTGCAAGGCAAAGTCCCTGGTTATTCCCTTGAGCGAACGCTCAAAGACTCAACACGAGCTGTCAAGATCCGAAGAGCAATTATATCACGTACTCCTGCTACATCCGAAACTACAAGCCTTTTGGAAAAGTCTAAGTTGCCGTATGAGCACTACGATTATGATCGTGTTCTGGGAGCGTGTTGCGAGAATGTGGTCGGTTATTTACCATTACCACTTGGTGTAGCAGGTCCAATTGTTATAGATGGCCAAAGCTTCTTCCTTCCTATGGCTACGACGGAAGGTGTCTTGGTTGCAAGCACAAGCCGTGGTTCAAAAGCTATCAACGCAGGTGGTGGATGTGTCACTGTCTTGACAGGCGATGGTATGACTCGAGGCCCCTGTGTTGCTTTCGAGACTCTCGAACGTACCGGTGCCGCCAAGAACTGGCTCGACTCCAAGATTGGCCAGAAAACCATGACAGATGCCTTCAACTCAACTAGTAGATTCGCACGTCTCCAATCCATGAAGACAGCGATAGCTGGCACGAACCTTTATATTCGTTTCAAGACAACCACTGGAGATGCTATGGGTATGAACATGATCTCGAAGGGTGTAGAGCATGCTCTACATGTTATGGCCACAGAAGCTGGATTTTCAGATATGCAAACAATCACTCTTTCGGGCAACTATTGCACTGACAAGAAAGCAGCGGCCATCAACTGGATTGATGGTCGTGGAAAGAGTGTCGTTGCAGAGGCAATCATTCCCGGCGATGTAGTTCGCAAGGTTTTGAAGAGTGATGTTGACGCCTTGGTCGAACTGAACATTGCCAAGAACTATGTTGGTAGTGCTATGGCTGGTAGTATTGGTGGTTTCAATGCCCATGCAGCAAACATCGTCGCTGCTATCTTCTTAGCCACTGGTCAAGATCCTGCACAGGTTGTTGAGAGTAGTAACTGCATCACAATGATGAAGAAGTAAGTAAAACGTCCGAATGTTGATTGAACCTAACTAACATGCTTTAGTCTGCGCGGAAATCTTCAAATCAGTGTTTCGATGCCGTCGATCGAAGTCGGAACTCTTGGTGGAGGTACAATTCTCGAGCCACAGGCAGCTATGCTTGATATGCTTGGTGTTCGTGGATCACATCCAACAAATCCTGGTGATAACTCTAGAAAACTGGCACGGATCATAGCTGCCGGAGTACTTGCAGGAGAATTGTCTCTCTGTTCTGCACTAGCAGCTGGTCATCTTGTACAGAGTCATATGGCACATAATAGAAGTGCACCTGCGACTCGAGCGAATACCCCAGCACCTAGCGGAGCCCAAACACCAGTTACATCTGCATTGACAGCAATGCAAGAAAAGGCAGGACTGGCTATGTCGCCAGCGGCAGCCATGAGAGCTGCGGAAGCGAAGAAATAGGGGTCACCATTGACATGCATCGCAATGACGGAGTTTGGAGGCATTTTCTTACAAGAATCGCTCACATACAGCTGAGTAAACTAATAAGGGTACACAAAGGCCGCGAGGTCCTACAGGCTCGGTCTCAGTCATCTGACTAGATCACAAAGACCTTGTATATATAGACACAGAGCAATAGAATACAACTGTGACTTCGAGACATGGTCTCTATTAAGAACAAAACGTGATTCAGTTTGTAAGGCTCAGCTGAAGTTGCCGCCAATGTAATGTCCCGATGTACCAGTAAATGAGATGTCCTGTTCAGACCGAGTACCAGTGGGAAACTCGCAAAGCAGAATGCCCTTCTGTCCCCGCCCGCGCCCCTGTCTGCCCCCGCTCTGAAGAAATGTAAGCGCACGTGACTCAGCCAGGCGGTGGAGATGAATATTCTGCCGAAGCTAAACCCAAAAGAATTATCGACCTTCCAGAGCTTTCGGTTCGTTGGTGGTTGTCTGATTCAATAATTGACATTCTTTTACTTTGGGCTTTTCCTGACAACTTTAATTACAAAAAACCATTTCAAGACCAGATCTATCAACCATGGCGGACGAACTCAAAGCTCTTGGCAACAAGGCGATTGCTGAAAAGAACTTCGACGAGGCTATGTAAGTATTCTGTTTACTTTCAGTGCAGAATCGAGGTCGTTTTCCCCAGAAACATGTGCTGATACACTATGATTATCTAGTGACAAGTTCTCGCAAGCTATCGAGCTGAAGCCAACAGATCATATTCTGTACTCGAACCGATCGGCTGCCTATGCGTCGAAGAAGGATTACGAGAATGCGCGGAAGGATGCAGAGAAAGTCACAGAGATCAAGCCGGACTGGGCGAAGGGTTGGGGTCGACTGGGTACGGCGAAACATGGCTTAGGCGATCTGGTTGGCGCTCTGGATGCGTATGAGGAGGGTGTGAAGTTGGATCCTACCAATACGCAAAATAAGAACGGTGTTGCTTCGGTCAAGCGTGCGATTGAGGCGGAGGCTAGGGAGGGTAAGTTGGAGTCTTATTATTCCTATCTGTTGGAGCTATTCCTAACTGTCTTGTAGATGGTGTCACTGGCAATCCTCTGGGCGGTAGTTTTGGCAGCATTTTCAAGGACCCGCAACTCATTCAGAAGCTTGCTGCGAATCCCAAGACGAGCAAATTCCTCGGCGACCCAAGCTTCATGATGAAGATCCAGCAGATGCAGAACGGTACTGGTGGCGCCCAGGATATGTTGCAAGATCCCAGAATGCTTCAAGTTCTAGGTGTTCTCATGGGAGTTGATATTAACATGATGGGTGCTGATGGTGGTATGCCTGATTTCGGAGGTGAACCAGGCTCTGCTTCAAGAGAAGCTGAAGAAGATGTCCCAATGCCAGATGCTCGTCCAAGCTCCTCAAAGCCGGAAAAGGCACCAGAGCCCGAGCCAGCACCAGAGCCAATGGACGAGGAGGCTGCTGAGAAGGCAAAGGCTAAGGCAGCTGCTGAAGAGGAGAAGAAACTTGGTACGGAGAACTACAAGAAGAAGAATCTCGACCAAGCTATCATCCACTACAGCAAGGCCTGGGAGCTGTATAAGGATATCACCTACCTCAACAACCTTGCAGCTGCCTACATGGAGAAGGGAGAATACGATGAAGCCATCAATGCCTGTGAGAAGGCGGTCATAGAAGGCCGAGAGATCTACGCCGATTTCAAGATCATCGCCAAATCCTACGCTCGTATCGGTACATGTTACGAAAAGAAAGGTGATCTTGCCAAAGCAGTCGAGAACTACCAAAGATCTCTCACCGAGCACCGAACTCCAGAAGTGGTCACCAAGCTCCGCGCCGCCGAGAAGAACAAGATCGAGGGTGCAAGACAAGCTTACATCGACCCCGAGAAAGCTGAAGAAGCCCGTGAGCTCGGTAACGCCAAGTTTAAGGAGATGGATTGGCCTGGTGCGGTCGCGGCGTACAGCGAGATGGTTAAGCGAGCTCCTGATGATCCACGAGGATACAGCAATCGTGCCGCGGCGTTCATCAAGCTTCTTGAATTCCCGAGTGCGATTGATGACTGTGCTCAAGCCATCAAGAAGGATCCTAAGTTCATTAGAGCTTATCTGAGGAAGGCCCAAGCTTATTTCGGCATGAGAGAATACTCGAAGTGTCTGGATGCTTGTACGGAGGCTACGGAGGTGGATGTCACCAAGGCGAACGCGAAGGAGATTGAGCAACAACAGCAGAAGGCTTTGAGTGCTATGTATAGTGCGCGAGAGAACGAGACGGAGGAACAGACCAAGGAGAGGATTATGAAGGATCCTGAGGTATGTTTTCCTTCAATATTTAGTGGAGATGGCTAACGAGGAAATAGATCATGGGTATCATGCAAGATCCAATCATGCAATCCATCCTCCAGCAAGCACAATCCGACCCAGCTGCTCTGCAAGAACACATGCGGAACCCTGGCGTCAGAGACAAGATCCAACGTCTCATTGCAGGTTAGTCTTCCGTCCTGTCTTCCTTTTCCCACACACTAATGAAAAAAAATAGCTGGCGTGATCCGTGTTGGCAGATGAGCGATCTAAGAGCTCGGGATCAACATAACGGCTACGAGAAAGAGATAACGGTAAGACATAGCAAGGCAAGATTCAATAAATGGCTAATGTTTTCCGGTCTGGATCGAGGAGATGTACTTTAGGTCTTGCTGAGTTTTTAGCGTAGTCGTTAATCAATGCATTGCGGTGGAAACTTTCTCCCTATTCTATACTGTTCTGCTCTTTGTTCCGTTTTACTGCCGTGCTCACTAAAGCCACCACCGTCATACAAATCAGTCGTAGCCCAATTCGCACTTCCCAAATTTCACGCCTCCTGTGAATAACTCACCCGATCTACCTAATCTCTAGCAGGAATCACTTCAATGCAACTTGCTTCTGTGAAGACTACCTGTTCCGAAACTCAGATGGCTTCAAAACGGGAGTATGTCTCTGCAATGTCCTTCTTTAGTTGAGTGGCATTCGATCGTGCTTGTGGATCATGGTTAAGTATTTTCTCCGTGAGAATCTCTCTTGACACACCGGATGCATGTACACAGTCTCGGAATTCGCGAGATTCCCAGAATCCCTCGTATTCCTGATCCTGCACAGTGGGGATTGTCCAAGGCCTTCGACCTGTCGTCAAGGTAATGAGCAAAACGCCAAGGGACCATATATCGCTGGGAGCCAACTTGTACGGCATTGGAGTTTCCGTGTCGTTGTTGTATGAGGCGTAGCATTCTAAAAAAATGTTTAGTACTCAAGTCCAATGCTTGACTTAGTTTGAGTAAGAAAATTGTTTACCAGGGCTCATGAAGGGCATCGTCCCACATCCTTTGAGCGAGATCTGCTCACGGGTAGCAGTGCTGAAGTTTGAAAGTGCGACCTGCGAGCCTCTCATTACTATATTCTCTGGCTTGAGGTCTCGATCTAGGTCGAACAGTCGGTGTCAGCAGGATTTGGGTGAGTGTGACAAATAACAGATGGGCCAGTAACGTCAAAGCTGTGACCAAAGGCATTAAAGAAAAGAGGTACTGACGATAGATTCCACGGCCATGACAGAATTCCACACCCTTGAGAATCTGACTGAATGTGTTTCTGATTTCCTCCCTGGTCCCCAACCCTCTGTCCCGGATAGCCGTCCATAGATCACCGTCAGGGAAATACTCCAAAACGATGTTCCAAGTACTAGCAGACTCGATAACCCTAAACAGAGAGACTACATTTGGGTGCGCTCTGAGGTCGAAAAGAATATCGACTTCTAACAAATGTTGCGATCTTTGTTGGGAAGTTAACGGTTTACCCTTGTTGTGCTTTGTACGGTTTTTGACCACGCATCCTGATGCTGGTTTGACAACCAGCAGCTCATCGAATGTTTCGAACAAGCTACTGGTTGGGGCCTCTCTGCTATAGTTCTTAGCGTCAGATCCGGATTCAATCTCTTCGAAAGATAGTTTGTAGTAGTCGAGATTTTTGAATTGATGTTTGATTGCAAAAGCCTTAAAAAGGGCTTCTTGTTCTTTCTGGTGTTGAGCTTGATCGATAACAGGTGGCGTCGGCAGAGGATGTCTGGGAATTAGCTGTTGTTGTTCGTTCCGAGGGTGTCCGTAAGGAGATCTGTATGGCGTCTGTGCCTGGGTGCTATGTAGAGCGTGAGCAGCGACGGTCTGTGCTTGTTTTGCTATCTGCGATTGAGCAGCCATCATTGTGCGGTGCATGCGCTCGGATTTCTCTTTACGTGCGGTGGTGAACCATTCGGCTATTTGCGCTATTCAAAGACAGAATCAGTGAAATAATTAATAAGATATAGCCACGTAGAAGGAGACTAACACTTCTGCAAACCCGTCAGCCGCATCAACTCCATCTCCTCGCGTTCTGTGGGACAAGGATTTGTAAAATGGCTCTTGAAGTACTCTATCAGTATAGCTGTAGCGTCTTCCGGAAGATTTTCCCATTTCCTCTTATGATTTCCTTTCGTGACATTGCCACCCTTGGCCGCGAGAGCCGGAGAAATCTTGTTTGGGACTTGAGTCGTCGGACCACGAGCAGCTTCCCTGTCATGAGGCCTTGGCACCTCTTATAATTAGAAGTTAGCATTCAGACATCCCTTGATGATTGTATGCCCTGACGGCAGGTTGTGTTGGGAGTCTTAAAGAGTGGTCATGGAGACTACCAGAGCTCTCGAAACCCTTCCAGAATGTTCGCTCTCGTCCTTAAGTATGCGTCTTTCCAACCCATCTTCCATTCTAGAACAAAGAGAATGATCCTTACCTTGTGAGTTGTTCAATAGATATGAGATTGACGACTTCTTGGCGGCGTGCTGACTCGAAAGAGGAGGATCCATCGTAATTATGAGTGATTTCGAAGTCCAACGCAGAAGCAATGCTAGAATAAACTCTGATATTCTTGAAGTAAAATATGCCACTGTGAAGTTGAGTGATAGTTGTTTCGCCTCAAAAAACTCTAGAATTGTTAACTTGACTGCTCTTTCTATTAAGGAAGCTGCGACTTACTATGCTCATTCTTCTGGCCACTTCCCTTTCCATATTCGGATACAGCAGCACCACTCCTTCCTTCCTGTTCTATCAACGCAATTACGAAGCACTCCTTGTATGAATTTCACCAACGAAACAAGTCGGCTGCAATGAGCAAATCATTCATATTCCGCCTATAGCTAACCGCCAGAGGTGAATACACTCTACAATACATACCACCTGCCATCCATTTCGGAAATATCTTCTTTCCATCCATCAAGACTCCAAAGGAAAAGAGAATCGTCAAAAGGGGTATGGACTAACTCCTCAAAGCTTCAACTTTTCCTGAAACCATTTCTCTGCAACAGCAACTGCCTCCGCGATCTTGTCGGGATTGGTGCCTTGACCAGTTCTGGTAGGCTCCTTTCCTCCTGATCGACCACCTACGACTTCTGAAACAGCGGCAGCCCAGTGCTCAGCAGTAACGCCTTTGGACGCGTGTTCCTGCAGAAGTTAGTTCCTACTCAATTATTATTGGAAAGATACTTACAGTGCCAACATAAACGCCATGCACAACGGCCCCTTCAGTCTCACTGCCTCCGAACAAGTAGATAGTCTTGTCCTTAGCCTTGCTCTTGAAGTGGTTCATGACATCTGCAATTGCTCTAGCATTGGCAGAGATTGGAAGCTGACCAATATACACCTTGCTCTCCTTGTTGTCTGGGTGAGCAAAGTGGCCAGTTACGGTGTCAATCGCAGTCTTTGACTCTGCCTTTTGCTTTTTCTTCTGCTCGTCCAAGACATCTTTCTGGACCTTAGCGAAGCGTGCCTTGAGATCTTCCTTCTGAAGAGTCGAAACAGTGAGCTGATTCAGGTCATTCTGAGTTATCTTGACCTCCGCCTCTTTCTCGGGACCATGAGGCATGCTGTCGAGTTCGGTGATTCTCTTGCCGAATTCGATAGCGAGGCGCTGAACTTCGTGTGCAGCATCACCAGTGTAAGCAATGATACGTCTGATACCTTTTGCAATGCCACTCTCTTCAACAATGACAAGGTCCTTGATCAGACCAGTTTTGTCTACATGAGTACCACCACAAAATTCAACACTGACTTCACGCCATTTCGGGTTCTTTGGGTTCTCGAGAAGCTCGTCGACCGGCACACCAACTGAGACGACACGAACAGGATTAGGGTAGGTCTCTCCGAACACAGCACGTACGCCTTCGATGCCTTTTGCAGTATCAAGATCAACGTCCTTGGCATAGATCTCGCAATTTTGCTTGATATATGCGTTTGATGAGTCTTCGATCTTCTTCAGCTCTGCCAGAGTGACTTGAGCCTTATGCGAGAAATCGAAACGCAGCTTCTCCTGGTCAACAAGTGATCCCTTCTGGTTGACATCATCGCCAAGATGTTCTCTCAGAGCGTGATTGAGAATATGAGTTCCAGTATGATTGTTGCGGATTGGCTGTCTTCGAAGCTCGTCATATTCGCAGATGACCTCGTCTCCAGCCTTCAGATGACCATACTCAAGGTAACCATTGTGAACAATATATCCACCGTAAGCTTGGACATCCAATACCCTAAACTCGGCAACATCATCGATGACCATCTTTCCGGTATCAAAGACTTGACCACCTTGCTCTGCATAGAAGTTGGTCTTGTCTAACAGAATTCCGAATGGTTTGTCCGATGGAAGACCCTCGGTAGATTTCAAGAAGTCCTTTCCGTCGTAGATAACTTGAATCTTGCCGAGACTATCGCCTTTGAAGAACTTTGCATCATCATTGGGTCTTGTTACGCCAATCTTGTCGAGTTCGGCAATTTGATGTACATCCAACTTGGCAAATGTATGTGCAGCCTCCTTGACGGACTTGCTGGCCTCACGAGCCTTGTCTTGCGCAATTCTGATCTCGGCATCATCTGTCTCGAGTCCTCTCTCCTCGGCCATGATCTTTGTCAAATCCTCGGGGAATCCGAAGGTGTCATACAGTCGCCATACATCTGCACCGGAAAGCTTCTTGGTGTTATTCTTCATGGCGTAGGCAGCGTACTTCTCGAACATCTTCTCGCCACGATCTAATGTTCTTGCGAATGCCTCTTCTTCCTCATCCAGAATCTCCTTAACATCTTCTTGCTTCTTGACAATCTCCGGGAACTGGCCTCCCATTTGTTCCACGAGGGCAGGTAAAATCTTAGAGAAGAAACTGCCAATCTCAGCGTTGAAGTACTTGCGAGCATAGCGGGAGCCACGCCGTAATACTCGACGGACTACATATCCTCGTCCTTCGTTGTTTGGCACACCTCCATCCGAAATGGCGAAGGTTAGTAAACGAATATGATCTGCAATAACACGGTATGCAGTGTCAATGCCGTCAACATCATCTTTTCCATACTTATCGGTGTATGGTCTGGCCTCCGTAACCTCTTGGATCTTGGCGAATAGGGGGTAGAAGACATCGGTGTCGTAGTTTGAGGACTTGTCTTGCAGTACTGATACCAATCTTTCAAAGCCCATACCCGTGTCGACATGCTTTGCAGGCAACGTCTTCAGTGACCTGTCCTTCTGTCTATCGAATTGGATGAACACATTGTTCCAGATTTCGAGGACATTGGGATCATCCTGGTTGACTAAGTGGGCAGCATTTCGGCCACCTCCTATCCTGTCGTAATGGACTTCACTGCAAGGTCCGCAAGGTCCTTGGTCACCCATCTCCCAGAAGTTATCCTTCATGTTGCCGGGTAATATGTGGTCGTCCTTAACACCAACGCTCTTCCATAATTCCTTAGCCTCAAGATCTGGTTCCAGACCTGCAGCAGAATCGCCCTCGAAGTAGGTCACATAAAGTCTGTCGGGGTCCAGGCCATAGACTTTCGTCAGAAGCTCCCATGACATCTCAATTGCTCCTTGCTTGAAGTAATCACCAAAAGACCAGTTACCCAACATCTCAAAGAAGGTCTGTGACTCATGTCAGTGAGGGCTTGAATCTGGATTAAAATTGCAACTTACGTGGTGATAGCTGTCTTTTCCCACATCATCGAGATCCTAGAGCCCAACTGATTAGCTACAGCTAGCCTTGCTTGCATTATCTCCTTACATTATGCTTTCCTCCAGCACGAATACACTATTCCAATTAGCTGTTGATTCTCATCTGGCAATATTTCATTGACCATACTTTCTGGGTGTCCACCGCACGCTTCAATTGTGCCATATCATCCGTCTTGCCAACTGTCCCTAAGAAAATAGGCTTGAACTGGTTCATTCCAGCATTGGTGAAGAGAAGAGTCGGGTCATTGTGGGGTACCACAGAGGACGATGGGACTGCAGAGCTCAAAGATCAGCAAAAACTTCATATAAAAGCATAAAAAACCAGTTCATAATGTCCGTAGATTCCCATTGAGCTTCCAGAACCGCCTCAATAATCCAAATGAAATTTCAAGAGCTTGCAAAAAATTACCCCGCCACGTACCTATAGTATGAGCCTTCCCCTCGAAATACTCCAAGAACGTCTTCCTAACCACCGTCGCCGTCCATTTCGAATGTTCGCCCGTCATGCTGACCATAGACCTGTATGCCAATAGGTGCGTTGAGATATTTGGTGTTGCGCGCGTGCTTCGAATTCCAAACCGCGTCGCTGTGGAAAGCGTCTCGGTTTTGTAGAATATTCGGTGACTCAGGCCCGCGAATCTGCTGCTGCTCAGACTTCCCCCTCGCAGATTCATCCGCTCCGTACTTCGCACCACCAGAAATCCTTTTTCGACTTCGATAGTCCTGATAGGTCGGTACGCTACGCGAAACGAATTGCTCTTTGGGCTGTTATCAATTGCGACGGCACAGCTGCTCGAGATTGGAGGATAGGAGGAGTGAGGGATAGGTCGGGAGGGAGTAATTTGGAGGGATGGGAGATGGACCGCGTACAAGCGACAGGCAAGATCAGGAAAAGAAAGGCAGAAACTCAAGACAATGAGCGCCTATCGAAGAGATTGGCTCTTCTGAACCTAGGTTTGCATTCTACATTATTAATTGTTGTATATATGTTCCTAATTGCCCAGCAGAACGCAATGGAGAGAAGCTCTACGTTCCAGTCGAAGAGCCTCAAGCTCAGCTGTCACCACCCATATCTACGAAACCAAAGTCTCCAGCACAAGCACCAATACAGCTCGAAGATGATATTATGCAATTAGATAATACGAAGCACAAAGTCTACATTTACGATCTGGACGCCGAATTATCAGACAGCGAATCCTCGGACGATGGCAAGCTCGTCTTCCTCCCAGATATCGAGAAGCACCTTCGAGAATCACGAATACCACCGTCGGTCCTAGCCAATAGCGAAGGCGAGTTAGCAGGAATGAACAATCAGCTGGTTCTGTACAACATCCCCAGCTCTCTGACGATTCCCGAGGAGCAGGATAGTGTTCGGAAAGCGATTATTGAAACAAGAGCTCGAGCACGGGCAAAGCACGACCAGAAACGGAACGAAGATACCCGGCAAGCTCAGACGGACCTTGCAGCAAATGGGACCATAGATGCTCGTGATTGGTATAATCATATGGTCAACACACACGCAAATACATCTGGCATGCCTTCAGCAATAGGAAATTTACCTGTGGCATCCGCTGCCAACGATGAAATGATGGCAGATGATCCAGATGCAATGGATTTGGGCTGAGATCAAAGACATAGGAGATATGTTACGAGAAAGAAATAATGAAGTGGAAGTACCCATTCTTCAAGTCTTCTTGATCGTGTGTCTATTCCTGATAGTACATGAGTTGCCTGCTCTAGGCGTGGTGTATTGTTTCTCCAGAAACGTTAAGGATCTCCATTACTCCTGCTTGTAGCGCATTACAAATGATATCAATCTGCCAACTCGCTATTCCGAATTCCATCCATCCTCCACATATTTACAATCTATATGGGTTGTTGCTTGTGGTGCTGGCACCGGTGTGGTCTGCATGAAGGGCGGACGCTGGAGGAGGTCCTGCTGGAGCTTCGTACGCTGGAGAGGCCTCGCCAGATTCTTGTGGTCTTCGAGTTGGCTGAGATCTCCATTGTGAAGGATCGACCTTCGTTGCTCCCTCAGGTGGTTGATAGGTAGGAGGCATTGGTGCATTGGGGTCGTACATTGGCGGTGGCATTGCATGCATGCCATACTGAGTGCCCTGGTGTGGTCTATAGAAGACCTGTGGGTTCTGGTATGCTGGGTCGAATCTTGCTCTTTGTTGTCTGTTGAGCAGCCACTATATATAATTAGCTGGCGTCCCTACCAAGTGAAGGGGAGAGGACCGCGTACTCTGTGATATGCCAGAGGTGCAAGACCCTTATTGATCCTTCTCTTTGCGTGCCAGTACCCAATAATCATATATGCCAGGAAAAGAAAGAAGATGCCAAAGAAGATTGACCATCTGACAATTTGTCCCGTCTATCAATCTAGTCAGTAACAAATATAACCCAATCTGATACCAGATACGTACTCTCGTCCACCAGAATGATCTCTGATCATCATAAACAAACTCCGGATCATTACCCTCGAAATTCTGTCTTGCCCGCAAAATCGACATCGTGATTATCGTGTAGTGGTGCTCTCGATCTCAATCTCGTGCCAAAAAAGATGTATTCTCGTTCTTCAATCAACAAAGGAATGTATACAACGCGCTTCTCTCTTCTTCAAATTATCGAATCTATCTGTAACCCGTCAATTCAATCAAGAAAGAAAAAAGAGAGATGCAGCTTGGCTTTAGAGACACAGATTGCGAATTCTGAAGGAAGGTGGCGGTGCCTAGGGGATTGTGATGCTCGAACCTGCTACAGCACTGTTTCAGGAGTATCGTAACTCGTCAGAGATCCTGTCTCGATCCGACCTATCAGCAGCGGGACGGTGGCAAACTTCCCTATTTCAGTATGGTGTTGCGAGGCAATGGAATGGTGGCGAGGATTTCTTCAATGATGAAAACGTCTTCTTTATTTTTCTAGGAATGTGTGATGTCTACAATTCGGCCGTAAAAATATTCCTCGGTTTTCTACTGAAACCATTTCCATTGTCGAGGAAACGGATACGCCGTGCTGCATGTTCGCGAGGGAAGAGCCGCTGCTAACTGCCTAAGCCGCAATAATACCCCTGACTATCACACGTGAATCTTACTTCGGTACAAGGCTAAGCCGAAAAAGGAGGCCATATCAACAGTCATTATGAACACAGTAAATTGTATTTATGTGACTATCCATCTATGGGACATATGAATTCTCTCGCGTCGGTTGCGGTATCCTCCACTTGCATTGCCTCCAAGCAAGCCTCATGATAGATGTGTCGGCAGGCCAGGACAACCAATGGACCCAGGTCAACCTTTGCATCATCTTGATCACTTCTCTGCTCATCCTCCTCCCCTTCTCCGGCTGGGGCGTTTAAAGCTCCCTTGCCTTTGGCCTTCATTACATCAGTGATACTGACTTTACTTGTATTTCGAACATGTGCTCGGCCTTTGCCTCGCTCGACTTGACCTCCTGCCTGTGCAGCCCTTCTTTCTTTCCGTCGTTTAGTGTCCAGCTCTTCTCTTTCTTCCCATTTCGAGAAGATATCACCAGAGACACCTGGACCCCATACTCGACGTCCGCAGCCCTCGCAAGTTGAGCCTCGTGGTCTCCAACCTCGCTGGCGGAGGTTTGTCGCTTCGGCCACATTGACGAACAAATCCTTGTCGAGCAATCGATTCGCAAGACTTAGGATGCTCTCTTCATATGCGTACGCAGAGAACACAGACGCAAGGACAGCTCGTAGATCGCCTAAGTTGGGTGATGAAACTGATGCTCGAGTGAGAAAAGCTCGAAGGATCCTCAGGAACGACAAATTCAAGCCAGACGGTGTTGGGCTAGATGTTGCTGTAAGCAATGCTGTAAAGCTGCGTTGAACCAATGCCCGCAACTGAAAAAGAAGCTTCTCGTGGTCGATGTCTGTTCTACCCTCCAAGTCGCTTATACCAGCGGACAGATTTCGAGTGATTTGTACGACAATGTCGATGAGATCTAGCCACAGGGTTTCTTCAGGCAAAAGGTCGCCCTTAAAGGTGGACTTCCGCCGGATTGTAGGACTTAAGATTCGCGAAGTGTGCATCGACACCTGCCCTACACAAAGCCAGACTCCAACATCTGTGTATCGCTTCAAGGCTGCTAGCAGGTCTTCCATTGCGGACTCCGCTTCAGTTGATCCACCTTCTTCTGTCGAATGGTTCAACAGACCAAGCAGTGCACTTTCCAACGTCTTCAGATGTTGTACTAGACGATCCATAGCTTCTCGTAGTTGTCCTTCTCGTGCCATTAGGATTACGGCTGCATCGATAACTCCACTATCTTCCATGTATGGCAGGACTTTATCGAGACGTAAATCGCTCGCCTGGACTAGCTCCACATATGCCGCAACATGTGAAGAGTCGTACTTACACATGAGTTGCACGTATCTCTCGGTGAAGGCAGAGTGTGACGGATGAGCTGCATCCTCGGCATCCTTCGCGGTTGGTTCCAAGATAGTGTGCAGGTAAGTGTACTGCAGTTCGGAATCGTCTGGCAGCGACTTAAGAAATTTTTCGTGGAGTGAGGTAGCATAAGACTCAATGGTTTGAGCCGTCCTGGTAGCGTCCAGATGAATGAGATCGCTGGCATGGGCTTCAATGACCTCGTGCACATCTCGAACCTGACGTTTGGTCAAGCCCGATCGCGGTCGCAAGCAATCGGCTATACAATCGAAAACAGCTTCGCGATCATCCGGATCATCGAAGTATGTTTGAACCAGCTTGCTGAATTGCTTGTCGGACTTGTAAATGCTCTTCAAGACTCTGTAAAATCCTGCTTTCTCAAACAGTGACATCAGTGACTCGAGATCTGGAGGATGGTAGACGGAGAGCAAGTACTCGGCGCTCAGTTGTGCATCATCAGCGAGATCATCGCCAGGATAGTTGCACAATCCAGCTAAGACCCTATGTAAGGCCGTCCCGGAAAGCAATAAGTATTGCGGAAATTTAGGTAGATTTCGCGCAATAAACATGTCGAGGTAGATCGTGTCCTCGGTAGCAAAGTCATTAGGATTCATGACTTCTAGCAATATCGTAATGATATATTGCCTATTTATTGAGAGCCCAAAGACATGTTCTTCTGACATGTTACGGCTAGAGCCTCCATTTACAGCTCGGTCTGGCGTGTCATTGAGAAAGGAGTCTTCGAATGCTTCGTTAAGCGAGCTCAAGAAGCTTGGAGCATCGAACTTGAGTATCATCCGCAGATATGGGAAGGAAGGTTCATGTTCGTGAGTAGGCTGAGTCAAGAATGGGTTACCAGTGTTCTTGGGCCAAGTGATAGTCCTGCCAGAGAAAATAAACCAATAGAGCTCTGCTTTAGCGTTCATAGCGTCTTGGTCTTCTAGACTCTCACCTGTCGGGTACACCCGGCCGGTAAAGGTGTATGATAGATAAGGGAACATCTTCAGCGCATTAACGCCAAAAATAGGATCTTCCATCACATTCCCGTTCGTAAAATAGTCACCATTCTGCACAAGGGGTATCAAAAGCGACAAAAGATCGATGAGTGGCGTTATGTAATCATGAAGGGCTTGGTTCCAGACGTAAATTAGTGCATCGTATAGGTTGTGCTGCTTGAAGAGAGTCGTAACTTGATCAATGTCGAGTGTCATGGTTTCCATGTGGCAAATCATCTCTTCTAAGCGACTTTCAAGTCCCTTGCTCACATAGTAGCTGACCATGGATTTGACGACTGTTGGAGGGATGGAAACAATGCGCTTCTCAAGGATGTGAGGTTCGAGTGTCTCCAGAAAAATGCCTTCCGAGTCTCCGTCCTCGTACCATTCATAGGCTTCGTCAAAGAGAAAGTCGATGTCTCCGATACTGAGGCAAGCTTCAAAGCAGGCTTCCGCCAAGTCTTTAAGATGATTGTCATCAGTAGTTGTAGACTGCTTTTGTCGTTGGCCGAAGGCAAACTTCAAGGAGGCTGTCATGATTTCGAGCAACTTGTCTTGGACCATCGAATGTCGTAGAGAAGTATCTTCAGGTAAGCCAATAGTCAGCTTGTCTGCTGCTCCGGTGTAGTAGGAAGTCGCTAGCTGAATTGCACCAATATAGTCGCCATCTTCCATCAACGCAATCAAGCGATCTGCCCAATTCGATAGCGTCCCAATAGAGATGTCATTGAAACCAAGAAGAAACATTCGGCTCTTGTACGCTTTGAAGCTCATGTAAAAGGCGTCCGCCACAACACCATGCATCGACGGATCCTCCTCATCAAGCTGCTCAACTAACGTGTGCAGCTGGTTCGAGAACAAATCTTGATGATAGATATGCTTATGAGCCAGGTCGAAAGCGTCAGTCATCCGCATACTACCATCTTCAAGTATAATCAATCGCTGAGTGATCGTAAGAACTGACAAGACAGACCGACTAAGCCATTGAACTGCAACAATAGCTTCCTCCGCTTTCCATCTGCTCCTTGGCTTGAAAGATAGACTTGAAGGTTTATCTTTGTTTGAAGACTCGAACTCGTCGACATCCAGAACAGTCAAGACATTTGACCAACAGTATACGAGCTTCACTTTCGAAACATCACTCCCTGTTTTTGGATCCCGCACTTTTAATTTGACTGCTGGGAACCATGCTAGACATCCACTTAGCGCACTGTGAGCAGCAACTTCTTTTGGCCGAGCAGCTTTGTGCTGAGTTTGGGCTATGGGAGTCGTAGAGACGATAACCAGCAGGTACGGGGTCAACATGGCAGTAAGACCCAGGGTGTCCGTCCCTCGCTCAACATTACCAAGAGGTAACGGAGCAAATGCAAGAACCGTGCTCGGTTTCCGCGCTTTTCCTGATGTTGGAACATCATTAGGATATCGACCTAGAATCCGAGTGGTCTTAACAGTACGACCAAGAGCGCCAGTGCCTCTGGTAGCAAGATGAGAGAAGGCCATGCCTCGATCATCAGCTGAGACAAGTGCGGTATGCCTAGTACCTAGAAACCCTAGATGTCCAATTGCTACATTGGGAACATGACCATCAAGAGTTCTGTTGATCATCTGCGCTGGCTCCAGGCTAGGTATGTGTAGAAATGGGCGAGCTGCCTTTGCGGTCTCCCAAGTGAAGATGCTACCATTAGCATGCCCCCCGGCAACAATGAGATGATCTGCCGAAATAGCAATTGATGTTATGGCACCAGATTCCACAGCTATGTCAGTTAGCATAGCTCCAACTCAAGCAATAAGAGAACCCACCCTTGGTACCAGGCCCTATTATTGATTTGAGGTTTTGATGGTAATCAAAAATTAAGATTATTCCTTTGGATGTTCCCAACACTATAGATGCAGAGACTGATATACACGTCGGCACGCCGAAATTGCGTCTGCCAACTTCAGAAAACGCTTGCCCGTTCATTTTCTTGAGCTTTGTCCATCGTACAACTTCCCATGGTGGAGACGGGGTGTCGGTGTCTCCGGGATCTGGTGTAAAGTGGCTGGTAAGAGATGCATTGCGGGAATGTCCCTTGAGAAGTCCGGGCGAGGAGGGGCGAGGGACAGAGAGGGTAGAGCTCGAAATTCGAGATTGGAATCGTCTGTCGAATGGTCGAAATGATGGGGTGGGACTTTCGAGGCCGGGTCTCGAGGCAAGTGAAGGTCGTATACTACTTCCACCAGGAGAAGATACTTGGGAGCCCTATCAGGATGTTAGTAGAGAAAGCTATACGAGGACGGGCAACGTACCTGCACAGAGGGGGAATCATCTGGAACAGAAAGCAATGAGTCTATGGGGCTTCCGGTCCTCCTGGGTAGGGTATCTAGTGAGCCATCTTCAGAAGCGCTTTCTAGCTGCTGGGCAGCCTTGTATCGATTGACACCATTGCCTAACTGTTGTGGTGTTGAGGCGCCCTCTCTTGCCTCCTGAAGTAAATCCGAGATGCGACCCGCAACTGGAGATGGCCCATCCTCAGCATCTGCTACATCCTCCGTTCCATTATACGTATCTCCATTGATTGTAGCCTCCTCCGCACCGCTATCGTTTTCCTCGGAAGAGTCGCTCATTTAGAATGGTTCATGGCTCCACTTGTGGTATTCGTCGATGCGCCGAAGTGCGTAGACTCATGAGAGCTTCGTATTTCAAGATACCATCAAGTTTAATTCAAAGAACTTCCATCCAAGTCTCTCACGGTGGTGATCCGTGAGTCGTCGAAGCTCCAAAGGTTGCTGGTTAGTGTTGATAGGAGCTAGCCTTGGGTCCCGGCCTCGTCTGCTCTATCCAAGCATTCGCTTACAATCGGCGACGATCAGATGTCAAGCTCAAGACTCTCCAAGGTTGATTGCGATTGAATATCTGAAAACAAATTCACAAATCAGAACAATACACGACTATACAATTCAACGACGGACGACCGGTCAAAGGAACTCGTGTTGGTGTCACGTCCTGTCCAATACGGCGCAGTTATTATTCTGCAGCCTGGTTTCGGATCTTGCCGAGCTTCCAGGAATACATTTTGAGAACATCCAAACACGGTTCTGCTACACTAAACACAACTCGAACCACCACGATTCCTCAACCAATTCTCCAAGCAATGCCTTCAGTAAGCCCCGAACTGCCTCCTCATCTGGCAAAGCGGAAACGCTCCATAGACGAAGACGAAGACCCAAAGTCTCCGCCTCGAAAAGTTGTAGCAGCCACAGCTCCTCGAGCAGTTGGACCCTCTCTGCCGACCCAAGCAGCAGGGCCAACACTACCACCAAGCAAGAACCCAGATGGGCTCAACGTAGAAGATAGCTCAGACGATGACTACGGACCATCTCTCGGCCCCTCAAAGCCGTCTACAAAAGCTCCCAGTCCACCTCCAAAACGAGTCCTAGGACCCACGCCACCACCAACCACCAACCCAGACGAACTCAACCTCGACGACGACGATAGCTCAGACGATGGCTACGGACCCTCTGTCCCAACCTCAGAACCAAAATCCGCTGCCCCAAAGCGCGTCCTAGGTCCCGCCTTACCACCAGCCCCCCTCTCGGAACGTCCCTCCCACCCCGCGAATCCAGACGATTCCTCCTCAGACTCCGACTCCGACTACGGGCCCTCCCTCCCCCCCGCCCCCGGCTCAGCAGCAGAAACCGCCCTCCTCCAGCAAAAACAACAAGAAGCCGCCCATGCATCCTCTCTCGCCCAAGCCGGGCCCCCAAAACCCCAACGCGACGACTGGATGCTCGTCCCCCCCTCCGACAGCGACTGGAGCACCCGCGTCGACCCAACGAAACTCAAGAACCGCAAATTCGCCTCTGGAAAAGGAGCCAAGGCGCCCGCAGAAAAGAGCGGGATATCAGCCATCTGGACCGAGACGCCGGAGCAGAAACGGCAGCGTCTTGCGGACGAGGTTCTTGGTCGCTCTTCTAGCTCCTCATCCTCAAAGATGGCGAGCTCGAAGCAGCCGAGGTCTGAGGAGGAGGTCGCGACGGAGAGGAGGATTAGGGAGTACAATGAGCGGAATCGGGGGAAGAGTTTACTTGATGTGAGGAGGGATGAGCAGGAGAGGGGACGGGTGGAGAAGGAAGAGGAGGATGATCCGAGTAAGCGGGGTTTTGATCGGGAGAAGGATATGGCGCTTGGGGGGAGGATGGGGCATGTGAAGAAGAAGGAGATGCTGGAGCGAGCGGCGGATTTTGGGACCAGGTTTCAGAGGGGGAAATATTTGTGATAGAGTGTTCTATTCTGAATACCACTTGATTGAGTTTGCCTATGTTTCTTTCTTTCTTGCTTTCAATGCTACTCACTGATCCGTCCATCCACCGGAAGTATCGTATCACTCCCCGTCACCAACCAATACCATCACTCTCAAAACCACCTCGCTACACCCTCTTTCAACCTACCTATCTACCCATCTTCCCAGAAACCCAAAAAATAAACAGATCACACTACACACACGAGGCCGACAGGAATGATACTACACGGTCGCATATTGTTTATACATCAACTATGGAGTTATTTTATACCATTCCAGAGTTCAAGGAACAATATGAGTAAAGTAAGTGTGACTCAAAATGTGAAAAGATGAACGTCTATCTCCAAGAGGTCACTTGTTTTTCCTGCGTAGACGTGTCAGATATTATTATTCTGTTTTGAAAGCGTAGCGAGTGGGTATTTTTGATATACAGTATATCTCGTTGGTCATGAATAGCTTGCATTGCAAGTGCGCGGTTTATGAATAGCTGGTATTAGAATACGTTGTTGAAATGTGGCTTCGAGGATGAATGTGTAGATGTAGATGTACTCTTCTCACTTAGCGACGCATTAAGGGGAGTAAGTAAACCACCCCGACTCACAGATCCAAGACTCGTAGCAACGTCACCCGAAGATACACTCACTCATATGCACACATCACACAACAGAAATCTCAAGAAAATTGACATGCAAATATCATCCATTACTTCCAAGCTCGATCGATTCATTGATTTGCCATCTGACTACCATAGCCTATATCTGCCACCCAGCCACCGAGAGAGACCTAGATGCCAAACCAAACTATCGCATCTGCACATCTGTATTTACACCAACATCCATCTTCCCTTCTTCATATCATGTATCCCTCCCTTTCCCTCCATTTGCAAGACCCAATCGTCAAGCCAACTACTAATCAGAGGCGCTAGCCAGCCGGCCTCATATTCCATATCCATACCCGTACGCTGGCCCAAATAGGTTCGCGTCAAAAAAGCATTTGCAAGTGCAGTCGCGGGAAAACTCAAAAAAGGAATCGCTAAAAGAACAGTCGAAAGTGTGTAGTATGCGTGTAGAGTCGTGCTAGAGAGGTGTGTCGGAGTTGGTGTGCACTGTACAGAGTCGTATCGCTCGGTTGGGGAGAGGGGTATCAAGGGAAACAAACGAGGAATATCACTCGTCGGTCTGTCCAGCAGCGAGGTGTTTGATAGGCCTTATGCCGTAGCATATCGACTCGAACCTCATCGTACAACGCCAGCCTCGAGCTGGGAAGGCGATGGCTCAACTGTCTGATTGGATTCAGCAGTCGCAGCTTGTCTGTTACGACGTATGGCTGGCATGCTCATATTGCTGAAAGGGTTTGATATCCTCGGGACCCAACGTCTTGACGGAGTAGGCTCAGCATTAACCTCTCCAGTAGCAGGTGTGGCATCAGTAGCGGCGGCAGTTGCTGCAGCTTCTCTGCGAGCTCTTCGATTTTCTCTTCGTCCAGCATTACCATACTGAACGCCGTCACCAATAGGAACACCGAAACGTCCTGGTAGTATGAGGCGTGGATTACCACGGATACCAGTCCAAGCGGATTGAGGTGCTTGTGGCATGTTGGTTCTGTCTGTTCTTCTTCGGCCAGTACGGTCAGCATCGGCTGCTTCGCCTTCAGGACGAGGCTTGGGCGTGTAATAGTCGGCTTTACAAAGTGGACAGCAAGCACGACGACTTGTGAGCCAAGGATCTAAACATCCAGCATGGAATGCATGGCCACAAGTCAATCCACGGATATCGTCATCTTCCTCTAAGGTGTCGATGCAAATAGCACATGAGTCGCCAGGGTTGGTGAGAAGTTCGGGTGGCACAGCCGTATGAATGTGATCATCCTCATCATCTTCGTCTTCGTGCTCTTCGCTGGTGGCCGTGGGGTGTTTACCGACCGTGCTGGCAGTGGTCTGAACCTCTTGCAACCGATTGTCCTCTTCAACCGTAGGTGATGCAGTTCCCTTCTCAACCGCCGTTGCCTCCATACTCTTGCGTTCAGCACCAAATTCTCCGCCCAAGTGATTCGTAGCGGGAGAAATCGTGATCTCAGCAGCCTCGCCATCTGACCCAGCAGTTCCTGGTCGTGAATTGACAGTATGCTTCGTATCAGTTGGTGATGATGGCATAACCCCTTCGACATCTCTCAGACTGGCTGCTCGACTTGGTGGTGCAGTAACGCCGCCGTTCGTTGGCAATCCTTCCCTGGCCCTCGACGCGACCCAATTCTTGTACTTCGTAAGAGGGAATCGTTCATTCACCTCGTCCATCGTCATCAATTTCTTTTCTCTCCTCCGACGATGTGGCCTCGCAGGCATGTTCTCGAGATTGATCGGATCGACCTCCTCGCCATTTCGAAGCGCACGATTGCGTGCATTGTATCGAAAGCAGTACTTGACACCTACGATAATCCTGTCATGGTGATCAGTACATCAATCGACAGATGATAACAATCTGTCGCGGCTCACCATAGGTTCGTAAAGACGACTCCGAAACCGAGTGCAACGAAGAACAAGAGAGGGGAACTCGTCGGTCCACTGGATCCACCTCCATTACCTGTTGACGACATGTTCGACGATGAAGGCGAAGCAGACGACGATGTCGACGACGCTGATTGCACTGCTGCCGTGGCTGCGGAGAGAGATGGGAGAATGGTAGTCGTTTGGTCACCTCCGAGACCTCTCTCATTGAGATTTGAAACGAGTGTAACGAGAACTTGATTGATGGCAGCCATGGTCACACTGGATAGAGACTAACCCCCGGTTACGCGGCTAGGAGGTGGTCGCTCGTACAGTAAAGGAATGGGCTGCGCGGATTACGGTACTCGCTTCCTTCACCTGTTGTCAGATTTGGAATTTGCGCCCCTCGACTTTATCGGTGCGAGGTTGGTCGACGGGTCGGGCTCATTCCTGGCACAACTCGAGAATAAATCTGCGGTCGGATAATTGCAGGCTGGGAGGGTGTTGGATTGATGATTGTGAGGAGGCGGGGAAGAAAGAGAAGAAGAAAGAGAAAACAAGAAGAAGAAGGAGGTTTGGTCTTGGTCCTTGGTTGTGGTAAATAATCGTGCGGAAGGGGAGACGCTGTCTAGCGTTGAAACAGGTGCGACGACCTGCTTTTTACGCTTGAATGACTTGTGGCGTCGATAGAGTGAATGGGTAAGCGTGATCGTCAAACGCCATCCATACCGCACATACAATAAGGTGCATACACCGCTGAGGCCAAAGGATGCTTCCCACGCGCAGAGGAAGGGAGGAAGGAATAGGACGCGACTCTCGTATGACCGGGAGGAAGAAGTCTGGAGTGTTGATGCTCACTCAAAGGTGGTATGATGGAACACAAGTGGCGACGAGCTTTCAGACATCAACACGGGATTCGGATGGTGGGTGCAACATCTGGAAGACACGGTGACACACGGCAAGTTCACCTCCAGGAAAGGAATAATTGAAGCCGAGGAGCGACGTTTATTGGGACGAGTTCGACTTCGACTTCGAGATGCCGCTGCGGCTTGCTGGTCAGCTCGACCGAGAGAGGAACAGTCTTTTGTCAGCCACGGTCAAGATCTGGAATTCACTCTGGATGACACTGAAGTTTATCTCCGCTTGACTCCCAAAGGGGAACAGCACAAAGATTCGATGATTCAAAGCGGTGTTGATCTTCAGCCTACGAAACGGGAGCCGTTGATGAACTACTGAGCAAGTCTAAATCCTTTCTGACGCAGTTATCGCCGTCCCAGTGCCAGATCGCACCGCAGAATGATAGAAACCAATCCTCATGATGAAAAAGCGCTTCTTCGCATGACCATCAAGCAGCATCATCGCGAGAGCAGAGGCAACTGCAAGCGCCGTCAATCGGTCTGGGGTTTGGCAGAGGGAACATGCATCAACGGCTGCATCTCGCATCCTCGCAGGCCCAGAACATTCACATTGATTTGACGACAGCCATCCTGCACGACTCGCCCCCGTATTTTCTACCCTGCAGCTGCATCTCCATCTCCATCTCCATCTCCAATATTCAATCACTGTGGATGCTTCGGCCCTCGCATGGGATTGAAGCTTAACAGATTAAAGAAGCCACCATCGTGAGATTCGTCGAGTCTTAAACCTTCTCTGGAAGGCAACTGTTGCGGTAGGACTTCGAATCCCGATGATCGTCCTCCTTTGCGGTCTGAGTGTTTTGAAGTCTCGGATTTTTAGCCCTCCTCCAATCTCACATCTTCCCATTCTTTTCGTCTGAATCTGAACAAGGGAAAGCCGTGATCCGCGATAATTATCCGTGTTGGTCATTTATATTTATGCGAATCTATTAATACGATACTCAATGTCTACCAAAGTTTCAAATGTCCCAACGTGTGAGATGAACCCAAACAATGAAGGTCATCAACCACAGCAGAAATAAAATATGACCAAGCCTTTCAGAATGATATTCCGAAAAACAGCCGTTCGTTCATCAAGCTCTCATCCCAGTCTGACTCCATGATCCAAAAAAAATACAAGCTTTCTCCTAGCCTCCTCCTCTTCTTCCTCCTCTCGCCACCTTCCCCTCTCTGCACGCAACCCCACTCCCCGTCGATCACCACTCATCCTCTCCACCCAAGGCAGAAAAAAATTCCGACATCGTCGTGATCACAAGCACTTGATCTGATTCCACACCACCCATCAATCAATCAACAGCAAATAATCATCCCACTTCCTCTAACCGCATCATCTCGTCATCGACTCAAGTCTGTTTGTTCGGCAATTCCCACACCCTAACAAACTAAGATCTCAAGTCCCACGGACGGATCTCGAAATATCCGCGCCTGAGCCCGGATACCATGCCGCCCACGCAACTACCAGCGAACGGGAACCCGTTGTATGTCACGCTCCTTTCACATGACCTTGAAACAAACATCTTTACCTTGAAAACCATACTGACTTCCTCCCCCACAGAGTATTCTTCGACATCACAATCGGCGGTTCGTCCCCACCCTACCTATTCCCCCTTTTACACCTCCATCATTCTGAGCCTCAAATCACGTGTCCTGCGGCTCTTTCCAGCAAATAACTAATAGAAGAAAAACAGGAGAACCACTCGGCCGAATAACCTTCGAGCTCTTCAAAGATGTAGTCCCCAAGACGGCGGAGAATTTCCGGCAGTTCTGCACAGGGGAGAGTAAGAATCACTTGGGCAGACCGCAGGGGTATCGGGGGTGTAAATTTCATCGGATTGTGAGTTTTTTCGTCTCCTTATATCTATACCTCTACATCCAAGCAAAAATCTGGGTTAGCTGGAGTGAGATCTCTGAATCTCATGCTGCTTGAACATCCAGCTTTGATTTTCGGGGCGGGGGGGGATAGAATATACAACCAAGATCCCAAACTAACGAAACCCCAGATCAAAGACTTCATGATCCAAGGCGGCGACTTCCTCTCCGGCGACGGCACAGGCTCCACCTGCATCTACGGCACCAAAACCTTCGCAGACGAGAACTTCACCATCAAACACACGCAGCCCGGTCTCCTATCGATGGCGAACGCGGGCCCAAACGGGAACGGGAGCCAGTTCTTCATTACCACCGTAGCGACGCCGTTTCTGGACGGCAAGCATGTGGTGTTTGGGAAGGTGGTGGACGGCATGGATACGGTGCGGAAGATGGAGGCCACCAAGACGGGGTATCGGGGGAAGGATGTGCCGAATTTGGATGTGGTTGTTGGGATGTGTGGGGAGATGTGAGGAAGAGAGAACTCGATTCTGATATGGATGGGTGGGGAGAATGGTATGGGTGGGATAGCAGCCAGGTATGGCAAACCAAAGAAACTCGACCACACGGAAAAAAAATAGAACCAAGAAACAAAGAACAAAATCAATTCTAGAGAACTCTCCCTCCATCCATCCAAACCATCGCTCTTGCTCCACAACCGTATCATAAACACGTAAGGTAGATCAAACAACCCGTCCGATGAACATGAAACATCCCCACTCCTCTCCGCAAACAACGACCTTTTAGGAATCAGATAGAGCGATAGATAGCCTCGTAAGAGATCTACCCTCCCCGCTTCTCCTCTCTTCTCCACTACGGACTTCGGACGGGCGTTTCAAGTATTCGTTTACTGAGAGTGAGAAAGAGTTTGGAAGATCTGCGATTACTAGGTAGGCGAATGGGTGGCAGAGCGGAGGGAGGGGTACAGTAGAGGTTGAGTTTGTTGTTTGTGAGGACATGAGTGAGGAGAGGTATTCGGAGTGGTTTAAGGGTTTTTTGAGGAGTGCTGTAGAGAGGGATGTGATTCATTATTTACGGCAATGAAGAAGCTGTAGTACATTGCGGGGTGTATCTCGAGAGAAAGCAAAGAGGGAGTCAGCTCGTTATTTATTAGATTATAGTCACATCCACATTCACATTCCACAAAAATCAAAAAATCAAAAAATTTTATCAAGAACGTTCATACATTTCTTCGCCATATGCATCTATATGCACGCAACTAAGCTCAATCCTCACCAGGAGGAGACTCTCCTCATATGCTCGCTCGTATGTACATACATACCAAAAAGAGCAACTCCATGCAAATGCTCACATTCCCTTTGCAACGCCGTCTTAAATGCAAGGATTCTAGTGGGGTATATGCCTTTCCTTTCCATTCCCTTCCTTCTCCATGCGCCATGCCAATCATCATCAGAAAAAAAAAGGAAAGTAGAAAAGAAAATATGAAGTAGGTAGCTAGCTATGAGTGATTGAGTAATCACCACCGAGCCCCACGCCGTCTCATTCGCGTAGCCCTCGCAGACACAACTGCCTCCTTTCCATCCAAGAATGGTTGCGGACTGGGGATACCAGTCGGAGCCGTGTAGACCGAGGAGGAAGATTGTTGGGTCGCGGAAGCTAGAGCAGGTTGTTGAGTCGCGTCCTGGGTGACGGTGACTGTGGCCGTTTCGTGGACACTCTCGGTAACGGTGACTGTAACGAAACCGTTTTGCGCCGCGAGTGATGCTGTTGCGGACGAGGTGACGACAGTTGATGAGCTGAGGGCCGCAGGTGCTTCTCCGGAGGAAGTGGCTGCTGCTGGGGCGGCGCTCATGGAGAAGGCTGGACCGGCGGTGACTTGCGGAAGAGCGGTAGGGTTAACCAGGAATTGAGAGCCGAGTTGGTTGGGGATGGCGATGTTTCCAAGGTTGGGACCCGTCATTTCTTGATTGGCGCTGATGGCAACCTTTCCCGAGGCGGAAGCGGCTGACTTGGCGGTCATCATGATGTCGAGACAGGCTGTGTAGCTTTCGTTGCTTACGACTGCGCCGGTGGTTGGGTTGAGTTGTGGCCATTCCCATACCCAGTACATTGTGTAGTTGCCAGAGGTGCCAGCTTCGGTGGGGATCTGGATGTCGGTCTGGCATTCGAGATCTGATTGACTGGTCCATTGGGTAGCTGCTACGCGAGCGAGAGAAAGAGGTTGGCCGTTGACCTGGAAGCATCTTCCATCGTCAAAGGTTCTTGTCGCGATGAGCTTTCCTCGCTTGTCACCTCCCGTGCCCTCAGTATTCCACACGCGGTGGATGCCAAGGTAGGTATCAGTGTTTGCAGGCGAGTTCGTTCCGTAGACGAAGACGGTTCCGTTGTGCGCTGGTCGAGTCTGTCCAACATCCTTTGTGACGTGCCCGTTCTCCAAGTATCGCAAAGCGATCTGGTCTCCAGGAGCAGCTGTCAGAGGTCCGTAGCCAGGAGTGTATGTACCGATGGTCTGAGTAGCTTTACACATTAAGTCCGTTGCCAAGATTGCGTTGCCAGATGGTCGACCATTGGGAGGGATCAGGTTGACATTTTGAGGGTCTGGGTCCACATTTGCCGTTCTTGGCCCGTACCCGCGAGGATATCCAGGATTGCCAACGAAGGAGCCGTTTGATCCGATGAGCATGATGTTTTCCAGCCAAGTATGTGCGTCGACGGTCGAGGACAGGAAGCCCAAGAAGGCGAGGAGGGAGAAGTTAGATCTCATGATGATGAAAGTGAGTTTTGAAGTGTGTAAGGTGTTGAAAGATCAGCGTTGGTTCGCCTGCGAGCTTGAGACTAGTCTTGCTTGTGTAGGTTTCTTGTTGAAGTGTTTCGAGTCTGGCTTTGTAGAAGATCGAAGGTGGTTGTGGTTGTAACTGGAAGTTGTATGTTGAAGAATAAATTAATAGAAGCAGAAGAAGCGTGGTATTAAATAATAGTTGAACGACCAGCGTGAATGGAGAACAGTAGGAGACAATGGCATTGAAGCACAATAAGAACAACAAGTGTTATTGAGATGGATTGTTCATGATTCACTCGAAGCTGTTCGCTTGAGGGATCAAAGGCTCAGAACAAACACAATGGTAAGGATGAGCGATGATTAAGAAAGAAAATGGCGAGCGGGGAATCACGCAAAGATAAGAACAGACGACAAACATTTCTCTAACGTTGAAACAAAGAAACCGGCACACGCAGACCAGCACAATGGATCTTTTGGTGGTGGTCTGCGGTTGAAGTGACTCGACTCATCTGAGATGAAAGGGTTCAGGACGGTCGAGAGCCTACCGACGTGTCGCTTAACGAGGGGGGCTCGTTTCAGGGTTCGCGAGTGTCTTTCGCTTTCGTGGGGATCATGCAAGGGGCCGCACCAGGGGTCGCACCGACTCTCGAAAGCTCTCAACCTCAAACCTGAACCAATGGACGAGGATGCGACCGGAGGAGAAGAGACGCACATTCGAGATCCAAGTCCCAACCATCGCGCTCGCTGCGTGATTAATTGGCCGACAAGGCTGATCCGTGTGGCGCCGTAGCGGAGAGCCACATCTGAGAATACTTCTGAGCGCTTCCGTACACGCGATGCCAGACCTCGACGATTGCTGCAGCCGCCGAGAGACATCGACCACCGCGTGCAGGTTCGTCCAAGGATACGGAGATTCAGAGATCCCGCGCACAAGAGATCAGCCGAGGAGAAGTGAAGGAAGGTATGGCATTGCGTGTATGCGACACTTCTCGGGGAGAACGGCTGCAGGAGAGATCATACTCCATCGTGATATAGGTGGGAGGCAATATCCTCGACCGGACGGAGATGTCGTCGCAGAAGTCTGGGCGCATCCCAGCACGACACCACCTTTCGCAAGCAGGTCGACTGAAGGCTGGTTCCTCGATATGATGCCGTGAGCCGACCCATCAACAGATTCTCCTGTAGGTGCGCTGGTAGGGTTCTACTTAGGACGATGACTAGGAGTCGTGATCGAAGCACATGGGACATCGCACGTTTCGTCCTTGCTCTCTGCCCCGCCTCTTCAACGAAGCTCGGAGGGGTAAGAGGTCCGTGATGCACAGTAGAGGAGAGCTGGATTGCGTGGATTTTGTTTCGATTCACTGATAATCACGGAATGTGGAGTCATGAAGCTGCAGATTATTGTTGGTGTCGGTGCTGACGATTCCCAAGTGATGTGAAGGAGCAGGAAGATTGCCGAGAGAAGAGGTTGGGTTGGGCAGGAGAATGCTCTAGCGAGTCCACTCCTTTCAACTTCTGCATCTCTTTGTCCCCGCCAATGTTTGAACTTCATCTCAACTCCATTCTCTCCACCCAACGTCGGTTTCAAGGCATCCAAACATTTTCAGAGTTTGCTTTCGGGCCAAACACACTTTCTTGGTCTCCGACGATCTCCAAGATCCTACTGCAAGCTTCAACCTGGTGGCCACTGAGCTATGAGCCTGTGAATCTACGGACTTGAGGTAAGATTACATTCAGCCTCCTGGCTTCAGGATTATTCACATACCTCAAAGGTCAGTGCTCTTTGCAGGTTTCTTTGTTCCTTGCAATTGATTTGTATTTCCTCGTCCATTTTTGCCACCCCCATTTTCTATCCTTTCATTGTAGTCGTCTGGTAACCAGTTTTGTGCGCCAATGCATTATTTCCAATATTCAATGTATTGTGCACGCTCGACGTTTCATCCTTGTCTGATGTCACCATCTGAATAATGCCAAAATCCATGTGCACGCCACAGGTATCACTGCCCATTACCCGGCGAAATCCCGGGCTGTCAATTATGCTTACTTTCTCGCTACCATCATTGAGATACATGCTGATGCCAATATCAGTAATCCTCTTCAAAGTCGCATCTCGTGATCGACGGAAACTCATACCATGGCGGAATCACTCCCCATGAGTTCGTCCCTGAGCACAAGCTTCGTTAGCAGACGTGTTAATGACTCCACTTTCCTGATCATCGAAGATGATTCTTATGGGGAGGAACCACATATCTATGTCAAGATCTACCCAGATCACTTACTCATAACCGACACGGGCTGCGACTCGCCTCGAAAACATGGCCTCGCTTTAACCTCACTACGTGAATACATAGAAACCGTTCCCCTCCCGCTCAACGGACACCAAGTCCTAAACCCAAATGGCTCAAAACACTATATAATAATCTGCTCTCACTGCCACTACGACCACATCCTCGGCATCCCTCAATTCCTCACCGCAAACCCAACCATAATCGCCTCATCTTTCTCAAAATCCTTCCTGGCCCAAGAAAACCTTCCAACCAACTCCCTCTGCAAGTACATCAACAAGCCCACGCCCCAATACACCATCACCCACTGGGCGCACCACCTCTCCTACTTCAGCCTCCCAAACATTCCTCCCTTCCGCATCCAATTCCTCCACATCCCCGGCCACACCCCCGATTCGCTAGCCTGGTACGACATCGACGAGCACCATCTGTACGTCGGCGATACCATTTACGAACGTAAACGCTCAACCCCCATCCCTGAACTGCCCGATGACGCCGGACAAGTGCCCGGGTTGCCAGCCACACAGGCTGCTATCATTTTTCCCGATGAAGGCGGGGATTGGATAGCATACATGTCGTCCCTCTCTCTCCTCCTTTCTTTTACTACTCACAAAAATGACGAACTGAAAAAACGGGGGAGTGAGAAGAGGGTTAAAGTAGCGTGTGGACATCTTACCTATGAAGCGGATGCCGAGGATATGATTCTACAGGTGAAAGGCCTGTTTGAGAGGATTATCGCTGGGAAGGTCAGTGTCAAGAGGAGTGGAGTTAAGAGGGGTGTTGTGCATGATTTCTGGTTGGAAGATGAGGGGGAGGGGAGTAAGTATAGTGTTATGGCGCCGAGGAGGCTTTTTGAGGAGGCGAGGAGGTTTTTTCATCCTGAGATCGGAGGGAGTTGAGAACGAAAGGGGAAGACAAAACCTCGAAGATAGCAGGGAGTAATGATCCAAGATATATTGTTCGCAATGAATGAATCACGAGTCAAAAGTATTGTGAGTCTTTATAATTCTATCAATCAATGAGATCTCGTGTATTTCCAATGTCCGCTATCAATACATCTTTGATCAGGTCTGTCAGATATTCTGAGTTTCTAAGGAACCATCTAATCATCATACTTCTCAACTCTTTCGAGCATTCTTCTATCCACTGTCCCGGCGCAGTACCTTCAACAACATCTCCACCAAAGCCGCACTTAACCTCCACTACCTTAAGACCAACCCAAATTCTCCCTTCTCATCTCCCCTCCCCAAAAGCCCAGCAGCCATCACCTCTCTACATTCCCCCAAAACAACATACCAATCGCACCCATCAGCACTGAACTCCACATTAAGCTCAACCCTACTTTAACCACTCACCTAATTCCCAATCCGCCCTACTCATCTCACACGCTTCCAACCCTTCAACAACTTCCTCCGGTAAATCCCCATTCAATAGCTCGATCATCTCGCCATCTCACTTTCCGTCTCTAATGCTGTTTACGTCAAGATATGCATGAATTGACGAGCTAGTCTATCACGCGGTCCTGATGGGGTAATTAGGAATTAAGAACTAATGATAATTCTTATATGAGTATTTGAGTTTGGCTCGGATAGGGGGGCGATGCTGAATCGGAGGCTTGTAGATTTTATGTGTTGGGAATGAGACTGAAAACAGTGTGGCTTCTAGTTTGAGTTTTTGGTGCGGTGGAAGGGATTGCAGTACAAATGAAAGTGAAAGGAAATAGAAATAACTGTTGAGATGAAGATTTTACTTGCCAGCTTCACACTCACTCAAGTATCTGCAATAGTCTTAACATTAGAAACACAGCAAACAATTCATTGCCCATGATACTCAGTTCCATCTCAACACCAACGACTACGCCTTTGATTCCAACGCCAGCCTATCCTTCAACTCCCCCCTCTCCCTCACAGTCCTCGCCATCTCCCTTCCCAGATCCGTCCCCAGCTTCTCAAACCCCTCAATAACACCCACCCTATCACCGACCCCCAACTCCTGATTCATCTTAAACTTCCCCGCCACACTCTTAACCTCAACCTCCACCCCGACAATCGCCCTACTCAACAACGCCACATACGCCTCGGGCGCCTCCCCCACACTCCACGGCCCGGGCCTCCCCTCCTTCCCATCAAACCCAAAAATCCCCTCCTCGCTCTGCCGCGACAGGTCCGCGATCGCCATAGAGATAAAGGTCCCGGTCTCCGGCATCGAGGTGTCGAAATGCACCGTCGCCGTCCCGTAGACTTGGACTGCGGTGTAGTTCCACGTCGGCACCACTTTCCCCGTCGCCGGTTTCGTTTCGACGTAGAATTTCGGCGTGATGTAGTGGTGCGCGGGGCCGTTGAAGAGGATCATGACGTCTTCTGTTAAGGTGTTGGACCCGGAAGCTGTTGCTGCTTCGATGAGGGCTTTGACGTGTGGGTTTGCGAGGGCCATGTGCCCTCTTAGTCGGGCATTTGGAGGCGGAGAGTCGGGGTCGGGGTCGGGGTCTGAGGGGGGTGGGAGGTCCAGGATCCAGGGGATGTGGGAGCTTTGGATGGTGTTGTATTTTGAGGAGGGGATGGCGGTGGTGAGGATTCCGAGAGGGTTGGTTTGGATGAATTTGTAGAGAGTTGGGAGATGGAGATCTGTGTGGACTGGTCTGAAATACATCTTTCTGAGTGAGGTTGGATGTGACCACCGATTTCGGCAAAAGCAAATATTGGCTGACAGAAGACTTTAGGATACGGGTAGCTAGGGAATAATAAGGAAGGTGGTCATAATACGAGAAGGGGGAGAAGAGAAGAATGGTTGTAATATACTAAGAATTACTTTGACTCATACCTTTGTTCTGATTGTTCTGATTGTTGACGAAGTCTGGGGACTTTTGGATTCCTGCACTAGCTCGGCTAGAGTATCCTGAATTGGGATAAGTAGTCCGGATGCTGACAAAACTCGGGGTGGCTCTAGTATATTTCTCTACATCTTCGAAGTAGAAACCTCTCCTGTGAGATTTATGTTGGAAGGTTTGTTGACCTTCATTTCATTGGCAGTCAGCACATTCGCAAGGGTTCCATATCGAGAAAATACGTAAAAGGTGCAATTGAAAGGAATTGTTCTGCTCTTGCGTTCACTAGATTGCATTGGAGACCCAATCTGACCGCACAAGTAGGTTGAGGAGTATTTAGCAGGCACAATTATTCACCACAGATCGAGGATTGTGATTCAGACCTAGCTATCAATCTTGGACGACTAAATCATAGCGAGATAAGCTACGCCCATCTCCCATCTGCAGCTAAGCAGTCAATAACTAGTATTCTCCCATCTTCCGCAAGTCTATACACGAGCACTTCTGGATCTATCTTCTTGCCCTGTCCACGGGCATGAGAGAGTGTTATTCGACTGGCATCATAATTCAGACCAAGTCTTTTGGAGGCAAACGTGGCAAGCAGATCCTTCACTCTTGCTTCTCTGTCGACAATGATGAATAGAGGCTCCATACTTACAGGAGATAGTAAGCAAAAGGCCTTGGTCAGATCCTTGGAACGTTTCCAATCATCCACGTTGCTCAACTCTAATTTTCGCTTGGAGGTCATCATAATCTTGCGGTCCAAGATTAGTGACGTTGGGAGGTTGGGCGGCGTATCAAAGCTGCCGTGGCGCGAAAGCTCATTCTTCAAGCCATCCAATTCGATACTGTGAGCCATAGTATCGGTACTATAACCTGGTTTCTCCTCGCTCCATGTGGTCCGCTCCTGTGCCATTTCGAGTTCCGGGAGATCCATGAAGACAAAATCCGAGACATCGGTATCGACTACAAGGTCGTACTCCAACACGAGAGTAACTCGATCGACGTTTCTAAACCAAGAAACGACTTCTTTGATCCAGTCAGAGCGAAGATCATTGTAGGAAGCGAATTCGAAGCTGAAAGTACTCTTCCCGATAGCAAGTTTATCCACGCGGTTGAGCTCCCAGCACCAGCCTGATTCGCAGTAGAACCCCCCGCTTCTGCTCAGGTATTGTCCATTAGAATGCCTTCGCGGTGGGTCAAAAAGCACGTCCTGGCTAATATAGAATGTGTCGTTTGGAGAAACAAACAAGATCGTAGGTCTATCGCCGAAGACCCCAAAGGTCCGAACGTAAGACGATTCCGAAACCACACCACGAGACTCATCGCAAGCATCCATAAGATTTTGTAGAGTGGCGCAAGTTGGATGGACATTCCAGAGTTTTTGCTCGTTTGGGCGAATAATGACACTTCTCAACTTGCCATCTTTGTTCTCCTCCGGCAATGCTTTGATATGTGGCGTTTCCAGAAAAGCTTGCCAAGCCTCGGTGCTCTCAATGAATATCGAACGTGAGTTCCAGATTCTGGTCAGGGATCTGCCTATGTTGTATGGTTCTATCGGAATGATTCGAGGTTCGTCTGGTGGAATAGCGAAGCTCCAAATCATGAGTCTCAATTCAAGAGGAAGGTCCTTGAATCTATTGAATGATTGGAGTGGTTGCTCATCAGGAATACTGGCGGAACCTGGCGCACTTCTTGCAACCATGCTAGATATCTCTTGGTCTCCTGCTTGCACTGTCTGAACATTGGGACTGCTGATCGAGTTCGACATATCATTGACAATGACGGTAGATTTTTGTTTGTTCTCCGTATAAGTTGTCTCACCATTGGGATCGCTGACGACATTCGGCGCAACTTCCGCGATAATTGTAGACATTCTTTTTTTCCTGTTTCGACAGGTGAAGCTGAGGTGATCCTGTGTTTATATCAGATCCCGTCAAAAGCGCAACATTTGAAACCAACTTACTTTAAAAGACGATGAAAAGTTATTGATTCCACGTTGATTCCGATCTCAGACCTTAGGTATCGAATAGGAATGCTTGTCGTGAAAGATGCGCGTTCGTAGAAGATTCTTAGACGCGTTGTCACGTTGGAATTTAAGGAAAGTGGATCCGCTAGAGGTTCCTAATTGGGACAAGCTTTAATACTAACACTAGTCTTGCTCTGACCCTCAGGGATATGGAGAAGTCTCCATCTCACGCCCTTCATGTCATCGAATGAGATGGCGTTCTCGAGAAAGTTCAAGTGCGGAACTCTGACATTTCAAGTGACTCAACAGCATGACTGTACTATATAGACAGACATTAGAAGAATCGCTATCATCTCGTCCCTAAGTTCACTCTTCATCAACACCGAGCTCCGAATTCCGAATTCTATCAATATAATTTACCAATTATCTCCTCACACCTCAAGACAAACTCATACCCATCCTCCCTCAACATGCCCGAATCAACCACTCCCTCCCCCTTACCCCAAAACCCCACCTTCCGTCTCGCCCGCCCCGAAGACGCACCCGCAATAGCCCATCTCGGCTCAACCGTCTTCCGCACCACATTCGGCTACTCCATGCCCCCCTCCGACCTAGAAACCTACCTCCAAACCTCCTACTCCGCTTCCTCCATCACCTGCGACCTGCTCAACCCCACCATCACCGTTCTCGTCGCCACTTCCCCCATCTCACCCTACCCCATCGTCGGCTTCTCGCAGCTAAACCGCTCCTCAAGCGAGCCTTGTATTGCGGACTCGCCTAAACCGGTGGAGTTGCAGCGCTTGTATGTCGATACGAGTTTCCATGGTGGGGGCGTGGGCAAGGGGTTAGTTGGGGAAGTGGAGAGGATTGCGAAAGAGGAGGGGTATAGGACGCTTTGGTTGGGGGTTTGGGAGGAGAATTTTAAGGCGCAGGGGTTTTATGGGAGGTTAGGGTTTGAGAGGTGTGGGATTCATAGTTTCAAGATGGGGGAGTGTGTGCAGTGGGATTTGATTCTTAAGAAGGCTATTTAGACGGGCTTTGTTGTGGGGTGTGGGAGGGATAGAGGAGTTCTTTGCTTCGGGGCTGTTTGTTGTGGTGTTTTAAAAAGAAGTGTTAGACATGTGAGGCGTAATATCTAGGTTGGTTGCAAGTAGAATGGTTTGATTGAGATTCTCTAGCGATTTACAGAAAAAAGAGAAGAATAGACATGAACCATAGGGTATATTCAAGCGATACAGGAATCCAAACTAAATACCCTTTCCTTCCAGATCACCCCTTTTCTTCAAATCCTTCTCATACAAAGAGAAACACCCATCTAATGTAAACAAAGCAGAAATCCAATCACAACCATCTATCTCTTGAAATATCTCTTCTCAAAGTATCTCATCGGGATGTAAGAAACGGCACTGAAAGCGAATGCCAACTCAAACCCAACATCACCACCATAAGCCGCCCCACAAAGCTTTCCAATTGGTCCGGTGAACCAGACTTGAGCCATACCCAAGACTGCACCCATGATACCAAATGCAAAGGCAGTAACTGCTGCGAATCCAGGAGGAAGGGCTTTGGCATCCATGTAGATACTTGGATCATAGCCAGCAAAACCACGCTTGTACAAGAAGTGTTCAGAGAGAGAAATACCCTCGTAGATAGCTAGCCAGTAGGCAATCAACAACATGAAGTTCTCGAGGACGGAAGCAAAGTGTCCGTAACCTGGGATAGCGATTGCGCAATAGATCAATGTACCGACGAAAGTCCAGACGAATCGAGGAACGCGCTGAGAGACCTTGGCGAGAAGTTGGAGGGAGAGAGAGACGGAGTAGATGTTGGGGCAGTTGTTGGCGATGATGGAGAGAGCCAACACGACCAGGCAGAATTGACCGAATCTGCCCAAAGGTGGGACTACGACGGCTGCGAGAAGACCACCGATTCCAGAAGAGGTGTATCCGTCCATGTAGACGTTTGAACCATCGTTGGCAGCCATGGCAGAAGCAACAGCAGCACCAAGCATCTCAGTGAAGAGAAGTGGGAAAATGAGACCAGCGAATGTCCAGAAGAAGACAGACTTTCGGGATCGGTCGACAGGTTGGTACACTGTGTAATCGGCTGCGTATGAGGTCCATCCAGTAGCGAAACCGAAGACTGATGCAGCAAACGAAAGCGCAGCGCCGGCTTCAGAGATTCCAACACCCATGGGAATATTGATGAAGTCGCCAGAGTGAGCGAATTCGCCAAGAACGATGAGGAAGATGATGAAGCAGGGGATCCAAGAGTAGCGCTCATAGGTGTGGACGATCTTGTAGCCGAATAGAGTGACGAGGAAAGTTGCGGCGGCAATCACTAATTTCTGTTAGACAAGTCTGCAGAATTCCAGATCTTGAAAGCTTACCAATGATACCAGCCCAGCCAGGCATATTTCCATTTACCGCGTTGAACAATTGAGCACCAACGATAACGTTCACAGATGACCAGCCAACGCAAGCAAGGATATTGAATACAGCAATGATTTTAACACCATAGTACTGATTAGGTTGGTTAGCAATTGTATTCACAAGTTAGGTTGATGCACTTACTCCGAAGAAGAATCGGGACAAAACCATCTGTCTCAGGCCAAATCGTGGACCGAAAGTACTGAAGAAGCAGACTGGTAATATGCCAAGCAAGTTCACGAAGAAGATGATAAGAATAGTATCAATGAATCCGAGGTAGAAGACTGGATATGCGAGCGCACCTATTACAGGATATCAGTACAATTTCAAAACAATTGCTTAGACCAGCGACATACCAATGGCGAAACTCGACACAACCATGTTGGCACTGAGCCACATAGTTCCGACTTGGGAGATATGCGCATTGTCACGCTCATCGCTGGGTACTCGCTCGATACCTCTCTGCTCGACACCAAACTTTCCTGCAAGTCTTTGCGTCTTCGCATACCAACTGTCGCCAACAACGAATGTTTCCGCAGGAACTGCTCCGTTGTCATCGGGAATGAATTCTCCACTATATTGTTGCTTCTCGACGGGAGCGGACTCGACATCGAGTTCCTTGTCGTAGCCCATTGTGGCGAGATTTGCTTCACTGGCAAAATATTCGTCCAAAGTGTAGAATTCGAACAGAAGTCGAAGAAGTTTGAAGCTCAAGAGGCGAGAGGCTTCTTTATCGCAAAGCTGTTGAGGCTTGAATTGGAATGTCTGGCTTGAGATTGTCACTTGATGGACGAGATCAAAGGTATTATATGAATCTGCAACAGCTATCCAGTGCCACTTTGGCAGGGGTTATTGCAAGGGTAGCTTCAAGGAGGGGTGCTCGCGACATGTCCGGACGGCGGACACTGCCGATATGGATTGGAGGGTGGAGTGAACCGCCAACTTTGCAGCAACTTGAACCACTGGGTTGGGAACTAAAAGGCCCAGGGCTTGGATTTGAGTTTTAGTCACTGATAAGGAAATCGAATAAGGTTGGACTGGCTGAGATCAAATACAGGCTAGGAAAAATTGAGAGTCAAGGCCGCTCCAGATGCGGGCGCGACCACAAACTAGAAGCAGATCAATGGCACTAGAACCATTCGATACGCTGTGCGATTTGCATCAATAGGCCTTGATCTTAGGAGCACAATCGTCGAGACGTGATCATCTCTCATGTTGCTCGATGACATGAATTCATCCCGCATTGTTGGAGCTTGAGCTGTCGTACGCCACAGCGTCGTTTGTGTGTCTTGCTTCGTTCTTCAGCTTAGGCGAACCACGACCATTAAACTTCATTCAGCCACTTCCTCGAGTTTGTCCAATCCAGTCAGGGTGATAGTGGTATGTTTCAGTCTTCCCATGCCAATCAGCGTGCGAGGCCATCGGCAAAAACTATTCTGTTCAGTCAATCTTCGAGAGAAAGGTACGCCGCGGCCCAGTCGCCAAGGCTGGAGAGGGAGGAAGAAGAAATTTCAAGACCCGTATTTAGTCCGATGTTATGCAGCCCAGATGCAGAGAGAAGAAAGGTTTCCGCAACTGTGGAGGTTCACGCGGCAGTCATGTGCATGGAAGGCCTCCCTGACACTCTTTCAAGAATACTTTCTTGTGTATCCGACGATGTGTTCCATGAATGCACAAAAGCGCTTTGGGCGAAGAAGTCGCTGCTGTGCAAACTCCATGAAACCAGTTGATGCAATGCGGGAGGAGGCAAATTTAGCGGCTTCGGAGGAAGGGATCAATAGAAGTTTAGTGAATAATAACAACTCTCGAATGGTCGACAATCCACAGTGATGATGGCGTTGTGGAGGCGTGTTTGATAAGGAGAGTTTGATGACAGGAGCCAATGACAACCGACAATCAAGCTTAAAAACCCAGATCTTAGCCGAATTAAGCCTTTCCATATGAAGACTAGCGCATTTTACTCCGAGTTGGAGATCTTCGACATACTGTACATTGAGTGCTGTATCAATCATCCAGACCTCGACACCTATTTCCAAAGACATCACAAGTGTTCTCAATTGGTGCTATCATTTCTATCATTTGTCCCGTCCCTGCAGCAATCTTGATGTCTATCCAATCCTATTGTGTTTTCGAGGAGAGCGGCGGGATGCTGCAGAGCTGAATCTCATCGGATTCGCACGTCTCCCTTGATACTTGACCATCCCGCTCCATCGATCCAATCACTCCAAACTCGCCCATGAGTCTAAATACGGCGACGAATGGAAGGCAAGATCTGCACATGCGCTATATTGCTTTTGTGTCTATAACACGGCTCATTCGTGACGGCCATCTGCTGTCGGCAGGCTCCGATCTGCGTTTCGCGCTCCCACACGACTTCCAGAACATTGCCTAGTGAAGCAACTCAGCTCTCGTTCGAGTCATTGACCAATGATTTTTCCCATCACTCAACTCTTCTCTGTATCTGGGGTTATACTATGGGTTCATACAATGCATCATACACCTTCTGGTCCACTCTTTGGTGTCTGGGAAGCATTTTGATCTGAACCTTCGCTTAACCCCACACTCCAACTTTTGCCCCTGATTAGGACCACATCGGGAGGACCACTCTCGAGTTGCACGTTGACAGCCGTTCTTGTGGAACATGTCCACAGCTGTAAGGTCCCATGACAACAGGGCGGAGCACATCTTATACGACTCGATTCATCACATTCGCCATGCATCTTCGTGGTCATGTCACTTGCCGTTTAGATGGTTGTGAAACTTCCTAACAAGGCTTAAAGCCGAATCCATCGATCCTTCAATTGTTACAATCATCCCTTCACCGCCAAAGTGTTGTGAAATGAAAGTTGGAATCATCGGCTAGGTGCATCGGAGCCGGCATATATGTGATAGCTACTGCTGCAGGCAGCTCAAGATGTCTTCTCGAGCTCAGATCCTCCAAACTCCAATTTGCTTCATACCTTCCATCTGTCTTCATTATCAAGCAAAAAAGAAGGAGGAGGAGAAGAAGCATTCGAAAGTTTCGCAATAACAAAGTCTCAAGCTGCACGAGACAATTCAGTCCGAAACTAATGGCACACACATCACAGCCAATGTTTGCACATTCAAAATGATTCCACAGTTACTTTTTCATCCAGATGTTATTCTAATGGTTACGCTTCATGTTCCTTCACCCCATTTGTGCCGTTTGTACCGTTGACATAGCCCTTTTGCTTTTGCCATGGTAAAGGTTTCTCTGCTGCCTTGACAGGGCCAACCTCTCCATTCTCCTTCCTCAACTCTTTCCAATCATCGATATCCTTTTGATCTACGAAATTGCCATGAAGGCCCAACCTAAGCTTCAGAGGTAAATGAATAGCAGCAAGCGGCCCTTTCTTCAGATCTAGAGCATCAAAGATCAAGATGTCGTTCCGGAGCTCGTCGAGATGATTCAAAAGTGCGAGCAAGTATCCATCACCTTCTTTGTCTGTGTTCTTCGGGACGAAGACTGGTTCTTGGAATGTAGTCGTGGGGCCGGCCCAATAAACATCTTTGACCTTCTCATCCCAAGTAAAATGCCCCATTGCGTTGAACAGACCGCCAGCGGGAGAACCACACTTCTGAAAATCATATGGCTTCGTGGGGTCGATTTGAACTTGCCAAAAGTGGTTATACTTCTTCGTCACGAGACGGTCATCGATGCGAGAAAACTCGCCGTTGATATCAAAAATTTCAGTTGGAGTGACTCGAGTATCCGTCTTTGACTTTGGGTCAAAAGTCCAGCGGAACGTCTTCGATACCAGCTTGTTCCTCTTTTGGAGATTTTCAGGGGGCGCATTGTCTGGTGGAAAGAAGAAGAAAACATTATCGTCTGCGATCGTGAGATCGAAGATAATATGGCCATCCTCATTCTCATAGCATCCAGCTACGTGGCCGTGGAACCCTTCATTCGTTAGTACGACAGAGTTATCCGAGTTGACATTCGACGTACCATTATCTGCTCTCAACCATACGATATCCTCAGGCTTACCACCTCTTCTCGGCACAATTCCATACAATTGATCCTCATTAGGATCCCAAGCCCAATGATTCCCTCCTTTCTTCATCCGCTCCACATTAGCCGTGATCGGCGTCATCGGAAGCACGAGATAATTCTCACTCAATCCACAATCGTGGATCATACCACAAAACGGTGCCTTGTACCAACATTCCTCCGTCTTCTTCCCATTCTTATCAATCGTATAAACCACAATATCACAAGAAGCATCGTGCCCATCTCCTCCCGCCTCGTACCCAAAACAAACCATCTCCCCCGTCTTCGGATCAAACTTGGGATGCGCCGTAAAAGTCGGCGACTCAACCTGTCCCTCAAAATCATACCGTCCAATCGTCTCCAAGGTGACTGGATCCATTGCAAAAGGAGGACCGTCTTCCTTGGTAGCAAGTAACATGCCTCTCCAGAACACGATATTAGTATTCGACACCGTCCGAATAACACCCTTCACCATCTCGCTATCTGTGTAGATATTTCGATATTTCCCAAACAGCGCTTTCCTCGCCGCAGTCTCGGCCTTGAACCTCTCGGTGTGCACATATCGCTGCTTGAAATCTACATGTCCATTCTCGAAATGGAACGCAGACACGTTTCCATCGCCACTAAAATGGATGTCTTCTTCAAACAGGGGCGGGTATCGTTGATCTGGCTGGATACGGTAGAATGTCCCGTTGATATCTTCTGGAATCGTGCCGCTGACTTCAAGGTCGAAGATATCTCCTTCCAATCTTGAGGGTTTGTTGAATCCTTGAAAGAACCCTGTGCCTGGATACTTTATCTGACTGCTTGATTTCAGGCCATTGGTATAATTCGGTACCTTGACAGGAAGATAGGAGAAGAGGTGCGCCATCACGTGATCGTTCTTGGATTCAAGATCGTATATTTAATGGGTCCTACACCTTATCGAGCGCCTCTACACAAGAACTGTGCTCTTATGGACTCTTTACAGCGAGTAGCGTGCCGTGTGTGGTGTCAAAAGACAGCATTTCAATGTCGGGACGATGCTACCGAGTTCTCGGCATTGGTTGCGGTGCGATTCATCCGAAATGTTAGCATTGAAGCTTTTGATCAGGCATTCGACTAGACAAGTGGGCTGCTTTTGTTTCAAGAGGGTAAATCATTACCCCGCATCCTCACACTCTCTTCTCCTCTCGATTCGTGAGTAGACTTTCATATACCTACTTTAAACCAGCGAGGAGGTTAGGATCTGACCCAATCATCTTGAACTTTATCGTAAGTGGTCTTCTTGCAAACATTGATAGCATATCTACTGACTATTGTATCAGCGTGTTCTTCACTTCAGAAGTTCCATCGTCAACCTTGACAGCCTAGGCACTTCCAGGTTTATTGAAGACCTGTCGATCACGTGAAAATTATCAAGATGGCAACCCTTACAGAAACCGCGACTTTCAGCATACCTAAGACTTATAAGGCAGCTGTCTATGGTAATTTAAGCACTTCTGCTCAATCCTTCAATTGCTAATGCGCCGATAGACAAACCAGGACAAATCAGCATCAAGCTAGAAGAACTTCCAACCCCTGAGCCCGGTCCAGGCGAGGTACTTGTCCGCATAACTGTGAGTTCTTCTCCAATTCCTCACCAACCTTTCTAAGATTGCTAACAGCTCTCGACAGCATTCAGGAGTATGTCACAGCGATCTCAGCGTCATGAGAAGTGGCTGGACTGGCCTTCCTCCTTGCCCAGTCGGTCAAATAGGCGGTCACGAGGGCGTGGGCATTGTCCAAAAACTCGGCCCTGATTGTGAAGCCACCTCCGTGAAGCTAGGGGATAGAGTCGGTATCAAGTGGGCTGCTGCTTTCTGCGGTAAATGCGCGGCTTGTAAAGCTGGTTTTGACGGACATTGCGAAACGAAGAAATTCTCTGGGTATGTTGACCTCCATCTCCACTCCTATCCCGATTAAGTTTTTCTTTCTCTATTCGATGGATCAAATCTAAAGAACAGGACAGGTTTTTCACTCCTGGAACGTTCGCTGAATATACACTTGCACCCGCCAATTATGTGACACCCATCCCAGCCAACTTGTCTTCCACACTCGCCGCTCCAATGCTATGCGCTGGTCTAACATCATACTCAGCACTCCTCAAATCCGGCACCTCATCCGGAGACTTCGTCGTCGTCTCAGGAGCCGGCGGTGGCCTCGGCCATCTCGCCATCCAAATCGGAGCCCGAGGAATGGGCTACCGCATGATCGGCATCGACGATGCATCAAAACGCTCTCTGGTCCTAGAATGCGGCGCCGAGCATTTCCTCAACATGCGTGACTTTAACGATACGACTCTCGCTGAAGAGATCATGAAATTGACAGGTGGGCAAGGTGCGAAAGCCGTTATTGTCTGCGCGGGGAGTAATCGGGCGTATGCGCAGGCGTTGCCAATGTTGGGGTTTGGGGGCACGATGGTTTGTGTGGGTATTCCGGAGGGAGAACAGGTCCCGATTAGTAATGCGACGCCGGGGGCTTTGTTTGCGATGCAGAAGAGGATTGTGGGGAGCAGTGTTGGGAGTCAGAAGGAGGCGATTGAGGTTTTGAATTTAGCTAGTATGGGGATTGTGAAGACTGTTTGTAGGGAGGAGAAGATGGATGCTTTGCAAGGTGTTTTTGAGGAGATGAGTAAAGGAGCTGCTATTGGGAGAGTGGTGCTTGATTTAAGCTGAGAGTACTTGAGGGTAGAGATATAGACAGCAATGAATTCTTGAACTTGCACAATACTTGGGAAATGCTCCCTATACCGATTCACAAGTTGAGTGAGACAAACACTAGCTCATAGGACGTGCATTTTGTATTCCATCTCTGGGATAGTGGCTAGAAGTGATTTTCAGGAAAGAGTGTGATGCTTGCATCCCAAAAGAGTGTAGTGTGAATAGCAACGCAGTTCTATTGTCATTATTAGGACATGTGTCCAAGCCAAAACTCCTCATTAGAAAACCCAACCGAAATTACCCAATTGTTCGTTGTTTGCCGTTGAGGCTCCTCCTGTTGCCATTTTCTTCCTCCCCAGACTCTTCCCTTCCAGATCCTGGATTCCATCTCTCCGATGATTCAAGGAATAGGGAACTGGTTTAGTTCTCAATATCCTTCGCCTCAGGAGCAAAGACCCTCTGTCTCTTCCAGAGACAAGCACTAACCACACTGCTAACAGCGAAAAGCACACAAAGTGCAATGCTCAACCCCCAGATACTCTTCATCTCGTAGCAGGTTGTCTTGCTGGCACCAGCCCAGACCCAATAGTTCACCTTGCTGATATTCTGTCCAACACTGTCTAAGAACGAAGACGTGGTGCCGACAGAAGGAAGAGCGGCGCAGTCAAGGTAAGAGAGCGGTTTTCCGACTGTGACGGCTACGACGATGACTGCGATGAGGAGTAAAGAGTCGAGGCCGGTAGAGACGAGGAAGGGGAGCATGGAGTCGAAGTATAGAATGTAGGAAATTGCAACGTAAAGAACTGCTATGCATGTCTGTGAGAGCGGTTAGTGGGTGATGTTGAGAGATTGGGAAACGGAAGAGACGTACGACGCTGAGAGTACCAATTAGGACGTGTGGTGGGGATTGGTTTACTGAGACCATTTCGGCGATGAAGTTTGCAGTCATGCCAATAATGGCAACGAGGGAGACGGCTTCCATGCCGCGAACGACAGTGAAAGTCGCACCGAGAGCTCCGAATGCTGGTCCTGGCATTTTGGCGAGTGATGATTGAAATGTAAAGTCTGGTTGAATGTAGAACGGGGAAAGAGGAAAGCTAGTCTGAACGACTTTTGATGACAACTGGACAATGATAGTTGAAGTTGGTGGTGCTGTAACAGCTTGTGATAATAAATCTCAAAAGCGTAGATATTGAGTGAAAGTAAGCTGAGCTAGCAGTAATGAGTGACCAAGTGTCTGAAGAGACCGTCTCAAGGAGATAAAGACAAGAAAAAACCGACAGAAGAAAGACCGGAAAGGAACTGTTTTGTATGTTTGAGAGGAAAGCTGATGATGAGATGAGGAATGAAACAGAAAGCAAACCAGCGAACTCCGCACTCTTAAATATTCATCATGAACCCAACAATTCTCACAAAGCAAGATCTCGATCAGGGAAACAAAAGATCATGACTCTATAATTGTTGATACAGTGGCCCGTCATGACAGCCGCTGTGCTGTCCAATAGGACCAGATCCCCAGCATGGTGTCTTGCCCTGGGCCGGCGCTTCATAAACGACCTGCTTTCAGACGAGACTTCTCGACACCAATGATTCAGCTCAGCCTCGCGGCAAGCCAAACGCGAGACCAGATAGACGACCGAGACATCGGCATTGTACGCTGCTCGTACGTGAGATGGGAAAGCGTAAGGTTTGGTGGTAAGTTGGTCGGAAAATAGGAATAGGCGCGCTGACGGGTCGCGTTAGAGGGCTCTGAAACATGAGGCTGGAAGCAAGATTGTGAGGTAAGCCTATGAGATGACTGTAAGTAACATTGGGATCTTCGAGAGCATTGACGGCCAGATGGTTGGCGTACGCCACTCATACGAGCTGTGGGATGATTTGCTCGTGATTTTGGGCCAGAGTAAGGTCTTGACTGGATTCCTTGGATGACTTTGCAACAAGTGAGCAAACCTATCAGACTCCAGCTACGTAGTAGAGAGTGAAAATGATAACGCTGTGAATAACATTTGCACAGCCCGTTTCATACTGCTCATTTGTTGGGATCATGAAGCAGCGGAACAATGAAGGATGAAAAGTTGGTGAATGAAGATGATGGTCTGGATGTCTAAGTCCCATCCCGGACAATGTCTAGCCTTGCAAAAGCCTCGCGTAAAATTTCCCCCGCGATGACTCGAGCTTGAGCTTCCAAAAATATTTTGAAGACGCAAACGCAACACCAAACGCACACTGCTGCAAACCACCGCAGTCAATTCCCTCAATGCCACTCTCATAGCAATATCATACAATCTCTCTACCTCCAGAAAATCTGCCACATCGCAAACCATCTACAAACACAATGGTATCCTCATCTAGCGCGCCAGACCTCGCAGGGCTGGCAACCAGAATCTACGACGAGCTTCTACCCCTCCAAAAAGAAGATTCATACATTGTATTCCATCAGAATGATATCTTCGATCTCGATATCATACCCAGTGATCCGCAGGGCAATCACGATGTCAATTTGGCGCTGAGGGTCTTGCAGAAGTTAACGGACGAGAAGCTGCTCAAGGTTGTCCATGACCCGGGCATGGGATGGAAGGTCAGGACGCGGGAGGAGGCGTTGAAGTGAGTTTTCAATATGCGGTTCTACCTTCGCGTGAGAGAAGCCTGCGCGAGGTTGGTTTGAAGAATGAGTAGGAGCTAATTTCCGTTACAACATAGGTACCGTGGGCTCACGACTGAGGAAGACTTGGTCTACAGCTATGTCGACGAAGCAGAAGACGAAGGAGCCTGGACGAAAAACATCAAGAGCCGCTCCAATCTTCACGAAGCTGTCATCCAAGCCGCTCTCAAGAAACTCAAGAGCAGGAACCTGATTTCGGAGATGAAGTCTGTCGAGCACCCAGCGAGAAAGATGTACATTAAGAGCAACCTGTCTCCCAATGATCGAGCGACGGGTGGCCCTTGGTATACGGATGGAGAACTGGATACCGTCTTCATTGACACGATCATGAACACTCTGTTCGACTATATTCTGAAGAAGACTTTTTACTTCAGTAAAAGCTACGGTGGTCCCATGAAGAAAGAGCCGAAGAAGGTGATCAAGAAGATGAGTCCAGAGGAGGCGAGGGCAAAGAGGGATCAAGTACTTGGTGCTGAGAAGAGTGAGGAGGAGTTGGATGAAAAGTCGAAGCGGATGAAGTACTATGAGAAGAATTTGCCAATGCCTGCTGGATACCAAGCGTACCCGACCCTGGACGAGCTGACCGTATGGATCGAGGCACACAAATTCTTCACGCAGACCTTGACGGCGAGTGATCTCCAGCAGTTGCTCGATGTTCTGGAGTTCGATGACAAGATCGAGAAGGTGTTCATTGCGTCGGGGGGACTAGCATACCGAGCTTTGAGAAAGAGCATGCTCAATGAGGATGACAGAGGCAGCGTCTTGAACGAAGCTCCTTGTGGACGGTGCCCTGTCTTTGATCTGTGTGAGGAGGGAGGACCAGTGGGACCCAGTAATTGCGAATACTTCAATGAGTGGTTGCTTCTGTGAAGGATGTAATGGCGATAATTTGACTTTTATGCATAGCGAGGATAGGCTGTCTGTGGAGTTTGGGAAGATACCACGGACTTACAACTTGCATAAACAAGCAATGGTCGGATTATGTTGAGTAGATAGAATGGCCAAAAATGACAAGGCAATTTCACATGTTATTGAGATCGTGATGACTGCAGATACACAATGCTCGTGACCTAATGTTGTTCGTTAACCCTAAATATGTCTTGGTTGGGAGCGATATGTATGGTACACGACACTGTGGCCGAGAACAAAAAAGAAACTCTACATGACGCAAGGGGATGATGGCGTGCATATCACTAAATTGATTCATAGACAAATCACGGCGAGTAAGATGATAAGTGGTGTAGAATCAGGCTGTCATTGCTAATGCATCGACTCAACGTTTTCCTTTCCCTCACCAGTCCATCCACCACCATGCGAGCATCTTAGGACCATGAAAGACAGCGCTCAAGCATAATGAAAGACTCCCATGTGGCTAACCAATTTACAATTCACCAGACTTGACGATGGTAGGCTTCTTGTTATATGTAACCTTTCCGCTACCGCTGCCAGTGGCCTCGAGAGCCTTGACGACAGCCAATGACTCTTGGTCAGCAACTTCGCCGAAGACGACGTGCTTGCCATCGAGCCAGCTGGTGACAACGGTGGTAATGAAGAATTGAGAGCCGTTGCTGTAGAGATGAAAGGTCAGCTTGTGTTTGAGAATTGAGGGTCGTCCGTTGCTTACGTGTTGGGTCCGGCGTTGGCCATGGAGAGAAGTCCTGGCTTGGTGTGCTTCTTTTGGAAGTTCTCATCGGCGAACTTCTCACCGTAGATGGACTTGCCACCAGTGCCCTATGCGAATGTGAGTTACCATTGTATATGTGTGATGATGGAAGGACGTACATTGCCACGGGTGAAGTCACCTCCCTGGAGCATGAATTGAGGGATGATGCGGTGGAAGGACGAGCTGGCATAACCGTAACCCTTCTCGCCGGTGCAGAGAGCGCGGAAGTTCTCAGCAGTCTTTGGGACGATATCGTCGTAGAGAAGGAAGTTGATGCGGCCAGCTTGCTCTGTTGCAGATATATGTCAGCTTCAATATGGTATGATGTAGGTGGGGTAAGTCGTCAACGACGTCAACAGCCACATGAGGTGACGACTCGAGGTGTGTTGAGGATAGCAGAGAGATTGCATGAAGACGAATTGATGGGGCGCATGATATTGATCGATGTTGATGATAATGATGATGGCCATTGCGCTCGAGGAATGAACAATTGTTTACTTACCAGCGACCTTTGAGGTTGGCTTGCCAGCGGCATCGAGAACTGGGCCCTCCCAGGTAACGTCGAAGAAGCTACAATTGTCAGCTTGATGAATAGATGAAGATATCGCATTAAGATTGATGACTTACGTCTTGATGGTCATGTTTGCGGATGAAGCGTGAAAGTATCTTGTTGGGGATTTGTATGTGAAGGATTTTGCTATGGAGGAATGAAGGCTTTGGCGGGGTTTTGTGAAGAGGGGCATTTTGTGAGGAAGGGTGCGCTAAGATAGAAACGGGTAAGCGCCATCCACTGATTGGTTGGGCAAGAGCTGAGCGACAGAGCAGCAACGAAAAGACCGCCGTCCATCGCCGCCCAGGAGACAAAAGTCCAGTCCCCAGCGGTTTTCCAGGATTCCAGCAGGATCGGGAGAGTGGTGAGGGGTGCCACAGGCGTATAGGAGGGTGAGGTGAGGGGTCATGCTATGCTATGCGGTGCGGTGCGGTGCTCGAGCTGCTGCGGTCCATTGCGTGCTACTTGCGAGACCAGGGAAGAGCAGAGCTCAGCTCCTCATGGCTGTTTCTGCGGTTTCAGGAAGCTCAGTTCTCACCATTCAACACCCCTTGCTTCCAACGATTTCCGACATGTCCATCACCGCTTATTCCTGGGGACCTGGTAGGATCCAAGAAAGCCCGCAATATGAAGCAATAAATCTCATCGGGAGAAGGAGGTGCTTTGACAGTTCGTTGAGTTTCAATGACTTCATTCTGATGATAGCTCTCGGCAACCATGACTGGGAGCTCCCGCTGCGGCAAGAAAAGCTGGAGTTGAGGGAGACAGCTTTGGTCTTGATCACCGAACCCGTAGGCCGTCATATGAAAGAGCTGCTGCTCGCCGCCCCGCATCATGCATGCCCTTCACCGAACCAACTTACACTGCTTCTCAGATCCCACCGATGGTTGGATGTGTAGGGTAAGTAGCGTCTGAAGAAACACAGTGCAGTACGTACCTTGGAAAGATTATGCTAAGTAGCGGCTTGAGGTAGCTGGTGGGCCTGGTTGATGAGGACAAGGAGGCTTTGTAAAGTACAAATAGAATACAATTGAGAATGTGAAGAACCGCTCACGAGTCAATTTGATGCTGTTGATGTTGGTACAAAAGGTGGTTGATGGAGGAGAAGAAAAGTCATGGATGCTTCGATTTTTCTCTCTTCCGTTTAGGGGCGGAGAGAACAGGGGTTAGCTTTGATGTCCATTGAGCTGCTCCGTGCAGCACTCGACTCTACAAACTGTACAAAGAGTACGATTGTTCCATAAAAGTCTACGATGGTAATAACTCTTAGTTTCTCGCAAATTCACATGTATCTTTCAATGAAACTTCACAAATTTTATCACCAGTCACGTGATGTCTTTTTGGCCAGGTTTCAGGGATGCCCAAGTTGTGCTTGGCGGGTTCTGACATCTCCAAGTCGAAGCGCAACCCAACGGCTAACACTCCTCGAGGTGCATGAAAAAGGCGCGCACAATCCAGATACATCGACACAGTACAATCTATCAACACCATTATTCTGATAATTCTGCCATTACCATCATGGATCTCGCCAGTCTGAGGGAGGCCGCGTCCAATCTCACCCTCTACGATCTCAAAGCGGGAGTGAGGAAGGTCCAAAATGCCGTTATGAATTACACCGAAATGGAGGCCAAAGTTAGAGAAGCTACGAACAACGAGCCATGGGTCAGTACTCCTGGAGTCTGTCAATGTCGAGCAGACAATCCCTACGAAATATATCAGACTTGAAATACTGACTTCCTGGATAGGGCGCCAGTTCGAGTTTAATGCAAGAAATTGCGAATGGGACATACAATTAGTGAGTGAACTGTATCAACTACGTCACTATTCGGCCTGCTAACGGTTGATATAGCCAGCTTCTCAACGAAATTATGCCCATGATATATAAGCGTTTTACGGAGAAAGCGGCCGAGGAATGGAGACAAATCTACAAGGCTTTACAACTACTTGAGTTCTTGATCAAGAATGGCTCTGAACGTGTCATTGATGATGCTCGATCACATCTTACACTGCTAAAGATGCTGAGACAATTCCACTTCATTGATGCCAATGGTAAAGATCAAGGTGTCAATGTACGAAACAGGGCCAAGGAACTTGCAGAGCTTCTGTCTGATGTCGACAAAATCCGCGCGGAAAGGAAGAAAGCCCGAGCCACTCGAAATAAATATACTGGAGTTGAAGGCGGAGCCGGCTTGGGCGGTGGACTTTCGAGCAGCAGCAGATATGGTGGATTCGGTAGTGAGGAGACGAGCAGCGGCGGTGGAGGAGGGTATGGTGGATACAGTGGTGGGGTCTATGGCGATGGTGGTGGATTCGGAGGCCAGACAAGTGACTTTCAGGACTCTTCTAGCCGCGATCATTCAGCAACTGGACGGAGAGGAGATAAATTTGAGTACGATGAATACGACGAAGGGGCTGTCGCTGCACCATCTCGAAGACAGGCTGATACAGCAACATCGTCCTCGAGCCGGCGGAAAACTACAGAACGAGCTGCAGCAAAGAAGCCAGAACCGCCAAAGAAGGAACCTGAGGTCGACCTATTCTCTTTCGATGACCCTATCCCCACATCTGCTCCCATTGCAGCTCCAACCGCTTCGAACACAGTAGCAGACGATGATGATTTTGACGACTTCCAATCTGCCACTCCTTCTGTACAAACTTCAGCACCATCATTCCCAGCTGCTCCTACCGCAACCACCACTTCTACAACACAATACGCCGCTCCTCAACCAGTATCTGCTCCTAAAGCAGCCAATCTGACCGATCTCGTGGGATTCTCATCTATTTCACCAGCGACCAGCACCAACCCTACACCAATCAACTATTCTGCTTTCTCTCCACCTGTTGTGGCTCAGCAACCACCGCGACCGACTGGCTACCAAGGTGCCCAACCGAATTACTTCACTTCTGTTCAAGCCCCTGCAAATCAAGGCCAGGCCAGCTCCGCTACCTCATCCGTCAAATCCCCAGCCGCTTCTAAGCCAGCTGCCGGCGGAGACGCCTTTGGATCTTTATGGTCATCGGCAAGCGCTGGCATCAAGAAGACTAGCACTCCTACTTCGGGACCTGCACTTGGTCAACTTGCGAAGGAAAAGGCCAGTGCTGGTATTTGGGGTGCTGGATCTTCTACTAGCTCAACCACCATGGCACAGCAACAGAGACCAGCGCAGGCACAACAATCATTGGGGAATGGACTCGACGATTTACTGGGATGAATGAGCCTTGAGCATAATGTGTCAAATTATTAGGTCGGAGCAGAGAACACAATGCATGGGCGTTCTCGATAGATCACGGCGTATAAAATCGTTCAATTTTAACATTTCTTGATCTCTCTCACATTTTTTATCTTGCTTTTTCACACCAATGACTAAGTGGTCAATCATACAATTTAGCCATACTTTAGGTTGCCCTCTTGGTCTAGCATACAGAAGGGGAGATCTTGCCACGAGTTCACTATACTCTAGTGAGGCTTCACTTCCTTGATATGTTGAATGATAAACATTACTTCATTCGAAGCTAATTTCTCGATGTAGAATATGGTATCCATACTTCCCAAATTGCAACCAAAGCTTCATCATGGCCTCTTTGTCTCCGCCAACGTCAACGGAGGTAAGCTATCCTTCACATCCTGTCCCCACTCCGGCGCCCTCAAATCATCATCCTTAACCTGCTCCCCCGTCACCGGATGCGTATAATGGAACGGCACAACCCTCGTATCCGGCCACAACATCAACTGCTCCACCACCTCATCCGGCCCCGTCTCATTCTCCGGATACGTCTTCGTCTCAAACGGCACAAACTCCCCAATCTCCTTATTACTCCACCCCTTCTCGAAACTCGCATGCCAGAACGGGAAGTACTTTAGCTTCCAGATCTTCCAGATCCCGTTCTCCTTGATATACTCGTTCTCGTACACGCCGCCCTCCCACCACTGCACGAAGCCGCGCGGGTGCGTCTCCTGCACCGACTTGTGCGTACCGGCCGACATCAGGGTCCGGAAGCGCCCACAGGCCGTCTTGCCGTCCGGGCGGATGTCGATGATGTCTTGCATCTGCGCGTGGTCGAGCAGGAAGCCGTGGACGGGTCCGTTGCGGCCGTTGACGAAGCGGGGCGCGAAGCGTTCGAGGTAGAGGCGGGCGACGCCTGCTTTCTTGCGGTAGCGGCCTCCGATGAATTCGACGAAGGTTCCTGGGTCGTCGGCGTAGAGGTCTACGACCTGTGGGGTGTGTGTTAGTTGATTGCTTTGGAGGTCAATTGGGATGGGGGGACGAACTTCTTGGTATAGGCACTTGTCGAGGTAGTAGCCATATTTGAAGTGCAGCTTTTTGATCTCTCCTTCGTCTGTAAATTGTCAGTTTGTGCTTTTTGTTTTAGAGATCAAGGGTTTAGGCATACCACTTAGTCGAGTGACTTCCTTTCTCAAGCTCTCAACAAGCTCTTTGAGCTCTGCTACCTCGTTACCTGCACTGCCCATCTTGACTATTTCTCTTTTCTATCTTCAAATTCCTCAAAAATCTCTAATTGGTCCTAAAGATATAAAATCAACAAACAAATCCACACACCTCCAGGAAATAAGGTACGAAGAACTTCATTGTTTGCCCGAAGTGTTATACAACATTCGCATGTATTCTTCCGAGCCCAAATTCCTATGTTTCAGATGAGCTTGCCGACCGGGTATTTTGTGCATTGCTTTTCCTTTAGAATGGTAGTTTCGTGGTCGGTTTCAATATCCCGAGAAGGGAGTGCGGCTGGATGAAGCTGGGTGTTCTGCGGGGTAGCTTGATGTGCGGGGTGGGCTGCCGTGGTTGCAGGAGGCCGTTTGAGGCTGGAATGCTGGTTTATCAGGCTAGGGAGACGAGTGTTGCATTTCGATTGGGTGATTGTAATCAGGGTCTTGATAGCATTTGACCAAGCAGTTTGCATTTTTCACATGTAAGAGTCTTGCCGGACAATTTCTTACAAGGCGTCTCTAACAAAGCGAGGCATTCTGCAACTGAGAGAATACTCGTTAATTTGACATTGAAAGGGCTGGATATTGAGCATCAAATGGGACTTAGGGTTGAGTTCATGTCTCCATTCAGGTGCTACAAAAGTTGCTACTATTTGATTTTGGTACTGTCTCGTACTGACCAGTACCTTGAACTTTTTCAAGCTCCCGTCTCAGAAAGCTACAATTCGAATATTCTCATAGCACTTCGCACTATCATATCTCCAATGGTAGTTTGTAGAGTCGGATAGCATTCGCCCTCCCAACAGCTTCTTTCTGATCTGCTGGAAGATCAACAGTTTTCCACCAGTCTTGCCCTTCCTTTATATTTTCATAAGGGGTGTCTGCACTCAGTCAGTTCCAGCAATCTCCGATTTATATGCTGGGCATACCAATTGCGTATAAACATCTGTCAACTCCAAGCTCTTGGATGCAGAACTTGAGCCCCGCTGTGTAGAAGTTCCCAGAGGTCGTAATATGGACATTGTGTTTGAAGTAATACAAGTAGTCTTGTTTGCACGGCCGAGTATCTCTCTTGTAAGGGTGATTGATCCAGTGAGAAGCTCTCCAGAGATTTAGTGGGATACTGCAACATATCAGCAATTATCAAGACCAAACACATCTGAACAGTTCTTACTTTTCTCCCAAATGTCCCGCCACAATCTGAACTTTTGGATACTTATCAAAAATCCCGCTCGAGCACATGGCATACAAGTGAAACGACAAGTCCAGATGAAACTGCACACCAGCACCCAGCATATGCTTCCTGGTCCCATACGGTTGATCAGCTGTCAAATCATGCTCGATCCTATACCTTGGATGAAAATATATCGGCACATCAAGCTCTTGCACCATTTCCCAAAACGGCCAAAATTTCTCGGTGTCAAACCACTCCTTCCCACTTCCATCTCCCGTGCTCTGAAAATCATTCACCAACCCACCAAACATGCCAAGTTCCTCGACAGCACGTTTCAATTCCTGTGCCGCCTGAACAGGATCATGCATAGACACAGCAGCCAGCGCTCCAAACCTCGCGGGATTCTTCTTCACTTCTCTAGCCAAGTAATCGTTTGCTACTCTCGCCATTTCTTCGGCTTTCGCTGGGTCGGTCTCGGCTTGAACCCCTGGAGATGTGAGAGACAGAAGCATGTATTCGACACCATGCTCGTCCATGTTCTTCAGACGGTCATCGTGGATATCGAGAAGGCGCTTCTCGTGAGCTGTAAGTGTGACGTTGGGTGCTTGGCCCGGACGGAGGAGAGTTGCCCATGCTGCAAGGCCTGCGACGCCTGACGGGTCGATTATGGCCTCTTCGATTGCGATTGTGCCTTTTACCATGATTGAGAACTTGTTTCGAACTTTGAATTTGGGATTGGTGAAGATTGATAGACAAAACAGATTAGGAGAATATCATGAGCAAGATGCTGGTGAACTACACGAACATCAAAGTCAGGGATGAGAGCTCGACGCTCTGACGAACAATGTCCACGAGCTTTCGGGACGATGCAAATGATGCATGATGTGCTACAAGGAAGTATCGGCAGCAATATGAAAACCGCTGTTCCATGCATGGACACTACAAAAAGGAAGATTGCGATGTATGTTGGACGTCGCATTCTGCCGACTCTCGCTTGGGGCCCTCGGGGAGTTGCAGCCGAGAAGAAAGGGGAGGAGGGGGCATCATGTGATAGGGCGGATCTCTTGTGTGGGGTGGACGCCACCATTTTTGCTTTAGCCAGCCAACGTGCACATATTGATTATTGATATGAGGTCGGCCGACGTGATTTCCAATCTCGTGCAAAGTCACTTTGTCTTGTTTCGTCGTCGAAGGTCCGCTGCTGATACTCAATTACACGAGCAATACCTAGGTCATCCACGATGGGAGAAGCACATGATACGAATGGAACGAGTCCGGTGAAGGAGATTGAGACACGGCTCTTCATCAATGGAGAGGTTAGACATGTTTGAATATCTAGATCATAACGGGAACTGATATTCGGAGCAGTTTGTCGAATCTTCCCACGGCAAGACTTTCGATTTATACTCGCCCAAAACACTTGAAGTGGTAGCCAAAGGCAAGCCTCCCTTCTCACTATCTAGAACCTCGTCTAATCGGCCCCACAGTCTACGAAGCCTCAGAACAAGACACAGATAGAGCTGTAGCAGCAGCCAAAGCAGCACAACCAGCATGGGCAGCACTCAGTGTCGAAACCCGCTCTGGATACTTCAAGAAACTCGCCGCTCTAGTCCGGGAACATCACGATGAACTTGCCCATCTAGAAGCTCTCTCCATGGGAAAGCCAGTCTCGACATATTTCGATGCACACGCTTTTGCGGGAACCTTTGATCACTATTCGGAAGCTGGGTATACGCCTCAGGGAATTTCGAGTTTAAATACACCTGGTTACATCAATTTAACGTTGAGGCAGCCGTATGGTGTTGTTGCGGCGATTATCCCTTGGAATGTTTCGTTGCTTTTCTTTGCTAAGAAGGTGGCTCCCGCTTTGGCTGTTGGTAATACGGTTGTCTTGAAGAGCAGTGAGAAGGCTCCGTTGACTGTGAGTCAAAATGTTACGATCTCAAAAAGTTACCAAGCACTGACGAAACTACCAGTCTGCTCGCGTTGCTCATTTTGTCCAGGAGGCAGGCTTCCCTCCTGGAGTTATCAATGTCATCACTGGATTTGGTCAAGTTTCAGGCTCTGTTCTCAGCCATCACATGGATGTGCGAGCACTTTCATTCACAGGATCGACCAGGACAGGACGCCAAATTCAAGAGGCTTCTGCAAAATCTAACCTGAAGGCCATATTCCTCGAACTCGGGGGAAAGTCTCCAGCCATTGTGTTCGAAGACGCCGATCTTGAAAAGGCTGCTACAGCTACACAATTCTCTGTCCAGTCAAACAGCGGCCAAGTCTGCATGGCAAACACACGAATCTACATCCAGGAGACAGTGGCCGACAAGTTCATTAAGATGTTCAAAGAAAAACTCGAGAAGGTAACGATGGGAGACCCGACTTCACACGAGACGGACCATGGACCACAAGCCGATAAAACACAATACGAGAATGTACTTCGGTACCTCGAGATCGGCAAGCAAGACGGGAAATTGCTGATGGGTGGACAATCCCCATCCGACCACTCCGGCTATTTCGTCAGTCCCACAGTGTTCCTCGACACACCCGAAGACTCTCGAATCATGAGAGAAGAAGTCTTCGGCCCGGTGGTCTGCATCAACACCTTCAAGACCGAAGAGGAAGTGATGGCCAAAGCAAACAATACCGAATATGGATTATATGCCTCAGTCTTCACCAAGAACATCGATCGAGCGATGCGATTCGCGAAAGGACTTGAAGCTGGAACTGTGGGTGTGAATTGTACCAGTCCCGAAACTGGAAGGGATACACCGTTTGGTGGATTCAAGGGCTCTGGGGTTGGCAGAGAGGGTTATCATCACTGTATGAATAACTTCCTGGAGACGAAGACGGTGCTTATCAAGATTGATGAATGATATGGTTGGGGATATGCCGGGCAGATAGATGGGATTGCAGCTTCAGGCTGAATTTGAGCGATGACTTACTTTCCTGCGATGCAATGTAAGGTTAAGATCCATCAGAGCGAGAGCGAAACATTCAACCACACCTTCTTCTGATCTGAACGTTTCTCCAAAACATCTCTTTTCTCCATGACTTGCATGACTTCTCGACAGCCGTTTCAACACTTGCCGCGATTCAACTGCCGAAAGTGCTTTCTGAGGGAAACCAGAGCTGAACGCCTCGCACCTCGAAGGGGTGTGGGGCCCATGTTCCCCACGAATCCAGCCCCCCTGAACGGCTACCCCGCACTCCTTCCAAGGGACCAGCGCTGCAACCTGCCACCACGAGACCCTGCAAGAAAGATTTCCTCCCCGGCGGCTTCAACTCTGGTGATCTCGACGCCACTCGCAGCGTAGTTAGTGTTCCACGACGCGTCTTCCGGGACCCGTAGGCATTGCTGGGGAACCGTACATCAATGCTTGGAGATCCCCGCTCCTGCGTTTGCCTGCGACAGTTGTTGTTGATGAGTGGAATGAGCTTTAGCAATGACTGAAAATCGTGTGGTTGATGGCCGTAGAGCCAGTACGGGTTCTAATAATCCGTTGAAGGCGAAGAAGGTGAGGACACCGAAGAGTTGTGATCGGTGCAAGAGTAGGAAGACTAAGGTGAGCTTTGTCTGACCGAATAAAAGAAAAAACCTCAGGCTAATTTGAAAGTGCATTGATCCAGGTTCGTCGTTTTTTAGTCTGGGTACCAGTTGGGGCACATATATATGGGGACAAAATGAAGTAGATACATCCTCAAGAAACGATCACTAACAAGGTGCCCACAGTTCCTGGCCCATGTAGATATTGCGCCCACATTGGAGCAGAATGTGGAGTAGCTCAACGTCCAAAGCAGAGACCGTATTACCATGTCTCCGAAGAAGAATACCGCTGCTCAATGCAAATACTACAGCACTTCCTTCCTGAAGAAGAGCTGAATCTAGTAACATTGAGAGCAATCGCAAAAGACATCAAAAGCGGAAACAGCCCAAAACCAATATACAACTTCAAACCCGACAAAGCGGAGAGCGAACCCCTGGAAGGCACTGCAAGCAATGATTCAGAGCCAGATACCGAAGAGATTGGGGATCTACACGAACAGCTGGGATGTCTAATGAGAGATTCTTTGGGAGAGTATCGTATGTGTCTCGGCTTCAGCACACAGAGAAATACTAATATACCACTAGGCTATGTCGGAGCATACTCGGAAATAGCATTCAATGCAGCAGTCTGCTCAATAAAAGACCCACCAAGCCCCGAGCAAGAAGACCAAAAGATCATCCTCCCACCAAAAGACGACTTCCCTCCCGTGAAACCCGAGCGAGTAAGGCTTCTCGAAGAAGTTAGTTCACCAGATCAGCCATACCTCCCTCCACGAGAATGCTGCGACTATTATGTTGCAAGGTTCTTTGAGGAGGTACATTGCGTATATTGGTTGTATCCCATTGAAAATTTTCATGCGAGATTGGATGATACGTATATCTGTGGAAGTAGTGCAGCAAGCAGTTCATGGCTCTGCTCGTTATATGCTATATTTTCTCTTGGATCTGCGTCTGGGAGGAATGTGAATAATTACTCCCACGATAAAACGGGGAGGGATTTTGATATGAGGAGTTCCGAGGATTATCTTACGCTCGCTAAAGCTTTGGTTCCGTCTGTTCATGACGAGGCGGATATTGACAGTATTCGAGCACTTGCTATCCTCGTAAGTAAAGGTCGATTTCTGAAATCAGGTATATGGCTGATAAGAAATCCAGAGCTTAGCCCTACTCACCTTTAAATTCCGAATCACTTCATACCTCTATATGGGAACAGCAATGCAAATCGCCTTCTCTCTAGGACTCCAACACGACCAATCCCCCACAACCCAAAGTCCCGTTTCCCGCCAGCAAAACCGCCGCATATGGTGGACCCTCTACATCCTCGACCACGAAATCGCCTCTCGCTGCGGCAGCCCCTGCGTCTCCGACGAGCGAAGCCTCCGCATCGCTACCCCCTTACCATCCGAACAAGTGCTAAACCCAGGGACCAACACGCCCCTCGGCATCCTCTGCGAATCCGTCTCCTTAAGCCGCTTAAAACGGACTATCATCCAAACAATCTACCCCTCCTCTTCTTCTGATTCCAGAAAAATCTCCTTCTCATCCGTCACGGCCCACGTATCCTCCCTCCAGAGCTGGCAAGCGTCCATGCCCTCACATCTCAAATGGGGCGTCCCAGTAGCGCCAACCCACCGCCGCAGCATCGGGATCCTGCACCTGAACTACTGGAACGCTATGATGCTCCTCACTCAACCGTTTCTCCTCTACCTCGTTCTACGTGGAAACACCATCAAACACCCGAAGAAATCGTGGTTCGAGAAACTAGGCGAGATTTGCGTCGACGCGGCACGGAACGCGGGGATCGTGTTGAAGGAAATGAGAAGCGAGGGGAGTCTGAGTAGTTTGACGACGATCGATTGTACGTGTGCGTTGAAGATCATCATGATTTTCAGCCTGGTGATTGCGAGGGAGGAGGTTGATGGTGGTGGTAGCGGGAAGGGGAGAGCGAGGGAAGCGAGGGAGCTGATTCAGGGCGTTGTGGAGGTTTTGGAAAGTATGGAGCAGGTGGGGTTTGTGAAGAGTGTTGTGTGGGAGTTGCCGCAGAGGTTGGAGAGGTTGGGGATTAAGAGGGAGGTGCAGGATGATATGGCGGTGCAGGAGAGTGTGGGGCAGTCTTGGGCGGGCTTTGATTCGTAAGTTCTGTTCTAGGTGGAAGAATGAGTGAATCGAGCTAACAGACACAGAAGTATTTCTTATGGCAACCAGACGACAAATCTGCAAAGTATGGAGGGTCTCGGTGATGAGTCTTTCTTGGTTGATATGGATTTGTTCATGGATATGGAGATGGACGTGTCCTCGATGCATGGGACGGCAGATTTGTTCCAGCCAAATTTGAACCTGGACTTCTTTAGTGGGGTGTTTGGTGGCTTTGACCCAGTATAGTATTTTGGCTTAATGCTGTATTTGTATGAATGAATGCCATGACAAAGTTCAGATAACCGTTGCGATCATAAGCTATGACTCTACACGTTGCTGTGCCAGGTTAACATGAACACAAGAGAGAAGAGGCTAATGCCAAGATGGCTAGCTGCTCAAGAGATAATATTTTGCATAGAAGGAAACACGGACGCTACCTCGATACGCGAGTTGTCACCGAAAGACCAGGGGAATTAGTTCTCGGCAAAAAGTTCAACATCTTCCTGCTTGTCTTCACGAAAGTTTGCGCCTCTTGCACCACCTCGCAGATTCAAACCCACAATCCCCTGCCACAACAAAAAAGAGAGAGTCATAGTTGAGCAGTAGGGCTTCCTAATGCTCAATCCGAAAACAATCGACTAAATTCCTTTTTCCTGCAAAGATATACTCAACCACTCCTCGCTTTCGTCACAAGATTAACAAAAAAATGGCAAAACTTTTACCAGCGCAGCACGCTGTCTCTCAAGCGTGGTGCACTGGTCAAAGATACCCAACTGAATGGGTTTTTGATTTCGGGCGTATACGTATTTTTTGTCTTGGTCTGTTCCGGACCAGTGTAACCCACTGCTGGGGAGCTGCGGTGTCGAGCTCAGTTTTAGTTTACCGTCAATTGCGGACCCGACCTACATGTTAGCCACTGAACCAGCTGGGCTGGTTTCATGGAATGACATTTGCTTGTTTACATTTATATAGGAGGTAGCTTAGCGCCAAATTTATGGCTAGCGAAGCTAAGCTAGAGTTGAAGGTGAAGGAATCGAGACATCCACGCCGGATACTGGCTGGTATCTCGGAATCGGTTTTACAATTCTCTCTCTCTTAGGATTTTTTTGGGGTTACTTTGGGTTTGCTCACCCTCCTCTTCGTCTTGGATAGCCTTGGGTACACATCAATTGCAGCAACACAGACACAGCAACACAGACGTCAGTCGTAGTAAAGCTTCTCATTGATTCTCTACTAAATATGCCGAAGCGGCCGCAAACCAACAGCCCGCAACTAAATTAAAGCATGCTTCAAGCCAAAAACATCAAGTACGTTTCATCAAGCGTTTTCTTCCTCCAAGTCCAAATCCGCGCGTCCTGACGCCATGCCAAATTCATTTCACCGAATCCTCCCAATTCTGAACGCAATTTCAACACCAAGTGGTTGTGGAGGAGGAGGAGGAGGGAGGAGTGCTTGTAGTGGCACTAAATCAGGCTCGGGGCCTGTGACAAAAGTCAATTAGCATCTTTGTAGTCAAGTGTTAAAGAGGCGTTACTATGGTGGCGTCTAGCGCGGCGGAGCCGCCAATCAGCTGTCAATCTCCAACTAGCCCATGCCAAGATAGTACTTAGTATGCCAATGACTATGGTCAGGATGCCGATTATGAGGTTGATGCGATTATCGAGTGATAAGCCTCGCGGAGGGGTAGATGTGAGTTCTACAAGGTTCACTTTGTGTAGAAATCTGAGGGTGTAGAGTATACGTACCTGTATCGTTATACATCGTAGAGGGCATTTGTATCAATTGAAACCTGACAGTCTTGCTTTTTATGGCGCTTTTTAGAACTGCATGCCAATGAGACTTGTTAAGTGCGTACTTTCTCGTCTTTAAGTATGAGCCTTGAAGCCTGGATGAAGTTCGAGTTCGATGCAAAAGTCTGTAGATTGAGTATCTGTTGAGAAGATACAACGAGGCTCCAACGTCTCGAGGTGGAGCTGAAAGTATGCTGCTGAGCAATTTGTGTAAAACCTGGGCAAGGAAATGTAATTTTTATTTTGTGGTTGCCGGCGCGAGTAAAATGATGCAGTGCTAAGCTCCCTGCAGAGTTCATGTACGGACAGGCACCAACTTGGTGTTAAGCACAGCTTGAGTTGAATTTGGTATCCAAGAAGCAGGAAGAACGCAACTTGCAAAACGTAGAAGATAAGTTTGGGAAACGCGACAACAACTCGTCATGAGGTACTGGGTTAATCCTTGACATGTTGGCGGGCAAGGCCCTTCAGGAGGATCTGCTTCGCAGGGCAAACGGCACCAGTCTCAAGATGGGTGCCGGACTTTCGACAAAAACTCTTCCATTCTTTTGGCTTTCTTTGCGTGGTTTTGATCGTTCCAAAATGTGTAGTCTGGTGTACGCACTTACAAATACTATTCTAGAAATCTTCGAGCCAGTAATACAGACCCATTCAGGAAGATAAGTATAGCAAAAAAGAAGCAGACAGAATGCCCGACGTACTATACTATACATCTCGCAAAATAGTAAAAATCCTCAGATTGGTAAAAGCTGATCTTACTTGTCAAAAGTCCCGCACTAAGGAAATTTGATTCATAACATTTGCAAGGCTGCATGCTCCGGGAGATCTGATAAATATCATCGGACCCCCTCACACCTCTAAAGATTTGCATTCGCAGCAGTCTCCACCAACAACAAGATCACATAACATTGTTCGCGGGAAATTCAAAACAGATTCTCAATCACATCAAAACAAGACATACCGGTTCGGGTCATTCACATTCAGCTCCTTGTGAAAGATGCCTAATGAGCTAATATGACTGCATCACTTGATATACTCCTCGAAAGTATGGTCTGGCACAACGCCTTCGTGTAAGGTATATCATTAAGCCCGTATAGCTACAAAACGCCTATCTACAAGCCGCAGATGTGTTATAACCTTTTCCATCCTGAACCTACCCACTCCGAAAACAAGGAACTCGCCAAAAAGCATCACCTACGAATAGAACGAACTCTTCTGAAAGCTCTCAACTCCAATGTCACCCGCCTTGCCAGTGATGACAGGCTTCGGAGTCTGACTGGTCAAACTGCTTGCACGACTGCCACTTTGGCTCGCGCTTTTGATCTCAGCAATTGCTTGACCTGGCCGTCTTGCAAGTTCGAGATACACGCCTGGAAGATAGCCCATACGCTTATCTCGCGCTCTACATTTCCACCACTCGCTGGGGTTTCCCATTGGATCTGTCTTGCTCAATACAGCAACTAAGTCGCCTTTCTTGACCTCTAGATCTACACCTTGCACTGCTGCTCCTGATTCGGGTGTGAAGTCGTAAAGTACACGATAGAAATCGAGCTTTGAAGGATCGAATTGCTGAATTGGTTGGCCATCTGGTCCAATCTGTACTTGGCCTGAGGCAGCCAGCCTTCGCTGTTCCTCCTCTTGTGATGCTGCGAGAGCTTTGATGAGCTTCCCCATCAGGTATGGCAGACCGAAAGCGGCCGCTAAGAAGAAGAGGAATGGCTTCTTGCTTGGTCTAGGAGCAACGGCCTGAGTGCCGTCTGGGAGTGTTCGGCCTTCAAATTTGGCAAACGCACTAGGTGTGAGTGCCGTAGCATCTGCTGGAGGAGGTCGGCCTGTAAGCTTGGCAAAAAGCGTTCGTAGCCAGCGCATGAGAGTGAAAATTCCTAGTATCGAACCCAGAGTATTCCTTAGATTTCCGAATTGCTCAGCAACGGATACCATTGCTACACTAGTCAGCTATCGCCATAATCTTAGATTTCAATCTCCTCACCAAAAAAGCTGGAATGTGTAGCCATATATGTGCTCTCGAGCATTTGAGCAAACCCTCCAAAGGCTCCTACTATGCTCTCGATAATTTGAAACGTCGCTGCTGTGCTCTGTGTGAAGCCATTCGTTAGGCTGTTGGGATCATTCGGATCTGGTTGCATGCCTGGCATCCCGCCGCCATACATCCCTCCTCCGTACATGGATCCATATCCTCCCATTCCTCCCATGCCGCCGTACATCCCACCTCCGTAGCCGCCGTATCCCATACCTCCCATCCTCGAGTATGGGGATGAGTAGGCACTACCAATTCCACCATACGGTGAGCCTACGCCTCCTAGTCTGTTTGCGCCGTAAGGAGAATACGCCGACGCGTTTATGTTGACTGCAGAGGTGAGACTTGAAGGTCTCTGGGGGATTGCCGGAGCAGATGAAGACGACGCCGCGGATGTTGGCTGCGTCGTTGATTGTCCTCCATTAAGTGCAGAAACACTTGGAGATGTTGCTAGGGCTTTATGATTTCTATGTCAGCAGGTGCACACTTGTCGCCATCAATGATGGACTGAGATTAACAAACCTGTGCTCGCGCCCGCAGCCCCATTACGCTCCCATGGCTTGGGCGGTGATACCGCTGCCATAATTGTCGACTACACACCTGCCCTCTGCCTCTTAGGCTTCTGTGGACGTGCGCAGACCTTATCGTCGTACAGTTGTCGAGGAAGATTGAATTGTTGCCGTCCTGATTGAGGATATCTAAGCTTGTGACGTGAGGCGGCGAATGCCGAAGTTTGCTCCGCGAAGAATTTGCGGGGTTTGTATGCGGCTTCAACTTTGACAGGTATGAAAAGAAAGTGAGAGATATGTAAGCTGTCTTACAGAACAGTTACTTTCACCATTTGATATCGAACAGACGGATCTACTCAATGTCTGAATTGGTCATAGTTTACCTAGGCATGTCTGGATTCTCATGGGAGGCTGGTGAACCTCGGCTCGGATTTTGCATGAGAAGAGAAGCCTGGTTCACTGCACAACACGAGGCCTACATAATGAATCTTGGACGAATGCGTTCAGTAAACCCAACTAAAATTATAAAACAGTCTTCTTTCATTTGGACATTAGACTAATTTGAAGCTGTCTGAGAGGAGATATAACTGATGGTCACGTGGTGGTATAGGGGGTTACCGAGCTCGAGACACTTCCAGATTTGCTTTTCCAATATAATGAACGATTGTTATTTACTGCTAGAATAATTTGCAGGTTGCCAAGCTTCTTTCAGTCTCTACTTCAAGTCCTTGAAAGCAGGTGCGGATTTCATGAACTCCTCCCATGTGGTCAATTTGTCTACCAAAATCTTTTGCAAAAGTCAGCACTTTATTCGGACTTCGAGTTCAGGACAGGGCATCTTACCGAGTGGCTTTCATCCAATTTGGCACCACCATAGTAACCGAATTCGTTCATGAGTCTCATGTTCTGCAACAACTCCTCTTCAGCTTCCTCTGGCAGGCCAGTTTTCCCAAGGATGTCCTTGAAAACTTGATGAGGAAGTTCAGCAGCCTTGGCTGTCTTTCCAGCCTCAGGAAAGACTTCTTTGAACTCCTTGACCATTTCGTCCAAAGTGTAATAGTCGGTAGCCCCATAGATTCTCTTGCCAAGTGTCTTCTCGCGGTTCAACAAGATGCCTTTGACAAACTTGCCCGTATCACCGACTGTGTTGAGTAGAGGAACTGGCGTACTTCCAGGAATGGGGAGGGCGAGTGTCCAATCATTGTTGGGAGGAGCTTGGCGGAACATGCCTCCTGGCAAGTTAGACATGTAGAAGCCAGGCAAGAAGAAAGTAGCCGGGAGCCCAGTTGAGCGAACATAATCTTCGATCTTTGCCTTAGAGTCAAAGTGCTTAACCTTGGGCAATGCACCTTTGGAGAGCTCAGTGACGTTTAATAAGCTGCTCCAAATGTAATGCTGAATTCCAGCTTCCTTTGCAGCATCTGCCATTGCTTTTCCTTGCTTCATCTCGACATCTGCGCTCTTAGACTCCCAATAGTTTGTGACTGCAAAGACAGCATAAGCACCTTTCATGGCGTCCTTCAAAGTCGCAGCATCATTGAGATCGGCCTGATAAGGGATAAGTAATGGTAAAAATGACAAATATATTCTAAAGACTTACAGCAACCGTCTCAGCGCCCTGTTCCTCGAGAGCTTTGGCTGAAGGCTTCGAAACGTCACGTGTAACACCTCGAACAGTCCAACTTTCTTTCATCTTGGAATCCCCGAGAATTGCTTTGACGACTGACCCACCCTGGCCTCCAGTAGCACCAAAAACGACGACGACTTTCTTTGCTGCCATTTCGATGCTGTTTTGCGAAGCGTATCTAGGTCAATAGCGGGGAGTTCAGGACTCAGTAGAACTTAGATAGATAGCTGATGAAGTTAAGAAGGTTTGTAGATAGTGTATGAAGAGCTTGAGATGGAAGTTTGACTGGAATGTGAATGGTGATGATGATGATGGAATGGGAAGACGGCGACCCATACTTATACTTTCTCCCTTTATCAAGCTCAAGCTGAACAAGTGCGGCCAAGTCAACTCTAGCTTCCGTGCTTGCTTCCACACTCACGTAGCACGACCTTCGGTAGGCCGTGACGCCGCAGTGATGCATCACCAAAGCACTGAGCCATTGCGACGGCTGCTTGGCGATTAAAAAGCATATTTCGCATGACTTTCACAAATGAAGATTAGCTGGAGAGTGTTGTTGAAACAAAACGAGTGCCAAGCTTCGTTTCCCAATGAGGACCGCACTTTCCACGAATGAGCTTAATTTCGGGGTTCATCATTGCTTGCGAGACCGAGTGCGGCCCCGCGAAAGCGTCGAGGGCTTGTGGTTTTATAAGCAAGGCTGCAGATTCTGGGTCTTCCAATAATGTCACCGAAAAGTGTGCGAGCCACAGAAAGACGTGTGGCTGGGAGACTTGCCATTTCGATCATAGTGCGTGCTTACGAAGCAGTCCAATATGCTTGGAATGCTGAAGTCAGATAATCTCAATGACAAACCTGGATACTTTATTTCGACTTACAACCTCGTTACTTCGCATCTTCGCCCATATACTTCGGGCTTTAGAGAATGAGCGATGCCGAAAGGAAAGTAAATACTCAGTGTCAGCATGAATCATCTCAACAACGTTGACCTGTCTACCTAATTCTACCAGAGCTATTCGGACAGGTGACTCCGAATTTATAACTCCCGGCACCTCAGCTTTTCGTGCCAACATCATATCATGTACGGCATCTCATCAAAGAGGCGTGAAAGATGAGGACGAAATGAGAATTTTCCTTCGCTCGTGGAACGCTACGTCTATATTTAAAGTTGTATGCCCCATGCGGTCGGCAATTTCACTTACGCGCCCGGAAGTCTCTACGGCGCTTGACATCGCCAGATTGTTTCAGCAGTCCTTGGGGTCCGTTTGCTTGACCCCAAGTGCATTGCGGCGTATGTTGATCATGCCGGGATAATGCATCGGCTGAATTAATCGTGCAACAATGACTCTTGGTGGCGCTTGCACCGCCAATGGCTCTCGTTCTGAGAAAGGATGACCCACTGTATCGGGCTCACAAGGGGCGGGTGTTGCTGGAAGCATGGGAAGCTACATGCAAATAACTCAACATCCCGACATGTCTTACATTGTTCTCGTTGGTTTGCTAAGTCGGGAGAGCCGAAGTGCGTCCGCTTGCTGGTCGCAGACTCGGCCTCTCCAATGAGCACATCTGATATTCCAACATATGTTTTACTCAGATCTGTTATTTGAAACGTACCTGCATGTTGGAGTACAACATGAGGTTACTGTCATCTGTGTACTGCATAGAGGGAAACTCTCAGCCATCTCCCACCTCTTAAGTACTATCTCCGTGTCTTTTTCAACTTCTCTGATACTTTTATTATTGCACAATTTGTATTTATTGTTCTACATTAAGTCGCTGTACGGAATCACCATTGAAATCTGCAAATATGCTGAAAATAAGGGCCAAGGGTTTGAGCTCCAACCCAGTGATGCATCACAACAGCCAGTCATCTCTCTCATTCATAAATGCTGGAACTTCAGGACCACCGAGAAAGGAATCCGCCCTCATCACTTCGACGTGGGGGATTGGATGGCAAACACCAACTGCGATGATTGCTTGTTATGCCCTAGGTTTGAAACCCTTGCTTACAAACTGCTCCGTTTTAATTCGAATTAGCTCTTGTACTTGCCGTAGTCCATCTGATTCTATTTCGTTATATCGATGGCAAAGAAGCAGATGGGCCCAACCGAATAGCTCCGCAAGCTTATATATCCACGGCTTCAAACATCTTGGCCAATGCATTCGGCTTCTCTCTCCGGGCTTCGTTGGCCATCGCATTTGTGCAACGGTTATGGCTTCTGTTGCGAGCTCAGACCATGAAAGTGTCAACCATCGAAGCTCTTTTCAGCATCAGGTCTAATCCACTCATGCTTTTCAAGCCAGCGGCAATAGCTGCAACGCCACTTTTATGTATTCTGGCCCTTGTGATGTGGATCACTCAATTTGTGACCGGCTTTCCTCCGGGAGCGATTACAGTAGTATCAGTCCAGAAAAGTACTTTCGGCACAGTCAACATTCCGTCTTTTAATGCTTCTTATGTACGTAACAAACCATCTAGTATTATAATTCTCTCCTTGCAATGTCTTTTCCTACTAGATTGACATTTTCACTTATTTAGCTAACTCCTATAGATGGGAAATGGCTCTGGTGTCGACGCAGAGGCATTTTCTTTGACGACTTTGACGCCAGTGCAAGGTCTAACTCCAGACCAAAGTGGATTTCAAGCCAGGTCGGTCATCCTCCTAGCTTAGTTTCGCAGTCCTAACAGCTTTATCGAACATAGTGGATTTAGTGAAAACAAGAACACCAATCTAATAAACCTTCTAGCACGTCAGATTTTAGTTGCAGGAGAATCTTTCTCGATGCCATCGCCCTGTGGAGTCAATTGCTCCTATACAATGTCATTCGAAGGGCCATACATGAATTGTAATTCGTCATCTGATGTTCTATACTATGATGATGCCACTGGGATCTTTAACATCTATACAGGGCAGTGGTTTTCGCCACTAGCTGTAAATCCCAATCCAACTCGTTTCTACAACGGAACATATACACAAGCTTTTTTCAACGCTACAACAATCAATCCCATACAGGTAAATGGGTCATTGCTGGATGGAAACGGAAATTCTTCTGCACTTGTTCAACAGGGCAGCATAGTCTGCGCACCGGGACGTGCAAACTTCACAGTCACCAATAATTACGAGAACAATGTCTGGAGCAGAAACGTGTCCTCGGAACCCATCGACACATTGATCAATCTGGCAGTCCCGACACACGACCATGTTGTCATAGTCCCGGGGTTTGGGGCAGCCAGTGGGACTGGGCCAGGGACAACTCCCGCTAATTGGAGCTTGTATGCACTGGACTACTACCGTGATACTAATATAATGACGATTCATGGCTCGCTATCGTCTTGGTTGAATGGCAGTTTCCAGGGCTTTTTCGCAGATGGCGAGAATTTTCCAGTGATAGGTCCATCGGTCATAGGCGACCCCTATGGCTCGTATCTACCGTTGTGGAACGAGCAGATAGTCACGACAACAGAAGGGCAAGCAGTTAGTATAGCAGGTATGTACGTGTTTGTCTTAGTTTCCAACATTTTGCCAACTTTTCCAAGCGCAGAACGGAACCGTCATCGAGAGCACTCGGTTTAACACAGCTTTTGGCCACTTCTCTCTTTCCGAAAGCTCCCATCCTTCTTTCAACATAACACAAGACCTCATTAACGAATATTTGTTCAACATGACAACTTCTATGATGCTTGCCTACAGCCTTTGGGACACCACCGCCAACGCAACAAAGCTTACTAGGGTCAACGTTTACAGCTTCTCTCAGCCCCTCAGTCTTGTTCTACCATACTTCATCACGCTCTTTGTTACAATGCCCTTCGTTGTGATGGGCTGCCTAGCACTCTTCAAGAACGGTGTGTCTGCTATGGATGGCAGTTTCATGCAGATCATTGCAACTTCGACTGGCAGTGCAACACTGGACAGAGCCGCAGCTGGTGGATGCCTCGGAGGTGACGAGAGCATGCCACAAGAGCTTAAAGATCTCGAGATCAAATTTGGAGAGTTCATTGGCCGCGACGAGCCTGGGAGGATCAAGCGGGCTGGGTTTGGGTTGGAGAGTGAGGTCAAAGAACTGGAGAGAGGGGACAAATATGGAATTGCGAGATGGATCTAACAATGATACCTCAAAGCCGAGAAGAACGTGTGAGTCTCCCTGCGTCAGATGCATCTTTTGTTAGCCATCTCCACTTATTCTGTTGAAAAATTTCAACTGACGCTTTCAAGTTCGACTAGTCTCGTCACGTCACGTCAAACTCCTCATCGCTTACTTGCGACTCATACTCAACTCCCTCCTCCCTTCCTACCTCACCTCACACCCATAATCAACGCAAAGCTACAATACGAATTTACAAGGCAATTTCTACCCTCGAATTCGCATTTCAAGCCCACGTAAAGGATTCTTACCCGAGTAATCGCGGTCCAGACCTTAACTCTTTTGTACTCGAGCCAGCTTATGAGATCGATCAAACGACGCCGCAAAAGAGCTCTAAGCACTATCGGATCTCGCGAACGCAAACACAAGGACAATCCTTTCGGTTTTCATGCTTTGTAAGCAGTATCGAATCGCACTACCAGAAAAATCAAAGGAAACAAGGAGATCAGGAAATGAACACGAGTTGGTGGCACATCTTTCATGCTCGAACTCTCGAGCAATTTCCCAGCCACCATCTGGCCAGCATCGAATCATGGCGTTGAGGAGGGTACTCTATTCGTACGATAGGGTTTCTTTCCCAACGCCAGCGCAACTGGTAAAGCATGGGATAAAGTGGTTCGTTCGGACTCCGATCTTCGTCGACATGGAGTGCATCATTTGAGAAATGTACTTGGAGATCTAGTCTCCTAGGGTACTTGATGGCTCCACTCCTCAAGTGAGCATCGATCCCTGCGTCTCCAGGTATGTCGATCTTCGATGAAACTCGGCTCTTGATGCGAATGCATAAGGGCAAGATTGCTCTTGAGAAATGCTGACTTTGCTGTGAATTAGGCCCAATATAACTTGAATAATCTCCCTCTTCGTCCCTCAATAAACTTTGATTTCGAATATCTGCCGGCCCTAGCAGTACGACTGGAAGCTGAGAGAGTTTCGTCTACCATGCAACTCGTTCAGCTGCGGTGAGGCCAAGCAGGAAATGAACACGAGTTGGTGGCACACTTATGAGTCTTGTCCCAGAACGGGAGGTTGTTGTGATCGTTAACGATGTAGGTGCCTCTTACAACTGTTGGTGAAGAGAGCTAATCCGACAAGCACATCAACTTCCCAGGACTAGCTGGTTTCAACCCATTGCGAGGCCCGAACGTTGGTGCTTTCGGTCCACGATTCCTGCCACTAGCCGATCCCTATGACCTTGCTCTTAGGAGTGTTGCATATCGAGGCATACTTTGTTGAGGGGAGGCTGTGAATTCCTTCCTGGATATGATCTCTGCTGGTCAGCAATTGTGAGTATAATTGTCATATTACATGAACATAGGAAGGACTAACAATCTCTAGCGAGTTGCGTTTCCCTTTGATACAATCAAGTAATGACCACGAGTTGGTGGCACACTCAAGGACACATAGCCGACGGGGTCGTGCAGAGAGTCTCCGGAGCCAGAACAATCGAGCAACTCAAGAAGCTCCACCTCGTGCTGTAGCACCAGCACCAGTCGAAGGTAGCAGACTTTGCTACTGCCACGACAAGAATGTCCTTGTGTTTGGGGGATGAACCTCCAGAACGCCCGTCCTCATACGGCTTATTGGCTGCTTTTGCGGCTGGGGAATCAATCCCTCAGATGGCAAGACTCGCAGGCAAATTCGTGGCTATGGATGTCAGAACTCTATCATATCGCGCCCAATAAGACAACGAGGATCTGAAACCCGATCTATCGGGAAACAGTCTTGGTCCATTCGCTTACTTACTCCGCGAGGATGAAGTCAATCATCTTAGGCGCAATCCAGAGAATTATGATAATTGATAATTGGGAGGACAATTTTGCTCAGATATCCGACAATTTCCAGTCGGAGGGAGGAACAATTCCGGCACTCACGAAGCTCGTCCAAGGCCACCCGAGGCTGGTTTCCAGATTTCCAAAGCTCATTGACAACCTCACCGATCCTTGGATACGACTTGGTCGATGGACGAGTTGTACCAGACTACGAGCAGTTGGATGAGATCGTCCGAAAGCCAATCGAAACGTGCGTTGTTATCGTTCCTGGTCGCAAGAGACAGAAGAAGACGGACAGCCGTGTGGCAGAACTGGAGAGGAAGATTGATGCCCTGACTCAATCACTCGCGCAAAAGTCTGCAGGAATTGCACTTACAACTGTTGAAGTATGGACCAATTCCCAACGAGGCTGACCCTGCTCAAGGCAATGCTCGTCACCAGCGTGGTCCATCCGTTGTCTCTGCTAGCCACTTCGCTTCTCCAAGTGGTGGTTACTCAAATGGTTCCTACACTCCCGCTAACTGCAATAACGATGGCCTAGGAGGAAATCACCCTGCTGCTCTAGAACCTGTTATGGATAACCACGGAAGCCGAAACAGAAGAACAATCCACCCTCGTAGAGACTTTTGCTAGGGCCTGCCGCGACAAGAAAGCCAAAGCTAACGGAATTGCTGAGATGAGAAACAGATATGCTTCTTTTGGGATTGGTAATGTGGCTCGCTCGCAATGCCTTCCCCAGGAGGGCATTAGCCATGCTTATGGCATGTCATCGACTGCTGCAGATGGCAGAAGGAGAACGGCGACTCGAGGAAGCCAGAAAGGACGCTCGTGCTATGAGCGCTAACAAGAAGCTCCGTCTCCTATACGCGATCCGTGATAGTGGTGCTGGATAAGAGGGCAAGATCCCTTGGATATCCATTCCCACAGCCTTTATCCCACCACTGAAATCGATGCTGGCCTGAAGACGATCGAGTGCACCGGGGAGAACCTCGGATGATCGACTGCCTGCAAATCTGACCAACGTGATGAGATCTTCGAATCATCGATGAGATGAGCTGCCAACTCCAAGAATTGCCACAGAATGTACGCAAGATGGCTATCCTGTCGACCGACTATCTTGACTTTGCTTTCGTCTCCGAGGACCCGGCACAGAAGGAGCGCATCAAGGCTATCTTGTCAAGCGATTGTCTCGACCTGGCTTCGCTTCCAATCACCAAGAAAGCTGTTGAGCAGCTTTAAGCCGAGGGAAAGATGATCGTCAAGAACTTCCCTGCAAACGGCTTCGGACAAAACCAATTCATCATAGTCCCAAATAGCGAAGTCACAATCGTTGATAATTTCAAGCTCCGATCAATACCAATGGCGACAGACTGCAAGTGCCTTCCCACGACCGTCAAGTCGGTAATGCCTATGGGATGCATCCGAGACTGCAAGCCACCCCAGGACCGGAGTTTCGGCAATGGCTATGACATGCATTCATTCCCGCTCCATGGAATGCCAGCCGCGACCGTCAAGGAGCCTCTGTAGACTTGGTATGAACTTGAAGCATCGACTCCAGCAACGCAACTTCGGCGCCTCTCTTGCATATGTCAATAGTGCACTGGTGGAGCTGCCTCATCCCAGATCCCAGCCAATGCGGTCATTCCATCTGATTCGGAAGTAATTATCATTGCACACTAGCTGCAAGTCTTGCAAGATGGTTGCTGCCGCGACAAGAATAAAGATTCGACAAGAGATCTCCACGACGATGGATGGAAAGGTTGTCTCTTGGGGCAACAATTACTTCGGTCCAGCCGTGCCTGCTGCACCTGCTGCAGCATCGGTCAACCTTCCTCGCCGCTCAGAGTCTTCGGCGGGCCGAGTCCGCCTGCAGGCTCGAGATGCTGCTGTCCCACGAGGCCACAACATTAGTGACTTGATCGACTTTGTTAGATCTGGTCCTCAGCTTGACAAGGAGAATTCCGGGAGCTTACACACTCGAGTATACCCGCAGAAACCTCTCGTTTTGATCCTATCAATATGAAGTACTCCGGAGTATTCCTTGCGTCTTGGCTTTGTTTTTCTCTCCGGCCGAGGAACGAACCTCCTTGCCACAATCTCGTCCAAGTGCTGTGCTGCTCAAATGGAGCCAGGTTAGATATCCGTTCCGTCGCCGCCGAATAGATCGAGCCCAAGCTGCTACCCACGCTTGCTCAAGCTACCAGTCTCGCGAAATGGTTGCTGCCGCGACAAGGATTAAGGTTGATTGTCTCTCCGAGCAGCAAGCAATGGAAGCTTCACAGCTTAAGTCCTTGCCCAGGCTTCTGCTGTTTCCAGTTATTGTAATCACTCGTTCAACATGTTGAAGTCAGAATCAACCTTGATCCAATGGGTCTGTTCGATGTGCCACTCGGGCCCGCACTGGTTCATCTTTGAGTGTACTGCAAGTTAAAGACTTGCCGTCCTTGCGCTAACAAAGTATAAACCAAGGTTAAGCAAGTACAAAACAAACTTGGATCATATTCAGCTTTGAACTTGACGAGTCCAATTCCAATTCAACAAGAAAGAGCTTAAGTCCAAGTTCAACTCGCGAGTTTAGCCTAATTAGGCAGTAATGTCCCGAGCAAAGGAGTACAAAATGTTGCCGAGTTCAAGTCCAATTCAACTGAAAAGTGCTTAAATTTGACCTAACCTTGGTATGAACAACTTCAATCTGGCGTCATTTGTATGAACGGAAACAACATTCTGGCTGTGGCTGAACCTGCCCACTTGACCAAATGACCTTGCCGGAAGCAGTAACCGCGGCTCCTTCTACTTGAAGTTCGGATCAAAACTCAAGCCGCTTGGCTTCAAACCTCTTCTGCTCTGGTACGATTCTACTTTCATTGGATAACAACTCAAAACCCCCTTCCAATAAGCATCAGTCATTTCTGATGCTGAAGTGGACAGTACATCGCCGAAATTTCAAAATTCTGCATGAAGAGCATAGCGAGCTGGCTGCAACGAACTTCAAACTCCTGTTGCTTCGTACAAATCTCCTGTCAAGCAATGAAACTTTACAATCGAGAATTGCCACGCTTGTGCTGAGGTTCATTTGGAACAAGAGACTTTTGACCAAATAACCGTCAAGTACACGAGAACAGATTATGCCACTTTGAGGCCAATTTCAAAAGCGTGATGATCGTGGCGCAAAGGTCAAGGCAATGCTCGGAATTTTCTATCATCCTTGACAATGAAGAGCTACTCTCATTTTCAACATCTTCGGGACAACATGTGGATTTAGGTACTGAAGGGCTGGGCACTTGCCGGGCACTGCAATATATTGCCCCAGGCTATTCATTTGGATCGAAACACAAAGACGAAGGATTGCATGTGGGCCCTTTTTTCGTTTCTATCTACCGGCTGTTATTTAGCTCCTCGATGAAAACATCTCAACCCATGATATCTTCTGCAACGCAGGATCATTCACCGAATCATATGCGCACCATCCGAATGAAAACCGATCATATAAGCGCAGGTGCTTTCAAACTATCCAGCCACGTGGAAGTGCGAAACACCTGAGGGAGCGCTGCACAAATTGTTAAGATCATCAGCAGACATAGTAGCTGGGAACTCCGTGTTGCTATCCAACACCTGGATGTTGATAGTGGAAGTGCTCGAGCTGAATATGACCGCAAGCTTCATGGAATCGGTAGTTGGACGAGCAATATAATCCGAATCCCCGGCTGGCGTGTTGGTGTGAAGCGTCGATTTCAATTGGGTAGCGCCATCGAACAAGGCTTCAACGATATCCAATCTGAAACGATTAGCAACATTCCGAAAGTCCGAAAACGCATGAAATTGGAAAACTTACTCTCCGCATCCAGAAGTCCAACAATTACATTCGGGCGGGCCGTACTGCACAGTGTGGGGGATCTGACTGTTGAGGAGCCATATCGCAGGCATGTCTGCGTTGAAACCGGTACCACCCTCTGTGGGCATGGAGAAATCGATGAAGAAGGCTTTGTCAGCTCCATCAAAACCATCTAAAGAAGCGTTAGTACTTTGGTCCCTGATTCCTGGATCTGGGCCTCTGTCTCATCAGAGTTCTGGACTTACGATAAGCCACTGAACCAGGACGAACGTATCCACAGCTATCATCAATACATTCATCGCCACGCATGAGAATAACTTCCGAGTCAGATGGGATGACCGCATTAGCCAGGATCTGAGATGAGGCAGCTCCACCAGTACCTGCACTATTAACATATGCAAGAGAGGCACCGAAGTTTCTGGACCGGATCAGCTTAATAGATAGGGAAGGCACCCCAGAGTACCGAGTACTTACTCATCGAACACGCCGGATCCCTGCCCACCATAGTTACCGAGGAAAGTTACATTGTCAATAATCTGTGAGGCAGCATTGTAGTAGTGAGCACGTTCGAAGATTACGGACGCGTCATAACCAGGCCCTGAAGGGGGTTCCGCCAAGAAGCTCGTAGACGAACTCGTCGTCGCGGACGGAGCAGCGACAGAAGCTACGGCACGTCAGTATAAGAGCTTTCCTAATGAGTATCTAATGCCACTTACTCTCCGGAGCTTGGACAGGTTGTGATTGGCTTGGAGTTTGCACTACAGGAGCAGGATTGCCAACCGGCGCAACAGGAGCAGCTTGTGTTGGTACAGTCGTGGCAGCCTGAGTGGAACCGAACCAGTTGTTGACCCAGGAGACAACTTGACCATCAATTGTGGCTGTAACCATGACCTGTTTTCCCTGGGTCAGTTATCGATATCACGTGCCGATGACTAGAGCTGGATGTCGCAGCCATGCCTTCGCCAACAAACCTACAGACGGACAGGGATAAAGAAAGGGGTGAGAGTTTAAGACTTACTTCGTCAGCTAGAACTGAAGACGGACCGAAGTAGTTATTTCCCCAAGAGACAACCTGCCCATCAATTGTCGCGGAGATCTCCTGCCGAACCTTCATCTCGTTATGTACCGGGCCGTGCGAATGGCTTTGGGCTTGGCCCCCATTACCGTGATGGTGGTTATGCTTATGAATTACGCGGCCATGGGACGTGCTACGCTTGTTGACATTGCTGGGAGCGGGGACGTAGACAGCGAACTCGTTAATCTGGACCGGACCACGAACATGGAACGACACCTGATCGAAGATATAGTTAGCCTCACACGCCCAAATTGAGTATCATGTGTTATCTTCAACTTACCTCTTCATCTAGGGGACTGAGAGGACCAGAAAAGGATTGTGGGACGGAGTCGCAACTACCGTCGGTGTTCATGGCCACAATACGATTGTAGGCACCTGGGGATCCGACATTCGAGTACTGAATGCCGGAAACGGGTTGACAGAACCAATTGCCATCGATCTCCTGAGATCCCAATGCGCACATATCGCCAACGACCATCGAGATGCAGAGAGCCAAGAAGGCAAGGAATACTCTGGTGGAGCACTTCATAGTGACTGTTTCAATGGGGACTCAATTCAATCGAGTGGGTAAGCTCAGTCTGAGCAATATTGACGGGAGAAGTGTTGAAAACGAAGGTACAAGACTGGAATTGCGGACGGCTAGCCGCACACAATCAGTCTGCTCTTGAGGATGCAGGAAGCGATGCTAGAAAGATTTACTGAGTGTTGTGTACTCAGAAAGGATGCAAGGAGCTTGTAGGCATGAAGAGGAAATTGATGTTGCGAGGAAGATGCGTTGAAGAGGAAGAGTCGTGTTTGTTGTCGAGGCTTAGATCGGCCCCCTCAGAAAATGGACAAGTCGCGAAAACGCGCTAGTAAAACCGAAACTCTGGACCAGATGCAGTTTCCCTCTCCAAAAGCGCGTCGGGACATACGTCAGTGCTAGTGAAGAACCAGGAATAGAAGGTAGGTTCCACTAATATGTACAACGGGACAACGGGAGGCTGCATGAAACCAGATTCACAGCGGCTCGTTTTTGGAATGTGTCGTACAGATTAACTTTACTTCAACGTCAGCTAAGTCTTTCTCTTCTTTCCTGCATCAGAATTAGCACAGTCTTATCAACCAAGGAGATGATACAAGTACTTACCTCCGTCAATCATATTGATGTCCTTGTCAAGCCGTCGTCTTCAATTTATGGCGTCGGCTTCAACTCAATCTCCTACCCCGCACCTGCAGACAAACAGAGCAGCGTCAGGGGTCAGGACTCAACAAAGACAATCTATGGACCTTGAGGTCCAACTGCAGAGGCAGAAGGATCTCTAGTTCAGAGTTGTAAAACAGATGAAGTTCTTACGTCCACAAGAGGGTATTATATACTAAGACAGCAAGGCCAAGGTCCAGAATTCAGACCACTTTCCCTCCGGAATCGGGATTGTGCCATAACTTCGGACGAACGCTAACGGAGATACAGATAACAGTGTTCAGGTCTCTGTCCAAATTCAGAAGGAGACACTAGAAATCCGGATTAGGAAACTACGTCAAGACCAGCGTTATTCGGAAGAGATACACCTACTAGCACTATATCAAGAGTTTGGTCGTTGGATGTAACTTCTGCTTCATACTTGAGAACTTACAGAAGCTATGAAGCTATACGGAAGTCAACTTATGTCTAGAGGCATAATCTGGAAGATAGGGAAGAATAGCCAAGGGCAAAAGCAGCGCCGACTACGGAGACTTGGACTTTGACCACATGAGACAGCTCTTCTTAAGCTGGAGTCACCAAAGTGTCAGAGCAGAAGAAAGCTGGATCCCCAGAGCATCTAACAAAGGCAGTCGTTATTGCCGGATTCGGGCAAGCAACTACAACAACTATATTTTCCAGGACCGGACAGGTTTCTGCACAGAAAAGGAATAGCAGCGAGTAAATAAGTCCATTCGTCACTGAGAACATATGCTAACACCAGCTCTAGTGTTGAAAACATATCCGTGGTACCAGATCTCGGAGCGGGCCGCAGATTCCGTCACCCAGGAACGAGTGGCAACGACGCACAATAGCCTACACCGGCGCTCTCGGAACCAAGGAACAGCGAATACGGTCACGAATTACCACCTGCTAGAAATTTAGGAATACAAGTTATAAAGAAATGAGTGTCGGAATATCGTAGAGCGGTTTTCGGTGACACCTAATTTCAGGCAAGATTTCATTCAAGACTTGGTCGTGACTAACACCGTGACTGCCTCAATAGGACTACGACCCCTGGACAAGCTGGGAATCATGTCTTCGGATCAAGCAATAAATACTCGAAATACGAATAGTCAACAGTCTCCATTGTGCAGAATAGCACCGCAAGAGAAAAATGCTACGACAATTAATCGGTCTGCAAGGAAATCCGATGATTCACACATGCATTTGTTTGCCTGGGTCTGGAATGCAACGATCTTGGGCCATTCGAGAGGCTGCCAAACAGGGCTACCATCGTACGAGTTCGGCATGTGAATCAATGAGGGCAACTCGAACAGAACAAGTCCACTGCAAGTCGCTAACTCCAGCACTTCATCGCTTGAGATCCGCCCTTCGACTCTTTACCCAAAGGAAACTGCACACAGGGTTTGGAGAACACAGCATATCAAACATATGATTCTCAAAACATCGAGCTTCTTGCGTCATGCACGTGCAAGGCACTGTCGCATTCATATTGAGCGTGTATTATTAGGCTGAAGTCACTTGCTCATCCTACAAGGTGCAGTGCACTCTTGCTTTAAGTTTAAGGTTCAATTTAACATTCAAGATTACTATGTACCAACAAGAATATCTCGAATTTACAACACCTCAACACCCTCCCACCTTACTCCTAAATTTTCCGTCTATTAGACGGTACCACCCATCTGTGTGGTCATCGTTGCCGTGCCTTGGGCAATGTAGCAAGATCCATCGCTGTTTCCAACGGGGTCGGAGGCAGTCAGCCACATGTTCTCGGTTCTTGAGGAAGTGCAGTCTGCTGCCTCGGTGCTGGTGATGGTCATGTCGTAGTTGTTGTTGTTGGGGTTCATGATAGCAGAGACATCATATCCACAGCCAGTGCTGACGAAGTTGGCCTCGCCCCAAGTAGTGGCGAACGCTCCGGACTCGGCAATGTCACTGACAGCCTGGGCCCATCCAATCTGAGAGTTCTCTTGGAAAGCAACAATCTGGCTTTCTCCGGCGGCGAGAGCGAAGGTGAGGATAGGTGTAACGGGAGCAACACATGATCCGAGGTTGGCTTCTGCGTCATCCACAGCGCCGGTCTTGCTATAGGCCTTGTTCCAGAGGACAACGGTCATTGTCTCGCCAGAAGTATTGATGAACTCGTTGGTGTAGTCATAGCCAGTTCGTGAATCGACTTTGAGCATGTTTGATCCTTGGGGTGAACCAATGTTTCCAATATAAGAGACTTCTGAGCCGCTGGAAGTAGTAACTGCAGATCCGAACTCGGTCAAGTCGTTGGCAAGACCAACCAAATCATCCCAAAGAGTTGTCAGGCTGGAAGATGAAGTGCCAGATATCGAAGTGGTGGTAGCTTGGGCAGAAGTAGCACTGCTAGTGGCAGCTACGACGGCGGCAGCGGTAGTCGTTGCGACGGGAGCTTCAGTGGCTGCGACGACAGCGGCGGATGTCGAGGTGTGTTGTCCAGCAGCCCAGGCAGAAGACCAGTCGATGCCCATGTCGTTCCAATCGAGAGCAGCCCAGTCGACACTTTCATTCATGTTAGTATGGATTAAACAATTGTTTCGATGATATCAAGCTTACTCTTTCTTCTCGTGCGCCTTCTTGTGGAGGTGGGCATGAGCATGAGCCGGACCAGCCACGGCTTCACCAACGCAGAGCGCGGCCAGAACCATTCCAGATGTTGTTGAGTAACGCATATTGGATGATGACGATGATAGTTTATGTTATGTATATATATTTAACAATAAGGTCCAATCGTTACTGTGAATACGTGTGTCTTATTTCTTGTTTCGTGAATCGGGATCGGAGTCGATATACACAGAAATCGAGTCGTGAGGTAGAAAAGGAGGCCGTTGATTTGATAGTTGATAATGAGTGTGGGAGAGCGATGTATTGCTCAATGGTTGTAGTGGGTTGTCAAAGGAGTGATATGAACTGAAGGAAGGTGTTCAACGGCGACCTTGGGTCCTCTCGTCTGGGGGGCAGCGATGGAAGTGGAAGGGTGGTGCAAGAGAGGGAAGAAGAAAAGAAGCAGAAAAGGGAAACGGGGGCTTGGGCCGCTGAAGTACAGCACAGCACGGTACAGTAAGAGTACGCGATGGGTCTGGTGGCCCATCCAGTTTCCAAGCCAGCCGTCGGCCCCAGTTCACTCATCTTCCATTGTGAGAGTAATGTGTGAGTGGTGCCGTGTGGTGCACTGGTGGTGGGTGTCCCTGCACTGGCTGGGGCCTGCCCGCAGAGTGTTCTGGTGGTGGATGAGCGAAGCATTAATTTGAGAACGGGGGAGCGAGCCCAGCGTGGTAGGTGTTGGACAGGGGCTGTAATTGAGATGAACCACGCTCATTAGACGTGGAGACAGGGAAAGGATCCACTCAGATGCGCGTACCTGACGACCGGCTGCCAATTTGGCGCAAGGGGACCGTAGTGAGTGGACAGGGGGCTCGGTTAGTGGGGACGCTACGCCAGGGGTAAAATCTGCACGCCGTAAAATCTGGGAAAAATCGTGGGTCGGACTTCCGGCCGTGGGTGGACAATAGGACAATATCCTCGTCGAGAGGGCCGACAAGATTCAGGCGTGCTGGCTGGCGGCCGGGCTTTGGCCCAAGGTTAAAAAGACACGAGATGGAAAACACGAGGGTTTTTTATTGTCTGACCGCGAGAGTTTGTTTCATGATTGTTCGCGTGGAAAAAGGATAATCGTTCTTCTGTTTCGAGGGTCGAGAGAGAGCGGAGAATCAAAAGATCAGAAACAGAAACATCGATGCACAACATGAGGAGGGATTGTCTAATGCTTATCCTGCTGTACTTCGGCGGCAGTGTCAGTCAGAACGCCATCCTTCCGAGTCACGACGTAAGGAAGGATTTTTACACAAGATTATTTTTACCAAAATTATCTTCATCACAGTCACAGTCGCCAGTCCAGGGTAAATGTTTATTTCAAAGAAAAGAATCAAATAAAATCAGAATGGAATGGCTTCGTCACATCCTCATCATCCAGTAAAATGAACCCCATCTCTTTTTCCTCCCTCCATCTCCATCGAATCTTAGTCAAGTGCCGGCTACTTCTAGCTTGCCACCAAGCTTTTGACTGCGACGTCGTTTCGAGTAATATCCCGAGCGCATCAACGGGCCAATCTCTCCACTGGCGATGCGTGCGGGTCTGACATCGAGAGAAAGGCCATACAGGATCTCGCACTAGGAGATCGAGGAAAGCTAGAAGAAATCAACAGTGGTGATCGGATGGTCTGGACTTGTTGGACGCGTGTGTCGCACAAGTTCACGTATGAGAGGTTGCCTCGGTTGCGGAGATGACTGTGTGTGGAGGGCTTGTGTACACGAAAAGAAGAATTGTGCGCGAATTATGCTGTCCATAACTCGGGGCGAAGAGTGGATTATGGAATTGTGATCTGAACTGCAGTGCGCTGGGAGAAAGCCGCCGAATGTCGGTCGGGGATAGAGATTTTATGCTGCAGGTCTAAAAAAGTTGTGCAGTGATGGAGGGAGAGCATTTGTTTCGATTGGTGCTTCGGAGGTAAGGACGGTTTGTTGTTTTTGGTGATGAACACGTCGTTCCTGAATCCTGTTTTTTCTCCCTTGTTCTTGTTCCTGGGACCTGCAGATGATGATGATCGATGGATGGAGCCGGATTACGATATCGCGGTGCAGCAGGGCTGGTGTTTATCACGCTGCTGCATGCCGCTGAGCCTTACGAGGCCTTGACGTTTGTTCGTTCGCAGTGAGTGAGCGTTGTCGTGGTCGATGGAGACAGGTGGAGAGAGCGATTGCGGAGGATTCCTTTTGGTCTTTTTGTTGGTCGTTTCTGACTCGACGCAACACTCTCTCGAGCTTTTTCCTCTCTTTGTTTTTCATGTGAAGGGTTTTTCTTGCTCGTGCAGGCCACGACCAGGCCAAAATCAAGGAATCCTCCTTTCTTCCGTGGTATTGGATAGTTTTAAACTTGTTGGCAGGTAGACCAGGCCAGCTCACGGCCAAGTTTTCTCTCATGTCAGCAATCCATCATTGTTTGTTGTTTCTCTTCTGGCGGCAGTGGTCGTCGAGAAGGTCCCGCGAAACTTTTCGGTACCAATTGATTCAGCCTTGGAAATGTTTATACGCGATGGGGGAGCTGAATGGTTAAGTGCCGGGATGAGATGGGATTTGAGTTAGAGTTGTGGGAGGGAGGCTGCGATGGTGATTTGCTGGGTTGGCGGCTATTGTTGATCTGTGTCTTGGCTGTGTGGTTTCATTGTTCTTTGAGTGAGCCGGAGGAGCGTGCGAGTTTGAGGTTGAGGGTGGTTATTTTGATGACTGGTTATGGGTTTGTTTGGTTTGTTATTGGGTTGTTCTGGTGTTGTTGTGCTTGAGTCGTGGCCTCGGTTGAGATGAATTTCAGCATGAATCATGGTCTCATTCATGATGAAGCTTACCTTCGTAGACCTCGATCGTATTTCTATTTATTCCCGCAAAGAAAAGAATCCACTGTCACTTGACAGTCACTGTGTTCATCTACAAGAATATATGCCTCAGACCCTGGGCTTGATTTAGATGGATATCTACCGACATGAGATTCAGCATGTCTCTTTGGATCTCAACACAGTCTCACCACGCAATAACCACAGCCGCGCGTGCATACACGGGAGATGTATTGATCGACTCTGTTACAAGCCACCACTCACTTTAATTTAAGCCTCAACCTTAATCTCAAATATAGATATCCGCGCTTGAGTGCGAGCGTAAAGGACACTCTCAGAGATCATGGGGACACGATTATGTCGTCGACTTTGTTGTAAGCTAGCGTTAATGTGACTCTTGTGTAAATATTGTGTTGGATGCGAAAAAAAGGAAAGATATCTAAGATGCATGAGTGTACTTCTGCAGAGAGCATCAAGCATAACAAAACTCGGCGGTAAGGCTTGGTCAGACAGGACATGCAGGACTTGCTCAACATTCAGTAACATGGTAGCTAACTGAAAGCAGCTTCACATTACCAAGTTTTGGGACCAATATACACCAATCCTTGCCTCAATGAGGTCGACAGAAGGTGAGTGACCATAGGCCTTGCCGTTGTACACTACCTCAATTCCATCCTGCATCATTCTCGGCCATACAAACACAACCACGATACAAATCCAGATATTCCAAACCCCTTCTCTCCAGCCAGAAACCTCCCAAATCCAACAAATTCCACACCGACCACCCACGCGTCGTCAATGAGGCTCCCACCCCCATGAACAAAAACCCCAACCGCATGAACCCCCAAACACCATCCCATCTAAAGCTTCCCTCACGTCTCGCATAAACAGGCGGTTCGTCGTCCCAATTAACTTTTTTGCGAAATATGAAACTTCCAACATTCCAAGCGGGAAGGAAAACGTGGAGAGATATCCTGGGACCAGACCCGAGGATCTGGTTCGTGGTTCCTGCGGGCCGCCCGCGACCACAATCCAACATCCAACCATGCGACCTCCTGATCCCTGACAACGTGGAGAGCTGTCGAAGAGCCTCTTGACGCTGGGGTGGGTTTGGCTGCTCTGGGGTTTTGGTGTTGGGTAATTTGAGGCGAAATAGTGAGGTGGTTACAGATTGGGTTTCGTCTGATCTTCGACATAGTATTGGTCGGGGTTGAGAAATAATATTTTACAGATCTAATAATCCCAATCTATCCAGAATGATACTGCTAGCCTCTAAGTCGACATGTAAATGGTGCAAATGCTTAAACTCCAACCTGATAACCTTCCTGGCGCCCAAAATATGCAATTCGATGAAATTATCACCTAGGTTTCAACCTCGTCCAACCACTCGTCCCTGGTTTCCTCTCTCCATCACCAACCATTTCTACCGCGTCCATTACGGTCCGCATACTGATGAAACTCTGCATTCCAACTTGACTTGGCCCTCTGTCTCTCTCTGCTACCTCTTTACGGGCGCCAACAACGACGCCATCGTCACCCATTTCGTCGTCTACTGCCCATGCATTCTCGTCTAGAACTTCCCATTCGGCGTTCGCTACTTCGCTAAGAAGTTTCGATTTAAGCTTGTCGGCTATGCTGGTAGGTTTGAGAAGTTTCCAGCTACGAATAAAATCGGTGCCTTCTGCTCCTCCCAGAAACGAGTGTGCTGTCCCATGGGAATACTTTCCTATGATGGATGTAGGTGGCTCTTTCTTGCCCTCGCCATCAGTCTCTGTGTCTCGTCCCCCTTTCGTTGGTGTAGTTTGGGTAGAAGGTGTGCGACTCGCTGGTGACGGACGAGGTCGAGAATCAATTAGAAGATTGTAGAGGTTCTTCCCGATATTGCAGACATCTTCGAAGCTTCCTTCTTCTCCTACGGAGACTCCTTGACTCTTGCAGAGCCAGGCTATATCATAAGCGAGTAGTGTGACTCCTTCGAGGAAGAGACCATAGCCGGATGGATCTTCCGATGCGAGGATGGGTAGAGGCTTCTTAATAAAAAGAGGTCGAGGATGTGGTTGTCTGGGCTGTTCGGCATGTTTCGAGGCTGTTGGACTATTGTTGGACGAAGGTGTTGGAGTGGAACCTGGAAAGGGTACATCTCCATGCTTGTAAGAAGAAGGAAGAGCGAATATGGTTGGAAGAGGATAATCTCGATGTGGCAGAGTTATTTCAGCAGGCAGACGAACAGCTAAATAGTGTGTTGAGAGCATCAAAAGGTGTACAACATGAGAGAGAGCTGTAGAAATTTGCGCGGGACTTGCAGCTATTATATAATTAGCATCATCTCCCTGCCAAGAAGAAGTAGAACTCACTATTCATAGCTCTCAAGTCAACAATACCTACACCACCAATTCTATACTCATCTGGGCCACCATGGACTTTCCTGACTTTCTTGAGGCCATATAATTTGGCAGCCTCACCGCACAAGAAGGCTCTTGAAGAGGCAGTCGTTGCATGTCCTTGATTCCACTTGAATCTGGTCATACGAATACCCTTCTCTACATCTTCGATTTGACGGGTCCTTCGAGCGTCAAGGCCATTTGTTACAGATGCTAGGTCGGACTTTCTGCGAGATATATGTGCCTTCTTCTTGATCAACTCTTCTCTGGCACTCTCAACCTTTGCCCGTAGCTCATCAGCCTGAGTGATGATTTGCTGTGTCCTGTCCACAGACTGCTCCTTCTCCGCCTGAACTCCAGATATCAGGTCTGCTGTAGCCTGCCGAGGGGTCTTTGAAGCATCATCGTTGGGCTCTGCAGAGAGTAGGGAGTTTATTTGTTGGTCTAGGGCATCGTTTTCGAGCAGGACTTGAGCGTTTTGTATTCTGGAAACATATAACAAGTTGCGCGCATCAGTCGGACACAGGAAGTGTATTTTCTTCTCGCCCTGTCCAACACCTCGAAAGCATATGTCACACTGCATGTCGTAGAGACTTATGACGAGGCCGCTGGGGCCTGTCTTCGACCAAAGGAATGCTGTTGTCTCGAAGAAGGAATATTGAATGTGGCAGTCGTTGAGTTGTCAGTTTGATGCATGTCGCAACGTATGAATAGGCGGGGAGAGGTAGGCAAGTCTTATAGGCAGGCCATGTTGTGAATGTTTGGCATTGCTTTGTAGTTGGCGAGGCTGGATCTCGAGGGCAACCCACCGAATCATCGTCGGACTTCCAAAGCCTTATCGGGCTCGCTTGCTTATCAGAGTATCACGTGGATACGCGCATGTCAGTCGCGCTTCCCAGATGACCTTCTTCCTCCTTCCCAAACAGTAAGCTGGATACACTTGCTACTGGAACTCAAATCAACCCAATCGTGCATTAAACAACGTTCATCATGTCTTCAACACCCAAATCGCCGCCTTCCACACCCTCAAGACGTAATATGGCTGTTGAGAAGCTGTCACGGACCAGAACGCCTTTGCCCAATGGTGCGAATAGGGAGAAGAAGAGCAATGAAAACGCTACAGCCGTACCAGAGAACATGGAGAGGGCTGATGATACCATCAAAGTCCCGTCTACGTCGCCTTCACTCAGTAGTGACACTGCCATGAATGAGACCGAGAGTCAAGTTTCAAACGGGCATCAACCAAATGGACATGCCCACAAGGGATACTCGTCACAGTCAAGTGGATATCACGAACAGCCGGTCGATGGAGCAAATCAATTCGACGTTTCGACCTTACCGCCATTTGACTGGGAAGACTTTCGACGCCGATACAGGGCAGATCTCAAGCAGGTCGACGCCGACGAGACGAGCCTTCTGGACGACTTCGACAAATTAGCTCAGGTGAGGCCTAATAGCAAGTTTCTCGTGAAAGACTAACTGTCAAGCAGTCATTTGTATTCTGGTCCGACACTGCTGCTAACCGAGATAATCTCAGAGCTGCCAAACGGTAAGCTAACTCCCTTTCCATATACACAATCCCTTACTATTTGCTAGCCTTTGCACCCGTGAAAAATATGTCGACCTTGCCGAAGAGGCTTTGGCGGAAAAGCAACGAAGATGTGAGTATTGTCTACATAAATCATGGGTATCTAGCTAATTAGATCTCTAGATGTTCAAGTTGTTGGTGCTTTCAAGCAAGCTCTCGAGATGCTGAGAGGTAGTGGACTCTGAATTGCACGTGGTTTCATATATTTCTTGTGGGATGATCTGCTTGCTTGTGAGACCATCTTTCGCATTGTTACGATAGGTCCGAGGCATTTTGGTAGGCGTTCGAGGAAATGAACAGAAAAGTCTTCCATTTATACACTATAGCGCCAGATACCCAAAATCCAGATCCTCTTCTATCATGCAGGCACGTCTGTCTGCGCATAACTTGCAATGGCAGGCTCACTGAGGACTTTATCGGGATATGTCAATGCTCCAAATACCAGCTCTACCACAATGGCCTCTGTGGCCAAGACATCTGTCAGGCTCAGCCCGCTAATGACGATTTTCTGACATTCAGCAACAACATCAACTCTGCTGAGATCCCCAGGACCGTCGTGGATCAAAGCGTCTTTTGCAAGTGCAAACGCCAGCGCGTTGTACAAAACACCCTCATGCGTATACAAGGTCCCGCCAGGTTGAGCAACAGTACATGCATTTTGCAATTCAGTGTTCGAGACGCCAACTTTTCTTTCGTCGAACACATAAGCCGAAGCACCGGTGTTCTCCTGAGGCTGTATGATTTCGTCGAAGATGCTATATACACTTGTGGTAGGTACATATGCGGAGCTTCCGCCAGCGTTTCTTAGGGTTGCGACGAAGGTGGAGTTGTATTCTTGCTTCAAGTATGTTAGCCAATGTGCCCAGGAGGTGAAGGAAGATGTACCTGAAGAATAGCGGGAGCACATGGCAGTCTAGGGAATCCTGGGCACAAAAAGTAGGCAGTCTCAGTCCCGTGCAGATCACCACTGATGGGTATGAAATCTGATATGACAGACCTTGTGGAAGGCCAGTAAGTCACAGCCCATTGTGAGATCGAGGAACCTGCTGACCAAGAAAGTACAGATACGTTCTTGTTGTCTGAGATGGCTGATATGTAGTTGACCGCGTACGCCACATATTCAGCTTCTACTCTGCATTAGCATATGCTATGAGAGCAAAGGTTGAGAAACTAACCAATTTGAAGATCGGCCAACTGCTTGCCTGGAATGTTGATGTACACTGGGTCTGCATAGTCTGAACCTTGGAACTCTTTGCCAAAGTTTGGCCCAAAGTTACCTCCTGCGAGAGCTCCCGTTCCTGAAACAAGCAGTACAGCCGGTATCTCGCCATAAGTAAAATTGCTTGGTATGTATATCGCAGATCTCAAGCTATTCTCATCCAACGAGTATGGAGCGTCTCCTGCACTTTTCTGAGGGTAGACAGCTGGACTTGGGGAGAGGGGATTGTTATTGCTGCTGGAATTTTCCTCGGAGCCTTCTGTAGTCACAAGGTTTGTGATATCACTGGGTACCAATCCGTCAAGGATAAAGTCCAAGGCATTGACTACGAAGTCGGTCGGATGTGCTGCATAAACACTTGCAACGCTCGAGATGGCATCTGGGATCGCGGCTGGAACCGGAGATGGTACTATTGCTTCCAACACGTCGATCAAGATCGAAGCAGCAGCCCCAAGAATGGCAGCATCAGATTCTAGGCCAGCTGCAATAGATTCGATCTGAGATTGATCTGTAATCTTGGATGGTAGGTCAAGAAGTTGTCTCTCTGCAAGTCGTTCTGGCTGAGTAGGTGTTGGATTCGAGAGAACAACTTGAGTAAGAGTGAAGACCAACAAATAAGATATCTTCATTTTGAACTACTTCGTACATTCGAGTAAAGAACAGGCAAACAACTTTGAATCCAGAACTTGAGCAGCATCTTCATAACGAGATGTGAAATATCCGTAGAGAGCTCCACTTTAGCTTGAGCAGTATTGTTCAAGCCGAGGCACTTGGCATCATATCTGCACTGGCAGAGTGAGCTTTTAAGTACATAACTGGCATGGTGAAAAGCATACAATGGTCCGAGAGGGGGTTGGCGGCAGATCGTCGATAGTGGTGGATGATCATTTGAAGCCGCCGAGGCTGAGATTTGCAGCGCACCATGGATTTTTCACAGCCCATCATTATCAAATCTCTTCCGTTATTTTCTCACAGTAAAGCAATTCGTTTCGTCAAAGTCCAGAAGTCACCCGTACCATAACAAATGGAATGTAAGATAATATTGTCCCAGATTTGGTGGGACAATATAAGTAGGCTAAGTCCGAAGAGCGACTTAAAATTTGAAAGATGAAAGTAAGAACGATTTAACCTCTTATTTATCTCGAATCTCGAAAAGCCTACCTTTCGATCTTCTATTATCTTGAAGGTTCAGGAACAATATCATCTTATATCTCAATTTCTACCGTACCTACTCTGGGGCAAATAAATATCCACCAGGTGACTTCGCGATCTCGAGATTTGTTGGTCGCCGTATAAATTTCTACTTGCTGAACATCACCAATTCTCTTTTGCCAACCACACCACAATATGTGACACTCTTAAACCATCTTACCTTGTGACCACATCGCACGCCTTCAGCATGGCTGCGCCAGTTGTCTCTTCTGTAAGCCTACGAATCCAACTACCTCCTTCTACAACTAACAGTTCACAGGAGGAACTCGCCTCTTTCCACGCGACGCATTTCTCTTCGAGCGCAGCCGACTACTTTGCGCAGCACTTTCTTGGTCCCGTTGATGATGAGCACTACGTGGAAAATGGAGAAGAAGAAGACGACGGTATTGGCTACTACGAAGATGGTGTAAAGCGTACCTTGACCGATCAGCAAATTGCCATCTTCAGGCACTCCGAGATTCAAGCTCTACTGCGCGAACGACGACATGCGGCAGAAGCGAAAGATGACGAGATCCATATTGAAGCTGCAGCTCCCATGATCGGACCTGTACAACCCGAAAAGAGCAATAGCGACCTGGCAGTAAAGCCAATACTTGGGGACCGTGAGATGGAAGATGGCGAGGTTGGAGACAACACCACGTCCGATGCTCCCACGCCCACTTCCCAATCTTCAAATAAGAACAGACGCCCATTCTCGAAATCGAAAGCCAAGAAGGCAGACCGTGGCAAACAACGAGGTTACTATAAGGAGGTAGTCAAGCCTGACTTGAGAAAGAGGACTTGGGATGTTGTAGAGCAAGGACTCGGAAGCTTGGACTATGATGAGGGTAGTTCGAATATGGCTCCTTCGCATCCAGCGCAGAGAAGACGGATCACTTACGAGGATTGAAGGAGCTGGGAGGAATATAACCTTTCAACTCTGCAACTATAATCACGCAGCGCTGGTCTCCTGCCACAGAAGGAGTATACATTCGAGTCTGCATGTCACTGGTATGTCCAATCTCTTGTCTCAATCTGTTTCAAAAACTACATGATGAAAACCAATCGTATCGTCATCCTTAGTCTGAACCTAGTGGTTGATTTTAGCCTTCGTACTTCGGTATGTTGTGCTTCTGTCTTCACGCTGGGCCCCTGATGAAACAATAATCTTCTCTCTGAATTAGCATCCAGTATTTTTCATGAATGAATCCTCTTCTTTGACTCAGTTGCTGACTGGAATATCTGAATTTTAGGACCGTTGAGATGAATATCATTTTACGAAAGAAGTCAACCTTCAGCTCATGATATAGGCGTAATCTGCGAGACTGTATTGCTTGAGGCCCATACTCTCTGGCAGATTGCAACTTCAGGATGCTACACGAGGTTGGACACGTAGTCAGGAAACTACCTGGATATTATGTAGATATAAAGCGCACGAGGCTGAGACGCAGCCTCGCAGGACAATAGCCTTCGGCTAGTGACTAGGCTGAGAAACAATGCATGATACTTGATCTTCCTCTTGAATCCCACCATAATCCTTCAAAATGAGTGGTCTCCCAAGTTATGATGATGATCTTCTTGCGCGACTAAATGCCCTCAAAAAATCAAATATTCAACTTGATCCATCCAAGTATGCCCAGGCCTCGCCTTCTATACGTCACTTCACATGCTGAGCCCTTGCTAGACCCAGACCTTTGACAGACACTGCAAAGAAGGAAACCCCTGAATCCGATCTCTCAGCACGATTAAGAAGCCTTCGAAATGGCTCTGCATCTCCGTCTCCAGCACCCAAACCGACAACGGCAATACGGAGCAATTCAGAAGCCTCGGCCTTTCCATCTACTCCATTAGACGAACCAGAGTCAGATCCTCTTAGACACCCAACGGACATAGACGACAAGACCCTCGATGAGCTTTTAGCTGATCTTGGTCCAGAGGACCAATGGACTCTGAATCCTGACGACCCAGCTGACATTCAGAAGCTTCTGAATGAAGCCAAGAATGCCCTACCCAGTGAAAAAGCTGAGCCTAGCTCCAAGGACGATGAAGAGGCAGGAGAAGCATCAAGACCGGGAGACAAGAAGCCGGACAAAGAGTACTTAATCCGAGATCTTGACATGTCGGCCTTTGCACTGGATGACGGCGAGCCACAAGCCAAGGACACAAAGCATGGTTCGAAGCTTGAAGACGAATCACGTGAAGCACAAGATATTGTAGCCAGATTACTCGATGAAGTGAACCTTGAGAAGGCCGCAGAGAGGGAAGATCAAGGAAACTCTCCAGGTGCACCAACAGAGAAAGATGAAGAAGAAAGTACGCTTTCACTCCCATCAGCTCCCACGAAGCTCCCGGATCTTTCAGTAGATCCAGAAACCAGCAAGAACTCTCTAGATTTCGAATCAGACATCACTGCACGAATGGCGGCTCTGAGAGGACTTGGGGCTACGGATTCGCTTGGGCTTCCATCTGCGCCGACTTTCAAGCCGTCGGATAAGCCTGTGAATGGGGTCATGAAGAAATACACAGACGAGGAGGTCGATACATGGTGTATCATTTGTCAAGACGATGCTACTGTGAAGTGTATCGGTTGTGGTGGAGATCTCTATTGTGCGAATTGTTGGAAGGAGGGTCATATGGGACCTGATGTTGGGTATGAGGAGAAGATGCATAAATGGACGAAGTATAAGAAAATGAATTAAGGATAGACATCTCTTCACGACTCGACAAGAGTTGCGAAAATGGGCGAAAATCATTATAATGCAACGCTCGTACAATTTGATTGACATCCTACTCGTATACATAAACATTTTTTCGGAGTCCGCGTGGTATATCCTGACTCCTGCTTCCCTACTCCCATGCCGGAACCATGCAGAAATCCAAGACTGTACAAACGACAACGTGAAAGAGAGCGCTCAATTTAGTCCTCCGCGAACCATCCATTTATTGATTGTCATCATGATTATTTGAAGTTGTTGTCTTCTTCGCCTTGCCACGAATATCTTGCCAGGTAGCGCCAAATCTTCTCCCCGTGCTGGCAAGAAGGCCTTCCTCCTCGTCGGCCTCGGCATCCTGGTCAAGTTGGCTAAGATCCAGCTTTGGCGTTCGGAATAGCGACGTGAGGAAGACAATCAAGAACACAGCAAGGAAGGCGAACTGTGCCCAAAAAGCCAGAGCGCCAAAGACTGGGAAGTTGGCCGTTACTCGATTAAGGAACGTGGAAACGACACTGGGAGTGCAGACATTCTTGGATCCGCCATCGGTAGATAGCTCAGAGCATGGTTTAACCAGTTCGGGATGCTTTGAGCAATTGGGCTGGTCACCAGGGAATCGAGTTGGGTTGCTGCAAAACGTCTGGGCTCCGTAAATAGCATATTGTGGAGCAACAATCATGGCAACCGAGTAGTTGATTGCAAGCATAATCAAAGTCAACATCACTGTCGCCATGAGAAGAGCTTGAGGCGTGGTATGGCCCTTGCGAATCTCAAAGATCTTGATCCACAAGAAGCGGATTCCAATAGTCGCAATTCCAGCCACAGAGCTGCTGAAGAAGAATAGCACCAGCAAAGCCATGATTGCATAATCGATGGGGAAGACCCTTGATGTCTGCACAAAGAGCCAGTTCACAGGTTGGAAAACGTTGATGCTGGAGGAGATTAGTATCCAAGGTCGACTTTGAGGTTGATTTCACTTACCTGCCCAAGATATATCCACAATGCTGTTTGCAGACCGAGTTCGTCGCTTTATCAATGCCAGTGATCAACATTGACACCCAAAGTACGATTGCAAGCAGGAGAAGAAGAATGCCTCCAATCAGCTTCAGAGGTCGGAACACAGCGCAAAGTTTGGTCCATGCTCTGACAATGAACGACTTGCCATCGCCTCGAGCCTCTGCAGCAAGACGCTCTCTACGAACAAGGGTTCGCTCTTCACGAACCAATGCCTCTAGCTCTCTCTGATCTTTAGCCGGCATTCCATCTTCGCGGCCAGCATTACGGCCCTCGAGTTGGCGTTGTCTCTCTCGGTTCTGTTCCAAGGCCGATGCTGTAGTCTCTGATAATTGAGGTGCGCTAATAGAAGGAGCTGATTTGATGAAAGAGATAGGTAGAAGAGCGAGTCCCGCTGCGGTATATAAGATGTAGAGCAACGTGCCCAAGCAAATGAGCAATCCAAGAGCAAAGGTTAGAGCTCGTTCGCCGTGGTTCTCAGACAATAGACCCTTGAAATAGTCGAAGTCGTTCCACTCATGATGAGATCCATTGCGGTTCCAGGCAACGGGCACGAAAAAGCCAACGAGGAAGATAATGACCACAAGGACAACGAAGATCAGGGTGTATTTCAATGCTCCCATAAACCTTTGAGAGAAGGTTTGAGTGCCTTCTTCAGCCTCGACATCATCATATTCTTCATAGAAGAAATATGTGAAGGGGACCACCAAGAGACAGAGGAGAGCGTCCAAGCTATAGAGGGTGTAGTACACAATCTCGAGTGTGTACAATATGTTCTTCACTGTGTCTGGAGTCGCCCAATCCTTCTTGGCTCCAAGCTTAACAGAATTCGTAGAGCTGACCAAAGCAATATCGACAGAGAGTAGAAGGACCGTTGCCAGTAAGGACGTTAAGGTTATGATTGTGATAGTTGAGACCAGGGCTGATCTGTCTCTCGGCGTTTGATATGTGTAGGTAAATATCGCAGCTATGAGAGCTACAAGAGCTACGGCAACAGCATATGCCACCCAAATGAATGCCGTCTGTATGAGCGCCATATTTGGCGATTCGAGCGTCGCCTCGACTCGATTGATAGGCGCTGTTTCGGAGGCTAAATATCGTGTTGTATTAGCTACAGCGAGCAACGGACTGGAAAGCTAAAGACAGCTGCGTCTTTTTCAAGTAAACTATGAACTCACCTTCAATTATTGAATCTTCTGTAATTGTTACCGTTAATAAATTATGGAAAAGCAAGGAGTGTGTGTGGCTCTGCTTGCCTTAATGAAGTGAAGAGGAGGTGCGACTTCTGACGTAGTGAGTCTAACGACGCTTGAAGGAGCGCCCAAATAAAACAGGGATGGAGCTCTACCCCTGCAAAAAATTGTCGCGCTAGCAGGTCCATGATCGACAATCCACTCATCAGCAACTTCATATCTTCAAGACCTGACCTATCTCATCAACCGAGAATATGATGCGAAATCCATTACAACCTTCATAATGCAATGCTACACGGAGCTGACACCTCCTACAGCTGTCACACATTCATTGAGTCTGCCGTTCATTTCTGCAAAGGCTAACAATCTCATTGTCGCGAAAACCTCCTTACTTCAAATCTTCACTATTAAGACAGTGTCAATTGAGCTCGATGACTCGCGGGAGAGTGAAGCCTCGAAACAGGATGGCAAGTGGGATGCGACAATTAGTGATGACGCGCTGGAAACATCTTTTCCTGGAATAGACTCTGTTCTCCGTACAGATCGCGCGAAGAAAACGAAGCTCGTCCTTTTGGCCGAATATACACTCTCTGGAACAATCACTTCGTTGGCACGGATAAAAGTCCCCTCTTCGAAGTCAGGTGGAGAAGCGCTTTTAGTCGGATTGAAGGATGCGAAGCTCAGTCTGGTGGAGTGGGATCCCGAGCGTCCAGGCATATCGACTATCTCAATCCATTATTACGAGCAAGATGATCTCCAGGGCGCACCTTGGGCGCCATATCTCAAGGACTGTGTCAATTACATATCGGCTGACCCTGGCAGTCGTTGTGCTGCTCTCAAGTTTGGCGCTCGAAACTTGGCTATACTGCCTTTCAAGCAAGATGAGGAGGACGTGAATATGGATGATTGGGACGAAGACTTAGATGGGCCGAAACCTGCTGACAAGAGTTCGAAGACTGCAAATGGTATTGCTGGGACTGGCGATACCCCGTACGGCTCGTCTTTCGTCCTCCGTTTGCCAACCCTAGATCCGAATCTCATCAATCCAATCCATCTTTCCTTTATATACGAATACCGAGAGCCTACTTTTGGCATTCTCGCCTCAAATACCTCCCCGGCATCTTCGCTACTGTTCGAAAGAAAGGATTACCTTACATACATGGTCTTTACCTTGGATTTACATCAGAAGGCTTCGACTACAATATTATCGGTCACTGGTCTACCATACGATCTGACTGAGATCATCCCAATACCAGCTCCGGTTGGTGGTGTTCTCCTCGTAGGTAGTAATGAATTGATCCACGTTGATCAAGCTGGAAAGGCCAATGGAGTCGCTGTCAACTTGTTTGCCAAACAATGCACCTCATTTGGCCTGGCTGACCAGTCAGAGCTGGGGATGCGTCTTGAAGGTTGCAAAATTGAACAGCTCTCGATTCAGAATGGCGAGATGCTTATTCTCCTGCAGTCTGGCGAACTCGGTATTATAAGCTTCCGGATGGATGGCCGGTCTGTTTCTGGCTTGAATGTTCGACGGGTTTCCATTGAAGCCGGAGGGTCTGTCTTGTGCGGTCGTACTTCTACAATAAGCCCTCTAGGTCAAAACGCTTTTTTTGTTGGAAGTGAGTCTACAGATTCGGTAGTCCTTGGTTGGAGCAAAAAGGTCAGCCAAATATCACGCCGAAAGTCCAAATTGGATAAGTCTCGAGGCAACGATGACACATTCATGGATGAAGATGAGGACGAAGAAGATGATGATGTCGACGATGACTTATATGGCGAAGGGCCGGCAGTCACCACGGCTGCTACCAATGGTTCTGCCCCGGTGGATGGCACCAGTAGCAAAGCTGGTGATTACCTTTTCCAGGTGCATGATCGATTGGTGAACATTGCCCCGATTGTTGATATGACGTTCGGGAAATGTGGCGCCTATCAGAATGACGAAGAGAAACTTAATGCCGAAGGAGTGACTGGTGACCTAGAGCTTATTGCTGCTGTCGGCAAGCAAAAAGGCGGATCTCTTGCGGTGGTCCACAGGAAGATTCAACCTAAAGTTGTTGGTAAATTCGAGTTTCCTGAAGCACGAGGCATATGGACGATGAGCGCAAAAAAGCCTACTGAAAAGGGTCTAGAAGCTCAAAAAGAGAAGTCTGCTATGAGTGGAGACTATGGCATTGAAGCTCAATACGACAAGCTGATGATTGTCTCGAAAATTCTCTCTGACGGTACAGAACAATCTGACGTGTACGCACTAACAGCAGCAAATTTCGAGGCTCTCACGGATACAGAATTCGAACCGGCCGCTGGTCCGACCATTGAAGCTGGTACATTGGGCAACGGCATGCGTGTCATTCAAGTTCTCAAGTCTGAAGTACGAAGTTATGATGGCAGTAAGTCTCTTTTCCATTCCTTATCCTTTCTTTGTTGGAATTGGGCAATCAGATGGTATTGCAACTCAAGAGAACTCGGCAAGCCTTCTTCAACGAATTTACGAGGTATAACTCATCATCGTCTGCTTGCTTTCTGGGGAGCTATTTGGGAATGTATCATGTCCTATAGCATCAATGAAAGCGTTTTCACCAATCTTGAGCGTCTACCTATACCATGTGCCACTACGACTTTTGAAAATATCCGCCCCCATTAGAACAGGCTGCTAACCGGCGGTCAATCTTAGATCTCGGATTGGCTCAGATACTGCCTATGTATGATGAAGATACTGGTGCTGAGCCTAAGATCATCAGTGCGAGCTTCGCAGATCCTTTCCTACTTCTCGTCAGGGACGACTCAAGCATATTCGTTGCTCAATGTGACGATAGCAATGACCTAGAAGAGTTGGAACGTGAAGACGATGGACTTTTGAGCACCAAATGGCTGACCGGATGCTTGTACGCCGATGCGACCGGCATCTTCGCTTCTGTTCAGTCTGACAAGGGCCAAAAGGCTGGAGAAAACATATTGATGTTCCTCTTGAGTGCTGGTGGAGCGCTGCACGTAAGAGTTCTCCTAGGACGACCGAGCATGAATACTAACGATACTAGATTTACGCACTTCCAAACCTTTCGAAAGCTGTCTATATTGCAGAAGGCTTGTGTTTTGTGCCCCCAGTCCTCTCGGCAGATTACGCGGCCAGAAAATCTGCTGCGCGTGAGACATTGACCGAGATCATAGTTGCAGATCTTGGGGACGATGTCTCGAGATACCCTTACCTTATTGTATGTTTTCAATGTGAACTTCCTAGGCCTCGGCTAACCATCAGCAGTTGCGCCCTTCTAATGATGACCTAACGATTTACGAGCCATTTCGAACAAGTCCTGCATCTTCTCCAAACGACCTCTCGAAGACACTTCACTTCCTCAAAATCCACAACCCTCACTTTGCTCGTAATCCAGAAATATCTGCAGAAGTGACCGCGGACGATGCAGGAGATACTAGAAATGAGCCTATGCGTGCATTCTCAAATCTTGGTGGCTATAGTGCAGTCTTCTTGCCCGGTGGATCGCCGAGCTTTATCATCAAAAGTGCTAAAAGCACGGCTAAAGTGCTCAGTCTACAAGGCACTGGAGTTCGGGGGATGAGCAGCTTTCACACTGCGGGATGTGACAGAGGTTTCATTTACGCGGATGTCGAAGGTATTGCTCGAGTGGCGCAACTTCCCTCAGCCTCCAATTTTGCAGAGCTGGGCGTAACACTCCGGAAAGTCGACATTGGTGAGGATATTCACGCTATCTCATATCATCCGGGTATGCAATGTTATGCTATCGCAACAAGCACTAGAACAGAGTTTGAGTTGCCGAAAGATGATGACCACCATCGGGATTGGGCTCGAGAAGACATAGCTTTCAAGCCAACCATAGAGCAAGGTTACCTCAAGCTGGTTAACCCTGTCAACTGGTCTGTTATCAACACAATACCACTCGATCCCTTCGAGGTGGTAATGTGTATGAACACTATCAACCTGGAGATATCTGAATTGACCAATGAGCGCAAGCAATTGATCACAGTCGGCATTGCCATAACCAAAGGCGAAGACTTACCAACCAAAGGCCGAATTTATGTCTACGACGTGGTCAATGTTATTCCGGAAGCTGACCGTCCTGAGACGAACAAACGTCTGAAGCTCATAGCAAAAGAAGAGATCGCTCGAGGAGCCATCACCGCCATTTCCGAAATCGGTACACAAGGCTTCATGATGGTTGCACAAGGACAGAAATGCATGATTCGCGGTCTCAAAGAGGATGGCACACTTCTTCCTGTCGCTTTCTTAGACCTGAACTCGTATGTCACTTCTATGAAAGAGCTTCGGGGTACAGGTCTCTGTGTTTTCGGCGACGTAATCAAAGGCGTCTGGTTTGCAGGCTACGCCGAAGAGCCATACAAAATGATGCTTTTCGGCAAGTCAGCAAACAACATGGAAGTTGTGGCAACAGAACTGCTTCCCGATGGAAAAGAGCTATATATTGTAGCAGCAGACTCAGACTGCAATTTGCATATCATGCAATACGACCCTGAACGTAATTTAGCCCCTTACCCCTTTTTGAATCTCGCTTAATTAGTTTTAGACCCGAAATCCATCCAAGGACATCTACTTCTACATCGCTCCACATTTGCCCTAGGTGGACACATGCCAACAACGATGACACTCCTTCCTCGCACTAAAGCTGCCACAATGCTACCTCCTTCTCCGGATGCCATGGATATTGCCGCCGATGCCACAATTCCTGAGCACGAGATCCTTATCACTTCTTCAACGGGCTCAATTGCTCTGCTGTCGCCCTTAAGTGAACCTCAGTACCGACGCTTGAACACTCTAACGTCTCATCTCACGAATACGCTGTATCATGCTTGTGGACTGAATCCAAGAGCCTACAGAATTGACAGAGACGCACCTGAAGGCACGGCGGGTAGCAGAACAGTGGTTGACGGGACGATCCTTATGCGATGGCTAGAGTTGGGGAGTCAAAGGCGGGCGGAGGTTGCTGGAAGGGTCGGAATTGACGTTGATGAGGTCAGGGATGAGTTGGTTGCGCTTATGGGTGGGTTGGGATATTTGTGAGCTGTATGGGGTGGTTCTTTGAGCGTTATTAATTTCATGAACGAGCGATGATAGTTCTCAAGTTAGACAAGTTGATGCTCCGAAATTCCTTTTGCATCAATCTGGCCTTATGGGTGCTTTATACGTGATTATCAATGACTACTTGAGTTGGCTCGTGAAAGTTGAGCTATTACTATGCGCTAGTGCTGCAGATTTGAGTCATGTAGGGAAGAGCTTGTGCGTAAGCAAAGTAAAGCGACAGCAAGTAACTGGGTGCACTTCGTTCAAGGACCCTCGAAGAGAATCAGACCTGTTGCATGGGCGGCAGTTCCTTTCCCCTTGTTCTCTGTCAGATTCTGCATTGGATCCTCACATAGCTATAAGATCCCCTATATCGAAGCAAAGTAGTAGACTTTACTCCCATGACTGGAGAGTTTGCCTGCCCCTGCCGCCCTGCCATCAACATGGGGTCCTTCACCCTCCCCTTCGCGCCTCGTCAAGACTGCTAGGCTTGAATGAAAAGTAACTTGTTTCCCCTTCACTGACATATTTCGAAAGAAATATGATCCATGGGACTCGAAGCTGTTAGACACTGAGCAAGTACCTACTGTACTTTAATTAATGATACTTATGAAGATCACACCTTGCGCCGCCCTGCCAAACGTCTCGAAGCACGCCTTCCAGATAGAGACATACAATAAACATAGACAATACCTGCATACGAACCAAGCTCCTACCCTCAAGAAGCGCAATTGACGCTTCTTTGCTTTTGCAACAAACATGGCGGCAATCGTGTCTGCACAGAAGATCCATGTCTTTCTTGCTTTCGGGATAGGATGTTTCAAGATTCTTATTCAGCTACATGTTCTCGTTAGCCCTCAAGAACCGAAGGATGAAAGGCTGAGTATGACGCCTATCAAACGGTACGAAGTTGGGCAGCATGCGCACCGTGTGCTGGCTTGGCTACGGAGCCAACCGAGCGAATCGATCTGCGGCATGCTTGTACTCGAGATTGCCATGTGCGTGAATAAGGGTTGTTCCTGGCTTGACCAATCTGGTCACCGAGATGGAAAAGCAGGAAAATATTGCATGTTTATCAAGCCACAGCCGTAGCCGGTGCGCTGCTGTGATTGAGAAGAGCTGTAGCTAACAGCACCTCATGAGTTACGATTTTGAGCTTGGCTGTGTATATAAGGTCGACTTCGGGGCTTTCTGGAAATGTTTGAATGCCAACAATTCTTGATCACAAGAAGTGGAAAGCATGATAAACATACAAACTTATCTCTACCTTACTTTCACTTGGTTTTCGGGAGAAGCACACAATAATCAACTCCTTCATGAACAGCCAGCCTCGCATTGCCCCGCATTCTAGTATCTCGAGACTGCTCTGTCAACAATCAAGTAAGCAACATCAGCAGTATTCAAGAATATATTTGTGGCAGACTGCTCCACATATATATATATTAGCTCACTTACTCTTCGCAGACTCTACTCCATTGATGTTTTCCAAACGCAACCTCTCCATCGACAATCGCATCAACCTCATCATCGGCATCTTGAGTGTAGTCATTGGCATCCTAAGTGCGATCCTGGCATGGGCTACGTGGAGACTGACTGATGATCGACGGCGTCGCTGTGCTAGGCACCATCATAGTATATACTTTCCTCGTCTACATGAGGTCTAGTATCTAAACTGCAATAGGCCCCGAACCTGAATTGGTGCCATTGCAAACACTTCCTACGCCACCCACTCAACCAACTGGAGTTGAGATTGCGTTTAGGATTGGAAGGAGTCGCTGATTATGGAGTCTAGAATTGGGACCACTAGACGAAAGATACGTGGGGCAGAAACTTGAAAGGAGTTTAGGGCCTTGAATGACAATTGTTCTTTGGAAGGTATCCTAAAAAGGGAGTGGAAAGATGTTCATTGATAGACTTGTAATCACGACCGTCACACTCTCTTGCACATATACAGCGAGAGGTCTCTACAAGTATTGATTTTAGTGTGTCTTAGTTTCCCGTCTCTTCTTCAATCTGCAAGACCCAAATCTGAAATTTACATTTACTTTCACTAAATGGCCGCTCGGCAAATCCCAGCAAGAAAGATTCCTTGACCCAGAAGCATCTATCTTTACCAGGGTCTCGTCAAGTACTGGTCTTTACCCGTGAACGTCCTCAGGGGCTCAGCCTCGTACAAGTTAAGCGAGGAAAACGAGGCAACCAAGGCAAATCTGAAGAGGGTGACTTTCCAGCCTCAATTCCCGGTTGCGGTCGATAAAGCCTTGAGGAAGCCCTCACTCCTCTCCGCCACTCAGGATAAGAAAAGAAACCCTGTCAGCTTGCACCCCTGCGCAGGGCAGAGTCGATCCCGAGCGCCCTGCTGCCAAAGTGTCAGATAGTCTGATCTTAGAATTCCACAATCCCACAGGGGCCACCTTCTAGAAGACTTCCATGACACTCCACCTGCTAACGTTGCTTTGCTGCAATGTTGAGACCTAGTCCGAGACACGCAGAGACCGAGTCTAGCTTCTCTGTCTGCAAAGGTGATAGGTGCCTACTGCGCGAGCATCCATGCTGGGAAATGGGAAAGGCCAATAGTACATCTTGTCATGCATGGCAAGGACACCCTCTTCTGCTCAGTGGCGGCAACAACCCTCATCTTGAACCAATCTGACCATTTTTCACGACGCCTCTCACAACATTCTCGAATCTCACACGTCGAGTCCACGCTTTCGTATTGATCACCGACATACTATCAGCTGCATATCTCATCATCATCGATGTACCAAGATAAGGCGAGGCAACCGAAATCGGTACTACCCTTTCACGAATGTCCATTCCTTGCCCAAGTTACCATTTGCACCAATGCGTGACAACGTGGGGCGGTTCAGAATTGGACGTGCGTACGTACGTGCTCGAGCTTGTGGCTACGGTGTGTCCAATCAGAACGAGTCCTCATCCCAGGTACCAAGGTACCTTAATCAGCCACACTCTCACACAGCGGGGTACCGATGCAGCAGTCTATGAATATCCATGCACCGACCTGTCTCTGAAAGCATATAAGCCCCTTCTTTGCCCACACGCAAATATGGATACAAGCATTCAGAACATCCAACACCATAGAGATCGAGTACACAAAACGAGGCTATGGGTACTTCTTCTCCCTCATCCATCACATCGCTCCAAGGCTGACAGCTCCCAGGTCCCACATCTACCCCTCCACGAGGCATCTCACTTGACAATCGCATCAACCTCATAATCGGCATCCTCACAATCGTCATCGGTGTCCTTAGTAGTCTTCTTGCTTGGGCAACCTGGCGGCTTACAGATGATCGTCGACGTCGTCACCATAATGTGCATCATGGAAGTGAGTGTCCTCTCTTTATCAGCAATATATTGTACTCAAGTATAATCTACTCAAGTACTAACAATGATCTGCAGGTCCAACAATCGAAGCAATGCCACTACAAGACCTGCCTTCACCACCTGTAACCACCTCTGCTTCTTTGCTTGGATACGAAGTTGCGTTTAGGAATGGGAGGAGTCACTAAGGATTTTGTGATGAGCGGGCGTTTAGGAAAAGAAGGGCACAAACTCTGCTATGGACAGGCGTTGGTAACATGGGACAGGAAGGACAATGATATGAAATGGGCATAAACTCGACGAAAGGGCAGCAACGTTCTCCTAGGTTTGGGGTAGAATTGGGACGGAAAATTATTAATGGTTCATACCCATCTCATGTTGAGAACATTGACTTTGTTACATGACATATATCTCATGACATCTCATTTGTTATGCATATTGTAACCATGGACATACCACATGTGAACGGAAAATTACCGGTAACTTCACAGCCAGAAAACGATCCGTGAAATGAAACAATGCTCTTGCAAGCCACTTTCAACGTTTGCATGCGGAAGTGCATACACAAAAATCAATAAAAAGTTCTTATCCTAGCATCTTTCGCACGTCAGACAAGGTGACCATGAAGAGGTCAGCAAAATGACTGAGGCGTATAACTCTAGTGGAACAGATGCAGGTAGCCGACCAACGCATGTCAAAAAAGAAATCGGGATCGGCCTAAAGAGGTAAAGCTCGGCTAATTTACCCGGTATGCGTCGAATCGTCGGTCAAGAATACAGTACTTTGAGTTCTTGCTTGTAGACGTCGAACGCTTGTCTCCCAATGCTCACACCGGTCCGGCGCAGGTTGCATGCGTGGTATGCGCCATTGGTGCATCGGCTCACGGCAGTAGGAACCATGCGCGGTGTTCGATCTCAAATCCTAGCTATGCAAAATAACAATTAAGTCTAATATCAGCTTGCAGGAGGCAGGGATCATGATGGTCCGATCCCAAATCTCGGGTCCGTACTATTCGATACCATTACTTGGGTTCGGCTGCTGGCTTGCAGACGGTGAGGCCCACGCGGGCGAGATGTTCGATCCCGAAGCTCAACGTTGTAATCTTGACATTCAGTATGCAGGTTACGGCCAGCAGACAACCAGGATCATGGCGATCTAATCCAGATCGTACTATATGACATGTCATTAAAGTGCTTGAGGAATGTGGTCGCAGCCGGCACGGTGCGCAAGTGGATTCGACTTGAATTTCATTCTTACACGAACAGGTAGGGATTTGTTAAATCCGTTGAACAAAAAAAGTATATAAGGACGACTCCCCTATCATATCATGGAAGCCATAACTTGAAGACAACCAACCAGCAAAGGAAACAATCAATCTTCAACACAAAAAAACATCATTTACAATGGGTATTCCACCTTTCCCCTCGACAGTCAACCGGTTCAGACAGCAGCTGACTGATACACTCAACTAGAGTCGCCTCATCTCCTCAAACGTGCCCTATCAATGGACAACAAGATCAACATCATCATCGGTGTCCTTACTGTCATGCTGGGCTGCTTGAGCGTTGTCCTCGCCTGGGCAACATGGGACCTTGTCCGAAATCGACGTAGAATGCTCGGACCATGAGTATGCAACCAAAAGCAGGACAAAACAAGAAGCTGACTAAAGGAAGGTCTGGCAATTGAGTCGAATGCATTTCAGATGCTGGATAGCAAAAGGATATCCACTTGGACATGAGTTGGAGTTTAGAATGCGTGGTTGAAAAGTTTGATGGGATGAAGTTCATGGGTTGTTTGGCGTATTCATGCCCTTTCTATGTACCTTCGCATTACCCTTATTGTACAATTTCCCTTGTGCCTTATCCCTCTATTGCAATGATGTTTATTTCATTGTCGTTGTTGTTGAAGCCCGTGCGTTAGCGGGGTCATGTTTCATGACCTTACCCCAGATCCACCATCTTAGACTTCCGCAGTCTTCTTGCCTCGTCTTAAGCTTCCAAATCTCCTCTTCAATCCTTCTCCTAATCGTCGTCCGGTCGTGTTGCTTCTTCGCATATCTCCTTCGAAATCCGAATATCTCAAGGAGCTACCTGTGGGGCTGCCTGCATTCATACGTCCGACACTGCTACCGCTGGCACTTCTCTGCCTGTTCATGGGAGCTCGTGGTTGCATTTCATACGAGCCATTTCCTTCCGAGGCAACTCGTCGATCGCTCTTCTCGTGTTCTTTCAAAGCTTTTTCAATCGAGAAAGATGGCTCGCCTTTGCCTTTGTAGTCATCTGGTAGATATTTCTAGTAACTGTCAGCAATTGTATTGTTTCAACATTACAGGACTTACGATTCCCTCCCATCGTTTGTAAGCACCACCCGGTGCATCCGGCTCGCGCATCAAATCAGCACCTTCTTCGTATTCCATGGGTCTTCCGTCCAAGCCGGCCATTCCAGGTGGGATGACAGCAGTTCCTTGTAATGGCACATGTTTGTTGAGAGAATCCTTAATATTTTCTACCGGTGTTGCTCGAATTGCCTCTTCGTTTGTGCCTCTGACAGCTTCAACAGGAGAGTTCTTGTAGCTTGTATTTCGTGCGAGTAGCGTGGCATCATATGGACCCTCGTGGTGGTAGAGACCTCCAATCATAGATCTATCGAGGGAATCTATGACATCCGCGCCCGGGAGGTGCTTCTTCCTCAAGTGCGGCGCACGATTGGCCGCCTTGGTCTCCTTTCGCAATTGATCGAGGGGTCGGTGCGACATATCTCCAGGAAATCGTTCACTTAATGAACCTACTTCTAATCAGCATTCAATGTCCCTGAATATGTCCATCAATGTGTGATTGGTAATGTTCGGAATGTAGCCCAGCAGTATCGTTGGTCGAACTTCTACACGAAACCAGACAATGCCAAAATCAAATGTAGTTACTCACTGCCTCTTCTTCGACCTGTTCCTGTTCCTGGCTCCGGACTTCTCCTGCTTGGTCCGGCGTTGGTGTAATCTGCAAAAGCAGCTTGTCGATGAGAAGGAGAAGAAGCGTAAGGATTTTTCGAGCTGAAGGTTGATTGGGTAGGACTTGCTGAGCTAGGTGGTGTAGGGTAAAATGTTGATGAGGGAGTCTTCGAGGAAGTGGAGACGGCAGCAGTTTTTGAGGTCGATGGAGCTCTGTTCACAGTTGTGGTAAAATGGGTTCCTGGCCCTGTTTCTTGACTGGGCTCCGGTGCTGTCAGAGGATCAAGCAGGTATTTGGCGGCCTGTTAATATTGGTTAGTCGTGGTATGATTAAAATGATCTCAATAATGTTGATCTTTGCGCTGGTCGCAGCAGGCTTGAGATCCTTGCAACTATCCATGTATGGACGGGAACGTACCCAATGCTTGTCTTCTGACGAAGAATCCATGATGTTTGCTACGAAATTATCGTTCTAGGGCTGCGAATCGTGTTTTGGAAAGAGTGGAAGGAGGTCGTGATATGTGAGCGAAGGTGTGTAAGAGACAGGCAGAAGTTTAAGACTTCTAAGGGAATGCTGAGGTCAGTAACTTCTTTGGTGGTCGTACATGCTGTGTGTGCTGTCGTACGCAATTGGCAGGGGTCTCCCAATCAGAGGGATCGAGGACGACATGGATCCGGATTGCAGGTCGAGCCTGCCAATGACGTCTGCACGATGGCCCCTGCGCACATCAGATGGAAAGCGGATGCGCGGAGAGTCGCTTTCGCTGCCAGAGGAGAAGAAAAGTCGCATGTTCGAGGCCCAGCCAAAGTCCCAGTATAGTAGGATCGTCAAAAGTTCTACCTTCTCCGACTCCGAGCTGTTGACGACGATGCCCTTACGCAGAAGTAGGATCCACTGCTGACGTTGAATCTGGACTTAGTTTGAGTTGATGTTGTGGTAAAAAGGCCCAAAGAACCCAAATCAAGACCCAAAGTAGCTGAGCTAAGCCACCAACTCGACCTCGATCGCGGCAGCGACGCATCGGCGACATATCGTACCTGAAGCTATCACCAATTCGTCACCCAGACTTTGAACCTCGTGTGGACATGAGAATAGGCAGAAGAGATGGCACTCGTCGACTATGCTTCTTCAGATGAGGAAGATGAAATTGTGGAGTCTACTTCAACGTCAAATGCCAACGCAGCTCAAAGTCTAAAGCGCAAACGTGAAGAGAGCGCATCTGACTTACCGCCTTTGCCCTCTAAATTCCATGATCTGTACGCCTCAACCACCAGAGTCAGCACGAGAGATGATCCCAGCCTACATGGAGGCCGAAAACGAGTAATGCCTCATGTGGAGGGTAATTGGCCAACTCATCTCTACATCGAGTGTGAGTTCCAAGCTATATTTCTTATTCTCCTGCTCAAGATTCTGGGCTGACCCAATCGAGGGTATCCTTCGACAACAGAATATAGCTCATTGGATGCATTGGTCTCCTTGTTGAAAGACACTTGGCCACCAGAAGCTACCGACCTCAAAGTCAACTCCTTCTTGACCAGTGACCTAGGTGCTCCTTTACCACTTCATATCAGCCTCTCGCGCTCTCTTGGCTTTTCTACAGAACAAAAAGATGAGTTTGTTTCAGCTATGGAACGTGCTATCCAGTCCTCCACCGTTCGACCGTAAGAGATCCTTTAACATATAGACCAAGTCACGTGGCTAACCATTAAGCTTCGTTGTCTCATTCGCCGACCTGGATTGGGTGTCAAACTTCGAGAACACTCGATGGTTCCTTGTCTTAAAGGTCCTAAAACCAGATTTGAATGCTTTGAACAAGCTACTCCACATCAGCAATTCTGTCGTACAGGAACATGGCCAACCACCTTTATACTCGAAACCGGCCACCACCAAGTCTGACGTCAAGGCACGCAATCATTCTGGGAAGAGACGATCAATCAATCACAACTCTGCATTACTTTATAAAGACATGCAAGATCTTTCATCGGCCTTTCATATCAGTATCGCCTGGACTCTGACCGATCCTAGCCAAGAACTTCTCGATTTAACCAAATCAGCGAAACTCAACCACTTCGACCCGGTCAAGCAAATTCAAGTAGTAGTTGAGGATATCAAGGTCAAAATTGGCAATGTTGTCACAAGTCTACCTCTTCCAAAGAGTGTCAATTTAGGCAAGAGTCTATTTGGTGCTTGATCCAACTGTGACGAAAGCTCAATCGGGTTCTCCAGACTCTGGCTCTGGAAAATCGCGAGGAGGCTTCAAGCACAACTTCAAACTGCCACCAATAGCAAAGACCCAAGGTCATCTACGTCTTTCGACCAACCCGATAGATCTTTGACGAGATCATTCTGCCAATCATTCGTCTCGGTGCGAAACATCTTCCTCAGATTTCCCACCGTTGGCATCTCGCTGCCATTTCTAGACGACAGATACTTCTTGTATTCATCTTCCCACGATGATGCGGTCTGCGCCAGAAACATGCTCTTCCCACAAGGTAATGGAACTTTATCAAATCCAACACAGGATGATGGTTGAGCCTTTCCAACATCCATGTCTAGAAGATAGGCCATGAGATGCAAGACGATCATTGTCCTGCGAGAAATCAATAAAAACTCCCTTTTGGATGTTCGTGCCTACCTTCTTTTGCATTCTTGAAGTATCCAATCACTCCATCTGGGGAAGTTTCCTCGATTCTCGGCGACACAGTAGTAACCCAAATTTTGCACAGCATTTGCAATCTCCTAATTAAACCTTTCCTTCAGTATACATAATTATATCTATAGGAGTACTGGGAGTAACCTACACCCATTGCTATTCTCGTTATCATGCTTATCAGTTTGCAACGTTCTTTATCCATCGCCAGCAGTATCGAATATACTGTCATTGCTTGAAGTGCTGAGAGTAGCGTGCTCTCGTCATAATTACAAAACTACGCGAAGTTAGCTGACTGAAATGCTTACGCTCAGTTACACATACCTCGGCATGAAGCCGTTGAACCTCCAATAGAAATGTCTTGAGCACCAGCTGCTTGCACGCTGGTGTCTTTTGCAGATACATGGGCACTACGTTCTTACAGTTTGCAAGTGGCTCGGGAAGATTCGCAAAGTCGACAATTTGGGAGCCTCCGTCTTTCAAAAGATAGTTCCGATGAATGAAAGGTGGCAAGATAGCTTTGTCGAAGTCCGTTACATAGGATGCTATTCTTGACCACAGGAAGTTTTGTTTCATCGAATCCGAAATACAAGTGGCCGGCCTTCGTTCTAGAATGTTGGGAACATGGTTTGGTGTTACTTTCAAAGCCTCCCAGCTCGCGATGATGGATTCTGTGCTGTGTTTCATCGCCACAGACAATTCGGATAAAAAGTCCAATCCATCCTCGGCAGTGATGGTACCCGCTCCGTGCGTGGTTGATTGAATGCTTCGAGTGTCCCTTGATGAACAGCGCTCCAGCCAGCATATACTATCTTGTCTCTGTGTCTGAGAAGGCTCGACAATTTGATCAAACACGCTCAGATTCACATCCTGGGTCGTTGGCGATGTTGGCACCGACAAGATCGCATTATTGAAACTCCAATCCATGTCGGGCTGGTATGTGTGATTCGGAATAGACCCAGTTGATACCTGGAAGTCCAGAGCTTCGGAATTCCGTCCATTTGTCATGGAAGTTGCCCTCATAAGCCTCGGACTTTGCATTGAGTCAAGATCCGTAATCAATGGTGTAGAAGTCGTGTCTGTACTCATAAACCACGAATGAAACATACTGTCTTGACCTAATGGGGAAGCGTGTCTTCTCGATTTCGGGCTTTCGTATTTACATGTGATATTTCTTTTCTGGCAACGAGAACAGCTTGGGAGGTCGAGACTACAGCGAGTCTTTGCCACCCGACATTGGGTGCAAGACTTCTTTCTTGAAGACCCCATTGCTAAAGATTTGTCTAGGAGTGAGTGCTCACCCAAGTAACATTCAGAAATAATCAGAAATGGAGCCAATCTTGTCTACTGGGTGAGATGGATGAACGAGTGAGAATTCCAATTCTGACAAATCCGTTCTAGCTTTCGGAGTTAGCCCCACTTTTAGACAAGATGAGAGTAACGCCGGACTGCACTATAAATTCATTCGCTCGCTTGATAGTGGGTCCGGAATTCCGTATTAGAAAGGGGGAAGAGTATTATGGAAGCAAGAACTTCGACGATTGCTTGGAGAATTGCAGCAATATTCGAAACCTTCAACATGTATAAAAGATCACATTTCCCAGCAAGAATGTCCTTCTTCTCTAAACTCATCCACACCCTTTACTATCTGACAACACGCATCTCTACCACTTACAAACAATGTCTTCACAACCTATTCGCATAGGTCTGATTGGCCTAGGTCGCCAGACAGGTCACAACGTCCCCGGGCTTTGGGCCATGATGGCTCACCTCCCATTCCTCCTCTCCTCCCCCAAATACCAAATAACTGCCGTCGCAAACTCCACCACCGCCTCAGCCCAAGCAGCAATTGACCACCACAATCTTGGCCCCAACGTCAAAGCCTACGGCAATCCCACTGATCTGGCCCAAGACCCCAACGTTGACATGGTCGTCGTCTCCGTCAAAGTAGGAGCTCATTACGCTCTCTCTAAACCCGCTCTCCTGGCTGGAAAATCCCTCTTCGTAGAATGGCCCCTCGGCGCCTCCCTCTCCGAAGCCCAAGAGCTCGCCACTCTAGCCGCAACCCACGGCTCCAAGACTGTCGTCGGCGTCCAAGCCCGTGCATCTCCTCTCGTTCTCAAAATCAAAGAACTAGTAACATCAGGCAAAATCGGCAAAGTGCTCTCCTCAACGGTCATCAGTTCCTTCGGCGGGCTACCAGCTGCCCAGTGGCCGCAAGGAGCTGAGTATTATCTCGACATGAATTCTGGCGGAAATCAGTTCACGATCTTCTTCGGGCATTTCTTGGATACTTTTACACACGTTCTCGGAGATTTCGCGAGTCTGACGTCGAGCATGAGGTGCGATTACCCGAGTATTGATATTGTGGACTCAGCTGGGACGGTGGTGCAAAAAGGGTACCAGAAAACGAGTCCAGATCATGTACAAGTGTCAGGGAAATTGGTGAGCGGTGCGAATGCGAGTATTGTGTTCTACACAGCGCCAGGAGAGGCGGTCGATGGAGTGGGAGTGAGGTGGGTAATTACAGGGACGGAGGGGCAGATGGAGATTATTACTCAAGAGAGACAGTGGCAGATGGGCGCGCCGGGGACGAAGCTTAGGGCTAGACTCGGGAGAGGGGCGGGGATTGTAGAGGTGAATTTCGAGGATGTGGAAGAGGAGAAGGAGGTCAGGGAGGCGGCGTTTCCGGGGACCAATACGGCGAGGTTGTATGATGCTTTTGCGGAGGAGAAGAGGGATGTATATGCTGATTTTGAGAGCGCGGTGAAGACTCATGCGTTGTTGGAGTGGATTAAGAGGGAGGCTGGATGGTGAAAAGGAGGCTTTAGCGAGTTTGATAAATTTGAAAAAAAAAGATTGAAATCAATTATTTTTTATAGATCTAAGAGACAAAAACTCCAGACAGCCCTCTTTATCCCGCACGCTGCCAGGGCGTACGGGAGAGGGGTGCCTTTGTAAAAACCCATTCGGGATGGGTTTTTTAAAGTATCGATCGTGCGGGTTGCCCCGCGTTGGCGACAGGAAGGTATGCGGGATTGGGGACGGAAAAGTTTTGCTTATTTAAATCTATATAGAAGTAAAACTTTTAGCGCTAAAATTTTCTAATTTCCATTCAATTTAATGAAATGGCTTGTGGAAGGGTTTGGTAGCTTTTATTAACCTGAACTGGAGTTGAAACCTCCCGTCCCGATGCTATATGGTGAAGGCATTCGTTTCGTGAGGACAACATGTTTAGTCATTTCAGGAGATAAGATGTCTATTATTTGTTGTTCATTCGAGCTGAGAAGAATTATATGATCGTAATATTTCGGAGAACTCTTTATTTTGACATCAATGAAACTCAAGCGAATCATTTCAATCAATTCTCAAAATGAAATTATACTCGAGCTTAGCTCCGAGGCATGACATGCTTTTAGTCCTCGTGCTCCAACTAACTCGCTTGCCCCAAGCCTCATAGCCATCTCTTATTGAAGTCTCGTATTGGGGGGCGGTAATGATTGAAGAGGTGCATCTGCCACAGAAGGTCCTAGAGCAAGGCATCAGCATATACAGGGTCAAGATGGGGCAGGATACAGAGATAAGAGCAAGATGGGTACACAAGGCCGATAAAGAGCTTAAATAAAATGCATATAGAGGATGAAAGTGCAGGAGGAGTGAAAATATGGAGAGAAGTACTTCGACTACTAAGCCTCCTTACCCTATCTCGAGTGAGTCTCCATGTTGCCCAGGCGAGTATAATTGAGAGGAGCCCGATGACGATAGTCAGGATGCCGATGACGAGGTTCATGCTGCCGTCTGCTGAAAGGTCTCGAGCACGAAGTTCGAAATTATTCTCCGTGTTTGAATTAGAAGCTGATTGGGTGAGCAGAAACGGACCAGAAGACAGATTATTTGACACTTACACATGGTTTCCTGTTTCTTGTTCTTCAAGTTGATGTTACACTTCCAGCTGAATGGGCGAGGGATGTTACGATATATTCGTACTCTGGATTCCTCAACGTATCGAGTGAACGCTGATCATAATCGCCGGCCAGCTTGGGTGAAGAGACTGAACGCAATGCAAGTGAAACTGTAAGCAGATACCGACATGAACAGTCACTCCAATCAGTATGCCTTGAGCCTGCGGTCTGCCGACATAAATTCCCAAGTTGATAGCCAGATACATGGCTCGTTCTTTCCAAGTCCAAGCACCTTGACCAATGAAATCCTCACTCCCATGACAAACGATGCCAATTAACGCCACCACCTTCATGGACGCCTAGCCATGAACACAAAGCGAGTAATGTTCCCAAAAGTGTAATTGAGAGGTACGAAAAATCCGAAACAACATGACGAGGAAGGCCTAACCGGGAAGGTACCAGAGAAAGAAGTTTTGATATTCCTAGTATACTAGGTACAGCCTCGAGGATACTGTCGAAAATTTACACTGAAGCAGAGAATGCAAACTCCAGCCTCATCGTCATCTCAATAGATTAAAGCCATGAAGGTGTTCACTATGCTGTATCTCGAGTCATATGACAAGGATGAGAACGACAATCATTATGATAGTTATCAAAAGTGTGTTCAATTTTATGATTAGAGAGAAGTAACTATATGACTCCGTGCCCAGAGTAACCATGCAGCACGCTAAAATGAACCTTCGTATGACATAATTTGATCTCTGTGATCGCGATCTAGTTTCCTTCGACTAGCAACGCACGATAATTCTGTCTTAAAATCCATAGCCAGCAAGCACCAAGATGTCTTCGTCGCCGTCCGTTCCTGACATATAAGTTTTTCATCACAAGAATACCGGATCGGCGGCTTGAATGTAGGCACAGCCATTTCGAAAGCCGTTATCTTGCTCGGTATAAAGACCCTTCCCATTGGAATCTGGTCGTTGGTAAACCAGTCTGGACATGGCCTTGTTGTCAAATTGAGACCAGTGAACGGACGGCGTATCAACCAAGGCGGGAAGTGAGTTCGGATTGAGACTGTTGATGAAGCCGATGATGTGGCGTTGGAAGCTCAACATCAAGGCCGAATCGGCTGAACTTTGTGCTGCCATGTTCTCATCACTGACATGATAAGTAAAGAGCAGTCAAGATTGAGGAGAAAGAGGCTTACTTGAATGGGAAGAGGTAATACAGCTCACTTGCATGAGGTACTGTTGTTCATCAGCGGTCTATCTCTCATTTGGAGAAATATCTGCTTACCTCCATCCCACTGCTTGACGGATAAGGACTGCAAAACGGAGTTCCAGCGGACTGCAAGAACAGTCAGTCCGTACCCAATATCAACACTCGGAGACGATTGCGCTTACACTTCCATGTGGGGACTTGTTGTGAGGTTTGTATTGCTTGGGTGTAGGCAGAGCAGAGTATTTGGATATCGTTCTCGATAGCGACGGTACGACTCCATTGTCCTCCTGATAAAGGTGGGCCAACATTCTGAAACTCAAAAAGTTGATAGAATGCTAACAAATCCACCATTGAGCTATATGGGACGAATGGTGAGTACGGCTCTAAGGCCTGAATGACTGCCGCATCGTCACCTATGCCATTGTAGATCGGCACCCTCTCCACAAGCTCGCTCGTCGTGGTTCCAATAATGGATGGGATTTTGGCGAAGACGCCCTCGTCCATCAGAACGGATGGCCAGGTGGTTATGAAATCTCCGTCGAGTACTGGAGAGAATTGGTAGATTGGTGACTTAAAGCCGCTCTTCGCAAAGCCAATGGTATATGCTGTCACGAGATTCTCGATAGGCACGCTTTGGAGGCACGTCAAGCTTCCCGTGGTGTTGCATCTGCCTTAATCAGTAAAGGTTGAATCATGGCAGCTCCTAGTACTACAGCTGACCCAGTGGTAAAATACCAAAAATGATTGGGAACGTACCCTACTGCGGCAGAGATATAGTCATAGGATGCTTGCCAAGTCCCATTCTCCGTGTGCTGAATAGCTGAAAGTGCCGTCGCGGAACCACTCTCGAGAATCGCACCTCGAAAGAGGTTGTCTGAAGTTTCAGATCTGTTTGCCATCATCTGGTAGGCCACAGAATTCGCACCAGCTGAATGACCCCCAATGACGACCTGGATGTCCGTGATCAGCTAGAAATCATTGAGAAACATGAGGTCTTACTTTGGTTGGATCTCCGCCAAATGTCTCGATTTCTTGCTGAATCCACTGCAAAGCCAGTCTCTGATCAAGAAGGCCAAGATTGTATGATCCAGCAAGCTGCTGTCCACTTGGAAAACCGAGGAAGCCGAGTCGATAGTTGACGGCCACGTAGATAAATGGTGCACGCAGTTGAACGCTCGTATTCACGAGATTTCGTCCATCGTAGTCTGACTTGTCTCCATCGTTGAAGTTGCCACTATCAAGTCAGACATTTGAGGATCGAGCTGATGATGAGAGTGCACCTTACCCGTGTATGAATACGTAAACAGGAAGTTTAGTATTTTGACGTGCCCGGGCGGTACCTTGTGATGGTCGGACGATATCAAGTGTTAAGCAGTCCTCCGAGCCTATGCTCAGCGTTGGTGGACCAGCTTTGAGCTCGTAGCAACGATTGCTGGTGAGATTTGAGACATCCAGATTACCTAGATCTTGTGCGATCGGGACAGGAGGTTGAAGACGTAGGGATCCCACGGGAGGCTGCGCATAAGGAACACCGATGAACACGTCTAAACCATTTTCTTGACGTCCGATGTAGCTCGTACAAACGACGAAGCCTATGAACAGCAGTAATGTTAGAATCATCTTGTTCCTGTTGCTGTTTCGGTTGCGAGTTTTGGCTTTCAAGGATTTTGAATATCTGTCGAATGATGAAGGAAAGAAGCAGGATTGAAGTCCAAGACCAGTTTGCTCTGGGTAAGCGAATCTCGTGCTCCGCGAGCGGAAGTAAGAGCACCAGAGCGGAAGTGACGATCGTCAATCTCGGCTTCACTTTTAGCCAGCAAGGAACATCGTGTAGAATAGTGGTCTAGTATTACACGAGCTCAGATGATTAAATGCACTTTTTTGCAACTAGGACTACTCAACATGCACACTGAGCTCGGATAACGAATTGCTTCCAACGAATGCAATGAAACCTGGAACATGTGAAATTTCCTTGATCTTCTTGAAATTCGAAAGGACTCTTGAGCAACGATCCCATATCAGCATCGTTCGGCATGCCACATAAATACAAAAACCTACATAAAACTCCTAACGCTGATGCATCCATCTGTAATATACCTATCCTCTAACGCCATCTTTAATGTGCAGACCACTTGACCTATAATTCGTCTAGTCTAGGTCTCTTAATCACCCATCTCCTAGGGCCGACTGGCAGTCCAATGTAACTATTCCAGGCTCTTGACGCCTCAAGAGAAAAGATCTCCCACCTGTCCATGATTAGCTATGGTCTGAAGAACGAATGTCTGAGAACTTACGCTTTCTTGGGGGCGCTGATCCAGCCCCGAACCACATACTTGGTCACCCTCCACATCAGATCCAACTCTGCTTTGAATTCGTCCATGATGGTTGCATTCTGTGGCAGGCGTGTTCTATAGAATTGTTCTTCCTCAAATTCAGCAGAACCATCGTCCTCTACAGCAGGAACATCACCCTCTGACTCCGAGAATTCTTTGCCAGGAATGACATGGTGGGGTTTCAATATACGATCAGGCAGCCTCTGAACTTCTTCGACTTGCTCTTCTTCCACCATAATTCTGAAGCTGTTGATTGCCTCGAGCGAGCTAGAGATACGTGCAAGAGTGTTGAAAAGAGCAACCAGCTCCGTTCTCTTCAACATTGGTATATCTTTCGAGTCGTTGTCAAATTCGAATAGAACTTTCAGTGCAGCTCCATATCCTGCAGTCTGCAATTTCCCCCAAAGACGGCATTTGTCGCAACCAACACAATCCATGATCCGACTGACATTTCTGAATCTATTCCTGAAGTCTTCCTTCAAACTCGGACCTTCACCATTGACGAACATAAGACTCTCATCGAATATTTGAGGCACGGTACCAGCTTTGGAGCTCAGTGCTTGGACTTTCGCCTTAGTGTCACGATCCTGTTGTGGATCACCCGAGCAGAAAGTGTAGTCTTTCAGGTACGGACCGAGTTTAGTGACGGCTCTCAGAACAAGAGCATAGTTGAAGTAGAGATTGGATATTCTGTCAGGGAAATCGTGGAGTCGTTCCTTATAGCATTGTAGATTCGGTCCCCACTCTCCAGTGGTTTGGTTAAGGTATTCCCAGCAGAGATGTGTGCTGATAGACGTATGCATACCAGAAACTACTCTGTAAAACACACGTTTCTCTAAGCATTGATCTTCGTGCTCGAGGCCAGTTTCGGTGACGAAAGGTGCATTTGGAGTATGCTCCCGGACTTCTTCCAGGACCTGTTGCCTGCCATGCTCCCGAATAACATTCTGAAGTTCATTGACGGCTGCTCCTTTCTGAGACGTTGACAAGGTGCCCAAAGAAGCAGATTTGGGGAAGGACGACTTCGAAAAGCAATTCTCCCTGTAGATGGCATCCCAGACCTGCTTGGTGCCTTCTCCTGCATATCCGGTAAACCTTTCCGGATTGTCCACTAAGCTCACATAATCTCCTTTTGAGCCACTGCCTTCGTCTTCGGGGACACAGTAGTCTCTCTCATCGCACTCATCATCGTATTCGACCACACAACTCTCTCCTACGTCCTGGCCTAACATTCCTTGTAGAGGTTTCACTGGTCCCCGTTCTTCTTGTAAACGTTTCCCGGGATGTCCGGCTTTTGGACCCTCAAGTTTCCCCAATTCCTCCGCCCTCCAGACTGGTGGGATATCTTCCTCATTATCTAAAGTATTCACTGCACAGGCAATGTTCCCGCACATGCCATTATTATCGTTCCAGAACGGACATTCCTTGCCAAAGAGATTCAATCGGTAGTATGCGAAAAAGTCGGTGTTCTTTGTAATATCGGAAAGAGAAGGTCGCAGCTCCTTATTGAGCTGATCAAGTGTAGAGTATGAGGCACATGCGTCCGAGACAATGGCTTTGGGCGATATCTGATTGTAGGCATTAGACAGGCATGCCTGACAGAAAATAAGAAGAAGTGCGTACCGCGCAAACATCAGGACTAGGTGGGTTTGCCCTCGATGCGCTCTTGGAGTCTGCTGCGTGGGAAGTCCCAGGAAAGGCAAAGACTGCAAGATAAAAGACCTGAGCAGCAGTCTTCATATTTGTAATGAGACACTAGGTCTTTATCCTTAGAATCTCGATGAATTTAGCCAACGTGCCAGAGGTTGGACAGGTAATATATGCAGGTGGTGGTCGGGTGCGTCGACTCGAATTTGATCAAAGGAACTGGTGGCTATTGTGCCATGAATTCGGCAGCTAACCTTACCTACTCAAAAATTTGTGGAAGAAACGATTGAACACCGTGGTCTGTTCCTAACAATTCATTGTGGGGAACAAATAAATATTAATATATGTGAGAAATTTGGTTTGTACAAAAGGCGATTTCCAAGCACGTTAGTGTTTCGGTATATCTGGCTCTTTGGTTGTGGTTCGATTACAACTCAGCCATGACATGAAGTCACAAACGGGAGTTGCGCCACTGGGCTTTTGGCGAACGCCGATCTGTACCTGACATCGGTCTTGGTTCCCGAGTTCTTGATTGTTCCACCATTTCAGGACCAATGAGCATTGGTCAAACTGCGTTTAAAGAATATGTAGAATCGGGTATTCTTCGACTCTACCAACATTCCACACTGCAGAGAATGGCATGAGTCGCATGGACATTAGAATTTTCGGTGCCAAAAAAATCTCCTGGTTGACCTGAAGCTCGTAATGATTTACATTAGACACAAGTCACTAGCCACCATGTATTATTGATCAACGATGCAGAGAGATGTCCTTTCATTTTGTCCTTAACACCTTCAATGCAGTATCATACAAAGTCTTTCGTCTCCCTCAATCAGAAAACTCCCCAGCAAGGCAGAGAGATCGTACACAAAACAGGATGTCTAGTAACCATAATCTAGTACATCGAAAGGGCTGTCAAGGAGCCAGGAAGTGTAGTGTATTGGAGAGACATGAGACGTAACATCATCAAAGCATACGCCGTTGTCTGCTGCATCGCCAGAACCGCCAAATTCAAATCAAGCTCAAATGCACACCTTTGGTATTTATTGACCCGGAGGGACATAGTTGATAGGTCTCCTAGAACGAATGCTTAGTCTTGGCACAATGCGTCAAATGCCGTGGAACTTACTTGAAGAGGAGGATATGTGGTTCGGGTTCATGCACTTCATAGTGCTCCCATCCCAGACTCTGCGAGTGATCTGTCAGTATAGATACAGGTTGAAGTCATGTAGCCTGCGAACCTGTGTAATTCCCAAGCCTCTCCACTCCTCCTCCCACAGCAACTTCAATGTACCCTTCGACGGATCATGATACTCCTTCGGAATCGCCTTCAACATGTTCTTTGGAAGTTGGACATGACGATATTCGTATTCATTATCGGAATATCTGCGAATTAGCATGTATTAGCTCCTGTTCATTATTTACACTTCGCAAGGAGGGGTAATCAGAGCAGCGGCTGACCTAGAAGAGTAGTGGATCGCATCAATGAACTCCTCCAGACGCGCCTTCTCTGCATCAGTAAGTTGCCGGGGCACTTTGTTTCGTCGATTATAATCCATATCTGAGGACATTGTCGGGAGAGATTCTATATTCCTGGTTCGGGGTTTGAAATTCGACGCGCAGCGAAACTAATAGAGGGGTAGCACGCGACGACGTCGATTCGACGCGCAAGCACGATTCTGCAGAATTAGAACAGAAGCCCCTGAGAGACAACGAGCGGATGGTAACGTAACAGCGAGTGCCCGTCGAAACAATTTGTTGGTTGGCTCAGGCTGTGTCGACGATCGATCTGTGAAAGAGTGTGAAGCGACGAACTCCTGCGAACAGTGGCAGACTGGGTCGCGTAGGAGGGGCAAAGCAAAAGCTAATTTTTCAAGTTCACCTTTGATCAGAAGCTGTCATGAGAAAGTTAGATCAGTTGTCCTCGTTGACTTCGACTTGTTTACTCGGCCCAAAACAAATTGTCGGCTATCGAAGACTAGCTTGGAAATGAGGTATCTTAGCGTCATGAATCACGTGATCACAACTTTGTTCCTCAAACCTCGATGATCGAGGTACATGGAGTCATAAGCTTTGTGAATGTTCACATCTGCGAGGACTTGAGTTTTTTAATCGATACAGAAGAGCGAGGTCACAAAGCACTATTGTTTTCTGGACATTTTTGTTCCGCACCAGTGCGACGATTTTCCGAACACCTACTCTCGAGCCATTTCGACTCGCCAAACCAACCGCAGTGAACCAACAAGGATCTAATCCAAAGCACTCCCATCGCGACAATTCGACCGCGTCGTGCTGCGCCAAGTTCAGGAGCCATTGAACAATAGGACGATACCGAAGAGTTATCGCATCTCTTACAAGTTTTGGAATCTGCGACCAGCATTCGAAAATCTGGAAAGGCCACAATGGACAAGCGGAAGGTCAACGGGGGAGGATCGCATGCAGATGATATAGACGAACGCGCTGCGAAGAGAAGAAAGGCCGGTGTAAGTATTCATCGTCTGTACTGAATGCGAAGAAGAATCGCGTTGTGCTTTTTGTTGTTGGCCCGCAGGGTCCTCGAAGCGGCGCGCCGAAGCTCATGACACTACACCATCCCTAGAGCCTTTGCATTTCATTGAAGACCACAAGGCTGACTGCGCGAAAAGGACCATGTCGATAGCACCAGCGCAGAAACCCCAGAAACCACGGCCCAGACGGGTCTGCAGCTCGTTGAGACTCTCAAGCTGACCGCTGATAAAAGGTCAGTAATATCTACTCTATATTCCTTTGCGACAGCACCAAAGCAGCCTCGTGGGAGTAGGGCATCGAGAAAGAGCTTCTGCCTCTTTGTTCAAGCTGTCCAGCTAATCTGCTGAGCCCCATATGCAACTTGCTCGTTCATTATTCAAAAGATAGCTGACGATGACGTTTTCTACAGTGGTCGACAAATTTCTACGGCCTTCCTTACCCTCCCAAGCAAACGAGACCTACCTGATTATTACGATGTTATCAAGATGCCGATTGCCATCGATACGATTGAGGCAAAGCTGCGTCGGCGCGAATTCCCCAACCTTTCGGTACTCGAAAGTTGGTTCAAACGGATGATCTCCAACGCCAAAGAATACAACGAGAGAGGTTCAGAAATATATGATGACTCGGAGCGTCTACGAAAAGCTTTGAGCAACTTCATGACTAGGCATAACCCCGCTTACAAGACACCTGGTTATGTTGCTTTGCCTGTACCAATACAAAGTACTAGCCACATCGATGGACCTGCTAGCGATAATGAAGCAGATGCCGAAGGAGAACCGGACCCTGAGGTCGAGGCTCCAGTTGTAGTCAAACGAAAACCCAGCCGTCCAGTGAAGAACGTACAAGCCCAAAGATCTAGTGCAACCCCTGCGTTATCTGAGAACCAGTATGTTGGTGTTGGATTCGAAGGCCTCAACTTTCAACAGGCTCAGGAGAAAATCATTGAAGACATGATTCGCAAGAAGGAGTTCGAGGAGTAAGAGATCACTGCCCCTTCATGCTACGTAACTAATGTAGATCGCACAGGGACGAATTTGCTCATTTCGAGCCCTTTCTCATCCTTCCATCTCGAACGGACTACAAGGATTACTACAAAGTAATTAAGAATCCCGTAAGCTTGAAGACATTCCAAAAACGTGTCAAGGGATCTCAGGGTAGAAATGCTGCTCCCAACGCATCGGACTTCAAGAATTGGGCTGTTTTCGAGGAGGAAGCTAGTGTCATATGGAAGAATGCGTATGAATACAATGAAGATGGTAGCAGTATCTTTGCGCTCGCTCAGGAGCTAGAGGTTAGCCCGCTCAAACTCTCCATGTTTCTCCTTAACTGACGAGTATTAGAAAACCTTCAAGAAGTATCTCCATGAAGCCAAGACCGCTGTCCCAGAGCCCGCTGGCACGAAGATCAAGCTCAAGCTGAATGATGGACCTAAAGAGAAGATCATGCTCAAGTTTGGGAGCAAGTCCAGTCCTGCTGCATCTCCAGCTCCGCAGCTTGCACCTCAAACCAATGGTTCGACGAGTGCTGTCGCCGCAACGAATGGAGCATCACGTAGAAATCCTTTCAGTGGCTCCCATTCATCTGCTACTCCAGCCCCTAATGTAGTTCAATTGGAGCGAGCAAGAAGTGCATCTGGGTCCGCACCGTCCCCATCGCCCTCGAATTCCGCATTGGTCAAAAATGAAGAAGCTCGGAACTCGCCAGCTATTGGAGCAGCCTACAATTATCGTGGTCCTAGTCAAGCTGTCTCAACACCAGGACTTTCTGGAACTGGCATGCTACCACCATCGACTCCTAGCGTACCTAGTGCCTACAATACTAGTGGCTATGCTCAGTCATTCAATCACGTCCCACAAAGCTCGGTCAATCCAAGCTTCGAGGCAATGTGGAGAGTACCAGGAAAAGGTAAGAGTGATTAGGCTTCCTCTAGTTGGTGCTAAACTGACCTTCCTTAGATGCATCAGATGCTATGATTTCGAATCTCAGCCTGGCAACACATCCTGGTCTCAATATAACTAAGCATTTCAAGATGGATATCCCACCGTCCCCAACTATGGCCCAACAATCGGTTACCATCACCCTTCCCTCGAGTCATTTCCTCGTGCAGATCAAGCCAACAATTTCTGCTTCCCTCCTCGAGCGTCAGTATAAACTCTTTGTCACAAACGGCCATCAACGATTACATGCCATGCCAACGATCCCCACCCATTCTGTCGATACCAGACTTCCTCTTTTCGAAGCTCGTCTTAGCACTGGAGTGAACCGTATTGAAGTTGAATTGATCGCTGCGTTGCCGAAGGGTGCTGCAAAGCTAGCAAATGGACAAGACGTGGAATTAGAGAAAATTACTGTGTTTGCTAATCTTTTGAGATCAGAATAGATGTTGCATGGCGTTACTGTCAATAGGAAAATGGGCATGGGGGCGTTGTTGGTGTAGCATTTTGCAGTTGACTGCAGAGCATCGTCGATGCATCTTGTACACTACTATGTCTGTTTGAGTTGATAGCCACAAATGAAAGCCGTCTAATTGCAGTAATCTCTATCATTGTTGATAGTGTAAATCTTTTCTGGTGTGAAAAATGAAAAAAATCTCCTTAATCATGGGTTACTGTTGACAATATATGTACACATCGTCTTTCAAAGGTCTATTAATGGCAAAATCTAGTTAGATTAATAATGAACGTCAGTAGACGTCTCATCTTGCTCTTGCACCCTTAAATATGACCTAACAATTGCCCAAAAACGTTCTGAGAACGCTCGTACATGGAGACGTGATTTCGATGATAAGGCACAGACCCCTGTCGAACGCTAGTCAATTTTGAACCTAAGGCCACTATAAAATTTAGCGGCTGAGCCAAATCCAAATCCACACAAGAAAAAAAGTTCCATTGATTTTATCTCCCCGCCATTGACCTTTTCAATCCTCAACACCTCAACCTAATACAAACCGAAATCACCATGGCTGACGAGGTCTACGATGGCGCGATCGGTATCGATCTTGGCACGACATATTCCTGCGGTATGTCCTTCCCGGCGTGTGGTCCCCGACAGACTCGGCCAAAGATCGTACTAGGAAGATAAACTGACTTGAATCTCAACAGTGGCCAACTACGAGGGAACCAATGTCGAAATCATTGCCAATGAACAGTGAGTGCCAAGACAATCAAATCCTTTTCTTGTTGTAGCTGCAGTGTTGCTCCAAAATCGAAATACCTGTGATAATCTGCGCACCTGCACACCACATCTGCCCCCCATCTTCAATGAAAGAGACATACTGACTCGAAGCTTTGCATCAATTCAGAGGAAGCTTTACCACTCCTTCCTTCGTCAGTTTCACGGACAAGGAGAGATTGATTGGAGAGTCTGCAAAGAACCAGGCTGCTATGAACCCAAGAAATACCATCTTCGACATCAAGTAAGACAATTTTCCACCTATATAGCGCCAGCAACATTAGCTAATGTGTCCACCCAGGCGATTGATCGGACGCCGATTCGATGACCCAACAGTCAAGAAGGATATCGAGTCGTGGCCATTCAAGGTCATCGACCAAGAGGGCAGCCCTATGGTTGAGGTTGAGTACCTTGGAGAGAACAAGATCTTCTCGCCTCAGGAGATCTCCTCCATGGTTTTAACCAAGGTGAATAATCGCTACGTCGCCCTTAATTTCCCCGAATCTTCACACTAATTCGAATTGCTTCTAGATGAAGGAAGTCGCCGAAGTCAAGCTTGGCAAGAAGGTTTCTAAGGCTGTTATTACCGTCCCCGCCTACTTCAACGACAACCAACGTCAAGCTACCAAGGATGCCGGTGCTATCGCTGGTCTCAACGTCCTTCGTATCATCAACGAGCCTACTGCCGCTGCTATCGCATATGGTCTTGGTGCCGGAAAATCCAACAAGGAGAGAAACGTTCTGATCTACGATCTCGGTGGCGGAACTTTCGATGTGTCTCTTCTCAACATCCAGGGTGGTGTCTTCACAGTCAAGGCTACCGCTGGTGATACCCACCTCGGCGGACAGGATTTCGATACCAACTTGCTTGAGCACTTCAAGAAGGAATTCCAAAGAAAGACAAAGAAGGACATGTCCAACGACCCCCGTGCCCTTCGACGTCTCCGTACTGCTTGCGAGCGTGCCAAGAGAACTCTTTCCAATGGTGCTCAAACTACTGTTGAGATTGATTCCTTGTTCGATGGCGAGGACTTCAATGCCCAAATTACCCGTGCCAGATTTGAGGACCTCAACTCGAAGGCTTTCAATGGCACTTTGGACCCTGTTGCCCAAGTCTTGAAGGATGCCAATCTTGACAAGAGCAAGGTTGATGAGATTGTCCTTGTTGGTGGATCCACCCGTATTCCCCGGATACAAAAGCTTTTGAGCGATTTCTTCGACGGCAAGAAGCTTGAGAAGAGCATCAACCCTGATGAGGCTGTTGCTTATGGTGCCGCTGTTCAAGCTGGTATCCTTTCCGGAAAGGCCACCTCTGCTGATACCGCCGATCTCCTTCTATTGGATGTCGTTCCTCTTTCTCTCGGTGTTGCTATGGAGGGTAACATCTTCGCCCCAGTCGTTCCCCGCGGCCAAACTGTAAGATCCTCGCCCTGTCTAAATATTCACTGTGCTAATGCTTTCAAGGTACCTACGATCAAAAAGAGGTTAGCAAATGCCTTTTTTACTTTGATTTTCTTTGCACTGTTCCCCAAAGTATTATTGTTCTGCGAATCCCATTGTACCACCACAAGCTGGAACATTCATATCTGTTACTGGTCAATGCGATTTCATTGTACCAGTACCAGCTTGAACATTCACATCTGCTACTAATCAATGCGATTTCATTGTACCTTCACAAGCTCGAACACTCAGCTAACATTATCATTTTTAGAACCTTCACCACCGTAAGACTCCGAAGACATACAGACTCACTCCCGAAATATTGTTACTGACTCAGAGATTTGCAGGTTGCGGATAATCAACAAACTGTCCAGTTCCCCGTCTTCCAAGGCGAGCGTGTCAACTGCGAGGACAACACTTCTCTCGGAGAGTTTACACTCGCGCCCATTGTAAGTCCATTCCCCTCCTCATTACAAAACTCATAAGCTAACTCGGAGTGGCCTCCCATGCGCGCAGTTATGTATTTTCCATTTCCAATCTTGATTTCTTACTAACGTGAAATAGGTGAGGCCGTTCTCGAGGTCGTCTTCGAGGTCGATGTCAACGGTATTCTCAAGGTTACTGCCACTGAGAAGACCTCAGGCCGCAGTGCCAATATCACCATCTCCAATTCTGTTGGCAAGCTTTCTTCTAGCGAGATCGAGAGCATGATCAACGGTAAGTAATTTTTTTCTGGGTCCAGAAACTTCTATACTGACATATCATTAGATGCCGAGAAATTCAAGAACAGCGACGAGGCTTTCAGTAAGAAATTTGAGGCTAGACAACAACTCGAATCTTACATCTCGAGAGTCGAGGAGATCGTTTCCGACCCAACTATGTCCCTCAAGATCAAGCGTGGAAACAAGGACAAGATTGAATCCGCTCTTAGCGACGCCATGGCACAACTTGAGGTTGAGGATTCAACGTCTGATGACTTGAAGAAGAAGGAGTTGGCACTCAAGCGTGCCGTCACCAAGGCGTAAGTAACTCCTACACCATCATTCCTTTGAACGTTCTTGTTACATAGCATGCTAATACTGATTTGATAGTATGAGCACCCGATAAATTATTTTCTGCTTGTTGACACTCTCGGAGCACTGGGATTGGACTTTGCTGCATGGATTTATAAGATCATGGATTGGCCTATCTGCTTTCCGGCTCTCTCTCACTGGGATCATAAAAAGTCATTTGCGAGTTTCTGATGTGGTTACTCTTTATGAATCCCGGGATGTTTTCCTTCTTCTTCCTATGGGCATAAAGCGGCTTGTAGAACATGGAAGAAGGGGAACGTTAATCAAATTGACACATTGACCAAATCTGCAAACCAATTTTCGTGAAGCGTCCTTTCATACTGCTCGTGATGTTGAACCGTAAAAATTCGCATGTAAGATAAGATTGCCCAGAAGTTTGTTTTGGGCACCATAAGTAGATTAAATTGGAAGTACATACTAAGATATAAGAAAACAACACGACTGAACACACCAATTATTTAAGGGAATAATTCTTGTCGAAACTCTCACATTTTACAATTCCTAAGGCTAAAACTACTCTGGGTTCAGGCTCGATTACGTCATTTTAACATCTCACAACCATTCCATTGAAGAGCTCTCCACCTCGAAGAGCCTTGAAGCTATGTCCAGCGCCACAAAACCCTTCCCGTTTCTCGAACTCCCACCCGAAATCCGCGAGAAGATATACATCCTCATCTGTCACCAATCAGCACCAATCTCTCTTCACATCCCAATATCAACGCCCTGTGAAACATCATCCGACCCCTCCTTCCCACACGCCCTCTTGCAGACTTGCACCCTCATATACAATGAACTCCGTCCAATCTACTTTACGCACAATACCTTCACACTCTCAATCCGCAGGCGTAACGATGACTTGACCTACTTCCTCTCTCCGTCGTTCCTCGATAATCGACGCCAGATCCGCAGTCTGAAACTCATTATCTACAGATTTGGAGGTCATGATTTCTTTACCAAGGACTTTATACCCGTTCTCGAGGACTGTATCATGAATGGCAGATTACGAGATTTGGATGTCGTTGTCAAAGAGCGGTTTCTTAGAAGTGTGAAGCTTTGTGAGCGGGGTTTGAGAGGTGGGTTTCGGGATACCGCGGGACTGGAGACTTTGAGGGATTGGGTGGCTTTGAGAAGGGTTCTGTTGGATCCGTATCTGGAGAAGAGGCTGCTGAGGAGTGGGAATTTGGATGCAGTTGATTCTGTGAATCAAGGTAAGTGCGATGGAGAGGACGATTTGAAGCTGGATGATGTTACATGGATGCTTGGAGAGTTGGATATAGAGCAGAATAAAGTATACGGAGAGAGGTTGCGTGGATAGGCTATACGGCATAGTCTGAATTGCTTGAGTTGATTCTTGGAATGCAAGTCTCTTCAGCCAAATCAGATTGTATAGGGTATTCCAGACTTGGACAGGTCCACACCAGGGAGTTCCAATGCCGAGTATAAGATCCATAGATGCTCCGTTGGTGATTATTATATTTGGCATTATCACCACAGAGTATTATTAGTCTAAATTCTTCTCTCTGCCATGGATACCTGGTTCTCCTGTTGCCAAAAGAGTAGGATGGGGCTAGTATTATGCCACGAGTATTCAAGGACACCAAATATCTACGGAATACACAACAATGAAGGCTTGATGTTATGATGTCCATGCGGGATTCGAGACATTCATTTCGGGGTTGTTTAAGAATTCAGAAGAGCTGGGTGACGGCAAAGCTGGGTTAGCATACAAAGATCTCCACTTGGCTAACCGTCTAACGTAGACAAGATCAACCTAGCAATTATGCAATATAACTTAAGCAGAGTCAATCATATTGGGAGGAGACTAGTCGCCTTGTTTACCAAAAAAACAAAAAAACAAATCGACAACTTGAGTTTCATTTGCAGCTATGGAAGTAACTTACTCTCACATTAAGGTATATAGCTTAAGAGGTCAATCATATTTCACAAACAACACTTTTGTTTCTGGGTTTATGGACTCTTCTTGGAGTTCTTCTTAAGTCTGTGTGTCTTATTGATTTGTTCAACTTTTTCTACGTGGCAGATGTGGTTTACTTTGTAAGTTAGGAACTGCTTTAAGGAGAGCAGATTTTTGAGGCATTAAAGAGCAGAGTTCAATTGATCGCAGGATGACATCGAAGAATGACCAAAGCACGCTAGACGAAGATTCAGGAAAGGCATTGCATTCTGATCTGATACATATTCTGACTATGCCTAGAGAATATTGAGTTGACGCTCATGGGTGTGCCTGGTTACGAGGAACACCCGGATTACCAACTCGAATCATACCATCCCTGATTGAGTACCAATGCCTGCCATCCAGACTCATCTGAAAGCCCTGGACTTCTATCCATTCGGTCTCGAAGGAGCATCCGGCTGCAAAGATGTTAGTCAGCGCCCTTCCATACTGCGGATGGAGGACCTACACAAGAAATCATTTGGTTAAATCCCAAACACAATCAGTACTTACACGGAAGTATTTCTGCTTGTTTCCCAACCTCTCCAAACCAGCTCGGTAATCACTCTTTGCTCTGATTTCCGCCTTCAGCATCTTCTTCTCCACAGCCATCACCGCTCTCTTCTTCGCTTCTGACACACCGACCATTCCCATCTCTCCCCTCGTTCTAGTTGTAAGTTGTCTACTGGTATTCCGACTACCCTCAGCTTGCTCCTGGTTGCTCTCACCAGACTCCTTTCCGTCTTCAATGGCTTTCCGTTCCGGAGATTTGCCACTAGCCGGAGTGTGTTGGCGGTAGTATCGAGCTTGTGATCGATGACCAAGAATTCTGCCGGATGGGAGACGAAGCTCGTTGTCGTCAGGCACGAGGAATTCAGGTGATTTACCCTCTTTAGCGCCTGCCTCAAGATCTTCATCCTCGATATCTGAAGCGACTTCATAGAAGTCCTCGTACTCAGATCCAGGATCCGGCTTCAGGTTACAGTGTCCTTTGCTTATCATGTGGGATCTAGCTGCTTCTTCTGAGCTTTTTATTGATCCACAGTAGAGGCATTCGTGGAATTGTGAGATGACGGTGAAGAGATATCCGATAAACGTCTCCAGGTCGAGAAGGTAGTCTTGGTCTGCGATGAACAGGCCGTGCTTCTTCTGCATGTGGGCGACATTCAGATCAAGTGATTTCGAGTCGTACTTGCAGAAAAGACATGCTGATGGTATGAAGGTGTCCGGATCGGAAGAAGTTGTTGGCTCTTGTGATTCGAGCGTGATGCGCTCCATTGAAGTTGATAAATCATCCTTTGCTTCGAGTCTTGCCACTTCTTGAGCATGGCCTGACGATCTGAAATGATTCTGATATGCTGTGTGGTTGAAGAACGTTTTCTCGCAGACAGTACATGATTTCTGAAAAGCTGAACTGGCCACCGCTTCTGCTGTCGTCGACGCCTCTCTTATTGCTAAGATTTGGTCGTTGTATACTTGAGCGGAAATAGGTGGTAAAGAAGCAACATGTCGTTTGAGATTATAGACACTAAAAGGGAAAACTAGTCAGGCAAGGAATGAGAAAGCGAAGGTTATTATCTTACTGCCAGTCGCTCTTCGAATGAGCACGTTGCTGGAGGTTATTCTCGAATTTTGCTTGGCAAACATTGCATGTGAACGACGTAGCTGCTGAAGCTGAACTGGCTGATGTGTTTGCATCCATAATTGCGAAAGTAAAGAAGGTGTTCGGACTGAAAAACTTCTCTAGAGAAAGACGGAAGTATTACGAAGTAGAGATCGCGGGGTAGCTCTTGTCGAAAACGAAGTAGACTATTAAAGGTGAACTGAACTGAAAGAAATCGAATCTAAAGGACAAAAGTGAAGTCTATATAACTTACCTCAGGCACTTGCTATGCATATTGAAAAGACTACAAAGTAAAACATTGTGCCAGAAAGGAGCTTTACGGAGTCATCGAAATGAGCATCTCTGAATGATGCCAAATGACTCATGCATCAAGGTTATGAGCGGCTCTGAAAGGAACAGAATGTTTGGCTACCTTCCCGTACATTGATGCAAGGTGGGTTGTTCATCCCTCGGATGATGGAGGCGAAGCTGGTCCCTGACTCACAAACTAATGCACCCTCAATTGACCCAGCTTGATTGGACAATTGCGACAGTATACAGTCATAACCACAGAAGGACAAGATCGAGGCTTAGCTTCGAAGCGAGTATACTCGGGACTTGAAACGATGATCATAGTAGTTTACCTTGCCATGATGTCGGGCGTTGGTGAAGGAGATTTTAGGGGAAGGCTGAAAATTACAGACGAGGCGTTGATTTCGCCTCGTCAAAATCTGCTGGAGATTTGAAGCATTTGAAATATTGTACACGACACAGACATCATGCCTCCTAGAATACCAATACGCACGAATACACTGAAGCAGCTCCGAACAAGGCAATTGCACTTGACGGAGCGCTCACTGTTGTAGGATTTGCAATTACCTCCAACTTAAGCTCATCTTTTGACAAGCTATAGAACACGACCCATTTCCACCACTCGCTCTGCACGGCAAATACTCCCTTTTCAATCACCACAGACTTGCAGATGCTTCTCTTCAAACCCAATTCTTCACAAGAAGAAAGGCCGTGCAGATCGAGAGAAGGAAGAAGCTGCCTCGGAATCCAATGAGGTTGAAGATCCGTACGACTTCTCAACTCTCAACACTGGAATCGAGAAGTCCCTTGAAAAGCTCAAGAATGATCTTTCAAAGCTTCGAACAGGCGGAAGATTCAATCCAGAAGTGTTAGAGAATCTGCGAGTGCATTTGGTCAAAGACAGTAAAGCCAGTGAACGGTTGGGTGATTTAGCCCAGGTTCTGCCAAAGGGTGGAAGGAGTCTGATGATTTTGGTTGGAGAGAAAGATGTAAGTTTCTGATTTCTTAAAGCACAGATTTTAAGCTAATTGGATTATAGCATGTTAAACATGTCATATCTGCAATTCAAGGATCGAAAGATCTGAATCTACAACCGACGGTCGATGCGCAGAACACAGCACAATTGAATGTTCCAATTCCACCGCCTACAAAGGAATCGAGAGACGCTGCTTTAGCAGCAGCCAGTAAGGTAGGCGAGAATGCCAATACTGGAGTCAGGAATGCAAGAGCAGCTATGCAGAAGAAGCTACGAGCTATAGAACTGAAGAAAGCAGCGCGACCTGATGATTTGAAGAAGGCACATAAAGAAATGGAGAAGATCACCGAGAAGGGAGTAGGAGACGTCAAAAAAGCTGTGGAAGCTGCTCGGAAGACCATGGAGCAGACATGAGATATTATATTCTACAAGAGTCTTGTACAATGTATAAAACAGATCTGCATCTTGTATACATGCTAGTCCCAGATCATAGTGAAGCTGGGACTTTTTCATAAACCGCTTCCTGCATGTGCTTCGGTAGCAGTGACTTCAGCGTCTTGTCAAACTTCTGTGCATCCTCTGGCAGATATGTCTCGTTCCGCCGTGTCATTTGCCTTGTCAAACCAACAACATTCCCCTTTACTGGCGTTCCCGGAGCTGTATATTGTCCCGCAGCCCATTGCCTCATTATCGAATCCTTTTGCTGCTCGGAGAGTGACATAAATTTCCTGCTGCCTTGGAACTTCTCAGTAAGAGCTCTCTGCTCGGCGTCCTCAAACAGCGTTCCGAGACCTTCATTCATCCGTGCAAGATGAATTGAAGCATGCTCAAACGATGGATCATTATTCTCCGTGGCAACCATCATCCTGTTTACGATCGATTCGTGGATTCCTCTCGGACTTGACATGACAGCCGGACCGTACCTAGCCAAGCTCGCCGCAGACGTCGTTTCCGGCACGTAGTTTGTTGGGAACCCTCCCTCGCTCATCTCAAGATACGCCAGCTCTTCCTCAGAGTATGGCTCTGATATGAAGTCATCATCATCAGCCCTCTCTCGTGGCCCTCTCTTCTTCTTTTCCCCTCCTCGACGTGCTCCCCGTCCACGGCCTCTTGCACCTCTTCCTCGCGCGCCGCCCCTTCCCCGTCCTCGCATGCCAGCTCCACCACGAGCAACCCCTTCAGAATTTCCACCTCGGGGGACAAATCCACCTCCTCTTCCAGGGCCCGCATCGTATCGAGTTATTGTAAATGACGATTTCGCTGCTAGTGAACGAGCATCGATACCGCGAGGTGGTTTTGGAGCAAGAGTCGACACCTCTTTGAATGCATCTGCAGATCTTTGAGATCGTGATATCCGTGGTCCATCTATTTGAATGTATTAGTTTTATTCGTTCCCACAGTTGACAGTATAATGTGAAGTATGAGAGACTCAACGTACCACCATCCTCAGCACTTCTAGAAACAGAAACCGAAAACTGCCTCAAAGAAGCTGCAATTCCATCCACGACCTTTGAAAAATCATTGGCCGCAGGTCTACCTCGACCAATGGCCGAGTGAACATGCCATTTATACATTTTTGCTGTTGGAAGTTGTGAATCATGAAGTTTGAAATGTCCTTGCCGAATTTGGATCAAGAAATTATTGCTGCCTTGCTGCCTTAGCCCGTCCTAGCACCTACGACTACAAAATAAAAGGCTCCCTTGTTTGCAACAATAGACTTTCCAACTCTTTACACAACACTTCTCTAAGACAAATCAGATCGATTTATCTATCCTAAAACTACGATCTCCATACAACAGTCAACCAAAAACATCTCTTCATACCCCACACCATGCTTCGCCGTAAGCCAACTGCTATAACTCTTACTACAGAGGATATAGCTATCTACGAGGACGCCCGCGCACGAGAAGTTCAAGAGCGCGAGCTAGCTGCCCATGAAGCGCGTATGCAAGAACAGCAAGGCACGCCCAGGAACCAGAAGACCCAGAACCGAGATCCGGACGACGAGTTGAAACCACATCCCGGCGACAGGGCACGCACTGCGCAGATCAAGACCAGGGAAGAGAGGTTGGGTATCGCTGGACAAAGTTCGAGGGGTTGAGAAGGGATGAGCAGTCACAAGAGCTAGGATGTGGATCACCAATCGGACATTCATCAATTACAACATCACGAAAGATCTCAAGATGTATTTGACGGCTTTCATTCCTCGATGCCTCAAAAGGTTCAAGTCGCAAATACTACGCGCTCCGGCGAAGTAGACTGTCAGACTACTTGCCAACTACAACCACCGGATTTACCAGCTCGAAATCAAAGCTAAAGTCCCCCTGATGCTATCTACAATTCGCAGGAAGAGAAACCACCGAATGAACCCAATCGTCCCTGTGACGAACGATATCATTCCTTTATACGCCTTTTCGCTAAATGCATTGCAATGAATATGTGTCGAAGTTTCAAATATGGATCTATTAGAGAGATGGGTCTTGGGGAGGGATACCAGCAGCCGCCTTCTTCAAATTGAACTTGATCAACAGCTTCTGTCTTGGAGGCGCAGCAGCAACAGGTTCAGCTGAGGGGGTTGGTGGGGCACTGGGTAGGGGCTTACGCCCTGAAGATGTGCTGTCAGGTAGAGGCTTGCGTGCAGGCTTCTCGACTTTCTCTGGGAGAGGTGTACGTGCCGAGCCATCTGGCAAAGGCTTGCGAACCTTCATAGGTGTTGAGGTCGCAGACACTGCGGGTGCCGACGCCGGAACAGCAGTAATGGTACCATTAGAGAGGGTGGAAGAAGGACTAGGCGTGATGGAGGATCTTGCTCCAGGGGATTGTCGGGAAGAAGGAGAAGCGCTTTTGGTGGAGGATGATTTGGCACGATGATACAGGGTTGGGTTTTGCGGCTTGCTCTGGATATCTTGCAAGCTGGCGCTATTGACTCTTAGTCTGACGATCTTCCGAGGACGTTCCTCAAAGCTTGGGGTTCGGTCGGGTGCAGGTCGTTTCGGCGGCTTCATAGTACCATTTGGAAGACCAAGAGTGATCTTTGGTGGTGGCTTGGGGCTTGGTGATGGTGTAGGGGGCTTCGCAACGGGGCCACCGGATGCTGTGGTAGACGAGCCGTTTGAGATTGAAAATTTGAGGATAGGCTGAGCTGGTTTACTCGGAGGAATTACAAGTAGAGGCCTCAAGGGTTCTGTGCGGAATCTTTCCTCCGTCTTCTTGAAATGGAGCAAGCCCTTGATGCCCTAGGAACGTTAACACTAGTAAAAGTAGTGCACAGGAATATATGTTACCTTCTCATTCTCAACCTGCGTCACCTCCCAAACGCGGGGAAGCCTCAAGCGAACAATGAGTGACTCAACTGCATCGTAGAGAATGGAGCAGATGTCTAACAAATCACTCTGCTCGTGCACCCCAATTGTAGATGAGTTAAGAGCCTTCCATAGAGCCTCCTTGAACACTACGTTCTCCTTCAATTCGGCCCTCAGTGCAGCCAAAGCTCCTTCGATTGTGGTTGTACGCGCAATGTTTGCCTTGCGTGCATCAAGAGAAGCATCTTGTTCTATGATGAGCCCTCCATCATGATCTCCATCAACATCCATAGCCCCATTACTCGGAGCATTCCCATTTGTGATTCCGTTCTGCTTAGGCGCGGCTGGCAACGATTCATTAAGCTTATTCTCCCCAAATGCCATCGAAGCTAAACCAAGACAGAACACTTCAAATAGCTTGTTGCGAGTATATGGTGAACGGTCCGTGGTCATGCAATTAAGCAGTAATGAGGCAATGTTATTATTCGCGAGAAAGCCAAGATCGATGAGCGACCTGAATGCCTTGATCCGGATGCGGTCTGCTGTACCATCATGAAGATACTCAACAAAGTCGAGAGGATCCATGGGAATGACTTTAGCTTTCATGAGCCTTGCCTTGCAGTCAAGCACAGTGACAGTGAAGATATTATGGTATGAGTTGCTCCACTCGTCCATGCGGCGGTAGCGATTAAGCTCGTCCAAAACTGCTTGCTTGAACTCTTCAGGCTCATGATCCTCTATTTCCTCGTCGTTGAAGTCAAGGACGTTATCGTTTTTGTCCTTGACTGGGATCAGGGTCTCCGTCAGAGCTGACAGCAGTTCCGCCAACTTGAAGTTGTCAGAGTACTCATTACAGCTATTGTCGTTAAAGCGTAAGAGGTCGAACAAGAACCATCTCGGCTCTTTGGGACACTTTCCTTGAGAATCGCGAATCTTCGATAGCGCCTTAATGATGGCTGTCTCAACTTTATAATTCTTCGAATTCTCCATCGAAAAGTCATTCGGCAAGGGCATCTTGCTACCAGGATAACATGAGAAGTGTTGATAAGCCATCTCAAGTTGTTTTTGACCAACCCAGTTGCAAGTAGCAGTGGCATGAGTCTTCAGATATTCTGCAGCCATTGTGCGGATTCCGTGGAAGTATCTCTTGTCCATGAGCGTTCTAACCAGAAAGGTTGACACAAGAGGATGGGCGCCCATGTTGCCTAGGTAGACCATCGAGTCTTGTTGGGCAACGACATCCCGGTCTTGTTGAAGCTGCGAGACATACATGTACGCGGGCATAGAGATGAACTGCTTCTCAGCGAGCCACTCAAAGTCTGCATCAAGTCGAATCCATTCGTAAGACTCCTGTTCCATCCTCTGCTCGGTATCTGCATCCCAATCTTGCAGACCCCAATCGCGCATCTCAGTCGGGCTTGAAAGTACGTCTCCTAAGCAGTGATAGTGAGTTTCCTCTCCGCCATCGGCATTAATCTCAACACCTGGATTCATACGCTCCTTCTGTCGCCTGCTCTTCTTGAGACGCTTATACTTCGTGTTGTATGGAATCTCAAATTTCTGCGTGCCTTCTTGAATATTAACAACATGGTCATAAGGCGTGCCGTCTGCTTCGTGAATCCGGATAGTCATTGGACCAGTGAAAACTGGTTGCAATTCTGCAGCATAGACACCGTGGATATCCTCCTTCACTTCACGCATGAAAGAGTCTCTGTCCAGCACACGAGTTGTAGGAAGGGTCTCTTGCTTTTGACTGATGGACATTTCAATGCAAAGCCGCTTCTTGTTGAACTTCTGAGTGATGGAAAATCTTGGACACCCAGCTCCTAGGACATAGGAATTCCAAAACGATTCGGTTTGCCGGTATTTTGTGGTTTTCTCGACGAGACGACGGAAGCCTTCTGTCGACACGACGCTGTCGATCGACGTACCAGTATTAGCAGTTGTGATCATCTTTGAGATTACTCTTTGGATACCCGCAGCTCCGGATGCTTTGACGATACGTTTGTCTAAAATGAACATGACCAGCGGAGCTTTCAGTGCCATAAATTCGAGCTCGAACCCTCCTAGATGTAAGACGTCTCCAAGGGAATATAGAGATGGTCTATCAATATCCAGTTCCACCAGTCGATCAGAAAGCGTCTTCTGGCGGAAGGCATATTCGTTGTGTCCGCAAAGACCCTTCATGAAGATGCCGGTCATGTAATGTGAGAGACCGACCGTGACCCATCGATCAACACGTGCATTTGGGACAATGCAAACACCTATCCACTGAGTAGCGATGGCGTGTATTAGAGTTCTGACCACCTTAATCTGAGTATCTATGATATCTTCTCCAAATAGTAGCCGGTTGCAGCATATTGAGAGAGACGCTGCATGTTGTGTCTCGGCAATTTGGTCGTCCACGAAAACAAATCGACATTCTTGAAATGGATAGCCGCCGAAATTGAGCAAGAAAAAGTCAAGACCGTTTGCCATAGGAGTGCAGGTGAACCGAACTTCGTCCGCACGACCTGGCAGACAGTATGCTGTCACAGGAACAGTCTGGCCTTGTCCCAATTTCTCGTCATCCTCAACTTCTCGGAACTCGGAAAGATCAACTATCTCAAACGGGCCGATGGAGAAGCCAATGTGTTGCGGAGCCACAACTGTATTGCAGAAAAAGTTCACAATCTTTTTCGAGCTGTCGTCCAGGTCGGTAGTCTCATTCATCAGCTCGCCTGAGCACACAATAACCATTTCCAGGAGTTTTTCCTTCTCGTCCAGAGGCACATCATACTCTTCAAACACATTGTTGGAGACTGGAGGTACCAAGCCTCTTCTATTGAACGCATGAGCAAGAAATCGCTGCTTTGCGGTTACTGGCGTAGGACGCCGTTTGAGGGCATCGCCTAATGTTCTCGAACACTTCACAGAGATGTCCCAAGTACAACGCATAGCAGGATCGTCGACGCATGGGAAAATAGATGAGGCAGTTCCAGGATCCATGGAATGGCGAGTGTAGACATGAGGATACCTCGCATCGCCTTCTTCCACGCCCACGAAATGCAATCCATCTCTGAAGCTTTTCACTGAAAACGATATGCTGACCGTCAGGGGCTGGTATCTCGCTGACTGCTCTGCTGCTGTCTTTGGGGTCAAAGTCGTCGCCGAGAGAGGCAGGCTCGTTCCATCCAAGGCAACAGACGATGTTCTTGCTGCTGAAGCTCCCAAAGCTCTTGAAGTGACTGCGCTTGCCGCATTTTCTGAAAATGGGTCTACCTCGACGATGGTGACATGTTTGGGTATTGTGATCTCCAGAGCTCCATTCGCCTTTTGATTATCCGTTAAGGGTAATATCCTGTCCTTCTGCATTCCGTGCTGCTCCCCGCTCCAAACGTGAGCTGGTGGGATACTCAAGGCATGTATAGGGTCCTCGTACTCGAATTGCGCCGGGATGCCGTTGATCCTAACTCCCTTGTCTGGTATGCTACACTGGCGCGCATCGATTCTGATCTCTTGAAGGTCTTTAGTCTGCGGTAGAATCGTAATCTCGGTGGTCCCAGTTATGGATTGCGTAGAGAAATCAACCTCAAGCACGAGCTTTTGATGTGACACAATGAAGCCATACTCCGGCACCTTTGGAGCTGCAGGAGCTGGAGCCTCCATCTCTGGAAGCGCGGAAGGCATGACGCTGAGTATGTGCTTGTCAGATGCCGTTCTGTGATGGAGATTCTGTCGCCCTGGCGCGACGAGCCAAGATCTAGAAAGCTCCCATTCGTCTTCAGAGCCTCCAGCTCACCGAGGACCTCCGTTTTCTTGCACGCGTAGAGAGTCGAGAGGGGATGGAGCGCGCTGTGATTGTATAGAATACAGTCTAGCAGGAAGGTTCGCAGATTCGAAGAGTGGTATTGGAGGTAGGTGGACGTCGAAGGTGTCGAACAGGCACGATTTCGACAGGCTTTGTGTAAGTAGTTTGTGCAGGGTTGTTCGCGGAATCTGCGCAAATTTGTCAAAGTTGGCAAATCTGGAGAAAGAGTTTGCGAAGAGGAAGAGTTTGTGGAGCGCTAGAAAACGCGTTATGTACAGTCAAAGGTGAATCTCTTGCGCTTTTGGTGATGTGACGAACAATGAAAGTCAGGCTGTCGTCGGAGACGCAAAGACAGCGTTTCTGATGATATTCTCGACTCAATACGTCTTGAAAACCATGTATTAGATTTATTACATACTACGAGGAGATTTTCGACCCTTTCGAGGCATTCTCGTTTTTTGTAGAATCTTTGAAGGTGAAGGCAAGGCTCGAAGGGAGTAGGGCGGATTTTAAGCGCTTCACGTGACCCAGCCTTGCGCGATTATTATCCCGACAGCCACCAAATCGCGACTCAATCATTCTGATGCACTGTATCAAAAAGGATATCTCAAGGAATGAGGGGACAGTGAAATTCATTTGATTTTCTTTAATTGTGGCTCATTGAGACCACAACACCGATAGCACCACCCTTCTTATGATACACTTAACCAACCTGCTATCATCGCCCATTCCCCAACGCCTGCACCGGATTCATACAACCAACAAGATTGCCTGACGAAGCACTTTCGACGAGGCATTGTGTTTTTGAACACCCATTTTTGCATGCCGTATGTTACTCCTCTAATCCTTACTGACCCTCCTGTCTCGTCTCTTCCTCCTAGCATGAATCTTCAATGTCTCTTCATCGCGGTATTGCTCTGGTAGATCGAAATCCTGGTATTCTACCTCAGGAACAGGATGACCCCATGCTGCAACAGTTCTGCCACTCCGCCGATGCTTTCCTAGAGCTGCCTCGCGAAGATAGGGTTTCGAGAAGAAGGATGTAAAGGGTTTTTCGATGACCTCGACTTGCTGGGGTATTAGCGGGGCTTTTGGTCGACCTCTTCCAGGACCCTTCAAGGCAGGTGTCGATCGAGCAATTGCTTCTTCGTGCAATTGACGTGCTGCTGAAGCATCCGCATCACTATAATCCGGCGGATCACCATCACTAACATTACCATCGTCTTCTTCCAGTTCTTCCTGCTGCTCTTCCTCCTCTTTCCCATTCTCGTCCTCTTCACCCTCTTCCTCTGCTGCTTCGGCCTGGGCAGCTTCCCTTTCTAACTTCCTCCGCTTCTCCTCATCTCTCCATATCCTGAACTTTTCTATGATAGCCTCGCAGCCTCTGATGAAGTGTTCTCGCGCAGGCTCATAGTCTTTTTTCTTGCTGTCCGTTATCCCACTGACACCCATCAGTTTCAACCAGTCATGACCTTGTAGACCCTCCAGCAGACGAATGACTTGGTCCTTCTCATGTTGAGCTCGACCTTTGTCGGTGTTCCGAATCGACTTCTCTTGCCGTTCGGGCTTTCGATGTATGGATTCGAAGTAATCGTCATTCAGCGGATCGTCCTCTCCGTCTTCACAGTTCCTACTTAACACCGAGGAATCTATTCGATGTGAATTGTGCAGAACGGTGAAGAGGGACTCGGAATCGTCTTTCAGAGCAGATCTCTCAGCAAGGGCACCCGCTTTTCGTGGCAAGGTTGCTTTTCTAGGCTTCGGCCAAGACAGAGGAGTATCGATGTTCAGAATATCTGCAAGGCGTCAATAACCACAAGAAACGACTGTATGGAATGGGCAACTAACGTTCTTCTTTTGGTTCATTACCAATAATTTCATCATATTCTGGAAAGTATGCCGACAATTCACTCTTGAACCTCGTCCCCTCCTGAGATCGTAATTTTCGCTTGTCGTCTTTGACGTCCTTGAGATCTGCTGCGCTGGGCTGTAAACGGTCGAGCTCGTGCTTGATTCCATTGACGACCTTCTCGTGGTGATTCGCGGGCTTCTTCGCAGATTCTGGTAGAGGTTGTGGTGGCTTCGCAGGCTCAGTCTGGGTTGCTGTCTCCGTCTGTTTTGACTTGGTCAGCGGTGGTGCTGCGGCGTACTTCCCAGCGACCGCGATCTCCTCCTTGATCACGACGGAACGTGTCTTTGGCTGAGCATTCGATCTGGAAGCAATCTCGATAGCGATCCTAGCTTTCTTCTTCACAATGGAACTATCCTCATCGTGATCCGTAGGGTCCTCGTCGCGTGGACGCTTTTTACGACCGATGTTGGCTGGGCTGCTGCCTTGATGCGGGCGTGAGATCACTACGTTGTTTCTCGTGCTTGATCGTGTCGAGAGGCCTTCACTCCTTCTGGAAGATCGAGTGAAAGGAGACGCCATTGACCTTGATATGCGCGTAGGTCATAATGCGCAGTAGATTGGCAGCTTTCGCAGATTGGAGAGTTCACAATTGAATAAGTTGTGATTCTGGCTGGGACCTTCTTTGGGGGGAAGGAAAGCGCACTTTAGCGATGCCCGGTCCCAGGATAGCAAGCATTGATGTAAATTCACGGGAAAGGACACCAAAAATTTAAATCATTCACTTTTAAACATGAGATGATGGCAGATGAAACGGTCTTCCACCAGAACCCATCTATGTATGAGATTGTTGAAGAAAAATGACAATTGAGAAGACAATCAAAGTCACGATGGGATTTTTAGGTGCATGACACAGTACTCCACCAAGGCTACCTGCAGTGAGACATCCCGCAATCGACTCCTCTTCTCTCGATGATTACAAATATTATAACTAGGACAATGTCTGTCCTGACGATGTGATATAACCTGTGGTCAAGTATTAGTTTGAGATAGGACTTTCTCACGATTTCATAGTCAATTTTCTTGCAATGTTTGCATCGTCATATCAACGCGAATCATGCTAGAGTCACATGCTTGATATCAGCTCTGCTAAGCATGGTGAGCAAGGTTAATAAGTGTTTTGTTTTATCAGATGGGGACCCTTGGAAGCTATTTATATCCAAACATCCTGTTCGAATCGTTTGTGTGCTTCAAATATACAAAGTCTCGACTTCTATTCATCTAATGCCGCTCCACGCTAGAAGAATATCCTAAAGAACAACCAGAATATATGCAATGGGTATCAACTCTTGATCATATGTAACATCCTTCATCAAGCATTCAAGCATTGCGTGTGCCTTCCGGTGCAATAGCATTTTCTGGCCCGCTGCCAGGAGCTTGCACAATGGGATCCTTCTCCCTTTCTTTCTCAAGCTCCGCTTCAGCTCTTGTATTTCCGTCCAAACTGCCATGATGTGCATGCTTTGGTACAATCGATAATTTTTTCAAAATCTTCAGATCTGCTCTGTTCTCTTCTCTTTCCTCTGCCTCGGCCTGCTGCTTCATTTCCAAGAATCTACGCTCGCGTTCTGCACTCTCACTCTTATCACGAGCTTCTTCTTCTCGTTGGGCGAACTTTTCGGGAGCTAAGACTTTATCCTTCTTGTGGATCATGTTGTGGAGGATTTTCTTTCCTCGTTTTCGGGTCTTGACGTATGCTTCAAGACCTACCAGGACTGCGTATGAGCGTGATATTGATACATGGCTCATATCGACGCCTGCGTCCTTTAATGAGTGAATGAAAGCTCTGAAGTTGGAGACTAGTCACATGTCAGCATATCACGCTTGTCGTACTTGGAGCATTCATACCGGGTGGCCTGTAATGTCCAGATAGAGGAGAGAGCTTAGAGAGTCTACCATCTTTGATCTTGATCAATCCGGCAGCCGATATTCGAGAACCATGTAAGAACGAAGAGTGCTGAAAAGCCCCAGATTGCTTGATACCAACATAGAGTCGGAAGCTTGTGTCGGCAACAAAGATCCATGTGTTTTTCTTTACAGACCCTCGGAGGAGCTTGTTGAAGATAGTGGCCGCCGACACGTGCTTGACTTTCTTCATTCCCTTCGCACCGTCGAGCTCGGGCGTAGCATACTTATCAGCACGAGCATCTGTGTCGTCCATTTCCGACTCTGAGTCAGTCTCATCTGACGTAGCATCGTGATGGGCATGATCTTGGGGACCAGTAGCCGCTTCTCCTGCTGGTGGCCTATAGGCTGGTGTTTCGTCGTTGGCAGGTACAATACCGTGAATCGAGTCCTTGTATTGTTCGGTGGTGTCGATACGAGCGCTATTCTTCGCCCAACAGAGTCTACCATCTTTATCGATTTTGACCAAATAATCCAATCGTTCCTCTTTTGACAGGTACCTTACTTGTTCAGCATCCAACCTTGATCTTGGGCATCCCTGACAGTCAATGAATCGACCTTCCCCATAATCTAACCAATAAAAGAAGTTCTCGTTGGTATCCGACTTCTTCCACTCCTCGTGGTAAGTTCTCAAATTACTCCCGTAGCGGTGCTTCAAATCTACCATCTCCAAAAAGTACTGCAGGTCCATCATTTTGGCAGCTTTCTGTCGCTGTGCCTTGGCCTCTAATCTTTGTTTTCGTTTCCGTTCTCGTTCGTCTGTCGGGACATTATCATCGTCCTCGTCGCTACTATCCGAATCCGAATCTTCATCGCCTCCTGCTCTCCTTGCTATGAAACCAATCTTCTTCCAATTCTGTCTTGCAGTACTATGCGGATCTACCGAACCCGCCGTTCCATTAGTCTGAAAAGTATCAACGCTCTTCCTCGGCGCCCCATCTATACTATTCCTGGCCCTTGGTGTCGTCAAATTCCTATATCTCGCCTCTTTGACAGCTTCCACCCATCTTGTGCTCGGATCTAAGCTCATGCCCTCCATGATCCTCCTTTCTCTGTGCCCCCGATAATTCCGCTGTATGATTCCTGCTGCCCGTTCTCGTTCAATCTCATTCAGATCCTTGTGACTCTCTCCTAACCTCTTCTTAATAGTTTCCTTCTCGTTCCTCTCCTGCACCTCTCCTATTCTCTCCACCATTTCTTTCGACGGGGTCTCCAGACTGTCTATGTATTCCTGATGGCTCCTCGTAGAACCTTTCGTCGAGACAGAAACTTTCGAACTGTGCTTTCGATGATGGTGTATATTTTGCGGGAACGTCGAGGAGTTGCGCGGTGGTGAATGTGCGATTGGGAGAGTCGGGTCCTGGTTTGAAGATATTGCGGGGCATGTAGAGGGGAGCGTCATATTTCAAGGGTTCTGGCCAAGATTCGCTGCTTGAATGGTCTTGGCGAATATGCGAACTGGCAATGGACTCGCGGACGTTGCGTTGCGTTGCGTGGGGCCCTGGTCCTGTCGAATTAAAGTTTCGTCTCTATTGAGCAAAGAGAAGCAAGAGCAATCCCGAACGAATCTAGGGAGTGAAGAAAGAGTGACAAAAATAATAATGCGAAGTGAAGCTGGACATTGAAAATTGCGTGAATGTGTAACCTGATATTACGCACTTCGCTGACTTGCACAGCAAGATCCAATACCTGGCAACGACGCCGAGGTTCTTGCTTGCTATCCACGCAACTTAAATTGTGGCTGGGAAGCTGTTCATGCACGAGTACACGAGAGCAAGTTGCAGCAGCAGAGCGGGCACGTTATCTTTACATACTCCGTACTTTTCTTGCTACATGGCAGCATAGAAATAGAAAATACCGCAGATGCGTAGTGATCAGCCTCTACTGCCAAGATCCAACACAAGGCTGAAAGTTTTCCTTGTTTACGCGTTGCCTAAGAACTGGCACCAATGTTAGTGAAGGCGTCAGTCATTGACGGCCGGATGACGTTGCCAGTGGCTGGGCTTGCGTCGCGGGGTGTGGCGCAACACCCCACTTCGTGTGAACAGAGCCTCTTTGGCGATGTTGATTGATGCATTGCTTCTTTTTAGACTTGTTAGGTGGATATACCGACAGAAGACCGACTATTGCCGAAGAGCTTATTTCGACGGGATGTCCGAGTAGCTAGCTCTAGCTTCGTCTCAAGATCTCGGTTTCCTGAGACTAAGGATTAGACAATGAACCCATCGACGAGAATATTACGCATGAGATAAATGAGATAGCAATTCAGAAAATGTTTGTGCGATTTACCAAAAAAAGAAAAAAGAAAAAAGACAAAAAGGATGAATCATCCGGATTCGATACAAATCCTCAGACCGTAGAAGACGAAGAAGTTTAGTTGCGGTCGGATGTTCCCACCCTATTGGCTTGATATAGGTGCCTACCCAGGTAACACCGTTCGACTAAACAGACTTACTTCGAAACCCAATTCTATTATTTACCATTATACAACCCATAGCCGCAAGCCTAATCAAGCTAGCGGCATCACTCATAAGATACTAAACCATATCAACTTCAATATTTCATAGCTATCTTTGTCTCAAAATCTCGGTTTCCTGAGACTTAGGGCTTAGATTGTATTAGACGATGAGCCGGTCAACAGTAGTAATTCAAATAAAACCTTCAACATGAATTTAATATGGAACGTTTGTGGCAAATAATATGGAAGGACAAAACAACGTCAACATTTGTTCGAATATCTGTGACTCAGAACGCCGAGCCCTATGCTTACTTGCTTTTCCTCTTTCCCAAACGTCCTATGATGAGGACCGTCTAAGCGCTATGCAGACCGACTATTACAGATAAGAACAGAAATCCTCCATGCTCATGATCATCGTAACATGAGGTCTTATACCCCAACTTCTGACATCCCACACTGGCCTAATCGACTCTCTTCCCGTCGGTATGACCGTTCGCAGACTTTGCTGTTCCGTTAGCCGCCTTGGCTTTCTCTTTATTGGCGACCTGCTTCTCATATGGTATTGTCAAACAGTTGATGCCAAGGTAAGAGCAAATGCTATCGATGACCAAGAACGCCCATCGGAAGTACACAACCAATGCAAAGGCGAAGTATCCGCGAAGATACCACAGCTCTGTCCAAGCACTGACTGCAGGGAGACCAACCCGAGGCAGATTTCCAAGAACAGCTCCTCCTAATAGAGGCGTGAGCATTACGGTCCAATAGGGGAATGGCTGTCTGGTCAAATGAGCCAGAATGATTTTGGTAGTCATTCTACCAAACACAAACGACATTGTGAGGCAGAATAAAACAAGATGATTCTCGGCCATTAGCGTCGAGTATGGCGAGAACAACCAGGCACCAATAGAAAAGGTGTAGACTGCCATAGGTGTCCATTCCAAGAAAACGGGGAGAATTGGCAAGTTGTCCCTTCTCCGTGCTTTGACAACATTCATCACACAAAATGGTACATGCGCGCCGAATAATGAGATCAGCAGGATTGGAACCCAGAGATCACGGACTGAGTATGTCCCAAAGAACTCATGGTATCCAAAAAAGTAGTGATGTCCAACAAGGTCTGTGATCTTGTGGGTCCAAATTTCCGGACCATAGTAACCCGAAAGGATCATAATTGTGCATGCCAGAATCAGACCTTCCGTTGGGCCGTTGAACACACCCAGATATAGTGTGTGGGTGTGGTATGTTTCCCAGGTCGAAAAGAACATTGGCAAGCAGGGAATCAGAGCGGTGAAGACACCAGTCTTCGATGTTCCCAAACCCATTGCTGCCGTCTCGCACAAGCTGGCAAGTGTGCAATTGAGTGAGTCGATACCGTGGTCGAATAATTCTCCAAGACCACTGGATGTGCCCGTCCTTCGTGCTTGCTTTCCATCCACATTGTCCATGGTAGAATACATCCATAGGCCGAAAGCGAAGCTATAGTACAGCCAGGATGGTCCCTATTTGATCGGCAAGTATCAGCATTGAAGTCTGCCATGGAAATCTGTGGATAACGTACAGGTCCAACCAAGTCTGGCATAAATATCACCAGACAGGCTACATTTGACAGGATGAAGAAGAATCCTAGCAATGTGACCATATTTGGTGCAAGCCATAATGGCAGAAGTTCCACGAAGGCATTCCACTATATAGGTCTCAGCGAAATTTCTCCAGCAGGTATAAATCGAAGGCGGTGTACATAATGCTTCAGGATATAGTTCGAAATGAAGGACTTGTCGACACTCGAGTATTTGTACGACTTGAGGTGCACCAAGGCCTCCTCAGACACGCACTCATGCGCAGCTACCTCTGAACACTTAACATCAGTATATTCTTCCATAATCTGACCATTTGAAACCTACTTTTGCTGGGCGCCATTGGGGTTTGAGGTGTGGTAACGGGAGGGGGAAGCACTTGCGGTTCTTTTTTGACCGCAAGTAGATCTAGAGGCCGAATTGCGGAGGAGGGAAGTTGGATAGCGCTCCAACTTCAGCGACACTCTCAAGTTTTCAAGGAAAAAAATTATAGATAAGGGGAAGTGGTCATCGAGACATGGTTTCACTTTCAAAGGGGACAAATCCAGAAAACAACGCGGATGCGCGGCTAATCATCGTTAAGATTGCCTCTTTTTTTAACTCGTCATCGTTTTGCTTGGCCCATTTCGCACGTGAAGACAGCAACCATCATTTATGGTCGACTTTACCTTTGCGGCTGGACAATCAGCACAAACTCGAAACAACCGTTTGAGCATAGGACAGCGAATGAGCGAGTACCAACAATCGCTGCGTACATTGTCGATTTTCACGAATAAAGTCTCTCACGATTCTCGACCATCGATTGGGGTTAGGACAACAGCCTCGGTGTGATTGGTAAACGCTCGTGGACGCTGAGCTATCACAACTCAAGACATACGCAGTCATGAGACAAATGTTCTATTTTCTTCAGAACCTATTTGATTCATTCTTCCATTCCTTTCCGGGACAGACCTCGTATTCAGTTCCAGCTCCCAGGCAGTCTCCAACTCCCAGAACCACTACTTTACGAGTATTAAGGTAGCCGTTGATCTGCGGCTTAAGTATGCAATCCAAGAAGATATGTGCAAGAACCGCTGAAACCGCTTACAGAACTCTTTTAATCATCGCTAAAACAAACTCTCATCGGGCAAGACGTGTGGCCGAGACATGCAAACAAACACCAATCCAAAAGCTGTCTTACATGACCAAAGCAAAACCGGCGAAAATGCCAGCGAATACGACAACCAGACTATAGCTGCGTCCAAGATCCAAGGCCGCTTGTGCACCGCTCTTGGTGGAAGAAGAAGATGGTGTCGTGGTAGCAGCAGCTCCTCCACCGAAACCGGTGTAGACCACGCCAGCTGTTCCGCTGGTGGCACCAGCAGGAACGGTGGTGGCAGTCATGGTCGAAGACGTAGTTGTGACGTTGACTCGAGTAGGGTCCTGGGCACCGCAAGGGTGTTGACTTCTGCAATTGCTCTGGCAGTTGGTATCACCGCCGCATGCAGCAACACACTGGTTGCCATATTCCGTGCAGATAAAGTATGGGAGGGTCTGCGAGTATTCGGAGGCATTGGGAGACATTCCATTTCCGCAAACGCAGTCGTAGGTGAGGGTAGTCTGCCAGAAGTTAATCGCTGTGCCATTGGCAGCAATGGCAGATGTTTATCCTTACTGGGTCACAATCATTGGCATCTGTGGTAGAAGACTCTCCGGGCAATTGCAGGCAAAGCAATGGACAAGATGTCATTTGACTCTGACACCACGAAGCTATCGAAAATCAGCACAAACCCAAACCCCAAACTCGCAAGAGAAGAATTCGTACTTCGGTCGGAAAGAGGGACACTGTTGGGATCGATTTGGTAGACAGCTTGCGAGTGGACCTTCAGTGACAACAGGATGACGGCTAGCACGCCAACGGAAGCTTGAAGGGAGAGCATTTTCTATGTATCGGTCGGCACGAGGGTATGATATGGCGAAAGTTCTTCTGAGGACAACCAATTGTCAGCTATACACTACTCCGAAGGAATTGTCACTCGTGGGAAGCAACTGCATCCTCGAGGGTTCAAAGGAAGAATGTGGTCATCTCCGGGGGCTCTCCTTACCTTTCAAAGCAGATAAAATGTGACAGAGAATGAGCGGGCGAGATCTCAACGAGCGAGATAATTATTAAAGATATAATTTCACGGATTGAAGCGAACGTCGGGGGTTGTTAAGGACAGGAAGAGGGAAAAGACTCTCGAGGAGGAGGAGAAGGTCTTATGAGAATCCCAACCCCCAGTTCCCGACCCCCCAAGTCAACAATTGTCTCTCGATCAAGATATTGGGCTTGCGCTAGTGTATATTCAGCGATGCACGAGCAGCCCGAGTAACGATAAGCGGTTAGAATGTCTCTATTTCAGCCAACCGGAGCTTTGAACGAGTAAAGACCCTTGACAGATATCGGCAGTAGTGTGGAAAGGGTCTTGGCTCACTGCTGCACAACTTTCCGTGCACCATGATTAGAACAACTCACATGAAGTATGCTTCGTATCGATGGCAAATGCCTGAAGCTATCCAGCCGTGGAACCCATCCAGAAGTCTGCCATGAGAACTTTCTTGCAATCTAGTCTGACTTTCTTGCCACCTCAAAGTATGCAAGTCAACAAAAGAAGCAAAATGTACGAGCAGAGCTCGATCATCGAATCAGGATGGCTAGCCGAAATTATATGGCGGCTCCCCATCATTTCACCGCTCCTTTTATATTTCTAGCTTCAAAATCTAAATCAAAGTAAAGTTAAACGGACATCAAGCCATTACAGGGATAGTGACCGAGTCGAGCGATTGATCTCCACGTTGTCAATGGCCCATGCTTTGTGGCTTCTTTGGAGTCGGGCTGGTTCCGGAAGAAAGAAAGTTTTCCCTATCAAAAAGGCATCAATTGAAACTTATCCCTTGAGATTTCGAATCCTCGGGGTTCTCCAATTGATTCGGACAAATATTGTTGTGCAAGATTCGAGTCTCAAAGATCGGTACACGAACAAAAAACACGAAGAAGCTCCTGTTTACTTGCACTAGTGTCGGTTAGCCGCATAATCGTGAAGCAACCTCCTCAATATCAAACACCACAGCTCTAGGACCAGCCTCGTAAATCCAGGCGAGTGAGCCTCCGCAGATGGATGGAGTCGGGCCACATTATCCAAGCGCGTGAGGCTGCTTCTGCAGGCAAGTATCGCCTTGACACGACAACGCCTCCCGTCGACGACCCGACGAGCGGCAACGAGTCTCCGATAACATCACCTATCACTTCGCCACCGTATTGGGTTCAATCGCATCAGCGATCAGTCTCCAACATATCAGTCGAATCGATTCCCAATGGAGCCATAATTCTACAAGACAATACCGATGGGGAGGACTCAAAGAATAAAGCATGCTGGGCGAAGAGCGTTGAGATCACGGACTATGTAGTCGTTAATGGAAGCAGAACGGGCATTGGGGCATTCGTTGTCTGGAATATCACAGTGGACACTCTGCGGGTATGCCTCTCGCTCCCAATTGCTGTGTAGGTGTTGACGGATGTAGGGTGGTTCGATGCGTATCAGGAAACGATATTCGGAATTCCACGATCTGCGAGACAGACTCCTTCAGACGTTCCCAAACTCCACGGCAGCCATGCCACCGCTCCCACCGAAAAGCGTCATCTCGAAGTTTCGACCAAAGTTCTTGGAGAATCGTAGAAGTGGCCTCCAATATTTTCTCAAGTGGGTGCTGAGTAGTTTTGGCTATGACGTGGGCTGACTAGCATAGTTGCATCCTCCTGAACCCCGAATTTTCTGGCTCCCCAGTCCTGAAAGAGTTCTTGTTCTCTTGAATATATATTCGTTTGTTGTATAGTACGTTGCATATGGTGTTTGTTGGAAACAAGTCAGAGCTGGATACCTGCATTGCGTTGGCGTTAATTATACTTAATGAGTACATAATATGAAGCACTGCACCATAAACATCAAGCTTTGGAGAAGCAACATGCTGTTAGGTGCTCTAGCACCCTATCATAGCGTCCGGCATTGAAGAGCTCACGGCTATATCTTGTATCCGAGGATACCTCTCTGAATACAATTCCTCGTCGGATTGCGTTTACTTCGTCTCTGACTCTTTGTTCGGAGTCCCTACGTATACTCAGTAACAGACTTCTTAAGAGAGTCAATGGTCATCCTTTGACTGCTGTCTAGCATGCTACCTAGGTTAGTAACTTCAAAAACCTACCGGTATACCACAGATACCACCTCAAAGGGATAGAATACCTCATCCGGCATCTCCTTCAAATAAATTGTAGCCATTAATCTTGTGCAGTTAACAGATTTGCTGATTGAAGGCACCATATGCCGCTTTCGCATTTGTACATATTATCACGTGGAGATAGATTTCCGCGATTATGCGGGGCAAACGTCATCCTTTTCTCACATGAAGCAATTGAGGATCTCTGTTAAATTCCTTGTTCTTCAACCATCACAGTCAATTAACTTCGTACAAAGCTCAAAACACTTTCTGAACATAGCATAACCAACATGGCACTCGCTCCGAAGTTTGCTGGACAAAGATTTGCCGCCAGCAGCGCTGCTCCAACATTGCATACGCTTGAGCTTTACCGTCCGTTCTCACCCATCATTCTAGAATCAATCACCAATTCGATGATACTGACCTCAAGAAGTCGATTATGTCTGCCCTTTCTCTGCCAAGATGTTCAACACGGTCTATACCTCCGTCTTTCCGTTGATCGAAAAGAAGTATGCTTCAAAAGTTCAGATTCTTTTTAGACAACAGATCCAACCGTGGCACCCATCATCCACGTTAGTTCATGAAGCTGGAGTTGCTGTTCTCAAATTGCAGCCAAGCAAGTTTTGGGATTTTAGCAAAGTAAGATCCAAATCTGATCAACCTCCGAGTCATGCTCACTAGCCTCCTGTAGGCCTTGTTCGATGAAGCAAAATCATTCTACGATGTAAACGTTGTCAATGAAACTCGCAACAAGAGTTACGAACGTCTAGCCAAGATTGGAGCCAAAGTTGGCTTGAATGAGAAGGAGATGTACGATCTATTGTACATCTCGGACAAGCCAGACAAAGATGGTAGCTTGAATACTGGGAATCAAGTCACCAATGACTTGAAAGTGCTGGTTAAGATGAACCGAATGCAAGGCGTCCACGTCACGCCCACAGTGGTCTTTAATGGGGTCGTTGAGAACAACATCAGCTCAAGCTTCAGTGGCGAACAATGGGAGGAGTGGCTGGAGAAGAACGTTGTGTGACTCGATGGTGGTGAGTCTCGAAGACTGAAGCACAAGTTGTGAAGAATGGAGTTCGCCTAACGTTGCGGTATTCTCAACGAATATGAAGAGTACAATTCTCACAGCAGTCGACTTCCTGTGTCTTCTCAATCGCCAGGACGGACATCTCTCAGATATTCGTTTGCACCTCGTTGTCTTTCCATGCAAAATAGTAAGGTTAACATGAGCGCGATTCGACGAAAATAAAGCATGAAGCATCGACTAGAACCACATAACAAACCGTCCCAAGCATGATGTTTCATCACCTCTATCAATGTCACCGACTACACAGGCTCCCGAGGACTTTATACTTTGGTCCCAAACTTTCAACCCTTCGCAAGGATCTCATGTAGACCGTATTGTCAGCAAATCCGTAGGAGTATTTCTCCTCACGTGCATTTATTGATCCCCACTCGAAGATCTCTTTAGGGTTCTAGGAAGCCTCGGCCCATCAATTCTGATTGGTTCCAAGGAACGATCTTCATGGCGCAACGCCACAGATCTTTCCATGAACTTCGCGACAACTCTACTTAGTATCGACTAAACAAGCATTTGATCCTTCTTCCCCAGTTTACCCAGATTCATGACCAATCTTACGTTCAGCTTGACTCCGCCATAAATGCTACCTGCTGTAAATAACACGAGCTAAGTGTCATTGTGGCCTGCACCTGGATCAAGATCGGCATCTATCAGCACTACCACAGCCCTGGGAAATCACGGAACCGTGTCTGGGAAACCACACTATTTGTGTTCAAGCAATCAACGGCGGAGCGGCGCGCATGTATTCACGTAGGTTGGCTGGTTCAATACTGTCAAGGTTCTTAATGGTGTCAAGAATCCAATCCCTCACTTTCTTTTTCGCGCTATTACTCCTCACACTAAATCCTTGATTGGATTCCTTTCGAATTCTACCCTCTTATTCCCTTGTTTAAAGTTTCTCTCTATTGCCATTGCGGGACAGCGATCATGATTTCAAGAAGTGTGATATTTTCTCTCTTCCTCTCGTCTGTGTTACCTTGGGTGGCGGCATTGCAAACGACATGCTATGTATTAGATGGGAAAGCGAATGCAAACGCCGGTTTCAGATGCGATAATACGACTACAGGCCCCAGTGCCTGCTGTGGGCCAGGAGCAACATGTTATTCGAACGGACTGTGCATGCAAGACAATGGGCAGGTTGTGGATTATTTGAGAGTGGGATGTACAGACAAAACATGGCAATCACCAGCATGTCTTGATCAATGTAACATATGTGAGGGGTATTCCAACACTTCGTCATGGTACGAGCTGATGTGTATCAGATGCGAACAATTCAGCTGCTGGAGTAAGGTTTTGCGATGGGACTGTCACAAATACAACTTCATAGCCAGTATTGTCACTGCTATTCGGAACCTTCAAGCTGACTCGTACAGCTGCTGTGACGATGGCTCTACAGGAGTGGGTAGTTTTGCATGTTGCAATACAGCTTCCGACATCTTCCAAATATCACCAGCAGCAACTGTACTCGCCCAGATGCCGTTAAGCCAACTTACCACGACCTCGACCACAGCCACATCTTCACCGACGCGTTCTGCGGCAGCGACAACATCAGCTTCCTCGAGTGGCGGATCCTCACATGCAGCAGCGATTGGAGCAGGGGTGGGAGTACCATTAGGACTGATCGCTCTAGGAGGACTCGGCTACTTCTTCTGGCGACGACGAAATAATCAAAAGAAATCACAAACATACGAACTACAGAATGGGCAAGAAGGTCCTTATAGTGGAGGCTACGGAGGGGCAGTTGGCGCAGGAGCTGATTACCAGCAAGCTGCAGAAGCGGATTCTGGATATCCGCCAGGATCCAAGAAGTCATATTTTGGTGGCCAGCAGTACGAGCCGGCACAACAGACATCACCAGCGGAATTACCGAACAGCCAGGCACATGTGGTGCATGAATTGGATTCTTGAGGAGAAGGAAGAGGTGTAGATAGAGGACGTTTGCAGCTGCTTGTGAATTGTTTGAGCAAAATGCAGGATAGCGGAACTGTTTTGGGTTTTATCATGCAAAGCGATGGCGTACTTCGTATTATGGAGATAAAGTCTATCTCTCTCGGGTCTGGTCGAGACAGGTCGCTCGTGTTAATTCATTAAAATTTGAGTATATATTGCCGTTTATCTTTGGGTTATGCGTAGGTCCTCGCTCACATATGTTGTTCTTAGACTAGGTTCCATCCCCTTCGAAACATACCTCTATGTCTTTGTTTTGAGAGATCGTGCCGTTGAATGCAAACGATGTACTAGGAAGATCCATTTTCCGTCTGGTAGCCCAATGCCTTGGTACTCATGGGTAGTCCATGCACCTTATTAGGCTATTCTATCTTGATTTCCCATCTACCCGGCTTGTGTACCGAGGTGGTCCAGGAACAATTAAATCCCTATATTGACTCTATAATTGGTGCACTTTCATCTATCGTGCAAGGAGTTTATTTGTCCTTGCCCCGCATATACTTTCTTACTTGTCCCGCGGTTCGTGGGACAATGGACCATTGGCGAGGGGAGTTGAAGGCTTGGCACCACATGTTTTTCCGGATCAGAGTTGAAGAGACAGGAAACCCGAGTACATAGACATTGTCAACGTACTTTCCTTTGAGAGCTGAGTAGCTCCGGTTGCTAAGCTTTAAATATGAAGTACTCAATCTTCGTCTCGTTCTTTTCCTTTGTGGAAACTTTGCAGGCTGCCACACTGAACGTCGGTTCTGGACAAACATACAGCACGGTAGCTTTTCCTTTCTAATGTTTGCTCCGAACTCGATTACTGACAATATTGCAGATTACCGCAGCCTATAATGCGGCGTCTGCAGGAGATACCATTTACATCTACCCTGGAACTTATACCGAAAAGCTTACCATAAGCAAGGATAGCATCACGTTAAAGGGCTCAGCATACCCGAGCACTTCTCCCTCCTCAAATGAAGCCGTCATCACCTACTCAACCTATGCTTCTGCAGCAGGGAGTGATGACGCCAGTGGTATTTCTCCTTTAATTTTATGTTCACATTGATCACCACACTGACATGAAACCATAGCCACCCTCCTCGTCAGCGGCAACAACTTCAAAATGTACAATTTGAACGTCAGCAACACCGCCGGAACAGGTGGGCAAGCCGTTGCTCTCTCTATGCGTGGAGATTACGGCGGCGTATACGCATGTGGACTAAAGTCGTATCAAGACACTCTTTACTCTCATATCGGCTCTCAATTCTTTGGAAGATGTTACATTGAAGGAGCGGTGGATTTCATTTTCGGCATCACAGCCAATTCTTGGTATCAAGGATGTACGCTTGGTGTTCTCAAGAGCGGAGGGACGATTACAGCGCAAGGGAGAACGAGTAGTAGTACAGACGGGTTCTTTGTCTTTGATAAAGCGTGAGTGAAGCCGCCATACCTGTATCGAAGACGGAGACTAAAGTGTGTGCACAGGAAAATTGTACTTGGTTCTGGTGCAGGAAGTGGGACGAAGGGAAATACGTACCTTGGAAGACCATGGGGTGACTACGCGAGAGTGGTATTTCAGAACAGTAATGAAGAGAACATCGTTATTTCTGCAGGTTGGGAAGGTATGTTGATAGTCATTGCCTCTTCACTTTTTTCTACTCGATTGGGACATTGCTCTTGCCATTTGGGGAAAAGGAGAGAAGGCATGCTAATGGGTTGATAGCTTGGTCCTCATCACAATCCACAGCCAACATCTTGTTTGCGGAATACGACAATACTAACGCTGCAGGGACGAGAGTTTCTTGGGCAAAGGCGTTGACGAGCGCATATGCTATTTCAACAATTCTCCCCACTTACTCGAGTTGGGTGGATAGCAGCTATCTCGGTGTTAGTGCACCATAGGTATCCGTCTTCGCGAAAGTAAATGTATGTAGAAGTAAATGAGCAGAAAATGATGATACTGTCTTAAGAAGGGAGTCGCATAGAGCTAAGCGTTAACCGAAAGGGGCTCGTTCCGAATGGTAAGCGATCAGTTTGTTCCTCCCTTTCAGTGAACAGCGCGAATCGCGCAAATCGCGCAAAATGCGGGTATTGTGCAGAATGTGGGAAAAGCCTTTCCAAACATTCCATATCTTTGTTCAATGACTGTCTCACAACATGGGTAACTTTTCTTTAGTACATCTCTATCAGAGCCTTGTTTTTATTCATCGTGGGCTTGCAGTTGTCCATTTCAGCTATCAACCAAAAATCACACGTATGGAATCGAGTAGGGGTTTCTAGTGAGAGCTCCTTTCCCGTTTCTCCTAGTAGTTCCCTCAAGACCTGTTCACACCCTGCAGAAAAGAGACAGCCCACCCAAGTAAGACGGCTAGGAGGGCTGCTAAAGCAGCACCAAGTGCCAGGGCACCATTCAAGTCATCTCTCAACGTCCACCAAAGCGCTGTCGCGAGTATACATCCAGCTGAGCCAAGTAGTGCCAGGACAGAGATCAAAATCGTGATGAGGAAAACATTATATCCCTCGAAGATGTGAATTCCCCAACCGAAGGCAGCTTCGTTGGGATCTGGTATTGCATAGATACTCGTATTTAGCTTCTTCGGCATTCTTCGAGACCATGTGGTGCTGGTATGCAATTTACTCTTCTTCGATGTGAGTTCATGTAAGATGATGTTACTGGGAACTGGTGGGCCTCGTGGGCGTGGCTTGTATTCCCAAGTCGTTCCCTGCCGAACAAGTTCTTCAGGCGGCAGTGCCGGGTTCCTTTCATCGAAGCCGTTTATGATTCCTGCCAGTTCTCCCATGTTCTGTACCGAAAACTTGGAAAGCTTAGTATAGTTTAGACAAGAGTGGACACGTTCCTAACCTCGACGAATCTGACATCCTTTGGTTCAAAGAACCACCTTCGCTTACTCATTCGAAAGTACTCAGTTTTTATCTTCTGAAAGAAAGTATGGTCCGTTGTCGTGTGGTGAGTCACATCAAGTTCTGCGTGCTGAATTTGGTGTTTTCCAGAATTGAAGCATAGCTCGAGATACCTCCAAGAGCGGTTGCCAAGTTGACCACGCTCCTCCGCTAATCTTCGAAGTCTGATTGGCGACCGTGCCTCTTCCCGTATATTTTGTGCCTGGTGGTTCCGTAAGTTGGTCATTGGATATGATGTAGACTGACCCTTCGTTTTGATAGATCCCGAACTGTGTTGCGACTGGAGGACGGGCGCTCCACCAGCAAGAGCTATGATGTCTCTCTCAAATGTGGACAATGGTCGCTTACCCCAAATGATTTTACAGTTCAGCTTGAGTTCTTTCTCCAATTGTTCCACTGCCCTCAACTCGTTTTCATTGCCTGCGGGGAAATCACCATACAAGTTTTCCCCACAGTCCTATAAAGTTAGCTAAAAGTGTTACTCCCTGGCAGAAGAACTTACACATTTCCATTCAAGTCTTCTATAACCGGCTTCTGGTGTGACCTGAAACGCCGCCCTAAATCGAACTTGCAAATGCTCCATATCCCTATTGATTTAAATCTCGTTTTACGCAAGTCTTCGAAGGGGCTCCAAGTATCGCAGTCCAGGAGCCAGTGCCTGATACCAGTCTCGAGAAGATCTATCTTCAGATATTGCTCAGCGTTTGTCAGCACTACTGTCTGAGTACGGAGAAGCAAGAGGTGCAGTATTAGATTGAGGTCTCTCCTCTTCAGAAACCGTGGAATGTTCTTAGAGATGTCTGCTAGAACGTCGTCCACCACGGCGTCTGTTTCCAGAAGCTTGTCGATAGAAGTGGCAATGAAACGATCGAGTTGTGCGCAGGTTTCTGGAATTCTAGCAAGTTTTGCCAAGTGCTGCATGCGAAGGCCGATGAGTTCACGAAGTGCACGTTCGAATTTCGCCAAAGTTCCAAGATAAGATTCCATTAATGGGTAGTACTGTATATCATTCAAAGTTCTATACGTATCAGCTTGTGCTACATAAGATTGATGCGCGTGGAGAATTACATCGTCCGCAGCTCAAAAAAGAAATCTTCAAGTATCCACCTTCTTGCACGAACAAGCGGTTCTGGGAGAAGCTCTTTTTCAGTTAATGGATGTTCCAGTACCGGGCGGTTTGCTTCATATGTTTTTCTAGCATCTAAGCCTTCTTTTTGCACACTTTCAGTTTTGACAAGTTGTTTATCAGCAAGTAGTGTGGTCGTCCCTGATAGAGGTTCGATGTCAATAGTTGATTCGATTCGATGTAAAGTTCTGGGTCTCTCTTGAATAGATATTGGTGAAGCATCTTTGGTATTAAAAGGCGCAAGCCTCGATTTTGATCTTGATCGGCGACGTAGAAACTTATATGCCCACCAAACAAAAGTCAAACTCGTCTGGATCGTGAAACCGTGATAGTAATGAATAATATCTCGGGGCCGACAGCATTCGATGAAGCCCATCCACCAGATTGACTCTGGCTGGAGCTCAGAGTAGTGATTTCAGGCAGCCTAGGACGTGAGCCTGGTAATCGAGGAGGCTGAACGGCGATTTGTCTAACTTCCATGGCATTGACTGCAGTTGTCTCTGCAGGAAACCACTGGTATTCAGCAAGATTGTTACGTGGCATGATTAGCTGATTAGCTCGTAAGAGCTTTCTGAAAGAAGAAAGAGTGTATAAGGAAGAATAGTGTAGTTGTTGTAAAGGCAGGCTTTGAAAGTGTGAGGCTGTGACGATCCCTGCAAGCCACAACCACAAGAGAGCCTGACTGAGCGACAGCCAATCACTGACCCACAGCTATTCTACGCTTCTGTTGAATGGATGTAAGTGAGTTTGGAAGTGGTGAGAGTTATGGCTTTCTGAGAATGGACTGGTCACAGTGGTTAAAACAAGCTTCACCCACAGACTTGGTGCATAATGGACTCAATCCCAAATCGGTTTTCCATTCTGTAACAAATCTCACCAAGAAGAATTCCTCCTTAAAGAAAGTAAAGTCTTTCAGCCTACTCGTCATCCAGCCCATTGCCATCCAAAGAAACCATAGCACTACCACCTCCAATATTTTCGTGCGCCTCCTTACTCCTCGCAAGCAAGAGACTCGAGCAAGATGAACTACTTAAGAGCAGATAACATTGGTCGCCACGAAGGGGCCACTTGCTTGCTCACAGTGGTCGATAACGCCCACGGTATCACCCTCGGTGCAGTCCGAGTTCGTATAGTAATGGACTTGAAGAAAGTCAGTCACTGATTCCATCCTCCAACTTTAAACAAATGTAACTAAAAGAGGAATACTTACCGACACACCCAGCATCGGTGACTGAGATGAGACTGACACTTTCGACGGTACTGAGAACTGTCGCGATCGGTTGACAAAGATTCTCTTCATTGAAGGTAGCCTCTGAATCGGCTGTTCCGGTGCATCCTCCAGCACTGTAGTATGTCTGGACAGCGAAAAACTCCCCTAGAAATCAGGTCAGAAGTGCTTCTTGATTTGGCTTCGTGGAGGATGTACCACCTTGACGCTTCTCCTCGGCCGGAGCTGCAGTAGCAACGGTGAGGAGGGCGAAGAGGGAAGTGATAGCAGTGGAGAATTGCATGTTTGCGATTTTGGTCGTGGTTGACTAGACTTTGGGAGTTGTTTGGAGAAGTTATTGATGAATGAATGGACTCTGAAAGCTGTCTGAAGAAGTGATTGTTGCAAGACTCAGTCCAACGCAGGTTTTGAGTCTGTTGTATAGACTTTTCATCGCATCCTTGTCTCGAGCTTCACACCGATTACATTCAAGGACCTTTCGATCCAACTGATGACTTACAATCCATTGACAGTAGTTTTGCTTCAGCTCTGTCGTGTTGACAACCAATGCCGTGTTCGTTACCAAAATTGAGAATTGAACTCGTACACATTGATCATCGCAACACTGATCACCATCACAGTCTGTTCTCGTCGTCTTCCATATCCAGCAATACCCGAGTGTATGTTCGTGAATGACAATTGCATTGACCGCCGCCTCCTGCCGTAGGATGGGATGGAATGATGCTTACACGTGTATCAGCGGACCAATACCGCGACCGTCAGAAGATCAGAAAAGGCTGACATCAGCCACAGCATCGTATAAGAGGGTGTTCGTCTCTTTGTATTTGGAACCGAGCCTCACGCTGCAACGTTGAGGCGTAGCTCGGTCCACTCGAAATGCTCGGAAGCCTTCCGGTCCCAAATTCTCGGTCTGGCCAAAAAGCCACGAGGAAACTTGAAACTTCTCGTCCGAGCTTTTTTTGTCCCGAACACGCCTATGGCGAGTGAGGCTGAACATATTCGGGGTGGTATACTGTATCTGAACAGACGAGCCGCGCTTACGGTGTACAGTTACACAAATCTGAATCTTTGACTTGAAAGACTGGGAATACTGGGAATGGAGGCTCACCCGAGCTGCTTTCTGTCTTGGGCATATTATACTTTGGCGGTGAGCTTCCTGCACATGATTGCTTTTCCAGTATGGTAAAAGGAACATAAAAATTGGTAAAGCGGACTTCTAGCTTCTAGTATTGTACACTATCTTGTTCAAGCTTGGTCACTTGATCGATACTGGTGAGAGCTAGCCTATGCGAGAGAGTAGAGAGTTTTGAATTCGTGCTGTGAGCAGGATTATCTAAAGCAAGACGCGATTCTAGTATGACTTTCGTACATTCTTCAAAATTTGGAACTTTTACATATAGGACATGTCTCCAACGGATCAATCTCCGAAAGAAGGAATCTTAATACCTATTACTGGTAAGTGTTGCGAGTGCAGCAATTGGAAGATTACGCTCCGTCTCACAGCAAGGGACGAGAACACGAAGTCGGCAACTTCCGAAAGCAGAAATTTAGCTACTGCTGGGCTTTGCAGCACAGGTATTGCATGAATCCTTTCGGGTCCGAAAGAGGAATCTCAAAATTGAAAGCTGTGTGAATTCATGGCTACTAGGCTCAGAGAGTGTTCTCATGATTAGTCACTATGCTTATCTCTCTCAAGTTTGCTCGATCATTTGACTATGGTGTAGTGCTTAGAAGGGCATCAAAGCATCGAATCGTGGAGAAGTTGACGATCTCTGAAGGGGAATTGCTTCGTCGATGTAGTCTAACATAGCAAATACGTATGCCCTTGCTGTAAGGCGGGTGAACTTATGACTGTATAGCCATGTTGTAACGCCGCACAAGCCCGGGAGATTCAAATTCTCGCTGCGTGGCCTCGCTTTCTGAAGTAGTTTTAGAAAGCGTTCCAGACCCCCTATTTATCTGTTTGCGGGGTTCTAGATCGGAGTAAATAGCGCAAGCTCTAGTTTTTGTTTGAGCAGACCAAGGCAAAACTGTCAAGAATTCGCCTCAATGGATCAAGAAATGAGGGGGAGCGTAGAAATATGTATGGAGAGAAGTCGGCTGGACCTTTGGTTTTGTGATGGGAAAGGAACCAAAACAAGGAGTAGCTTAATTCACAACTTAGTCGGTCAAGTGCTCCATGTTCTATCCAATGGGATGTCATCCGTTCTCCCCTGAAAATAAGAGGCTCAGCTTGGATGCCAAGATATCAAAGCTCGGTAGGATGAATGACAGAGAGGGTTCATGAATGGTTTGGGATGGCATGTTTTAATACTCTGCTTCAGCCCTTCAGCTGACAATTACAATTTTGCCACACTCATGCATGTACTACAACGCCTGTTCCGTTCACGCCGGAATTGGCAGCAAGCCCAACTCGACTCCTGGTTTCCGGGTAGACCATCATGTTCTATAAGTGTGAATGTGCTGAACAATTATAGACGACTGAAAGGTCTCACTCGAGACGCCTCTTTGAAGCTCTAATGAAGTGCAAACGATCAACATAAGTAATGAAGTATCCCTTGAACGGCCAGCTCGCTTGTGAATTTTAGCGTAAAATCGCGTTTCAGGGAGCTTCAGCGGTCTTTAGCGATCAACACCCTAAAACTTCAGTGATTACACCCTTAAATTCCAGGCTGTCACAGCGATCCATTTTTTGGTGTTCTTGACAAAATGTCCGTGCATCAGTGATTCCACGCTAAAATTCACTCTGGCCGTTCAAGGGATAGGAGCAGACTCGCGTAGAAAATGTTGAGTGTGATGTTATGCTTTTTAAAGTGGCCTCGATCTTGACCTTAGTGAGCCAGGCTGCATGGTAATCAAAGCTCTGCCTGTTTATACCTTCCCAATTGCTCCGATGCGCAGCAGAAATAATCTCCCCTTGCGCCCCATCCAATTTCTCATAATAATCATAATGTCACTATCGTCGAGGAGAGTCCTCACGAACGGTCCTTTATCTTGCCACAAGTTTGACAAGCCCAGAATTTATCTTCTGTCATTGTGGTACATCGCGAACATGTCCACATCTGACTTCCCAAGCCTGTTGGCTGCGTAGTCACGATCTTCTTACGGTCTGCTTCTGCGATCTTTTGAGTGATTTCTGGAGGTCGCTCGGAAGTGCATGCATCACAGGCGAGGAAGCCGATGGGGTTGTGGAGGGTGCATACAGGACAGGTCCATCCAGTAAGATATGGTTCTGTTGATGGTGGTGGAGGGTTAGGTGCCACAGGCGGCGATGGTTTCGATGACGATGGAATACGGGGTGGGGTTGCCGTTTTTGTAGGTAGAATCTTTGATTTCTTCGCTGTATTTTCAGCGACCAACCGACTGACCGGTCGATTTGGATGCTGGCGGATTGGTGGCGGTTTTGACCTGACTGGGACAGGAGGAGATGAAGGTGCTTCTCTCTTGATCGACCCTGATGGTCCAACAGAACCGCCTCCATTACCCGTGGGATTGGCCTGGGTGGGAGGGATATATGAAGCTCCATATTCCTTCTGCTCATCTTCTTGAACCAACTCCCACAGTGCTTGAGCAATAGCTCTATCGTTCGCCTCGTCCATCTCAGCCTTTGTCTGGAAACCATTCTTTGTTGCTTGGTCTGCTAGAGCGGTGATTTCTTGGTCGTTCTTAGCACCACCAGCTCCACAGCCTCTCTCCACAATGCTTCGTCTCTCGATCGCATCAACAATGACCCTACGAATGTCAGCACCAGCAGGCACAGGTCGTCCACCCAGCTTCTGTCCAGAACCCGCGTTCAAAGTCCGCCTCTTCTCTGCAGCGTTGCGTGCAATACGTCTAGCTTCATCCCTTGATACCCGCGAGCCTCCAAGCCTGCGACCTTCTGACAAGAAGCCTTCTCCTGTATAGCCCTTGGACAGTAGGGCTTCGTATTCCTTTCGTAGCTGATCCCATAGGGCGTTGAACTCGGCATTATGCGGGCCTATGACATTATGTGAAAGCTCGTGGAGCATAGTATCGACCACTTGTTCGAGAGGAAGGAATTGGTTCTTGTCACCAGGGTATCGTAAACGTAAACATATTCGCTGTCCTCTGTTCTCATTGATACCTAGAAGTGTTAGCAGTTGATAAACGAAGAATAATGAAGGTATTACCTAGAAGGTTTTGTTGGTCTGGGTAGAACTCTGCCAATGTTCCGACCTTCCAGCCCCGCGCTCTCATAATAGGTTTGACCAAAGATGCAATCTTCCTCAAGGCATGTAGAGCTTCCTTCTCGCGTGGGAGTTGGGCGAGATGGGAGTATCCTAATATGAGAGCATCTACCTCCGGCATTTTGCTGGTATTCTCGAGTCCAGAAGACTCCTGCTTCTACTGTAAGGCTTGAACGAAATCTGCGAGGCTGTGCTCGAGGTAAATCTGCAAAAGTCGATGAAGAAAGAAATAAAGGAAAGATCAAGGATCCGAATCGCAAACCTTCAAATATGCGTTGCCCAGAATCATCTAGAACGGGCGCGTTCGTTGATTTTGGTTGGTGGTGTTGGACGAATTGTAATCAGAGGCGAGGCTGAGAACGCGTTGACCATCGCGGCCTATTTTGATTCTGCTTGCCACAGCAAAAATACGCAACAACCTATTCACCAGATATACTTCAAAGATCCTATGTTTGAGTACTTCGGGTTATTCTCGCAATGGTGATCTTATCATAGGATACTGCAAGCGCATATTGACAATTAGCCGGCATGCATACTAAGAGGGTTATTTACAAGGGCGCGAAGAGTTAGACTCCCCTCGTCCTTCCTATTCCGAGTCCGTGCCACAAATAACCCCGAGAATCCAAGTGGACCTGATTGCCTGCTTACATATTGAACGATTCGATATTTGTCGACGAATTCTTTCATCCTTTTCCTAAATCAACAACTTCCATATCTCAATATGGCCGCTCAAGAACCGCTAGTCCATTTCTACGACCTCTCAGGTCCCAAACCATGGTCGCCATTCTGCTGGCTCACTCGCTACGCTCTCAACTACAAAAACATACCCTACACCGTCACCAAGGTGTCCTACCCTGGCATTGGTCCCAAATGTGAAGAGCTCTTCAAAGACATGACTGGCCTTGAAGCCACAGTGCCCATCATCGAGATCCTGCAACCTCCTTACAAAGCACTCAATGACAGTACACCTATTGCTTTGCTTCTGAATGAACGTTTCACGGAGAAAGATGGCTTCAAGCATCTGAAAGATATAGAGAAAGTAGATGCGTATGCGGAATCGTTGGGGAGCTTTGGGAGAGCAATCATTAGGTGGATTATGTTTGATGTTTACTCTAATTCTCTGGATAAGAGTGATGGGAGCCAGGAGTATTTCAAGGAGACAAGGGAGCCGAGGTTGGGCTGTGAATGTAAGTTTTGCTGTTGCTTTTGTTGCTGCTCGCTATTTTTCTTCAAGTGTCAACAGCCTTCCTGGAGAGTGTCGTCAAGTGCTTTGATAGTACATGCATATTCAAATCACGAAGGTAGGAGACAGCATGCTGACCAACGAGGAACAGTAAAGGATCTTCTGGAAAAAAAGGGTGGGGGAGAAGAGAAAGTGATGCAAGAAATTAGAGAAAATTGGACTCCACTTCAGGAAAGAATGAAAAAGGACGATGGGACTAGTGAACGTAAGTTTCATCACCTATCTATACCTTCTGAATTGACACAAGCTCAGCAACATACATCGACTTCTTTGATGCAGCACACATTCGTTGGATCGAAGCTGCATCTCACGAGAAGTATGAGAAGTTACTTGGCCTCTACAGCGACGACACCTTCACCAAGTTGATGAAGAAAGTCTCCAAATATGAGACTTGATCGGTCAACCTCATTTCAGAAAAAATCAAGTTCTTCCAAAACACAACCTTCCATTTCTCATCCACTACCAAGCACATCTTCCTCATCAAGCATAATACTGTCTACTCGAAAACCGCATCTGCAAGTTCCCCACATCAATCACAGACAACGTATTAACCATAAACACATCTCCCAAAATATACGGCCCCGTTCCCCCATCCTGAATCCCACTCTGACACGTCGTCCCATTCTCCGTAATCTTATAGACCAGATCCACCGGATTTATCGGTAACACCGTCCCATTAACCCTCACCCCAACCTGAGGCGGCTTCGCACTACACTCAATCAACCAATTCCCCTGCTCCAGCTGCGCCGGCGGCACAAAAAGCGCATTGATAGCCGCCGCGTCCGCCGTTGGGACATACATCAACGTCGTGCCCGAATCAACAATATACTGGATCCCCTTCTGGCCCGTCGCCCCCTTATAACTCAATCCATCCGGCGTAATGGCATAGAACTGATACGCAGGCTTCAACGGATTAATCCACTGCTGACTCAAGATCTGCAGTCCCGTCGTCACGAAACTCGAACTGGCATTCATCCCCGCCGCTTTCCCATCCGGCACCCCGCCAATCTCCATAACGCCCCCATACCCATAATTCCGCGTCGAGCTATCCCTCGAAAGCGCCATGCTGAAAATCGGCGCCGTCAGATTCTGCACGAAGAAAATGGTATTCATCAACGACGAATACACCTGCTGATTCGACACCGCGTCCGGATGCCTTGTACTAGCCGCTACATCCGCCCGCGGATCACTCCCCGTGTACACGGACGTGATGCTCGGGAACGCCATGCCGACCAGCCCGCTCGATTACGAGTCCCCGAACCAGCCAGCCAGGTACGCGAGGGCGATCTCCTGCTTGGGCACCGTGATGCCGGCGAAGGTGATGGTTTCGAGCCCGACTTGGCCGTTGAGGTATTCGCCGTCGGCGTAGGAGATGTTGAAGTTGGTGTTGGGGAGCGGGGAGAAGGTGGGAGAGCGAGGCATGGGGAGTCCGAAGTGGCATTCTGTGGGGGAGATGGTTAGGTTGGTGGTGTAGTCTACGCAGGTGAAGTTTTGTTGGACGAGCCAGGTGTCGGAGGAACCTGTGTCGATTATGGCGATGCGGGTGGTGCTTCCGAAGGTGATGTTGGCGAGGAAGTCTTGTCCCAGTTCGGCAGAGGTGATGTTGCTGAGGCTGGGAGTGGTGGAAGAGGAGGTAGGTGAGAAAGAACGGATAGCTTGGCGGAGAGAGTGAGAAGCCGTTTTGTTGGTGCTAGGGATACGTGTTAAATGAAGAGTATAAGACGGTTTCTGGTTAGGTATGGCGAAGCCAGCCGCGAGGATCGGTAGAACGAGGAAGAGGATGGGTGAGAACATGATTGAAGACGTTCTAGAGCTCCAGTCTAACTCTTTCAAAAAAAAACCAAAAAAAAAACGACGGAAAACAACAACTCTACCCAAACAAACAAAAGAACGGACCCAGAGAAGCACTTATCAAGAAAGACACAACAACATCCCACGCCCTCCTTTCCTTATCTCTGCACCCGCCGCCTCAATCCCATCTCGCGGGTAAGATACCGTATATTGCAGAACGCACACAGACTAGATAGCCGCAAGGCAGAATTAAGCTTTCCCCGCACACGGGAGCGTTCATATATATCCTAGTCTAGATAGGCGGAACTTGCACGATTGGTGTATCCCCTGATTTTTTTAAGCGAGGGGTGAGTTTAGTTCAGCCTCAATTAAGTATGGAAAAGGGGAGGGAGTTGAAAGAAGATTTTGGAATTCCAGTTATATTTTATTGAAGAGTCGAAGAATAAAGATTTTCTTCTCATGAAGCAGGGTCCATCAATGCCAACAACGCAAAATGACCCCCAACAACTGGTCTTGAGTAAAAGTGCGGCCCATCGATAGGCCAACTAAGATTCATTAGCACGAACTGTTGGTGAGAGGGGAAAGGGAGGTCATACTCAGCAGTCTGCGCATCATAGAGATCCGTCAACCCCATATTCGTCGGCGTCTCATTGATAAACTTGGCCAGATCATCAATAAACATATCCCTAGTCCCCTCATCCGCCAGCGAAGCAGCCCACATCTCCCAATCGCTCTTGGTGTAATTATGTCTCGTGTCCAGCGGGACGCCGAACTCGTCGTTGACCGTAGGGTAGAACGCTGACTGCATGTCGTAGACGGATTGCGGGACCAGTCCGAGATTCAACAGTTTGTCGCCGTACAGGTTGTACAGCAGCCCGTGGGTGTCGTTCATCCCGTAAGCGAGCGTGGTGTGTGGAGGAGTGGCGTCCTGGGCGATGCCGAGGGTTTGCCATTGTGTGATGTAGGAGGTGGCGATGGAGGAGAAGTTCGCGGCGTCGGCGGTGTTGCCGGTCAGTTTGGCGATCTCGGCCATGGCGCCGATGCCAATGATGCCTTTGAGGGCGAGGTTCGTTTGGTTGGCTAAGCTGCCGGCGAAGTCGTCGGTGGAGATCTGGTTCGCGGGGATCAGGGCCTCGGCGATGAGGTATTGCGTCCATTGGGTGAGGATTGCGTAGTGTTGGGACAGGTAGGCCGTGTCGCTGGCTTTCTGGGCGTAGGCAAGTGTCATGATGAGCATATTCCCACATTCTTCAAGGGGTTGTTGTTCGTCGTTGCCAGCCGGATGTCCAGTAGCATTTGGGTAGGAAGATCCAAGATCGTGCATGCTGTACTTATTTGGATATTGGCCTGATTCCTGGTTCTCGAAGAGGGGATCGAGCATGAGTTTCACGAGAGTGGGCTGGAGATAGATGAGGATTGGGTGGAAGGGGAAGATCACGTCGACTGTTTGGACGTTGCCGTCTGAGCTGATTTCTTTGAGGAACAGGTATTGTTTGGTGAGGTTGCCAACGAGCTGAGTTGAGCCGAGGGCTTGACGAGCTGAGAGCGATACGATTGTGGTGTAGTTCTGGCCGGCTTGTGTGCTGGCGTCAGAGGCGATCTTGTTATCGAGGGTAGTAGCTGTTGTGCTAGCTGTGCTGTAATCATTGTAGAAGAATGAAAGCTGTACAGTATAAGTCAGCGAGTTGTCTTTCCAACTTGAAAACAGGAAGACTTACAGCATCAGTCTCACTTGAGAAGTAACTCGTCCAAAGAGAAGTCAAAGGCACAATCCCAGTAGCACCATCAAATTGAATAGCATTCTCCTGCGTCAACCCAAGAGTATATAACGTGCTAACAGATCCCGTGACAGAACCGAGGCCAACAGAGAATCCAAAAACCGGCCAGTCCTGGTTGATAGGACGATAGTCCGCATCATTGGTATTTGCCAACTTGCCATTAGCTATGAATGCTCCACGAACATCAACATCGGCTCCAGATTGGAAAGACAGGCTCTCGGACTTGGAAGTAGCGAAGTACCAGTAGCCCCAGTCTGCTTGATCATTGGTTTGACTAAACTCGAGTTGAGTTTGACGCCAGACACGATGGTAAGCAATGTCATCGCTTGTAGAACCATATTCCCATTGAGCAACCGAGGAATGGTCTCCCGCAACCCATTCTGGAAAACAAGTCAGTTTCTCATCTCTTCTGATACAAGAGGACCTTACCAGCAGAAATATCAACGTAAAGCTGGACATCATGCGGAGCCCCATCCATAGACTGAACCGCAACATCCATATACGAGAAAATAAGCGACTGCCTTTTCTGATCATCCGGAGTGAGAGGCGAGAGGAAAGTAATGTTCATCTCCACCTTTCCTCCTACATCCATGATAAACACACTTCTCGTCGACGTATACGAGAAGGCCGTCTGGGTGACAGTTTGGTCGTTTGTCGGATCTCCCATCCATGTATATGTCACATTATCCACCTTGATCAAACCGGTCCAGGCTGTGACCTGACCAGCCCAGAACGTAGTCCATTGTCCGTAGAGATAACCGCCATTGCCTCCATCACTACCAGCGAACTGTAAAGTGTTGAAGTATGGAGATTTGACTGCGATTGGAATTGCAGGGGGTCGAGCAGGAGAAAACGTCGATGCCGCAGTCGTAAAGTCGAATAGTGCAGCGCACACAGCTAGGACAGCTTGACTTGATATCCTCATTGTGCCGAAATTATATATACAACAGCTTCCCAGGCTCAAGTAGTTCTCGTGGGTCGTAATACAGGCAAACTTGCCTTCCTTGTTTTGTTTTTTTTGGTATCGAGATCCAGAAATAATAATATGTGGGGTATTATACAATACTGGGATATGTATGACGAACAAAGTGTTGTCCCCGTCTGGGATATACAGAAACAATGAAACAGCAGGCGGACGGGCAAGAAGAAGTAAAGAATATGCGATGCGACACGAGAGGGAAGAAAATGACCAGGAAGGAAAAAAGAGAGGGTGCAGGTCAGACAGACCATTTATGAAGCTCTTTCACTGGAGGAGTAAGATTTGACTGCGCTGCTACTGTCTGCTGTACGTACATGATCGTTTGGTCAGTGCGCATGATGTGTGTGTGCTGTTGGTGTTGGTGTTGGTGCTGGTGCTGCTACGTTGGGGGCAGCTTCAAGGATAGTGCTGAGATCGTCATTCAGAACGCGGAACCCCTGAGGAGGAAGAGCGGGGAGGGGAAGGGAATCTCATCCTTCGGGGGCCTGAAAATCTGCATGTCGGTCAAATTGAAGGTCGGTGCAGGTACAGGAACAGGTAATTACTTCGTAATTACATGTTCAACCTCGGAAGCATCCATGTCGCCCTTGATGTTTGGACGATGATTGACTGTCCCCAAGCTCCGGGCTTGTTCGAGCTTGGAGCTTGGAGCTTGGTGGAGTCTGTCGAGACTCGGCTTCCTTGGCAGGAGGAGATATAAAAAGGTACAGTACTGTACATAGGTAAGCGAGAGAGGGAGGGTCTAAGTCTAAGTCTAAGTCTAAGCCCCGAGAAAGGAGCGAGATCAACCTTCTTTACTTACCTAGGTACGTTTACCCCACATCCACCATCGTCACAACCAACGCCTTCCCGTCCTTTGGCTTGCATCTCATCTCACCGCGTCGGCACCGTCGCGTGGCGAGATGAACACCGCACCGAATGAGAAGTCCTCGTGGCCCTGCACCAGGGGAATCTACAACAAGAGACGGTTTCTCCGCCTCGGAAGTTCGGGCGAGAAGCGAACGAAGCGCTTCACGATGTCTGGTAGCCAGTGAGGGGTGATGACCGTTCATGGCTGGAATAGGAAGGTTGAAGGTATCGTGAAAAGATGCACACGGCACGTCGAGTGCGGAGTGCAGGTGCGCGGATCGGTCACCTGCAGAGTCTAGGGTTAACACATCATGGGGAAACAATAGGGAATAATGTGGTGTCCCGAGTTGTAACGTTGTCTCATCCATTTCGGTGTTGTGATGAGAGCATGCTTTAAGTTGCATGGTGGCATGCAGAGAAGGTGGTTCATCGAATGTACTGTACAGGACTCTTCGAACCATTCATCCGGATCCTCGAGAAGACCTCACATTGAAAGAACTATCCTTCCCTCTCCTCCATCCATCTCAAATTCCACCTTTCCACCTCTCCACTAACCAAATCTAATCCTAAACATTCCTCCCTCGATTTTAACTCCTCGCCACTATCAACCAATTCTCGTACTCACAACCAATCCCCCACCCCCAAAAACCCGAGAGCCTCAAATCGCCAATCTTTCCTTATCAAAGATTGAGACTCAGCCTCATCGATCGCCAAGATCTACTCTGCGGGTCATTTAACAGCCTCATTTCCTATATTTAGCCACATGCTTGAATGTTTTATTGTGCTGTGCTCTTGTATTTGTCAAGATGCCTTATTAGCACTAATCAAATGTCGTTCATGTTCCAATGTACTCTTTAATTTGTCAAAATGCCTCGAGGCCAATCTTACACAGAGGGATTGAAAATCCTCTATTGAGAAGTGGGAGGGGCCTCCATTGTATCGAGGCTCTGGTGTTCCAGATTGCCTCTCGCCTGGTACTTGTCGCATATTGTCCGAAATCTGAAGGAGGAGGCGAAATTTCTGCTTGAGAACCGAGAAGGATTGCATGTTCCTCCATGAAGCAGCCTTCAGCCCCCAAGTTTCGGATTCTAAGAAAGGAATTAGAATCTTCGCTTATGAGTATGCTGTTGAGGCGATTCAATTCAGTGGCAAAGGTGAATAGTCATGTCAATACACTAATATGTATCAAGAAACGAAGAGAAAGGAACGAACATCTGCAAGACAAACAAGTGCTCACCACCTTCCCACCAAACCCATCCCATCGCCAAATATCAAAACCCAATCCAACCACCCAACCCAGACAACACCTCCCAATCAAGGAAACCAAGCAACAGCCCAAACATAGAACTCCCCTTAAGGGTCCAAAACCGTAATAGTAAAAACCTCCGGATTCCCATCACTAACCGTCCCCGCCACACCCGCCTGCCCACTCGGCGCGACATCATCATACGGGAACGCATACCCCAGTCCCCCAGCCGCAGTCGCGTGCACAATCCGACTATAATGATTCGTGACCGGATTCTGGTAATAACTTGCGATGACCTCGCCATCGGGTTGGTTGGCATTTAGCAGCAATGTGCTTCTGTTGAAAGCGGCAGCTAGACGCGCTGTCAAGTTGCCCATCTCGGCTGTATTGGCTTGGGGCCAAGAAGCGGCTGAGAAGGGGCCGGTGGAGCAGGAGAAGATGTCAGCGGCGGATGGTTGGGCGAATGTTCCCACGCCCGGGAAGGTGAGGAGGCCGTTTTGGATGCTGGCGGCTGTGGTGCCCCATTGGGCTTGGGTGTTGACACTTAGCTGATTAGAAGCATATTGTGCCCAGACCTGAGAGACGTAGTTGGCGTAGTACCCTGAGAAGAGGTTGTTGTTCATCACAATTCCGGTGTTGGGACTCAGGGCACGTAGTGGTTGGCCGCTAGAGTTGTTGACGATGAGTTGATTCCAGCCAGCATTGTCGACAGCGTTCTGTGCTTGGAGACCGCTACAAACGGTTCCGAGACCACCCGATGGGATACCTGGGACATTCTGGACAGCGCCGGAAGTATTCGTGAGCGAGAGTTGAATTGGGACGCTGACGAAATCAACATATGTGATATTGGCGAACAGTTGAAAGGAATTGAAAGTGAATTCGCAGAATCCCCAGGTCTTGGAATAATTCGGATCAGACGGGTTGCTGACAGAAGGCTCGACGAGACCAGGTCCAGGGTTGAGCAAGAAAGTAAGAGTGTTGTTGATGCAGAACCAGATGCGGCCTCCTGCCATCTGCGGGATCGTTGCTGGAGTCGATGACCCGGGGGCACCAAGCTTGATGCCGCAGTCTACCGCCAGAGGAGACCCGACGGAAGATGGAGACTGAGGATAGTATGTCGAGTGTCCATCTGCCTGGATGAGGACAAATGAACCATTGCTTGCATCTATGCCCGTGATGTATGCATACACCGTACTCGAGCTGGTCTGATTCTGCAGCTGGATACTCAACGTTGAGTTCGTCATGATTGATGAATCCAAGATTGTCTCAAACTCTGCTGATATTGAAAGAATGCAGTAGTAACATGGATCGAAGGAAAAGGTGCGAGGCTAGAACTGTTGACTCAAGGACCAGGAATATATGTTGCATAACATGAGGAATCGTGGGACCCATAAAACTTTTTGTTTTTGCCAGGGCCGATCAGGTTTTTAGTATGAGATCATATTTTCTTTTTTTGTTCTTGCGCAAACTTTGGCCACGCTCAACAACAAGGAAAGAGCCAGCCAACTTCTCCAGCCTCGTGAGAAGGAGATCTAGTCAACAGCACTCGCCTTCTGACTTCTCAAAACGTAATCAAAAGCTGGCCAGAGGCCTAGTCATTCGAATCTAGAGGTGTACGATTCATGCCGGCTATCTGGACCTCCGTCTCCGTTGGCTATCGACCCCAGACTGAACAGGTGAAATTGTTGTGATACTGAGACACGAAATATTTAGCCTTGAAGAAACTTTTGTGGAGGTGGTGGAGAGAGGTTGTCGCGAGGCTCAAGCACCTGACCTGTGATCGGCGATCACAACGTGTGACAGAAGCGCATGGGAGGTTCGGATGAAAGGTGCTGAGGATACGGAGGTATATCCGTTTCGAGGTGTTAAATCGGTAGCAAGCCGGTGCCAGCGAAATGTGTGGTACCGTTTAAATACCGGTAGCCATTGTTCAGCTTAGCCTTATCGCTGTTGCTAGGTGTTCTATGTCAATATTGAAGCATCAAGAAAAAAAGCGGCGCTTGCATTGAATCCCAAGGTTGAACTCTTTGGGTCTTAAACTTTACAGAAGCTGTTTGAGCTGGTCTTAGCTTTCCACATCGGATCGCTGGAGGTTGCCGAGCTGAAGGCTGGGAGATTGAGCTGTTTCGGATACCTACATATTGATGAAACATACCAAAGATGTCTCATGCTCAAGAAGTAACAGTCGGTGAAGCAATATGTCGAAAGCAATACGAAATAATTGATCCAGAAGGTTGAGAAGTGGACGGTCTTTGAGCGGGAGTGAGGAAAAGCACCCCGAAGCGTCTCGGTACATCACCGGCTTGCATGACCGAGTTTCCTGTGCCGCAAACTGAATTTGGATTGTATCTTTTAGCACGTTTTCTCATCCGAAGATTTCAAGCCACCAATAATGCAAAAAGGGGTACTTGGAACCGTCGTTCCGAAGCAAAGATTGGAGCCGAATGGCTTACCGAGGCAAGCATCGAAAGAAGAAATACCTGGCTATAGAACAGCACGTAACCATTCCAGATCCATCAACAGTGCATAGAACGTTTGATGTTCATATTTCATATGTTAAGAGCATCCTATAAACTTAAAATCAACGACGTGTGCTCATGATCATTCATCGTATCCTCATGCTCTCGTTAAAGAAAAATTCAATAAGTAATGCCTCCCAATCGTCAAACACAATGCCATGTTCCAGCCGCCAAGTCTTCGCTTCGTACAAGTACAAAGGCCGTCAAGTCGTCACTTTCATGAAGCGTGAAGTGCTTTGAATCCTGTTGATATCAAGCTTCGAGGACCAGGAGGCGCATCTGCTGTGCCAGTCCAGTAGAAGAGACCCTGTCGAATCGTCAGCATGAGACCTGTTTGCAGATCATACAATATAGCGCTTACCCCAAGCCCCTTCTCTTTGCAAAAGTTCGCTTTGAGCTTCACTGTCTCTGGGTTATCGTAAGTTACAAATCCACCATCACCGCCTGTGCAGAATGCAGCCACGACCCTTGTGTTTACGATCTCTTCGGCACCGTTGCGAGGTAGTTGCTTGTATTCGAAGGTTCCTTCATCACCACCATTCCCTTTGAAGGACCGCCCAGGACCACTGGCACCGAGAAATGATCTGCCATAGACGGGAACACCTAGTAGTATCTTGGATGCTGGAAACCCAGTCGAGATAACATAGTCAACAGCAGCGGATCCCGATGGCTCCTCGGGACTGCCTGGGAATAGCTGGGCGTGATGACCAGCTTTGGGAGACCACGCACCTGCAAAGTCGTAGGCCATGAGGTTGATTAGGTCGAGGTAGTCTTGTGCTTTGTAGAGATCGATGTTCTGAAGTGCCCATTGTCCAGCTGGCAGTGCTGCTGTGAGGAGATATCGGTCGTCTGGCAAGTGAAGTCTGATGGCAGCGAGCAACGCTAGAAAGTTCCTGCCTTGTTCTGGGTCGGAAGGGTGTTCCCAGTCAACTAAGAATGTCAGCTCCAATTGCAACTCCGTGAGGAGAGAGCTTACTGTCGATTCCATCGAATCCTGATGCTTCTACCAGACCTCTTGCAGATCTTCCAAAGTTGTCCCGAGTAGCAGCGCTCGCCGCGATGCTTGCAAAGTTCTGGCTCGCAGCTCCTCCACCGATAGACAAGATCAACTTCAAGTAGCCATGTTCCTGCTTTAGGCGCATGAAAGATCCCAAGCATCCTGTGGCTCCGTCGACTGGCATCTGAGCATCAGCCCATTCGTCACTCAGCTATCGCGATGTTAGTTGGGAGTCTAAGCAGATGTAAATGATCTTACAAAGACGCCACCATCTGTTGCAACATGGGCAAAAGCATAGAAGACATGGCTGATGCAGTTGTAGTTCAACGTCGCTGGTGTCTCTCCTCGATAGACTCGATAGTTTGGAAAGTAGACAGCGTTCTTCCGAGTCAGATCAGAGATACTTGCTTCAACTGATGGCTGAGATGGTCTTCGAGGTGGCGTTATACCGGAAGGTCTTGAGCCATACGGTATTGGTGGCGGAACTGGACCATAGTAGTTTGCCATCTTATGGATTAGAAGTGAAGGTCCGCCGAATCCGAAGTACACCTATCTTACTTTGATGACCGAGTCGAAGAAAAGGGGACGAGAAGATGTATATTCGCATGGTACTTTATTCAATTTTCCAAATAAGGACATTAAACTATGCCTTGTAGTCTTCAGCTCTTTCTCTCTTAGTCGGTAGGGACAGGAGTGGTTGTTCGCTTTCCGCCAAATGCAATGTTCAACAGGAGGGTGCGAACAACATGATGCGTCCCGAAGAAGGGGTCGCCGCATACGAAAGGGAGCCCAAATCAGACAGACCTATATAAACGGACTTGACGGACAAACTGATGAATCAACGGGCCGCATCGTCACCGCCAAGTTAACGGCGAAGATCTCTCCCAGGATGACCAGGATGTCAAGGTGTGGCAGCTTTTACTGGTAATATGGAGCTGGTGGATCAACCGAAGTGGTGTGGAGAGTCGACAAGAGGATTCCATAGAAGTTCAGAACAGACGGTCAACTGCTAGGGAAGATCCGAGGCGGACCAATCAGAATGCCGGATTCTTCTCTGGTTGCATATAATGTGCCTGGGCTAAGGATGTGGATTTTCAATGCAGGGAGGCAATCCAGCACTCTCTGTTGTGGCTTTCCTTGAAGAGTCTTCAATTATCACCTGGGGCGTAGTAGCATGGGCATGGATATGAATATGATTGAGGACACGGACATGGACATGGGAGGACCGAAGAGGTGGTGAAGCTGTGGCTGCTGCCGCTGCTGCGTCTCCGAGCCAACGAGGAAAGCTACGTCTGAGTCTGTGTCTGTGTCTGTCTGGGTAGCAACCTGCATTAGTTCTTCTAGTTTTATGAGCATTGTTCATGCAGTGGCTTCTCGTCGGCTAAAGGTGGATTGAGAGACGAGCCTTCATTCTTCATGGATGCATCGTGAACTTCCTCTTGACGTGCTGACTCGCTCGTCGAAGCCTGCAGACGTCTCGTCCTTTTTTTGCTGAGGCCAGCGATATCTGACAGCCCGTCTGAAATAAGGAACCCCCCACAACTGTCCAGCTACAGTACTACTGCAATGCATTACGGAAGATTTGATGCTAGCCGTGGGTCTGAAGGATTTGACATGTGGCACATTTGAAGATAATGAGAAGCGCCTTGAGGTCTCCCACTGCAACTGCTGCTGGATCGTACTGTAAGTGGAACATGGAGCTGCTGCGGTTTCGCCCCGCTGTGGTTTTGGAGCCCCTCTCACCGCAATGCCTACCAGGCCGAACCATTACCTAGGTACCTTTTGACGTGCATATTCGAGTGACTCGCAGGAACAGCGGCCCACAAAGTCATTTCTCTAGTCTTTTGCAGTTGCTTCGCTTTGCACAGACGATAATGATCCTGTTGGGACCTGAAGGCATTGAGTGCACAGATACTCGTGTGGCTTGACACGATGAGTGAACCCGCGCAGTTTGATTTCGAAGATCATGCCAAATCCAGGGTCACAAAGCGATTTGCTAGATGTTCGAGTCATTCGAAGTCAAAATATCGAAAGGCAAGCTAGGAGATTTTGATGCAGCTCCGACGCTGTTGAGAGTCCTCACCTGTATGTACGGCTGCTCGGTAAGTCCAGGGGGGGATATATGTAAGACTAGGGAGGATCAGTACTGTACTCGTAGAGTGGTCGAGAGCCGTGGGTCGGTCGTATTCACTCGTGACCGCTCTCTCGTCGTCGACACGCTGGCAGCAATGAACGATTGTTGATTCAATGCTCGTCCTCGTCCTGGTGGTGGTCGTTTTGTTCATGGCTGCCCCTGCTTCCTGCAGCCAAGGATCTCACTTGGTGCGTCCATTAAAGCCCTGTCATCGGAACTTTGTCGCTGGATGATTGGTATGCATCCTTGATCTCGATCGTTGGGCGGGAGAGTCTGGGGATGTGAATTTGGATGTTCAATACTACCCCAATGACTGGATTTGGAGCATCGATATCCATCACATAACATATATCAGACTATGGTGATGCCAGGAAGGTTCTGGTGTTGAGTGCCCCTTCCTCACAGCATTAGTAAGCTTTTAGAACTACGACAAGGCTGTCAATTGATTATTTTGAAATCGGTACCGAGAATCTCAACTTCAACGTTCAAAACGCCTCATGACTGCAGCTCAAGATTAGCTTTAAAGAATTTCTACCATTGATAGTCGATATCAGGTACATTGGTACAAGCAATCTTGAGCAGTTTTGCACAAACCCCCAAGCTCTACTGCCCGTCTCTGAAGCACCCCTCAATTTCTGGACCTCGAGCTGCAGCTACCAGCACACTGCATATTTCATCCACATCTGCGCCTCAACCAAGCATTACAACGACGGGATACGCTTTTGAGAACAGCCCCTCGGAAACCGGACCTCATTCGTATTCGCGCTGCAGGCCTGAATTAGGGCTTCGTTTCCATTCAGGGCGCGATCTAGATCTAGAGCCACGAAACAAACATAAGGAAACATCTCCTTCCACCCGCCGCCCCCAATGTCTGCAGGCGTATTCTCTCTAGGTCCAGGTCCCAAAGACCTCGCGCGGCAGATCCTCGAGCATCAAGCTCCTCAATACAAATTCGGATTCTCTCCATTCCTCCTACAGACATACCGTCATGGCATCGCTCCAGACCGTCCGGTATGCAAAGCTTACCTGCAAGGCCACTGTCCGCTCGGGACGGCGTGTCCAGACAGACACACATCTGCGAACAGCTCTTCGAATTTCGGAAATCTAGTCTGCAAGCATTGGCTAAGAGGATTATGCAAGAAGGGCGAGAGTTGCGAGTTTCTTCATGAGTATAATCTACGGAAAATGCCGGAATGTAACTTCTTCGTCAAGAATGGATATTGCTCTAATGGAGGTATGTTCTTCCCTCCAAGAAGATGAATACATGCTAACATTAAGCTACAGATGAATGTCTATACCTCCACCTTGACCCCTCATCCAAACTGCCTCCCTGCCCACACTACGAGAAAGGATTTTGTCCTCTTGGCCCTTCCTGTGCACAACGACACATCAGAAAAGACCTCTGCCTCTTCTACCTCGCAGGATTCTGTCCCGACGGCAAGACATGCAAGAATGCGCATCCTCGTTGGCCAAAAGACCTTCCCCAGCCAACCGTAAAAATCGAGAAGGACCCAGAAGAGTTGTTAGAAGAACAAGTTCGAGCCGCAGAAAGACTACAGAGACAAGAAGAAGAAGAGCGCGAGAAATGGGGTGGAGGCGGTGATCGAGACGGGGGAGGGGAGAGAGGAGGTAGAGGACGAGGACGATGGCACGGAGGGGGTGGCTACGGTGGTGGACGGAATCGTGGCGGGCGAGAGAACCGAAGGGGGAGGTATCACGGCTGATCATCTAACGGGCCGAATATTTCAATTCATGGGAAAAGAAAGCCATGCGGCACAGAGAAAAACGGAACGGAACGAAATGGCATGATTGCGAGAATCAGGTACGCATAGTGAGAACGAGCGCGCATGAAACGCTTTGTTCCCCAGCCTCGGGGACACGGGATGTTCTGAATGTGCTTTGGGACGGACTGGAAAGGAAAACGCTGAATGTTGGGAAGGCATTGTGGTGGTTTGATGTTGAGATGAAATGAGGAATTGAAGCGAGGCCAAGAATAGGGGGGAGGACACATAGGGCTGACTAGCAAGGGAAGCGGACCGAGCACCCGTGAGAGTGTTTGGTTTCGTTTCGATGATTTGGAAACGATGACGATTATGAAACTTAGGAATTTCAGGTGCAGAATTTCAACTTGCGATTTTGGTAGAGTGAGGCATTTTCTATCTCATTGACTAAAGTGAAGTGAAGTTTGATACTACGTCCATGCCTATTCCTTGATTGGAGATTTCCATCCTATGCGTCTACCCAAATTCCATACTCTACGCCTCGACCAAATCCCCAAACTCCAGCAGCCCTCAGCCGTGCATCAATCTAGTGATCATGACCATAGCTTCCAGCGTGACCCTCAGGAAACTCGCCCTCAGGCAACGGATGATTGCCATCCTCCTGATACACGGAAATATACTCGCTCTCCCTCAAACCATGCACGTTCCCCGTGCTCGCACTCCCAGGACTCGTACTCCTACTCGGCACCAAACTATCACCGCCCCGTCCAAACTCGCTCTTATTCTGTCCTACTTTCCTAACGCCCATCATCCATCCCACTAATCCTCGTGGCACCCAGCATCCCACAAACCCGTAAGTTCTACTTCCCATACCAACTCTAACCGTCCCGGCCTTTCCTGAAGTCATAGCGTCGAATACCGCGTTGTTGAGTTCTCTCAGCGAACTTCCTTTCCCGATAGCTCCTACGCCGCCAGCTCCCTTGCTACTTACAGCAACGAAGTTTCGGGCGTAAGCTTGTCGGGTGCCTTCATCCCACTTTAAGGTCTCGGCGCGCTGGGATTGTGTAGTGGGGACGAGGGCTTTGTTGTGTGGTGAGAAGGAAGAGACGTCAAAGGAGCCGAGTTGCAGGTGTGTGACTGGGATGTCAAGAGGGAGGAGTTCGGAAGTTAGAGTTTGAGTGAAGGTTGTTAGGGCGGTTGATATTAGGGACTCCGGGAGGTGGAAGGAGGGCGAGAGGGAAGAGATTATGCTTGGTGTTAAAAGGAGGACTGAAGGTTTCTTGGCTTGCTGAGATTTTGGTTGAGTGTGGAGGTATGGGTGTTGTAGAGGCGAAGATTGGAGGAGTGGGAGGAAGGTTTGTGTTGTTAGGATTGGTGTTAAGAGTCGAGTATTGAGGAGATCCGAGAGTGTTGAGGGGGACAGTGTGGCGATTGGTGAGGAAGGGTAGGATGGTGATGGGATGAGGATCAGTGAGCAGAGGGATAGATGGTGTGGTTTGGCACCTTGGAAAGCGGCATGAGGTGATTGTAGGTGAATTGTAAAGCGCTCGATTGAAGCTCGGGCGCTTTCGGGCTGTAAAGATGTTAGATGATCCGAATAAAGGGATGGATAAACGTACATCCACGATATCAAGCATCAACGGCTTGATATCCGGTCTGGATTCATTTTGAACTAGAACTTCTTCCTCGATAGTGTTGCACACAATATAGACAATGAAGCCTCTTCTTTCCAAATCCAGGGAGATGGACCGAGTGATAGGCTCAGAAGGAGACCCAGCAATCACCACAACCTCAAGTCTCGCTCCATTGCTCGCGCGCTTGGCTCTGCGTTTCTTCCGGTTGACCTTCCTCCTTATGACTTTATATGTGACGCCTCCGATGGCAAGAACAATGAAGGTAGTCAAGATTTTATGATTGAGTACCCAACTTTGAAGCTTCACAAGTAGTGACGGAGAAACAGACATTTCGAATCTCCTCGGTGGCGGCGGAGGTGGTTTTGGTCGCGCAGATTCGGGAATCCATTTCGAAGAGGATAGAGCGTCTCTCAACGTGTTCGAGACTTTTTCGAGATGCTTGTCGACATAATCAGCAACATCTGATGAGTACCTCTTGACATCGTTGGGAACCGAGGAGAGCTGTTCGAGTGTTAATTATGGTATCTGCAAAGTAATTCATGGTCTTACAATATCTAAGAAAGCTTGATCGTCTGCAGACATGTCGGTAGCCGTGTCGAGAACAATACAGTTGTTGGTGGTACGCCGGTTCGCATGTTCGAAGGAAGAAGCCCGGAATTGGAGCACCAATGCGGGGAAGCTCGGAAGGGCGGCCGACCTTCGTGACTTCAACCAATCTTGACCCTCGACTTGCACACTCATTCACCATATCCCACTTCAAGTCGACATCGCGCTTTAGACAATAGTATTGCTTCTTATCTCTCCTTCTGCTCGTTACTTCTGGTTAAGTAACCTCTCTCGGCGGCTTTTGAGGCACAGTGCAGTTGGGCTGTTCTCAGACTTTGTTTTATGTTGAACCCTGATTTCATTCCTTTCGACAAATATTGCAACATATGCTTTGCTTCAAAGCTTGTGCTCTTATGCTAAGCAGACAAAATGGCCAGTGATAGCAACCCGACTATCAAAGTACTGCTTGTGCCACGGTTTGGCGTGTCTCAAGCAATTGCTGGGTTGAGGATTGTTCTGACCATAGGATCAGCTCGAGTTGAGGAAGGTTCTGTTCTCGTCACATCAAGGACTACTGTTAATCAAAGCTTTATCCCACGTGGTCAAATCGAAGCCTCCGACCAAGCAGGAGCGCTTTCTTTGCAGACAAAAATCTCCACTCAAGATTCTACCATCAGCTGGCTTGTGGGTAGAAGCACGTCGGGAGACGTTACGTTGAAATACCGTACCTTGCCTGTATCTGATACAGGATCAAGTACGATTTCAAAAGCCACTGGTCTTTATACAGACCAAAGAGGATTGATAGGTTCTGGACTCGCATTTCTTCCAACGCCTCCAGGCGATCAAATATATCGCAACATTGTCGAATGGGACCTCAGTCAAGCGCCTGCTGGTACTCGTGCATTATGGACTTTTGGAGAAGGACCAGCTCCTGTTGGAAGGGTTGGACCATCCTCAATATTGACCGAATCAGTTTATATGGTTGGCGCTATTCACAGCAATCCGCCATCTCCAGCAATTGGGAGCACCTCGGACTCCTATGGATACTACTGGTTTGGAGACCTGCCACCAAACCTAGAAGTAATCAAAGACATACATCATGCCTTCTTCCTCAAAGTTACGGCGTTCTTCGAGGAATCTTCTTCAGCAGACAACCCATATCGCAGCTTTGTTCTCAATACAGGAAAATCAAAATCGTCTGGAGGAACATCTTTCCTCCGAAGTCACATATTCGCTTACGACGACCAAATTTCTCAGGCCGAGGACTATGATCTGGTCCGTCGCATGTCCTACGAGATATCTCATCTTTACGTTGGCCCTTCTGTGGCAGCAAAGGACGTGGACTGGCTCTATGAAGGCATCAAGAACTGCCTATCCATTTACATGCCTTTCCGTAACGGCTTCCGAACAGGCCACTACTTTCAATGGACAATGAGCACGCTCTGTCTTCGGTACTATACATCACCTCTGATCAATCTTCCTCTTGACGAACTACTCAAATTAGTCCCGACAAATGCTTACGCAAGGGAACAATTGGAAGCACGAGCTTGGTCGTTTGTCGTGGGAACGGACCTGAAAGCAAGGAGAATGTCCAAGCTTGTCAGACCGATCGAAGATCTAGGCATGAGACCACTGTCGAAGATGCGAGGGGACGGGAAGCCGCATGGGATTGAGCAGTGGATGGGAATGTTAGAGCCACTTATGGGCGATGAGCTTACGCGGCGGTACGACGATTTTATCGCTGGACGGCCAGCACTTCTCGAAGTAGATTTGTATCATGTACGTGGTCCAGGGACACATTATCTGAAACAAGTTGATCAGGAGTTCCTTGATTTTGGTATGGACAGAAAGAGCTTTGAATATGGTATCGTGATGGACTTGAAGAGCGGGAGTCGAGCGGAGGAAGCAGGACTAAGAGAAGGGGACAAGCTCCTGTGGAGTTCACATCAATGGAAGTGCGTAGATCATTTCGACGCGGAAATGGAGGTATCAGTCGAAAGAGACGGCGATGAAAAGAAGATCAAGTATTGGCCAAGGAGTCATGAAAAGGCAAAGAGCTGGCAGATGATCAAAAAGGATGAAGAGGAGGACTATGTTCCACCTCCAACAAAGACATGAACTGAATTTTCGGCCATCGGTCAATTAGATGCGCAGTCGACACCCCTCTTTTCCCTTCTCCATACCTCAAAGAGCAAGGGGGTAGAACTTGTTTGTCTGTCAGATTTTCCATTCATCACATATCATGTGAGACCCTGTCACATCAAACACGCTAAGGACACGCTAAACGCGTTTCCAACATCTAGTCGGAGTCAGTGCATCTCTTTTCTCATGCTCCTAAAATTATGAACTTTATTTCTGCGGTCAACAGTCGGCTTTTGGCTCGGGTATTCTGGTGATCATGGCTTCTGTGTCCGAAGCGGACTCGCTTCGAGCCAAAGGAAACACATTCTACAAGTCGGGAAATCTCCTAAAAGGTATGTCGACCCACATGTTTCCATAGGACTCTACGCCGTTTTACTAGATTGAGAGAATTCCCTCTTGAGTTGTTCCCACTGCTTACCACTGCTCCAAGCGATCGAGTTGTATCAGCGAGCCTTCAACCTTGAGCCCAGTAATTCAGCTGCATTGGGAAACCTATCTGCGGCACAATACGAGCTTGGCGAATACAAGAAATGTGTTGAGACTGCTGAAAGGCGTTGTCCATATTAAGTGCAATCGAGCAGCCATCTGCTGCTGCTCTGGAGAAGTTGAAGCAGCGTATCACGAAAGCAAAGGCGCATAGCTTTCAGTCGGGAGAAGATGACCAGGTTGAACGGAGGGTTCGATTGCTTGAGGATGTACCCCGCTACCGTCCCTTCACGTACGGACTGCTCCTTGATATCTGTCAATTAAGTTAACGAAAGTATAGCTCCTCTACTGCGGAGTTCTTTCCTATTGGTAGGTTTCGCAGTAATTTCCATGCATTTAGTAGACTGCTTCAGGACGAAGACACCCCATTGCAGTGTCGAGACATGCATGGAAGCTAAATAGGTTCAGGCCACGACGAGAGCACTTCTCTTTTCGATGACACCATTCCCAAACATGCCTCTTCAGAGAAGGTCGTTTCTATGTTCTTTGGAGGTATCGGCGATGCAAGGAATCTACTCAGGACGATCATCGATGTTGCCGAGTATGACCGCCGACCCCATTCTCAGAAGAAGTCTTACCATTTTACCATTGTTGATATCAACACATGTGCTATTACCAGAGACATGATCCTTTTTATGATGCTTGACGAATTTTCCGGACAGGAGCCCAAGTCCGATGAGGCTTTGGAGACGCTGAGTACTATATTCTACATCTACATAGCAACCTTGATGCCTCATTGTGCCTTTCTATACTTTGATAGGATGATTGACAAAGCGATCCAAGCACTGGAGTCGGGATCACAGCCTCTGAAGTGGTTGTACCTCCACGAGCAGGACATTCCTAAGTATCTTCGGGTAAGTTGGTGAAACTTCCATTGGCTACAGGTTTGGCTTAGAAGCTCCATAATCGTAGGCTAACAAAACTTAGATCTTAAAGCAGTGGAAAGGTGAAGCATTGCAGGTCTTTACTGTTACTCAAGTTATCAACAAAGTGACTAAACAACTGGGCCAGTTCAAGGACATGTTACAAGGGATGGCACCTCCACTACCTACAGGTTGCGAGCAAGACAAGTCCCTCTATTTCTCAACAGCGATGTTGACACCACCTGAGAAGATCATGCAACTTCATGATCAAGAAATGTCAAAGTTGCTCAAGAAATACCAAAGCAATCCCCGAGAAACCGTTTCCGAGCTCAAGAAGCATGCCAAGCAACATTGGAAGTTTAATACAACTCTTGTGGATGTTGGGTTTTATTATTCACTCGTGGACAAGAACGAGTATGATATTGGTCACGACCCTTTTCAGGCGAGGGAGTCCTTTGAAGACAAGACGCTACCAAGCCAGCCCCTAAAGCCTAGCCGTCTCTATGACTACTTGTCGCCGTTCTTCCAGGACGTTGCAAATGCTATCAAGCATCTTCGAGGCCGCATCCAGGTTGAAGCTATGTTAGGCGATTTTGTTGACACTGCTGAGAGCATACGCTTTGGTCTATATCACGACAAAGATGACACTTCTCCTTCAAGCTCAATAATCACGACCAATAGTCGTCCCAGAGACTTTCCAATCCTTTATGATCGCATTCATCTGAGCAATGTTCCGTAAGTTCAAACCATCCTCGTCGTTAACCACTGCTGAACCATCGCTCCAGGGATTACATGGGCGGACACTTATCAACTTTCCTCTATGCAGCACCATTGCTTAAACCCTTCGAGTCCAGTACCGTCGAATCGAACTGTCTCCGAAACACGGGAGCTTGGGATAGTGTCGAGTCATTCCTTGCCCATTATCAACTCATCGCCGATCAGACTATGCTCAGGCAATTAACCCAGATCAAGGTCATCTTCGCGGGAGACCCATTCTGGCCTATGGGCAACTACACGAAATATCGTCTAGCCGGAACGTCGTTGCACCAACCTTTTGGTGAGCTTCTACCTCGAATCGCGTTCAATAAGTGGTTCTACGGCTTGTTTTTCAGTCTCGCTTCGCCGTTCAATCTAGATCTTGATGACTGGAAATGTATTGTCTACTCTCCTCTAACCCTGACTATCATCTTTCGTTTGATAGCACATCTGCGCTTATTGGGTTATCCTTCGCATTGGCTCTCCGAATGTCTGATAGCTATCATTGAGGACAAGGTGACAAGCACCTGTCGTCCACCTCGATCATCGCCATCCTCGATTGCAGAAGTCAAGAAGGAGCACTCGTTGAAGAAGCTTTGTACCGCGCCTTTCAAAGTGGAGATGGGAACTCTTGCTCGAATCTTCGAGCCTCTTCTTCCGTTTGCACTCACTTCCGAGGCCATTCCCGCTGATGATGACGTCTATCATTATACATTTCATCTTCCTAGTCACGAAAAGAATCGCGAGAACGCAGCAGCTTCAGCATACCTCGCCCTCGGATTCTGGGATATCAGATTTGTACCCCGTCTCGGCATAATTGCACTCCAACATGATCTTCGAGCTCTCCTTGACCCAAGCTGGGGTGATGAAGTGGACAGAGACTTCCAGGGTCCCGCATATGAGAAGTTCAGAGAGAAAGGGCTTTTCCTCTGGAGCACAATCACTTGGGATGGTGAGAAGAAGGAGGCGAGCGCTTGGATGTCGAAGTCCTTTGTCGATTCGTTGGTTGAGAATAAGTTTCATTGTGGACTGTATCGAACAGACAATTGGACATCAATTGTTCCAGTAACGACTGCAGAGAATGTCCGTGACGCTGTCAAGATGGGTCGCAAGTGGAATCGCTCCTCAAATCTTTCTAGTCCGGTTCAGAAGTAAATTCGGAATCGTATTACACGGTTTGTCGATCATTGGATAGGTCAACCCAGAGGTAGTGTTCATGAACCACGGCATTAGTTGTGCCTTGTGCAACAGCACACTTAGAGAAAGATCTCAGCTACAATAGGGAACTACTTCCATGTGCTGACTTCATTTTAGAAAGCACAGGACTTGGGTACCCTGAAGAGTAAGCTTCTAGTAAAATGCAAGATGCTTTGTTCTCTCATTAGCAAGCTTCCCATGATGTTTGTGCACTTCGTGATGTTCAATAACTTCAAGGTTAACCATGGAAGGATCGCACCAAATAGCTGCAACAAAGCCGTCAATGAATAACGATGAAAGAAGGCAGACAAAAACTGGAACATGAAATCCCTGCGTAATTTTGATTTGAATTTCGAGATAAGAGAATGCGAAAATACTCTTAGTTCCAGGGCTTTTGCAGGAAAGTTCAGATGAAAGCAAACAGCGGGTACCTCGGCAGACCAAATCGGGACAAGCCCCTGATGACAGATCCAGATTCCAAAGAACACCAAGCCGAAACGGTCTGGACGCGATTCTCTTATTTCGGCGGGGCAAGAACGAGAGACAACTTAGAAATCAACAGCCACACGAGAATCTTCACCTTGCAACTATCCTCTGCCACAATTCCAAATCCGAATTATTCCCTCAGCTGAGAATCACTACAAATACCTCACCGAACCCGCGACGAAGCAAGAGCTGTTCAGATTTCAAGGCAATTCGAAAAATAAGATATTCAAGCTGTTTTCCTCCACGCTGAAAAGAACTTTGCGTGCTAGTGCTTCGGGATTCTCTATTGCGGCTGCTGCGAGTATACAACAGAAGCCGGTGAAGCAGAGTAGTAACGCGAGTCTCCTGGTTAGGAGCGCTGAGAGAAGGATGCATAGCAAGGTCGTCAGTGAGTGTGCCTCGCCCTCGAGACTCGGGAGCAATGCTTTGAAAGGAGGATATATGCTAACGTGCTTCTACAATAGTCATTGGGTCAGGCCCTGCGGCTCATACTGCCGCCGTGTACCTTGCGAGAGCTGAATTGAAGCGTGAGTCTGCTCAGCGAACGGGATATGAATAGTGCTAATGAGGTTATAGCTGTGCTCTACGAAGGTTTCCTAGCAAATGGTATCGCTGCCGGTGGACAATTAACAACAACGACTGATGTCGAGAACTTCCCCGGTTTCCCAGATGGCATTGGTGGTTCTGAATTGATGGTACATTCCCTCCCTCCCCCTTCCTCGCACTTATGCTAACTCTACATCTGCATAGGACGCCATGCGCAAACAATCCGAAAAGTTCGGCACAAACATCGTCACCGAAACCGTCTCAAAAGTCGACCTCTCCTCCCGCCCCTTCAAATATTGGCGCGAATGGTCCGAAGACGAGGCCCCCGACACTGCAGACGCTATTATAATCGCAACCGGAGCCTCAGCTCGCAGACTCGGCCTCCCAGGTGAAGACAAATACTGGCAGAATGGAATTTCCGCTTGTGCAGTTTGTGACGGCGCTGTTCCCATCTTCAGAAACAAGCCTCTGGTTGTTATTGGAGGCGGAGATTCTGCGGCTGAGGAAGCTATGTTCTTGACCAAGTACGGAAGCCATGTTACGGTTTTGGTAAGGAGAGATGTATTGAGGGCGAGTAAGACGATGGCGAAGAGGTTACTTGCCAACAAGAAGATTACGGTTCGGTTTAACAGTGTGGGAGGAGAGGTGAAGGGTGATGACAAAGGGTTGATGAGCCATATGGTTATCAAGGATGTTAAGGCTGGGAAGGAAGAGACGATTGAGGCGAATGGACTTTTCTATGCCGTTGGACATGATCCTGCGACGGCGCTCTTTAAGAGCCAGTTGGATACCGATGAGGAGGGATATGTGATTACGAAGCCGGGAACAAGCTATACCAGTGTGGAGGGTGTCTTTGCTGCCGGAGATGTGCAGGATAAGAGATACAGACAAGCTATTACTAGTGCTGGTAAGCCTCCCTTTCTAATCTCTGGAATAAACGGAAGCTAACAAAGTATAGGCTCTGGATGTATAGCAGCACTCGAAGCAGAGAAATTCCTCGCCGAACAAGAAGATGAGGAGAATACCCTAGAGGCAGAGAAGGGAGCCGCGAAAGGCAACAATGTTGTGGTTCCCGAATATAGATCCAATCCCCTGCTATAGATCTGACCTTTTCTTTACTTCCTGATTTTGGAGAGATGCGATAGAGGAGCCCATACAGTAGATTTGTATGCGAGCATAGCATACTAGATAGATAGAAAATATCGAGTTTTCCAAATCTTGTGTTTAATGCTTTTCTTTGTGATAATCGTTATTTCGCTGTTGAACATTGTGCCATGCAAAGGTCGTCAAGTAATCTCAGACAGTATTCCATTTAGTTTGATTGCATTTTCGTCCCCTCATGCTTCGTTCCTCCTATTCAGATTTTATGACAGCAAGATATTTCTTGACAACAAATTAATTTAACAAAAAGCCACAGCAAATAGCGGTAATTAACAAAAAGCCATAATCTTAACAACAACCAACCCAAACTCAAAATACAAAGCATATCCCTATTCCACCTCCAACCACATCAGTCCTCACAGAAAAGACTCCCGGCTACACTCTCCGGGCCACCTCTGTACCGTGAGGGACCATAGTAGGACACAGTTAGGGGTACTTTGTGGCGCTCTTTGCTGCTGAAGAACAAATTGCGCTCGGAGAGGGGGTTTATATAGACGATCGTAAGAAAGATTGCTTGTTATTTTTCGTTGTTTATTCACTTACTCTTTTCGTGGTACGAAACGATTCGAGCTTGACAGTGTCCATTTATTCCCTATACTAAATCGATAGAGGGTCAGGTTTAGATAGAGACTGTCATTTAAAGTCTCATTCACCATAAATCGAAAAATTGACACCAGCATCACACCACTATTATTCTTTACTGTCGTGTGACTACTTACCAGATCCATCCATGTTTTTTTCAGTCACTCGTTGACCAAATCTACTAGTCCACTATTTGCATTTTATAACCTGATTCTGATCCCCAGCTAACAATGCTGAGAACAGACTGTTTGGAATCACACTCCTAGCCAAAACCGACACATCAAATCAGCTCACAAGCAGATGACACGACATGAGCAAGCAAATTTCTTACGCACGCACTGTGAACTATGTATGGTAAAGTGCTTAGTGTACTGATTGCCTGCAAAGCCCGGACATGAGACGTTAGTCTGCAGGGGCTCACTCAACTCAGACAAAACAAAATTACAGACGAGGTCAAAGATCATCAATTTCACCAATCACAATCAAGTGTAGACAGGAGTTTTTTTTTTTTGCAGACAACACAAAGAGACTTTTTATTAGGTATTATCGGCGAAGGTTTTGCCCTAGTGGCAGATTGCAAAAAGACAGTCTGATGGGTATAGGGTATCAAACGCAGCAAACAAAGGTGATATGCAGCGTGGCAGACCGACTAACAAACAGAGACAACAGAATAATGCAAAAATGAGAGTGGTATCAATCAATCTTGGGGTATTTCAAGGAGATCCGTTTCCCGACCATAATGAAATCGTTTCCATCAGTGACGAAAAATGACGCGATTCGGACGTAGAGTGATGTAGTGTGGGCGATGCGCTTATGCGGAGGCGGTCACCTGAGGGGTGGAGGTGGGAACAACTGGCTCTGGCTCAGAGACGACTGGCTCAGGGGCAGGAGTTGGCTCAGAAGCAGCTGGGGCCTCAGCAGCGGGCTCGGCTGGCTTTTCAGCAGCCTTCTCGGCCTTGGGCGAGGTCTTGCTCTTGAGGGTGCCACGGAGCTTGGCGAATGGAGATGGGGACTTTGGCTTCTCAACCTTCTCACCCTCCTCATCGCTAGCGACCTTCTCCTTCTTGGTGAAGAATGGAAGAGAGCTCTTACGCTTGTCGGACTTGGTGGTTGGGACCTCGGTAGCCTTGGTCTCACCGTTGGTGACGGGAGCCTCAGTGGTCTCAGTTGGGACAGTGGCGGGGCTGGCAACAGAGGTAGCAAGTGGCTCAGAAGCCTCGACGGCAGGAATCACTGGAGCAGTCTCGCTGACAGGCTCAGCATCCTTGGCTGGGACAGCTGGGGCCTCAGCCTCAGTCTTCTTCTCCTTGTTCTGGCCGAACTTCAGATTTCCAAAGATGCTTCCGCGCTTGGTAGGAGCTGGCTTCTCAGTTGGGGAAGCTGGGGTAGCCTCAGCAACAACAGGGGCGGCCTCGGTGGTCTCGGGGGCAGCAACAGGCTCAACAGGAGCAGCAGTGGTAGCCTCCTCGGTTGGGGCAACGACGGCATCCTCCTTAGGGGCTTCGGTCTTCTCCTCCTTCTTGCCACCAAGGTTGAAGTTACCGAAGATGGATGTGCGCTTGCGGGATGCACTTCGACTCTTACGAGCCTCCTTCTTCTCTTCCTTAACTTCCTTCTTCTCCTCTTTCTTTTCTTCTTTAGCCTCCTTCTTTTCTTCGGCCTTCTCAGCCTTAGTCTCTTCCTTGACTTCCTTGGGTGTAGCAGCAGCGGCGACAACAGGGGCCTTGGGGAGGAGATCAGCGTGAGCCTTCTTGTATTCTTCGGACTCGGTGACAGTTGGTGCAAGCTCCTTGGCCTCGGCAGACTTGGCCTTCAAGACGGAAACCCAGTTATCGCGCTCTGCCAATGTGCTGGCCTCGAAGATGTGCTTGTGTCCACCAAGATGGAAGACGAATGAGACGGGACCATCCTCGGAAATATCGGAAACCTCGGACTGTAGAAACCATGTTGTCAGCTGATGTTTGTAATGAACACTAGCGCAAGATTAATCTTACCAGGTTGAAGATGCCAGCTGGAGTAGCCTTGTCGGTGGCCTTCTTGCTGAAGTACAGGAGACCCTTTCCGGTAGATGCGGACCAGGCGACGTTCTTGTTGGCAAGATCTTGTTGCTTCTCACCACGGAGATAGCTGGTCAAAGCCTTGCTCTCAACGGGCTCAGTTCCGAACCAGAAAAACTTCTTCTGGAAGATGAAGCTCCTGTGGAAAAAAATTGTTAGCAATTGTTCAGTCCTAGAAGAAAAGATAGCGTTGCTTTGAGACAAGCTTGAACAGCTTGTGGGTTGAGCTCGACCAGGGCTGGAAGAAAGTTTGTAGCCTCGCGTAAAATAGCTAGCCGTGCAATGATAAACATGTGGTTGCGGAATCTTGACTCAAGCATGCATTCGTTGCGATCTCCGTGATTGTGGGCATGTTTAAATGAGTTTTTCTCGTAAAATAAACTTACTTCAGAAGGCCGGGCCCCTTGTACCCAAGAATGCCCTCCTCGACAGGCTTGACCTCCTCCTTCACGGGTGCAGTCTCAGTAGTCTCAGCGGCGGTTTCTGTTGCAGCTGGTGCGTCGGTGGCAGCAACCTCTGGGGTGGCTTCGACGGGTGCAGTCTCGCTCACGACGGGAGCTTCAGTTGCGGTCTCTGTGGGAGCAACAACAGGCTCCTCAACAGGCTTTGTTGCTTCGACGGCAGACATGTTGATGATGTGTGATGAAGGAACGGGGGTATCAGTATTACAAAAGGGGTATCTTTGATGAAGGGTGGATGAAGAAAACGGTTGATCCTGTCAGAACGTGAAGACGATGAGAGATCAAGGAAAGGAAAAAAAAATTGGGAGTCGAGCGCTCGATGGTTTAAATGGAAGGCACGCAGACAGGGGGGTGTCTCCTAGCGGCAAAACTAGCGTGCGTCGCGAGATGAATTTCCACGATCAACAGAGGGCTGGATGGCTGCCCGTGAACCAGCATGGCACTGACCCGACTCGACTCCGACTGTGAATGGGAATAATGGGAATCGAATCGATGGATGGAATACTCACTCGTACACTCGTACAACTCTCCGCTCAGCTGGAACTCGGTGCATGAATCACCAGCGGGCTCTCTATCTATTCTCGACTCGGGCTGTCGTCAACGAGGTATTGCTTCTTACTGCTTTCGATCATCGCTCCCCCTTCAAGGCTCTGAGGTACCAGGCCCATCCTCCCCATCTCTCGCCATCTGGAGTGCAAGATCGCCATTCACCGTCATGCGAGCACCTGGTTCTACACTGCAGCAACGCCTCACGGCACAAGGCAGACCCAACTTGTTATTGGATGGCAGCACTTAGCCAAGAGTCAAAACGAGTCCAGAGGTTGCTTGCTCTTCGACCTCCATCCTCCAACTTCCTACAGTGCTCTGCAGCGTGCATTAAAATGGGTTCACATGCCCCATGCATCAGAACTCCGAATATGACGCCTCCCGTTTCTCGTACCCGCAAAGCATAAAACATCTGCTGATGGCTGTTCACTCCGGAGAAATCCTTTCAGTATGTAGTATGCTGCCTTCCCATACCCTCTCCCCTCTCCCCTATTCCACCCGACTGTCAGACTCATCACTGACTGACCGACTGACGGAATAATGAATGGAATCTTGCTGACCCAACAACACGCCTCCGATCCCCAGCAGTGGCAGAAGCCCTTCGTGTCTGCGACTTGCCCGATACCTAAAAGAGCCCCCGGGAAATTTGACGCCTCTCCAAAACCACCAAAACCAGATAAGGGAGCTTGGGCCTCGGGTTCTTGGATCCAGCAGCAACAGCCGCACTCTGGATGAGACCCTCCGAAAATGATAATCCTCATCTTCGTCCTCGGTCCATCCTCATATCTGATCCAGCAATCGTGGACGCTCGCAATTTGATTCACAATTTTCTTTGATGCTGGCTGCTACGGTACGGTACTCGGCCAGTGGTGTGTTAGGCTTTCACGCCAAAAAGTGGTAGCGTCTCCGCCAAAGTAAGGGGGGCGGTAGTTCCAATACAATTCCACAATTCCAGTAGGCGACCGGGACCACACCACTCACAGCGCTAGACGCGCCCCTCTTCTGGGTCATGCCAGGCTGCTCGCATTAATAATGGGTATTCGCGGCACTCCACCATCCACAGCAGCATCAACTTGTTTCGTTTCAGCGAGAGTGTAAGTGTATGCTCATCTCACCATTCTCTGGGCATCCATCATGTAATGCAATGCGCCGCCATGCCATGCCATGCCTGCCATACCAACAACGGACGGACTAGCGCGAGAATAGATGGGACCTGCACATACTTGAAGTACGATGAAATGCTCTCTCCTTCTCCTCTCCTGCTTGCTCTCTCTTCCCCTCCCGAGTCGTGCTGCCTCGTGGCTCGTGTCGTCCACCACCACTAACACTTCCAGCGCTTCGCTTCCTGTGTTCATTTCAGACCTCAATTTCCCTGCATCACTAACGTGCCTACTATAACCCCAGTCTACCACACAAGTCCCGGCAGCGATGGGTCTAGCGTCAAGCCGTCGCCCCGTTTAGAGAGCCTTAGCCCTTTCTGAGCGCCATGAGCAGCAACCCTGAATTGACCTCTGGTCATCTCTCTCAGATCGCCAAGCATAATGTTATTTTATTTTGTCCATGAATCTTCTCCGACAGCTCCACCTCGAATCAATCCTCCGGTGGCATTCCTCGATGCAATATATCTATTACATACATCCGCATGTTTCTGACATCCAGCAAAAGAAATCAGCTCGTTTCAAGTCCTTCCAGCCTGAGCCTCGCTTCAGCTAGTCCGCTGCACAACTGGTACGCCTCGCCGTTTACCGCGGGGTCTGCATTTTTTTCATGTCTGGCCTTTCCTCGAGGATCATGTCATGCTGCAGCCTGTGAGGTGCAAGGGCAGTCATACTGGTGGCGGTCAACGGCGACACGGCAGAGCTCCCTCGACGAATCGATGACTGCCGACCCTCTGCAGGCGAAAGCTGAGGGAGCGTATCAGCGTTCGCGAAACAATGAGGTTGTATGCAGATGATCGTCAGGCCATATGGGTGTTCTGATAAGGCCACCAACTCTTATTGGAGACTATCATCAGACTCTCACCGAGGCAATATGACAACGGCTTTTTCATGACTCGGAAAGTTTCTCCTTCTTACGTTCTGTCGGATTCGGTACGAATTTTGCGAGTCTGGATCTACGTAATTGTTTGGTCCTTTGAAATTCCAGAAAGGCAAAGCTTTGAGCATAACCTCGGCCTCTGGAGCTATTCGGGAACGGCGAGAGAAAGCTTTTTGTTGCCTTCCTTTGTATTACATTGCGGGGTTGTGATTTAGTGACTGCAAAGCTGCAGAATCCTACATAGCTCGGAATGTAGTTATTTGCTTTTAGCTTTTGTTTGCAGTCTCGGACTCCTCAATGGCTATCAGTTGTGTGCTGCAAATTGTATGAGTTCTGTAGGCCTGATGGATAATTACGAGATTCTGTGATTTTGTGATCCTCCGTTCTGCAACGATCCCATTTGCTTATCATGTGAAATGCTCGAACAGTAGCTACGAGTGAAGTTGGTGCTCATTAATTGCCAGTATGATTGAAGCAGGCATACATGGCAACAAGCACAGCTTAGAAATTGTATGAAAGGGCATTCTTGCTTCTAATGCACTCAGTAGAAAAGAATCCCAGTCTTATCATACTTGATGTTGAAGACTGAGCACCACAATTTGTCTGGTTCTTGGAAGCATCGTCTGAGCTTCACCAAAGCCAAATTGTCAAAGGCGTTTGTTAGCTTTTGATCTAATCGTGTCTTTAGTTTGAGGATAGTAGCTTGGCCTGTCCGTGCTGTCACTCAAAGATATGTCAGGGCTTTGTCGAAGTCGAGACTGTATCATCAGTGCAGACACCAACCCTCATGCAAATGCTAATCTAAAGATGATTGTTTCGATTTCAATGTGAGAAGCTTCTGTAAATCTAGTAACATTCTCTCACCGCTGTGACGCGGGAGATCACTGCACAGTAATTATGGTTCTGCTAAGGTGAACAGACAAGTGTGTCTGTTTCATGATAAGAGCCGTGTTGACTTTACAGATTAATGTTGAAAAAAGCTAATTTTTAGCTTAAAAAGATCTGTATTCTGATGAAGTGTTTAGATCTTATCATTGGTCACCAGAAGATTAATTGCTGCTTGGAAGCTCAAGTGGAGACCCCTCCGACGTACTTATCTCTGATTTGCATCTTTTAAAGAAGGTCAATTTTTGCCTGTACTCGCTTCCTAGTCATCTTGCAGGTGCTGTCAGCTAGGGTTAATCTGCTCTAGCCTCGCGCTTTGCTACTCGACAGTCGTATTCACCAGCTTCAGTGGCCCCTTTAACACGCTGGTCTATTATTGGTTGAATAGCGGCTACACAAATGTAGTCGCTTGCTTCACTTACCCCCCTTTAACACGCTATTCGATCCTCGGTTGAATAGCGGCTGTACAAACATATTCACCAGCATCATTCTCCCCCCTTTATCACGCTAATGCGTTCCCTGTTGAAAAGCTTGGCTATACAAACGTATTCACCAGCTTCGATTTCCCCTTTTTTATCACGCTAATTCGTTCCCCGTTGAAGAGCTTGGCTATACAACCGTATTCACCCGCTTCAACCCCCTTTTTATCACGCTAATCCACTCCTGAATGAACAGCATCCATCGTCTATAAAAGAACGCTTCTTGTCTCCTCTGTCTCTCCATCCGCCAACAACTACCTTACTCTTTCAACAACAGCTTTTGGAATACAACTTTCTTCGGTCTTTCATATCTTAAATGACCTTCTACATGCAGTCTCTACGCAGGCTTTGAGAAGACCTTTTGCATCTTGCAAAACCTCTCGCCATCACCGACTAGCAAATAGCTCTATCATTTCGACTTCCAGAACACCACTTCATATCCTTTAGCAACTTCCAGCTACACTTACAGTTTGGCAGCAATACTTCCTACCTCTCTCGAAATCGATAGCAACTTCAGGTAGGTACGTTGGTCGCTCTTTCTTTCTTCAAGTCGAATTCAGCATCACAACCTCCTTCCCAAAACAATAGCGTGCACTAGAGCACAATTCCGCACTGAGTTTCTTCACTTGACACTTCGACATCTCCTCCTCATTCTTGTTTGCTCTTCTCATCGAGAACTTCTGGTCATCACCAACAATCCACATCCATACTTATTCTCATCTTCGACTGTCACTATCGCTTGCTTCTGGCTAAGGTCCACACCTCGCTTGAACCTCAAAACTTTCCTATCCCTTCATACCTCTTCCACCTACAACATTCTTAACTCTCAACTCTTCTTCGCCTTTTCAACCTTCTTCCAACACGCGTTCTCACCCAACTCATTCTCCAACTCCGCGGGTTCTACTTCAATACGCTTGTCTTTTTCTGGGAAACAACCAACTTACCTCATTCATAGACCAGTCTATCACGTTCATCCTTTCGGTCGACGATATCGATTCGGCGAGACCTCATACAATATTCAGCGACAACTGTCTTCTGACAGGTGTCACGCCAAAAACAGCTACTCGACTCTAGAGGTATGTTGTCAAATCTTCCATACTTTCCTTCTCTTCAACCTTCCTATCGAGCACCTTTGGCACAAATTCCGTCTTGGCTTTCGCCCGATCTTTTTTTCCTACACTACCCACTCTTTCTTTCTGTTCAACCTTCCCATCGAGCACCTTCCCCACAAAATCTGCCCCGGCTTTCGCCCGATCTTTGTTTTCACGCTACCGACTCTTTCACTTTCTCAACCTCGACTTGGGATCTTTTGCCTGTACCGCTGCCACGCTAGGATACATCTGGCGCCAGCGCTGCCGCCTACGCTAAAGCTCAATCTCGCCCCCTTTTCCTTCACTCCCAAGATTACCCTACAAGCCTAACCTCCCTGGGCTCTCATCCTTTGATTTTCTCTTTTCACCGCGTCGTCATTATCTTTGCTCAATGCATACTTATTCTTTGATCTTTTGGTACAAAGCTCATATTCTCCACAGCATTATTCAGAATGGCTTCCAAAAACCGCACAAAGAACGCCTGGAATGCATTTGCTCTTTCAAATGATTCTGCCGAGAATGTAGCGGATGCTGTGCGAAACCACTGGGCAGCCAAGTCTGCAGGGCCAGCTGTCAAGACATTCGACACAGAATTCCCAGCATTGCCTGGCACTGTCACCAACGAACCTGCCGAGAAGATTGGTAATTGGATCAGCCCAGCTGATCTCAATGATGCTCTTGGCTGGGGCGAGCACCCCATCTCGGCGGAGTCTGGACAGAATAACGCCACTAATCACTCCGAGAGTGCGAGCGAGGACTCTTGGGATGCGACTGATAGCTCTTCGAATGCGACCACTGAACAGGTTGCAAAGAGGCTCGTAGCTTCATGGCCAGATGATACCTCGTTAGATACCCCAGATTCGTCGTCGCCAGTTCCAGAGTGGGTCGATCCAACCCCCCCAAAGACCGCGGCTCAGTTGCAAAAAGAGCAAGTTGATGCTGCATGCTTTGGCTGGCCTTGGACAGGAGTCCCAGATAAGTTGGTCACTCTGGTAAGTTCATTGTGTATCTTACTATGCCACAATACTAACGTAATCTCAGGCACCTTATCACATGAACGGACACCCAGCAATGGGCCCCTTGAAGTTACCCAAAGTGGATCAGAAGTCGTTATTATTCACTTGTCTTTTGAAAGATTACGATATGGGCTTTGAATTGCTGAAGCATGTCTTCCTTCATCATAGCTCAGCTTGGCAACTAGCTGCGACATGTCAAGAGGCATGGGATGCTGTTTGTGAGAAAGTGGTTCGTGGAGAATACATACTTCCTAATCGTACTTGTAAGACTACTGACATCCATCTAGGACATTTGGGACCTGACAAATGGACACTTCAACAACTGTGATAAGGAGGTGAGCAAGGAAAATACTAACCCTCTCCAGGCTGGTTCAGTGTCCGCACACTTGGTTATCACACCTATGCGAAGACCGGAAGGACCAGCTAGCTATGTTGAGCAAGTCCGAAATCTTCGCCTACTGAGTAAGATCTCCCATTACACATGTATATCCACAGCTGACCGATCCAGAATTGTCGGTCCTCAATTTTGGTCACTCATTGAGGAATATCTACTTCCATCGAGTCCCATTCATCAGCATCAATAATCTTTCTCTCTTGATCCCTCAGATGGCAAAGTTGGAAATTCTTGGTATCTACAACTGTCGATTGATGCACCTTGCAACAGGTCTGAAGCTTCTTGAACTTTTGAAGGTCGACCGGCTCAAGGGAAAGGAGAACTCTGTTGCCCTGGACTGGTATCCCAATTATCATCTCGGTCCCGAGACAGGAGCCGTTGGCACTTATGGGGTCTGCTGGGATAATCTCAACCTTGATACTTGCGTAGGTATTTGGTCAATTGTCAAGCGCCTTGTCACCAATGCCCGTGAGCAAGGTATCGACCTTGAGAGCCCGCATACGATGTTCCGCAAATGGCTCGAGAAGACTCCATGCTGGAAAGTTGGGGCAACTCTGAACTCCTTCTTTTATCCTGGTGCCAGCCATCTGGAGATCGCTGCGATGGTCCAGTATCGATTTTCTCATGGAAATCCCAAGTGGTTTGCTAGCAGTATGAAGTACAAATGGGACTTGGCCGAGTAAGTGTGCTTGTCCTACAGCCTTTTCGCAAAGACTAATTCCTCGCAGGCTGTCTCGCGACTTTTGGTGCCGTACGTGTAAATCAGTCCAGATGGGCATCTTCTTTCCCGGGTGGCGTGGGGTCGAATTGTCGAGCGACAGACAGCAACAACGATCGCTCCCTGCATGTTACGGCTGTCGACTAACATTCCTGCTTCGCCGAGATACCGATCATTACAAAGTCGAGAAGCGCAGAATTATCAAGACTTGGCTCATGATTGATGATAAGACCTGGAATACTGACAACCTTCGCAAATCCATTGAGGATTATGAACTACTCGGCATTGAGGAATTAGCTGCCAATCTTGACGAGAAGCGAAAGAAACACATGACCCTCAGCCCAAAGAATCCGGATCCTTATGATAGGGAGACTCAGGAGCGCCAGGTCCCTTACACCGACCACGAATGCAGTGGCAAGCAAGGTGGTCGTTGGAGATCTCCAGACGTCAACGAATGGAAGAATGAGGAATTTGCATACATCAACAACCCGAAGGAATGGAGCATGTGTTTCAGCAGATTCCATGAGAAGTACGAAGGCCATGGCACATTTTGGTGAGGCGGTCGTTGTTTGTCCTGATCTTATAGATTGGTTGACTCCTTCAAACCGTTTCTCGATCTTCTCACGTCCTCACCGTCGACTAGTTCGAATGTCTTGCCTCGACCGACCCTTCCCTACTACCACAAAGTTTGTTCTGGGCTTATTATCTGCATTTATTTGGCATCAAGCTCACCCTCCCCTCTCTATCATCCGCCAGCAAAAAATTCCCAACTCTTTATTCACGTCCTTCAAAAGCATGAGCATTCAACTTTCACGTTAACGTCATCAAACATACATATCACTCAGCTTCTCTTTTTTTTCATACTTCTCTGCATGGTCATACAAAAAGCATGGTTCTACAGTGGATCTATCAACTCCGGAAAATTCTTCAGATAGCTGAGAGATACACTTAATTTATTGCGTTTGCTTCCTTTATCCTGACTTTGTGATGTGTGAAAATACGTGACTTATGATGTGAAATATTGTTTGCTAGACGTGAGCTGGGATGTGATTCTCCGAGATGGGAGTTTGAAATAACAGATGGATTGGGGCATAAGATGATGTTATTTCGGAATTTTTAAGATGATGTAAGTGGGGAGGGCGGTCTCTTCGAGATAGAAGGGACTTTATATCGTTCTTGCACTACTTTTTGAACATGGTGGATATTGAAGTTCCGAGATCCCGAACCTTGAATGTGAAGTGGAGTTTGGCGAAGTAAAGCGAGCGGTTATGAAGTACCTAGTAAGAAAGAGATAATGTGGTGTGATGAGGTTGGTGAAACGTGACTATGTTGGATCCCCTTTTCTAAGCGCGGTACTACCCGTTCCGTGCCTGAACCGGGAGGGCTAATTTTCTGGAAACAGGCATTGAGAATACGAGGACGAGAAGAATTTGGTATGAGTGTTTTTATTTTTTTGTTTGATAGATACTATAGACAAGATTAAAGTAAGAAGAAAAAAAGAAGAAGAAGAAACCCTAAACCTGAACCCGGAAACAGGTAGGAAAATTATGATGTGATAATGTCTGTCTGTCTGTCTGTATATACCAAACTTCTCTGCTCGATCGAGGACGAGTAGTGGCTCCTGTTCCCATATCATCTTACACTGAGACTCGTTCATCTCCCCCATCGTCCGTCGCTTTCGCCAGCTCGTAACGGTAGTTGGCGATCCAGGGTGTTGAAGGCTAGTGTCCGGGGTGTGTAGGGCACCTTTTGCGATTGTCGGGGGACGGGCTTCATTTCCCATTCTTTGTCTGAGCGGCCGTCTGAGGAGACGGGCGAGGATTTCATTTGCATGTCGTCTACGTCGATCTTGGAGGCGGCGCGTTCGGCGGCGCTGGGGATCAGGGAGTATACTCCTAGCGCGAAGTTGAGGAGGAAGATGACCCTGGGAGTTTGTTAATTTCTGTGATTCTTGAAATGAAGAGGAAGAGGATGAGGGAGGAATAAACGTACATCATGAGGACGGTAGTGGCAAATGTTCCTTTTGCCATTACGCAGAAGTGGTGATCGCCAGTGGCATCGGCGTATGTGCAGCTCTTAGAGATGTACCAGGCGATGTTGGAGGGGTGCTCGGGGTCTGAGTGATCGGGTCCCATTTGGCCGTACATGCTTACTACCCATAAGACGGTGATGATGCCGTTTGTGATGGTGCCTAGGATGGGATACCAGCAGTGGAGGGTGAACATGACGACTTTGACGAGGAGGATGAACATGGACAGGACGGAAATTGCTACGTTGAATGAGGTCAAACTGAGAACTGGTTAGTACGGTTTCTTAGACATATCATAAGATAGGAGAACGTACGTTTGTGACCATACGAACGGGATCGTAGGTATAGGCCTGTGGTTCGCATACGCGTATAATATCTCCGTCGGGCTCGAATTGAATCCATTATTGGCACCGACTGTCCAGAGTCTGGTGCGGAAAAGATCCGGGTCCGCGATGCCAAATAATGCTAATCCGGCCACGGTTCCTCCAAGCTCGAGTATCATCAAGATAATCAGAACATTGGGGAACCTCCACTTCCTCCTGAAATGCGGGATGGTGAACATTGTGCGGGCGGATGTGCTCGGTCAACCGAGCTCGTCGTGATGGGTGGTGAGAAGTGGACTGGGTGGTTGGGAGCAGCAGTGATGAATGGAAGCTCGGTGGTGGTGCTGTCGGCTTCTCGACGTGGTCGTCGTCGGTCGTGGTATTGAAGCTTCACATTGAAGAGTGAAGAGGCTTCTTTGGAGGCCGGCAGTGGCTAGTATTATGGAGTGGGAGGTGCGAGTGCGAGCGTGTGTGTGGTGGTGGTGGTGCAGCATCTTGTCCTGGTCCTGTCAGCGCGCAATGCGGGATGTGAAGTCTCTCACCAATGGAGAAGTGTGATAGCCATGCAGCGCTTACATGCAGGTCGATTGGGAGATGTGACGGCCAATGAGGGGCTCAGATAGCCCTGGTTCGCTGCGGGCTAAGCTGGATACAGTAAGGACATCGTTAAGCGAGGGCCAGCAACTGAGGTTCTTTTGGCCCCTCGATTCGCCCTCTAGAAAATCATACCAGACCAGTCTGAGAACTGCTGATATTGAAGCTTTGCTCGGCGCCTGCTCATTCATCAACTGTCGTTAAGGCACCGTTCCAGATATTGGGAACCCCGAATTCGATTCTCTCCCTTTCTATGGGCGGTTGGAAGTCGCCAACATGGGTTCCGACGTTTTATCAATCGTTCGCTCTGCAATCAGCCTGATTGAGTACTCCTCAAAAATTGCAGGTTGTACCGGACAATAAGGTTGTCGGCAGGTGCTCGGGGAACGGGTATCGATTTCGCTTTTGAGAGGGTGCCGATGTCTGACCTGCGTCAAGGAGGGTGAGATTCTGGATTTTGAATCGTCACTCTCATCCATCAGGCTAGTGCTGAATTATTTTCATTCTCTTGCTGCGAAGATCATTATCGAGTATTTGGCGATTGGAAGTGGCGACCAATTCCACGTCGGATTATTTTTAAGCTGATTTTGTCGAGAGGAATGTTGCAACTGGATAGAAGCAAGTAGCGATGTTCGAATAGCAGTTGAATATTATCCTTGATCAAAACCACCTACGCGATGCGGATGTTCTGTTATTCCCATGAGCATTGGTCACCAAGCTTGAGCGGCAGCTTCTCGTATAGAACCCGCTCTTTCAATCCCCTACACCCCTCCTCATTCTTTGCAAAGGATGAAACATCCAGGACCCCCGTCCTCCCAGCTGGTCGGGTCTGTTGGCATATCAGCTCAGCGTGATTATCAAGTCGTATGGTCTCGCTTGCGTCACCAGCACCGCCCACTCAGCCTCAACCGGAAGGCAATCCTTCAGTAATGCAAAAGCACCACCTATGGTACTTGTATGGGAAGCTGAAAGACACTTTGGAATCAACTCCTGCAGATCTGGCTCGTGACTGTGAAGGGTCGATTGTAAAAGCATCGACTCGAGTTGTATGGCTATATTGCCGAGGGCAGGAGCTTCGTACCTGTCATAGCACGTAGATCCAATCTTCGTGGGATCGAAGGAATTCGGGGAATGAGTGTTTCAGTGAAGTTCATGGGCTCAAATTTCGAGATGGTTAGTGAGGTGATGAACTGTAGTTTCCTGCGAAGTAATTAATCCTTGATCACGTGGTATTGTGTCTGCGGAAAATTTCTTTGCACACTTTCACTCCCTATATGCTGTAGTCCTTGGGAATAGCACATTCAGCGTAAGAGAAAGATCGATGATAATATAGCCATGTCGCGATGCAAAGTAAGGAGTTCATGGGTTCTGTATCCAGTACAGTAACTCTTTAGACACACGGTAAAAATTAATATATAAGGACTCAGTCCACTGGTATATGGTAATCAGAAGATTATATTATGTTAGCTGCCACCACAGAAATATTCTCACCCCTGATTTTATTAAAAAACATCTGATGCTGGCTATGGTGAGGCTATCTGGACAGTGAAATCCAAATGGGCCAATTGTCGTCCAGGCCAGCAGCTGTGAGGACATCGAAAAGAAAGCGTGCACTGTGAGATCATTAATTCAAGCGTATATTGAATAAGATCTCTAAGCATTGAATCTTTGGCAAACAATGCCTGAAGTGAGAGAAGGAACACCACATTTTCAGGGGCAATTCGCTAGGATTAAAGTTCGACCGAGCCGGTTGAGAGCTGGGCAATGGTTTAGGGAAGCCGCGCGTCTTCCTTGAGCACTTAAGTAAATATAGCCAGAAGTTAGGGCCTTAGTAAAGAAAGTTAGACATCCAAGCTCACTAGCTTCGAGAAATCAAATGCTTGGTGAAAGACGCGGATCAAATGCACCGCAACTGAAAAGTAATACTCTGAATTGACAGCCACTGTTTCGGATGTACTGTTATTTTTTGTTTCTTTTGCAGCTCCTTCTCCTTAACTTTAAGAGGAATGGCTTTCTAATCAGCCTTCTGAGCGGTGAAGGCAATAAGGAAGAAAATATACCGACATTCAAACGGAAGTCGGCAAGATTACTGATTAGACAAAATGAAAGATCGGGACCGCTGAGATGTCCCAAGACATTCTCGAAAGGATCATGTCGAACATCGCAAGTTGAATGCTGGAACGCCTGCATCTTTGTACTACCCACAACCGTCATTAACAGCCCATTCCAACGCCCCCGGTACTGAACACAAACCCAGGGGAGATATTTTTGTTTTTATTTGAAGCAAACAGTAGGATTACTGATCATGATATATTCAACGTACTGTACAGTGGCTGGTGTACGCCGGCGGACATGTGTCATGTTTTCTGAGGTGGACGGCAAAGAATGAAGTGCATGAGAAAGATTCCAGGAATGCGTGGCTTGAGATTTGGTGAGAAATACAGAGATCTGGATCAAGTGAGGGCTATCCGAGACCATGCTGCATATCTGGACCTGGAGGCTGAAAATGATGGTGTCTTGAGGAGCGTTCGTTCCGTGGGGTACGGTGAGAGGATTGAAGGTTTGCTGTTGCTCAAGTACCTAGGTAGCTTTCCGATACTCGAGTCCACTACGATACGAAGTAACCTTACTCGGGATATTCATTGGTGCTCACATCTCTTCTCCTCTTTTTTTGGCTGCTCTGCCAATCAAAAGGCTTTCTCCTCACACTTCCATCTCGACGGAGCTGTTCACCAACCCTATTTCCCCATCCTGAATCGCATCCCAATGTTGATCCATGCAATTGCAATTGACTTTGACGTCTTAATCCATCGACATCTGGTCAATGAACCATTGGAACACGTCCCGGCATCCTCTTCGCGGTAATTTCACCCCTGTCCGCAACCTCGTCCTACTCCAGATTGCGTCTCGCATCTCCCAATCCCAGATCAGGTATTCGATCCTCTGGCGGAGCACCCTCCGCTGCTGTCGTCTGCCATAGGTGCGCGGCTTTGACGCACGCATCTCTCCGGTTTCTGCTTCTTCTTCTAGGTGGACGCGGTCTTGTTCCCTGGCACGATCATTGCGATCGAGACCTGCGGCGTCATCGCGAATCTTGCATAACGAAGGCGCTGAGACCAACCTAGATCTCCTCCTTCATGACTTCTGAACCCAAATCAATCTTCACCTCTAAGAAAGATTTCGAGAAGGACTTTGGCAGTCTTCCAGAGCGTATATCGCCCCAAAATAATATCGCGCCGACAAAGGTACCTCCCTCCACCGCTGCAATCGACGACAGCGTCGCCCGAGAGTCAGGTTTACAAGTGAATGTTATTGAAGCTTCGACAAACAGCTTTGGGGTAGCGACAGCCAGGAGTCGGGGGAATAGCCTTACGTCAAGCCAACCTTCCCTCTTCGATGCCTTGCAACAAGTACACGCCTCGAACTCGAATCCCGTCGCCGAACAACCATTTCGAAAACCAGATCTCCCTTCTAGTCTGCCGCCTCCCGCCCTCTCGACCTCGACGAATGCATCGAAACATTCGCGAGAGGAGCACGGTAATAGACCGGCCTCAACTGAAAGACCTTCGAAACGAACGCGCCCAAAGCTAAGACCGCGACATACTTTAGATGCGGAAAAATTTCAAGCTGCAGTTGCATTTCCTAAGAAGCAAGCAGGATCGCCTCCGTCGCCTTTGTTCTTTTCCCATATCGCCCGCCAAAGACCTATACTGCCACCAAGCTTCTCCAGCGCCGACGCTGCGAGCATGATGAATAAAGCGCGGGATGAGCCCGGAGGGATCACAACGTTGAAATTGGCGCGGGGCAGTATCAGCAATGCCAGTCCTCCGCGAAGTACAAGCACACCTGGAAGCTGGTCAGAACGAAGCAGTGTGCCGAGGAGCCCAGACACGAGAAGCAAGTCATCATCCGGGATTCAAATGCTAAGCAGTGTCGGGATTATTGAATTACTGGACCAGGATGAGCGGCCTACGTTTATTATAGACATTGCGAATTCCGCCAACTTCACACCCGGAGGACCATTGCAGATTGTATTTGCAAATTCTGCTCTCTGCGCCTATGAGTCGATATTGGAGATGGTTACAGGAAAAGCGGACTTAGACAGCCCTGTTATTGCCGTAACCAATGACTTTCCGGAATTCAAGGCATGGGCATTGAGCTTCGTAAAGAACGGAGAATCATTGGATATTTGCTTGCCATCCTTTATCTACGGAGGCGTTACTTGGACATGCAGCACACTGAGAAAGAGATTACGTCTCATAAGCGGAAGCAGTAGCAGTATTGTAAATACAGCAACATCTGCAAGCTCGAATGGAGCCCTCAGTACGTCCTCAATGCTGAGCGAGAGGCATGCGAAAGCCGCTTCGAATCGCCTACCTCGATCTCCTTTGGCAGAGTCAAGCGAGCCTGCCGATTATTTCGGAGACGCGGCTCCTTCCTTATTGTCGACAGCAAGCACATCTCCTATACAAACTGTAGCCAGTCCATTGGCGCCTCTGATTGAAGAAGATGGAGAAATTCCGAAGCAAGCAATGATAGCTACTCAGAGCGAGGCAATCACAAGTGAGATGTTACAGGCGAGATATCCGGATTCTCCTTCATTTGATTGGACGAGACTCCCAATGTCTGCAGCGCTTCCTCGACATATCCAGTTTGCCAGGAGTATAGATTGGGCTGCTACTCCATTGGGTCCTATAGAGAATTGGACATTCGACTTGAGAGCGATGTGTAATCTGATCATGGGATCGCCTCACCCTGCGGCAATGTACTGGGGCGACGAATATATTGCTATCTACAATGAAGCATATATCCTGCTAGCCGGACAGAAGCATCCGCAGCTTATGGTAAGAGAGACATCGTTAAATGGTGTGTATTCGGGAAGACTAAACGTAAAACTTAGGGGCAAAGCTACAAGACAGCATGGGCTGAAATTTGGACCGAGATTGAAGGCGTTTTTTCTAATGCTAAAGAATCCGGACAATCGACCATGAAAGACGATGACTGCTTGTTCATCCGCCGGAATGGATTTCTGGAAGAATCGTATTTTTCTTGGTCCATTATTCCTTTGGTTGGCGAAGATGGCTCAGTTGTTGGCCTTTACAACCCCGCATTTGAGAAAACCAGACGCAAGATTGCCGAGAGGCGCATGCTTACATTGCGAGAAGTTGGAGAGAAGACAGCCGCGGCACGAGACGTCAAAGGATTCTGGGGTCAAGTAATCAAAGGCCTTGAATACAACGGTAAACCACCTGCCTGCCCTGCAAATTAAGTACTTATCATTTGCCAGAGTACGACGTGCCCTTCGTCTTCCTCTATTCCGTCAGCGAGGAATCCGATAGTGACATGAGCTCAATGCATTCTGGATCCTTGGCTCAAGCTCCACAGTGTGTTCTTGAAGGCACTTTAGGCGTTCCTGATGGCCACAGAGCAGCGGTTGGTCCGCTAGACCTAAAGACCTCGGACGAAGCATTTGCTCCAATGCTGCGTGAGTCCATGAAGATGGATAAACCGATCCTTCTCAAGACTGAGGACGGCACACTGTCTACCGACCTCATCGATGGCCTCGATTGGAGAGGCTTTGGAGATCCTTGCCGTGCTGCCGTTGTTTGTCCAATACATCCAACTACAGGAGAGACGATACTTGGGTTCCTCGTTATGGGAGTCAATCCAAGGCGGCCATACGATGATGATTACAGCCTGTTCATCCAACTACTGAGTCGTCAACTTGCCACGTCGATGGCATCAGTGGTCCTGTTTGAGGAAGAAATCAGGAGAGGTCAGCGTGCAGCTCGTCTCGCCGCTTTGGATCGACAAGAATTGTCGAAACAGCTTGACTTGCGGACACAGGAAGCTGTAGAAAGCGAGACCAAATTTACCAGGATGGCTGAATTTGCTCCTGTCGGTATGTTCATTGCAAATTCTTCAGGGCAAATTACATACAGCAATGATACATGGTGGGAAATTTCACGGCATCCTCGCGGCGAAAACAGCGCCAATACCTGGATGGATAGTATCCAAGATGAAGACCGGGCAGGCGTCGAAGAAATTTGGAAGGAGATCGTCAACAAGAAGACCGCTGTCACCCATGAATTTCGATTTAAGACTCCTTGGCAGGACCGTAATGGCAGTAGAGGAGATACTTGGGTTCTGATGAGCGCCTACCCCGAAAGAGACGAAGATGGCAACCTCAAAAGCGTGTTCGGCAGTATTACAAACATCAGCCAACAAAAATGGGCAGAGGACTTCCAGAAACGTCGAATGGAGGAGGCTATTGAGCTGAAGCGTCAGCAAGAGAACTTCATCGACATGACTTCGTAAGAATCACTCACCTTGTGGATATCACATGGATACTAATTAGAGTCTAGACATGAGATGAGAAATCCACTTTCAGCTATCCTGCAATGCAGTGATGAGATTTCAACATCTTTGACCGAATTCAAGTCCGTTGATGATGACTCGAGGACAAATGAGAAGTTGTTGGATGTATTAGAAAGCAATATAGATGCTGCCCAAACAATTGCTCTTTGTGCCCAACACCAGGTAAGCATTCGCGTTCTTGTCGGCATCCAATATTCTGACTGTCTGTGCAGAAAAGAATTGTCGATGATATCTTGACTCTTTCGAAACTCGATTCTGCACTCCTGATGGTGACACCTGTCGCTGTGCAACCGGTAGGGTTCCTGCTGGGAAGATGTTGTGACATACTAATTGAATTTAGGTTGCTGTGGTTCAACGAGCTCTCAAGATGTTCGAAGGCGAATTGGACACTAATGACATCGCCATGGAGTTCAAGATGGAAAAGTCATATTTTGACCTCGAAATCGATTGGGTGAAACTGGACCCTTCACGTTTGCTGCAGGTCCTAATCAACCTTACTACGAATGCGATCAAATTTACCCACGGTCAAGAAAAGAGAACAATCATTGTCAGCGTGGGTGCTAGCAAGGAACGCCCCGAAGGTGGCAACCACAACGTGTCGTACTTTCCCAGTCGGTCGAAGCGAAGACATGCCGTCACTGAGGATGCGGATTGGGGAGATGGCGAAGAGATTTATCTTCATTTCGCTGTACAGGATACTGGACGTGGCTTGGACGACAAAGAGAAGACCCTACTTTTCCAAAGATTTAGTCAAGCTTCACCTCGAACACATGTCCAATACGGTGGCTCTGGTCTTGGCCTATTTATTTCCAGGGAACTTACTGAGTTGCAAGGTGGGGAGATAGGAGTATCTTCTGAAAGAGGTGTGGGCAGTACCTTTGCTTTCTACATCAAGTCAAGGAAGGTGGAAGACTTCATCCCAGATACACCAATTGCAAATGCTCTTAATTCTCTTCGTCGCAACTCATCGAATGCAGCAGTCACACTCGAAAGCAGACGAAACTCCTCTGGAAAGGCCATCCAGCGCGCAAACACAACCGGAACTCGTCGTGCATCTCGACAGCTCACCCCTCCAGTTACGACGCCAACTCCGCCTATTCCAACCTCGTCTCTCGACCACAGCACTCTGAAGATTCTCATTGTCGAAGACAACCTTGTAAACCAAAGAGTACTCCACAAACAGCTTAAGAATCTTGGCTTCCAAACCGAGCTCGCGAACCACGGTGGCGAAGCTTTGGACTTTTTGAAGACATCATACTTCTGGTCTGGTCGCGAGAAAGACGGTGTGGATTTAGCCGTTATATTGATGGATCTTGAGATGCCTGTTATGGATGGGTTGACGTGTGCGAGAAAGATCAGGGATTATGAGGCCGATGGAACGATTTGTAGGCATGTACCTATCATTGCTGTCACGGCAAATGCGAGGCTAGAGCAGATCGAGACGGCTATCGCTGCTGGAATGGTAAGTCTTCTGTTGGATTGTGAGAATAAGAGGGAAGTGTTCATATTGAATAGGACGACGTTGTCTCCAAACCATTTCGAATGCCAGAACTCATACCCAAGATCGAAGAGCTAGTTACGAAGAGTAACGCAGCATCAACATCGACAGCATCAAACAACAATACAGCGACCTCCACAGAACCACAACAAGGGGAGGCTTCAGGATCAATTTTGAAGTCGTGAAATTTGTTTCCGATTCTGACTTATGACCCTTATCCGAAAGAAGATTAATTACACTTCTATTACAACGACACTGTACAGACGACAAGAAATACGACCAAAGACGCCATGTTCATACTTTCTTCTTCCGTCTTATAAACCCAACATAGAAGCAAAAATTGTACCTGGCGTTTAGGGTGATTGCATTTACATGGATAAACTGGTGGTTTCGGCATGGCTTGGTTTGATATACCATTTGATAGCGTGCTCTGATCTTTAGCGAGCGAGTTCAGGGGCATACGGAAAAGGGTTTCCGACCTGGCTTTTAGGCCAGATTTTATGAGCGATGAGATTTCATGAGGAGAGGTGAGGTGAGATATAGATCATTGCAGATGATGATAATGAGATGTTGCGGCACTGCGGTGCTTCGAAGACTTGATTTTTTCCCCTCCTTGTTTTGAGTATCACTTTGCAAGGCCTTGTGAAAGATCATGTATCAGTGTTGAGTTTCGATATCCTCAGCCTCGCCCCGTTCGGATCTCCGAATCCTACCCCGCCTTCCCCCTCCCTCATGCCCCACAGGGCTGTGATGTCAGCCTTCCCATAGCTTGTATATACGAATGCCTCAAAATTTTTCCCCACACCAAAACTTTGAACAACATCATCATTCAACCACAATGGCACCACCCCCCTCCCCAGCCTCCAAGCTCCGCGCCATGCTCGCCAACGAAAAAGAAATCATAGTCTGTCCCGGCGTCTACGACGGTTTCACAGCCCGTCTTGCTCTCAACGCCGGCTTCGAAGTTCTCTACATGGTAATTCTGTTTTTTTGTTTATTCATCATCATGAAGAGAAAAAGTCAAAAGCTAAACATGAGAATATGATAGACAGGAGCAGGCACAACGATGAGCAAGCTCGGACACGCGGATCTCGGTATCGCGACGCAGACTGATATGGTATCCCACGCTTCCATGCTCGCGTCTCTTTCTCCTTCTACGCCGTTGATAGCGGATGCTGATACGGGGTACGGGGGTCCCTTGAGTACTCATTCCCTTTCCATGTTCTTTTTCTTCACTCGCTTCCTGTTATATATTCCTTGTTCCGAACAAATCTCATCCCTCACCCAACATTCGAAAATACTAACCACCACCACTACCAGTGGTCGGCCGCACCGTAACGCAGTATATCCGCGCTGGGGTCGCAGCGCTGCATTTTAGAGGACCAAGTTGTCAATAAACGATGCGGACATCTGAAGAATAAGGAATTGGTTGATTTAGATACGTGGATAAGTAGGATTCGCGCTGCGGTGATGGCAAGGGAGGAGAGCGGTGGCGATATTGTGATTATTGCGCGGACGGACGCCTTAGCTGGTCAAGGCTACGAAGAAGCGTCCAAGAGGTTGCGAGCCGCGGTTGAAGTTGGCGCAGATGTAGCTTTCCTTGAAGGAGTGCGGAGCGTCGAAGAAGCGAGGCGGTTTTGTGGGGAGATGAGCGGGGTGCCGTGTTTGTATAATTGTGTGCCGGGGGGTGTAAGTCCGGTTTTGAGCGTGAAGGAGGGGAGGGATTGTGGGTTTAGGGTGGTGATTACGCCGACGTTGGCGTTGGGGGCGGTGTTTGAGAGTGTGAGTGAGGCATATAGGAAGTTATTGGAGGAGGGGGATACGGAGAGGGATGGGGTGCCGGTTAGGCGGCTTTTTGAGAGTTGTGGGTTGGAGGAGAGTGTGGAGTTTGATGTTAGGGCTGGGGGGAAGTTGTATGAGAATGGAGTGTGATAAATGTACGCTATTCCAAAGTCTTGGTATCTAATTTCGCTCTCGGTTAAAGATTTAATAACCTTATTACTGTTTGCTTTGATTTCTATTGGGTGCTTCTAGATATAGAACGGACTCTAAGTTTTTGCCTTCTCAAACTAATTCTTCATCATGCAGTCTGCTCTCGTAATTTCCATTGCATCATCAACTTCATATACCTTACAGAAAAAGTACACTGCAGCACCTTCTTCGCTTCTGGATTTGTATAGCTCCATTCGAAATCTTGGAACAGCATCGGGATCATTTTGGTGTAGACTGCTTGGGCGAGGTATTTTCCAGGACATGATCTAGCTCCAGTGCCGAATGAGACGCTGTATGTTTCTGTTGAAGTTAAGGATGAGAAACAAGCAGCCATAGCATAGGGGAGCATACCAAGGTATTTGAGTTTGTCAGGGCTGTACTCTAGCCATCTCTCAGGTCGCCATTCATCTGCATCTTCCCCATACAGAAATTTGTCTCTGCACAAAACCCAAGGATTGATCCCCACAGTAGTCTGTGTGACAAATCAGCTTAGAGGTCTGGAGAGGAGCAGATCCGGACTTACACCAGCAGGTAACCACTTCCCCTCCAACTCAACACCACCTTCTGGCACAACTCTCACAAGCGGCATACCAACCACAGAATGCATCCGCATACTCTCCATCAAACAAGCATTCAAATACGGCAACTGCTCTTTCATCTCTCTCAACTGCGGAATTTTCCCTATCCTCCCCTCTTTCCTCGCTTTGTCAAGCTCAGCATGTACTTTCTCTTGACATCCAGGATGAGAGACGATGTTGTTGATTAGTGTAGAGACCACAATGGCAGTAGTTTCCACACCGGCTCCGAAGTTCGTCATCACCATATTCATCACCCAGTGGTCTTTCAGGACTCCCTTGTCGGCTTGAAGCTGGAAGAGCTTTCCTGCTATATCGTTGGGAACATGTTGCGATTTTGGGTCAAGGGAGGAGGATTTGCGGGCCTCGAAACGAGCTTCTACATTAAGAATCGGGAACTACTTGATTGTTAGATAATGATTAGACTCGTGAATTTGAACTTACTGCGAATGGATTGTCGGATGTTGTTTTGGCGCCGCGAGTTTCTCGCTCTATGAATGGGAAGAATGTGTTGATCATGTGGATGATGGATGTTGACCCGCTGGATGCGATGTGCAAGACCGCTGTGAGCGCTCGATGAAGGAGGGGGAAGTATCCGATTACATGCACTGAGAGTGGTTAGTGATTTGGTGTAGGACCAAGTGAAAGACTTCTGAGTACAGCCTCTTCACGAGCTCTTCTCCCAACACCTCCACGAGTGACCGAGAACTTACTATATTTCCAAGCAGCATGAATTGCATGAATAGAGCCATCGACCTCATTCTTCTCAACCAAATCCTTAGATTTCGAAAACGAAGTCATAGAATAACAATCTAGAACGTGTCAATAATGCATCAGAGCTGAGCTTGAAGACAATGACTCGCCTGATGCCAACATATTGAAAAACAAATCAAGGTCAACGGGTTGACCTGCTCGTTGCCGCATGATGCTAATATCTTTCTCAAGAACCTCATCAATCTGAGGTTCCAGATCTTTCATCGAAGCCTCGGAATACGCGGGTCCTACAGCCCGTCTTTGAGTGCGGTACTTTTCAACGTTTTGCTCATTGAGAAAATCCAGGTTGTCATCACCGGACCATCCACATGCACTCGTCCCGATGTACCAGTCTCCTTTCCTGAAATTACTACCAGCTCCTACACTTGTTCAGCACCACGGTTGTCAGTATATAATGGGGATATCCTTACCATAAACTGTTCGAAAAGCCTGAGGACTCGAAATCAGAACTTCGTTCGGAGCAATGCGAACAATTGGTCCGTATTTCTTGTGCAGATCAATGTCCACGAGCGGTCTTTGAAAACTTCGTTGTTTTTGGACGATCCATAGTCTTGTGATACTGGCAAGAAATGGGCCAGGGATTTTTCGCAATGGAGTTGCTTCTCGTGTGAGAATGATCCAAAGGAGAGCCAAGAACCCGAGAAACGCAGTTGTTGGTACAGCGGGAGGCGCAGAGCCTGGGAGTAATGTCTCTGCGTATCCTCCCATGATTTGATGCAGAATTAGCTCAATGTGAGTTTCTAAAGCTAATTTTATGGTCCGTCAGGAGTTGTATGCTTCCAGTAACGCGAAAATTGTGGATTGCTCGAGGCTCAAGTCGTAGTAGAGAGCTGACTTCCCCCGGATGTTCCATGGTGGCGGTAAGGCTGTTTTTAGCTATTATCCAAATGAAGTTGGTCTTACGCTCTAAGCGATGGTTCGCTGTTCGCTGCGAGTGTATGTCCTAGGTACTAGATAATTGTAGTGCTGACGGATGATGTAAAACTCTCTTCCACAGCGTATCAGATTCTTGGGTTCTAGAATACGAATTAATGCAAGGGAACTGCTGATGAGTCACGATCACTCGTTTTCAGTACATTTTCATCCTGAACGATATTAGAGGACAGAACCCCACTCCTGGGAATAGTGGAGCAATTCGTCCTTCTGAAGCTGTCTGTGATAAGATGCTGGCGGGTGAACAGGCTGCGAATGAACACACGTACCTTGCATTGCCCTTTTTGAGAATATAACTCTATTGCAGTGCGACTTGATTGAGCCAGCAATTTGGAATCAGGTAGACTTGCTAACTCTGCAAGAGTAAATGTCAGATCTGGAACAAATAGCAATGGAATGAGAAAACGTCAGTGGGTATGGAAAGCATTGAGGATTGAAGAAAGTAAGCAGAGGTGGGAAGGCCATTCAAGGAAGGAGGTCTAGGATGCTCTTGTCGATGTGGACAATCCCGTGCGGCCCATGGTGATCATATGCGCCTTGCGCAATAGTGGGAGATGATTCTCGCTTTCTTGATTCTTAAACCTGGAGATAAGTATCTAGCCTTGAATAGTGCGAGACGTTGAAACATTTGCAAAGCGATAAATACATACAGATGTCCATTTCGGAAGTGGGAGTAACTTGCCCGCAAGCGATGGCTAGCTTCCGGGTTTGATCGCTACATTTCAGGGGGCTTAAGTGAGAATCTACGGCACTGATCAGTAAGATCTTAGGCTTTCAGCCACTAGTTCTCCAGACTCTGTTATTGATTAATTTTGTGTATCTTTTGCTTTGCTGAAGGAGGATGAAGTCCCATGTATATATAACCTTACGACAAAGCATACTGCGTATTCTACCACATTTCTATTGGAGCCATGCTGACATACGTTTAAGTTGCCAAGTTTCAAGCTCACACTCGAGTCTTGGCCCTTCTTCATCGCCTGGCTTGGATACACAACGAAGAATTCTTCTTCTTCTTCTTCTTCTTCTTCATTGCCAGACCCGTCGTCGGTCCCTTTCTTTACGACCAAGGGAAACAAAATTATCCTCACAATGGCTTTTTGCCTCTCGAGCTCTTCGTTGGTTCCAGTGATGCCATCTCGTTCGTTCATCGAAGCGGCATTGAATACCACCTTTGAAGATAGGTCGCCGTCCGAATTGTAGTCTGGTAGTGGGGAAAGAATCGTATATTCTGCTCGTTGGGTACGCATCTCAATTGAGAGTTTCACAGCTCTCTTGACAACATTGGTAAGCATATTCGTCAAATGATCTTCTTGGTGCGTTGGTGATGGCAATACTTCGCAGAGTACTTCGAAGATGGCGACACAGACTGCTTGAGCTTCTAGGTCTACTGACTTGATGTGCGATGTACTCTTTGACAAGAGAGTTAAGGTCGTTGCTCGCCACAGCTCCACTGCAGCTGTCGGCCCTGTCTTACGTATTAGTAATGTTATTCTGCTCGAATATTAGGGGGAAAAACAATCCCGATTCACCTGCTTCTCTCAATGCTCTCTCAATTTCCTGTAGCTTCCGTCGCATTTCGCGAGCCATACCGAAGAGATACCTTCTGAGAATGAATTCCCACATCATGGTCATGGTCAAAGACATGAGAACATCTCGCCTCTTGACCCTGTCCGCAAGGTAGGTGTTGACATCGGAGCCGTCTAGCATTGTATTGTTCAGTCGAACGACTATCTTTGCATTATCTATATCACTCGTAAGACGACATGCTCGATTGTCGGAATACTCTGAGAAATGAAGAATCCAGTTTTGAACTTCTCGACAAAGGCGTTTACATTCATGATGGAAATAGTCTTTATCATGGAAGACTAAGAAGTCAAGTGTGGTATTCAAGCTGGGTACAGGCTCGGCTTTCATACTCTTCTCTCGATTCTTCGAGTTTGGTGTCTACCGGTTGCTTTTCTTTGGCAGCGTGAGAATTATATCGATGATACGCCCGTCGATACGCGGTAGAGTTGATGATCAAGTCATCAAAGTCAAATACGTCGTTCCCAAGCACGGACTCGGAACTCTCCACATCATGGTCCACAGTCCTCTGAGTGAATGTTCTTGCTCTGGAGGACTTAGAAAGTAGAGTCCGCGCATCATCAGAAACTGTTTGGAAAATAGCCTGATTCTTACTCTCCCTGAGCAGCTGATAAGTCTTTGCCGAAGTGTCCCTGACGTTCAATCGATATCAGCATAGTCCTTTTACTCAACAATCGAAAGTAGCTTCTTTGAATACAGTACTTACGCTTGAAATGTGGAAAGCAAAAGAGTGATTGCAATCGCTTGCCCTCGAATATTCTGCCGTAGCATTCCCACTTCATCATCATTCCAGACTGCGTTGAGCTTCGCTTTGAAACTGCTGCCATTGTGCTTATCAAGGCTCTCCAAATTTAACGATTCCAGACGCTGATTCAGTACGGCAAATGCAGTCGAGCAAGCACCTATCACTTGTTCATATTCTTCGAGAGCGTACATTGCGAAGTCGTCTTTAGAAGCTACTCCTGACAGCTTATCCCGAGTGAAGAGATCTTGGATCTGTAGCAGTGCAATACGCACTGCTGAACATTCTGTCCGAAATGAGGCTATGGTGAGGTCGGCGATTCTGAATTTGCTGACATAGTTTTGAATGGCTTGAACACTCTTGACGGTTTGTGTAACAAGGCTGATTACGCCTGTGGTAATGGACAGAGGATCTACCATGCTGATGGCGGGGATAAGAAAGGTGGTCCCTGCCAACCTTTCGAATTGAATGTCAAACTTCGCAATGAGGCTGCAACTCATGACATTTTATCTCGGCTGGATGAGGCTATGCGACATAGATGCAGCCACTTGAAATCACCAATCACGTGCACAGGTTGTCTTCCACCTGGGCAAATTTGGCTCTTCTCATGTATCTAGGTAGTATATACGTAATTTCATACAGCCGATATACCAACAGCGTGATACTTCACGTATTTAATGTATATGCCTCGCTCGAGGAAGGACAAAAGTGTGCAGTGAAGTGAAGATATTCAAGAGGAGTGGGGAGACTCCGGCAGCCCGCCGAGACGATCCGAGGCCAGCCCGTGCTCAACACAACCGTCAACATCCTTCATCAACTCTTGCGCCTCTGCGTTGCATTTCATCTCGTTCGATTGTTTCAAGCACAGATCTCTGACATTCTGCCATCAGATCTACCGGATGGCGCAGCCTCTGTTCGAAGACTGGCACGGACTGCAACATTGCGATGGCGTTCTGTTTCTTGAGCACGCAAATCTGCCTTGCACCTGAGCGACAATGCGTCCCCTTGTCTTGAGACTTCATAGTCTACCTTCAATCTTCCCCTTGCAGCCATACGCATTGCTCAAGCGGCCCCTGCCTTGGCTTCCCGCTGTGGGGAAGCACTTGCAGGCGGGTGATATGGCTGCAGCATTTCAGGAGAAGGCAAGAGGTAATGGTGCACATCACGTCTCATCAGACGAGACGAGACAGAAATGTCCGTGCATCACGACAATCTCGAAGTCACTTCCCAGAACCTTTGGAATTATCATCAAATAAGCTTATGTTCTTTTCACAGATGAAACAAGTGTTCACAATCAAAAGGGTCCATCTTGAATTGGAATAAGCCAGACGGCGCCTAAAGAGGTCGGAATTTGCTCTAAGTCTAGTGGACAGCGTCGAGGACTGAACAAAGAAATGTATCTTCTCCCCTGCGCCATATAATCCCAATTGACTGGATCAAATAGTTGTGCGCCATTGACAAGGTTTCGGAGTCAGCCACCAACTCAAGCTTATCTTTCATATCAATGGCCTGTGGCCACTCTTCGGCCTGACCTCCCGCACCTGGGGGCCATTCTTCACGAACAATCTCTATGTATTGATGCTGTCATCGCGACGGTGGACTCAATCGCCATCATGTCGGCACCAGAAATTCGTCTCCAAACCAGTCAACCTGATGATAAACCCACTATATTTAGTCCTATCTCACCAGTATCACCGCAGGCTTCATCGAAGTCAATTTATACTAGATCGGACACACTTACTCTTTCTGACAAATACTCTCCGATCGAGAAAGGAAGTCCTCAAAGTATACATTCGAAGCCATGGCCTGTACGGCCACAACCTCTCAGCAAGGACATAACAGGCCAACGTTGGTGGGACACCACGGTCGACTTTGTTACTTGTTTAATTCCTTTACCTTTTTTCATGCTTGCAGCTGCTGTAGTGGCTGTCAACGGAAAAGAAGTCAACAACCGTGACTTAGACTTTCTCCAACAGGCAATCAAAGGGGTATGTAAATACACAATATCTAGGATTTTGACTAACTAATTGTAGGCAACAACCTTGTTTCCAATCTGCTTTGCTGCGATTGCTGGCAGAGCAGCCATCAAATATGCGACCTGGAAACTTGAACAAGGGACTACCCTCGGTGCCCTTGAGCAACTGATGGGCAGCCGAACAGTCGCGAGTGCCATTACTACTCAAGTGCAACTTCGATCTTTCAATGCAGTTGGCCTAGGACTTATCTTAGTTTGGGCATTATCACCTCTGGGAGGTCAATCCATTTTACACATTTTATTTACTCCGACTAAAGTCACCTCAACGCCATCCAATATCACATATTTCAACACGAGGCAACAAAGTTATTCCGCTCCCACCGGCAGTTTTGCGAATCAATGGTTTTCTGGATTCTCGATCCTGTTCAGTTCTTCGATACTGGCTCCTCAGGCCGTCTTGCAAAGTAGCATGGACATCTGGGGCAATGTCAAGATTCCGTACTTTTCCAGCATTTCCTCCGATGGGGAGCCGAGAGATAGCGATGGCTGGGTTCAAACTTCGGCCAACAATGGAACCTTGGTCTATTCCTCAATATTCGGTATTCCCATGACTGGAATTGGCTTCGGCAACACAACCCTAATGATGGAGTCGACATACATGCAGCTGACATGTGATAATACAACTACGTTCCCAATACCCAATGCGACTGATGGCACACCTGATTTCAAAGGATTCTTGATCTCCCAGACTGGGCCATTCTTTAGCTATCAGAATGTGTCTGACTCGGTGCCTTTCGCTATTGGATGGCAAGGCCAAGATGTCGCCCAATTGGGTACTAATGATCCCTCAGGATTTGTCTACCCTCAGTTTTGCCCCGACTGTCTGGCGCCTTCTCTGACCAATGCCTCCTTCACCAACGGCACACTCGTCTTTCAAGAGTTTGATGGCGTGGATAATGTGACGTCCGTGTACTGCACTCCATCCCAACAATACATGGAGAACCAAATTTTTTGTACCAAAGATGGGGTTACTCAGCAGTGTCAAGTCACTGCTCAAAGGCTGTCTGTTCTGCCACATTTCCCATCGGAAGTCACCTATCTCAGTTTTAACGAGGTAGCTATGGGACTTACAGCACTTTTCGCGAACTCGACGCCGCAAGGAAAGGCTGTCAATCAGTTACAGAATTGGATTCTGGATCCCACCTCTACAGTATCGCTCATTTCCAACGTCAACTCAGGCTCAAACAATGATGGGCAAACACCTCTTGCCTTCGTTTCACTGCAAGATATTGGAGATCGGCTTGGTCAACTCATAAACGCTTTCATACACGGAAGCATGTGGAATTCTACATCATATATCATTGAGACGCCTCTCTACGATATCCAAGAAATGGTGGCAGGTGGGAGGAATGGCAGCTTTGTACCAGCAACTACTTCTGATATTATTGCCATGATCCAGAATCGAACTTCGGCCTTCACAGTCACAGCCAATCAAGTCAATGCTGCTCAAGTATACCTAGCTTTCTTTCCGTGGTTAATAATATTTCTCCTTTCTAATTTGGTGATGCTGCTAGCGGCGATCACGGGTGTTTATTTTTCAAGGAAGACAATTGTTCCTGATTATTTGGGGTTTGTGTCCAGTTTGGCGAAAGAGTCACCGTTCATCCGAATGCCAGATGCAGGTATAAATATGGACGGGATGGATAAGGCGAAGTTGGTGAAGGATATGAAAGTCAGGCTAGGAGATATAAGTGATTTTGATGGAGGTAGCAATGGACGGGTTGGAAAGTTAGCTTTTGCCCGCATGGAAGAGACCACAAAAGTCCAGAGAGGAAAGCTCTATATATGAGCATTCAGATTCAATTTATATTCGTTAACACTGATTCACGACTTGAAGATTCGTGACTCTCACTTAAGCCTCAGAACTCCTATGTATACCTTTTTACATACTTTCTCTCTCTCTCTCTCTTTCTCCAAAATAAAAACCCCTAGTAAGAGCTCGAACTCTGTGCTTCAGAAGACAGAATTTGCCTTGTTATATCGTCGAGTAATTCTGCGGTTGATCTTGGCATGTGAGGACCCCTATCTTTGACTTCATAAAATTATGCAAATTATGCGAGGTTATGAACACGCAACATCTTCAACTCAGCACTGCACAAAAGGATTAGCTACGATCAGCAACGTTACCACATGCGCTCTGCCTTTCTGTGAAGCTCAAGCACTGCTTAGGCAGCTCATAACCGCAGGTAAAACAGCATGAACGGCGCCGCCAAAGCGCCGCCGTCCCTGGATGCTGGTATAGTCTCCATCCCTCGCCCTATTTCACCAGGTCACAAGCTGATTACTCTCCTCTTGCAGTTGACTATGACCCAATTGACCACCTCAACACGATATTCTCTCATCCCTCCACCCTCTCATCCATAAATCAGACAGCCTCCGCCCTCCAAACCCATCAAAATGACCTTTCGACCACCATCTCCTCTCTGGTGGCCGCGCAGGCCTACAGCGACGATTCCAGCCTTGCACGCATGCAATCCGCAAAAGAAGAACTCGCACAGCTTTTCCGCAAGATCGAAACAGTACGAACACGCGCTATCGAGACCGAACAGACAATCACCTCTATGACAGCAGATATCAAACGGCTGGATGGCACAAAGCGGAACCTCACATTGTCTATGACGGCTTTGAAGCGCCTGCAGATGCTCACGACCGCATATGAACAATTGAGAGGTCTGGCGAAGACGAGGCAGTACAGAGAATGTGCGAGCTTGTTACAGGCTGTCTTGCAGCTTATGCGGCATTTCAATAGCTATCGGAGTATCGACCAAATCGCGACTCTATCTCGGAATGTGGCGGAGCTGCAAAGAGAATTGCTAGAGCAAGTCTGTGAGGATTTCGAGATAGCGTTCGCGAAGGGAGAGGTTTCTAGTAAGAGGGGCATGCTGGGGGAGGCTTGTCTGGTGATGGATGCGTTGGGGGAGAATGCGAGGGCGAGATTGGTGACTTGGTATGTTAATACACAGTTGCGGGAGTACAGGTCGGTGTTCAGAGGGAATGATGAAGCCGGGAGTTTGGATAATATTGGAAGACGGTATAGTTGGTTTAAGCGGATGCTGAAGACCTACGAGGACGAGCATGCGGGTATCTTTCCCATACAGTGGAGAGTCAATGAGGTGTTGGCGAACGCTTTTTGTGAGGGGACAAGAGATGATTTCAAGGGCATCTTGGAAAGAAGCATGAGGCGGCCGGACGGAGGGAAAATCGATGTCAACTTGCTATTGAGTTGCTTACAAGAGACGATGGATTTCGAACACACTTTGGAGAAGAGATTCGCCAGCGAGCCAAGGGCGAGTATAGACACACTCAGCTCGGTGGAAGACAAACCACAGACTTTTGACCGATCGATATCCGAAGCTTTCGAGCCATACCTCAGTCTCTGGGTTGATTCTCAAGATAGACAACTAGCGGCCATGATACCCAAATACCGGAACCAACCTATGATACCAGCGGACGAAGAATTCAACCCCCAAGCTGTGATACCTTCCTCCATCGAGCTCTTCCACTTCTACAAGCTCACTCTAGCACAATGTGCAAAACTATCGACTGGTGAGAAGCTCTTGGATCTTTCCAAGACATTGGCGAAGTATCTGGATGAATATGCTCAACAAGTACTTCTGCATTTCCTGCAGGTCTCCGGTGGACCGCCTCTCAACAACATAATTCTTGTTCTCAATACGGCTGATTATTGGCATACAAATACCCAGCAGCTTGAAGACAATATCAAGAAACGGGTTGACAGCGAGTTTGCGGCCAAGGTTGATTTCTCTTCACAGTCAGATGCTTTCATGGGCGTGGCTAGTGCTGCAGTGCTAGGCCTCGTCCATAAAGTTGAAGTCAATTGCGAATCATCATGGCGAGAAATGAGAAATACCAATTGGAGCAAGATGGAAAGTGTGGGAGATCAGAGCTCTTATGTTGCAGAGCTCTTACGACATGTCAACTCTCAAGCAGAGGAGATTTTGGCTTTAGTAGCGAAGCAGCAATACGCTCGAGCGTTTTGTGATAATCTCGTTGAGCACCTGGCAACTACGTACATCGCAAACATCGTTCAATGTCGGCCGGTATCAGAAGTTGGCGCTGAACAGGTAAAGTTTCCACTCCATCCTTTCATAGACAAGTGACTAATCATATTCAGATGTTACTCGACAAATACGTCCTAACCAAAGGTCTCACAACACTTCTCTCACACTCCCCATCTGCTTCAGCATCTACAACTACCCAAGCTGCCTTTGTCAAGCGTGTAAATTCAAGCATGGCTCGTCTCGATCCACTCCTCAAGACTCTCCAAGTCCGGCCATCTCCCCCGGAAGCTCTCGTTCAAGCTTATCTCATCCATATAGGAGATCGCTCAGATACTAATTTCCGCAAGATCTTGGAGTTGAAAGGCATCAGGAAACAAGACCAACCACATCTCGTCGAATTATTCGGCATTCACAGAGACGGAAAGAGCAATGATCAACTTGTGGCAATGAGTCCGCTACTTACACCACTCATGAATGCAGGCGGGATTGGTAGTGGTGGCTTAGGACTCAATGCTGCGTCGCTAGGAGCTGCTTCAGGTATTCCGAATCTACAGACGAGATTTGATCCTGCTGGATTTGGAGAGAAACTATTCAGCGCAGCCAGAGATGGAGTGGAAAGGATGGGAACTGCTGGTGTTGGCGGTGGCGTTGGTGAGCGAGTAGGTAGCCCTCTGGGAGAAGAAGCCAAAGCCACAGTGGAAGGCAATCTGAAGAGCATTGGAAAGTTCTTCAGAAGAGACATGAGTGGGTTTGGTGGGATAGGAGGCAGGTTCGGCGCAAGGAGGGATGGCAGTATGGATGATACTGTCCGGTGATGAGCGATGGTGTCTAGGTATATTCTGCAATCTAGAAGATATTTCCAAGGCAAGAGCGGCGTAGCTTTGTGTTTAGCTTCCAGGAGTGACGATCATGTTTGTTTTCGACGCCAATTCTGTTTTCGGACTTTACGGTCCTTCCTCGCCGTGCCACCGGCCCGCTTATATCCCTCTCCCCTTATAGTACGAAGCTCGCTTGGAACCACTTAGTACTCTTTCACAATATCAACGTCTTCAACAAACGAACCACCTCCAAAGAAGACATAATCATACACATCAAAAATGGCAACAGCCCTCATAGTCCTCGACGTCCAAACCGGCACCGTCCCCAAAGTCCCCGCCGCCACATCCCCAACCTACCTCCCCACCCTCTCCAACACAATATCCCACGCCCGCACCGCCGGCGTCAAAATAATCTTCATCCGCGTCTGTTTCCGGCCCTCTTACCCCGAGATCTCGACCTCGAACCCCATGTTCGCCAAACTAATCGACTCGAACATGTACCTAGAAGGCACCCCGGAAGTAGAGATCCACCCGGCGCTCGGCTGCGATGTGTCAAAGGGGGACATCATCGTGAATAAGAGGAGGATTAGCGGGTTTGCGGGGAGTGATTTGGAGGTGCTGTTGAGGGGAATGAGGGTGCAGAAGGTGGTTTTGGCGGGGTTGGTGACGAGTGGGACGGTGTTGGGGACGGCGTATGAGGCGAGTGATAGGGATTTTGGGGTTACGGTTCTGAGGGATTTGTGTAAGGATCGTGAGGAGGAGTTGAATGAGATTGTGCTTGAGAAGGTGTTGGCGAAGGTGGCGATCGTGCAGAGTTCTGAGGAGTGGCTTAAGGGGTTGGTTTAAGAAAAGGGGTGGGAGAGAGTTTTTGGGGGGAACTGTTGTGAAGGAACTGAGTTTGCTTTAATTAGGGAGTAAAGAATTTATAGAAACATGTTGTTTCTGCTAAAGTTGAATCCCTTCTTCGTTTATATAATTACTGATCTTAATTTTTATTTCACAATGTCGTCGTAGTTCCCTTTAAGCGAAACAAGTGCAGTAGCTATTTAGAGCAATTAATTTTGAGTGATCGACTCAAACGAAAGAGAACAATTTCCAACATGTGAATCTGTTTGTAACATCGTTTCATTAGCCCGTCTCACTGATGTACCTACAATCTTCACAGACAATGAAATTGGAACTGGCATCTGCAGCAAATTCTTCTCAGTGCATCAACTCAAGATGAAAGGAGAACAATAGAGAAGCTTGCTCACCTCAGCATCATGATTTCCACGTACTCGCTTAATTTCTTCTAAGAAAGGTGATCGAACAGGCACTTCCCAACAACTCTTCACGAATCACACTGCACTTCAATCAACAAAACACACACACACACACACACACACACACACACGCACACACACTTGAAGCAGTCTTCAACTTTCAACTCAACGAGTCCAATTCATACACCAAACTCACAACTACCTAACATTCTCCCTCAACCCACTAGTCCTCAAACTCCTCACCCCTCCATTCCCCCCAAACGGCACCGTCAAAACCTCATCTCCACCCTTCCCCTCCTTCCCAGCACTCTCCAACGCCCGCCTCGCTTCCCCATTCCCCACCCCACTATCCTCACTCCCCCTCCTACTCCCTTCCCTCATCAAAATCAACCCTCTAATCCCGCCCGCCTTCCTCGCCGGCAGTTCACTACTCCCCGCACTACACACATACAGCAGGTATTTCAAATTCGGCAGCGTTTGTCTAATATCCAACACCTTTAATCCTTGGCTTTCCGCCAAACACTCGATATTTTTATTCAGCAGAAAGACAGCGTAGTCGAAACGGAAGCGGACCGTGCCTTTCATGTATAGAGGAAAGGTACGTTGGTTGTCTTGTAGGATGGAGATCAGGTCTTGGATGATGGAGCGGGAGCCGTAGCAAGTGATGGGGTAGGTGAGCGGGACTGAGAGGTAGTACTGCAGCATATCGACTAGACGGGCGACGTAGCCTAGGGCTGCGGCGATGAGGTCTTCGTCTGCGTCTTCGAAGGTTGAGTTTGGGAGAGGGAGACCACAGATTGTGAATAGTAATGGGTGAGATGTCGGTTCGATGGGGAAAATAGCGAGGAGCTCTTCACAGATCCGTCTTCTTTGTCCGTGGATTTCGGACGTTGTAGTAGCTAGTAATGTTCGACATTGAGACAGCTTGTCCTGGGCATTGTTGATGTCTTCCATGACTTTGGCTTGGACCTCGTTTCCCGTCTGGATAGCTTTACTCCTTGCCGCAATCGAAGCTTTCAATTCCGCTCTTCTCCGTATCGAAGCCTTCAACATCTTCTTTTCAGAAGCAACATATTTCGTTGCCAGCTTGACAACCTCTTCTGCCTGCGGACTCTCATCGACTTTCCTTCCCCTCAGTATCCGGTTGATCTGCCCAGCCAATTCCTCTCTCATAGCCAACGCATCTTGAATCGACTCATCCAGGTTACTCAACCGCATCAACGCACTGTAGGAACTTGTCTCCATAACCCCCTTCTCGCCCTCTCTCCTCTTCTTCTGCACCTCCTTCTCCCCACCCCTACCACCGACATCAAAAACATACATCCCATCCACCAACCTTAACACCACAGCATTCGCCCCAAACCCCTCACTCAACCCCTCTAACCCTTTCCCCACCCATCTCAACCCCCTCAACCTCACCTCCTCCTCCAACAACAATCCCCACCTCTCGACCCCATTCCTCTTAACCCAAACCTTCAGCACCACCGTATCGGCCCTCGTAATCCCTCCCCCCGCCCCCTCAAGCTCAAAGTCCCTCCAACACGGATTCGTAACCCTCTCTACCACCTCACTAACATACACCACCTGCTCCCCGACGTGCAGACTAAAAAACGCATCCACCATCCGCTCCTCAATCACATTCTCCAGCCTCCGCTGCCTCACGCCCGGCGTCAGATTCGTGCTGCGTCTGCGCAGCCCGCCGGGTCTCGACGACGACAAGAGGTCGGAGGACGAGTGCGCGTGGTGCAGGCCATGGTGCTCGAGGGATTTCGGGATGGGGAGCAGAGCTGTGTCGTCGGTGGTGTGGCCGCGGGGGCGGGAGAGGGTCAGGTTGCGGATGTAGAGGCCTTGGAGGTGGCGGAGTTTGCGGTTCTGGGGGAGGAGGAGAGGGCATGAAGAGGAGGTGGCCATTGATTTTGAGGTGCGTTGTTGATTGATGTTTTTTTCGATGGTGGTTTGAGGGTCGGGGATTTGGAGGCCGATTGTCAGCCTTGTTGACGAGGCTAGGGTGGTGAGGTTTGGGTGAGTTGGAAGATTGATATTAGTTGAATGAGAGGTATGATGATTGATATTTGCTACTTGATCTTAAGTTCGTGAAGAGTCACCACACTAGCTCCTTCCTTCGAAGAAAGTTGTAGGACAAAAGCCATGCACGTCACACAAAATCATGTACCCCCAAACACTCTCGATCAAGCATCTCCAATTCCTCAATCACCTATCTCCTCCCCGGCGGCGGCCTAGGCTTAAGATCTTCTTCCAACACATGATGGATCCCGATCCAATTTGGCGTCTCGGGTCTGTTCCCCATAAACCCCTGACTCCAATCATAACCCACCGCATACGCCAACTTCGACCCATCAAAACTGAATCCTACTCCATCATTAGCAAGAAACCAACAGCAATATCACAATCTTACCTGTAGCAGATATCTGGCCCCCAACCTTCGGATACTCTTTCAATCGACACTTCCTATCTCTATCCCAGAACTGATACGTGCCATCCGACCCAGCTGTCGAGAAAGTTCCCCACTTAGGATGAGTAGAGATACAATTTACGCTATAGACATCCGTCGTACTCTGCACCGTAGTCGAGGGGTTCCGATGGCACTTAAAGGTGTACGACCTCCTATTTCCACATTAGTACTGTAAATACTTCAATTAGGCTTCGTTGCTTCTACACACGCGGTGAAATCCTGGTCCGAAACCCACTGAAAGGCTCCTCTGCCTTCGATACTGCCCATAGCGAATCCCGTGGCGTCGGTGTAGCAGCATATAGTACGGGTCTGACATTTCAGCGGACTGTTCCGCGCATTGAAGACTTTGGCTGGTTCATTGAGGTTCACGATGTAAATATTCGTGTCTGCATCCCCGATTACTAACAAAGTGTCTCTGACTGAACAGTGGGTTAGCATTGTGAAAGAGCTGGCAAGACAATTGGAGAGTTCGGAGATATTTCGAGAACTTGCAAGCTGAAATCTTGAAATAGTTCCTAACTCTGAAAACTCCTGTAGGAAACACAGCGTATGAGAAAAAACTCACCATCCATAGCATACACACGATCATGCAAAGTCAAACTGCTTGCCGGAGCTCCAGTCGGAGCCCTAATATCCCAATACTTCACCGTCTTATCCCACGACCCGGTAACGATCATGGGTCCATTCGAGTTAGGATGTTCAAAGAAGCGCACGACCCGAATCGGGGCATCGTGTACCGCAACTTGTACCGTTGTATTGGCTTCAAGGTCCATCAACTACATTATCGTAAGCCCCTGTCATTGTAAAGCCATAGAATGAAAAGACCTACTTGAGCAGTCTTGTCAGCTCCTGCCCCTACCACTTTTTTTCCGTCCTACAATAGATTGTCAATCTGTTATATATTTTGCAAGAAAGATAGTACACGTACTTTAGACCAGTCACAACTCAGAGCCGGACCATTAAGATCGATCGCTGTGACACCCTGCCCCTTCGAAACATCATAAATCCTCACCTTGCTATCCCACGACGCTACAGCCAGATAATCCGCAACTGGGGACCAAGAGAGAGCGGAGGTGCTGTCTTCGGGTGGGGATGCGAGTTTGGTGTCTTTACTCAGATCACCGAGGTTACTTGTCGTATTTCTTGCGAACATGGTTGATTGTGAAATATTGGAATGACGGAGGAAGAGAAATATTGAAATATTGAAAGTCGTACCTACCTTATATGGGCGCAAAGCATGGTGCCTTGCATCATCAGCCTCGAAAGTCTCATCGGATTCATCCCTGGCTCCCTCAGAAATGCGAGGGAAGGGACGGGAGCTTGGGCCACACACGTGATTGCCCCTCCATTGTGAAAAAACGAGTCAAGCTGCTTTTGTTGAATTTTACAGTTTACCTTTCTGAGGGTTGCGAAAGAAAATGAATAGAGAAGACGTTCGAAGGAAATTCGAATTCTGATGGGATTCATACCAGCCCTTATCGTCCAAAGTTAAGAAGATGGACGGTTCATCTAAAGATCCTCTGCGTTACCCCGCCAAACTTGGGAGCGGGCAGAGAAAAACTTTTTAGATGTGCTCTAGCCGTGTGGTGGTGGTGAAAAGCTAGCGGTTGAACGCAAGTGTGTTTACTCGCTCCAGCACAAATCCAGAGTTGATCAAACGTATAAGATCTTACTTCTATAAGAAGCGTATTCTCCCTTCATCATGTTCCCAGCTACAAGGGATGCCCAAAAAATGCAATGCTGTCTATGTCGAATGCCCTATGCCACCCGTAAACGCCAAAGAGACCTGTTTGCAGAGATAACAAAGCCTGTTATTATTTGTCCATCGTCATGTCGTCGGAGAGGAGTGTAATGACTGGAGCATCGAGCTTATCCCGTCCCTTCAAGAAGTCGAGTTCGAGGATGAAAAGGTAGCCGACGAGAGTTCCTCCCAGTTGAGTTACGAGCTTGCCAGCAGCTTGAGCAGAACCACCTATCGGATAATAACGTTAGTTGATGGATTTCTATGTTGAGTTGGCAGACGACGGAAGACTAACCAGTTGCAATAATATCATCAACCACCAAGACAGTCTGGCCTTTCTTCACAGCATCAGCCTGAATTTGGAAGAAATCTTGTCCGTACTCCTTATCGAAAGGCGCCTCCTCGGTGGGACCAGGCAGCTTGCCCCGCTTACGGACAGGAGCAAAGCTCGACCCGATCTTCAAGGCCAGGCTGGGGCCAAACAGGAAGCCTCGTGCGTCGAGTCCGATAATCACGTCTGGTCTGACACCATTGTTGAAGGATTTGACTTGGAGTTCGAGGGCCCGGACGAGCGACGTGTGAATAGAGTGATCGGCGAAGAGAGGCAGAATGTCGACGAAGTCTATTCCAGGAATAGGGAAGTCTGGGAATTGACGGAGCGCGGCCCGTAGGGCGATCTTCGTACGGGCGAGTTCGGCGGCACTGGCGGTAGCGGAGGAGGACTGGGACTCGAGTCTCGAGGCATTGTCCGTGGTCGCGGTTGCGTTGGGAGAAGTATCTTCTGCAGGAGCAACGGAAGGATGTTGCGCGGGCATCGTAAAGAGGAAAGAGAGGAAGGGGGAGGTGAGAGGTGAGGTGAGGTCCGGTAGTCAGATATGCAAAAGATAAAAAAATTCCTCGGATGGGGAAAGCGGCGGCGGTGGTGCAGTGGAGGGGCTGCTTGGGTGGAAGCGACTAGGGACGTAGACGAGGGCGTTAGGTGGAAAGAGGAAGTAAAGTACCTGGGTAGGTAGGTAGGGTCAAGGATTGGAATCAGCATTACAATATTTATTATTTATTATGTACTATTTTCATTATTTTTTATTTGTCTTTATTAGATACCTAAGCATTATTTGCTTTGCTGGCTTTAGCACCAGGTTTGGATGAGGTTTGGATCGGAGTCCTCAGGAGGATCATAGCAGCAACCCGGCATGGATAGTGCGCTGCCTATTGGCTTTTGCTGGCTTTAGTAGGCGGGAAGACCAGGGCAGTCCAGGGGACGCGCGAGAAGAAAGACGGAGACGCGATCGTAAGAGCAAATACGGGAGGTACGAAGAGATATAACCCGGATACTGAAGGATACACAGCATCCAAGAGTCGGGAAGGGCAACAGAGGTAGGTATTGCTCAAAGAGGTCAAGCCGAACCCATGCTATATCTCTATCTATCCTAGGTCACTTCCTCGCCAGCTGCAATCCTTCCTGCACGCAACTGAGTAGTTGCAGCAGCAGCAGCAGGATGGAGAGATGGATCGAAAGACTCGAAACGAACAAGCACCAGCAGCCACCACGATGCGCGACCAGACGCCCGCAGCAACTCGAAGGCGTGATTTGCAGGCCGTGAAATACTGGAGCCCCCAGCATCGGTGGTGAGACTTGTTTGAGTGGATGGCTAGCAATGGCTTGGTGGGTGGTGTCCTTCTGGAATTGTTCCCGTCGTCCTGATTATCAAAACCGATGTGTCGGTGAGAGCGATGCGATAGACGGCGGCGTGGAGGGCAGCACTATCAAGAGTCAAGGCATGGCATGGCATGGCATGGCATGACTAACGACGAGCGTATTACAGTAGGTGTTTGCGTGGTGCTGTGTTGTGCTCTTGACAGCGCATCATATCGCTCAACACTTCTTTGCGGCATGGACACCGTCGTCGCTCTGCGGTTGATCTGCAAAAGGTTATCTGCAGCCCTCCAGATACAGGACGATCATGATCTTGGTAGAGAGCAAGATCGAACGGTTGTCATTTCTCACACACGGCGGAAAAACGCAAAGTGGCGCTAAAGAAGCCGAGTCTCTCTTCCCAGGAACCCGCGAGCCGATGCCGCATCATCATCTCCAAACCTTCTCTCGACACTCTACTGTATTCTACACACCCTCCAGCTCCTCTCGACTTTATCAATTTCTCCAATCACCATCGATAACCAGCATCTCACCACCCACACTACTAAACACAACACGAGCTCTCAGACCGTCGCTTACTTAGGGCATGAATCGAATCAAATCCATCCATCCCCAACCCATCATCCAGACCATCAGCCCAACAGAATTTGTATATGTATTATTTTTATATACATCGTCTCTCTGGTCCACCTCCAAGGTCTCTGAATTTAGCCATGACACAATGTTTCACCACACCCCACTATCTCACCGCCCGGAAACGCTCATCTTGCAATCCAGCAGTCTACTGTAGTCCAGCCCGTCCAGTCCTCTCGCAGCAATGCAGCCATGGAAAAAAAGCATTGAGCCGATGAGGTGACCACCAATCAGGACCTCAGAACAAGGTCCCCTTCATCCCATCGCTGTGTTGCCCCACGGTTTGAAAGAGTCATCGCCCGTTATGGTGTTACAGCAGCTAGCACCGATTACTCGCCAGCCCAACCAGCCAGCAACAGTACAGCATGTGAAAAGGGCCCTATGGGGCTGATAAGAGAAAAGACTCCTGTTTGCATCGACGGTTGGTATCGGGATTCTTCCCTTTATCCTTCTGGGTGCTGGTGGTGTTCTAGCCTCCTCGAAATCTCGATGATTCAATATCATTGTAAGTAGTGCTGACTTTCCATACCACGTGGAGAAGCGCTTGCACTCTTCGAGCAGAAGAAGAAGAAGAAGAGGAAAAGCTATGAACACCTTCAGGTCCCATCCTCGGAATCACCAAATCAGGAAGCTCCTCAAAATCCCTCTCTCTCTTTTTCTCCCTCCCTTCCGGATCCGTTACCAAAAAATCCTGCTCCAGAAATCCGCAGATTGTGGATTCGTTTCACGGTGCACGATATAAATGCTTGTTATCCGGAGAGAAAAGAAAATCCCCTATCCTCTCCGGCGCATCGATATCGATAAGAGGAAAACACTCATCAAGTTTCCCATGCATCACTCAATCAGCCGGCTTACCTCCTTTACGATGCATCGCATTACTTTCCTTGCCTTCGCATAGCAGCGGCATGCCCGTATTCGATGATGTGAAGCATGATCACGTGTTAATATCAAAGGCCTCGTTCGAGGAGAGAGTCCAGACCATTCGCCCCGATTAAGGTACCCGTTTAACGTTTGATTGTTCCTGGCATCCCACTTGTAAGCATGACCTTGAGAGAAAGCCCGCAACATTAATTCACAATTGTGGAACCCATCCTTGAATCGGCAGTGCACGAAAACCCACTCTGGAACTGGGATAGATGATGGACGGTATATAATTAGCATTACATGAATACTATATCTTAAATAATTGTGAATGCTCCACAATAGGGCTGATTAGCAGCAAGGGGGTGTCTTCCAATAAGATAATAGGCGTGACCTCCACCAAAGAATCTTCGAGATTCCTACTCGCGCACCTCCCTTGTCACTGCACAGACGCAAGAAGTGGAGCATTCACAATTATTTAGGGGGGGGGATAGTACAACATAACATAACACAGCAAATAAAAACCGGCCGATTCCGGCAATAGTAGTAGTAGTAGTAGTAGTAGTAGTGTCCCACAACTTTCAAACTCCAACATCCAATACAAAACAAATGCTTCACTCAGCAGAAACAACGCCATGAAACCACCTTTTTCGTCCCTTCGAAACACCACCCTGCACCAAGACCGCCACAGCAACCGAGTTATCGCTCCCAGTAGAAAACGACGAGGTGACATCGCTGCGCAGAAAACAGTTGCCCGTCGCTAGCTTGGCGTTGAAGGTTGCGGCGCGGCAGGTGGTCGTTTGTAGGTTCGTGTATTGGGCGCAGGCGTTGAAGCATTCGAGTATCGAGGTCGCGGTTACGGTGCTGATGGAAGGGGAGGTGTAGTCTGTGTTGCAGGAGATTGTGTAGCTTGAGGATTCGGTGCCTGGATTGGGTTGGAGTTTAGCAGGTCTATGAATCCAGGGTCTTGAAGGAAGATGATGGAAGACTTACCAGCTGTTGTTGAAACTGTGTTTCCGTTTATAGCCGGGCAATCGAGTGGATATATATCTGTCGAAGAAGATTGTGTAGATTTCGAGGCTGCTGCTGCTGTACTCATTGAGGTCACCGATCCTGGAGAAAATGTCGTGGTGACGGAAGTGGCATTTTGGGACGAAGTAGCTGCATTTGCAGAAGTCGATGCAGAAGATGTAGTAGAAATTTTTGTCGTTGACGTAGCCTGTAAGCTCGTAGTCGTTTGAGGCTTGATAGTCTGTATTGCAGTGTATACTGAAGTGATCAGGATCACATCGCCGTTACTGAGGGTCGATGTGCTGGTAGAAGAGCTCACTGAGGTTGAGTAAGATGTTGTGGCAGCTAGGCCCGAGATAGCGGAGCCCGAAGCTGAATCACTGCTATGCAGACTATTGTCAATGTCTATTGCCCAAGCAGAGCTTAATTCCAACTTACCTCGAAGACTTTTTTGATGAACTAACCCCAGCAATGACCCCTCTTATAGCACCTCCTATAATCAAGAAACATATACACGAAAATACAGCCCAGAACGCCCATCGGACTACCCCGCACACCCTCCTTTCTTGTACGGTAGGAGGAACCCATGTGTTATTGTTGCCGGCCAGAGGTATGACGCCTTCCTCTTTCCACGCCACTTCCTTGCCTCCATATCGTTCCGGCATCTCATAGCCAATATCCACAGGTCGAGCCATTCTTGAAGGCTCGTTGTATTGAGGGTCGTACGCCCCTAGAGGGCCGCTGTTGGCATATGGTCCGTCTGGATGCTGGCTCGGCAGGATCCCCAAAACTCTCCTTCCCTTGTATCCAGGTTGTGAATCCTTGCCCCAAACAGGCGGCAGATCGTGATGCTCGATAAACACCGACGTACGATGAGACGACTTATCGATGCTCTCAGATCTCGTCGACCTCTCTATACTCTGGGCGCAGTCGTCGCTCTGGAGGCCATCATGAGTAGACAATGGCATGGTAACGACAGTATGGAGCAGCGAAGATCATATCCTTCAATGTCCTGAAGAATCAGAGTCATTTTGAAGTCCCTTCACGACACGCCTGCGAGGCTGTGCCTATCAAAGATCAACAATACACTTGAATCACTTCCGTCGTATTCGTGGGTAGTGTGGCTCTGATTGTTCGAGACAATGAGAGACTAGCCAATGACAGCGGGAAGCAGAAAAAGGAAACGAAGATGAGGCTGCGACAGAATATTGGAGTGAGGACTTCTAGACTCTTTCTGGATGATGTGGCTTGATCTTATCATTTCCCCTCATACTGACGGGCCTGTGGCAACGGTTCGTGAATAACAGAACGTCAATTAATCCAATCTTTGAAGTCCAAGGAGAGATGGTAAAGCTTCAAAAGACTTTAGACATGCAGAAATAGAATCACCAATGAGAGACTCACTCGAGTCAGTCTTCGAACTTGACTTTGAATGCTCTTGTTTAAGACAAGAGTAGAGAATGCCCATCAGAACTCAAAGAAGAAGAAGAGGCGCTTAGAAAAAGGAAGTTAGGAAGAGCCAGCACGTGAAGACCCCTAGATTCGACCCCAGTTCACGTGTCAAAGACCAGGGATAAAAAAGTTCAACCGGAGTTTCTCCGAGCAACATTATCCAGGATTCACTTTCGCCATCCAAGTCTTATCTGCGTTCGCATCTTTACATCTGTACATATTACCATTATTCGACGAGTCGAGGGATGGAATGCCTTCCTTCTTCGATTTTCAGCAGGGCAACGAAACCCGCGGTCCGGCGAACGACAGTTCTCCGCTATTAGGACGATTCCGCGCGGTGCCGGACGCGCAGCGGCATGGCACTAGAAGTCACCGCAATAGTCTGCTAGGAACATGGACGGGGAGAGGGTCGGGCTGGGGGTATGGTACGGTGTTCGGTACCAACGATGATGACGATGACGATTCGATTGAAATAGAGGATATGGGAAGGTTGAAGAGATGGGGACGAATACAGCGAGATCTGTGGCTGGAACCAAGACAAGCTGTTGTAGCCAGGCTCGTAGATAAGTGGTGGTCAAGATGGGTATTGCTTGCTGTTTTCCCAGCTGCTTTGGTGAGTTACCACGCCACCACCATCCTTCTGCAAAGGAAGATGGGAGACCGTTATACTGACCACCATCCATAGGCTGTTGGATGGTGTGCACTTCCAATTCCGCAATACGAAATAGACGACGACGATTTTGCGGAGGGCATCTCACTAGGGCATAAGATTCCTGGTCACGGAGCTGCGCGTGTTGAAATCAACTTCTGGTTCTTTTTGTTCGTTTATTATGGGCTATATAATTTGACGGCCTTATTATGGGTAACGAAAGTGTTCAATATATACAGCCTCAACTGGTAAGTATCTCTGAATTTCTGTTGGAATCAGCGCTAACAAATAAATAGGTGGCCAGAGACATTAGGATTTCCCCTAACTGTTTCGCTGATTGGCATAGTATCCCTAGCAGTCCCAATACCAGTATATTATTTCACTGATCTACGGGACTTCACGGGCTATAACACTTTGTGGATATGCTGGACCTTCTTCACCATGGCTATGCCGCTCATGTTAGCATTTGGTATTCTTGTGAATCACGAACGGCACCTCGGCCTACGACAGTCACTCTCAGAAACCCAACGCATATTTACAACATCTTGGTGGACGGGTGAGTCTGAAACGGTTGTAGCAAGAAGTCGTCCTCGAAGGGCAAATGTTACTCAAAATCATTATGACCCAGATGCCCCTCTCGAAGTAGCTCTGGCATCTGAAAATACGAATATGCGAGAACGGAATCTGGCTCTCCGAAAACGGTGGATTCCAGCTAGTTTTATGAGGTTCATATGGTTTTGTGCCGCGCTTTATGTTGGCATGATGGCATATGTGCTTGGAGAAGCTTATGCTGAAACCTATTTGAGAACTTTGCCGCATAACACTATCCAGACTATTGTATACGTCTATACCTGGGTCTTGACAATCAACTTATTGGATGGCTTGACAGGATGGATCTTGGGAGGAAATGAAGGAGAACGCGTTGGCAGCTATCCTTTGGGATGGGTATTCAAATTGTATGACATGCCTCCAAACTCACAATATCCAGCTAACAATAGCACTAGATACTATTCTCTAACGTATCAGACGTACGTTCGTGCTCTGTACGCCCGCCTGCGCTCGCCACAGCAATTTATCCTGCTTCAAGTTCTCTCTTCCAGCTTTCTCATCATCCTCTTCCCGCTCTCCATGTCAAGGGCATTCCACTATGTCCTCACAATCCTTGGCATCAATGGTCAAACAACACAGCAATACCAGAAATTTTGTGCCCGAAACATATTCATTCGAGGCCTCTCCGAGAACGTCTCAATGCTAGCCTTCCTAGGCTCAATTCTGGTTCTGCATTACGGAGCCAACAAAAATGTCTATCCATATTTTGCATTCGATAAAGAAGACACACCAGCCACTCCTCCCACTGATGGCGGGTTGCCCATCAGCGATGGCTCAGAATACGATTTTGGATTGACATTCTACGCCTCAATGGTGACATGGGCCTGCGAAATGGTCGCAGCTTGGATAGTACGTAGAATCATCTGGTACGGTTGGAAAATCGACGTGACCGGTGAAGCGAAGCAGGATTTGGGAACTTGGCCTGAACTCCTGCCTACAGGAGTGGTGGTTATTTTTCACGTGCTGCAGAATATGTTGTTTTCGATTGCGCGGTTGAAATTTCATTGATGGCGTTATGATGACTTGGTTGGAAATTGTCGATTGTTCAGCGTGGAGTTGGAGGAATCTTTGATACCCCTTATCAGCGAATCGTCTTCTTCAACGACTTCGATACCCTTAGATTAATTTAATGCAACCCGTTTTGTGCTGTCACTTTAGAGGTGATGACTTATTTTCGCACAACGAGTTGAGCTGACCTGGGTCAGAGTACTGGATTGCTTTCGATGCTCAACACAAGAAGGTGAAAAGGTTTCACTGAAGACTTCTGCATGCATGAGATACTTCACGTTGACGGTTAATAGTCTGTGAAGAAATTTCTGGCAGCGCTGTTAAGATGTTGCCTTCTGAATTTATTGAGTTGAGTTGAGACAAGATAGTCCAGTGCCTAGTATACAGCAACAACAATAGGATAATTCTCGACATGAAATCAGGCATTCCAAAGACATCAATGAAGAGAAAAATCACGAAGCGAATATCTCCAATCCCCTCAGATATCCTTCCTACCCATCAATCAAATTATAATCCAAAGTTCTGAACTTTCAAGACCATGCGCTTGCTTTTGATAATTGTTTGTTTCAATAAAATAAATATAAAAATTGACGGGTTTGTGCTTGTGTGCCGACATCAAACAGCCCTCCCTGCACACTAGGTAAGGTATCACACTCGAGTCCCTCGGCACACATTTGCTCATTTCATGTACGATGTGCAACAAAGGCTCAGCCTCCTCCTCCACGCGGCGGCCTCGTGCCGTGCCGAGTCGGCGTTTGAGATGATTTATCAAATTGAGAGGGGAGGGAAGGTGAAGAGTTGTACGAGATGAAGTGAGGTGAATTGATGTGAAATTTGTTACTCACACCCATTTTAGGGCGGAGGAGTCACGTGAGGCTATTTTGGTGCACCGGATTTGGAGGGTGCTTGGTAAGGGATAGGGGGATGATGTCAAGGGGGAAGAATGCTAAGTGGTGAATAGGTCATCGTTGATTGACTTGCAGTGTTGATTTTCAGAGACAGCAGTGGTTGAGGAATGCCAAGAGACTGATCGCCCAAGATTTGTCGACGTGCAAAAAGCCAAGATATTCATGCGCGATCAATTCCTTAAATCTGAACTACAGTTCTTCTCTTGGCTTCTAGAGCTTGAAGTCATTGCAATAAGGGGCTTTGGTTATGAATGCCAAGTAGCGGCTCAATTGCCAAGGGCTGTCGACGTGCAAAATGCCAAGACGTCGCGATGATACTTCCGCAAGTTCTGAACTATAAGGACTTCTTGTCTTGGCTTGCTCATAATTAAGTAGAGGCGTTGTGCTGGTCAAGAAGTGTCAAGTGATGGTTTCTTCTGCCAAGTCTTGTCGATGTGCAAAAAGCCAAGAATTCTAGGGGAAGGAGCAGCTTATATGTGGACTGAAGAGCAACGAAATAGTACTTCCAAGCTAAATCTCCTAGATGATCTAGAGCTCTGTTGTAGCATCATAGTGCGAGGCGCTACGGAGCAATTACACAGAGCCATCGAAGTGGCAACAAATGAGTTCATTTCAAGCCAAATCTTGTGATATTCGATGGCCCTATCACTTCGGCATGGTGCAAGGCGCTATCCACCATGTGTCACGGTACTATCGAAGTGCAACAAAAGGGTATATTCCAGACTAAGTCTCCTAGATAATCTTAAGTTTCGCTATTTCATCATGGTCCAAGCCGCTGTCCACCGTGTGTCACGACGCCATCGAAGTGCAACAAAAGAGTAACTTCCAGGCTAAGCTCGCAAGTAACGGAGGTCTACGGGAGGAGAGGGGATGGCCGTTAACGTCTATCCCTGCCTGTCTGAATAGCCCGGCATAGACCAGCAGATGCACTACTCTTCAAGTACATCGTGGGGTAAAGCTCTATCGAAATGCAACAAAGGTGTACATCTCCGGGATAATGGTTTAGGAAGGTAAATCTAGAGGTTCTTCTCGGTGTCTAGAACATAGCATTAGTGAGATGGTGAGTACTGAACTATACTTTGAAAGGGAAAACAAGGAGATGTTTAGACCTGCTGGGAACTTTGTCCTTATGCTGGCATACTGCTGAGTAGTAGCTACCAAGTATCGCTTCACGAAGTAAATTCAAAACTTGGGGAATTGAAGATTCGGTGCTGGTTGCTGAATGTGCAGCCAGACAAATAATGCTCATGTTATTCAGCCCGCGGTGGACTCAGCTACAACTCCTTCCTCAAGATTCATCTCTAATCAGCAACCTCTTTCTGGTTGCTTCATGTCCCATGCGTTCACAAGGCGCGGGAATCAGAACCTCTGGAGTTGGACCGTTTCGAGCGAACTCACTTAGACATTTACGCATAAAACAGTACGATCCCACTTCTGGGCAAGTTGGCCGATCATCTTCTGCGATATGCAACATACCAAAGTTTCTTTACATCCAGAGCATTCCAAAAAACGTGCTTCGGTACTTTCCGAGTTAACTAGAAGTCTAGGACATTCGAAACTGTCAAAATACTTGATACCCAATAACACATATCGCTGATCGGCCAAATAAGTCGTCTAGCACGATAAATTAACCTCGTGAGCTAAGTGCCAAGGATTCTGGAGCCAGATCGTCCCCGCGATGAATCCTTGCGCGAAAACTCGAAATGCAACAAGCACTCATCTTCGATGTTCATTGGCTTATCTAAGACAATGACTGCATCATTCTGGAAATCAGACACCAGATACTCTTTTAGAGGGACCCTCATTTACCCCGCAGCATGGCCCATAAGGCTCTCTCTGATGTTATCGGCCTGAATCCATCTAGAACAATGACTTCATTCTTCTGTGACTTAGGCCCCAAAGATTCTATCAGAAGGTAGCCACTTGTATGCCACAGCGTAATCTGTAAGGCTGAAGGCGAAATGCAATGGAAACTCTCTTCTTCGCACTACCGGTCCACTAGACTCCACACTCTCCTGATATGAGATCACAACTTGCTCTTCTCCCCTCTTTTAAATGTCCTACAAGCAGTCCAGACTCATCCGCAGTAGATTGGAAAGAGATCGGCCCGAAAGACGATGTGCAACAAATATCAGATCGAGATGAGAAGAAAAACGCTGGAATGTGGTAATTATTATGATAGGAGGTAGAAAAGAAGGTCCGATAGTCGACGAGCAACAAAACTTTGTGTCCAGATGCTTTGACGATAGATAAATGTCGCTGCGGGGAACTTGTGGTTCTTAAGGTGGAGGATACGGGGAAAGAGTATCGAGATACATCCTTTTATCATTTAGCTCTTGCTTGCTTGAAGTCCGGTAAGACTCTGGGAAACCTGCCCATAGACGACGAGGACTTGGGACAATTTGAAGGAAGACTTCACTGCTCTTCTTGAATCAGCTGGCATGGATGGTCCGAAAATTGCAGGACAATGAAACTTCAGGAAGGACTCGAGGCGGGCAACATTCAACGCTCCATCTCTTGAGCTTGAATCATCGGGCCCGCGGAAACACTACAGCAGGTATCTGATAATGAGAATGGGCGAACGAGCCTTATCGTGGATACAAAATGGAGCTCCTACTCATCATCGAGACTTGGCCGTGAGTCTCCACAAGAGCACGAATTGAAAGTCCAGCAGGAGCGCAAATACTCAAGCGTGGGCCGGAACACTGCAGTTACTGCGACATTGCAGTGTTCCTGCGACATGCAACAAGAAATACTGAACTATTCATTCTCGAACGCCCCAGCGCTCGTGCATGACTTCAATAATCCAAACTTCACTGAAGTTTAGGACCTAAACAACTAGTTCAGCCTCACCATGCCGTTTCCACGTTCCCCGCGACTAGGTTTTGCTTAAGTAAGCGAAATAAAAAAGGGGGAAAGTGGTGTGGCACATCTCCTATTGGAAGTCTCTAACTGGACAAAAGCAAAATAAAATGAGACATCATGGCGCTTGAACGCCCTGCGGGGCAGCGAAATGCCCTTTTTTTTGCGGCGTGCAACATTAATTTCTCCCAAGGACCGGGACGCGCTGATTGGCTGCGTTTGAGATGTGGTGAGAAAAGGGGGTGATGTGAGAATCTTGTTCTCCTGTCCCTTCTAGAAAAAAGTCTTCATCTCATGAGACCAGATCATGAGAGTAAGATATACGAACGTACCTCAGGCAATTATTTCCCAAGTTTCGAAACTGGGTTCTCGTATGTTGCAAGCCAGTCGCTAGGGGAAGAGTCACAATTTCGTGTAACGCCATCCACCACACCACACCAGTGCCAATAAACAAATCTTAAAACGACTATTAAAGCGCAGTAAGCATGCTTTTGTTGCATCTCGCACTTAAGCTAATGCAGGTGGAAGGGAGACGTGACGTCCCGTTCCGTAATTACTGCTTTTCTTTGTTGCCTTGGAAAAAGCACTTACTGCTGCACCAATCATGCGGGGATTTTGCGCTTTGCTTCTGGGGTTGGCTGGGAGGGTGGTGATGGAGGGGTGTGTATATCTGACGAGTTTATGCCAATTTTTAGGTCGCGGGGCACTTTGATTGTGTATGTTTCTGTTCTGCTAAGGACATCATTTTGGCATGTCGCCCCCTTTGTGAGGTCATCTGTTTTCCTTGGGGTCCGAAATCTGATAGAGAGGAAAATACAGAGCAATGGCAGCGATGGTGAAACCTGCTGGCTGACAACTATAAGGCTGAGTTCGTTTACCTCTGCCTTTGATATGTACTTGGCAGGCTGGTCTCGAAGGGACGGCCAAGGCCCCGCTGAGGCAACTCTCCAGTTTCAACGGAATCCTTCAGGATTCTTCATGCAACACTCTTAGCAGATTGCGTGGAGTCGGCCACGTGCTTGACAACCGGTTTCTGATTTCCGCAATGCCGAGTACTACCGGTAGTTGCTACGTACCGAGTTTTGGACCCGTTGAGGCGGTTTTGGGGAAGAATACGAATTTGAGCCGACATGCCACGATGTTTAGTCTTACTCTCGGTAGAAAGGGAGAGAAGTAGAAGATGTGGGGAAGAGTTCTAGAACTCTTGGTGATCTAGACTCATGGTGATGATCCAGTCGTGAATCTGTGGGGCGATGTGTTTCGGTTCTAGAAACGATGATGTTTCGGCTCCTGATGGTTAGCGCTTTAAATTTCTGACGTTTGGTTCAACTAGCGGAATAAACAGTGTTAGACGGATGCTGAGATATGATTATAGATGAGATAAAAAGAAGTAAGTGAAAGGCATCCACACTGGAAGGAGCTGCGTATGGTGGAAGTGGCAGGAACAAGATTGGGTACGTACCTTGAGTCTGGACCAGATCCAAAAGACCCCGCAGATGCAAAGATCGATTTGCAAAGCGGTTAATCAACTACGTAGTAACAAATGTCCCAGATCATCAAGAACATCTAGGCCAGAGAAGGTCAGTCTCGGACCAGAAATGAGATCATCCCCGAATTACCAATACAAAAGAATGGATTTCGGGCAACTTGTCGACGTGCAACGAAACTTGCTCGTCCACTTAAAGCCAGAAAGCTGCTTGGCGCTTGATTTGGGCCACGAAGAGGGCACTAACTCCTCTAAGGCTGGAGCAGGACCCATACTTTTCATCAGCCAAAAGACATTGGTCAGGATCCCAACACATATTCAATTATTGTTATTGTTATCATTGCTAGAGTAGAGTCGAGTCAGCAAGCAAGAATGGTCCGAGATGTAAGTAACAAGAGAAGGAGTGAAGAAAGAGAAGTATATGTTCAAGTTAAGTTCAGGATGGGGACAGCAGCATCTCATCTGAAGCGAACTCATTTCAACAATCAGACTTTGATGTAATCTTCTATAAGTGTCCAGGCTGTTAAGATGTCATTGTATTATCCCAAACATATCTCACACGCAATATCAGTAAAGAATAATCAACTCAGAAACACATCACGTGAACACAGAAAAGCAGCTTCCTCTAGTTACAGACCTACGAAGCCCAGTCCTCCAACTAAAGCCCATCTAATAGACTTGAATTATTGTTGTCATATGATAACCTTTATCCTTTAAATATTCGTTATCCAAACAAGACGGTAGAAAACAAATGAGGCTAATATCAATATCCGCTCGAAAGCCTGGGGTAGAAACCACTTATGACTTGCGACAAACAGCAATGATAGACGAAGATAGAGGTTGAGGCAGGAATCTGTAGAGAATCTTTCAAATAAGTACGGGAGCTAGAAGCTAAAACCATCTACTATCTAGAAGCATAGCGCAGTAGATCACTTGTGACATGCATCAAAACCCCACCTTCAAGTTGCTAACCCCAAATAAAGATCGAATCATTACACAACGTAGCACGCCTGTCGACGCGCAACAAGTCCACAGTCTCAACTTAGTAAACTAAAGGCGTAGCTTAAAGAGACTACCCATTTAACAGTATGGTGTACAAGACGCTAACGATGTGCAACAAACACTGAAGACAATAGACTAAAGAAGGAGGCTAACCTGTAAACATCAAGAATGACATCTTACGAACAGGAACTCAAGACGCTAACGATGTGCAACAAACACTAAGGACAACAAGCTAAAGAAAGAGCCTAAACGGTAAACATCAAAGGATATCTGTCCTCTAATTATTATCCATCGACATGCAACAAAACTGCCTTCTCACACCATTCCCTATCTGTAAAGATAACATACCAAAAGCAAAGATAAGCTCATTGCGACTTGCAACAACAGATGTCTTTCTAGACGATTCCCCATCTAAGTAAGGTAGCACACTAGAAGAGGACGTTACAGGTACTTGACAGGTCTCGATGTGCTGCAAATCCCACTTCAAGATTCTGGACCAGAAACACGGAAGCTGATTATCAAAGCATGACACCTTATAGAAAGGCAAAATATCGATGTGCAACCAAATTCTCTTCCCGGACCATTCCCCATCTAAATAAGACAAAGAGATTAAGAGCGGAAGCTACAGCTACATAAGCGCGTATCGACATGCAACAAACTTATCTTCCCAGACCATTCCTTGGTTAAGTAAGACAAAGAGACTAAGAGCGGGAGCTATAGCTACATAAGCGCGTATCGATCTGCAACAAAACCCGTCCTCCCAGCCTATTCCTACTTTGTGAACTATGACGGAGTACAAACAGAAATGGCGCTCTGTCGCGATGTGCAACAAAACCTATCATCCCAGCCTATTCCTACTTTGTGAAGTATGACGGAATACAAGCAGAAATGGCGCTCTGTCGCGATGTGCAACAAACTCTATTTTCTTGAGCTATTCCTTATTCAGGTAAGACGACAGACTAAGAGCGGAAGCTACACATGCTCTGTGATAGGCAACATTAAGAGTGATTGTGGTCTAGAAGAATGGGACCTTGCCTCGGACCGCACAGCACCAATGTACAAAGCAATAGTAAGAAAAAGCACGAGATTAGGAAACATGTTCCAAAACCATCATCAAATTGAATAGAGACTCAAAGCTATGTACGAACCCACCCCTCAAAAAACGCCAATCATCATCATTACCATCCAAAACCACAAATCTAATCCTCCCATCTCACCAAAAAACTTTTCTCTAAGCCAACTCGGAAACCTTGGGATACGGCCATCTCCAGTTACGAATATAATCCGGGTCGATACCATGCTCGAAAGCCCACGTCTTAGCCGCAATCTGAAGGTTCATCAACTTCTCGCGCACACCGCTGGCTCTGTTGTGCAGAGTGGGAATACGGTCGATGGCGTCCATGGCTAGGGAGTATCGATCTGTTTGGTTGCGGATGGCGAGTTCGAGGGGTGTATCGATGTTGCCCTTCTCCTTGTAGCCGCGGACGTGAATGTTCAACTGTCCAGGTCGTTTGTAGGTCAGACGATGGATGAGCCATGGGTATGAGTGGAAGTTGAAGATGATGGGTTTATCGTCTGTGAATATGGATTTCCATTCCCGGTCTGAAAGACCGTGCGGATGGTCGACTTCGGAAATCAGCTTGAAGAGGTCGACGACGTTGACGAATCTAATCTTGAGGTCGGGGAGGAACTCGCGGAGGAGGGCGACGGCGGCGAGGGATTCGTGGGTTGGTACGTCGCCGCAGGAGGCCATTACGACGTCGGGTTCGACGCCTTGGTCGTTGGATGCCCAGTCCCAGATTCCGAGGCCCTTGGTGCAGTGCTCGATGGCTTCTTCCATGTCGAGGAATTGCAGATGGTCTTGTTTATCGGCTACAATGACGTTTACGTAGTTGACGCTGCGGAGACAATGGTCTGTGACTGAGAGAAGACAGTTTCCGTCAGGGGGAAGGTAGATACGAACGACTTCTGGTGACTTGTTGGCGACGACGTCGAGGAAGCCGGGATCTTGGTGAGTGAAGCCGTTGTGGTCTTGACGCCAGACGGTGGCTGTGAGGAGAATGTTGAGAGAAGCGACCTTAACACGCCATTCGACCTCGAGACACTTCTCGATCCATTTGCAATGTTGGTTGACCATGGAGTCGATAATGTGGATGAATGGTTCGTAGCTGTTGAGTAGACCATGTCGGCCAGAGAGAATGTAACCTTCAAGCCAACCTTCGACAGTATGCTCAGAAAGCATTTCCATGACACGTCCTTCCATGGCAAGATTTCCTCCATCTAAATCTTCCTCGAAGTAGTCAGCCATCCAGACCTTCTTGCCTGCCTTGTAGATCTCGCCAAGCTTATTCGATTCAGTCTCATCTGGGCCGAAAACACGGAAGTTGGTCATGTTCTTGGCAACCACATCTCGAAGAAGCTTTGCCATGTTCGACATGCTAGGAAGGTTAGAGATACCGGGCTCGATTGGTCCAAGTGCGTATTTCCGGAAGTCCGGCATATCGAGAGGCTTACGAAGCAAGCCACCATTACCGACCGGGTTGGCACTCATACGAGCATTGCCAGTAGGAGCAAGTTCTTTGAGCTCTGAAATCAGCTTACCCTCCTTGTCGAAGACCTCTTCTGGCTTGTAGCTCTTCATCCAGTTCTCCAAAACCTTGAGATGTTCTGGGTTCGTAGCAACATCTGGGATTGGGACTTGATGAGCACGCCAGAAACCTTCGAGAAGCTTTCCATCAACCTTTCTTGGTGCAGTCCAGCCCTTAGGACTTCGGAGAACAATCATGGGCCAACGTGGTCTGAACGCCTTCTTCGAGTCTCGTGCTTGCTTCTGGTACTTCTTGATCTCGAGAACGCAGTGTTCTAATGTAGCTGCCATTGCCTGGTGCATAGACTCCTGGTCACTTCCTTCGACAAAGTATGGGGTCCATCCATAGCCGATGAATAACGAGGTCAGCTCCTCGTGGCTGATACGGGCGAGAAGAGTTGGGTTGTTAATCTTGTATCCGTTCAAGTGAAGAACAGGGAGAACGGCACCATCGGTGATGGGATTGAGGAATTTAGTGCTGTGCCAGCTCGTAGCAAGAGGTCCAGTCTCCGCCTCACCATCTCCTACCATCGTGACTGTGATCAGGTTGGGGTGGTCGAAGACAGTTCCGAAAGCATGTGATATTGAATAGCCGAGCTCTCCGCCCTCATGAATACTGCCTGGTGTCTCTGGAGTGGCATGACTGCCAATACCGCCTGGGAATGAGAATTGCTTGAAGAATCTTCGCATGCCCTCCTCAGTCTCAGCCTTGTCGGGGTAAACTTCGGAATAAACACCTTCAAGATATGATTGTGAGATGATACCTGGAGCTCCGTGACCTGGGCCCGAAACGAATAGTGCATCCAAGTCGTATTTCTTGATCAAACGATTCATATGCATCCATGTGAAGGATTGACCGGCATCTGATCCCCAATGACCGAGTAATCGAGCCTTGAGATGATCGACTGTAAGAGGCTCCTTCAGGAGAGCGTTTTCGCGGAGGTAGAGCATGCCTAGACATAAATACATACTCGCTCGGAAGTAAGCATCGAATTTGCGAATCTCCTCTGCGCTCAAAGGCTTCCCCTCTACTGTTGATCGAGCAACTCCATAAGGTGAAATGCTCTTGGCGACGACCTCGTCTGCTCCTGGTGCCATGGTTGCGAGGTTTGAGGTTGTCTTTGCAGACGTTGTGATTGTTTGTAATACTCGAGTAGTCGAGAATGTGGGGTGCAATCAACTTGTTTTTGTTGTTGATGTTGATGGTGGGAAGAGGAACCTCAAATAATAAGAGGATCTTTGAGTTTCCGAAGTGGTTCGATTTCTCGAAGTGAATGGATTGTATGAATGAAATGAAAGAGATCAGAGGAAAGTGGCAGCGCCTTACCTTTTAAATGAATCTGTTCGGGAGGGAAGAGCAAACGACCGTGATAGCAGCGAGAGTTGTGAGAGCAATAGAGGGGCAGTGGCAGCACGGGCGAGCTTCGTGGAAGCATGATAGGCCGGGTACAAAGTGGCCTGATCATGGAGTTCGCAGTCTGCAGTTGTCCTGGAGCTTGGCCTGCACCACAGATTCTGGGTTTGTCGATGAGAGGACAGGATGGCGATTGCTGAGATTGTGGGGTGATTATGTGGCACAACAATTTGTCCCTCACTCACGGTTCTGGCCGCCAATTGAGTCGTGAAGACCAACGAATTGCTGCAAATACAGCACTCCCACGATACTGCGGGCCGAACGATGCTCCCAGCTTACTGTGGCCCCTCAACGGCAACTCCTGTACGTGCTATTCGCAATCGTGCTTCGCGGTGATAGGGCTGGTGGCCGCCATGCTATTCATGTTTCTCCCAGACGTGCAGAGACCCAGACTTTGGATCTTGTCAAGGTTGGGTGAAGGACGTTGATGGAGGGGTTCATAGAGGGGCTCATGCAGACGAACGCTCTCTGCGCCACCAAACATCCATGGACTGATTATGACGATGACGCACCCTAATCATCGTACGAGTTTATCCGTACGCGCAGAAAATCCTTTCAAGCCAGAATTTGTTCCCGAAGACGGGTAATTTTGAGCTGGGAAGAGATCCGAGATGTGTGGCCTGATGTTTTGGAAAATTTGGTACAAGAGAAGAGAAGAAAGTTGCTTTAGTCTCGGCGGGCGGCGCGGTGCTACTTGAATCTTCCGAGTCATGTGTATTTCGCAGGATCTCTTGATGTCTTTGGGGAATTAAGTTGGATAAGAGTGTATACAATCGTCAGGTATCGTCAATTTGCTGTACAGTAAGGTTCATCCACATAATCAACCTAATTACCAAAATACCTAGGTACCTAGAACAATCAACACATCACGTGATAGTACATATCCTCAGGTAAGGCTTTGCGACCGAGTAAATCCTATTCAACAATATTTCAAGCTAATCTGTGCATTCCTTCAGTACTTCAAATCTTCTCAATCATACGTGCTGCGTCGTTTGTGATATTCTTTATACCAGGTGACTTGGTGTTTCTAGTCGACGGGAGGCGCTTGAACGAAACGCGACTTCCTCTTTCTCTTCACTTTCTCAGGGCCGTTCTTCTTTGCTCACGGTGATCCACCATTCTCATACTCATGGTTGCAAAATAATATGTTGAATATCAAGCACCGGAAAAACTTCTTTGACGACCTAGGGTCACCAGACTGTTTTGTCACTATTTCAAGCACGCGTTTCAAGCATTGCTCGCTGTCTACTTCATCTGCACGCTGCTTATTCCATGCCTTCCTCATCGCCCTCAATGGATTCCAATCCTTCTTCTGTGCCTTCAGAAGACCAATCTTCACCACCCAAGAAGAATCGCACAGCGATGACTTGTCCATTCTCCTCGGCCACAGCAATTCTAGGCGGACTTCCAACTTCGTCCTGAAAGACTAGATGCTACGTTAGCATGCCCACGAAGCATCCGAGAGAGAGACACCAACAATTCATCCCTCCGATTGTGAGCCCTTCTTGATCCCCAACTCCAATATCAGCGCCATTCAAGGACAAGGTCTCCAAATAGTACCCAAAGTCCAGCTCCTCGTCACTGTCACCATCACCGAACATGATAGCTCTGGCCGCTTTATGCGTCAGGTATTCGGTGGAAACGATGGTGCAAATACCTCCATCATCAAAGTAACTTCCGTGGCGTCGCCATTTCGTGCCTGGAGGTACAATCTTGGAGATTGTTACAGCAGCATCACCTTGGCGAGTTGCTTCTTCGTACGCTTTCCAGTCATCAACAGATTGTGCAAGATCAATTGATCCTTCGCACACCCAGCGGAGGATACACTCCCGGTCTGGTTGGTCAGGCTCTGCATCTGAAAGCTCTCTCGTCATAGACGTCCAAATCCCTGGCTTGCAATTTCGAATCTGATCACTCATATTGAAGAATTCCTCAAGATTATCCTCGTGATAGTCCTCGTTCTCATGACCAAAAATCAGAAAGCCTATTCCAAAAGGCGGATTTGCTGATATATGAAACCGACGAGGAGTGAGCGTTGTCAATTGTCTGAGTCTGTCATCCTCTTGTTCGTCCATTTTCAGAATTGGTAGCTATCGTTAGACTGGGAGATGCATAAAGTTCGCAGGATGAGGATATCTTGGAGTATATCTAGGCGCGGTATCGATTACTCATTCCTCGTATGCATAACTGAAATATGCTAATGCTTGGTTGCTAGGCTTATACGAAGAAGGCGATCGTAACAACCCTTGGATCTCACCGTCAGAATATTTGCCTCTCTACATCGGCCGCAATTCTTTTTTGACCTTGATCCAATGTTGTTGACAGTGCCTACATGGCATTTACACACGGACTTTATTTTCTTAACGCCTGCTCCTGCTCGCAAATCAGAAGTGCAGTTTTATACCGTACGTGCATACGCCACAGTGGCTTGCATGATCAAACCACGTATTCGCTACCATAGACGAGGCTGTTAATGCAGCTACATACACGAAGCAGACGTCGAAAATTGTCTTGAAGTAAGTTCATTGCTCAGTAGAAAAGGTCGGTATTTCGAACATTGCCAGTCTCGGCATGTCCAGAGAAGGCGACGGTCTTCACCCGCCATCAATCGGCATGGCGGCAGCACGCCCTTCTTTGTCATCCAACAAGCATAACGCCTCCAATTTTGCTCCACTGTCTCTCCCAAGGTCAATTCGCCTGTTGCGGATCGTAGCTCTGTCTCCTGAAGCAGGATCTCCTTCTCAGGATCCTCCTGTCCTGGGAGTTTTCCTCGAACAATTTCATCTTGATCAATCTCCAGAATATCACGCATTGTCATACACGTGGGGAGAGGCGTGTCGGGCAGATATAGAAGACACTGATGCTCCAGAGACTGCAAGTACGAACGGATGCCCGACAATCCTGGTTCTTGAAAATACTCGTAGCCCAGGCGAGCCAACGAGTGAAGATAAATCCAGCCAAGCCAATTTTCGGCCGCAAAGAAAACCTTACTTGATCACCCAAAATCTTCAAGATGGCTTGCAACACCTTGCTAGGACGGTTTATGCTGGGAAGTGGTTTTGGATTGATGCACTCTGTATTGATCAAGAGAACCTTAGCGAGAAGGCAATACAGGTCGCATTGATGGGCGAGATCTATTCCAAAGCTTCGAAAGTGATCATCTGGCTCGGGTCGGATACGAAAGACTTGGAGGAAGTCGAATGGCTGTGTAATGATTATCTGATCGCCTTGTCTAATTATTACTTGACTTTCGGCATGGAAGATCTGAGAGCGCAGACCCCCTACAGTCCCAAGCTCTTGGCTCACTTGAATCTTCAGCTTCCGCATGGAGATATCCTCCTCTGCTGGGAGAAATATCTCGAATTCTGCAGACGTAGGAGATGGCTCTCTCGAATATGGATCGTTCAAGAAGTTGCGCTTGCAAGAGACATCGTTGTTGAGTGTGGTGAGACATCACTTGTCTGGGACCACTTGCAGACTCTGGGTAGGTTGATCAAAGCGCTAGGTTGGCAGCCAATGACCGCTCCCAGTGTCAATAAAGCCTTTGGAAGGGCCATCTGCGACGAGGTCATCAGACTCTTCTTGGTAAAGGACGACTTGGGTGCAGCAACGGAGAGATTGAAGAAACGTGGAACAGTACAAGGCGAACTTGCCAATTCTTTTGCCAACAGTCCAGACACTTCTGACCAAGATGTCCATCTAGAATGGTACCGGTATCTGCAAAGACTTCTCTACACCACTCGACCTTATTCAGCTACCGATGCTCGAGATAAGATCTTTGGTTTGCTGGGTATTGCACAGACAGTCCTTCCCGTTGGTATGCCATTGCCTATCCAGCCAGATTATTCTGAACACTCTACCGCTGTGTCAGTCTACACTTCAGTCTCATCTATGCTACTTGAGAAGGTCTCTAGGTCACAGAATCTGTCATTTGTCGAAGATCCTGGAAGCCGCATAATTCAGGGTCTACCTTCATGGGTTCCAGATTACTCGGTCACCTTAATCACTGCACCACTCACTTTGATTCGTCATCCAGATCATTTGTTTGACTGTTGTCCTGTCGAAGGGTCCGTGATAACGCCCTTCACCATTCAACAGAGTACGCTCGAGACAGAAGGAGCAGTCTTTGATCACATTGTAGCATTTGGCCCACCAATGTGGGATGTGCTTAAGAAATCCAACGTCAAATCATGCCTCGACATGTGCAAGAACATTGTTCAACCATACCTCGATACTAACCAAGACCCCTCTGAAGTGCTCTGGAGAACACTCATAGCAGATACCTACGCCAGCTTACCCGCAGCTCCCAGCATACTCGCCTCCTTTAAAGCATGGACACGAAGCCGAATCGCACAAGATCTAACACCAGACATTATCTCAACTGACGAAACAGGTGCACAAGTTACCAACGTACTCCTCAACGAATCACAAATTCGAGCCCAACTTTCCTTCGTACAGGACCTCCACGATACTATCCCTGCTCTCTCACTACCAACAGTGAACGAAGTCCTAGATACAATTCGCATCACCCACCGCTTCATGCTTCAAGATTTCGTAGCGAGATACGCAACTCTGGACCCGAACGACCCGTTCCCATCGAGATCGGAGCAACGTTATCGGATTGAAGCCGACGCTGGGGCATATCATGAGGCTTTAGGCATCTCGGCTCCTTTCCGGAGACTATTTAGAACCGAACGAGGATTCCTGGGCTTGGGACCACAGAGTGCGGAGGTTGGCGATGGAATATGGTTGCTCAAAGATGCTGCGGTGCCATTTGTGTTGAAGGCGGGAGATGAGGACGGGACGATGAGGTTGGTTGGAGAGTGTTACTTGCACGGGTTTATGGGTGGAAGGATGGCTCAGGAGGTGGGAGGTAAGGTTGCGAGGATTCGGATTGTTTGAGCTTTCCGAGGGCAATATAGTCGGACCTATTTACTTTTGGACTATCATGTCCTGATCTGATGGGTGCGAATCGCCCTTGTTTTCTGGACCTCGTTCTCATTATTCGGGCTCGCTATGGATGCGGTTTGAACAGAGCGAGAACCTCGCTTAGCTTTGTAAACAAGAGCGCATCTTCAGTATATTCAGCCCATGACGAACGCCTGTGCTATCATAATGAAATTCATCGCTAGTATTGCATAAGGTCTTCAAAATAAAACAATTCTCAAACCATATAAACACCCTTACATAAAGCACTTCTCAAGTGTCATCAATCATCTCTCCGCCAAAAAAGACAAAAAAAAAAAAAACCTCATAGACCCCAGGAACAAAACAAACTCCCGCGGCTGCAGGAGAACAAATAACCCATCGACCCTCGGGGTTTTTGCTTTTTATCACGTCGTCTTTTGTTGTATCCCGGACCGCACTCCCCATACAAGTGCACATCCGAGTCATCTGCGTCGGGGGACCCTCCGTCACGCTAAGTGTCCCTTGTCGCCTCGTATGCGGGGCCGCTGTTTGTATTTGTTAGTGTTTTGAAGGCTTGTGTTTTTTTTGGGAGGGGAGGGGGATAACTTACGCGTTTAGGCTGCGAGTGGCGATGGGAGGCTTTGGGGTATTGGGGGTTATTAGGGAGGGTGGGTAGGCGGTGGGGGATAAGGCTGGTAAACTAAGGGGGATGACGAAGGTGAATGGGATGTGATGTCAGGTATGGAGGTTTGGATGATGTTTTGCTAGTAGGTATCTACTTCTCCAATAACCATTCTCCCACGGTCTTCAAATACAACTCCTTCTCTTCATACAATCCCATATGCGAACTATGATGGAACTTTACATACTTAACGCCCTTGATATTATCCAAGAAAGGCTTGATAGCCTCGTCAGTTGCACCTTCGTTGACTCCGTTGATGACTAGTGTCGGGACGGAGATCAGCTTTGAGGCTTCGACTGCGGACCAGTTTTTCATGTTGCCGGTTACCACGAATTCACTTGACCCGGACCTATTTTCTATATCAATATCTTTTTTCTTTGGGAGAAGGAGAGCAGGGACCTACATGGTCTTGCTGACTGTTTCGTCTTTTCCGGCCCACTCGAAACTCACTGCAAGTTCAGGAGGAGCTTTCTCGCCGAGACAATGCTTTGCCATGAATTTCTCCATCGCAGCCTATGACACCCGCTTCGTTAGCCTCCATCCCTTACAACCAAGAATAAAGACATACCTCATACTCCTTCGACTCCCTCTCTCCAGTCTCCTCCCCCTTTTTGATAGCCGCTTTGACATCATCATCCATCGCCTCCTATCAACAAATCAGCTCAATTTCTCCAAAAGTTTCTCAACCCCTAACTTACCAAGTACCGCCCATAAGCATCAACCCACGCACTCATATACGCCGGCGCATTCCCCAAAATCAACTTCCTCAACCCCTTCGGACTAGGCGTCCTCCCCGCAAACGTAGCACCCATCATACCTCCCCAACTATGTCCCAATAAATCCCCTAAATAAATCTCATCAGCAACCTTTCTCTTTCCCCTCCCCTCTAATCTCCTCTCACTTACAAGAATCTCCAATCCCCAACCCCACCACCAAATTCTCCAACTCCCTCCAAAACAGCTCCTCCACCCAGAAACTCTCATCCCCGCTCTTCTCCCTCAGATGCGTACTCTTCCCATTCCCAATCTGGTCATAAAATACGACTGGAATACCATACAGAGAGTTGAGTTCAGACAGCTGCAGCAGGTAATCGTGCGTGAGGCCGGGGCCGCCGTGCACGACGACCACGGGCGTGGTGCCCGAGTGCAGGTCGCCGATGGTTTTGTACCAGGTGGAGCACGGTTTGTCGATTCCGGGGATGGGGAAGGGGAGCGTGCCTTCTTTCTCTGATGCCATTTTGGATGATGATTGGGGAGGCGGGAATGGTTGTGGCAAGTGAAGGGTGAGGTGAAGATGTCGTCGTCAAAGTCTCGGCTAAATGCTCAGCTCAACTCTGCTTCTTCTCTTCCAGAATTGATATAATCCACGATCCAGCAATGAAACCTGTCTTTTCTCTGCCAAGAAGGGAATTGATGTAATCTTATATCTCCTTTCCGTTTCTGTTCCTGCTTAACGTACGTAGCATCTAGAATAGTGAAAAGTGGGCATATCTTCGCGCGGAGTAATCACCAGCCCAATCAGGAAGGTCCTGTCGGCTATTAAACATCCCGTTTTACTATCTGCTATCGAGCAGAAAGGCACAGTAAATTGGATAGCTTGCAGGTGAATGAGTCATTCGGGACAAAAATGCTCGTTTGCTGATATACAGAAGGGTATACGAATCTAATCACGCTTTTCTGAACCTATGTACTCGCTCCCATAATCATCCCATCAGATCCTCTCCTCCTCATCACTACTATACGAATAATTCGCCCCATCACCCCCTCCCATGACCATCTCTTTCCCCTTTCCCTTCCCTTTCGTAAAGCTCGTGAACCTCTGAATTGCACTTGGTCGCCTCTCTCTAACCACCTCCTGCTGCTCGTCAAAATTATCTTCGTACCATAAAGCCGGAACCAGTATTCGATAAGGTGCCGTGGCTCCAGTTGGTTCTTTGGGGTTGATTTCAACGTTTAAACAGATGTCAAGACTGTTTTCGACGTTGATTTCGAAATCACCGCCTCTCTTTAGCTTCTTTTCGGATAAACCGGTTGGTGTACGCTTGAATGCATTTCGCTGGAGACCTTTTGATGCTGGCGCACCGGCGATGGATGTGGGTATTTGATCTGAGGGGACTTCTCGCGAACGACCATTCGGCGGAGGGAGAGATGGGAAGTAGCCACCGTCGTCCTCTGGGCCCCCGCTTCCGCCTCGAAGTCCAGGTCTGGGTGGTGCATCATCGAAAGACATGTCATCCTCGCTGTCTCCATAACCATTGATGCCTCCACTATCCGATCTGCGCTTGCTGCTTCTCCTAAATAGACCTTTGGGCATGAAGTCTTTGCGGGTCAAGGACAATGTTCTTGTGAGGACACCAGGCCGCTGTGAGTCTACAGAGCCCCGTCGCGTTGTTGATCCACGTCGAGAGAAGAAACCAGGGTTTGAGAGAGGCGGTGCATCTGTTGATCCTCGTCGGGCGAAAAATCCAGCGTTGGATACAGGTGGCGCATCGGAACCTCGACGCATACCCCAAAAACCTGTGCCTTGAGACGGTATCGCAGCATCGGGTCGATAGCTTGGTCCACGGGAATTCGACAAACGACGAAGCAAACCTCCTCTTGGAGGAGGTGAAGGTGAGCCATCTGTTTGTGGCGTGGGAGGCGGTGAAAGCTCTGGATCGTACATCCGTATTGAGCACCAATTTCTGCGATTGAGAAGTCGTTTGTTGTTTCTTGGTTTGCCATTCACATCTTGGATGAAGATGGGTATCATGTCCTCATCAGTATCTGCATCAAGGTGATGGACTTTGTTTCGTTTATTGAGTAAGTCGGCAAGAGTGTCTGGCGGCGGAGCGTTAACAATAGCTGAAGATACAATGTTTGGCATGTATCTGAAGTCACGATCTTTCGCAATGCCAAGCTTCGGGTTGGAGTAGAATTGGCCGATAGCCGCAAGATGAACATCACCACTAAAACATTGTCAGTGGGGAACCAGAGGGAGTGTCATCTGAGATTACCCAAGAATAGTGACTCGAACAGACTTTTCAGCAGCTATGTCTTGCAGCTCCTGAATGAACCGATTTCGCTCCTTCTTGTGATGTCTTGCGGTCCAATGATCATCGAGGTCATCAAGAATCTCAACGCCCCCATCCATATGGTTAAGAAGCTTTTTACCCAAAAGTCCTGCTCTTCCCAGAGCTTTGACTGGTTCCATAACTCTTGACGTAAGGCTAGAAAAGTGATTAGCTACGAACTAAAATCCAGAAATGGAAACGTACATATTCTCCAGCCAGACCATCCTTGGATAAGCCACCGGAATGCCGACAAGAACGATCAAATGTTTCGTCTCGCCCTTGATGATTTCTCTATCAAGTCGATCAAAGACTTTGTCATACGTCTCCCGGCTTACTACCTCGTCGTACATCCTTTCAGTTCTACAATCCAAACCGAGGAAGGCAACACTTCTACCCAAGTGTGTGAAAACACTTCGACTAAGCTCTTGGATATAAGGACCAGGCTGTGTACCCAGAATCCAGGTCGGTTCATTCTCTTCTCCTTCGTCAATACTACTCTGGTGTTGGAACAGCATGTAATATTTGAAAGCCACCATTCCCAGGCCGGAGAACACAGGCGAACTCATATAGTCATCCGGATATGATCCAAATCCATCAATGATGTCGTGATCATCAAAGATGTTGATCATAGGGATTTGAGACACAGCGAGGCCAAAAAGTCCTTGCGAGAACCACATGCAGTATCGATTTAAGTAGAATTCTTCCAATTCTTGCTGAAGTTCGTTGGTGAAAGGAAGTCTCTCTTTGTGAAGCGGATTTTTGATGTCCATCCATTCCTTGAAATGGACTGTCTCTTCCATGACCCTGTCGTTGTAGATCTGATCGCCCCCTCCTAGCATGACATGGAACGGCTGAGTTTGATGAGTATTCAGGACGTCTCTCCACATTGGATCTGGACCACAGAACTGATTTGGGTTAATATCGTGACTGAATCCATTGCAGCTGTGGAACATGATGTTCATAGCTTCACCACGTGCGGGAACCCAGAAACCAGTCGCGGGACCACGATTAATGCGGTAGGCGATTCGTTGTTGTTTTTCTCGAAGTTCAATCTCCAGATTGAATCGCCAAAACGTGACGCCATGTTCAGCGTGGAGTCGGAAACCACGGACTTCCTTGTACTTCCCAGCTTTCTCGCCATCATACTGGGTTCTTCTGGTTGCAGGGTTCCGGTCTGCAGCACCATCCACAAGAGTCCTCTGCATTTCGTATAGGCCCGCGTCAGACTCCTCTCTTGACAAATCCTTTTCTTCCTCGAGATCGTCAACTGGACGAATATACAGTGTTCGCCCATCTCTTCCCATTCTCGGTAGGCCTGCAAGTGGGTCAACATACTCTGGAGCTAATTCTTCGCCGTCGAATTGCGGCGGAGGAAGAAGCTCGATTGGTTGCAAGAACAATCGTAAAGTAGGCGCCAATTCATATGAAGATTGGGAATCATTGGTCACGATCATTATACTTCCCCTCCATATTTCTCGGTCTGGGAGTACAGCGTTTCGTGGAGAGCGGGTCTTCGTCTTTTCTCGTCGCAGGCCACAATATCGCAACATAGGTCCACTTTTGAGGAACAATGGTGGTTTGAATCTTGTTGGTGCTATATCAGGCCGAACGCGGATAGCCCGCATCGGACAAGTCAGTAAATGAGGCTTGAGTATTGGTACAGGGGGTATTTTAGGGATCGTCTTTTGGTTCGGAAGCGATAGAGCAGCAGTGGATGATGGCGACTCAAGTGATTCCATCTCAGAAGAGGGTTGACCAGCTTGAGCGACTCCATGCTCTGACACATATTTGCTCTTCGTCTTTCGATCGTAACCAGCAAGGTGACGAGACCGTAGATTGACCGCATTCTGGCGATACTGTCGCTCAGAGGCGCAGCCTTCACAATTTTTTGTAAGGGAGATGTCAGGATGCATACCGCTACTATCATCGTACTCCCCATCGTATGCCTCTGCTTTTCTCTGTTTGACCGAGCTTCGCCTCCGAGTGGTATTGCCCGCCTCCCACCATGCTTTGTCCTTTTCAGCTTCAGTCTTCTCATTGACTTCTAGGTCAAGTGCAGCTCCAGACAAAAGCGCCACACCACCTTTCTTCCATTCATCTAAGCGCCGAGGCGCAGTATAGACACCTGTCTCGGTTGGATGCCCTTGCTTGTGATGTAGGATGTTTGATAGATGAGGGTGAGGTTTAGCATTTTGGCGAGGAACATCATCAGTTGGGCCATCAGAGATAGTGGGCGACACATTGAAATGAACGCCATTGACCTGTTTATTGTCAGCACTCAATATATCTAATATTCGTGGTCATTGTGTCGGAGATTTCCATGCTTGTCCGACAGTAAGACCCGACATTGACGCAACTAGATCTTCGGACGAAAGTGACACTCAAACTTGGGTGTAAGTGCTCAAGCCAGGACAAACAATGCAATCTCTGTTCTACAACGAAGGGAAGTAGTCAATCATACCTTGACACGTTCTGTCCGAATGCCCTTGTCGTTTTTCGGCATTGATGCGGCTGGAATGGGAGCTTTATGGCCTGTCAATTGTTCTATCTTGCTCAAAGTTCCCCGTCGGACAGGTTTTGCGTCAACCTCGTCGTCGTTATAAATATCTTCGTCTTGACCAGAGTCTCCCGGCAGTGTTGGAAGCTCTTTCTCCTTGATAGTCTGTGGATGGCTCCTGAATGCAGTCTCTTTGGAAGGCCTAGTAGCACTAGCAGTAGTTTCCTGGGTTTTGCTTACAGAAGTCTTTCGAGGTACAATAACCTCAGGATATTTCTTTTCCGCTTCTACACGCTTGTGCAACCATGGGTCGCCGGGAGGGTCCTTTTTCAGCTTGTTGCTTCCGCTTCGACTCAGTCCGGATGCCGCTACTGCTGCTGCCCCAACCCCTGCTGTGGCGACAGGAATATAAGATCTTTCCCGAAAGCTTGCCCCACGTTTTGGAGTTGTTGCTGTTTCTATTTTCCTAGGTACATCGGTGCTCTCTTGTCTTGCTTGATCTGTCAAAATCAGTGCCAAGTCATATGTTGTGTGTAAATTCAACTTACTCTTATTAGAAGGAGAAACGTCTGAGCCTGACGGCCGGGTTCTTTCATCGGTACCGCTTCGTGGTGAGCGCTCTTTCTGCTTGGTGCTCTGGTTTCTGTCCAGACTCGATTCTGGAAGACTTTGAGGTTGCGAGTGAGATGTGCTTTCAGAAGCTTTGGCTACAGGCCTGTTTCTAAACCGTACCGAGTTCTGCGTGGGTTTCTCATCAACTCGGCCCGCTTTTGCTTCCCGGGCAAATTGTTCGGCCTCCTCAACCCGAGCTCGCTTTTCCTCTTTGGTAATGCTATCCAAAGTCAACTCTAGTCTCTGTAGAGGAGATCGATCTGATGCCCACTCTCTGCGCCTTGAAACTTCTGCATCCGCAAGAGATCCCTTTCTAGATTGCGATTGTCCGGCCGTGTGGTCAATACTCTGCCTCACTCTGGCTTTACCATTTGCAGGTTCAGTCCTTCTGGCGCGACCGACTTCAGCAACAGGTTCGTCTCTTGACCCTTGTCGGTGGTATTCCTCCGCAGGCGCTTTACCAGAACTCACTGGTCCTTCGGTTCTTCTGCTCGAGCGTGACCTGGTAGGAGCTTGATAACTCGACGAGGAAGCGCTGTTGGTGTAAGGTTCTTTATAGCTAGATGGTGGAGGGACTCGAGGTGCATCGGGCGCGGCCGGTGGTATAAACTCCAGATCCTGTGGAGGAACTTCCTCTCTATTTCGACTTTCCCGCCGCCTTCTTCTGTCTATAGCCTCTTTATTGTATACTGGAGCAGATGCGCCGGCTTGAAAAGACGGTGGCCGAGGAGCCAACCCTTCACCACGAAATTCGGAAGCTATGGGCGAGACAAACGGACTGTTCGTGGAATAAGTAGCTTCAGTCTTGTCGGTTTGTGTGGAAAATCGATTCTGCCTCGAAGATGCTGGCGCAGCGGATTGACTCGACAAACGATCGCCTGTCATTTTCGTATCTATCATTAGGTCGTTGTTTCCCTTCGTGGTGTAACCTTCTTCACGCCGTAGTGAGTTTCCTCGAGCTACCTTTGGCGGAGGAAGCTGCCCCCAGTATGGCGTCGTCATTATTCGCAACCGTCGATATCGAAATGGCGGAACCAGTCTGCGACAAAATGTATGGGAAGTATGTCGGATGGCAGAGCTTGTCCGAGCTATACACGATCAAGATGCACCGAGATCCAGCTTCTCCATGGGTCAAGATGAGGTGTGAAATGCTAAGCCGCAGATTTGGGAATCCTCGTCATCAATCACCACGCTGTCTTTGGTGGTTTGCGCCGGGATGGATCAGTGGCCAGTCACGATGGCAGATTCAAAAGTCGAATTGGCAGATGCATGATTAGCTCGTAGCAAATCGGATAGCAAGTAGAAAGAGTCGGACGAACTGCAGGATATGCAGCAACAGAGATAGTGTACGTAGATTTCTGCAGATTTATTTGGGAGGTTGGGCACAACCAGCACACACCAAGTTATTTTTTGTGGCTTCGAAGAGCATGGATAATGTGATAATATGATAGACGACCAGGATGCCGAGTCAAGCTTAGCGTGGTACATGTGTACCTCCGTACAATAAAAAAATAACAGGCAATATGAAGTGCTGGTCTGCCAAGGGGACGGGACGGAAGTACCATGAGCGTTATCATATCCGCGCGCTCGTGAGACATCGTGAGACTTTGAATGTTGAAGACAGCCAGAATGATTCCGTGAATTAATTATGTACTCAACGCCTGAGGCCGCAATATACAATCCCATATCTTTTCTGGGGTTTCTTTAATTCGGCGCCGAATGTAGTTAGGTAGAGTCCGACGGCTAAGCTGGTGGCGCACCTGTCCCTTGTGGCTTAGATCGTCCCTCACTGCGGCGAAGTGCAGTGCTTTGCTTGGTGCTTTGTTCGAGTGCCGTGAGCGAGCGAGCGTGAAACATCGAAGGCCACCTAAGAACGAGAATAAGCTCGGACAGAACATCCATCCTCACTCTCAAACATCGAAACAAAACTCCATCCTCGACAATCTACCTCCTACGTTTCCTCTCATTCTCCCGGCTTCATCTGCGAATACCCTTTTTTCTTTGTCAAAGGCGATGCTGTATCCCCAATAACGTCCATTTTTCAACCTCAAGCTTTAGACGGCAACCTAGTCGTCGTACTCCTCGGGACACGACATTGAAACAGCAAACCATCAATGCGCGAACCTTGAACAGCCCTCACCATATCTACCTTCCTCGACACTCGACGTGTCTCTAATCTGATCTTTTTGCGCAAGTCTCTGGAGATCCCATTGCTGCAATGAGATTACACTCCATTCTAGGCCTCGTTGGCCTGGGATACCTGGCGTCAGCCTCGAATCTGCATGCTCGAAACTACGAAGCGCAAGACTACTACGTCCTTCACCTCGATCCGACAACTCCTCCATCACAAGTTGCAGTCAAATTGGGCTTGACGCATGAGGGCCCGTTGGGGGAGCTACAAGATCACCATGTCTTTTCATGCCATAAGCAGGAAGAAGACGTGGTACACACGGCTTTGAAGGAACGACGACGCCGGAAGCGGTCAATTGGAGGATACGATGTCCTCGATGGAGTCAAACTTGCACAGAAACAGAAGCTGAAGGCTCGTATGGAGAAGAGGGGGATAATACCGCCTCGGCCGGCAGGATATGCTTCTCCGATTGAAGAGAGGCAGACCCCTGAAGAGGCCGCTGTGGCAAAGCAGGCCTCAGTTGCAGCGGCTTTGGGTATTCAAGATCCCATTTTCAATGAGCAATGGCATCTTTTCAATCCGGTCCAGATCGGCCATGATGTTAATGTTACCGATATCTGGATGCAGGGCATCACAGGTCACAATGCGACTGTGGCAATCGTGGACGACGGGCTGGACATGTACAGCGATGATTTGAAGGACAACTACTTTGCCGAAGGGTCATACGATTTCAATGATAACCAACTCGAACCGAAGCCGGTACTGTCCGACGACAAACATGGAACACGTTGCGCAGGAGAGGTCTCGGCTGTCAAGAATAATGTTTGTGGTGTTGGCGTTGCATGGGACTCTAAGATTGCAGGCATTCGAATTCTGTCTAAAATGATCACTGACGCCGACGAAGCTATTGCTATGAATTACGCATATCAAAAGAATCAAATCTATTCGTGCTCATGGGGTCCACCAGATGACGGCAGATCTATGGACGCTCCAGGAATACTCATCAAAAGAGCTATGCTCAATGCTGTCCAGAATGGACGAGGTGGCCTGGGTTCAATCTATGTGTTTGCTTCTGGAAATGGAGCTATGAACGAGGACAACTGCAATTTTGATGGGTACACAAACAGCATCTACAGTATCACTGTGGGGGCTATTGACCGAAAAGGGCTTCATCCATATTATTCTGAGAAATGCTCAGCCCAATTGGTTGTGACCTACAGCAGTGGCAGTGGGGATGCTATTGTAAGTATACTCTACCCGCATCAGAATCGCACTAATCAGTATCTAGCACACCACAGACGTTGGCACCAATGCTTGCTACTCTGGACACGGCGGAACTTCAGCTGCAGCACCACTCGCAGCAGGGATCTTTGCTCTCGTCTTGCAAATCCGGCCAGACTTGACCTGGCGAGACATGCAATATTTGGTCATGCAGACTGCCTTGCCGATCGATCTCGAGACGGGCGAGTGGCAAACAACTAGTATAGGACGAAAGTTCAGTCACACTTTTGGATACGGAAAAATCGACACTTGGGCTACAGTTGAAGCTGCCAAGACTTTCCAGAACGTCAAACCTCAGGCGTGGTATTATTCACCTTGGATCCATGTGAATCAAGCTATTCCTCAAGGTGATCAGGGCTTGGCTGTCTCTTTTGAAGTCACAGCAGATATGTTGATGGCTGCTAATGTTGAGCGTCTCGAGCATGTCACTGTTTCCATGAATATTGACCACAAACGAAGAGGTGACTTGAGCGTTGATCTCGTCAGCCCTGATAAGGTCATTAGTCATCTTTCTGTCACTCGTCGACTAGATACCGCCGCTGAAGGTTATAATGATTGGACTTTCATGTCTGTTGTTCACTGGTATGTTGACCTAGCGTTCGAATGTGGAGCACTGCTAACACAATTTAGGGGCGAGTCTGGTATCGGTACATGGACAATTATTGTCAAAGACACGGTGGTCAACGAATTTAACGGTACTTTCATTGACTGGCACCTGAAACTTTGGGGCGAGTCTATCGACGCTTCAAAGGCAACCCTACTGCCAATGCCATCTGAACACGATGATGATAACCACGACCTAGTCGTCTCAACCACCACAATTGCAGGTGCCACGACATCCGTGACCCCAGTAGCCACACCAACGTCTCTCATGGCCAATCCCACCGACCATCCCGATCGTCCTACTAAACCCACAGGCACAACGGATGAAGAGACCAGCGCTACCGCAACCAGCTCTCCTGCTGCTACAACCAGTGCTTCAAGTTGGCTCCCATCATTCTTCCCCACTTTCTCTTCAAAGACTCAGTTCTGGATTTATGGTGCTGCAGCATTAATCCTTATCTTCTGCTCGGCCCTTGGCATTTATCTCTACATGGCCCGCCGCAAGAGACTTCGTAACAACCCCCGCGATGAATGGGAATTCGACCTCCTCGAAGAAGATGAGACCGAAGGTCTCACAGGCGGCGGCAAGAAAGGCACTAAGAAAGGAGGCAAGCGCCGAGCAGGCGAGCTCTATGATGCCTTTGCTGCAGGAAGCGACGAGGAGAGCGAAGAGTATCTCGATGAAGGCGGTGATGAGAGAGAAAAGAAGCTCTATGAGAGCGATGATGAGGGAAAGCATGTCATTGGTGAAGACGAGGATGAGGAGGAGGGTGATCACAATGAGAAGAACCAGGGAGAGCATTTGTTGCGAAAGTAAAGGCGCTTGGACCGAAAATGGAAGATGCTTGGGAGGGAGCGTGGTTTTGTATATGGTGTTTACAAATAGGAGCAAGGTTGCATCGTTGGTCTCGTTCACATCTGAAAATCCATATATGTGCGCTTTGAATAAATAGATACATATATACAGGGTGTGCTCAAGTGAGATTGTTTTGGTCTGCTCCTTCTCCAAAAGGTTAGCCACTAGCTGCTTCCTAGTTCTATCCATGGCGCGAATAAAAAGCTCCTCCCGTTCCCGATTTCCTTTTCTTCCTCTATCACTCTCTTCGTTCTCGAGAACATTCGTTGATCTCATTTATTTCTCAATCGAGACTCTGCTTGGCCTTCAAGGCATCTAGTTTGACAAGCAAAGCTACAAGAGATCACATGGTTCGTCCTCACCACCCGAGGCCGTTTTCTTTCCTACATTATCAATTGCACTGAAATCTGCAACTCAGATGTCGCATACAACATTGTCTGCACGACAAGTTGCTCTACGGATCAACAACTTCTCATGAAGGATGTCGAGATCTTGTTCTTCACGATCTTAATTCAAGCCTGATGATTGGCAGGGCAAAACGCCCATGTTCACCGAGTATCCAGCCTCACCAGCTAGCTCAACTCTCTTTCGCACGTCTACCTATTTCTTTCAACAAACCCTCTTGATAGCAATCCTCATTGCCAACTAATATCTATTGCTGAGTGCTCTCAACAACAATTCAACAATAACTTAGCTCTACTCTGCCCGTATTCTGCAGTTGCCTATAGGGCTCAGCATGCACATACATTCAGCTTCGTTCACCAATCTAACCGACGACATTCCCATCAGCAGCCCTGCAGCTTTGAGGACAAAATGCTGTGCCAGAAATGCCAACGCATGTTTACGGGACAGCGAATTTTTGCGTCAGCTGCTGAGGGGCAATTAATGTCGGAATTGGTTATGGGAACCACAGACGATGCCAAATTTCGACATCACGTCAACCTTAATACTCTAGAACGTTCGGCTGCAACAGGTTGCCATGTCTGTGTCTTGATGATGGGCTGCCTTACTCGAGACGAGATCGAGATTCTACGGCCACCAGTAGAACGACCTTCGGAGCTTTACAAGATACTTTTCGAGATTAAAGAGCAACTCAACAGCCGCTATTGGCTACGGTTTTTCTTCGTGCATCCAACAGGCCAATCGTCGTCAGGATTGAATGCTATGTCCTCGCAGTCATCTACGGTACGATGCATCGAGAAACATTTGGACTTGTACCCAATGAGCAGTAAGTACTAACTATACGTTGTGCATCTTTCAAGCCACGTCAACCACTGACACTGTATTCAAAGAAAACTACGTTGCCGGCAGCGAATGGGGAGATTCGACACGTTCTCAGCAATCTTGGACTTGTGTGCATAAGTGGCTTGAAACCTGCATCCAGTCGCACAAGTCCTGTTCCTCACAGCCTTCGGTAGCTTCATGGAAACCGACGCGACTGCTCGATCTAGGTCCTATGGGAGCGAAGCTCCTTCCACGTCTTATCGAACATGAAGAGATACCCGCAGGAGTGGTATATGCGACTCTCAGTCATTGTTGTAAGTGTTTCTGCCCCTTCTCTATCAAATCTTTTCCTCCCATCTGCAAGGATTAGTATTGTAAGGGAGCTATTAGGGCGGCGTGTCAGGCATGCCCTTTCCCTAACAATTGGAGATCACGTACTAAACTTCACGATTCGTAGGGGGTTCTGCAAAAGTTTTCAAACTTCAGAAAGGAAGTATCTCCACGGCTAAGAATCAAGTATCTTTTCGTCACTTGTCAAAAACCTTTCAAGATGCAGTTGAAGCCTGTCGGAGAATGAAAATCAGATACCTCTGGATAGACTCCCTTTGTATCATACAGGATTCGTCTGAAGATTGGGATGCGGAAGCATCTAGGATGGAATACGTTTACAACCATTGTGTTATTAACATCGCAGCAAGTCATGCCTTGGATGGTGGATGGGGTTTGCACACCGACAGGGATCCTCTAATTCTACAGCCATGCCCCCTCACGGTAACATGGGATGATGGAAAACCTATGGATATGCTCTGTGCGGATTTAGATGATTGGATAAAGCGTTTCGACAGCGAGCCTCTAAGTACGAGAGGATGGGTTGTTCAGGAAAGACTTCTTTCACCGAGAATTTGCCACTTCAGCGGAACCCAGATCATTTGGGAATGTAACGAAGCATTCGCCTCGGAAAGCTTTCCACTTGGCTTTACATCAAACGATCACAAGTTCAACATCCGGAACCTTAGAGGTCTCACATCGCTCACCACCTCGAGCGAGGATCATCTTAAGTGGGATTGCTGGCGTGATGTTATCAGACATTACTCCAGCGCAGGACTATCTTTTGAGAGGGATAAGTTAGTTGCCATATCAGGGATTATCCGAAGAATGCGTGATGTGTTTCAGACCGAGTACTTGGCTGGGTTGTGGTGGAAAGGCATCGAGTATCAACTGTTGTGGGCAGTCCACCGAGAAGGAAAGAATATGCCCACACGCAGTTCAGTGTTCATTGCACCAACTTGGTCTTGGGCATCTCTTAATGGAGCCGAGATTGACCTATATTCACACACAAATACACAAACAACTCCGTCACTCTACCGAGGCCGTTACTTACTGTGCAGGGCTATTGATGCGCAGGTTGTCCCTGCATCCAGCACCACAATCTGTACAGACGGTCATATTCACATGCAGTGTTTCTTGGTACCAGCGTTCATTACTCCCAGCACGTTCGGCTGGTACGATATTGCAGTGCCAATACATGAGAAGCGCCTAGGACGACAGCCACTCATTTCACTTTTCACGATCATCGATGTACATATGACCAATCGCGGAGAGCTAAATTTTTGGTTAATGCCAATCTTAGACGGCTTGGAGGACAAACATTTGGAAGGGCTCCTCTTATATTCAAACAATCACGAAGAAGGTATTTTTCGGCGTTATGGCTCGTTTAGATTACGGGGTGTCATAGACCTCGATAACCTCTGGAAGAGTGTCTTTGAGTTTGAGGCATCGGCTTTGGAAGCAAGACACAGTAACATAGGATTGTACGACAAAGTCTGGAAGTATCAGATTGGATCTAAGAAGGAAGAAAAATATGAGAAGTGTGATGCTGTGCCACAGTTTTTGATTACTATCAAATAGTGACGGGTAGTCAAGAGGACAGCACTCGATGTTGGGGTTTTCAAACCTCCTTTTTGCTGGGAGGGAATATACGAGGAAGCTGGCAGGCTGACAGCGGCACATGAATCTGCAGACTTATCTGCCTTTTGATCAGGGGTATATCCAGCAAGCAGTTTGCATGCGCCGTACCATGTGAGGTTGCGCCCACATCTTGGACCGAGAGAAGTATTTACCCGCTCCACAATGGCACTAAATGTTGTACTTCTTACCCAAAACTTATTTGTAATCTCTCAAGTGAGAACATTTTGGTCTTCCCCTATTAGCATTGTCAACTATCAGCTGCTTTCTCATTTTATTCATTGCACTAATACAAATACCCTCGTTCCAGTTTCCTTTTCCAAAGCTCTCATCTCACCACACGCGAAAATTTTCGTCGTCTAAGTCCAATCTAGACTTTGCAGTGGGACCTGGTTATACGAAATCACTTTATTTGTCTTCACCGCCTCAGGCGGAGTCGACGGCGAGATTCGCCCCCGAATTGGGAGAGATAGTAAATTTAAGCCTTAGTAGTCAAGTCTTTAGGCAGTTATCTCTAGTTCTGATAGACTAGATACTGTCTCCTCATCCGAAACAAGAAATTTACTCGTACATGCTCTCAAAAATAAGGCAGAAGGCTAGGATACACACCGTCTTTTACCTCCTACCTCTCAGACATTAGATCGATCCTGTGCTCGAAATGAGCTTTTCCCAGCAGCCGCGTGCGCAATATTATCAATGGTCGCTCCCCGGATGTCAAATACTGCAATATCGGCACCAATCTCTTTGAGCAGCCAGTTTCTCAACTCGACTGTAACGAGTGAATCCACTCCATAACTATCGATCAGAGCATTCCCATCTATGTTATCTTCTAGCAGCCCCAGGATCTGGGATAATATTTTTTTCAATGCTCCTGCTATGATATTGTTGGCCTCTTCTGCAGATTTCGCTGAGGAGATGAGATCTCTATAGTCTAAAGAACTTGTTCTAATGGCTGGAGTTGTTCGTGTAAACATTTCAAGCTGATGGAGATGGCGAAAGATAGGCTGGCAAAGACCCATTGGGACATCCGATCCAGCAGCGCGGATCCTGGCAGGAAGTTCGATGCCAACCACAATCTGCGCTTGCGCTTCCGTGAGAGTTTGGCGAGACGGATCGCAGTAGAAGTCGAGCAAGCCAGAAAGCTCGTCCTGCGAGATAGGCCGTGTGACTTTCAAATTTTTTACACGCTCATTCACTTGAGGATTTTCTGCGAGGTAGCCCTCGAATAGCATAGGTCCAAGATCTAGTGAGACTGCATTTTCACCAAGGGCAACTCGATATCGGGCTAACGCATCTTGGTATGTGTTACCGGCAGAGTAGTTCCCTTGTCCTGCGTTTCCGTAAATTCCGCAGAACGAGGAAAGGAGAACGAAGAATTCCAAGTCTCTAGGTAGTATATTATGAAGATTCCACAAGCCATCGACTTTAGGTTTTACAGCAGCAGTCCACTGTTCGAAGCTCATTTCATTCAAGGTTGAGTCCTGCCCGTATTCAGTATTCTAAAGCAGCGGACTGGATAGAAGACTTACTTGAAGAACCATTGCACCTTGAAAACATCCTTTTATAGGAGGCAGTACATCTTCGAACGTCCTTAGGACTCTTCGAAGACTTTGAGGGTCCGAAATATCGCATATTGGTGTTTCAACTCGAACTCCTCTCTTAAGTAAGTCTGTCGTCAATGTTTGAGCTTTTTCGTGTCCCTTTACTCCAGACCGAGACAACATGAGTAGATTTTTGGCTCCACGATCAACTAGCCACGTTGCAATCCTACGTCCTATGCCTCCTAGTCCACCGGCTATGACATAAGTTGCATTTTGACTGAGTTTGTAGTCAAGTTTTGGCTTTAAAACTGTCTGCAATGTAATCAGCCTATGCCTCATGATATCACTAGAAATTACCTACAGAAACTTCTGCATCTCTCTTCAGTTCTAGAACAAACTTGCCGGAGCTGTTGCCACTCTGCAGCATTCGGAAAGTCTTTTCTATCTCTGAAATGGAATGAACCTGTAGCGGAAACGGTGAATGGATATTCCCCGCTGTGGCAAATTCAAATACCGCTTCTAGAATCTTTTGAGCTTTAGTCGGACGTTGTTGGATGATTGCAAGAAAATCCACCCCAGTGAATGAAGCATTGTTTCCGAATGGCTTCATTGAGAGAGAGCTATGCAACTCGATGTCTCGCTTACCGATTTCGAAAAAATGTCCAAATGACGCAATGCACTCCCAAGAGGCAGCCAGACTTCCACCAGATAAAGAATTAAGAACAACATCTACTCCTCTGCCTTTCGTAATTCTTTTGATGTATTCAGCGAAGGATGTGTCTCGGCTATAGTATATATGATCCTCCGGAATTTGGTAGAGATCAATAAGAAGTTTTTTCTTCGTGTCTGAGCCCACGGTGACAAATACTTCGGCGTTTAGAAGCAGAGCGAGCTGAATAGCTGCTTGTCCGGTTCCTCCGGAGCCACTGTGTATTAAGACAGAGTCACCTGGTTGTACCTGCGCAAGCTCATAAAGACAGCGATACGCTGTTCCGAAGCAAATCGGTAGAGCCGCAGCCTCCGAGAATGACATGCTATCGGGGATCTTGAGAAGCAATTCCGCTTTTGCACGCACAATAGACTTGTAGCAGTCTATAGCACACATAGCTACGCGGTCTCCAGTGTTGAACTCCAGGCAGTTCTTTCCAACTCTGCGGACGATGCCAGCACATTCCAACCCAACAGTGTCGGTCTTCAACCGACCCATGGCAGCCAGACAATCCATGAAGTTGACACCTACTGCTTGAACCTCCACTTCTACTTCGTTTTGACCAAGTTCATCCCCTGTAGTCTCGTCTTCAATGAAATGTAGCGAGTCTAGCATTCCCACAGTCCCAATTTCTAGTTTGAGAGGTGACCCTTTGCCAAATTCTTGGATTCCACCGACAGCCATGTTCCGGGCTTTGATATAAGCATCGCCAGCTTGATCTTGTAGAAGCCGACTAACATGAAGTAGCCCGAGATACTCAGGCTCAAAAGTATCGTGCCCAAAATTGATTGCAGCATGGCGAAAGGCTTTAGCAATGGTCGCTGCTTTCAATTGTAAATTGTCACCTGTAATTGGCTCCATATTAAGGATGCTCAGTGCCAAGTTGGGATTTTCTTGTCTGCTCACTCTGCATAGACCTTGGGCCATGCCGGCATCAGGCGACATGGATATCCCACCGCCTTGAGACACCCAGAGGAACGATCCTGACAGGAATAGAAGTCTTTCCAGTGCTTCAAATTGCGAGGGCTGAATTCTTCTAAGCACAGAGGACTCAAGCTCGTTCAGAAATATTGTGTGAGAGTTGTTTGCCGCAACAATTGTCTCTATATCGTCCAGGCTAGCAATTTTGTATGATGGCGATAAGTGTTCTTCGAGCTTCAGTTGCTCAAAGATGCTCTTGGCCATTTGTTGCTGGAAAGCTGAGTGCTTATCAATAATGATAATCGGGTTTGGGGTTATTGTTGGTTCCAGGCTGACAGCCGTTGAAACCATCAGACTCCAAACATGACATTCGCTGCTCTTGTAGTCCTGGAAAACGACATCAGTCCCGGAAAAGCCGCTATTGATCAAAACTTCATTCCATTGTGTCTCCGAGATGCAGGGACTTTGCTGGCGATAGTCTTCTGTACTTCGCCACCAGCCTGGGAGCAGACCGAAAATGAATGGAACGAGGTGATGCTGAGCTGTCAGCTCTATGAGGATGAGCTTCCCTCCTGGCTTTAATAGCTTCCTGCAGTGTTTAAGTGTTTCAGTCAACGTTCTTGTAGCGTGAAGCACGTGTGAAGCGACAAGCAGATCATAGCCCTCCCCTTCAAAACCTTGCATGATAGGATCTTTTTCGATATCGAGCACGCCGAACTTCATAAGTTCATCCTCTTGAAACCTCATTCTTGCCTTTTCTAAGAATGACGGACCAATGTCGGTGAGATAGTAGCTCTGGTAATGAGGGTTTTCTGATCGACCATCTAGGTTCAAAAGTCCCAGAAGGAGCTCAGTTGTCGCTGCTGTTCCAGCCCCGATTTCTAATATGTTCATGCAGGGGTTTTTGCCTAACAGAGCTTGAAAGTATGTGGAAAAGATCGCCCAGAGAGGGGAGGTTTTATTGAGTTCCATAAAGAATCCTCGAATTTGCTTCTCATTTTCGTAGATGACATGTAACGGATCTAAGTCGCCTGACAGAATTCTGGGTAGACTTCGGCCAACTTGAACAAACGTTTGACCAATATTGGTAGAATTCATTTTGCTGCTGATGGCCAACATTGCATCTGTATTTGCAAGCTTTTTCTCCCATTCCTCGCGACTGTATGGCTCGAGCTGAGAAAAACCTTGATCGAGCAGATTTCGCATCCACGAGATGTACTTGTCTACGGAGGGGATATGTTGTCGGTCAGCTCTACGCAGCTCTTCGATAGCCTGAAAGCCAAATGCGAGCGCCAAGAACTCAATATCTCGGAACCAGCTAACAGGCTCGTCGTACAATACAATTCCTTTGCTGCAATATTGCAGGATGTCCTGGGAATCCATCATATCAAGGTCAACTATCCAGTCCATGTTGTAGCATAGATGACTTGGCTGATCATGACTCTCCTGAGGAGGATCGCTGTTGGATATCGTTGTATACTCTAGACCTTGTAGTAGAATCTGCATTTGCTGAGCACCTTCGCTGAGGGCGGAAACTGAGCAAACACGTTTGCGCTTATTCACAACGTTCTCCTCATGAGACTTGGAAAAGGCTGTAAATGGCCCAAGATTTGGGTTATCAAGGTCTGTGCCAGATATATGAACTCTGTCAATTCGAGTAGGCAACATTGTTTGATCCACAACTGTCCCGCCCCTTGTCCAGGAAGCAAATATCAGCTGGAAGAGAGCATCAAGTGAGGTGGCATGAACCAGGAAATCTTGAGTCGAGGTTTTACCATCTGATGCCGTTGCTTCTTCGATGAGCAGTGGTCTCTGCACTGTTGATAGAGCTTTTCCAGTATTGCTGAATCGAATTTGGTCTAGCAATTGGACCATTGGCTTCAGATCAAGACCCATGCCTTTCCAGCTCCTATATAGTAGATCTGGGGATACCTCTTGAGGACAATGAATTGATTCTGATGCAAAGAAACTTCTAAGTTGCTCGACTTGGCTTTGCAATTTGGTATCCAACTCATGGGCGAGATGACGAAGGTTTGCGCACACGGATCCACGCCCGATTTCTTCCCACTCTCCATCAGACTTGCTAAGATGAAGCCGATATTCGTACCAGGTACTCTCGTCACTATCTCCGACAAGTGATAAGGGTCGAAGACACATTTGAGTCTCTCGGACGGTGGTCTCTGTTGGAAACACCAGGGGTGTGTGAAAAATCGCATCCCGGATCTCGTATGATGCGACTGTCTTGCCTTTGACAAGCTGTCTCACAGCTTCAATGGCCATGGCAATAACCCCAGATCCAGGAAGGACGATTCTGTTATTGACTCTATGATCTTGAAGCCATTTCATCTCGTCTAATCGCATAACATTTCTCCAAGTTGGCTCCAGAGGATTCCAGTCGATGACTCGGGTTCCTAGGAGCTCGTTGTTTGCATAGGGTCGAAGCCTAAACTCTCTATTGAGACGTGCCTCTTGCGTATGTATGATCGAATGGTCGAATGGATATTGTGGGAGATCAGTCAGCACGCGCTGTTTGTGAGCAGAGAGTTGATTTAGCCGGTCCAAGTGAACAGGAACACCCCGACAACAAAGTTTTCCAGCCGCTGCAAGGAGAGTTTCAATACTGCGGTCTCCACGAAGAAGAGTTGAACTATAGTCGACTTGATTTGTTCTTTCAAAGGAGGCTAGAATATTCCGAATTGGTCCTTGCAAAGTCGAGTGGGGGCCAATCTCGAGCCAGAAATCGATGGAAACCATTTTTGTATGCTCCCTATTCATTTTATGAACGATACTCTTCGAGCTCTGCTTGGAGCACCTGCTGAAGGCCCCCAGGAAATCTACCGGAGAGAGCATGTTTTGAACCCAGTAATCAGCTTGCCGAAGCTCATGCTGAGAAACTATTTCGCTTGTAATGGATGAGACCATGAGGGGATGAATCTTTCCACCTTTAGCGTCTGCTTCAAGTCCCTGTAAGTTACTGCAGTAATCCGTCGAGATCAACTGCATTTGCGGAGAATGGTAGCCTACTCCAATCTTCAATTTTCGGGCGAATATTTTCTCCTTCTCACAATACGTGATGACCTCGTCAACCTGTATTTCCGGGCCCGAGATGGTTACGTTACAATGGCTGTTGATACAGCTAATGGTGACTAAGTCTAGGTAGAATCCACTTTGCGAGCCCAATTTCTCGAGATGGATGTTCAAGTCTTCTTTTGAAAGACCGATCGAGGCCATGCGATACTGGCTGGAAGTTGATGTTGATAGCTTTGACACCAAAATTCCACGGTGATATGATATTCTCATGGCACATGCTGCAGATATTGCGCCTGTACAGTACCTGTGATTCAATAAACCAACTGACAGAAGATGGATTTGGGTGTCATTGCATCTTACGCTGAGGCTATCTCTCCTGAAGAATGACCAACTACCACATTTGGGACAACGTTGCACGACTTTAACAAGTCCACGAGAGCGATTTGAAGGGCCGTTGTTATTGGTTGGCCGAACTCTGGGAGATATATCTTCGTTGAGTCTGGAGCTTTCTCAAGTTCGTCTGGTGAACAGCGATACTCAGTTATGGCTAAACATTCTAGGTTGGTGACATTACCTGCCAGAGACCATTCACACCCCATATCATGCAATAATTGCTGTGATCTGAGTATGCTGAGTTCAAATTCCACAAAAGAACGAAGCTCAATCCCCATCCTAGCCCATTGTGAGCCTTGTCCCGAAAAAACGAAGCCAACTTAAGGCCGAGATGTGCAGATCTTCAAAGGACTAGATAACTTGGTTTCCAAATCTGTCAACTCGGAAATTGACCGAGCTACGATATACGACCTCCAGGGCAAGAATGTCCTCCGGTTGTTCAAGGTGAACGCCAAGCTCTGAAAGATATCTGGATTGACCTTGCTATTGTTGATGAGACTGAGGAAGTAGTGACGGTAGCTGGCGGAGAGTCGATGTATACCTTTCTCATCAGCAGCAGAAAGCATGAGCAGCTTGGGCAGAAGTATGTGTGGAAAATTGCCATTCGCTTGAGTCGGTTGAATGTCCACATTGGAATCGGGTGTCAACGAGACATCTCGGTTGTTCTGCCCGATCATCATATGCCTCTTGACTAGGTAATGCTGAGCCTCATCAAGTATAACGTGGCAATTGGTTCCACTATCAAGATTAGCGACTTATAGAAGAAACTTCGCGGAAAGCTTGTGCTCAAAGAATGAATGACTAACCCCATCCCAAATGAATTGACAGAGGCCCTTCGTAGACCTTCACTACGCCACTGCACAGCTTCTGTTGGAAACTAGAAATCCAAGTTAAAAACGTCAAACCAACCATGAGAGGAGGATGTTTACCTTTATATTGAAGAAATCGGCGTCGATGCGGGGGTTCAACTTCTCCAAATTGGCAATCGGAGGAATCACGCCTTTCTCCAATACCAATACTGTTTTGATTACTCCAGCTATTTCAGCTGTTCCTTCTAGATGTCCTACGTTCGACTTCAGGGCACCGCTAAGAGAACGGCAATTAGCATACCTCATTCATGTGGTTAATGCTTGGTGGAAACCTACATATAGAGAGGCGTTCGATGGTGACGCTTCCGACGAAAACTCTCACCGATAGCCCGAGCTTCTATCGGATCTCCAAGTGGTGTTCCCGTCCCTGTTAAGTTCAAGTTAGTCTCTTTGCACAATTGAGGTAAAAGATTCAGACCATGTGCCTCAAAGTAGCCGGTCAAAGTATTATCAAGTCCTGCCCTCTTATAAGTTTCGATGATGAGATTGGACTGAGCTTTCTTGCTTGGCTCAGTAATGCCGCTGAGACTTCCGTCCTGATTGATGCCTGTCGAACGGATTATTATTGGTGCCCATTCCATGGAGGCAAAGAACGCGGATCTTCTGGTCTGTCATGTTGACGCTTGACTTCTTTTGGGACGTGTTCCAGAGAAAATACTTCTGAATCAAGGATTCTTTTGAAGAAGCGCAGAGTATACAGTTTACAAGCATAAAACGAAGGTATTTAGGAAGTTGTTATAGTTGTATGATATTAACACGAAACTGAAATGAACCCCATGCTCCTTGAGCAAAAGCAATCCCAGATGCTATGGGGGAAACATAACAAGGTAACCAAGTCGTCTTGGTTGGAGTCTCTCAGCTGACTCTGGTATCACAACATCATCACCTAGAACCAACATACTGATGAGTTCCTGAGAGAGACCTTACCCGGATCAAAAAGGTGGTGGACAATCCCAACTCGTGTCAAGAAAATGGAGTGGAGTATTCCAGGACAAAGAGTTGATACGACTGGAAATAGATCGTCGGTGCCATATCCGTGTTTGACTAATAGATAACAAACTCCCGAATTCTCTCAGCTGCTTCACATAGATGTATTATAATATCCTATCCTTGACTTCTTGTACAGTACTCCAGCTCGGTGACTTCTTTCGCTTTGGCGACAATCAGCACCACATATCAGCCTACAGATGATAATCGCTGCGCCTTACACGATGCGATCCATGGTTTCCCCTAAAACGTTTCCAACATTGGTGCAGAATCTTCCCGCTCGGAATTATCCTGCAATGTTGGTCTTTCAGGGCGATAATATAAAATGTTGGAATGTGTATCCTTGTAATTGGCCAGTGTGCTTAATGCAACATGCGAGTAACCCACCCCGCAAAAACATATCGGCAATCAAGATGCTCAGCTTGACGCGATGCTTTGGCACTCACTTTCCCGACTTCATCCTATCCGGAACAATTCTAAGTGAGCCTTGTACATCCTGCAGGTTGGTGGCAAGGCGGTGGGAAAAGCTCAAGCGGGGCAAGTGTTGGCAGATGCAAGTGATACATGCGTGTGGCTCTTGTGTCCCAGATACCGAATTATGAGTATTGATCAGATTTCAGTAAGGGCAAGATGATTGTTGTAGTTGGTCAATATTGAGCATCTTTGGGTGAGTACAGATCTGCACTCATGAACTGCTCCCTCTTCTTCGTTCTCTATTCTCCTTGGAATTGGTAGCACCGCGATCGAAAGTAGGCTCGAAATCATGGCTTCGACAACAAGTTACCCACCTGGATATTTGGAGGAAAGTCGAAGTGGTCCACTGGTCAGGGTATCCATCGCATTCATCGTCCTCGAAATAATCTTTGTTGGGCTTTTCATTGCATCGAATATTCAACGCAAGACACGGGCTGGATTAGACGCCTATTTGATCCCACTGGCGCTCCCATTCTGTTTGGCGAGCGCTGTATGTGCGTTATGTGAGTAAACCGAAATCATTTTCGAACGTTACTAACAGCTCTGGTCAGTGGCTGTGAAATATGGTGGATTAGGTCGACATATGGCATACGTCGAAAGCTATCATCCAAATGACTTCATTGTCTGGTTGAAGCTTCAAACTGCTTTAGTCTTCGTCAACCCCTCTGCAGTTAACCTGTCCCGCTTGGGGCTCTTATGTTTGTATCTTCGACTCTTCAAAGTCTCCAACTATCGCTGGGTCGCCTACGGTGTCATCATCATTATAGTGGTCAATTGGGTTGTCCTCCAATCCATATTATTCGCCATGTGCATTCCTTTCCAGTACAACTGGGACAAGAAGATCAAAGGAGGCCACTGTATCGATCAACAGATGTTCTTCCGCTGGGCAACCGTCCCGAATATCGTGACGGATCTTGTTATGTTTTTCCTGCCAATGCCAGCAGTGTGGGGACTTCATTTGCCGACCTCGCAGAAGATTGGAGTAACATTTACCTTCTTTTTAGGATCTGTGTACGTAAAATCTGTGAAATAACCCCTGAAAATAAAGATAGCTAATTCCCTTTAGTGGTGTCTTCACGGCTATCTTTCGTCTGAGAGAGTTCATTCGACTCCACGCCTTCAAAGATTTGACGTGGTACTCCGTTGATACTTACACTTGGACTGTCATCGAAACCGGTGTTTACCTCATTGCGACTTGCCTTCCGTCTCTACGCTCTCTAATAAAGCCTGTTCTGAAAGATTTGGATATTCGCTCGATCAGGTCTTTGTTCGGAGAAGATTCGACAAACCAGCAAAAAGGAAGCAGTAAGACCGAAGTGAACTCAAATATAGCTCCATTCAATCGACTTGGGGTCCTTTCCGAGCCCGGATTGTCTGATGATAATGCATACCCATTTGTACCTAACTGGTGCTCCACAACCTCAGAAGAGGCGACGTCCAAAAACGAAGCGGCAAGCTATACTCACGAGGTCCAGCTTGACAACTTCCTCACCAGTGCTTTGGACGGATCAGAAAGTTCGGAAGCCCAGGTTGAGAAAAGGCATGTCAGGTGAAGAGCTTTTTCGTGCGAGCTGGTGGCATTCGAGTTCGAGGTGAGGAGTGAGTCAAAAGTTTTATGAAGGAGTTCCATTCTTAAGATCTTCAGGGTTCTTCAAGTCTGCTGTATTGACCTTACAAGGCTCATTAGCTTAGTACCTAAGCCAAATGGAGTCTTCTACCTTGAATTGTCCTTGTCCGTGATAGTATCCTCAAATAAGCATTCCATTCTCTTCAAATCACCATCTAAACCACCCTCCCCTCAACCAGCTTAAAATCCTTAACCTTAATATCCCTCCAAACCGCCACGCTCACAAAAGCCACAACGAACACCGCCGTCCTCACTATCAACATCAACTCCTAACTCTCCCCATACGCCCCAATAATCGCCTCCCTCACTGGACTCCTCCATACACTCATAACTCAACTCCCCATAGATACTAGTAACACCACCCCTCGCATCCTTGTTTCCGATGTCTACAGACCACTTGATCGACTAAAAGTCATGCAGCTAGAAGAACCGCGAACCCTTGGCGCAGGAGAAGGAGATCTGATTTGAGGATGTGGGGAGGGAGAGGGTTTATCAGATGATCAGCTCGGATCAGATAAGATTGAAAAGTTAGCCTGTGAATGTAGGTTGGCTTGGCATAACTCAGAGTGGAGCACTGGCTCGTCTCTCGTTGGCGAGTTTCGATTTAGCTTGACTTATCAGATCTTCCTAAGCGGCCTGGATGGGATGCTGTCCCACTCTTAGACCTAATGACTGGAGTCTATGCTATCGATCTTGATAGCATGAATTGGTCTCTCGTTCAAAGATACCCATAATAGATGTGCTTCGCGCAACAAAATCCTCTACTTGCATCTAGTCCGAAAGCTCTTGCATCGTTAAATCCACCAACTCGTCCCAAGGAAATGGTTCGGTCCCTGCCACTGCAGCAGAATTCCTCTAGCGCAAGGTCTCGATCTAGTCCCTGACTCATGCAAGGAGATTGTGAAGATATATCTGAGCCAAATCTTGGATAATTTCAATGATGCGATATTCTAGAGGGACTGATAATTCATTACTCTTAATATGATACCGTCCATATTGTAGAAAAGCTAAGCTGAAATTTCTTCTCTTGCTTCTATCAGATTATTGAACACTTGATGTACTGTACGTACTATACACTTCCAAGATTGAGCATGATTCTTATTCTAGAAAGGACAAGATTGGCGTTCGTGATTGGCACTATCTAGCGACCACTCGTTGGATCTGAGATGTAAATGCTACTTCGCATTTTCTCATCTAAAGCAAAGCATCCAAAAAGCTCCCTTGCCGATCATGCATCTAATCACATTCTCTTGGTATCAACAAGATCATTGCTCGAATCGACAAGCTCTATATCGATAATTTGTGAGGCAAGCAGGACTAGCATTGAACACTGATCCAATATGCAACTCCTCTCTTTGTTACTTGCAGACTGTGCAGAAACCGGTGGGAAAATTGCCACAAGCTCCCTGGTTCAAGAGTCGTACTCAACTCTGCCTTCATCTGTTTTATTCTCGAAAGAGCGTAAGCAGCGTATGACATGATCTTTAGAAGTCAACTATATCAAGTCTGCTGCTCTAAATAGGTAGTGGAAGTTGGGAAAAGACTCCCATCAACACGACACAAATTCAAATTTCGTAAACGCCTTGGATAGGTATAGAATGGGAAAACTGGGTCAGCGGGAACATCAGTTCGCTTGTGATGAATCTGGCGTGAGACATCTTCCTTCATAGCATCCATTGAGACATCAGTTGTAGTTGGAAACCGATCCGTGACGAGGAAGTACAAGAATAGGCGGCGAGATGCGAGTAGGTATGTATCGTGAATCCAAAAACAGGTATATCTGTCGACGACTTTTTCGATCCTTGGCTTGGAGAATTCGGACGGTGATCGAGCTCGAAGCCCGTTCTTTAGACACAGGTAATTCTTTCGAGCAATTTCTCAGCAGCCTGCTCTTGGACAGTGGTCCTGCCGCCAAGGTTTGATGGCAGATTTCGACTCTTGGGTTTCATATCTCTTTCGTACCTGCAGATCAGTTTAAAGTGAGTGCGAAGGAGAGCAAGTGTTATCTTAGGAGTAACTCGCCGGGTATTCGACAGAACTAATTTACACTATTTTCACAGTCAGCGGCAATCAGAGACTTCTCATGGTCGTGGGACTGGGAACTATTTTCCATCCGCCCAAATAGCCGTCTTGCAAGGATTGGGGCCTATTCGAGACTACGAGAAAGGTGGTAGATTCCCGCTCCACGGGACTGGTACTCGTGTCAGCTTTGGAGCTGGATTGTGCCGATTTGGTGGAGGATACGACTCTTGCGGGGTTGATGGTGCAATAATTTTCCTACAAATCAGTCTCTACTCAGCATCTCGTGTTGAGGGGTATCTCTCACCGAAAGGCACGGGCTGACGACAACTGCTCGCGTTTGTTGGTCGTTGGTCTTGGTAGAATGTTGGATGATGCTTTCTAGAATCTGCGTACTTTCAAATGGAATCATGTTGGCAAACGTCCCAATCATTATCGTATACTTCAGAGAAAGTGTTGCCACTTTCTAAAGCCAGCCAGCAAAGAACCCATCGCCCGATGTGTTCCCCGTAGACTTGAGGTGGACTTTGAAGGCCGCAATATGAGTCAAGCCGCCATCTTACCCCTAGCTTAACCGAAGGGCCATCAAGGTAAATTTCGCTTTCGGAGTCCGGAAAGGAATGAACTACTTCCCACGGAAGCAACCAACCACATCTGCATGAAGGCCACGAACCTTTCCAGTCATTCCTGTCAGGATACAAGCATAATTTACTTCCAGGGTCGAATATTGAAAAGCCCAAAGCACATCCGAAGTCGGAGATCATCCGTGTCGGTATGAATGTTCTGATGAAACCTAATAAAGTATATCTGTCCCACGGACCAGTGCGCGTCGATGCCGATATCCTTTCGGTCATCGTGCTGATGCTGATCAAAGCATACAGTATCGTCTTTGTTACTGACATAAGCACCTCTTAGAGCAGTCACAGCTCAAAAGCCACAATGCAATTGCAAGCGCTGGCCCACTGTTTTTATACGTTGACCTTCTGAGTCACCACCACATGGACTTTCATTCGAGAAACAACTTGTCGAGCGCAAGGCGTTGCTCCATCCATCCACATCCACATCCACCTCATCAACACATCCCGGAGTCCAGAACATCAAACGGGAACTGGCTGGCTGGCATGGCGGTTTCACGATCTCAGCACCTCACTATCCAATCCCTCCGCCACGGTCACTCGTATGTAGCGGATACCATTATTCACAATCATGCTACGGCGCGAGAAATTTTCATGATGGTGGAATCGCAGTGTCATGGTCACGACTCCCAACTCCTAACAGCAGGAAGGAACGAGGCTCTGACCGTGTACGTTAAGTCTTGACGGTGTTGACACAGAGAATCTCAGGCGTCGCGATAGAAAATTTCCTCGGGCGGCCAATGGCTGGACGGACGCTCTTGACGAGGAAAGGCTGGAGGATAGATATATGGGGCTCTGCAGACTACCTGACTATGGTTGGGGTTCGGAGTAGCCAGCGGAGTTCGGTGCGGCGCTCGTTGGCATCAGACGGCGAGATAATTTTTCCATTTTTGCTTGGAGAATTGGTGGCCATGGATGGGTGTGCTGCTAATTTGGATGAGATGACCAAATGATGCTGGGGAAGAAAATTGTAATTGTGATTGTGATTGTGACGGCATCGGTATGCGGTGCAGGTACATCAAGCATGGAGTGTGGAAAGGGGCCAATCCTCCTCGCCAGGAAAGGGCAATCTTCTCCGGCATGGGCATTGCAGTAAGGTTACTCGCTTATCATATCGTCACCCCTTTAATCATTGAAGGGGGTGTGTTGATGGCCAGCTTAGAAATGCGGAGAAGGGACGGTGAGAGGGGAGGGGAGTTTATCGAACAGTGGTGACGGAGAAGGCTGAAGCAGTGCTGACCAAAAAGTCTCGCTGACTGATCATACATGTGAAGCAACGATGGTGGTGTGCCAGAAGGGCGACCATTCACGGCTCTCGCTTAGACCACTTTGGTGGGGACCGCCAGACCGCGTGTCGATCCCTGACTGCACTTGCAGGCGACAAGGCGTGTTGGGTCCGTTCGTCGGACGACCACTCGCGAAGATCCAACCATGGAAAATGTATGAGAGAGAGCAAGAAAAAGTGAGTCAGGCGCACGCTTTTCCCAAGATGTCAACATGCTCGACTCGAGTATCGAGTACCAGGTCGTATATAAGGGTTGCATGCTCCCCAACTTCCTTTTTCTTGGTAAGAAATCCGATCATCAACAGCATACCTATCCATTGGTTCATCAGCCACAAGTGTTACTTTCCCCGCATCAAGGCTGCGACATCACCAATTGTTATCAGAATCCTTGCCTGTTATCTATACGCCTCCCCCCTCGGGTCGCAAGACCATCTTCTCTTCCTTACACATCACCAAAATGTACGCTGCTTCAATTCAGTCGACGACCGGTACCCTCGCTGGGTATGCGAGGAAGATGACCCAGAATGGGCGTCCAGATATGGAAATCATCTTGGAGGACCATAATGAGGGAAAGACGTATACTACCTTCGATCCCTTATCTGGTAGAGTGGAAATCACTGCCCCTCACGAAGCACGGTTCGACGAAATCCGAATTACGTTGGAAGGCACAGTAAAGACATTCGTCGAGAACCTATCACCACACAGTACGAAAGCGAGAACGACGGCCACACACAACTTCCTGAGATTGTCCATGCCGATTCGAGAGTCGGATTATCCTCAACCACGAATTGCAGAGGCTGGCCGAACCTACACTTTCCCCTTCAATTTCGTCGTTCCAGATCAATTGCTCCCTCGATCATGCTCACATGCCTGCGTTTCAGACCATGTGCGTGATGCACATCTTCGTCTCCCACCAAGTATGGGCGGCCGAAGTTTCTCGGGACAAGATGATCTGACACCAGAAATGGCAAAGGTCAATTACGCAATCAAGGTCAAGATCGTGAGAACCAGGGAAAGAGACGGGCAGGAAGTGGTGCTGGTCGAAGGATCGAAGAAGATTCATATCATTCCAGCCATTGCAGAGGAACCGCCAATGAGTGTCACACATTTGGATAAGGATTACGTTCTCTCGAAGACCAAGTCATTGAAGAAAGGAATGTTTTCCGGCAAGCTGGGCAAGATCACGGTCACAGCGGCTCAACCCAATGCGTTGGTCCTCCCAGCACCATCTGCTTCTAGCACCATGGTACCTGGTACGACCATGACTACCGTCAACCTCAGATTCGATCCGCACGACAGCTCGTCTCAACCACCACGATTGGGAGGTCTGACTACCAAAATAAAGGCATCAACTTTCTACGCTGCTCGACCCGCAATGGAAGTCCCCTCGCATTTCGGCATGGTCCACCAATTCGAGAGCACAAGAGGCGTATACGATACCTCCGTCCCGCTCTCATCCCGCTGCGTCGAAGCAGTCACATGGACTCGACACACTCCCTCACCAGCCTACGTCCGACGAAACTCAGCATCATCAACCAGCTCCGACGACTGCTCGGACGAAATCCACGCTTCACCACCAAAAGAGAATAAACCATACTACACAGCGGAGATCCTGCTCCCAATCACATTACCCACGTCCAAAGCGTGGATCCCGACTTTCCACACCTGCATCCTGTCGCGCTCATATACCATCGATCTCTCGCTCACGATCCACACGCCTGGAACCGGCGTCCCTGCTTCAACAGTAGCACTCCATCTCCCCGTCCAGATCGCGGCAAATGGAAACAACGCCCGAAGAGCAACTCTGACTGCTGAAGAAGCTGCCGCGGAACTAGCTGACGCGGATGAATTCCTGCGTCCAAGAGTCCTCGAGATGCCGAGCCCGGAGTTGGTGGGGAATAGTGTTATCAACGCTGGTGCAGAGCTGCCGCCTAGCTATGAGGATTTTGCGGTGCCGAGACGGTCGGTGGTTAGTAGGGGATGAGGGTTTGGGAGGAGAGTGAGAGGGTTTTCGAAAGAGTTTTGATTTTGGGAAGCGTGTTTGGGATTATTTGCAAGGCGTTGAGGAGCGGGATATATAATTGGGTTTGGTTTTTTTTGGGGAGGGCGTTCGGATGGGATGGGATGGGATGATCAAATCAAGATTGGATACCCGGAAAGGGTGAATACATAAGGATACCCCATAGAAACAAATTATAATTATAATGTTATCTCTTTGATAAAACGATATCAATTGAATTGTTCTTGATCTGTGGAGATGTGTGTATGACAAGTAAGATCTCACCTTCCTGCTCCTGAACCAAGCAAGTAGGTAGGCACATCTGGAGGATGTTGAAGTTTAACTTGAGAGCACTTCTCCCGTTATATCAAAGATGCATTCTACTAAACTCGTCATCTTGCATCCTATCACCTCCCAATAATCTGATCCAAGCCACATTCTCTCCTCCCTGCACCTTACTGCAAGAAAGAAACACGACCCACTCTCGGCCTCCTCTCACCCCAAAAACGGGTAGTCCGACTACCTGTTCTCCAGACCCTCTCTCATTCCTCTCCAACTTTTCTCTCCTCCTCAAACCCTTTCTCTCATCTCGTCGTACGAAATCCTAAAAATTGTCCGACACAATGTTCGTTTCACGAGACAGAAACAGATCACATGCCACTCGTTCGTTCTTGGCCGCCGCCTCACCGCTCCCCGATCCATTCGGATGAAAACCCGCTTACTGGACCTTATTATTTTTTGTGCCTTACTGCCAACTCACGGGCTGCTGTTGATGACTGGACCATGTTTGCTTCTGCCAGCCAGACAGCCAGCACCTCCATTTTTCTTGCATCTCGTACCTCACGAGTATGCACTCGCTATCCTGCCGTCGATCGATTATGCGCATACGATCCGGAGACTTGCAGCAGCAGCAGCAGCATCTAGCTTAGAAGGAAGATCTTAGACAGGACAGGCGGCGGGGATGGCGGCTCCTTCCGCGACCGCGACGGGCTCGACGACGACCGCGACCGATCCGAAAGCGTTTTATGGATACCTGTTCGAGGTGGATAAGAAGCCCACCAAGACTTTGGATGCGCTGCTCCGGGGCATCGCGGGCTATATCGTGAGTCTACTTGCGACGAGGATAGAAGGGCTCAGGCTGACGGACGGTGTTGCAGAGTGAGAATATAGGGAATAAGGATCAGAAGGCTTTGACGCCCGATAAGTTGGCCAGCTTCTATAAGGCTGTGGGAGGGAATTATGATTGTAGGCTCCTACTTCTTGCGTTTATCTGATGGTAGAGTTAGGCTGACTGGTATCTTTTCTACATACAGCGCTCTTCGTCGATGTCCCCAACCCGTCGATATCGTGGATCTATGCATCCATAGGCTGTCAACATACCCTCCAACCTACAACCGATGACTTCCAACCACCCTGCGTGCCTGCGCTCACAACGAGAGGCTTTGTACGATGGCAATCCATCGAGATCTTGCTTGGACCAGAGGAACACGTTCCATTCATCCAAAATGCTGTCAGAGACTTCAACATAAAACATCCAGACACAGGAGAGCTATTCCCCGGTCCCGTACCCAAAGAAGCCTTTCCCCTAGTCGCAGACCCCGAGATCGAGAAATGGCACGATCAGTGCGCACAAGAGTTACGGAAACGAGCAACACCTACAGAGAGTATGCCAGATGAGAGAGATTTCAGACCAGAGATGCCGCCGCGACCCAAAGTCCAAGCGACCTACGTCCACGTCCGACCAACTCGCCCCAGCGCCCGACCAACATCAGAATACTTCCCCCGAACCACACGAGAAAGTGTCCCTGGAGGACCACCCCCTACGAGCGCGAGGCCATTCTACCAACACGTCCACTCTGCCACCGGGCAGCCAGTTCGACCAAAACTAAGCAGAAGTCCTAGCCACCGCGCCCGACAATTCCTCGCTCCAGAAGACGACATCGCAACTGGTCCGCGAACAGCGAGGACGAGAAGGAGGAGTTTCCCCGAAAACATGACCGCGAGTCCGACTTCGCCGCCAAACGTCGAGCCGGTGAGGAGTCCGATGGACGACCCGCGTGTGAGGCGGCATAGTCACCCCCGACACGCGAGACGAGGCAGCATGAGCAGTGACGCGAGTAGCAGCGAAGATGGCGGCCCGCCCAGCCCCATGGACACGGAGCGCAGACGCAGAAGAAGGCGAGATTACGCACGACCTCCCGATCCAGACTCGCCTCAGGTGCCGCCTGCTGGTGTGCGGTACTCTGGGCCAGCGCCACCTGTAGATCCGAGATTAAGACCTAGAGGCCGAGTAAGAGTCGACGAAGAAGAAGAAGTAAAGCGGAGAAGCTTCCCTATCCCCATCGATCTGAGCGGGAAATTGAGCGCGCCGTTCCTACTCGGGAAGCGGGACCGGGCTGCTCAGGCCGCGAGGAGCAATTCTCGGAATAATGGGAACTTAAGGTGGAAAGATCTCGATGGGCCGGATTTGTGGCGGAGTTCGGGGGGCAGTATGGAGGAAGACGAACGGCCTGCTACTAGCGGGAGGAGGAGCGGGGAGTATAAGCGCCGAGAGAGGGAACCGCGGCCGAGGATGAGCGAGAGAAGGAGTAGTCATGAGGATGGTGGGGGAGGAGGCGGGAGACGGAGCCACAGTGATCGAGATGCGGTGCCGGTGTCTGATCGGAGGAGTTTTCGGGACAGGGAGAGGGAGAGGCGGTATGGGAGTCCGATTCGAGGCGTGGATGGGAGGAGGTATCCTGCTCATTGAGTGAGTGGTGTTTGGTACGATATATGGTTGAATGACGATTTACGAAGATCTACCAAAGATAAGACATCTCCGCAAGGTTTACATGCACGATTTTATAGGGAATATAATACACTCTCTTCTTTTGAGGATAGGGGTTGCTTTATTTGTGACTTAAGGTCTGACTTATCTTTTTTTTTGGGTTCGCTTGTCGCCGCTTATGGAGCCGCGGACCAATTCGGGTTCTTGAGAATTAGAGCACGTCTTTGTCGCGTTTTTCTAGACCTCAGGCGGACTAATTAGGATCTTGGACCAGTGTCCCTCTAGTGTTAGTCCTACCTACTTAACTCCTGGAGGAAATGTCGACGTGCAGTTTTCAATCTCATGCTCCCGAGGATAAGTCGAGTTGTACTGTACGATTATCAGTTGGTGGTCTGTCTGTGAGGAATAGAGATTGAAAAGGTATTCGACCTCAAGCCATGAACAGAGATATCCATGTAGATGTTCGAAGAATTGATTAGTCGTGACTGGAGGTCAGCTAGCAAATTATGTGTTTCGAAAGTTCCGAAGACTGCGGAATCGCGCAAACTGCGCATTTTGCGCCAGTTGCGCTCACTGCGCAAAACGCGCGATGTTTTCAAGGTCGGGTATTGACAGAGGACGACAATCTTCCATAAAAATACAAAAATAGATGAGAATAAACAGAGAAGCTGAATCGGGATAGGAAGTCGCTGCGTCCAACACAAAGACCTTCAGTCACGGGGACCACCTCATCTTACTCTCCACACATCAAATTCTAAATCAGTTACCTATATACCCTCACCAACTACACAACACTCTCCCTCCCTCTTCCCTCATCCGACCCCGACCCCTCAACCTCAACCTCAGCATACGTCCACCGCAAAAGACTCGCATCCTTATCCACCCTCCCTCCCTCCCTCCCACTCCCCGTCCTCTTCTTCCCCAGCTCCAGATCCATCCCTTTCGATCTCCCCTCCACCACATACCGACTAAAGAGCACATTCAGCGCCGGCAGCGTCGCGCATATGAGTCCTATCGACGTTTCTGCCACTCTATCGAATTCGAGTCAGTTTGAAAAAGAATACAGAGCAGGAAGGAGGGAACTCACCCCAAAAGACTAATATCAACAGTAGTAATCGTTCGATCCGGACTATCCCCCGTCCGTAATAACATCACCAACCGCGCCACACTCGCCGCAACCGCCAAACCGCCCGCTCCCAGGAGCCCAATGACGCGCAACCTCCTTCTGAGCGGTAAGTGCAGCACCCACATCAACGGCATCGGGATAATCAGGACGGCGAAATCGGTCAGGACGGAGACGATGGTGTCGGCGAGGTAGATGTTGTGCTGGTCGAAGCACGAGGGCGAAGAGGAGGAGGAGGAAGAGGAGGACCAGAAGGCGGAGATGGGGGCGCAGATCATGATCTTGACGAATTGCATGGGGAGGTAGAAGAGGAGCATGAGCAGCATGAAGAGGTTGATGGCGAAGACGGTGCGGGGGAAGGGGGCGAAGAGGCGGGTGGAGATTAGGAGGAGGGAGCATTTGATCAGGAAGGCTGTGGGTCCGTAGACGAGGAGGCCGGCGTAGGAGACCTGGGGGGTTAGGTTGGAGAGAGGTGGAGGTGAGAGGTTGGGTTCCTTACTAGGAGGAATTTTGACATGGCTTCTTCGGTTACTTCCCATTGATGATGTCCGCCTCCAAATCGGTCGACTGGGAGCTGTTAGTAAAAGCTGAGGGACTCATAAGAAGAGACTGACAGAGAAGGTTGGTTGTGATATATCCAAGAAATGGAATCTAGACAGAAGTTAGTATCTAAATTTTACAATCGAAGAAATAATACCCAAGCTACAAGACAACACCCTGCCAACAATCAGCACTGAACGTCATAGGCAAACCAATACTTACAATCCTCTCTATACATTACTTTCTGTACCTTTGCTCTGGCATATATCTTCAAAAGAACGACGGGCGAGACGATGCTCAAGCACAAAATTTGAGTCACCAAGCTGATCGTGTATCGAACATCTCGAGGATGCTCGAAGTCCGGAATCACGCCTGCTGGTGGAGATAATGCTCCTACGATATCTGGATCTGACATCCTGATCATATCATAACGTGGAAACTAGTTCCTTCACTTCATGTTTGGGAGCTACCAGTCCAGGCTCAGGCTGAACTCCGGGTCTGCCGAGAAGTAAATATGTAAACAAAAAATTTCAACAGCAAGTGGACACAGAGATATCTTAATGTCAAAGTGGGGAGACAGCGGCGGAGAGAGATAATCTGCCAAGCTGCACGTTTTTGCGGTGAGTCCACATCATCAAGAACTGCTGAGCCCAAGGTAGAAGAAGACGGGATGTTGCTTCGCACAGACCTTCATCTCACCCCCAGAATTTAACTTTCTCGAGATAAGAGAACAGTTCTCTCCTTACCTTCTAGAATGACGCATAAATGGGGAAAAAATCCCGACTTCAGAGTCCGAGAATCCGATGTCCTCGCACAAGTTGAGGCTTGCGAGGCTTGCGTCTGGATAGGGATTGACGATCTCATCTTAACTTTAACATCTCGTCGTGTCAAGTGCGTGAAGTGTATCGGTGCTTTCTGGCGACGACGATACGGAAAATACCCAGAAGCCAAAACCACGTTTCAGATAGCTCTGTCGAGTGCCATAGGTCAGGTATTCGGGCTCAGATCATCAAGATCTTGAAGGAGACGTACGCACGAACGCGGCAGTCGTGTTAACTTCGCTCCCGTGTTGCCTGCTGCTCTGCACGAGTTTATTTCTCCGCAGATGCTAGTACACATCTCAAAGTGTGGAAGAATCTGTAGTTTGGAGTAGGATAGAGTTGGCAGCTCGCCGATGACAATCGCAAGTTGCCTGTGGATTGTCTGGCATCATTGGTTGCATGAAAGAGGGTAAGCCTTATTCTACAGCTCGATCCCAGTCACAACTCCTAGGACTACGAAAACGAGGATGCCCATGACTCAGCGGCCAAGCAAACTTAATTCATGGGCAGTTCTAAGGTTCGAACCACGTGTAGACAGCAATGTCTTGAACATTTATGGTTTCAAAATCTGAATACCGATCGGCGCCTCAGCACGATTTGCATTCCCCAATCAACCACTTGGAAGTAATCGAACGCCTGACCAGTGCTGCAAATTCGCTCGAAACCGGATTTGCAAGGCGTTGGAGCCGGAAAAGCTTCATTTGTGTCGTTGATGAGTTCATATTCTCGGGAGCATACACGTGACTCTCACTTGTCGCTCGATGCTAACGACAGAAACGAGAACACGAATACTCTTCAGGAGTGAGTCAGTGGCAGATGCAGTAGAAGGGCATTCTTCTCATTTATTCGATAAATCCAGCTTTATAGGCAACTGTCGCTTGCAAGAGTGTCAGTCATGTTTTGCAGTCTGTGAACAACTTTATCATTTGTGACGAGAACCCAACTGGCAAGGTCTGTAAGAAAAGGTATTGGTACTAATCTCAAACTTAGGCCCGATTATTATTCTAACGAGATTCCAACGATGAGTCTTTCTAATGGGATCATTCAATCACACGAGTTCCCCTGCTCTAAGGACGGGGTTATTCATCACTTCGCCTTCGCCTGAATCTCCAGGACCTCATTTTGCGCCTTTGTGCTAAGCGAGGGGGTTCGCTTGCTGGTTAGCGAAGGAGACTTACAGTCCCCCCCCCACCCCCCTTGGAATTTAGCTTTGACCTCTTGTAAGATCCACTATTATTTGTGGTGCTATTTTATTGCTGTGTGCTGACACTCTTACAGCAAATATACATTAAAGCAATTTATAGGTTTCAAATGTATTTTGTGTTTGATATCCATAAAGCAGCAAACAAATAACGCCGGATTTGGTCGCATAATCGAAGCAGTCTCAAATACCCTGGTTTCTTACTAGGGTACACACTATTACCTAGGCCTAGGGCCAGCTGAGCGAAGAGGACTCAAGTAAATAATTATCACGTTACAATGAATGACAACTGTGTTTAGAAGTTGCTAGAAATTTAGATAAGTATGATTTAATCATAATACTTCTGCTTCACCCCCGCAATAATCTCCCCCTCCCGACTCCCCACCAACCCCGCCCTAAACCTATGATCCTTCGCAATCCTCGCTCTCGCCCACTCCTCCGCCGTAACACCCCCCAACGACTCCTCCCCCTCCGCTTTCACGCCCAACCGCTCCAACAACGGACTCCGCACCCTCTCCAACCGCACCTGACTCTCGGGCCGCGCAAAATAAATCAAACTCAACCTCGCACTCTCCCTCTGGTCCACCGGCGGCCGGACAACCCTATGCACCGTACTCTTCAGGTACCCGCCGGACAGGAGTTCTAAAGCGTCGGCGACGTTGACGATGATTGAGAGGGGGGACGAGCGGATGTATTTCCAGCCGAGGGGAGTTTGTACTTGGAGACCCGAGATGGGTTGGTGGAAGAGGAATGTGAGGGTGTTGTAGTCGGTGTGGCCGATGGCCCAGAGGGGGCGGGGCGAGGGGTGGTATTTCATGTAGCGGAGGTATTCGAGGCCCGGGGCGGTGTACCGGTGCTGGTTTACGAAGTATTCGGTGTCGAGTTCCAGCGCGTGGGCGAAGATTCGAAGGAGGGGGAGGAGAATTTGGTTGTGGATGTGCTGGGTTCGTTAATCAGTCACATGGACGGATTGGATGGGAGGAGAGGAGAGGGGAAGACGTACCAAAGAGAAGGTCTTTATTTCTTCATAGTGATCAAGTATCAGTTGTGGATGCGGACGTTCATGTTCAGGTGTAAATTTTGGGATATTGTATCGTTCGTCATTGTCTTTTCCTGCTTGCTCTCCCGTAGCCCTTGCTTTGTAGCCTCGAAAATCGCCGGCTGCGGTGTTGGCTAGGTATTTTGTCTTTTCTTCTAATGGGAGGTCGAAGAACTGTTCCGCGATGGCGTATTGGCGTCTGATGTCCTCGTCTGTTAAGCCGTGGCCTGCAACGTAGAAGAAGCCTGGGTTGTGTCAGCCGACTTGGGCTTTGTGCTGGAGGTGGAGGCCTTGCCATTCTTGTTGATGAAGTTTAGGACTTGTGCTGATAACTCTTCTATGCCTCCAGGTTGATCAAGTTTGGAGATATCAAGAGCCTCGAGATCAGCGTAGTCAACTATGGTTTATTAGAGTTAACGTCTCTCAAGTTCTGGTAGACTTACGCTTCTCTGTTGTTTCCTTTGGATACTCATATTCTGGAAGATCTTTCCTTGTTTTTCCTGGAGACATGGCTTTTTACTTGAACGTTGACTAGGAGAGATGACAGTCTCCGTGATTTGTGTTGCTCTATGAGGTCGATCTAATATCCCAAATGTTCGGGGATGATGTTCAGACGCAATGTGGGACAATCAGATCATTTCTATCAAGAGTGGGATAACTAGTACCATGTAACGTACAAAAGTAGATGTACTGTACAGTAGCTCAAATGCGATGATCAACGAGTCCGCACCTGATTAGCGCCCCTCAGCACGTCATCGAACCTTGAATTTACCTCATTTTGTAATCATTAAATTCTTTCGTTGTGACTCTGTTTCAGTGGCTAGATTTCAAGTAGGGCCCTCTAGACCGTATGGAAGACTGTATCCGCAGTGTATTTGGTAGGTAAGTCCTGAGTTTAGATACTAACACACGTGATCGTGCCCCTCCTTGGATCTAGGCAGCTGCATTTTGAAAGATCCCAGAGGCAAAATACCCACTTCCAACCAGGATAATGATGTTGGAATATGCAAGGTATCTTTCGTGCTTATGAGTTCCATATATTAGATCTTTAGATATCTACACCAATCGACTACCAACCGCGAAAACTTTCTATTGTGACAGCCAAATTTTAAGCTTAGTCCAAGATGTCTTCAGAGATCCAGAAGACAACTGCTGGTGCTGAAGTAGTATCTCCAGTAGCAAGTTCATTATCGGGATCTTCGCGGAACAAGGCGTTGCGACATCGAATTCGTGAGGTTGTTTGGGATAGCTTGGATCGTTCACCAGAAGAACGTCGTTTGATATTCAAACTTGATATTTTTATCTTGTAAGAAAGGATTCCAGATCCTCAAAAATAGAGCTTACATGTACAACAGGACGTGGGCAGGCTTCACCTACTTCTCGAAGAACTTGAACTCAAACAATCTCTCCAATGCCTACGTCTCCGGAATGAAAGAAGATCTGAATGTGGTGGCAAATGAGTATCAGACTTTCACTACCATGTGGACAATCGGATATGTTATCAGTCAGATTCCTTCACAGATGATTTGCACTCGCATCCGATCATCTCTTTGGTGTCCAAGCTGGGAACTGATTTGGGTCATTGTAACCTTCGCCACTGCAGCTGTCAAAACTCCTCATCAACTATACATTTGTCAGTTCTTTGTGGGCTTTGCTGAAGGAACATTCTACCCTGCGGTTCACACGGTACTAGGAGGATGGTAGTACGTCAAATTTGTCCCTGTTTTTGATTCATTCTAGGAGCTGAGGACATGGAGATCCTCTTCGAGACCTGCTCATCATAGAAGACTGTCTCAACTCTTCGAATGAGTTCTCTTCGTCTCCTAGATCTCTTATCAAAAATGCATACTGATTTGCCTGCAGCACTAAACGAGAACTTGGGAAGAGAGCTTCGATATTTTTTGCTTCAGCATTTGTCGGGTCCATGTTCAGCGGATATCTGCAAGCAGCATTGTATACAGGAATGGATGGTACTGGAGGGCTTGCTGGGTGGAGATGGCTGTTCATATTTGACGGAGTTATAACTTTCCCTATGGCCATGTGGGGTAAAGTACCCCGCCATTGTGAGATGAACCGGACTGAAAAATAGCAGCGTATTATGCACTTCCTGACTTGCCAAGCAACACTCGTGTGAAATGGCTAAAACCACAGGAGATAGTACTAGCTCGACAACGAAGGGTAGATGCTGGAAAAGGCAAAGATGAGCCGATGACTTGGCTTGGGATAAAGCGAGTCCTAGGAAAGTGGCACTTCTGGGTCTATACTGCGTACTATACGTGAGTTATATGGACTACCAGTCTCATCCGAAATTGACACATCCAGATTCTTCATCTGCAGTGAGAATATTGGAGGATATATGAATCTCTGGCTGAAAAGCTTGAAGAGATATTCAGCTCCACAGATCAACACTTACCCCACCGTAATCAACGCTATCACGATCGTCACCACCTTGTCATATGGCTGGACTTCAGACGCTCTGCAACTTCGCAGTCCGATCGTCTACTTCTCTTTGACCGTCTGCTTCTTTGCAGCCATGAACCTCGCAATTTGGGATGGTGTACCCTTCGGTCTGAAATGGGCATCGTACTACCTCACCGGCTTCGCTCAAGGATCTGGACCCATTTTCCTAACCATGGTCAACGAAGCTTGTGCTACAGATACCTTGGAAAGGAAGTTCATTTTGGGGACTACGAACTCTGTTGCTTATGCCTTCAACGCTTGGATCCCTCTTATAACATACAACACGACTAAAGCTCCTCGGTTCTTGGTTGGTAATTCGGTGACTGTCGGGTTGATAGTTTGTGCTGCTTTGACGTTGACATTGGCTGTCTACCTCCAGCTTCGAGATGCGTAAGTCCGATCTGTTCCTTTTCTGTCATAGGCTTTGACGAATGAAGTAGAGAGAAGGCCAGCGAGGCAGAAAGAAGCGACGTTGAAGTGATGGTGGTCGAAGGAGGACGATGGGCGAAGAAGCAAGACCTGGATATTTGATGACCACAGCATCTTGAATATGAATTATAATCATGTAGATTCATCAACACAATGCTTGAGGGTGGGCGGTATTTGGAGAGATGTTATACTTACCTAGGTACTTGAAGATGTCGAGTCGCGGAGAAATAGGTATACAATCGCGTCTGGATTATGTAACATTCCAATCTGTCACATCTCGTATTGTACCAGCCACCAACCAACCACTTGAAAATGCTGCAACATCGATTTTGCAACCCCCTCTCTTGTCCAAGGCCATCGCAATAATCAAACTATGTTTCTGCAATTCCCGTCGCAATGACACGTTATCACAACGTTGCTTCTCTGTACCTTGGGTTTCAAAAGCAATCATCCGAGCCATTCCTCCGCTTCCAGCACAAGATCAGGTCACGATACCATGAAATTTTATCTACTCGTATTGCTCAAGTGCCTTTGGTGAGCAGATTGGCTTGCTATCCAAGTAACGTCGAAAATTTCACCAGGATAGTCACAAATCTTGCTGCAACTCAGCATATTTTTGAGCTTCGATTTACGAGCCCCTTTATACATCCAAATCCAGCAAAGGATGATTATGTACCAGCAATCCAAGAACGAAAGAGAGCTGTGAAATACAGTCTTCAATCGGATGGTTACAACTTAGTACGGAGAGATCTGATGAGACAACTTGGGGATGTGACAGTGCTTCGCACTGTGCATAATAGATTGATCAAAGGTCACCCACCGCTGCCGCTGTTCCACGCCCTACGTTACGACTCTCAAGCCAAAATAGCCGCCAAATCACAGATGACAATAGTCAAAAGACTGAATAGAGAGCAGGCGTTCAAGGAATTCGACAAAATCAGGAAGATCGATGCCACGAAAGAATTTGGCGTTCTAGTTGCGGACAGCTTCATATTGATCTATAACCAAACTCAAGAGGAGCATGATGCGAAGATCTTTCCAACAAAGATTCGCATACCATTTCTAGGGAGCAAATAGCAGCGTTCATGGCCTTGAATGCTCCTAGTTCGCTATCTCATACCGCTTGCCACTTTACCATCCTCCCTTCGCCTCGGAATATTATCACTCTCAACTCAACTTTGGTGCTCAGGTTTCCACATATCGAATTGCTACTATTACAATCTTCCTTCACCAGCATTGCATCAACGGACCTAGTTCGCGCCTAGCATAGGTTGATGTATCGAAACACGTAAGATCTGAAGTGCCTCTTCGCCTTCGCCTCAGCGACCACTGCTTTTGGCTTTTCTTTGCCTTTAGAGCTACGCTTTGAAAGTCTATGGTATCTTCTTCCGGGGAAGAGAGGGCGGGCGGGTTATTTCCAACGACCTGGAGAGATGCTTCTGGGTTCGGAAGGTTTCGCTTTCCTTTGGGCTTTCGATCCTACTGTATTGTAATCTTAACTCTTTACACCCACATCACCACTCCGATTGATACCACTGGGAGGATTGATGTGAGGGACTAGGCAGGAGGGAAGCCCGAGGGAGGCTACTTAGTCAAGTCTCAGAGCAAAGATTCAGGGGTTAGAGGCAGACAGCTGTTCTTATTCGGAGGTGGAGTGTCATGTGACACGCTTTTATTGCGGCGTATATTTATCTTTGAAAACGGATAACCTTATTGATTCGTTACTTGGGGTTTTGATTTGAGAGGATCTTCTATGTGTTGCCTTACATATGACCCGAGCATTGACATCAAAATATTGATTCAAGTCACGAGTCTCGTAATTTTTCATCAAGGGTAGCTTCTCGTACGCGAGAACAGGGCAAGCTATGGAATCAGATATACTTCAGAAGAATATAATAGAATTAAATTGTTGTGAAAGAACAGCTTCCTTGAAATATTACCAGGGATAGCCATGTTGAAGTGAGACACGTCAAACTGCATAAAGAAAATCAACGCAACAGCATGGTATCATCAAGGACAGGACGTCTTCGTATAGTCGAATATCACAGGGGATCATTGGTTTGGGACAAATTACTGGCTATCTTCTTTGACACCTCAAACCCAAAAAGTTTCGACAACAACAGCAATCTGTTCACCACCGTCACAATATCTTTGTTGAATAGTGACTTGAGAGTTCTTCAAAGATGGTATTGGCTTTTTGTTCTACTGCATCTATTGTTCTAACAGAACAGCTCTCTCTTAGAATCTATAATACAAAACTTCATACCTTCAGGAAATTCTTCAATACAAGATCAATCAACACATACACACATACACACACTTCAATAGCACTTACTCGTAACCAAATACACTTCCAAAATCTTCAAGGCCCCACCCAATCCCCAAACAACACACAGCTAACACCAATAGAAATGGATTCTTACTACAACCAACTCGCTGGAAAGCATGATGACCCAGGATTCATAGACTTCTGTCGAAAGTCCAACCTTGATCTATCAAACATGGACCCTTTCTTCGCACCACTCGTGAAGAATGAATTGAAGGAGCGATACCAAGCCTCCTGTCGTGAGTCCAACATTGACACCAAGCAGCAACACCCCGTGGATGCCAGTGAGCAAGACCTCCTCACTGAGCGTGCCAAGAAGACTCGAAGATTGAGACTCCAATCTCTAGCTCAGAGAGCAGAGGAATCTGAAGAGTACCGTGAGCACCGTCGCCAATCATGAAACAGAGACAGACATCGTGAAATGAACATCCGACGACGACAACGGCGTCGGGATGCAGGGAGGTTCGGAACTAGGTGAGTTGATGGTAGGTGATATGGTGGTGATGTGAACGCGACGGAACATAGCGGCGGTTAGATGAGAAGCTCGGGTTCTCCTCGAGGGACAGGACAATGGTCCTGCTTCGGCAGTGTGGTAAATATTGTTAGGGGCACAGTAGTATATGGGGTGTTATCGCCACCCCCTCCTAGACAATTCAAACCCATGTCCCTCAAAAAGTGATTCAGACCTCTTTCGTGACAACTCTATCTGATCAAATATTCTTACTCATTGGACTTTGTGATATCATGTAATGTTAAAGGAGATAGCACGTCGGAGTCAAGTAGACAGGAATTTGCAATTTCGAACGTGATTCCGCAGTCGGCCTTGACTTGAGTCAGGCAACTCGCTCTTAAATTCAGTTTCCATATATTGTGTTCAGCCCTTTCTGTTTACCACAACCCGCCTAAACACAGGACCACTCAAAATACGAGATAAGATACTCGCTATGGAGGAACAACCGTTGCAAACCGAGTCGATGGATTTATATCAGGCCCATCATGAAGAGGAACCAGATGTGAGACTCCCTGGATCCCGTCCATCGTCTCTCCTCTCATGGACGGCGAGCGAAAATTCCTCTACATCAGCTCGAAGATCGGCTCGCACATCTCTAACAGAGCGTGCCCTAAAGGAGCAGGATGAAGAGCAGTCCATAGCTCGAAAGGATTCCAACCGTAGCTCTCAAAGAACCTTGATTGGTGAGAATATCGCCCGACCTCGAACTCCACGAATGAAGGACGAAACTACGAATCAAGCACCTCCAACGCCAGGTCAAAGAAGACAGCCGGAACTACCTCGTGGGATATATTCACGCCCCGGCTCTCTTACCGAAGAACAAGTAGGTGACGCTATCGAGGAGCTCATTGTGTATCAGTTCGAGAATCGAGACCTTCTACTGGAAGCTCTGGAGAGTCCTAAATCCGGGATCACATGTGTGGGCCAAGGTAACCGACCGATTCCTGATGGTAATAAAGCGCTAGCCAACCTCGGTAAGGCTGTGATGAACCTGGCATTGATGGAACAGCTCTATGAATACCAGATACCAGAATGTAAGCAAACTTCCTTGGGAAAATTGCGAGATGCTGATAACTACAGCTGAACATCCACGCATGTTCAAACTCTTTGAGAGAGACAACCTAGCAAGTGTGGGAAACCACAGCGGATTTCAGAAATGGATACGACCAAGAAAGCCTCTGCCACCATCTCAGCAGAGGAACGTCATGTTAATGATCAAGGACGATTTACGAGCTTTAACGGGCGAAAAGGATCCCAAAAGAGTTATTGCAAGAGCTATGCGAGCTCTCATTGGAGCGGTATACTTAGACGGTGGTAGAGAGGCAGCGGTGGATGTGATGAGGGAATTGAGACTACTCATCAGTACCAGTCCGCTGGTAGGGCCGCACGATGAGTGAACTAGGCAATGAAAAACATAGCTTTGGTTCCGAGGCATATCGAATATTCCGTGTGCCTATGGAAATAGAACATGAACGTTGCTCTTAAAGTCTGTTATCCTGCCAGACGGCTGTCGGGAGTTGCGTCAGGCCATATGCCGAAGCAGAACCCAACAAAGGCACGTGACAGAATTCATGAACACATCTCTGGGCTTGAGGAGGATAATCAACATGACAATGGGAGTCAAAACATTATTCTGTCATATCGAGCACTCATTGCAGCTTCGATAACAGACTCAGCTTGATTCCACAAGTTTGAATAGCGGCCAGCGTGTGAATCATCAACGTCAGGAACAACGAAGTAGCCATGTATACCATCGACGACGACAATGAATGAATTATACATCTGCGAAGTCAAGAATAATCAAAAATCGTAGTACCAATGCCAAACAGACTATAAGGAAAGAAGTATGTGCAACGTCCTGGCTTGTGGAACCAGATTGATATCAACTTCTCGCAGTGTGCACGGACCAGTTCCAACCCACCTCTGCCATTATGCATTTGCGTTCTTGGAATTGCAGAACGGATGGGATGGACAGTATGAATGAGTTGTCAAGGGTCTGCCTCATTTGTGTAGGGAGAGTGATGACATGTCGCTAAGCTGCTTTGGAGGAGGGACATGCAGGGCCGTAGAAATTTCTCTCCATCTGATTGGTCGACCCCGAGCCTCCGCACCTTAAAAGCTGCGACTCCCCCCATCCACACCAACTTTCTTCCACACTCCTCTTCCTTATCCTCGTTCATCGGAATCATCACTCCAGTCATCATCAAACTCGTTTCAATTCATTTGAGCCTCATCGTACTCCTGGGTGGACTTCCATACGTAGGCCATATCGGGTACCCTCGATTGCTCGTATCGCTTGATTCTGTGATTGATACCGGCCAAGGCACCCACCTGAGCCCAACATTCATCAACATCTCATCCACGTTGCATGTTCCATCACTACCAACCATCAATACTATCCATTCTATCATCAACAAACACAGATATCAACCCAGAAAAGATAACATTTCTTTCTAACCTCTTTTTCACGACTCCCACTTCAGCCTCACACTTGTGACGGCTGCTCAAGCGAGAGACCGCTTCATCAACACTCGATATGCCAGAGCCGGTCTCTACTTCCAGGAAGAAGACAACGACTATGTCGTTCAAATCTGCTCTCCTCAATCCAAAGAGCAGGCGTCAGAAGAAAAGGGTCCACTGGGACGCTTCAGCAAAAGACAACGAGTATAAAATGCAACCTAGAACGCCGGCGCTTGCTCCAAACAAGAAAACCGCAACAGCAGAAAAAGTCATGGCTGCTCAAAGAGCGAAGCTCCAGAATGGAGGAAAATCACTGACGTCCCAGGGCTCGAGCTATCGCAGTCCCAGTCCGCACCCATTCTCCAAAACATCATGGAGTGCTCTGGACTCGCAATCACAGAGTGTCAATCGGCTTGCGGACCGGAATCCTCCTCCACCCCCGAAAGCTGCCGGGTCAAGTGGCCATGCTCATTCGAATCATGGACAGAGTAATCCAATCACGACTCGTACCTCGACTCATCACCAGGGCAAAGTCTATGCTCCGACAACAAGTCAATCTTCCAAAATCCAATCTCAACAGACTCATGCACCAAAGAAAGCCGGAGAAAGCTCGACACATAGCCAGAGACACCCCACTTCAGCGAATACTGCGACCAAGATGGCCACGCATCGACCACAGCCGAGTGTACCAAGTCAGGGAAAGGCTGCCCAGTCTACCAGGCATCAGTCCCAGTCGAGCGTCACCACAGATCAATCCCACAAGGCTGTGCATCATCGGGAGAAGCCGGCAGTAGCTACGGCTCCTGCAAACACCGGAGCCAGAAGGGATCCGAAGCATTCAGGACAAGAAAGCTCGAAGAAGAGATCAATGGCATTTGCACGTGTTCCACCGGCTGTCCCAGATCCGCCAGAGCGCCGATGGGTGCAGCCACCACCAACACCAAGACCGGCGAGATTGCCAACTCCAGATTTGCAAGAGATTGGTGGCCGATACTTTTGCCATTGTGATGTGGGCCATAGAAATCAGGATTGTATGTCCCATCGGCCAGATGCGACCAGAAATGCAAACCTAGACATGAACCAGATGGACATCAATCGTGAGATTGCCGAAGTCCAGAACTTAGTGAGCGACGCATTGCTGATAGACGAAATAACAGTTCAGGCTGCGATGGCACAGATACAAGCCGACCGTTTAGCTTATCTAGAGATGCATGGATATCTAAATTAAGATGGAAGATGAAGTGACGATGATGTTTGCTGTTTTTCGTAGGTTTTGGTCGATCCTCTTTCCATTTTGCTGAAATGCTGGTGTTTGGTCCGGGAATGGTGACGGGGCGGAGACGAGAGAGACTGGGGGAAAATATTCATCCTTGTAGCAGTCGTAAAACTTTGGGAATATCTTCAAATCCTCTTCAATAGACCAGAATGAAACTCTTTCTATCGTATGATCCAAGCTTGCTCAGCGGGCGTCCTTGAGACGTACGCAAAGATGTCGAGATCAATACCTGTCGGCCAGCGCGCTGCACGCAGATTCGCTACTAAAGCAGTGCTATATCGTGCAGCGAGGGAGCGATGAGCGCTGTAAGGCCTGCGCATTTCCTCCGACCGGGCATTCGGGGCTCATATCGGGTGAGAGATCTCAGGGGCGTGTCCAGGCTCGAAAAGGTGTTGTAGTGGTGGAGATCTGGGGATTCGAGTTCATGAGATGTCGTTGAAATAGCTTCGTCAAAACTGCCTCGGAAGTAGGCCTGAGGCAGCAACAACAACCCCCGCCAACCCCACCTTCCCGAAATCGCTTCACTTGACTACAAACAAACTTGAAACCTTCCATCTCATCCCATTTTTGCAGTAAACACAAATTTCAACACATTACGACAAGTTTCACAATGGCAGACTTCAAGCCCGTTTATACCAAGGATGCTGCTTTTCGTAAGCTCCATATCTTTTACTTTCTGATCAAATATAGCTAACAAGTTTCACAGCAGCAGGACCTTATGTACATCTCCCCTCACTATCCCACCTTCATACAATCATTTCAACACCCTCACACTCACTAACACCAAACAGTCTCAAGCCATCGCCACACCCTCCACAATCTACTGCTCCGGCCAAATTCCCTGTGACAGTGCCGGCAAGATCCTAACACTCGAATCCTCAAACATCTCCGCCATGACCGAGCTCTGCATCCAGAATCTGACCGCCGTATTGAAAGCCGCTGGCTCTGGTATCGAGAAGGTCGTCAAGGTCAACGTGTTCTTGACTACTATGGATAATTTCGCGGAGATGAATGCTACGTATGAGAAGTTCTTCACCCATAAGCCGGCCAGGAGCTGTGTTGCTGTTTATCAGTTGCCGAAGGGAGTGCCGATTGAGATTGAGTGCATTGCTTTGGCATGAATCGTCAATACGCAGGTTTAGCAAGTTGAAGGGGGCTGTGGCCATTTCATCGAGGCCTTTGAGGTTGGGTTGATGGAGATGAAAATGTCTGATGACAAGAGAAAAGCAAATAGAATTCTTAAGGACTCTGTTCCTTTACATCCCTGCCAAGATCTTTCTACATTGTGATTATGGTGTTCATGGTACGTGTGTCATTATCAGCTCTTATACAAGAATGTATTCAAGTGTGGTGCAATCGCCGAAAACGGAAATAAAAATTGTAATAAAGGCCTTTCTGCTTCTACATCAAAAGCACGTTGGCATAAAGTAAGCATCGAACTCTAGAATAACAAACAGAACGAAAGAATGCACATCAGAAATTCATTTCCCCATCCCCATCCCAAGCTAATAAGTCAACAAATCAACAAAACTCGCTAGCTCAATCTATTCATCCTCAGCCTCGCCTACCCTAACCCCCTAATAATATCAAATAAGCACTTCCATGCCATAAGCTCACATGGCATAGTGGTTGGGGTCTCCATTTCAGGACAATTGTGATGCTAAGAGGAGGAAAAGGGATAAAATCGCCTGGCCCGCATACGAACGAACGAATCGCGACTTCAAAAACTGCACCCGACACCGAGCAAGTTTTCTACGACCTACTCACTTCGGTGGTTAGGTCTGAGTTTTTGCTTGTTTTTCCTATTTTTTGGGAGCGGCTATTGAGTTTTGATATCAGGATTTTTTTGGGGGAGCGTTGTGATTTAAGCGAGGAGTTTAGCGAGGAGGGGGGAAAGCGCGATGTAAATAAAGCTTCAATTGAGGAGATGGTTATTTTCACTTTTAATATCCATATCAGGCACATAATACTAGCCATTTCATCATTAATATCCACGCCCATGAGAGAAATTAGAAAAAATGTTCCTTCCATCCCCAGAACTTAAAGTGAGTTGCAAATCATCAAGCTCGCCCACCTCCCTCTCTTGTCATCTACCACACTGGTCTTGCATCAAGCAAGCAGTAAGTAGCCCCATCAATGCATTGTCTTTCCTCATGCTAACTCTTTGACACATCCTTAGCAACAACTCAAGAATTCTGGAGCACAACGAACAAGTCGAGACTTCGACTTGCGTTCAGCAAGCCATTCGAAGACACGATAAGTATGACTTTAGATCTCCTTTTATTTAGAGGCTCTCATATAATCGAGGGTTTTAAACAACACTGCCTAACGGAATTCAGAAGGTTAACCAAGCAAAGAAGACCAAAGGAACTTTCAAACATTTCAGAAATCAAGTCATCACATGCAAAACATAAACCTTGCAAATATCGAGTGCAAAGAATTCATTGCCTCGACCAAGTTCCCAAAAGAGCGTAATAAGTTTGTTATCCTATTCTCTCACAAGTCCCTCTCTTCCCAAAAATTCATGTCCTGCCAAACCCCCACATCCTCTCACAGAACCTCCTCTTTCAAAACAATCCGTCTCCCAATGCCCTCACTTCTTAACACCAGCACCACCGCCCTGAATTCCACCATTTCCGCCCTTATCTTGTAGACCACAAACACCCTTTGCAGCACCAGTACCAGACGATCCGCCGGCCGCATTAACGTTACGATCACCAGCGCCTTGAGCACGAGCAGCGAAGCCGCTGGAGGACATGTCGCGTCCGTTGGAGGCCTGTGATATCAGTCTTGATCTTGGAATATGGAGAATGGGCCGGAGGTATCTGAGAGGATTGGATGCGCGAGGCATCGTTCTTGATCATGTCGGATTTTGGGGACATTTTGGCGGGTGCGTGGGTTTCGGGCAGATGTTCAAGATGGAGTAGGAGGAGTTTGATTTGTTGAGGGAAGATGAGGAGGGTGATGTTGTGGATGACCTGAGGAGATTTAGGGAGGGAAGGAAGGTGCGTGTTATGTAGACTTTTGAGAGTAGAGGGGAAAAGAGTGCGTGTGGGGAAGACAGCAAACGGACGTTCTAGAAATGCCTCAATTACTTGGGTTCTATGTATACTCCCGCCAGGTATCTTGCTCACCTCGTCATCATCAAGCCCGGCGATAAGGCACGTTCCCGTGAATCATACATCCTCGTGTCAGATGTTAACCAGAATGGGTGTGTGCATGAGGCTCTGCATACTTGTCAGATACTGATCGAGAAGAGAACGACAAGTCAGAAGTTACAAGCCACGGCTTCGAAAGTCTTGGGTTGAACCCGAGTATATTCTCCTCTCAATATGAGACATCAGTATGTGACTTTGGAAGCTGTGTAAAATATGACAAGTAAGCAAACAGAAGAATTTCCCCGCCCTCTTGGGCTTGATGCTATTGTTTCAGATGCTGCAAGCAAACAAAAGCCACATCATTTCCGAGCATGGAAGCAGGGTGTGTGTGGGCACTGGACCCTGATATGTAGGGTTCCGAATGTGATCTCCAAAATCGCAAAAACGCGACGAGGCAGTATCCAATAACCAAAAATGATCTTCATCCCAGAATTGCAGGATTCCGAGAAAATGCCGTCAACCCATTGAGAATGTCTTTACTTGGCCAGGTCATTCACACATTTCCGCTAGAACTTTGTTGCACATCGCAGCAGGTCGCTAACAAATTTAAACTCTGCGCTAAGCTAAGATATCTTAACAAAAACTTTTCTTGATATCATTCTATACGCAGATTAATACCAGAAGCAAAGACTCAAAAGGGAATTTCAATATCTACAACAGAAAATCTAGAATTTATCAACAAAACTGCTGTACGTAATAATGCTCCGAGCGATAAAAGCTATCAAGTGGTCTATAGACTTTTGACACCTTGTACGAATGCCTCCAATTTTGATTCGAAGGTGAACTCAAAGTCCATGTATAGCACGTGACTGGACATATTTCCATCTCGTCTTTTGGTTTTTGGATAAAGAAATATAATGAAGGACAGAAGAGCTCCACGACGTACTTCAAATCATATCACTCACTCTCAAGTTTCAAGTCCACGAAGTCCCAGAAAATTCCCCATCAAACGATCACGTGGATCCCACATTGAACTCCGAAACGCCTCCATCACCACGCAAGCACAACGCAGAAACAACCACAGTCAGAAAATCCTCCGGATCCCCATGACGTCCTCACAAAGCATCGGACCCCAGTAGACAGATCTACAAATCCGTCATCTTGCTGACACTCCTCAGCAGGTTCGAACAAAACACAACTACTCTACAAAGCTGCTTCAAAAATTGCATCACCTAGCCAGCCTCACTTAGACCGGTATCTGAACAGCCGGTGTCACGTCCAGTCCAGCCCTATGGCATTGCAACGTCACTTCGCCTTGTCCGAATTATTCCAAAGAAAATTTCCAAGCCAAAAGACGAGATGCTTGCGTTATTAGAGTTAAGTTCGTAGCGCACAGCCACTTATATTCTATTCTTATCTCGAGTCCCGGTGTGGCGTCACGCACTAAACCCCATCAGACCAATTATGCGATTCGTGGTGGCAGGGTCCAACGCGGCTGGCTGACACACCGTTCGTTCGTTCGCACCGCTTCGTTTCTGGTGCGGATGCTTCTTCGGGCAATTCCTGTCTTCCTACCATTCGTGTTGTGTCTTCGTGTTGCAGGAAAAGATCCAGTCATCGTTCTCGCTCATCCATCCGCTCTCTGTCTCTGGTAGGTAAGTCCCGCCGAATACGTGGTTCGTCACTTGTCCGATGCAAGTCGATCGGGTGGCTTGTCTGATGCCTAGGTACCTAGTATAAGATTCCTTCAATCCCTCTCTATCTGCGTTTCCATATTCATTGTTTTTCCCTCCGCATATATACCCCGAACATATTTCACATCTATTTGCTGCTGCTTTGAAGTTTCGAATCGTCACTCGTTTCTCGATCCGGAAAGAACAAAACGTACTCTCGTTATTAGCCAAGAGGCTGCTGTGACGGTTTTGAGACAGCGAAGACATCATACATCTATCTATCGGCGGCGCGAACGCAGAACACGGGTCCTTCTAGACGCTATATATTCTTCGAAAGTATTCTATAGTTGTACACACAAACATCGACGATAAGCGGGCACAATGCGGTTCTCAAGTCAATTCCTTTCGATTTCTCTTGTGCTTCTCAGCACGTTTTCTCTTATCACAGCAACACCTGTACCATGCACAGATGTACGTTACTCTTCTTTCTGCTTCTATTGCCTTTGCTAACAAGAAACAGAGAACACGCGATCTCGTACTCCAGGGAATATTAGACCCGAGCGCATGCTGCAGTTACGGAGTCTGCAAAGGAGATGTGAACGTACAAGGAGGATAAGAGACCACTCGACCCAGAACGAACGCAGGCGTACGGGCAACGAACACACGAATCAATAAACGCGACATGATAACAGCATTCTGCATTTGGATAGCAAGGAGTTCTGGGGCCGGGTTTACACACAACAGATAAGTTGTAAAACACAGACCACAAGCAACGAGATACGAAATCTTTTTCTCGTCAGCAATTCGTCGGATTCGCTCGGATACCATCAGAAGGCTTAGAACAGGAACCAAGATGATGTGGTCATGAGGGATTTGTACATATCAGCCCACACGGATGTCCGGCCGGACTCTGAATTTTTTTGGAGGCTTCACACACAAGCAATGTCCTCACAAGACATGTGTATACGAGATCAAGATACGATAGAAAGATACCAATACCAATACCAAGTCCTTGGTACCTCACTAATCAACCATATCCACTCATGTCTCGTATTCCATGTGTAGTTCGTGTGCTAGCTCACCCCACCTTCGCGGCAACGAAACTCTTGCTATCGGTTACAAAGCCATACGATGTCTACTCAGCATTTCCTGTCAGTAATTCTCCAAGACATAACATATATCTCTCCCCAGAAAATCCCCAAAACATAAACAAAATACTCACAGCAATATTATAACAAAAAACCTCCCTCCCACCCCCCGTCGTCGTCGTCCCACAACAATCATCCACCAGCACACAATCCCACCCCTTATTATACGCATCCACCAGCGTGCCCCCCACACACTGATCCGTATTAACCCCCGCAAACAAAACACTTTCCACGCCCTTTCCCTTCAGCGTCTTATACAACGGTTGCTCCTCCGACCACATCCCACTCATCCTATTCTTCGCACAATGGAGATCTTCCTCCTTGACCATATCTTTCAGCGGTGGGTATATATCCGCGTTCCAAGAGCCCGCGAAGAGACACTTCCCTTTCCCGTCTCCGAGATCAGAGCCCAGGCCCGTGTAGGAGCGGATTTTCGAGGACGAGGAAGAAGAGGGGAGTAGAATATCTTTCATGAACCCGCGAGCTACGCCTGCGGGGAGGGTTTCCATGTCTTGGTCTGTGAGGCCCCAGTTGAGCCATATTACCTATTTGACCACATCAACATCTTCCTCTCCCTTTTTCTCTGAAGTAGATTTGAAGAGAAACAAACCTTTATCCCAACTTCCCGACATTTCTCGATGACAGCGATAGTAGGCTGCACGGCTTTCAAGCCGTTGGGATGGTCCATGCATTTCGAATCCAGGAAGAAATTCTGCATGTCGACGACGATTAATGCTGTTTTCTCAGGCGCGATGGTAATGTTTGTTGAGGGTGCGCCTTCGGTGGTGGGGATTGTGAGGGTGGGAGAGGAGGAGGAGGAGAGGGTGTAGGTTTTTGTTGAGGGGGTGTAGGTCCATTGATGGCTTTCGGGGCCGACGGAGACGTTGTTCGTCATGGTGGGAGCTTTGGATGGGGTGAGGAATTGAAGAGAGAAGAGAATTGCATGTTTGGAGATGTTGTAAGGTTGGGCTGGATAATTTGGTTGTGACGGGAGTGAGGGGTAGATAGTGACCTGGTTTCCCTTATCTTTTCTGGGGAAGGTGGGGTTGTTGTCTAGATTATTAAGGTTTGACGAATTGAAAGACTTTTGAGACAAAGAGCGCTAGTTAATGAAATATTGATATACTTTAACGCAACCTCAAAGTCAATGAGTGTCGCTGTCAAGTGTCACGATGTTTCATACATTGCGGGACTGTGATGCACGTCTGGCATTGGCTTGACTGCTTAGTCAGGGGCCATCAACTTCAGAGCAAGGGGGCTTGAACCTCTTCTTCCAATTTCCTTCTTCTATTTTCTTCCATTTTCACAAGCAATCTTCAATCTTGAGACATTCAGCTTATCCTCAAAGCTGTCATTGGCTAGATCCCCCAAATGGCTGGCTGAACTCCCTTGCTCTCATGTGTATCACTGCATAGTGGCTTTCAGCTCTGCTGACACCTCATTCCAGATGGTCAGCAAGTTGACTGTGTAACGACCAGCACTCTCCTAATTGGATGTTGTGGAATGTCTAAATGAACGTGTTCCAGGTGCCAGTTCAGCCCTGGTCATCAGTAATTGGAGTTGTATGTCTCTGGTCGTACCGGCAATCTGCACCATCAAGTCGTGGCGCACGGTATAACCGGCCACAGCGGTGTATGGGTAGAGATGACAGCTACCTTGCAGGGCGTAAGGCTGGTCCCGTTCTCGTAGAATATGAAGTGGGGATCTGCTTTAACTTTATTTCTACCTTTCTTGTTCTTCTCTCCTGTTCAGTCGATTTGGCGATTGATATCTTGCTTCGCTGTACTGCTAGTTCGTCGTTCTTCCGCATCGCCAGCATCCCGAAGATTTATACCCTTTCTTGGGAGCTGATTCCAAGCTTGCAACCATGTATTTGACGTTGATCAGCATCGTGAAGAGTATCTTCTCTTCCAGCCACAGCAAAGGAGTAGTAGCTCCCGCCTCCGAAGAAAACGAAGACCATGTCTACATCAAAGGCAACCCCGACGACCGCGGTCCTTGCCCCGGCCTCAACGCCCTCGCAAACCAAGGCTACCTGTACCTCACCCTCCCTCCCCTCCTCTATCAAACTAACCTCCCATCCAGCCCCCGCGACGGCAAAAACCTCACCTTAGCCCAAGTAGAAACCGCCCTCAAGAACGGCCTCCACATGACCCCCCTTCTCGCCACCTCCCTAACCAACGCCCTCAAACCCCTCCTCCGCAAAGACAAAACCTTCGACCTCGCCGACACGCGCCGCCACAACGTCATCGAGCACGACAACTCCTTCACGCGGCACGACCTCTGGCAAGGCGACAACTACACCTTCCAGCCCGACATGCTAGCCGCGATCCTCGACGACGCGGACGGGGGCCCCATCACACTCAAGAGCCTCGCCAAGAGTTTCAAGCGGAGGGATAGAGAGCAGAAGGCGATTGGGGCGCCGAAGTTGCCGCTGAAGTTGTGGTTTGTGCGGGTGTTGAATATTGCGGGGAGTATTAATACGGCGGCGTTGCCGAAGGGGAGGGTGCCGAGGGAGGTGTTTGAGCAGCTTTTTGCGGAGGAGAGGTGGGCGGGGGTTATTTTGGAGAATCAGAAGACGAGGAGTGTGGCGACGTTGTTGTATAATGCGGTGGTGCTGGTGTGGTATGTTGTTACTGGGCCGTAGGTTGGAGAGTGAGAGAGCTACGGATTTGCTTAAGGGGTGTGTTGGTTTGGTTGTTCAGCGTGTTTCTTTTGTTTTGCTTGAAAAGAGTTGAAATTGGTGATGGATCTGGTTGGCATTCAGAAGAAGGATATACAGATACCAAAAAATGACAACTCTTCAAATATATGTATTGACCAACTCTCCAGTTCTATCAGTAAATTGCGAATCAAGTGAAAAGTCACAGTCTCACAATGTAACAGTCAGCAACGAATTATCTACCAGTGATTTAATTAGCAATGCAAGCAAGCAAGCAATGTGTTCTATGACGCACCCAGTCCTCTAAGAAGACCAAGAAGAAGCTCAACGCCTCTGATGCAATGATAAAAATTGGAGGAAGTATATCATCTCCATGTGAAAACCACCTCCATCTCCAACCAACCACCAAGTCCATCAATCACCCAAACCATCCCACCTCCTCCTCAAAGTAAGGCATCAACCCTACCCACCCGAAGATGAGTATAGGACGCACCGACCAAGAAGTAGATCTTCAGATCCGGCCGAGAAGACGAAGCAGAAGTTCGAAGACTTCTGATGCTATGACAAAAATGGAGGTAAAATCGCATCTCCATGTGAAAACCAAATGCCCATAAACCAACAATGAGAGAAGAGACTGAGGCGCCACGTCTTACATCCATCCAGAAGATAGATAGATGATCAAAAGGTGCCAATCTCTCTCTCTCCAATCTCATACATGCCATGCCCCGCCAGAACGAAGAAAAATAGAAACGCCAGGCGCCATCAATGCTTCATCCCTAAAGACATCTCCATCATCACTCCCGGAACCCCATATGTACAAACCACCATGCAGAATCTAGTAAGAATCATCGCCGTCGTCGCCGGAGGTGTCGACTAGGGCAGAAGGAGGAACAAAGTAGGAGGGTTTACGCTTTCCCAGAGCTGGAGTACCAGGGGAGCTCAAAGCTTGGAAGGTATCGTACTCTGATCTGAATTCGGGCCGATCATCATCATCATCCTCGTCGTCCGAATCGTCTGCACCGTCAAGACCCATCATAGCACGGCTGGTAGGCTTGCGCTTACGGCCACTTTGTCTAGTAGCAGAAGAGGATGCCGAGATGGTGAGCGGAGCAGGGGCGGGTTTTGATGCGGATGCGGTAGCTGGAGGAGGAGCTGATGCAATAGTGGTGCTGAGTCCTGCGATGGTGGCGGGTTGGATGGGTGCAGCACTATCTTGAGTACCGTTCTTGGCAGCCAGTCGCGCAGCCTTCTTGGCTTCGTTGGTAGCTTGACGCTTTTGCATTGGACCAACCATCTTGCCAGAAGCCCATCGTAGCTTGGTTGCAATGGAGAGCTTCAATCGCTTTTGCTCCTTTGCATTTAATTCAGTTTCACTGAGCTTTCCATCTTCTGAGTAGTTAGTATCGTTTCGAATAGAGCATCACTGAATCACTTACCATCGACGCTCTTACCCTTCTTCCCAGCCTTGGCCTTTGATGGTCGACGCGAACCTGCCTTGGCAACTCCCTCTGCCTCAGTCTCATCATCCTCCATCTCATAGTCTGGCTCTTGGATGGGAGCAGCCTTAGCCTTTCGTCCTACTCTCTTCTTAGGTGGTGCCGGGTCATCGCCTTCATCATCACCATCCTCGGCTTGCTTGCTAGCCTTAGCCTTTGCTTGACGACCCGGGGTTCTCTTGACAGCCAATGCAACCTCCCCATCGGTTGTAAGCTCATTAATATCAGTTTCTGGCTCTGTGGCCACATTGGTCTTAGTCTTGCGTCCTACTCTCTTCTTGGGAGCTGGTTCGCTAGTCTCATCATCACTGTCTACTTCAGCGATAGTTCGCTTGCCATTCTTGCGTCTGGTGATAGGGCGAGCCTTGCGGGTCTTTCGGCTGGTCTCTTCGCCATCACCGCTGACATACTCTGACTCCGTGGATGATTGCTTGAGCGCCTTGCTCTTCCCGGTTTTGATACGGATCTTTGGAGGTGCAGGCATACTCTCGGCATCTTTCTTAGTATCGCTAGGCAGAACCGGATTGACAGGGAGGACGATGATGTTAGAAGGCTTCGCAACAACCTTCTTACGTCGACCACCTGCCTTGGGGGCCTTTGTTGGTGGAGGCGTGCTCTCGTAAATGCCATGTGGGTCAGAAGCCGATGGCTGAGTCGCAGCAGCTTTACCTCCCTTGCGTCGCTTTGGTGCCGGCGGTGTGCTCTCCTCCTCGTCTTCGACTGGATCCGGAAGGGCGACCTGAATAGAATCTTGTGTAAGAGTGGGTGCGCGCTTACGCTTTTGTCGACTAGAGGTAGGAGCAGAAGCTTCTCCATTAGCAACTGCGACATCAACAGGGCTCTCCTCTTGCTCCTTGGTTCTACGCTTCTTCGCGGGCGGAGCTACAATAGCAACTTGTTGCTGCTCAGGTTCGACAATTTGGGGCTCGTTGGCTCCTCTCTTACGCTTGGCCTTTCCCTTGGCTGGAGCAGATTGGTTTGCCGATGCTTCATTCGCAGCAGCTTGTTCCGTATTGACTTTGGATTGCTCACGAGTACTTTGACGAGTAGCACGTCGGCTTCCTAGAGTCGTAACAGTTGCCCCTGATGAGGACGTTGTTGGTCGTGACGTTGAAGCAGATGCGAAACGAGATTCATCATCTTGCTCAGTAGACTGAACAACCTCATGCTCGTCAACATTTGGCAAACCTGTCTTTTGAGTAACCTCCTTCTTAGCTCTACCACCTTTTCGTGGCTTAGCTGGAGCTGCTTCTGGTTGCTTCTTTCCACGTACTCCTCGGGCAGGCTTGACTGGTTCCTCGACCTCAGGCTTGGCCTTCTTTGTGCGAGCACCGCCATGCTGCCCCTTCTTGGGTGGAATAATGACATCCTTACCCTTAGCTGTCTTCTTGACAAGGAATTGAGCGGCTTCTTGCAATTGAGCTTCTTCATTGGCTGGGAGATCTTGGGTATGTGACTGGGCCCCATCTGGAATTGGTGTCTCACTCTCGGACGGTGACTTGGGTGGCAAATGTGATTGCTGCAACTTCGATTTTTCAGGCTTGATTTTGGTCTTAGATCCAGGAGGGCGACCGATACGCTTGCCAGAGGCGAAGGTTCTTGGGGCTGGTGAACCATCACGAGTCTCCGTTGCAGTGCGAGCACGAGCAGGAGATCCATTGGTGGTCGTTGCTTGTGTCTGTATTCTTCTTCGCTTTGCCGGTAGTTCTTCAGAGGATTCTCCTTGAGACACACTCTGCTCTGTCTCATAGGTAGTGGGTTTATTCCGATTGCGCTTCGGGCGACCGTTCGGATCTTCAACTGCCTCAGTGTCTTCGACAGCATTTCGATCTCGCAATTCAACCGTGGCAGCTTTGACACTATTACCAGGCTTAAGCGGAAGACCGTAGACATCTGCCATCTTTCGGAGTTCGAACATTTCAAGATCCTCCTCAATAGGTCTCTTTTGTCTGGTCGCATAGAATGCTCTCTCCGTCTGGTCGAGATTTGGATAAGGCACATCGATCAGATCCAGTTGACTCTTGGCTGCAGCGCCCTTTGGTGGTGCATTAACTCCGTTCTTTCGGGCAATCATTTCAGCCAAGGTCTTCCCGGTGAAGAGAGTTGCCAGGAGTTTTGCTGAAGCTTCAGGCTCTTCAGGGTAACCCTTGAGCAGCTCCTCTGCTTTATCGCGGATTGCTCGTGCTCGATACTGAGGCTTCCTTGAGTTGGAAGTGACTACGACAGCTTCTCCAACATCAGTCTCAGCTCCATTGCCACCTTCATCAGCCGTCGCAGCGGCGTCGTCTTCGTTTGGCTCGGCAGCTTCATCGTCATTGGCCTCAGCAGCCTCATCTTCTGGTGTCCCAGCAGTTGCATTCTCACTTGCCGGAGAGGCCTCCAAGAGAGCTTGGAGATTGGGATAGTACAGATTGTAGAGTCTCCACCGCTCTGCCTCTTTCTCTGCTTCAAGGCGTGCCTTCTCCTCCATTTCTTTCTGCTTGTTTGGGATCTTGCTCTTGGCAAAATCCTTGACTACTTGTTCGGTAGCCTTGAACTCTTTTTGGTAGGCTAGCAATGATTTTGACACGTTTGCAGTCCGACGGAACAGCATCTCAAGACTCATTTCCTCAGGATTCGCCAGGTATTGTTCGAAGTCTTCGAACTCCGTCAATTTTGGAAACCCGTAATGCTTCACTTTGGGATTTTGTGGGCGAAGGAGGTCTGCATCCGACTCATTCGTATGAGCCTTGCCGACATCCTTGGTTTCTGGTGCTTCAGAACCATCCGAGGCGCTTCTTGTTTGTGGATCTTGAGATTCTTGAGGAAATTCCGAAGGCTCACGCTCCATATGCTCAGCAGCTGGGGTTTCGGTTATCTCATCAAAATCGTAGTATTCCAGCTCATTTTGTACGTATGGGGTGATTCCTGAGGACTGACTGCCATTTCCGGCATTCTCGTCGTTGGCAATTGTATCGTCATACACGTCTAGCTCGTCGTCGTCCATTTCAGGGTCAGCAACAAAGCCTCTTTCGCTGAGCGCAGCAATGACTGGCGATTCCGGCGGACTTGTCAATCTGCTGGAAGAATCTAGAGATTCTTCACCTGTGCCTTGATGGATAGAGGCATTGGTGGCAGCTTCACTAGGAATCTCCAAAGAGCCTGACATTGTAGATGGCACGTGGTGACGAGTTCCCTGCAAGTAGTTAGAATGAAAATTTGGGCAGTAAAAAGGAAGGTAGAGAAATTGACAGGGGAGACAAACTATGAAAGAATCTTCTTCTTGAATCTCTCGGGGCGCAAAGTGATTGGGCGCAGTGCTTGGCAGACAAGCTGACATATGCTCTCGTCGATCCTGTAACGGGTAAGAATGGCCCGCAACATAACAAGTAATTAGCGACTTACCTCGATGCTCATGTTTGCAAGATCTGTATGACAGAATGTGCAATTGTAGATAGCGCGGGGCGTGTCTCCGTTGCGAGCAGTGCTAGGCACACAATCTGACATATGCTCTCGTTGTTCCTGTAGAGGGTCAGAAGGGCGCGAAACAGAACGAGTAAACAAAGAGTGACATACCCGAACGCTCATGTCTTTAAGGTCAGTATGACAGAACGTGCAATTGTAAGAAATACGGGGTGTAAATCCGTTGCGAGCAGTGCTGGGCATGCAGTTGTCAAGATGCCGGTGCTGTTCCTGCAGCTGGTCAGAAGGTCGCGAAACAGAACGAGTAAACAGAGCGTAACTTACTTGAACGGTCATGTTGGTAATATCAGCATGACAGTACGGGCATTTGTACGGACGATTTGGTGTATCGAATTGATCAGGAGCAGTGCCGAGCATACAATCGGCATGATGCTGTTGCTGTTGCTGCAAGAGATCAGAATGGCGCTCAACACAAGATGCAATTTATAAGCAACTTACCTTGGCGTTCAGATTCGAAAGATCAGCGCGGCAGGATTTACAGGATCGAGGGTACGGGGATTTAGAAGTCCTTTCCCAAGAAGTCGGCAACCCAGCAGAGGCCAGCTGATCTTCCAGTGTATTGACAGGAGCCCATTGGCTGGGCACGCCTTTGGTTCTCCCCATGATGGAAGAAATCGACAACGACTTTCTCAGTCAATTCAGGACGTTGAAAGAAGTTAGGAAGTTGTTTCGCGCTTGATCAATTGATTGCAGAATACTTCTCGGGTGTCTCACGACGGAGTTTGGTAAGAAAGGACTGTTGACAAGATCTGAAGTTCGAAAACGGGCGAAAAGGTTGACATCCGGTTTGTGAGAAAGAGACGGGTGATCGAAGTTCAAATTATGAAGCACAATAGCTAGGAGTGCGAAAATTTTGTTGGCATTGTCGTGATATTCAGATTCACTGTCAGTGACAGTTTTCAAGCAGCGCCTCTTTCAGGTGTGGCTAAGGCCGAACTAGCCCGACCAATCAGAAACCGCACTAAGTCCGAAACAATCGATGCAGACAACGTCAATAGCAAGACTTCACATCATACAGTGATATTGATGATTCTACAACAACGACAATACTAGTGACCATTTCTCGCCACCTCGTGCCTGAAGATGGCTACAAAGAAGACCAAAGCTGCCCCGACTGACGATGAATTGAACAAATTACTGGAAGGTATTGGTGAGGATGATAGCTCCACCCAAGCTCCACCCAAGGGAGCTTCGAAGTCAACAAAGACAACGACCTCCCAAACAGAGCAAGACCTTCTTGCAGAGTTGGAGAATCTTGGTGCGCAACCCACGAGTAGGCCACATACTCCTCGAATCCAGCAAGTGAAGCGTACCACCACTGGAACACCTCCACCAGCTTCCTCGCGAAACAGTGAGGAGAAAGCCTCGACTGCCAGAAAGTCGGTAGACAGTACCCGATCATTTCATACAAGCTTCACCCCTTCTGCGACAAGCAGTGAACTCCAAGAAGCAGAGAGAAAGGCTCCAGTTGCGCAACCTGCCGAGACTCCAGCAGCTTCAGGTGGCTGGTGGGGAGGCATCTTCGCAACAGCAAGTGCTGCCGTCAAGACTGCCGAGGCAGCTGTAAAGGAGATTCAACAGAATGAGGAGGCGAAGCGATGGGCTGAACAAGTCAAAGGAAATGTTGGCGCACTTCGAGGACTGGGTAAGATAGCGTGTCATGATATTGTCTCACATGCTAATCCTGTAAGGTGATGGCCTCCGATCAAGAGCTCTTCCTACGTTTACCAATATCCTACATACTCTCGCTCCTCCCATCTCCTCTCATGAACGCCTACAGATTCACATCACCCATGACTTCATTGGATATCCTTCTCTTGATCCCCTCATATACTCAACATTCTCCCGGGTGATGGCGCAAGTCGAGGGAGGTGACTTGTTAGTCATTCAACGAGGACATGAATCAGCCGCACGACGCAATTCCGATGCTGGCTACTCCGGAGGAAGCGCAGGTTGGAGTGATGGCCCCTGGTGGCGCCAAAGCAATGAACATCGAGACCTCGGTGCTGTCAAGGGTCTCGTCGAGGGAACAAAGCTGGTTCGAGTTAGCGCTGAAGCATACTCTACCGAATACTTCGCCTCCCATGGTGGGCTTGAACTCGCTGCCCAGCGAGCGACAGAAAACTTGAGCGAGTCAAATCCTGTTCGCAGCAGTGATATTTTCTTGGCCGTCCAAGCTATCTCTCATGATGCCCCAGAAGATCTCTTCCAAGGACCAACTCAAGAGAAGGAAGAAGGAAGTGTAGTCGAGGAGAAAGCGAAGCCAGATGAATTGGTTTCTTTTGCCATTTATCTACATGATCCCGTTCACACCATTACTTTCTATACTCTCTCGCAATCGATCCCAGCAAAATGGATCAGATGGCTAGATGCCCCTTCTCCACTCACTCCCGCATCCCCAACATCGCCAAGTCAAAAGACAAGCTTCTTTGGAAACGAAGGCCACAACTATAACCCCTATCTCCCGGAGGAGATCGCCGAGATCATCGAGAGCGGTGGTGTTGACCCCCGAGAATGGGTTTCCGAATGGGTCGAAGAGATCTTGAGCTTGAGTGTAGGCGTAGTAGCACAGCGATACGTAGCGAGGCGAATGGGCGTTGGAGAGGGTGGGATTGGTAGGGGTAAGGCCCCTATGTCGGAGATCTTGGAGGATGGTGGTGGGGAGATGGCTAGAGCGGGTGTGCTTTGATGAGTTTTCAGCGTGTGGTTTATGGCGTTCTGCTGGATGCATGTATGCATGTCTTTTTCAGGGGTAACTATCAAGATATCACACAGAGAATACAGCCTCTTTACTATGCTTCCCCGTACAGAATTCTAAGCGTGTACAAGACTTAGTGGTCAACCACAACCATCAACTGTGCATACTTCATCCTAGCGGTCAGATTTGACTAATAATCCAAGCAGGGGCAAAAATACTAGATATTGGGACCAGATTTTGTTGCACGTCGCACGTGTCCGACTTGCATACCCACATGGGTACACTCTTTTGATTATTCTAAGTCAAACCTAACACTCAAGCTCCTGGAGCTATGAGCTTTGGAGTAGAAATCCTCGTTCCATATCACACGAACTCATTAGTTCTGACAACTCTTTATCCAAGTTTCCAATTAGCTATAAACTTACTCTAGAGCAAAAGAAGACTGGGCAAGTTCTCAGTTCGAGTTCTTAGCAACACTATTGGTGGACAGAAAGTTCAACCATCAATACAGATATATTTTCTATTCCTACTCCTACATTCTATTACACACCTTAGCATACATTCTAGGCATATATACTACTAAAACGCAGTCTCTCAGATGCACATTTCCCGCGCCTCCAATTTCTTGCTTCATCCACTACAATATGAATCTATGTTTTCGATCATTGTTCGGTCTCTTTTTATAATAGTTTCTTCGCCAGGCCATGGTGCCTTCACACCCTCGAAAATAGCAACGGTAGATGTTTGCTTCTTAGGAAAATGGGAATTCATGCGTATTGGCTCACTGCCTTTCGAGTTTTTTCTTCTTTGGGTCGAAGTCCCCGAGCAACTCGACCTTCACCTCGTTGTATTCAACAAGGAATATTGCTTTCATCTCCCTATCTGAATCGAATACTCATGTTTTCTTCTTAGTTTCTTCTAGCGTTAGCAGCAGATTCAAGAAGTATCATTTGTGTCAATGCTGCGTTACAAAACTAAACACATCTAAAGCTTGATGCTTTGTACCAACCAGCTGTGTAGCTGTAGCACTACATTTAACTCAAAACCACCACCTTCCCCAGATCATTCCTCAAATTTGCACCTCCTAACTCAGTATACTCTATCTCTTCGAACAGCGGACTATCTTCACTAACTTGCATTCATAGAAATACATCTACCAACTTCCCTCCATCTCCCGGAGAAAATCCCCCTCCCGAAACCCGGAACCAAACTCTCCCTCCCTCCCTCCCTCAACATCCGACCTCAACTCTGGGACCCGAGCCTCCCGGACACCATGACGGTCGAAAGACTTATCCCAATAAAACCCAAGACCAAGCACTGCCCAGACCGAAATCTCCCCTACGTCCACATCATCGGGGAGCCTTTAAGAAATATTTTTCCGGGCACACTACTCGAAAAGGAAAAGACGCACGAGCGCGTACCTACCTAAGTTCCCGCCAGGCGCGCTGCCCTCGGAAACCTAGCTCCGCAATATGACATCTTAAGTATTCTTTCACCCCCAAATTTAACATCACACGAGCTCATCGATCTCTAGCTTATTCCTGAGTTCTAGAACTCCTCCACACACACGTGAGGGCAGGCAGGTAGGTAGGTAGGTAGGGGGGTGATCATTTACCGTTCTAGAGAGATACTGTACCCACTTAGGAGCGACCTGCGAGTTTGCGTCATGTTGCAGGACCCCTTGATTTCGTGGAGATGAGTGAGGGAGGGCGATGTGATGTATGACGTAGATTGGGGGGATCTACGAGGGGATGCGACGAGGATGAGGTGTTGGAGATTGATGTATGGATGGTGGGTTTGTGGGGTTTGAGTGTTGGTGATTTGGAGGTGATTTGAGAGGGAGGGAGGTGTTTGTGATTCTGTGCCTGGATTGCTTCGAAGAGGCTTGTTGCGTTTTTCCAAGGAAGGTATGTATGTATGTATGTATGTACGGAGTGCTGGAAGATACGAGTGCTGTACCTATTTGTGGCTTTCCCTCTGTCTCTGCCTTGATCTGGAGTCAGTGTCAAACTTCGGGCTGCGCATGGCTTGGAGCAAGTAGGTAAAGTGACGATGGGCGGACTGCAGATCATGGCACCTGAAACGTAGTGCTAAAGATCTTCACTGTGAGAACCCGCCAATCTTGCCTTCACTTCTGTATCAATGGTATCAAAATATCTACCATGTACCTCACTTTCTGAATGTTTGTCTCTCACTGATGTGAATGTTGTTGTGTTGTGATGGAAGTTCTAGATTGTGGAGAGATCACTTAGGTCCCAAAGAATACTGAAGTGACGATTCCTTCTCTGTGTTAGTATAGAAATCATTTGTTCATACATCACTAAGTAGCTAGAGTCACAATCATAATAAATCTCCCAGTTCCCCATCTCTCCTCCTCTTTCCTCTCTATTCAAACCCTCTCTTTTGTCCCGAGACTCTCAAATGGCGGCGTCGTCGACGTGGTCTTGCTGTATTCTTCTCGTTCAGAATATCATTTCCTGGCAAGATAATACTGCTATAACGTGATTGTACCACCACTATATTTTACCCATTTACTTTTTATCTATTTTTAATTCGTTTCTTCGAGGATCCTGGAACAAATCGAGGTCGTTGGGTTGAGATCCCCTGACCACGAACGACGACCCTGGTACTTTGATAAGTCGAACGAGCGTCATTCTGGCGTGCTACAACCGGATTGGCACTGCAGACCCCGGGAGAAATAAGGTTCACGGTTGACAAGGGATTGGAGGAGGTATCTGGCTGAGGACATTGAGGAAAAGGAGGTACTGTACAGTACGCAAGATGAATTTGTGGCCGACCGTGAGTGTCCCTTTTTATTTCGTACTTTTGATGCTGCCGTTGAGTTTGTTGTACAGAGGAGAGAGGAATGTGTAGAAATTGTCCGACTGCTGTGTAGTCATCAGGGTGCAGGTACATGTCCCTCTCAGGACCCTGGTATGCCTTCATATCAAGCGATATCAATTTGACGGTTGACTCGCGGGACGAGGAACAAGCAAGCACTCGGCCTGTGGAGAGAGACTTGAAATGTGCGTCGCGGTGCCGGGCTTTTGCTTGGAAGTGAGACATGAGGAGAGAGAAAGAGAGACATGGGGTTGGCAATACTACTTGCTTTGCTTGCTCGGTCTCTGATCTTGATTTCGCGGCTCATCTCCCTCGCCCATCCAATGCACTCACTGTCGTCTCCTATCCTGGCCCTTGACTCTTCCGCTCGCATGCACGCACGCACGCACGCAAGGTCCTCGCAGCGGATCATTATTGTCAGTCGTTTGGCCCGTCAAGCATGTTCAGCCCATGACGAAGGGAGAGCGAGGAAGAAGTGTCAGAGGTCAGAGGTCAGAGGTTCGTCGTCATTTTTGGGCGATTCTCGGGTCTCTTGCGCTAAGCTGCCGGGTTGATGACGTCGAGTTGTCCTCGTTTGCCCGCTAAGGCCAGCCCCACGACGCCGCCGTGGCCGGGGCTTCCAGTTACTAGTACTTGCTTGATAATGGAAAATGATGCGTGCGCTTGTCTGCTAGCATTACCAGTGTTCCATTCCCGAACAACTCTCTACCTTACCTTCAGTACAAACTCCGAAGACGAAGAAAAGTGTGATTGATAACAAAAAGATCATACACACTCACACACTCTTCTCGCCTGCTGGCTCATCTGATCTCCCTCCAACCCATCCCTCATCGTCGATTATCTTTTCGACGATCACTTCCCTCTCTCGATTCTTCCTGCACGCTACCTCTTTCCCCAGTCCCTGCTGCTGCTGCTTACGTCTTTTTGCTCTCCCCCCCTCTGGAACGCTTCTTTCCACTCGCTGAAACGTTCCTTGCCCTTTCGTCTCACACGCATATTCTCCAACGGCTTTTGAGATATCTATCTCCTCAAAAACTGTATTCTAATGATGTCTCTGTCGCAGCAGATAAAGAATCTGATCCGTCACGGTTCGCACTCCCCTCATACCATTACCCCGCCATCCAATCTCCTCAACATTGCTGACCCAGATGCACATTATAGGAAAAGGAGCAAAGCAGACACCTAATGACGATCCCACTACGCATGTCTCGCCTGTTAATGTTCATCAACACCACCAAGCACGAGCTCACGATAATGCCCCACGACAAGACGCAAATCATTACGCCAACACCGACCCGAACATGATCGCCCACCAAGCTCACCAGGTACCGCACGGCGACGCATACTCCATGGCTGACGGCGACAATCGAAACCGAGGCGCGCAAGCTGGGAATGCGGCTGCGCACGCAGCAGAACAGAAGCAGAAGAAGACTGGCAAGGCTGTTGACAAAGAAGAGATTGCGCGGATAGTGGCAGAAGAGAACGAAAGCAAAGGAAAACTCCCAAGATACCCAGGTCTGGAACGATGGCAGTTGATCGAGAAGATGGGTGACGGCGCTTTTAGCAATGTCTATCGGGCAAAGGATATCGAGGGTACGGCTGGAGAGGTGGCCATCAAAGTCGTGCGAAAGTTCGAGATGAACTCTCAGCAGGTAAGTAATAGGCACGACAGCGCCCCTTTCCTTGGTTTTTCTTGATTCGAGTTCGCGAGTTCGTTCTTATTTCTTGGAAACCCTTGCCAACATCCGTGGGTGACGTTAGGGCGATGCTCACCTTCATCCGGACTTCAAAAAGCAACCGAAGGTTGTTGAGGTGCGCATTAACTTTTCTTTGTATTTTGCAAAACAGTCATGATCAACCATGTTTGGGTTGTTGCTACTTACAGTCACTGATTTCTGCTACAGAGGGCAAACATCTTGAAGGAGGTTCAGATTATGCGTCAACTGGATCATCCTAATATTGTCAAGCTGGTTGATTTCTCCGAGTCGAGGCAATACTACTACATCATATTAGAGTTGGCACCGGGAGGGGAATTGTTCCACCAAATCGTTCGTCTCACGTATTTCAGCGAGGATCTATCACGACACGTCATTACTCAAGTTGCAGAAGCATTAGAGTATCTGCATGAAGAGAAGGGTGTCGTTCACAGGCACGTTCGCCACATGTTTCACAACAAGCAGTTTACTGACGTCATTGTAGAGATATCAAGCCTGAAAACTTATTATTCTCGCCAATTCCTTTCATGCCTTCGAAGCACCCAAAGCCTAAAGCTCCCGAAGATGAGGACAAGGTTGACGAGGGAGAATTCGTTAAGGGTATTGGAGCTGGAGGTATTGGAAAGATCAAGATCGCTGATTTTGGTCTGAGTAAGGTAGTGTGGGACAATCAGACTATGACGCCTTGTGGAACTGTTGGTTACACTGCACCGGAAATTGTCAAGGATGAACGTTACTCGAAAAGCGTCGACATGTGGGCATTGGGATGTGTGTTGTACACGTTACTTTGCGGTTTCCCACCTTTCTACGATGAGAGTATCCAGGTTCTTACTGAGAAGGTTGCACGAGGTCAATACACTTTCTTGTCGCCATGGTGGGACGATATTTCCAAACCAGCTCAGGATCTTGTCTCACACTTACTTACCGTCGACCCTGCCAAGCGATATACCATCAGACAATTCTTAGATCATCCATGGATCAGGGGTACCGAAGAGCCAACATATGCTGCTCTGGACGCACCACCACTCGCTACGCCAGCTGTTGAACGACAAAGACAATTAGGAGGTGGTCAACTCAAGGCATTCGATCCCACACTTCTCGAGTCACCAGGTGCAGGCAAGCGAATGGATTTCCGAAGTCCAGGTGCCGTCAACCTACGTGAGGTCTTTGATGTCGGTTACGCAGTCCACAGACAAGAAGAAGAAGCCAAGCGCCGCAAGAATTTCAACCCAGGTTACCGAGGCGCAGCCGCAGTCAACGGACTCAACCCTATCGACGACGACGACATGGCTGAGGAAGAAGAATACGAAGAAGATATCGGCGTCCCATCCAAGGTCCCCAAGGCCAGAGATGCGGATGTCCATCAAGTAGAGCAAGGATTACGAAACACAAACCTGAACGCCGCAGCAGCAGCCAGAGTCCCGCAACAAAAGGGCTACGGCCAACACAGCGCGGCCGTAACAGCTGCAGCGAAGCAACAGGTCCGGAATCGAAAGGGCGCTTTTGAACTTAATCTCGATGGAGCAACACTGTTGGGTAGGAGAGGACAGAAGGGTCCGAGTGGGTTGCGGGAGACGACCGTTGCGCAGTAATTCAGCGTAGTGTGTGCGCGTGGTAACATGGAAAGTAAAGGATACAAATGAATATTCTGCAATGCGTTTGGCGTCAGGGGAAACATTTCTTCTTCTTTTTTCTTTTGCCGTTCGTTGGTTCGGTTTGTGACTGGACTGGACTGGAATGGTTTGCTTGCATTGTAGATTCAGATGAGTGACGGAGGGGGTCGGTGGAGTATGCAGAGGGAGAGGGGAATGGGATGGAAAGGGGTGGGAAGAGCGAAGAGGGAATATGCATAGATAAATGGAGGGCATATTTGCCGAATTTTTTGATTGTGTGTGTTGTGATGTTCGAGATGTTTGACATGGGGAGTGAAGTGAGGTTATGTGAACGGTAGAGTAGAGTGGCTTTTGTGATCAGAATAGAGGTAGGTGGCTAGTGCTACTCTCCTCGCTATTTTTCTTCTTCTGCATCTCTATACCTTAGACCATGTGTGCAATTCCTCACTGTCTCGTGCCAACATACTCTATCCTCATTATCTTTCTCTTTGCTACCGTTTTCAGTTCCAATATGGCTGGCTTATTTAAATGAAGAACCAACCCTCTTGTACTTATTGTTTGCGGCCTGTGAGAGAATGAATGTATTTGTGCTGAGAGATTATATTTGCACCAAGAGATCATTTCTCGCTATCATGTTGGGGGCTTAGATGGAGACAGATCAAGTTCGGACAGCAGACAGGCTCGAGGTTTCCTTCAATATCTAGCTAGCTAGTGAATGAAGTGAGTGTACGTATAGGAGGTGGGTAGAGCAACGGAAGGGAGGTTGAGTTGCGTTGCGTTGTGTTGTGTGCTATTATACGTGTTTTATCAGGAGTTACGAGGGGGGGTGTCTGAAGATGGACGATGGATGGATCACAGAGAAATTAAAGGGGAGAGTCTGTCTGTCTAAGTGTTTGGAAAGTGACACGAGATATTTTTGAGGGGTTTAATCAATTCCATTGATATCCTCTTTACTCATCTGATACACGAGTCCTCGATGCCCAGCATTCATTCATCCTCCTCAAGATCTTCCTCCTGCAGCGCCATTAGTGTTACCATTATTTCCTCCCTATAGACAACACCGCTAAATTAGCATCTCTCTTCTTTCCAGGCCCTGTTTCTGGGGATACCTTACCTGAGCAGGAGGAGCCGGAGTCGGGCTTGGTGGCGGCGGGGGCGGGTTTGCTCTCACGGCGTTGTTGTTCTTTGGAGGAGCAGGAGGAGCCGGCGTCGGGCTTGGGGGCGGCGGGGGTGGATTTGCTCGAGCTTCTATCTCGATGTCTTCGCTACGGCGTGGTGGAGGACGAGCTGGTCCGTTGCCGTTTCCTTTTGGTGGTGGAGGGGGCGGGTTTGCTCTCACGGCGTTGTTGTTGTTAGTTGGGGGAGGGGGAGGAGCTGGAGTCGGGCTAGGGGGTGGTGGTGGATTTGCTCGAGCTTCTACTTCGATTCCTTCGCTACGGCGAGGGGGAGGACGGGCTGGTCCATTTCCATTTTTTGGTGGTGGAGGGGGCTTGTTGGCACGATCTTCAATCTCGACTGTGTTGGTCTTGGGAATGGGAGGTGGGTTTGAAGTTGGTTGAGGGGGTGGAGGAAGATCAGCTCTCTCTGAAAGTCCAAGCTCATTGGCAGCAATTGGAGCTCCTGCCACCAGGGCACTGCAGAAGAAGAGGATGAGGGAAGCAGTATTAACGTTTAGCTGCATTTTGATGGATTGGGAAGACTGGCTTGGTTGATAATACGGTATAGAGTTAAGAAGTAAGGGTTGGATTATCAGACCAGCTGTTGAGGATGTAATATGTGTGTATGAATGAAGAAGGAAGTGGACTGCTGAGAAAATAACTTGGAGATTGAGAACTAATTTATATCTTCCTCATCATGATACTACTCTTGTTATTTTCATCTGAATGAGAGGCAAAATGCATGTCTCAACAATCAACTCCTGAAGACGCGCAAGTGTGCTCGATGGAATACGTAAGTTCTCTCGATGAAAGACCAGTCTCGTCTGCCAACTTGCTTCTATTCTCAGGGATCTTCATATACCAGAAGAGTAAATGAAGCCTCAGTGATGACTATGAGATCAAAACACCACCCAAGCACCGGAAGTAGTTTGAAAATTGCGGAGAAAATCAGATGAGCTGCTACATGATCTTCAACTGGAGATGTGAGTTGATATCCAATTGAGGTAAAGAGTCGTCAGCTGCTTGAGTAGATGATCGACACCGGCGCCGAGTTGAGCCAAGTTAGGATGCTCGCTTTCCAATTTGAGTAGCAGCACTTGATTCGGGTGGAAAGATAATCCCAGAAAGTATTCGCAAGGCCACAATTAATAAGGACGAGCTTTCGAAAATAACATGACCTGAATATCAAACATAGTGCTCGGACAACGGCAGCGCTCAACCGAACTTATCAGATCAGTTATGATGATGAATTGTTGTTTTGAAGATCGCAAGTGCCGGGATGAAAAAGAAAACCCCCAATTGGCCATGAGGAGGTGATTTTCAACTTTTGATGCATCTTGAGTCAGAGGTCAAAATTGAGTTCGTGGAGCAACGAAATGGAGAAAGTCCGGCATAGATCAAGTCCACTATTGAAGCTTGAAAGAGAAGGTTAACACCGGGGACTACCCCACAATTCGAGAATGGATGAGCAGGAAACTGCAGCGAAACATGGCACGTGATAGCTTACGTACCTCACTTGAGACGTTTTGGCTGGTAATCCTGCTGGGATGAAACAGACAGCTGTGAATCAATATCCACAGGGCTGAAACGGGACTGAAATACGGAAGAACTGAGAATGAACAAGAGAATGTGGACGTGGTTTTGATAAGTGGAATGGACGAGATCCTATTCAATCGACTCAAAAGCAGGCAAGTTTAAACTGACGGACATGCAATCGCAAAAGCCGGGAAAAGGAGAACAGTATTGCAGCCGTCAAAATGCCATACAAGCAGGTGAGAACGATCATGGATAATGTTAGTAGATGTAGTGCAGTCGGACTCGATGGGTCAATGCATGAAGAACTGCGTTACAAAACATTGACTGTTGTATCGTCAATCGCGGCGAAGAACCTGATATGCTGGACGGCGATTCAAACAGTCTGTTCACTTGGGACGAACTTGAACGATTGATGGTCAAGATGCAAGTGGAAACGAGGCATGAGGTTGGAGTTAACATCGGCTAGAAGAAACGCTAGCTCGAATGCAGCTAATCGGGAAGGCACATCACTTCAACGAGTTTCCACGGTGTTGATGTAAAAAATTCAAAAAAGGGTAGCTCGACGATGAACAGAAATTCAATAATTGACAAGTAAAGTAGTGACACAATCAAAATACAAAGTCATAACCATCACCATGCTCCCCAGACTGTTCCTGACTTCCAGTAATCACACAATCCATTCTAGCTTTCCAGCAGCTTCATGCTTCTGAGCTTTTCCAGCGATCCAGCGTACTCAATTCTGTTCTCCTTGACAACCATCCTCTCGTAAAATCAACCTCTCAGTTCCCATTTCTTGGTGGTCCCTGCTGAGCAGCTGGCCCCTTGTTCGCTCCGTTTGCTGCTGGAGGTGCAGGCTTATTTCCAGCATTCGCAGGTGCCGCAGGCTTGTTGCCAGCATTCTGAGGAGGAGGTTGTGGTGGTGGAGGACCAGCTCTAATGGCGTGTTTTGGTGGACCTTGCTGAGCAGCAGGCGCCTTGTTCCCTCCATTTGCTGCTGGAGGGGCAGGCTTATTGCCAGCGTTTGCGGGTGGAGCTTGCTGGTTGCCGCCATTCTGAGGAGGAGGGCCTGGTGGTGGAGGACCGGCTCGAATGGCATGCTTTGGCGGTCCTTGTTTGGCGGGAGGCTGGTTTGCTCCGTTTGCTGGCTTATTCCCGCCATTCGCAGGTGGCGCAGGCTTGTTGCCGCCATTCTGGCCTGCAGGTGGTGGTGGGCCTTGAGGAGGAGGATTGGCTCGAATGGCTAAGTCGTTGTTGAATTCGACAGGTAGAGGACTAGCTGCTACTGCCGTGGCGAGGAGGAAGATGAGCGTGGTAGTTGAGAATTGCATTTTGAATATTGGTGACAGTAGTTGTCGATTATGTTATTGTGGGGTATTGGGTTGAATAAATTGAAGTATAATAAGATTGATATCAGACCAGCTGTGCGAAGTGAAGAAAGAAGTGGATGAGTTGGAATTAGACTGATGAAGATGATTGTGCTGAATGAGATTATTGAGAGGTAAGGAAGATCATTATATACTTTTCTCGGGCTCTGTGAATGCCTCCCAGTTTGGAAGCTTTCCGGTCTCTTATTGGGGAAATAGAAAACTCGTTCCGTACGTACGAGACTCTCGGTCTCTGAGAATAGAATAGTTAAACCAAACCAAGCTTTCACTTGCTCTACAAGCAGGCGGGGGATCGTCAAAGCTTGGCCGAGCTTTGCTCCAATTGCTTCATTTCGAGCTCAAAATGACGACGACTTCGTCACGTCTTCTTCCCCTTCTCCCAAACAGGACACCATTAATGAAGAAATCTGCTCGAAATAACAACAAAAAGATCAGATCAAACGATACAATGTGGACGAGGAGGTCAGAGTCTCGTGAATACTTGCTCCGAAGTTTGGATGAAGAAGCTAAGCATGAAGAAACGCATTGCAGAAGCAGAATGGAAAACTGCTCGAACAATTTTGAGCAAGCTCATGAGACAGGAAACAGAATCAGATATCGGATGAAGATAGAGGTTGAGGCTCAAACTTGCTTAGACTTATCCCGAATAAGCTTTTGCTCCACCAAAATCTGCCAATCGCTTGATTGCGACGAGGGGGAGCTATGATGTCGGGACCGAGATGATGATGGCTGGAGAAACAGAAATTTACCAGCGGTGAAAATAATTCAGAAAGCCTAAGTCATGTGTGGGTGACGTACTCTACATGAGACAAAGGCTGTTGCGATGCGCTGAAACGAGCGCGACTTCGCGGCCACAGCCAGCCATGAAACGATCCACAAGGCTGTTGCAAGCATTGACCAACCAAGAGCACGTTGTTTTAGAGTCCGAAGGATTCGATAATGCTTCTAGAATATTGCCTCAAGTCTATGAGACTGGACGTAGATCACAGACTTTGAAGATTTCTTGTGGGACTGCCTACCCTAGTAAGAGTTTTCATTATCTCTCAAAATATCAGCAATTGGTTTCTATACCACTCAAAGGAACTGCTAGATCCCCTCGGACAGCCCTCCGCCTGAAAGATTTTCTGCCAGAACCGACATTATCAATCCAAAAGCATCTTATCTCCCAAACATTCTCAACTCCCACCATCTCAAAGGCGGATAGACCAGAGCAGCCCAAGCAAACCCCACATAATTCCCCATATCCCCGCCATAGTCACCAACAAGTTTGGCCAGTGGGCCAATGAAATAAAATTGTGCCATACAGAGCACAGCTCCTGCCCAGCCAATGCAGAATGCTATCATGGCAGCAATACCAATTGGTAATCTGCTCTCTTTATTCCAGTCACTCCAAACAAAACTGGGCTTCATCCTTCGACGAAAGATGAATTCTTCCTCCAATGTGATTGCAATCCAAAGAACGACCCAATAGCCCATCAATGCCAAAAAGTTGGTGAAGATGGCACTCAGGTGATCTCTTCCTGCTAAAGCACACGCAGCAAATATGATGACAGCGACCGTGTTCCAGATATATCTTGGAACCATTGCCGGATATCTTCCTAGGATCTGGAAATTGATGCCAGAAACATACGTTGGCGCAACCATATTTGCAATTAAACTTAAAGCAGAGATCACCGAGCAGAACTTGCCAAATCCTCCCAGGCCATCAAATCCAGCAACGATCAGCGCGCCTGAACCTGCACCTGCAGCTTCCCAGGTAGGGTCATTTTGTAGTCCTGAGGCCAAGCCCGTACCCAAACAGAAGGTAAAAGTGAAAGAAAAAGATAAGCCGATCAGAGTTGCAAAGAAGACCTTCCAACGATTGGCGATTTTGGGGTCGCAATAGACAAGAAAATCGGCGGCTCCTGGGGCATAGGTAATTGCTGCACTTAAACAGATCGAAAAGAAAGTGAGGCGGTTCCCAGCCAATGTTGCTCCAGATACAGTGGATGGGGTAGTTGTGTCGAACTTGGTACCTGCTGAACCAGCTAAAATAAGAAGAACGAAGGTAGACGGTATCCAAGCATATCTGATCTTGTTAGTAAGTGATCGAAGTCCCCATGATAGAAACACTGACCTCTCATAGTGATGAAAAATCTTGATGCCAAAGGTGGTGACAACCCAAGTGACAATAGCACTGATTATAATACCAACCTCAACTGTCAAACTGCCATTCGGGGATACGGCAGAAAGCATTTGCCCTGCCACAACAGCATCGATCATGGAGTACCCGATCAAAATAACCAAGTTCAGCAATACACAGATCTTGACAGGCCACCAACCCATGGAGAATCTGGCACATATCTACCCAGCTTAGCACCGATCTCTTGAAATGGACGTTGCCACACTCACCATAGTCCGATTTCCACTCCACGGTCCCCATCCAGCCGTATAAGCCACAGGTATACTCCCAAGCACAGCACCAAATACACTACACAACGTAGCATCCACGAATCCTAACCCATATACTTCCTGCCCGATACTCGCAAGCGTGATATTCTGCGGCGCCGTATTGATTGAGAACCACAAAACCACAATGCTCAGAAAGCTCAGTGTAGTCTTGGTAGATTGTTCACTGGAGTGTACTCGGTGTATGCCACGAGCTTCGAGACCCACGAAGTGCTCGAATCGTTTTAGCCACTGTATAGCATTGTTATCGGACGGAAGAGGCTCGTCGATATCTACTGCTGCATCAGGTTCGGTGAAAACGTCTTTCTCGGCAGGTTCTTCGATTCGAGAAGTAGAGGGATTGAGAGCGGTTCCCTTCTCTATGTCTGTTACCGTTTCGTCGACGGAGGCCATTCTGCTTGCTTATCAGTTCTTGCGCATCTTAATTGAGCATAGGAAATGAGGAAGCATGATTCTTTCGCTGGCATTATCCAGATCAAGTGTAACCGTATACTCTCAGACCAGCGTCCTCAATTGGAACAGCATCTTCTTCTCGATAAAGAAGAGTGGATGGTGTTTGAATTGTTTTCGCTGGCCACCGGTTCATTGCCATTTGGCGACAGGACTTTACCTGGATAATCAGAGAAGAGATTCCAGCGACTCGAATGCTGCATATTCCCAGAGATCAGATAGATTGATTCGTACATGTGGGATTATATGGCCGGGATTTGGGAGTTGGTGTGTGACTCTTCTCGTGCAATTGTTGGTCCAGAGCTTGGAAATTTTCTTATCGGCGGGGTGATTATTTAAGTGAGTGAAAAGCCCAATCGCCACCGTACGTTCGCTGCAATTATCTGAGATTTAAGAAACTTGGCTAAATGAGAGGAAGCGTACCTCAGTACTCTTTCACAAAGAATTGGATCGATCAGCTTTCGTTATGAATTGATATGAATTTTGGAACGCTGTCGCACAGCTTCTGTATCACGTGCATCTTATCTTAAAAAGGAGAAAGCCGGAGGATCGGAGACGACGTCGATTCTCTTCTAGAGCCCTCAGTTTTATAGAAAGCTTAATTCAATACCTGCTTGACCAGAGCCAGTTGAAGTGTCATACCCCTTGGTCAAGTATAGAAGTTTCTGCGCCCTTGCGAACCAAGACATTCGAAAGTGGGCTGAAGTCATGTCCCCCACGCCACGAGACCTCTCTGTCAGCGAATCACAGCTATATTTCCTCAAACTTTGTAACATTCTCCTCTGTATTTTGGAGTCAAATGGCTTCCTTTTCCGCGCGGTCTTGTTCTTGGGTGCCTTCAAGTGAAGCATGATAGAGCTAAAGTTTGTGCATTTTATTAGCTCTCAAGCTGAGAGTCCATGCTAGTCGTGTGAAATTTGTTTTCATGTGTTTTGTTCACTGCTAGGCCAGTTCATGGGGCGAAAAGCGCTACTCCGTTTCTGCTATGAAGCAGAGAATTACATACAGGAAACAACAGCCATGTTGAAGAAGATTTCCAACAACACCCAGCTTATGAGTCTGAGGAAAGTATTTTGAAGCCCAGCCAGTATTGTATTTACAGCATCAAAAGAGTGTAATTCGGAGGAGACACAGACTTCCACTGTCATCGACGCACGACTCAGGTGAAGCACCCATGAAAGCGTATCAAGTATTTAGATTTACGGCTTACACAAGGTAGGGCAGAATAGACTCTGCGAAGTCAAAAGCAGAATCGAACAATTCTGGCTTTTCGTCCGGAAATGCCTGGGCCAAAAGTTCCTTTACCAGAAGTTTCGTGGTGGGTGAGAATAGCCCTTCTGTCCAGACATCCTTGGTCGTCAGATCTTTTGAATTGTTTAGCAGCAATTCTGGATACTTGAACGATGTTTCCTTCTCTTCCAAATCATCCACAACGTGCGGACACTGTGTCGAGCTGAGAAAGGGTAGCTTGCGGTAATGACCAGTTGAAGTTGGAATCTCGTGTGTTGTTGCCGCTGGTGTCGACGTCTCAGTGAAATTTCTTGGTGCTTCTGACTCGAAATGGTACGTCTTGGGGCTTTGAAGAGCGAAACAGAACCCCAAAGTCGCGCATATGACGATTCTCCGCAAGAGTCTAGTCAGGTTAGCTTCTGAGGATGAACTCGTATTTGACACTTACATCATGATGCTGGCAGAAGCTGGACTTTCAATATGAAATACTCAACTCGACAATGAAGCTTGGTTGTGCAGTGTAACGAGGAAATGAGTATTCGGCTGGTATTTGATATAATTTTTCGCTATGGGAATGTTGGAATTGTAGAGATGAGCGAATGGCGATTTGTGGTTAAGAGCGAAAACAATGGTGTGATAGCAGTGTTTGAGAAAGCGAATGTTGTTGATATAAGATTGTGGTTGATGCAGGATTATGAGAGACGAGTTGAAGCAGAGAAGGTGGGTTTGAGCAAATGAAAGGAAGGTACGACATGGTATACTGGTCAATGTAGAATAAGAAGGCACGAGGTTGGGTATGTGAGATGAGGTTGCAATGGCTCCGAATTCCTCTCATTTTCTGGTAATATGAGAAAGAATTCTTGAGGTTCTACTTTGACTTGTAGAACCGACCTCTCATACTCCCATAAACATCTGCCCATGTGCTACAAGAGGAGGATAGGCACGTGCTCCAAACTTTATTTTGACAGCTATTTCATCAATGAAGAACATAACAACAACAACGAGCACTTGCTGAAGAAACTAACGCATCATAACCGTGTATCTGCAAACTCTATCAGAGTCTATCTGCGATCATAATGGTCAGTTCATTCAAAGTTAAAGTACATTCCTTGTTCACAGCAACTCTTCTCAAGAAACTTCACCAACTTCACCATATCTAGGGAAAAAACGCGCAGCATGGAGCGGAACGGCAGCACTGACAATATGCCGTCAACGCAATCTTTGTCCAGAAGATCTATACCCAGAGGAACAGGAAGAGGAAGAGGAGCAGCATGGGGAACTGCGACATGCAACAAAATCTCTACCTAGAGCAATAGGAAGAGGAAGAGGAGGGAAATTGCGACGTGCAACAAAAAATCCCCGCGAGATTTTGTTGCATGTCGCAATCTGTCATGCTCCTCTTCCTCTTAGTGCTGTATCTCCTCCTCCTCCTCAGCCACCAACATTTCCAACGAAAAAAAACAACCAAACCACGGACATGGAAGCAAGAGCATGATCACGTGCTCCCGTCGCGCGCTTTCATTCGCGCTTGCGAAGTGAGTTCTCGTATTGCCGGCATTTTGGCCGTTCTAGATTCAGCTCTGTGGTAAACAAACTCCGAAATTAGATACGCAAAAGCTAACTCTCCCGAAGACTCAATAGTCGACAAGACCAAAAACGCGCTCTCTGAGTGGAGTCTGCGTTCCGACAATTTACTTGGACAAGCTACAACTAAATATTATTCGTTAGCCAGAGAGATTCTGACCCCGAAGATCAAAAATGCTTGGTCGAATTACAAGAATGCTTGATCAAAGGACACTCTTCTGGGATTACGCAAATCATACAATGGCGGAACATTTCTGGACGCGGAGAAAAAGGATCGACAGTGTCAGATTTTGGATCTAATCAGATTCTGGAAAATCGTGACCACTCGACCTACAGAAAGAAGGTAAAGCCACATCTCTCTACGCAGAGTCTGGCCTATTTCAGCGCGTGTCTTGCCTTGCTTTTCGGCTTATCTGCATCAATCTCGGCTTAGAAAAAGCACAACACAAAGATGCCTTCGAGACTTTTGAGCGCTCTGGAAACAATGCCACGAATATTGATCGACCGAAACGAGTTGAAACGAGGCGAGGGCCAAAGGTTCGTCGTGCACGTTCAGCTTACACAATATGACCATCGGAAGTATGCACGCAAGTGGAGGAAGAACTACACATGGCAGCATGGACAGGATAACTATTTATTCTAGTATCGCTGGAACAGGAAACAACCGGAGCCGTCGAAGGCGCCAGGAAATCGCTATCCCCTATCCCCTTTCCACTTTCTGATTTCTCTCTCGGGTTCATTTCAACAACACCCATGGCTTGACATCTCAAGCTGATTGAGTCAAAACGAGACTGGAGAGGGCGCAGTGGCGTAGCTAAGCTTTTGCCAAGCCCTCGCTAAAAAGCTTGTGTCTCCTGGATCCTGGCTGGCTGGACCCTCGAGGATTTTTTGGGCTGACGCGGCCATCCGACAGAAATAGGGATCAAGACGAATGAGAAGAAGCACGCGACAGCCACGAATCGAAGCTGAGAAGGAATGAATCAAGAACCTCCGGTACCTTCGAAGGAGACACCCAACTCCGGTTCGAGCATGTTGGTGAGGTCGTTACATGTGAAGTACTGCACACGTCAGTCGATACCATCATGATCCTCCGCACGTTTCAGCAATTTTTAGACTTCATCCTAAGTTACGGACAATGCCTTCTCTTGTCGAACAAAGCTTGGTGTGTCTTGGGCAAATTTACACCGGTATCTATCGCTTGAGGCGCCCAATCGTCGGGTAATCTTACATATTCATATTCATCCCTTTTCCTCACCCACGCCTTGCATTCCAGCACGGGATTGTGGCCTTAGCCCTGAGAAATGGCGTTCGAGGCTTTCTAGAACCAGATAAATCAAACAAGTGACACTCCGCCAATTATTGCAACAGAACTATTGTATCTTGGGTCTTGAAGATGAGATTTGGACTCGGCGGCAGACTGAAATATGCGCCCGTGTCTTCTGAGAGTCCGACCAAATACTAACCTTGAGGCTTCGTCAGCTCTCGTCGCTGTCGCGTGCTCTCGGCCTTGCTCACTGGGATGAGAGAGAGACGGCAGGGGCACTGAGTAACTCGGACACCTCGCACAGATCGACCTTGGCCGTGAAAGCCACAGAAATAGCTGGAAAGCGTATCCACTGTCCGCCTGCCCTCATCCTCTCGGGGAGTGATTTTACGAAAAGCGTCAACGATCATCTGTTTCCGCCAGTAATTGAGCTTGACTCCTCTCACCCTCTGCATTAATCCACCTTCGTCACTTGCTTGACCCGGCCACAACTCACATACACTCACTGCTTACTGGTTAGTGGACACAAGGCTCCACCAGAGTTCTCCTTCTTAAAGAGACCAGAGATCGTCGTTCTGCCAATTGTTGGATTCTGGTCGTGTGCTCCTGCATTTTTCGAAGCAACATCCTGCGTCCTACTCTTCGACCAACACAACTTTCAGCGCCACTTCCGAACGACTGCTGCTCAGACTCTGTATCGAAAAATCCCGAAATCTTGGCTTTATATCGACTGTTACATTGCCAAGACGCATCGTCATCCTTATCATCATCGCCAAGGCTTTCGGGAGCATCGTCGTGCCTTCACGACAGCTTCAACAACACAACAACCATGCGCCTATCATGGCTGCTGTCACTTCCCGCATTGCTGTCAGCCGTTTCGGCCATGGCAATCGAGAAACGCGATGCCGATTTTCTGAGTGTGCGGACGAAACAACACAAGGACATGAGTGGGAAGGGAGGTGATCCCAAAGGCAAATACTTTCGTGAGTCGCTCCCGTCCCGTGTTGGTATTCGCTGTTACACCGAACGATCCATTTGCTAACAATGTCACAGATGAAAGCGTGTAGGTCTTGACTGTCATTGCATCTTACTCTGTCGTCGCTTGTTAAATGTCCGTGTTGCTGACAATCTTTGTATAGGTTCCATCCACATTATGATGGCAGGTACGCTAAACTCCCGTTCCTTCCAACACCGCCGCAGACTTAGGCTTACCGTTCATCAATAGATTCGCAGACAAACAATTAGGGTACCGAGAACGAAGACTGGCCCTTTCGAACCTTATTCAAACATACCTCTCGACGTTCGCAGATATCGGAGTCGAAACATGGCTCATGCATGGCACACTGTTGGGATGGTGGTGGAATCGAAAGGTAGGATTAATAAATTCGATGGTGATGCCTCTCTAATCGCTCGCAGATTCTACCATGGGATTCCGACTCCGATGTGCAAGTATCCGAATCTTCGATGCACTACCTAGCCTCGTACTACAACATGTCCGTGTTCCATTATAAGACGCCTCGGATACCGGAAGGGAGGGACTATATGTTGGAAGTCAACCCTCACTACGTCAATAGGGAGCAGTCGGATAAATTGAACGTAATTGATGCGAGATGGGTGGACACTACGAGTGGATTGTTCATTGATATCACGACGGCTAGGTACAATTACACACATCCAGCCGGTCCGGGAATGTTGAGTTGCAAGGATGGTCACGAGTATAGGGTATGTGAGAATGGATAGCAGTGATTACCTGTGTTGACACGCTGTAGGATTCGTACATCTTTCCACTGAGAGATACATTCTTCGAAGGCGCCCCAGCCAAGATTCCCTTTGCGTACAAGGAGCTACTTGAGGCGGAGTACAAGGAGAAGGCGCTTACTTTGACTGAATTCGAAGGGTAAGGAGTCCTTGTTGATTCTCCTCCGTTTATGCTAACCTTGACAGACATCATTTCGACGATCAGAAGCTTGAATGGATACCAGTACCGAAGAAAGTCGACCCTCCTAAGGAGGAGAAGAAACCAGAACCGAAGAAGGAGGAGAAAAAGGCAGAGCCGAAGAAAGAAGAGAAGAAGCCAGAAGAGAAGAAGGCAGAGGCGCCAAAACAACCAGCACAAAATCAGCAAGGTCAGCAGAAACAAGAACAACAGAATCAACCAAATAACCAACAAAAGCAGCAAACTGATCAGCAGAAACCGCCCACACAAGATCCGCCGAAATCTGACCAGAAGTCTGAACAACCCGCAGGTGGTCAAGCTCAAGGCCAGCAGTCTCCGCCGCCGCCCGTAGCTAAGCAAGGTACTCAACCTCAGCCACCCCAAAAACCAACAGCTCAGATAAAAGCGGAGGAGAAGCAGCTCGCAGCCGAGCTGAAGAAGGAAGTAAAGTTGGAACAAACGGAAGATAAACGGAAAGCGGCAGAGGAAAAGGCTGCCAAAAAGACAGAAGATAGGACAAAGGCAGAAAAGGCCGAGAAGGAGAAACAAGAGCAAAAGGTCGAGGTTAAGAAAGACCAGCAGTCCACCGATCCTGGCAAGCCGAAAGAACAACCAAAGCAAGACTCGAAGCCTCCAGTGGCGGAACCCAAGCTGACCCAAAAAGACGAAGACGACAAGAAAAAGGCACAAGCTGAAGCCGACAAAAAGAAGGGACAGAAAAGCGAAGTTCGGAGTGAAGTGGAGAAGGGGAAAGAGTTCAGAGCTTGAAAGGCTCTCCGCACAACGAGGCTGGATAGTGTGTCGCTCAACACGGACAACTTGGGTCCATGCATATCTGCGTTATTTCTTGTATTTCTAGATTTTCTCTCTCTTTTGTTTGCATAGTAGGCGCGATGGGGTTTCTGGGTATGGATGGCATAAGGATGGTGTCATGGATCATAGAAAGCTGAAAAGAAGGTGTTGGGTTACATAGATTTTTGTTTTTTGCTGCTGTAATTTTAAACAACGAAGTAAGTGATACTGGATGTCCTACCTAGATGCTAGCAGTGACATGTGGTGCCCAAGCAGGTCTGGGGAGTAGAGTTTGTGCTTTGTTCATTGGGAGTGCAATGCGAAGTTTCGCAACTGTTCTTGGCGTGTTCTAGACTTGGTGTTTGGGTCCTGGCGTCATGATTAATGGTCATCAAGCGGTGATTGAGATGCTTCTTAGAGCAAGCTTTACTCGTTGAATCATTGAGCATTGTGTACACAACGAACGATGAAGCAAGATGGTTTGTCTGTCTCTGTGGATCTCCACTTTCTGCATGAGTTCGTCGATATGCATAATTCGCAGCCGGAAAGCTAAAAGTGTATCCTAGTACATCACAAGTAAGGAACTCCCAAGGTTCTAGTCCGCGTAAGCAAGCTTTTCGAGAGCTTGTATGGCATCTGAGCGTAGGTTCTGATTGGGTTCCAATTCGAGAGTTCTTGGCTTCAGACTTGGGGCAATTAGTCACTTTGAGCGGGATTCCCGGGCTTTCATGCCCGAAGTGAGGCTTCTTGGTACATGTTCTTGTTCATGCTGTCTTGGGATCTTCTCGATCGAAAAACGCATTGTGATTCGTTCTTGTCAACATTCTGGTCGGTTCTTTAAGTTTAAGCTGCAAGCACAAGAAGAATTTAAGTCAAGTGGTCGAACTGTGTGGATGAACTAAAGCCTCACGATGTCTGGCTTATGGGCAGCGTTGAACCTTCTTCACGGCGACAAGGCCTCACAAATAGAAGATCAAGTCCAACCTCCCCACTCTCGAACTTCGATGGCGGTAACAACAATTGAGCTCCTCATGTTGCAAAATCCCCGACTTTGGTATCCGTTGCGTTGCTTGAAACCACCGCAACTCCAGCAATTCGGACGAAAATGGCCCATCATACATTCACCCCCTCCCACAAGTTCGTCCCAAATCTCCCACCGCTTCCGAACCCGCCCTCAAATTTCCGCCCACTTTCATTTTCCAAACCTACGATTTTGAAGTTTGACGAGTTTCCGAATATGAATCTCGCGTTCTACCTTGACCTCATCTCACCATCCGACGTGTCGAACCTCCCCGATTCCGAAGTCACGTCTCCGAAGCAGAAGGTTATGGATTTCCCGAGCAGGAATTCGAGTCTACCGATCAAAATGGGCGCGATTTCAGAGGGGGAAACGCGGAATGTTACGACGTTTAGCAAGCCCGGGTGGAAGACGGATGTCAGGATCGTTGGCTTTGAGAGGGAGTTTCTGGTTCATGATGTTGTTCTGAGACTTAATTCTGGTTTCTTCAGGAGCGCGTTGGATGGTATGGACAGTGGTGGTGGTGGTGGTACTGCGCCGGCGGGAAATGGATGGCGGCATGAGTTCGTGGCTGTGGATTCGATGGGAGGAGGTTGGAATCTGGAAAGATCTATTGAGGTACTCCACCCATCCTTTCAGTTGAAGAAAGGAGAAAGACTAATAATGCATTTTCCAGAGACCAAGAACACCCTCCCCATCGCCAGATCTCGCACCCAAGGATCAACATCACGCACATTCCGAACAAGACCTCGCTTTCAGCAAACTCCTATCCGCTTTCTACAATAAACCCTTCTCGATATCCTTCTTCAACGAACTCGTCACCATCACCCACCTCGCAGACCATTTCTCCGCGCTCCCCTGCCTATCGTCCGCTCTCTACGTCGCGCTCTGGCATTCTCCCGTCCTGGTTCAAGAGATTAGGACGAATTGCAAGGAGATGCTACTCCTGGCGAAGAAATTGAGACATGCGTTACTGTTCCGGGAAGCGCTGGTTCATGTCGTGAGTCGGTGGGAAGGCTATGATGTGGCTTTCGAGGGCGATTGGAGGTTGATTTGTACGGTGACGAGGAGTTATAATCGCGTGTGCGAGAGGGTTTTGAGGGTTAATCGGGATGTGTTTTTGGTGTTGGGGGGAAAGGGGGAAGAGGAGGGTGGGGTGAGAGGGAGGGTTTGTGAGGTGTTGGGGAGCTTGGATGGGAGGGAGGGGTTGATGGGGAATAGGGGTTTCTATGAGAGGTTGAGCGCCTTGGCGGAGGGAGAGGAAGCGTTGACGGGGCTGAGAGAGGGGTTGAGGGAGTTGTTGGCTTGTAAGTTGGTTCTTGGGAGGAGCTTTGGGGGTGGGGTTGAGGGAGAGAAGAGGGGTTTCTTGTGTGCGGAGATCGAGGATCATGAGTTGCCGTGGGATGTAGATGAGGAAGACTGGTGAAAAGATGGACGAGAAGAGTAAGTGTTAATGTGTAATGACCGATATGAAGCATAGCGCTTGGATGTAGAGATAACAATTCTCTGCCGAGAAGTATGATGATAATGAATGTCTCAAATACCTACAGACCTCGGCCCCATCTGGTGGTTTTATTTTGCATTCCTGAAATCTTTTCACCTCGAACACATCTGTTTTAATCTCCAAACGATCGTCTCCTCGAAAATTCTCTTCCGCGATGCGGAGCGGTCACGGTCCGCGATATTGGAAAGCAGAATTGTGTCTCGCAAGCCATAAATGGAAACTAAGAACTCGCTTTTCGGGTGGGGAATTGTGTGAGGCACTGCAGACGTGGTATTAATGTCCGAGTAAGCGAGCGTAATATGCAACTTCTGTGTGTCCTGTCCGGACAATGGGACGCTGGTAGTGGGGTGGAAGCTCGGACGTCTAAGAAGATATATATTACGGTGTACAATGATCGGTTGGTGGAGTCGAGGTATAGGAGTAAGTTTAGGTTGGAATTGGTGAACTTTAATGTTCGAAGTGGGACTGGGAACGGTATATTTGAGCCTGGTAGAGTTGTGATTGTGCGGAATATAAATTTAAGAACAATGGTTCGTAATATCCTGTTTGCGCATTGTTCGTCGAGCTTGACTGACTTATGATACCAGGAGGCATGCTAACACCGAAGCTCACAAAAATACCAACTGGCTTATGCGATCTTCACGGCTAGAGGTGGGGAAGACTGGACACGATGTACTCTATCTCCCGCTCAACATCCAGTCAGGTGCCACTGCAGAAGCTGTCGGGAGCTGCGGGCTAGGATCAAGACATCTCGAGGTGTCGATGGAGGACCATTCTTTCGAGCTTTTGCTACAGTCAAGATTAAGGTTGTTGTGCCGGACATTGAGCGGATGATAGCATTCAAAAAAGTTGAGGGAATTACTATCCAGTCACTGCTATCGATGGTCCATCCGTCTTTTGTTTGGTTCGACTGTGTGGCATATGAGGGCACATCGTACTTGCGGTGGGCTGTGAGTATCTTTCTGGTGTCCATCAATGGCAGTGGTGGATCAAATACTAGGTTGCGAATAAATGCACGAAGTCTGTCCTGAAGCCGAAGAAACGACGGCTGCCTACATTACCTTCCTCAGACTTACTGGCATCTTCGAAAAATTCTGTGACCTCGACCAAACAATATGTATTTGAACGCCTCAGAGTAACAAACAAAAATATTATTATTACATACTCAGACATTGAGACCGGGAATAGGACAGTGTCCGGAAAACTTCAAATCATTGAAAGACTTGCTCGGGAGAGATTCTGCAGACTTACGATATGGCTTCCTTGGGGTTTCCACTTAGACGACGCCACACCACGAGGCTATGTTCAATGCCATCTGGCGGATGTTCAATTCCTGGGGCGTTGGAGTTTGATAACGAATATGAGTTTCTCCTTGACGACATCTGGAGGATCAAGAAGAATGAAAGAGTCAGAAACGCCAGCTGTGCGTGCACCGAAGAGTATTCATTATGTAATGAAATGATGAGCTAGATACGCTAGACAAATCTTCAACAGCTACGTGATTTAGAGTACTACTCAGGATAATAAAGTAAACAATGGAACATAAACACCAAGTTGAATCGAATACTATTCGCATCTCATGCCGCTAAGTGAGACAAGAAGCGACCCTCGCCCGTCCTACCTGGGTAAGCGAGCCAAATTGTAACTAGAAACTTTCTTGTACACACTTATAGCAAAGCGCTTTGTGAGACTTGAAAACGTGGTCTTGATGTTCTCTTTTGTTCACAGGGAGAACAGGTATATATGGATGAGTGTTCGACCTCCTGTTTTTCAATGACCCGCTTTTTGCGGGAGGATCGACGCTAACATCGCAGCTACTTTCCCCTGCATTAGGCCCATGACGTCTTTGATTCTCAGCTCGTCTTCAACATACTCTCATCAGCTGCGCAGCTGAAGCAACAACTTGTATTTGTTCAATTGATGTATGTATTGCGATTCAGAACATTGGCTTCTCAATTGTGTTCTAAAACCACTTTTGCTTCACTCCATAGCGGACCATCATTTTCCAGACGTACCCTCACAAGCACGCATCACTTCAATATGCCTCCCAAGAAAGTGAACGGGAAACGAAAGGCTTCAGCGCCACCAGAGTCGAAACCTTCTACCGAGTCGAAAAAGCTGAAGATCAGCTCGTCAGATCCTCTCCGACAACCTCACGAGAAAGCTCAAGAAGCCGAGGAAAATGGCATCGTACTGCGAAAATACTATCCTCATGAGATGTCCAATGCTCGAGCTATTGCCTATAACGATGATAAACTCCCACGACCAATCGATGTTCTGGCCGAAGCCCTCGAGAATACCAAGTCTGAAAGAGAGAACATAGAAGTTGGAGATGCCGTCGTACATTGGTTCAAGTGCGATTTGAGATTGAAAGACAACAAGGCATTGCATCTTGCCAGCGAAACGGCAAAGAGCAAGGGAGTCCCGTTGATCTGTATATATATCGTCAGTCCGCAGGATTTCGAGGCACATTTGACGAGTCCAGTGCGCGTGGATTTTATACTCAGGACATTGGAAGTGGTGAAAGAGGATCTTGCCGCACTGGACATTCCACTCTATGTGGAGACTGTGGGAAAGCGAAAGGCTGTCGAGGGTCGAATATTGGAATTGCTCCAGAAATGGGGTGCAAGTCATTTGTTTGCCAATGTGGAGTACGAGGTCGATGAATTGCGTCGCGAAGCGAGAATGGTACAGATGTGTCTGGACAATGGTATCGTGATGGATGTAGTTCCTGATACTTGTGTTGTCAGTCCTGGTGAGCTAGCAAGTGGGCAGGGAAAGCAGTATTCTGTTTACAGTCCATGGTTCAGAGCTTGGGTGAAGCATGTCCACGAGAATATCAAATTGCTGGATCTTTTCGAGACGCCTGAGAAGAATGCAGAGAGTGCTAGGAAGAGGTTTAAGGACTTGTTTGAAAGCAGCATTCCTGCGGCGCCAGAAAACAAGAAATTGAGCGAGGAAGAGAAGAAGAGGTTCAGGTCGATGTGGCCTCCAGGTGAGCATGAAGCTCAGGAGCGACTTCGTAAATTTTGTGACGAACGTCTTGGTCAGTATGGAGCACATCGAAACTTCCCAGCCGAAGCAGCGACATCGTCTCTTAGTGTCCATTTTGCAAGTGGGACTTTGAGTGCAAGGACGGCTATTCGAACTGCTCGAGATCATAACAGCACAAAGAAATTGGATGGAGGAAATCAAGGGATTCAGACGTGGATCAGCGAGGTCGCCTGGAGAGACTTCTACAAGCATGTTCTTGCACACTGGCCGTATGTTTGCATGAACAAGCCGTTCAAGCCGGAATATACGAACATCGAATGGGAGTACAACCAAGAACAATTCAAAGCTTGGTGCGAAGGAAAGACTGGTTATCCAATTGTCGACGCTGCTATGCGGCAACTCAATCACTGCGGCTACATGCACAATCGATGTCGAATGATCGTTGGTTCATTCCTCGCCAAGCATCTTCTGCTCGACTGGAGAATGGGAGAAAGGTACTTCATGGAGCACTTGATAGATGGAGATTTTGCTTCGAATAATGGAGGATGGGGCTTTTGTGCTTCAACTGGAGTTGATCCTCAACCATATTTCAGAATCTTCAATCCTTTGCTGCAGAGCGAGAAGTTCGACGCTGATGGAGAGTACATCCGTAAATGGGTACCAGAGCTCAAGAATATTGAAGGTAATGCAATCCACGATCCATTTGGAAGGGGAAAGGGCGACATCGCTAAGAAGAACGGGTACCCGGAACGGATTGTGGATCACAAGGCGAGTCGGGAACGAGCGCTGTCACGATATAAAGAGGGACTAGGACGTGATACTGCTTAGGGATTGTTATTGGAGGAAATCATCATCGTTCGATGATCTTCAAAGCTTGAATCAATTAGCGCATCACGAAACAGGGGCTACTATGGGATGATTCACGTGAACTCGCTTCTTTGCCCCTTTCGCCTACACAATCCTTGCTCAAACCATGGATCATATCTGATCCTTTTCATCTCATACAGCTGTCGTCTCCAAACCATCCAAAGTCACAATGGCTTTTCTCAGCGATCATTAGCAGTTCCAAGGATGTTGCCTCATGTCGCAAGGTGCGACCGAATCTTGAACTCGTCATGGATTCCGGTTGGTGGAAAGTCAGCCGCTGCCAGAACCATCCCCGCAAGATTGTCTGATCTCCCATTGTCTGGTACAAGTGACAACAATCTAATCATATCAAATCTCATCTCATCTTAGAAACGTATAAGAACATCGTTTCCCGTCAAGCAGTGGTAAAGCCACACATTTGTCAACTGTTTTGAATCACTCTTTAGTTGCTATTCTTCCATTCTTTACGCAGCTGTGCTGTCGCCAATCTTTTCCTGAAACTACTCTGTTCTGTTCTACCTTCTTAAAAATCCAAACAGAACGAAACTTGCGACTTCTTGCGCTACCAGAACAATCGACATCATGCGTTTCTCTACCTCACTCACTGTCCTCCTCTCCCTTGCTACCACCTCCCTCTCAGCACCAATCAACAAGCGCGCTACAGCTTCAGCGGCTGTTCTCACCGTCCAGACATACGATGACTTTTCTGTTTCCTCTGGAGTGGCTGGAAATGCCCTCGCAGAAGTGAATGCCAAGTTTCCCGTTCGTTTCTCCGCACCCAGATGATGAAACAATCCACTAACCTTCTGCCATAGATCGATACGAGCAATCTAGCTGGCGTTGCCGCTTCCGATCTGGCCATTATTTCAAAAGCCGCTCAAGTTTCCGAAGACGCAGAGACTGGCACTGGAGGTTTCAACGACGCTATTACCGCTGCTGGAGGAACTGGCACCACGGCTGGAACAGCTCTGCAAAACGGCAAGATAAAGAACAAGGTGTTGAAGTTGCAGACGGATGTGTTGAGAATCCAGATCGAGGTTGCGCAAGGAAATACGGGGAGTCAGAGTGAGTTGGCTGGACAGCAGGCCAAGTTGGCAACTAATGTTGCTCTTGACACGGCTGCTGCTGGTCAGACTAGCACTGCTATTAGCTTTTCGGGGAGCGATTAGTTGAGGTTTGGTTTCAGAGGAGAAAGGTGGAAGGGGAGGAGCAGTGGAAGGGAAGCTGGCTTTAATGTAAATATATACCTGTGGTAACATTGCTGGCCTAGAGCTGCTAATGAACATAATTTTGATTCAAACTCTGGAATGATGCCATGAAAGACCTTTCAGACTTGTGAAATGGGTGCTTGATTTCATTTGGAGGATGTCGCAAGTTCATTATGAAGTTCCTCGTCTCTTAGCGAAATATAAGAATCATGGGGAAGACGACTTTGACGGATTATGTTCTAGCAATTCAATTGAAGACTGAAAGTCCACAAGAAGTCAGCTTAAAGAAGTCAGCAAGTATAAAAATATAACCTCAATTTCGCTTGATCCCAATTCGGCTAGCGCTCACCCGTCGATCCAAATCAGGGGCAAGCCAAGCTCCGACGCGTTTCCCTGCACCGCTCACCACAATGTCTCACTTTCGAGAAGCTCACCATGCTCGAAACAAAAGAATCCGATGCTCGCAATCCCAGACGACGGCGGCGCCATGCCCATACATCGAGCCCGAATCTTTCGCCGTCTGCTCTTCGCCGTGATTGCTAGCATCCTCCTCTACATCCTCATTGCATACGAACCTGTCAATCTCCCCGCCCTCGCTTTTGCACCCTCTTCTCCTCATCAGACGGTTTACAATCGACGTCCGGTGTACGAATACACATCTCTATACCGTGTCAAAGCAAATATAAGCTTTGAAGAAAGGCTGGAGGAACAGCTTGTCAATCTTGAGAGTGAGATTCGAAGCAAGGCAGAAAAGGAGAGGGACCTCACTGCAAAAAAGAGAATATGGCAGATCACTACGCCGGAATTGGCTGACGTGTGGAAGTCTTGGACAGCACAATGGAGAGATAACAACGCTGGTTGGGAATATAAACTCTATACCTCTCCGCCCACGGACCTGCTGCCATTGTTCGACTCAGTCCCAGAAATAGCAGAAGCAAATCAGACATTCCTTAGTATACGAGAAGATTTGACGCGGTATCTGATCCTCTGGTATCATGGCGGATTCTGGACAGCTATCGATACGTGGGATAGGGTTGCAATGCGGGATTGCAATCCCGTTGTTCAGGTTGTGGAGGGCAGGAATGATGTCAGTTTGATGATAGGAGTCGACAACGATGAGCCATATTTGAGTTCGGGATCATTGAAACAGTGGGGTTGGACGAGAGGGTTTGGTTTTGGCCAGGCAGTCGTGTGGGCACCGAAGAGGTTCGATCCGATTTTGAGGAAGGCAATCGTGAGGACGATTAGCCATGCTATGGTCGAAGAGAGTCTACCAAAGGGAAGCTGGAGTCAGAGGCAATTGTCGAAGATTGGTGGCAAGGTCGACTACTCTGGCGAGTTGAGTGGTGCAAGCATGTTCACGGATATTGTGTTGGAGACATTGAGTACACATCTTGCGAGGGATCATAGATTGCGGGACCGTGATGCAGGACTCGAGAAAAGAGTGACGTGGAAGAAATTCAAACACTTGACAGAAGTGCTCTGGTTGGAGAAGGAGAAGCCCGAGAGTGATATGCCTGGTGTGGCAGTTCTACCAGTTAATGTTTGGGGAAGCGGACAGAGCCATAGTAGGTCTGGCCCATCCGAGTCAGACGATGCTTGTGTAAATCACGTTCACGGTTGGAGACCACAGAAGCATAAGATCTTCGGTTAATGCGTTGTTAATGATACCCAACTCTTGTTTGTCACTAATCACATGTTGGTTTTGCTGTTATTGCTCGTTACATTTTTCTGTATTGGCACCTTTCGACCTTGCCAGTCAGTGCTTAGGCTATGGAACGCCCCTTACTAGTTCGCCCCCTCTTTAACGCCCACGTCAACGCTGTTGCCGAATAAAGCCGCTCAACTAGTTACACAAGCAAGTCGACTTGAAGGTTCAAGGATCTTGCTCTGCCGCCAACCCACACCTCAACCTTACAACTTGGTCTTGAGCTCCAGAGGGGCTACACATGGATCCTTTGAGAATGTAGTCTGCACTCCTTCCCAAACAGCACTGGTACCCTCTTCGCCCGAATGCGCTCGTGCAGCTCGTCTATCAAATTCCTTCTTCACCTTGATAGCAGCCGACACATCCGTAAAGACCACTGTTGCATTGCCGCCGTTGTATAGCCAGATGAGCTGGACACAGTCCTCTCCAACCAACTTCTCGCAAATATCTCTCATCTGTCTCTCGCCAAACATGAAGAAGAACCCGCCCTTGACGATCGTCAAACGTCGAGTTGCCCACATTGGAGGACCCATAGCTCTCAGTGTATCTTCGAGGCCATATTGCTCAGCTCTAGCATGCTCCACGATGAAGCGAAAACGATCAGGCTTGCTATCCTTCTTCTCCTTGTCTAGAACAGCTTCAAAGTCCGCAGCATCACGAGGGTTTTGGAAAATGACACCACAGTAGCGCGCCTTTGTGTCAGCATCGAATCCGAATTGCATCTTGACGAGTGGGCCTTCCTTAATGGCATTTGTGATGTCGGTCGCAGTGATTGTGCTGGGAAGGTTGAACAGGAATACTAGACGTGCCACATTCTGGTTGACTGTTCTGACAACTTGGGGAATACGACCGACAGACTTGAGGCGAGGACCTTCCCTTCTGCGTGTGGGCTTCAAGTCAATAAAGGTGATATTCGGATCGGTGCCTGCGATGTTGGCCCATGACGAAGCCTGGGTAACGAATCCGTCCTTTGGTTCGTCCTTGGCTGGGGTGCTGAGTGGTGAGCACTCGCTAGGCGGTGGGATTTCAGGGGAGCGAATATCATCGTCGTAAAACTCTCCAGAGTCCTCATCTTCAACAGTGAATTCGAAAGTCGGGTGGTTATTGGTAGGAGTCTTTTCATCGCTGGTATCGCGAACAGGTGGATGGCCGTGATGTAATTGCGGTACAGGAGTCTTTTCAGGGTCTCCATACTCGTTGAAGTCTGGTAGCTCAGCCAGCAACTCTTTCTTAACTAGAGTGAGTGTTCGTCCTGGTGGTAAACTCATGCTGACGCTCAAATACCCATTTGCATGCTTTCTGCCATGCAGCTGTTCCATTGCGGTCGCGGCCTCACCCTCATTTGCCATCACAATCCATCGAAACGTCTCCTCCGCGCTCAGACTGATCAATACTGGTAGCTTCTCTACGCGTCCCCATAATCCGAATATACTCCGAACTATCTCGTTTTGCCATCCTTTAGGTGCGCCGCCGACGTATAAAGCGCGACCTTGGCTTTGTTCCTCGGCATATCTGGCGGGAACGCCTGGGATGGATTGAGAAGGAGTTAGAAAGGCTTGGGTGAGGTACGTGTGATTTCCATCTTCGTAGTCTTGTTCTTGGAGTCCGAATAAGCCGTTGTAGTTGGTCATTGTAGGCGCGTCGCTGACGACGATATCCCATCGATATGCCATGGTTCTTAGTAAGCTTTGTTATGTGCAAGGTGCAAGTCCTGGACTTTGTTAGATTATGCTTCTGGAGAACAGAAGGAAGGGGAAGTTACAGGTTTGTAGTGTTGGTTGTGGTGCTGAAAAGAAATCGCAAGTTGTCGTGTGATTGTTTTGATTCAGATCGAGCTAAGCTTCTTTAGCGAGGGCCTTCAGTCTGATGTCCCAGGATCGGTTGAACTCCAACATCTGGTTTCGTCATTTGTTTTCCGGAGCGTGAGGAATGACTTTGACGTCTGTTTCGGCAAGTACCTTTGCTTCCTAACAAGTGCATATCTGGAGATGTCTTTGAAGTTCAGTGGCTAAGCGAGCCCCTGGATTGTCCCACGCTAGGAATATACTTTCACTTCCAGCCTTGTACGATCCAGATTTCGTATTTACTGTGGTACAACAATGGGATTACTTCTATGCTTATCTTGATTTACAAGGTGCAAGTGTTTATGTTGGAAGATATGCAAAAAGACGAATTATTCGATCAGAATTGGTCTATGCTCTCTGCGGTTCTTCTAACTTGCAATCTTTCATTGGTATCCTTCAGTATATTTCTTCTTTGCTTCTTACACTCCTTGCTCAACGAGAAAGAAGATCCGGCCATCCTGAGAGTTGTGCATTACCTTTCATCTTTGGAACTTCCTGGTTATGATCTTTTCAAAGTCTGATGCTTAGCGGCGTCATATATCTCAGAGTTTTCAAGCTCAGAAGTTCCAAATGCAAAGCCATCCCTTCTCCACCTTCGTCATGCCATTACCTGGTTCGGGGTACTCAAGCTCCAGAGCCGTTATGTCCGAACCACTCAACAGGACCTTCTGCTCCACGAAGTATGAGGGTCTTCCTAACAGCTTCTATTTTCGGACCGTCTCCAGATATACGTTGCATTATCCTTGGTACCGAAAGTTACCTGCACTCTGCACTCTTGACGATTTACTCTATCTACTTCTATGCTGTCTTGGACTTAGCAGCCAAGGAGACACATCCTCGGATCACTTCAAGCTTCAGATACAATTTGATCTCACGAATCAATGATGATGGGAAATGGACCTTGGTCGTTCAACGGGATGAAAAGGTAAGGTCGAACGAGTCCAAGTTTCACAGAGAAAGGCATCAAGTCCTTTGCACTACCAGAGGATTCCACAATGTGGAAGATGTAAGCTAAAGATGAATGTCCCTCTAGTGCTCGGACATTGAGCTTCTTTTGGTCAGCCTCGTGTTCATATTCACCTTCGATATCTTAGCTCCAACGAGCCTTTCTTCGCGCCACAACCTCTTCCTCAACTCAACCCACCACTCTTCGGAAACGTCAAAACAACAACTGAAATCCGACACAAGTCCGTAGGGAAAGGTACGCGCCTTGATCCGTTCTTCCCTGTATTGTGACTGACTTCCAACTAGCCTTCTACGCGCAAATTTCTTCGTGACAACACTTCGCGCCGACAAACCTTCTTCCCTTCGAGCAAGATCTCAACCCATCGACGCCATGGAAACCAGGAAAAAACCCCAGAAGAGAGTCATCAAGTTCAGCATTCCCGGCATGAAGCCAAATGTCAGACTTAAAGTCTTCGATAACGTCGAGTTTCACGTCCACAAAGTTCTCCTTCAAGTACACTCAAGGTTCTTCCAAAAGTTCTTGGATTCACCCGAGAAGAAGATCCCAGCATCCGAAGACTTTGCGTATGAATGGGCGACTATAATCGAGGAAGATGGAAGCTGGCATTTGGTATCTGCGCAATCTATCCCTGAAAAGGTATGCTGAGAATTATTTGATTTGTTTTTCGCGCCCGGTTGAAGCTGCCCACTACCTGCCATATCCAAGTCCACTGAACGCTGATTGAACTGTTTTAGGGGACGGGGACAACCACAAGCCTTGAAAGGAGCTTAGCAAAGTACGAGAAGAACAGACATTTGAAAGCCTCCTGAGAGCAATGTACGGCCGACCATATCTACTCGAGGAGGTGGAAGATCTACTTCGATTGACAGACATTGCCGACTACTATTGCGCTCTTCTTGTTGTATCAAGAACGGTCGAGGCGGCTGTGTACAAGAGCAGAGATTTTCAATGGAAATTCCGGTCCAGGCCATGCGAGTTGATGCCAGCAGCCTATCACCTAAGGAACGCCACCCTCTTTAGGGAATGCCTCGCCTTTATTCTATCTCAATGGTCAGACATTGACGTCCGCCTCGAGTCTCAACAGCTCATAAACATTGTCCATAGGAGTCAAGAAGAGATTAGCCTACGAATGGAGAAATTGAACGAAGAGATTCTTTCCAACCTGCAAGTCCTGTTCGAAGCGAATCCAGAGACACACAGAGCTATATGGGACTATATTCGGGACGCTGCAACTACTGCAAAAATAATTTTCCCTCCTAGGGGGCTTCTCTCGCTCCCAACCTACTATCGTAAGCTTTACGACTGCCAGCTAGACGGAGCAAATGAAGTATTCTCAAGTTTTCAGCTGGACGAGCTTTTGTCAAAAAAGTCTACTTTCAACCAGGAGTTGGTGGCGGGAATGGACCAGGGTGGAGAAGATTCGTTCTTCTGTGCGATGATAAGTACTGGGGATCTGCCATGGGACCTGACTGAAGAAGATTGGTAATCTCACATCTTATCAATGTCGCAGTCGACTGGGGACCAGACTTTCAGCTGGGCGGAGATGACATCAAAGTGCAGATGATCTGGGCAATATGGATGGATTTAGCCACGAGGCATTGATGATCAAGGATGGAAGACGACAAAGCATGAGTATGGCTACTTCATGGAATATGATACATGGTATACTCAGATGTATGTGTATGAGCAATAATTGCAGACGATGCTCTCCCTGAGACTAGCTAGCTAGTTTTTAGACGACGAAGTCACTTGCACGTATCAGTTTTGTTCATATTGCCTCCGATCCCGAGCATTTCCTTTTATTCAGCATTTGCCGCTCTAGTGACATTGTCCCAGTTATGCAGCGCCTGGGTAGTTTACTCCTGAAATCTAAAGCTCGAAAATGGCACTGATTGTATAGAGCTCAAGGAAAGAAATTTCCACTGATACTACCAGGGTTGAGATTTGCTTTGCAGAAATATCGTGCCTCCGTGATTCTGTCAAATGTCTGAACCTATGATAGGGCTCACAATGTAGACACATCGATGCCTACCAACAACGTTCGCTTCCTCGCCCCTTCCGTTCTTGTCAAACACATGACCACGCGACTTGGGAAAACTCGACTGCCAAATTCTTCTTTCTCTCTTCCTCCATCTTTGTTTTTCTCGATTCGACACACGACAACTTCTTCGTGCGCCCCACGAACGTGAGATTATCAACGATCTGCGGTACTCGAGCAAAATTTTCTCTTCCAAATAGCAAACCGCATCGGAACTCTCTTCCAATTACACATGACATTCGATCTTCGCAATGTCAGCGTCAGTTACATCAAAGAAGAGGATCTTCAAGTTCTCGGCACCTGGCCTAAAGCCGGACGTTCGAATTGAGCTGTTCGATACAGAGGAATATCATCTCCATAGCGTCTTGCTAAAGCTGTATTCCGGTTTCTTCAGGAAATTTCTAGACTCTCCCGAGAAGAAGGTGCCAGCTTCTACTTCGTTCGCGTACGAATGGGTTACGCAACTCGACGATGACGGAGGATGGCACTTAGTTGCTGCTCAGTCTGTACAAGGAAAGGTCTGTAAAGTGACATAAGTCCTGAACGAATGTGCTTCGTACGGCTGGGCATATAACTTCCTATTAGATGGCGCTGATGCTATAGGATCCTCAGACGGGCAATCTCCTCAACAAGGACGAGCAAAGTCTTCAATTAGACGCATTCCAGCGCCTCATACATGCTATCTACAACAAGCCCTACACGATATACACACACTTTCTAGGCCCATTGGTCGATCTAGCGGATTATTATTGCTCGTTGCGTATCGTCTCTCAAACACTTCATCAGTTGCTCATGACAGAAAGACGACGTGGTTTCTTATGCGACTTTATAGAAGATCCATGCGAATTCCTCGGTTTAGCCATCACGCTGAGGAACGAAATTCTTTTCAAGGACTGCCTTTGTCTGGCTCTCGGACCTTGGTCCAACCCGGCATTCTTGAAATGCAAAGATAAGAAGTTAAGGGATATTTGCGATAAGGCGCGTGCAAAGATCTACGTGGAAATCGGAACATTCAACGAGAGACTATTGAACGAGCTGAACGACCCGAGGAAAAATAACCAGGAGTTGAGAACTGAGATGTTAGAACACTCGCAAGCAGTCTCTGCAATTTCGAAAGATCCAGTCTCAGGCAGGATACGTCTTCCACTCTACTACCGTAAACTATCGGATTTCGTCTCGAAAGCTAGGAAACACCCGTTTCGTCATTTGATTATAAAGTTGTTGCAAAATGACTTGCTTCTTGATGATGGCTTCAAAGCTGGTGAAGGCATGTTTGAGGATTACTTTCTATGCAATCTCACAATGGACGACCAGTATCCTTGGGACGATACAGAAGACTGGTAATGTGATTCTCTTGTCGGAATATTGGAAGGGTTTTACATTCAATGTGCTGTGCTTGGAGACTGATGGGGAGGGACTGAGCTTGGTGCTTGGCTTGTGCCAGGTCAAAGCTGAGTAGCAAGGTTGGCACTCGAGGTATCTGATGCAGATTGATACCCAAAATGAAGTATTCATTTAGCTAAAATCGGGAAGTAAATGGGCATGCTGAATGCTCGACAAAGAGACGAAATTATGGTAGTATTTGCAATTGCACAAACAACTTGGCCCAATGATGACTTGCATTCATTGATGTTACCATACATCGGAAGGGAGTGCTTCTTCTCATACTATTGCCAAGCCTTCACAATCCTCCTACCTCTTTTTTGTTGCACGTAGCAATGTAGGCATCTAGCAGAGCCAAATCCTCAAAACCAAGGTTAGCAATAGTAAGAGAGTTGTAGCTGTATATTGACAGGTTTCAGAAGGTTAATTCTTAAGGTAAAGGACTTCTAATAATCAAGGTGAAAACTACGAAAACGCGATGTGCAAACAAAACTGCGAAAATGTCCGGAGAAATCTGGGACAATGATCCTTGGCTTGAGGTGTGCCTGTGCTATTAAAGACTACGCTCAACGAACCTTGAACTATCATGTCGATGCCACTCAACTCCATAGCAATCAGGACAGAAATCAAAATTGGAGCAATCCCGACACTTGAACCGTCTGTCATGGTAATAGAACTACACTAACTTAGCATGCGCAAACCGTCATCCCAGCGCACTTACCTTTCTTTCACAGCCATCGCATGCCCAATCCCAGTTCGGATGCTCAGGCATGGGAGCCGAGCTTGGTCTTAGTGGAGTCTCGACCTTGAGTCCTCCCTTCGAGAGTGGTGGTGGGTCGACTTCTGATGTGACTTCTTCGAGGTCTGACAACGAGTCATGGTCATGATCAAGGTAGTCTGGCTCCGGGTCTTCGTCGAACCACTACAATGGTCAATGTCCGTCATTCATAGAAGATTCAGAATAAGATACCTGTGACAAGATATCTTCCACATCCTCAGAAGCTGCTTCTTTCGACAGAGGCTTGGGTCTAAAATTCATCTCTAGTTCCATCTCTGCTTCCTGCTTCCTCTTCTCCTCCTCCATTTTCATCTTCTCCCGCTCGTCTTCACTGGCTGGCTCAGCTCTGTAATATTTCCTCTCTTGGACTACACGCTCGAGTTTCGGTTGCAGCAGTAGCATGGAGAAATAAGGGCTTCGTCGCATGTTTTCTAATGCTTGTTTTGCTCGGTTTGTGGTCTCGGAACTTCGGGATGAGACTTCTATCTTCTTCCTGGCGTGCTCGAGCTCATATTCTTCTCTCTGTGGACGCTGCTCTACTGGTTTCAGTGTAAGAGTTGCCTCATAAGTGACGGTCTGAGACTCGCTCTCGGGACCTTTCATGTTGATTTGCACGGGCATATGCTGTAATACTCCTTGAAGGCTACCCATTGGAATCGAAGATCCTGTCGTTCCTACTGATGGCTGTTTTGGTTTCGAGGGTAATTTAAATTGCCAGCAAGTTGTCATAAACATGATCATATGTTGGGCCTGCTTTAAGTTTTCTTGGTGCTTCGCAACTTTCTTTTGGCTGTGGCTGCCGAAAGCCCATTTGAGCCGGTCTCCATAATCTGGTTTCTTTGAGCCATGAGGGATCGAGTCTTCAATCTCCTTTAGGATGCCTTTACACTACAACGAGTCAGAGGGCTATGTGAAGTTTGGGATTCGATATAGCATACTTGCAGGACCAGAAAAGAGGCATCTTGTCGAAACGACTTTGGGAAGTCGTCCTCGGATCTGTCGTCGATGCTCTGAGCGAAAACATTGACGAGGCCAGCGCACATTGTAACATGGCTAGCTATCTCAAGCATCTCTTTAGGCGCTGAGCTGAATGCACTGTACCTGTCTGTGAGAGAACTGGCAAGCTTGTTCGCCGTCTCGGCTAGTGCTATGGCACCAACCGTTACTGAGAAGGGATCCATGAGGAGATGATATGACTATTGAGATAGTCTGGGAAATGATTCGGATATGATCGTGAAAATAAAGAGGAGAGATTTTAGGCATTCTTGTGTATTCGGCCAAGGCTCAGCCTCGCTGCAGGCTGATGCAAGACTTTGCTAAATGAGGTATAGCGTGATGTACAATAACTCATAGGGATACTTCTTCTGTGGCCCCCAATAAGAAGGTAGATGATTTTATTGAAAGGAAAAAAAGGGTCGCTGTCCAATCTTATGATCGCTGTCTTGGCTATTCAGGTTGCGTAATTTGTCCTACCTAAAGACACTAGCTTCACTTGAGGGCTATCTCTCACCTGTCCCAATTTTCGTCTTGCTAGCTAGGGCTCGGAATTACTGACTTGACAATCCGATTTAAATCCTACACAGTCTCTGCAGTTCTATCACTTGATAATTCTTCATGTCCGGCCCGTATCTGTGCTCTGACGAGATGCTCTAACGTCACAGCTCTTCAGAAGGCTAGATTGTATCGATCTTCGGCTGGGTAGCTACATGAGTAGCAGTCTGACTCCTCGAACAAATAGGATCACCCTGGAGTGGGAACGAGGAGTTTCGAAAAGCCGGTCGTTAGGTATCGGGATACACTACTTCACAATTGCATCGAACATTTGTTTGGGAAAGGTTGTCGAATTTTAATCACATGCGAAGAGTGACTATCGTAGCAAATGCCCACCAGCCTATTCTTCTTCGCCCAGTATGTGATTCTATTTCCATTTCCCAGCCATGCCCATAACCGCAAATCTGCAACACAATTAGCACCCCGCCTTGGACCCCGCATCGAATGTACCGTACCAAGAACTCCTCGATATGCATTTATCGCTGGCTGCTGCCGCTCCAGACATTCTTCAGAAGACCATCGCGTTGTGCCAATCGGTTCAATGAATCGTCGCTCTCGCCCATTGCTCGTACGAAACCACAAAGTGCGTAGACTTGGCTCTCTCCGGTGAATCGGCCGTTCTCGTCAACCTTGCCGACTGAGATCTGAACGGAAGCGTGGTCCTTGGCCTTGATGATTCTGTTGGTTGCGCTGCATTTGCGGGGGACGTAGCTATAAGGAATGTAGGTCAGTCTTTAACTCAAGTTTTATATTGTTCTGGCGTCGCGCAGAGATTTTGGAGGTACATACAGGTCGACGAGTTCTCCTTTATCGTTCTCCATGTTGGCGGTAGTTGTTCAGTGTGGATTGAAGGTTACTGAAGGGCGCTCGAAATGTGAAGTGATTAGAAAATTTGAGAAAGCAATTTGTGTGTGCCACACAAGCTTGAGAGGGAGCTAGTCTAGATAAGACTTAGGGCTAGCGGAGGTCGAGGTCGTCTATCACGTGAATCGTGGCTGTTTGGTGTTCAGGCTGCTTGTGGGGTCGCGATGGCAATGGCGATCAACAACGCAATCAACAATCAATTCACTTTTCCTCCCATCCGCCGCTCCAGCGATCGTGGATGTGAGCGCCCAAAGTCAAAACACTGTCGCTCCTTCTATTTCTCTCGAGTCGCGCCCGGCGCAAAGTCAATCAGTCTGGATTCAAGATGGCAACCGAAATGCTGATTTTGTCTTCCTCCCCGCCGAGACAATTCGCATCCTTCAGCCTATCTTCCTCCCCTCTACCGTCGATGGAGGAAATAGTGCAAAAACGTTCACAAGTTCTGCGGACTGGAAGTCGGGCTGCACCAATTCCACAAAATGCCTCGGCATCATATACGACCGCAGCATCGCTTCTTAAGTCGACTGCTAGTCTTGATGTCATTAATTCGTGCGCATTGGAGGAAGATACTCCAGAGACGAAGCCTGCGAAAGTTTCCAAACCACGGAAAGTCCCCATAAAGAAGGAAGAGGACGAATCGAAATCTACGAAGAAACCTGGAAAGGCTGTTAAGGTGGAAGCAGAACTCGATAATGCTGTGGTGGAGAAGAAGAAGAGCAAGCCAAGAACTAAGAAGGTCGTTGACAATCCATCTGAACCTCTGGAAAAGAAATCTGCAGCTCCAAAACCTCGCAGGAAGAAGGCAGACAAGGAAGCTGGAGAGACGGATATACCCAAAGAGAAGCCAGTACGGAAACCAAGAGTTAAAAAGGTAGACGGAGAGTCACAACCGAAGTTGTCAACAGGGAAGGTCACCAAGACCTCGAAGCCCACGAAAACAAAATCGGATAGTGCGTCAAATTCCCATAAGGTCAAATCAGAGTCTCAGGAACTGGCCCTGCAGAAAGCCCTCAAGAGACGTGTTGGATGGACCCCGCCTGTACCAACAAGTAAGACTATCGGAGTTACTACGTCTGAGAATATTCTGAGCTCTGGAGGACTTGGTTCGGGAGAAAAGCGCTCTGGATTCGCAGATTTGTTCGGGAGTTTTGGTTTCACCAAGCTCGAGAATAGCAGCGATCCTATACCTGTAGGCACAGACATTACACGAAAGAGGAAACTGGTTGATTTGGTAAAAACAAACGTCACAACGGCAGCAGCTGAATCACCCATATCAAAGGAAAAGGCTCCCAAGAAGAAGGCAAGGACCTTAACAGATCAAGCTACGTCTGCTTATACCGAAGAGGAAGAATTACCAGCTCAGCCAGCTCCTCTATTACAATACTTCTCCTTACAACCCTCTGAACGATCAACCAGTGACGGATTCAAGGTTCCTCCCAAGCCACGGTCTAAGAGTCCTGTGAAAGGTTCGTCTAAAGTGAAGAAAGGCTCTGCTGAAGCCCCAATTCTTTTGTCACCGGAGTCGGCTATGAAGCAGGTTGGCAAACAAGATTTCGTATTTGGGACCTCAAGTCAACTTGCAAGAGGGGACTCACCAACTCTTCTTCGCGATTTGCACGCTGCCATGCAAGCCTCGAACGAAGAAGACGATTCATTTCCCGATTCAGTCTTCGACTCCTCACCGCCGGTCTCGAGAAGGACGACCGGCCTCACTACAAAACGGAATCTTTGGTCGGCAGCCTCTCGAGATGATTCCGGCGAACTTCTAGATGTGCCTATGATTGATCTTGTTGATTCGCCTGCAATCGACAATCACAAACCTGCAGTACCCGTTGTTCCTAAAACTCCGGCACAATTAGAAACCGATATATGGCATGACATCGGAACTACCCCAGCTGCAAAACCAGGAGGCGACTCTCCCAAAGTCTTGGGTCCAATTGAGGCAGCTATCAGGACTGAGCTTTTGAGTAGCCCATCCGGCAGTCGTGGCGTCAGATCACCAAAGGCCCCCAAAGTCGCAAAGGTCGACGAGCCAGTCAAACTCAAGTCTCCAGCTTCGAAACCAAAATCGCCAGCCAAAGGCAAAAAAGTAATTGGACCACAGAAGCCAAATTTTGCGGCATACACGGATGTACAATTGGCAAAGGAGATTGCTTCCTACCAGTTCAAACCAATTAAGAAGCGTGAACAAATGATCTTATTATTGCAAAGATGTTGGGAAAGCAAGAACCAAGCAGCTCTCAGCAACGTGAGCACGAATATTCCTGTCGTCCCTGCTAAGATTAGCAAAGACGTTGCCCCTCCCTCGACTCAGCCTACAGAGCAGTCCCCGAAGAGAGCCCGAGGTCGGCCACGCAAAGATAATACAATTCAGTACTTGGAGATGGACAGTAACATGCCACTCTCCCAGGCCCGAACGCCGAAGAAGGCTGGCAAGAAGGCTGGCAAGAAGGTGACCCAAGAAACCGATGACATATCAGACTCAGACAACCCTGCTACTCCATCTCCACCCCGTCGTTCTGCGTCTCAGATGACTCCATTAAAGTTACGAGCATCTGAATCTGACATGAGCGACAGTCCCGAGCTGTCTCCGGGCGCTGCTGAAGAACGACTTTTCAAGAATATAACCAAAGCAGTCACAAGTGCGCCGCGGTCCAAAGATCCTCTGAATCCGAACTGGAACGAGAAGATCCTCTTATACGATCCCATTGTCATAGAGGACTTGACCATCTGGTTGAATACGGGCGCATTAGGGAAAGTAGGATGGGATGGAGAAGTGGAGCCAAAACTTGTTAAAAAGTGGTGCGAAAGCAAGAGTATATGTTGCTTATGGCGAGAAAACCTACGAGGCGGTGCACGGAGCCGCTATTAATGAGGAACGACTTTTGCATACCACATTGTATAGCTAATCATGTTGAATACAGTTCACGAATCCCCAGATCTTGATTGCTTTAGGATCTGAAATCCAGGAAACCCAGTGTACTCGCTCCCCTTTCTTCGTGGCCCTTGATTGGTGATCATAAACTCCGAGTCATTCCCAATTTCATGTGTCAGCGCACAATTGAATGATCGTCGATAGCGGAGATAAGTAGATCCAACAGGTCGTTTCCTTCTGCATTCGGGTGTTCCCGTTGTCTCTGCTGCAGGCTCAAGAGGCGTTGTCTTGGATCGCCAAGGAGAAGTAAATGCCAAAGGCAGCTTTGCAGGACATCAGAATTATTGACATATCAATTATGTTCCTTGAGACTCACGAAAATGATTGCATGTACCTTTCTTTGTGTTCCCTTCTTTCCCGTTTCGGTCTCAGAAAAATTTGAATCATCGGTTGAGAGGTTGTGTTGCTCCCCAAGTCTCAACGCCTTTGTCGTATACTTGTTCCTGGTCTCGATTGAGTATCCGAAAGCATGAGTGGAGAAACTATCATGCTATTGTTGAAGCCTTGGCAATTTCCCCTGGCAATCCATAAGTATGGCCACCTCGGCAGTTCAAAATCTGCTTCTTCGCGGCTCTCTCATTGCTAGCGGCGAATATCGGTATGGCGCTCTCATTGCCTAGGCTGTCTTTGCTCTTCGTTGCCTGTCTTTCTTCCATCGCATCTGTCTCTGGGAATAGATATGGAGACAAAGTCCATTGGCACGGCCGTGACAGCAGCCATAATCTCACCGCCAGAGAAGAACCATCTCAAGTTGAGGCTCGAAGCACCAAAGGCTTTCGATTCCTCACTGAAGCAACCGAACGTAAGCATCTATCTTGCATCTCATTGCTGGGCGATTTTTAACATTGATCAGCTTTTCGTGTAAAGTCCTTGCCAGATGTGGACTTTGACGTCGGAGAGATGTACTCTGGATTGATGCCAATTCAAATGAATGATACGTCTCGAGCTTTATTCTTCGTCTATCAGCCGACCATTGGAGCCCCGGTTGATGAGATCACGATATGGTTGAATGGCGGGCCTGGATGCAGCTCCTTAGAAGGATTCTTCCAGGAGAATGGCCGCTTCCTTTGGCAGACTGGCACCTATGCTCCAGTTGAGAATGCTTATTCATGGGTGAAGTAAGAACTCTTCTCCGGTCTTCCTGTAGTACTTGCTGACAAGATCGATTAGTCTTACAAATGTTTTGTGGTATGTATACTCAATCCCGATATCAACTATGCCCCCCTACCCCGTACAGAAAGTACAGCTGATATCCGCAGGGTCGAACAACCTGTGGGCACAGGTTTCTCTCCAGGCAAAGTCACAGCTACCACTCAAGAAGAGATTGCGCAAGATTTTGTAGGCTTCTTTCTCAACTTCCAGAAGACGTTTGGCATCAAGAAATTCAAAATCTACGTCGCAGGCGAGTCGTATGCAGGGCGGTACGTCCCTTACATATCCGCAGCTATGATTGACCAGCACGACACAAACTACTTTGATCTATCAGGAGCCATGACCTACGATCCGTGCATCGGATCCTTCGACTATGTACAAGAAGAAGTCGTGGCTGTCCCTTTCGTTCATGCGAACAACGCTGTGCTGAATATCAACTCCTCTTACCTTGCCTACCTCGATGGCCTCGACGAGACCTGCGGATATGCCGACTTTCGAAACAAATATTTGCAGTTTCCGCCCACAAAACATCAACCTATTACATATTTCAGCGATGAAAATGATTATGCGTGCGATGTATTTGATATGGCCGTCAATGCTGCTCTGAATGTCAATCCCTGTTATAACATCTACCACGTCTCGGACGCATGTCCTCTACAATCCGATGTCCTTGGCTTCCCTGGACTTCTGGAATACATTACACCTGGGCTACCAGTCTACTTTGATCGTGCAGACGTCAAGAAAGCTGTGCACGCTCCCGATACTCCATGGGTTGTATGCTCAAACGAACCCGTCATAATCGGGCCACCAAATCAAGGCCCCGAAGAATATACCGGCGACCTTTCCGCAGATCCCATCCAACACGTTCTGCCCAAAGTCATCGAGCACACAAACCGCACGTTGATATCCAACGCACAACTCGACATGATCATCATCACTAACGGAACGCTACTTTCGATTCAGAACATGACCTGGAATGGGAAACTTGGCTTCCAGCAAAGACCCTCGACGCCGATCGTGATTACACTGGAGGATCTGCAGTATGAAGCGATCTTTGATGCTAATGGGTATGAGGGTCTGGATGATCCGCAAGGAACGCTTGGGGTGCAGCATTTTGAGAGGGGACTGATGTGGGCTGAGAGTATGTTGAAATCTTCCTTTATATTTTAAGGATATTAGAGGAGTCGAGTTCTCGGGTGACTTCTCAGTAATTTGTGGGGTTCGTACTGATTCTCAGTAGCTTGGGCTGCGGGACATATGCAACCGGGATATCAACCTAGGAGCAGTTATAGGCATTTGCAGTGGTTGTTGGGGCATATTGAGACTTTGTAGGATGGGCAAAACGGTAACTGTTAGATGGAGACTGAAATTGTTATGAGAACCGAGTTGAAATTTTTAGGAGTTTAGTGTAAGACTATTCTATTTTGTCTGAGGTATTTTGAGCTGAGATCTCCGTCTCAATGAAGGACAACATATTTTACCTTCCTCTTTTCACTTAGATCCGATCCTTCGCCATCCATCATCCCGTGCAAATAACAGGCGCCCACCAGCAAAAAGTCCTGGTCATTGCCAGCAGTAGATTCATTATTCCCTTCATACCTTCTCATCACAAACGGCGTCTGGGCCCCGTATACCAAGCTCACACTATCACCAATCTTACTTCCATTCGGCACCCATCCGATATATCCCTTCCCCGTCACGCAAAATGTCTTGCCGACACTTACCAAACTTGCCATTGCCCAATACTTAGTCGCCATCTTACCTTTTTCCATATAATCTTCGCTAAATATTTCAGCAAGATTGATGGCCGGGTCTGGGTTCTGTAAGCCTTGCTCTAGAACCTGCAATTCCAACTTTAACTTGGCAGGGTCTGAGAATCGAGAGGCAACGGCTTCATAGTACGTCGCGTATTCGGCGGGCGCAGGTCGCTCAGTGAGCGTCTTGTCGCCAATTGCTGCTCGCCAAAGAGCTTCAGAGAGTGGTTGGCCGGTGTGATATGGGTCCGGAGCATGCTTGGTTGCTAAGGCCTTGGCTTCGTGGGCTTTGTTGAAGGTAGGTCGAAAGGAGGAGAGGTGCGTTGTGCAATTGGGGTCTTTGTATGCATAGTAGGGATCGTCTCGGGTACCGAGATGAGCGATAGTGTCGATGATAGAGCAAGAAACTTTGAGAATGTTTGGATTGGTAGGTTGAGTTATTATACTTGCTTTGGTGTTTCTGGAAGCAGCGTAGGATTTAAAATCTGTGCCGTGTGTGATCGGTTGGATTCGATGTGTAAAGTCTGGGACCCAGGATGGCAAGTCTGTGACGGAGCTGGGGTGACCACAACCTGCGTGAGCCAGTATGAAAGGATCGTTGCTACGAAGTAGATAGAGAGTCATGTCTCGGAACACATCCAGTGTCGACTTTCTGTAATCAGGCACAAGCAGTGGATGTGAACGATCTTCGGTGATGCCAACCAAAGCAAACACCTGATCTTTAGGCTCTGTGGCTTCGAAAGCTGTGGTCCATGTCACCACGTCTTTGAGTGTTGCCCCTTCTCCGCTTTGAATCTTCTCCTGGAAGCGCGCCATGGAGAGACCATGTACGATCTCCTGTGCAGGAGGCTTCTTTCGTACCAAATAGTTTCCTTCGTGCGCTCCACCGAATAGAAGCAACAAATGCGTATCTGAGAACAGCTTCATCATTTGAAGCAGCATTGTCCACGAAATGAATTTCCCGTCATAGAGAACTATTATCGAAGAAGCGCTAGCCACCTCTTGAATGACCCACACTCGATCAAAGTATGGATTGCGAAATAATTTCCCAAGCGCAAGCCAGGGACGAGTGTGCCTAACTTCGCCATAATTGTCGTGCATTGTCTCTTTAGACATACCCAAGCATTTATCATTATAGACTTTGTTCAAGAGGAAGATGGCGAGGTGAGCGTCGTGGGTGGCACCTAGCCACATGATTACATTGCGGGCGTGCTGATAGATTTCCCTCATGAAAGTTACTTGCTGATTTCGCTCTAGAAGGTCTTCTTGGTTGATGCATATGGAGTCGATCCATATGTAAACAGGGTAGTGGATGGAACTGTGATGTTCCAGGATGTCGTAGACATTCTGTGACACAGCGAAGTCGTGACCTTTGAGGGTAATGATGCGTGTTTTGAGCCTCTGTAAGGGATCTCCCCAGCAGTAAGATATTGCCGTGTAATATTGGGCAGTGTTGTCCAGAGACATCTCTTCCAGCTCAGCACGAACTCCATAAGTAGGTGTCCACTTCAAAATCTTGAGCAATCTGATACTTCTAGATCCACAAATTGGCTCGTACTCATATGTTGTCGCCGTTGGTGGCAACTCTGGCCGAGCTTTGAAATTCGGAAGGATGCGATACAATTCCCAAAGCCAACGATTCCTTTGAGTAGTAACAAAGCGATATCCAATCTCCTCAAAGATGATCCGATCTCTGAAACCTCTCACTTGCAGGTCAATTTTCCGAAACTCCAGGTACGCATAGAGTAAGTTCTTCCATGGATTCTTGACGACCTGAAAGTATGCTATAAGTCCGCTTACAATTGTAATAATGAGCAGCCAGTTGGCGCTAAGGATCGTTAACAAGGGAAAGAACAGCAAGGCTGAGATATAGATCGCAAAACAGCAAGCAATGAGACCCGCGAGATATAAGGCTGCGATACCATAGTCTAGCGAGTATGTTCGCGGCTGTGGCATGATCGCTATGCCTCAATTCAAGATTAGATCCATTGAAGGGCGAATGTAGGGGGAAAGTATAGGAAAGGAAGCACAGGGCTCGCAATAGCAAAAGGATGTGGCTTGTGCAGCTGAATGTCGAGCTGAACTCGGCAAAGGCACGCCCCTGGATCAATGCGGCTAGCCTGATCTTAGCCGAGCGGAGCTCGTAACTTCGATTCGACTCTGTCTATTTCAATCTTACAGATGATGATTTGCTCTTGGTAGTCGTCGACTCGGAAGACTTTCGTTACAGATCGTGTCTTTTCCAAAGGATAACTAGAACAACGATTCTGTCTCCAGTATTCCGGATCTAAGCACAATTTCTCAAATTTATCACCTACAGGACTTGCAATTGGTCGGTAAGAGAAACAAGGCTTTGCCACGCTGCCCTGAATTGTACATTGAGTACACTAGTCCTCGTTGAGGACCAAAACCGTTCGCGCTCAGCATAATTTGTACATACTATCCGAATACCAAGTGCTGAATTCGAAACTCTATAACTTCTCGGCCGGATTCTTCTTCTGAAATTCCTTCTCTTCAGCCAAGATCTCAACCCTCTCTCTAACCTCTACATTTCTCGGTCCGTCTTTACTAAATTTGACCAGCACAACCCTCTTCTCGTCTCCCCCTCTTCCAGCCCCCTTCAATTCAGGACCTGGCTTCTCAAGTCCCAACACACTCCTCCTATCACTCTTCCGCATCAATATCCCAATTGGCGACATGACTTTATCCGCCCAAGGGATGCCCTTCCCATCCCCTCCATCTCCCTTGACGAATCCCAAGACTTTATCTCTCTGCGTCTGCAATTCTTCTTCGGGCAAGAAAGGCGAGGGGTTCAGAAATGGAGACAATAGTGACATGAGGTAATATTGTGGCGGGAATAATATCACTTCATCTCGCCTTGCTTGTGAGAGCCAGGTGCTGCAGGGAGCGAATAAAGCGGCGGTGTGTTCGAGTCCTCCGTCGGAAGTAGGGGTTGGGATTACGGTTTTCGAGGGGACGTTTGTGGTGCGGGATGTCTGGGTTAAGGGGAGAAAGTATATGTACATTTGAGTCGTGAAGCGCTTCGGGAGATTGGTTGGGGTTATCCAGCGGGTGAAGGGTATTAATGATTCTGCTCAATGTTAGGAACACGATCTGTTGTAACTTTGGATCAGGTTGTACGTACCTGTATCAACAGTCCCGCCCATCTCCTTCACCCAGTCTCCAAAGTTTACTTGCCCGGAGTGAATGTCCTTTCTCGCCTGCTCTCTTACGCTTTCTTCTACATCTAGCAGATCAGAGCTCCCATCATTCCGTCTAGCAAGTAATATCCCACTCTCTTCAAAGCATTCCCTTATAGCTCCCATTCTATACGCCAAGCCATCGACATGTCGCCTTGGATCGTTGGGAGCAGGTATCTCGCCATCTTGGGAGGTTGACAGATTACCTCCCGGGAAGACGTGTGCAGATGCAAATGAGGAAGAGGTTCGGACTCGGTGAAGGAGTAGAATCTCGTTTGAAGGACTGATGAGTAGAATACTAGGCATTTTTTAGTGAGGGGGTATTGGAAAGGAGGAGGAAACACAAACGAGGAGCTGGGTCGCGGTATGGCGACTTTCTTTACAGGTCTTGTGCCAGAAGACATATACTGCTTCTCGAGAGCTGGTCGACGGGCCATTTTGACTGGAAGCGCTCTGCGAGTTGCGCAGGCGAGAGGTCGTGGCTTGATATGTAGTTTTACCCAAGAAGAAGCTTCACTTGCAGCAGTAGTTCGCAGGTTCCGAATTGTATTCCGACTGACTGCTATCTGGACAACATTATTTATAGATGATGTCTTGAGAGGTATGATACTCCTCAATGGACAGAGATACATTGGACGTGGTCTGGATGTTGCTGACAGCCATGGTTGTTGAAGAGAGGTTGCGGGGTCCAAGTTTCGGGGGAGCCGAGGTCGATCAGGGTTCTTTGTCAACGGCCCCTGATGGTGGAATTTTCTAATTCAAACTTTTGCACCTGATACCTACTCCCTTGATACTTTTCGAAGTCTCCGAAATACTTTGTAAAGAAATCGAGAAGATAAGCTTTCGCCAAGTTGATCAAGCTGATTTACCTAGGTATCGTACGTTAATTCATCTGCAATTGCTTATGTCAGAGTAAGATGACAGTGGATCTGCTCAAGGGTGTGGATAATTGCTCCTTTTCATTTCTTCTGACTCTCAACCATTTCCATTTATAGTTCTCGTTTGATTCTTGGAGCTTGGAAATTCATCATGGGCTCCAATGATATCTCTCCACCCCATGTACCCTCATACGTGGTACCCGTCTCCAATGCCTTACTTCAAGCCGGAGGAGGGCTTTGGACAATCACCTACATCCTCATGGCTCGTCAATCCTTCAAAGACCGTACGTACGGCATGCCCTTCTTCGCCCTCGCCTTGAATTTTGCCTGGGAAATAGTTTACGCTCTCTACGTTGCCGAAATGCCTTTGGAACGCTTCGTCTTTACTGTCTGGCTATTGCTCGATTGTGCTATGGTTTATGGCCTCTTGACATCTGGAAAAGAAGAGTGGAATCATGCTCCTTCTATGAAGAAATATCTTGGAACTATTTTCTGGATTACTACAATTTGGTGCACGGTTGGTCACTGGGCATTTGCCAAATGGTGGTTGGATAATGATGTTGGTCAGAAAGAGGGCAAGTTCTATATGGGAAGAGTTGGACCTGATACTACAGAGCTCGGATTCTGGTCCGCGTTGATCTGTCAGGTGAACCTCAGTGCTGCTAGTCTGGTAATGTTGCTCGTCAGGCAGCATACGGGAGGAGTGAGTTGGAAAATCTGGGGGTCGAGGATGTTGGGAAGTGTTTTTGGATTGTACGGAAATTATGGGTGGGAGTGGTGGATGTGGAGAGAGGCACATGAGTACTTTATGAGCCCATTTGCGGTTTTCATGTGGGTGACTTGTTTGGTGTGTGATTTGGTATATCCCTTCTTCTTTGCTCGGATCAGGAGGACAGAGAAAGTGTTGTTGGATGGAAGAAAAGCGCCGGGGAGTATAGAGATTGAAGGAAAGAAGTCTCGATAAAGATATTCGATGGGAAACTTGTAGCTTGAAGGGTAGCCAAGGAGATCGATATGTAGATATTCTGTGACATAAAGCTCACTTTAGAGCTTCCTCACTTCCTTCAATATGCCCAGCCATCGTCTTTGATTCGTGGTCATCATGCTTGTTTTATTCCAGACCCATTCTCCCAAACGCCGCACATACCCCGCCAAACTCCAGTGCTTCAACCATCTAGGCTAGGCATCCTCTCCGTAGAGAGCGTCCAAGTCTGGAGTATCAACGAAAAACTCTGCCGCAGTGTCCTCATCCCCAGTGAATGCAAAGGAAAGTATGGCACCATCTTTGAGCTTCATACTGCCAGCTGTTTCTCTGATATCGCCTCCAATGTCCAACTCTGTCCAACCCTTGCTAATATCATATTGGTCTGCAGGTTCTGCTAAAGCCAGGTCTGCAATGTCCGTAGGGATCTCGGTCATGGTCTTGCTTTTGCCCATAGGGAGGCCTTCGGGGTATCGTTCGTGGAGGACTTCGAGGAGATCGGTCTTGATGGTGGTGAAGGGTGTGCTGGACTCAGCGAAGAGCAGAACTGTGTGTTTGCCATGCTTGAAGCGTAGCGTCAAAGCTGTTGATTGGATATTTTCTGGTCTAACCTGCACTCTGAATTAGTCACGTCAGATGCTGAAATGCGCGAAGAAGCTCACCATTTTCGTGATTATCTGCCAGAACAGTGTCGGGATTTGGCTTGGAAATTTTGTTCACGAAGAAGTCGCGACGAGAGAAAAACGGAAGGCTGCAGCGGCACGAACTCACGTGAGGACAAGGTATGTGAAACCCATCCTTCCAGCCTTGCCTCTTTTCAACGTCGTCCCATCTTTCGCAACACCATGACGAACATCGAGGATGAGGAAGCAGAGAGAGTGAAGCAATGGAGGACAAAACAAATACGGCTGTTGAGACTGGACTCGAGGTTTTCCCTCCCATATCCCATGCGTCTCACGGCAGCAACATCGCTCTCCTTCATCACCGGCATAGCTTTGGGAGTCTCCCATGGTAGCCAGACGGCTGGACTACGCTTTAGAGCAGAGAATGCCCATCGACTACCAACTACACCGACAGGATGGTATCTCTATCACAAGAGCAAGAATTACGTTATGGCTTTGGCAGGAGTCAGGGAAGGATTGAAGATGGGAGCCAAGGTTAGCTTCTGGACAGCAGGGTTCTTCAGTATTGAAGAGATGTTCGACCGATATCGAGGAACCAAAGATTTTGTCAACACCGTTATTGCGAGTCTCTCAATTGCCGGCGGTTTCAGTTTGTGGAGTATGCAAATTCTACCCCAACAGTTGACCCGAAACTAATCACAACAGACCGATTTCCCATTACTACCGCAGCGAGAACGGCGAGGAGTGGACTAGCTATCGGCTTGGCATATGGTCTCGCCCAAGATGCAATAGCAGCCGCAAAGGGACGAAAGCCAGCATATGTGGACTTCATACAGCGAAGAGGACGTCGAAAAGCCGACGTAGAGAACTCCCAAATGGCATGACAGCATATCTCGGCTTTGATCTTCTGATATTTTCCCCACTGGGATTGTCCAACCGGGTTGCGTGCACTGGTCCTGCCCAAAGGACACCAGCGCCATGCATTAACAAAGGCCGGCTATCAGCGGGACAAAGATGTCTTATCAATTATTGGCCGCGATAACATCGTCAATCTTGCCCCTCATTGTCATCAGGTACATGTTCCTATGTACTACCACGCCGAAGTCGCTGCTTTCTTTTAATTAGTTCAGATTAATACCTTGTGTTCCCATCATTTTCTTCAAATCAATTCCTCTACGTCCTTTCCCAACCTGTCTGAGATTGCCATTGCAATCGCCATGGCGGGGTCAACAAAGGCAATGAAGCTCGCAAAGAACAGGAGCCAATCTGGCTTCTTTAGATACCTTTCTTCTCAAACTCTTCCTCGACAGACATCGATTGCCTCAGATCATACCTCTACAGAAAAATTTTCTATACCAGAAGGGCCGATTTTAGACCCTCCTCCTACAATGAAAGCAACCCCGCTTTCAATCCTACCCCTCAGTTCAATCGTCAGATCATTGGCGATAACGTCAATTTCGTCCTCAACTGTATGCACTTGTACCCTGTAGTTGCTCCGTTGCTAATAATATAGCTCCTCCTGCCCCCTTCTCTTTATATAATGGCCAAACTGGCACACACCAACTTGCCGATCCTCTCCCCAGACACAAACCCGGTCTTGCAACACTTCCTCAAACGAACATTCTACAGACAGTTCTGCGCTGGTGAGAATTCTTCGGAAGTCCACAAGACAGCTTCGAACTTGCGCTCCCTTGGATTCAGTGGTGTCATCCTCGCCTATGCAAAAGAGGTCGTACTCTCGGAATCCCAACATGCCTCCCTTGAGTCCTGCGGCGAGTCTTCTGCTGCTGAACAATGTATAAGAGAAGAGATCATTCCCTGGGCAAACGGTACAATGGAAACTGTCAAGATGACTCGACCTGGTGATTTCGTGGCATTGAAGTTTACTGGTGCTGGAAGTCAAGCTTTGTTTGATCTAAGCCAAGAGACAGGACCGAGTGAAGCTTTGAGGGAAGCTATTGATGGAATTTGCAGTCTCGCTGAAGCCAGAGGTGTCAAACTATTGTTCGACGCTGAGCAGGCGGCTGTGCAGAAGGGTATCGACAGATGGACCTTGCAATATATGCAAAGGTACAATTGCAAGACACCTGGACACGCCACTGTGTATGGTACATACCAAGCTTATCTCAAGGCTACGCCAAAGGTACTCGCGGGACATATGAAGGCCGCAAGAGAAGGCGGATTTACCCTAGGTGTCAAGCTAGTACGAGGAGCTTACCTGGGAAGTGATCCGAGACATCTGATCCATGACACGAAAGCAGATACAGACAGGGCGTATGATGGTATTGCCGAAAGTCTGTGTCGTCGTTCCTATGGACCTATTCTCCAGGCTGTGGATAGCGAGAAGAAGTTTCCTGAAGTTAATGTTGTGCTAGCAGGACACAATATCCATTCTGTCAGAAAGGTCAAGGCTTTGAGACAGCAGCAGAAGGAAAGAGGAGAGCAGCAGATTGAACTTGTGTATGCCCAGCTACAGGGTATGGCTGACGAGGTTAGCTGTGAGTTGGTGCAAGCCGGATTGAGCGAGAAGCGTGAGAAAGCAGAACTGGATGCGCCCAAGGTTTATAAGTACTTGGTGTGGGGAACTACGGGAGAGTGTATGAAGTACTTGCTTCGAAGGGCGCAAGAGAACAAAGATGCCGTACAGAGAACGAGAGATGGCAGGGATGCTATGGCGAATGAGCTGTGGAGGAGAATGAGGCAGACTGTTGGTTTGGGTGCTTGAAGATTTGGGGTTGGTTGGATTTTGGTAGATAATGGGGTATAAGAGCTCAGAACATATGGGATGTCATGTCATAGCGTTGGAAGGTGACGATCACGAAGTTTACGGCAGGACTTTCACATAAGCATAGATTGCAATAGAGATTAGCGTTGCTTTCTCATCTCTCCCTCTATACGTCAATCTCCTACGGCCAAATAACGGCAAGTGCCTCGTTTGCTTTCCTCCCATGTCGTCTCCCGAGCTCGTCCCACTCGAAGAAAATTTCTGCCCCCACAATAGGGGCTTCGTATAGATTAGAACAAACGTTTTGGAGATATGAAAATGTCCATGCTGGTGTATCGGTAACATTTCCGCCTCTCAGTGTATTCTGTACACAAGAACGCGGTAGCGCAGGGTTCGACTCCCTGGCATGGAAGACAATCTTTTTGAGTTTTTGAAGGATGGACTTACGTTTTGGGGGGGGGGGGGGTTCTTAAAAAAAGTGCCACAATGACATTCGTATTTCTTTTACTTTTCTAAGTTCTCTTTTGAATTGCTTTGAATCTATTATTGCCTATTCTGTTGTAACATAATCCTGATTTCAATGTGGTCCTGAATTATTGTCCTTGCCCAAGACATTGAGGAAGGTACCCACTTACTGAAAGTGTGCGCTAGTAGAACTACCTACTTCCTGAGCTTCAACTTGGTCCAACCACTTCAACTCGACCAATTTCCACCCAGAAACTTTTCAAGGACAAAGGCTTCGAAATCGACAGACTTCTCCTTGCGCCAGGTATCACCCGCGTCTTCCGACCCCGAAGTCCTCGCCAGTGCAAAAGTATTCCAGTCGCGAGTCGCAAATCGCAATCTAAACACTGTGCCATAATCATGAAGGAGCGAAACACAACCAAGTCCTTGAACGCAAAGTCTGTTCAATCAGAAGAAGCTCTTGCGAACTTGAATACCACCATGGAGAAATCGACTACCCTGGAGTCATCGCACCTCAGTTCGGTCTCGACAACTCCCACCCCCTCAGGCGCAAAAACCGTCAACAAGAACTTCAGCTTAGAAGGCGACAATTTACCCCGCTTAGCTGTTTCCTGTCCCACAAGTGTCAACAAGCCATCAAATTCTCAAGAGACCTCATCCGCCAAGCAAACTCTGTCGCAAGAAGTTACGTCCGACACAGAGACAACTATGGACAACGGCACTCCCCTCCTCGAGTTCACTCTATTCCCTGAACTCCCACCAGAGCTTCGACTTCGAATCTTCCACTTCGCTGCCATTCCCGAGCCGCGAGATGTACAACTTACGTTGGCCAAGAAGACTGTTGATGGCAAAGTCTAAGGCTACCTCAAGGCCATCACGGCGCCTCCAGCTATCTTACATGCTTGCCACGACTCGAGAGTCGAAGGCTTGAAGACATATACCACGAAGGCATTCAAATCCTGGAACGATGATGGCGAAGTGGTTGAAATGATCTATGTCAACCCTAGCCTTGACAATATCATTGTCTTTCTACCTTTGTCAAGTCTGAGCGAGCTGAGGAAGCCATCCGGAAAATTAGGTTCTACAGATAGTCCTTGGGGAGATGCAACACATTCCTTGCACCTCATTCGTGTTCACGAACACATCGAGAGCGACACTGTTAAGCAGCATCAAAGTTGTTTCTTGGTGTCACCTATTTCTAATCTGCGACCTTGCGCATATCTGGAGGCGTTAAAAACACTACAAAGAAATCACAAAGGTGACATGCGATATCACCCTGAAACCTTGAACATTATCGGTTGGCATGGTTTTTGGTTCTCCCTCATAACATCAACTCACTATTGGGACACGTGCAAACTCCTACATTGGTACTATCGCTCATACTGCAAGGAAGTTGTGTTCCGCGGCCGCTACGGGAAGTTTCAGGTTCCAGATAGCTTATTCGCCGTCTTTGAATTACCATCGTATACATTGGAGTGATCGGCTGGGGATGTTGCTGTGGGAACGTGAGAGATACGGCAGCTGGAGGAGGGGGGCTTGTACATTGAACTCTTTTTAACACAGCATGAAATAGATGAAAGCCTGCACATTAATGCCACTCTTGATTACTTGTACTATCTGTGACTTCAAACTCCGAAATGACCACTCCTTCCTTGAAATTTGAGTACTTATTCCACCTAAATTGTTCCACAAACTCCAGAACAATATCATTGTCTTAGATGCTAATTCTTGTATTAACTTTCAGGACTCCCAATTGTCTCAGGCCAGAGTCGTATAGCGTCATATACGCATTTTTGTTACCCTCTATCCGGAACCGCCTGTACCTCCTACCACCTCCACTGGGCGGAGGCGGTGGAGCTCTACTGTCTTTTTTTGTTGTCTGGCAATTATGTGTGAAGCGAGATTAAGCGAGGCTTTGAGGGGGAGGAGGTGTCTTTTCTGAATGTCCGTCCATTTGGACAAATATGAGATCATCAAAATTCTGGTTCTCGATCGCATTATCAAAGGAAAATAATTACGCTTCAGTGTCTGTCCACTTGAACCGACTTAACACCACCAAATGTCTAGTTCTGGATTGCAATATCAGAACAAGTCTCAATCTCCTTTCATCTGACACAACATATAACTACCAAATGTTCTACTTCTAGGCAGAATATCAACGAAGATCTAAACCTTCACAAACTCCCAAAGCATGCCATCAGCCATCTTCTCCCCAACCTTCACCAGCATCTCAACCCCCTTATCCATCTTAGGACCCACATGCCAAAGCCTCTCCCAATGCGTCATCAACAAAACATAACCACCCTCCGGCGTCATCCTAACACAGAAATTCTCCCATCCCTGCTGCCGCTCAGCCCTACAGCACAGATATCCATTCTTATCATGACCTAGAAATCTCCCCGAGTTGATCTCCCGGAAGCCATACCAGCCTTTGGTCTCTATACATGCCCAATAAATGGCGCCCCGACCACCTGGTGGAGCGATGATGATCTTTCCGTCAACGAGGGTGATTACTTTCCCAGTTATGGCGCACCGGATGATGAAGGTTGAGCCGGGCCAGGGGACGGAAGAGTTGCTCAGTTTGGGAGTGCCTAGGGGATCATGGTCGTTGAGGAAGTCATCGGCTATGGTTTCAGGGGGCGTGTTGACGCCTCTGGTTGAGTCGTCACGGTCTGATATGGGCTTGGGATCAATCCAATTGAGGTTCATAATGGGCGAATATTAGGCTGCGGCTGACTTAGGCTGAGTCGTGGGGGATCGTGATATTGAATGCGCAAGAAGTAAGAGGGAACACCTAGAAGTGTATAGTTCGTCTGAAAGGTCAATTTCGATAGTTCAAAGCTTGCATCAAATGCGCATAGCGTTGTTAATGAAGAGATGAAAAGAAGAAGAGGAGGTCAATTGTGGTTGGATTAACGTAGCCTTACATGTTGGTGCTGACTCAGCATGATCTGTCTTCTATGAAAGAACACCTGGAATGGTCCGCCACGAAAATGAAATGACCATCAGTACAATGATTTTTGGCCCAACCTCCCCTCAAACAACCGCCTACCAATCCTCTTGAGTTGGATCCCATGGAAGATTTCCATCCTCGACAACCGAAGAGAGATAAAAGTCGTTGTATAACTCCTCCCCACGATAGAACTTGTTGAATCTCAATTCTGTCTTATCCCCCAGCAGCTCTTCCATGGCAGCAAGTGCACACACAAGACATTCCTGGTCGTATTTGGTACTCTCCTTGATCATCGACCATAGAGTGTTGTAATACGCTGGGGTGTCTGTTGCCTCACAGGCTGCGGCCGCAGACATGTATTCCGCCAACCATGGATAAAGCTTCAAATGCTCCTTGAGAGATGCATCTAGGTACTCCTTCTTCCTAGTGATCTCCTTCATGCAATTGCGGACGATTTCGAAAATTTTGGGACCAAATGCACGAGGGTTGTAGGGCATCCGAATGCTCCAATTTCCTGCCAAATATACGATGCACTCTCTGAACAGCTTTGCATGGCGAAGTTTGAGCGCTGGCCCGACAAGGAATGGGCAAGTGAACTCCTTCAAGCAAGATCAGTATCTGTTTATCGTTCTTTGAGGGCATGACTTACAGTGACACGCAGTTGTCCTCTGTCAAGCAAACCGTCAATTGCTGCCGAAAGCGCTGGCTTCCCCTGGTAGAAGTCTGCCAATTCAATAATGGGTGCGAGGTCTTTGTCGGAGTTCAGATCGAAAGGAGCTCCGTACATAGCGCACACAAGCTTGTAGAAGTTGCTAACATGCTCTCCTTTGTTGCCCTCGAGCTTTGACAGGTCACATGGCTCAGTCTGCGCTTCTGTCAGCATTTTGCTCAAAGACGAACAGAACTTTCGCTCTTCTGAGGTATTATTGGAGATCATACCTTTGAATCTGCTGCTACCAAGTACCAGCTACCGTCTTCATCGATCATGCTCACCCAAGTGTATTTGTATCCAGCTCTTGTGCTCGGCTTTGTGGCTTTATCGGGGGAATCCAGAAATGCCTCGAAGTACTTTGATTTTTCCTTCAGGGTCTTGGAGTGGACATAAAGGTCAACTCCTAAAACGTCCAGATACGTATCGGGGAGCGTGGTTTCTGCTGTGAGAACATGCATATTGCAGCCTTTTTCGATGGAGTTGTGCGTTGCTCTCTGTTCTGCTTGGAAGATGCTGCAAAAGCTCACGCATGGATCTTGAAAGATCGAGTTGTGCGAATATGAGCAAGTGCTTGTGGTCTTGAGTCGTTGCGCTGTCCAAAACAAATTGCAAAGTTGTAGGAAGCACAAGGAAGGGAAGATCGTGGAGAATTTCGATCTCATATCATTGTTTTCTGCTTACTGCTTCCGGCTAGCTTCGTTTTCAAAGTCGTGCAAAGCTTCTTCTGTTAAAGGCTAGAGGATAGTAGCCTTACGTAGGCTTTTTTTTCTGTTATGTCTTGTAAAAGACGTGGCCTAGGGAACTTTCTGCCCCGATCTTCTAGCAAACCGAACCTCCAAAAGTTTCTTTATGTTTCGGCTCTTCAGAATGCAGTCTCTCCTCCACTAAATCGAAGCTTTTCCTCGTGTACCTTGAAGGGGTCAAGCTTGGTAGTATACAGACAAAAGTTATCACTGATCTACCTCGCTACTATATCAAATACCCTCTAAGCTATAGTTAATGGTGGAGGAAATAGTATCTGAAAATCAAAGACATACGTTAGACTATTCTTAGATAAACCGTGAAAACACTAGTAGAATCACATGCAGAACTTTATGAAATGAAGCATTCAACGGCTCTGTGTGATTCTGTATCCTTATCCGACCGATAGCGGAGGACTAGGGCTGTATACACTTACACCGGCTTAATTCAAATTAGGTAGGTGGCAGAAAGACTATGACTAGAGCTCTTGACTGCCTTTAATATCAACAAACCATCGATCTTCTGAACTCGAAAGACAAAATCTTCGAATCTCAAAACAGTATTTGGCAATCGCCCCTTCTTTACCCTCCAGCTTCCATCCGCCATGCTCATGGAATTATGGCAGCATATATTGTCTTTCAAGCCCGTGGAAAACCTCTCGATGGTCGTCTATTTTCTGTTTTGAGAGCGATCTATCACGTTCAAGTATCACGTTCACTACTCGATCTTCGACCTTACTCCAGAGTCTTCCTACCGTGTTCTGCATTCAGTAGACAACCGTCATCAAGGCATCGAGAAGAACAGAGAGAGAGCAGAGAGAAAAAAAGACAAGGATATGACTTGGCATATTTTGCAGAAAGATTGGTAGAGGGAGTGTGGGGCATCATATGAATGACGGATTATGTCACCGACACGGGCCCTGGGATCACTGTTCGTCGAAAGGCGGAATATTGACAAGTAAGTAGGGAGAGAGAGCACGGAAGCCCCTTCATTCCATTGCTCATATTGTCTAGGTTTTCTCAAAAGGCTCGCTCACCATTGTCCGATCGAAGGACGAGCTCTACCAATCCTTCTCAGCTGGATTCCAAGGCAAATCTTCGTCATCAACAATGCGCGGAGGAAGTCCGTCGCACGATAATAATGGTCCAACCAGACAATCTCCGGAAAGACCAGCTCAATCTTCAGTGCCCTGTTCAAATGATGATCCAAAGCCTCATCGACATTGTTGCTCTTTCCAGCATACGATTGTAGGGCCATACGGATCTTCGGCTTGTTCGAGGACAATGTCATCTATGGCTTGTTTGACAGCGGCATAGTTCTTTGCGGGGTCTAAAATGCATCGTTGGTAGACGGACAAGAGTCGATTGATGCCATTGGCTGTCTTGGTGACAATCTCTTGAAGGCCTTCTGGAATGTCGAGCTCTGAACCGTCTTTATCCTTGGTCTGACAGCTGCCTGCAAGGACAGTGATGCACTCTCTGAAAAGTTCGGCATTGCGGAATTTATCTGAAAGTGGAAGTAGGGCAATCGCATCTGTCTCATCAAGCTTTGATAGCACGTCGATTGAGAACCACAATAAAGGCATGAATGACGGAAGTTGGACCGAACATCGTCACTCACCTCGATTCGTCCTTTCAACAAAGCCCCTATGAGAGTATGGGATACTACTGGAAGAGCGCAATAGTAATTTGCCAACTCGATTATGATCTTAAGTACTCGCGCATCTCTCAGTTTATATGCCTTTCCGTACATAGTATGTAGAAGGTTGTCGAAAGCTTCGCGTCCGTTGGTTCCACGGCGGGGATTGAGACACTTTTGTTAAGTCTATACTTGCCCAACTCCCTAAATACTTACAAGTGCTCATCAAGGCTCAAGAGCAAGGATGATCCTTCTCTATCAAAGACTTTAGATGAAGAAATGTACGCAAAAGACTTTCCGATTGGAGCAGCAGATGGGAAAGCAAGAATTCACACAGCGGAAGCAAGAACTGTCAGAGCGAACAATCACTCTCCGATACTACTCGACCGAAAGCGTCACGGTTCGTAATATTGGAGGCTTATCTTATGCGGGACAGTTGCTGTTGTAATGAGTTTTATACCTCCGTCCTAGGTGATTCATGGAAGTGTTCACGCATTAAGGTCTTCCGACTCCTTCAAGTCTAGCGCTACCGTCTGCCCAGCCTCTCCTCAGCCAGGGGTCTGGCGGGGTATGGCTAAACTAAAGTCCTGGCGTAGTTAAGGAAGGTAGGGTATTTTGGGGGTCTAGTGAGGCTAAAGAAGCATATTGTTTTTTGAGATTATAAAAAACCAAAAAAGCTATATACTAAATAATTAAATTTCGGCTAAATCTAAAGCTATTCCCACTTTTGATTCTCGAAATTTTGTTCACTTAGTACTAAGTAAGCCCTTTAGTACCCTTTAATTTTATATATATCTATCCTCAGTTAGTTAAACCTTTGGCAAAGGCTAGTAGATCATACCCCGTTAGCGAAGAAGAGTAAAGCGGATCTCTTAATTCCTTGGCGAGGAGCGGGTAGGCCGTGGCGGGCCGTAGCGGGCTGTTGTTTGGCTGGGCAAGACGGCAGCGCTGTTCAAGTTAAGGGACCTACATTCAAGAATTCAACCTCGTCACTCCGATTTCTCCTCTGGGTGTATTATATGCGGCAGAACTCCTCTCAACCACCGAGAATGAAAGGCGTATTTGCCCCCTTCTCTGGTGCCGGGAAGTCTTCGCCACTCCGGAAGTTATGCTGGAGCATGTTTACTCATGCCAACACATGTCAAAGGGATTGTATTGGTGTCATCAATGTCAAAAACCTGAACGTATACCTCATCCGCGTCAGCGATTTTCTTCTGTCATAGGATCTTCGAGAATGGCTCAGCGGGACAGAGACTGCTCAAACCATACATTCATGGGGAGCAACGCGTTCCATGAGCAAACATCACGTTATCCAGCAGAAATAAGTCCTCCTCCTCAAGAATGCACCAAGGATTTCGGCAGAGACTGGATATATGATTCATCTGATAGCTGGTTAGTATTTGGACTTGATAGGTGCCCAGCTTTTCTTAGATTGCCAGGTGAGAAGATCTCAGTTGAGCCAGTCATTCAAGAGTCCTTTAGGAACAGCGCTGAATCACAATATACAAACTCGGCCTTTAGCTCAGATCCGCCAGAACAGACTCTGAGAACCATACCCGAGGATATAGCTGAAGGTACAGCCGAAGACGACACCGAGAAAGAACAACTTGCAAGTTTCGAGGTTTGTTGAGCTGAGATTCTGGCAAATATGTGCAAGGCTTATGATTGGCCATCGAGTGCATGCCATGCCATAGACGGTCCATTTGAGACAGGATAGGTTCTTATGCACCGATCTGAATTGGAGACATATTGAGAACGTAGAACGAGAAGAAGAATACAATATTTCAAAATTGTGATGTGATCGGATCCCTGAATTATAACGCAATCTGTGTTACACAGCATGAAAATTCAAGCCACTTTCTATTTCTGTTTCCGGACTAACCTTTTTGGGATAAATCAAAAAAGCAGATCAGGCTGAGAGCAACTTTGAGGTAGAATAGTGTAGCGGGGCTACAGCCTACACTGGTTTATTCGAAGGTTTTGATGGAGGTGATGGATTGGCTGCTTAAGCGAGGGGTAGGCCAAATTAGCGCCAATATCCTTAGCCACACGTGACAACTAGCATAAAATCTAGCACTCAGAACTTAGAATGAATCAAGAACTTCTCTTCCCTTATTCTTTTGGAGCTTATATGACTATAATTACGTCACACCAGCTCTTGTTATTGTTTCTGGCGGTTGCCGGAGAGCTGAACTGTCTGGTATCACGTGTGTTGTTTTGGTTGTTTATCCTCAGGGTGCCCTGCCCTCCTACAATAGCTTTACTCTCGCATGAGGAGCAACGGTAACTCAACATGGTGTCGACATCACAATATTCTACATGGCCGGTCATCACATCAAGTTCCAACAGCTCAGCTACCAAGCCAGCCCCATCCCCCGCACTTGATTTCCTGACCGCCGTAGCTACCACTGATGTAGAAGAATATGATCTACATGAAATAGGAATGATAAGCATGGATGATGTCCGTAGCATGGACGAACGCATGGTCGGAAAAGGTGGATTTGCTGTGGTTGAGTTGGGAAAGACAAGAGAGAACCATTTGGTTGCTGTCAAACGGTTACGAGTATCAGCAAGGGACATCCAGGCAGATTTTGAATCACATCTTCGGCGCATCTGTTTGGAACTGAGGATACTCAGTCACGAACCTTTGAGAACGCATCCGAATATCGTCGATATCCTCGGGTACTGCCTTTCTGACATTGCTGGCTATGAGATTCCATTCCTAGCTCTCGTGTTGGAATATTCTAGTGAAGGTAATCTCAAGACCTTTCTAAAGGATGCAAGACATGATCTGCCGCTCACGACCTTACTGGCCTTGACTGCTCAAGTTGCAGACGGGCTTGGCGTACTGCATCAATGTAAAATCTGCCACGGAGACGTGAAGACACAAAATGCTCTTGTCTTTAAAAGTGAGGATGCATGGACGGTGAAGCTATCAGACTTTGGGGAGTCTACCATAGGTCAGTTCGATGACCAGTCCCTGTCCATCGAGTGTGGCTTTGGAACGCCCTTGCTAAATGCGCCTGAATTGCGGAGTGGTATGGTGCTGGCTCGAGATCTTTTTACTATAGAAGATGCGATTCGGACAGATATCTTCTCTTTTGGACTCTTGACATGGGAGGTTCTGAAGAGAGGCGAAAGCTACTTCGACAAATCGTGGTGCATAGACTTGAACGGGAGCAACGAGATAGATCAGATGGAGGCTTACCTACAGAGGCTTCCTCACAATGGGTTGCTGTCAAAGGTTTGCGATTATATTCAGAATAGCCTTGTTGACACCGAGCGAGTGGAAAGTGTGCTTTGTATTTTCAAGAAGTCGCTTCAGGATGATCCCCAGAAAAGATTCTCTATGGAAGAGATTCGAAGGCATTTTGAAATACAGAATCATTCCATGGGGTAAGACTCGCCTCCTCAAGATGAACGGCTCAGATATACTGACACATGGAAAGAAATAATGAACAGCAAGAGAGTAATGGGATAGAAGATGAACGACTCTGCGCTTGGAGCACTAGGGACACGTTTCTTGAGGTAGCATTCCACCAAACTCTTAACAAATGAACATTTCTAATTGAGAACAGCTTCGTGACAGCGCCTTTCTTAACGGGGGCCTTGGATTTCTTACATTTCCTCTCGACCTCCAGAAACGTGTTTTTAATGATCTCATTTCCATGTCTGTATCGGAGACATTTACAATGCCTAGTCGAGCCCATGCTGCTTTGTGTGTGGCTGAATGCCACACAGTGGGGTTTGGGGTTCAACACGATATGAAACAGGCTGTACAATGGGTTCACACAGCTTCTGAACTAGGTTCTATCAAAGCCGCGGCTTGGTATCCTCGACTATGCACGATCGATAATGTTACCCTTGCCAGAAGCTCGTCGATGATGGGGTTCGAAGAGAATTTATCTCATCTCACTTCAGATACTTACTTGTCTACTCGGGTCCATCTACAAATCCGCATTGCAATTCAGCAAATCAGAACAACATTCCTGAATTGGGACCAGCAATATACGTGGGACTCGTCCGCCTACATGTCGAGTATTCGGGTCTTCAACGAGTGGGAACAAGATGATCTTTCATCGTTACACGTTGCTGCACTACTCGGAGAAGACGAAGCCATTTCCAAGTTACTCTGCTACGCAAAGGGCGATGAGCTCTCTTCTCGTGGGCTTACAGCCGCACACTATGCTTGTATTGGTGGGCGTCTGTCTACGTTACAACTTCTGCTCAACGATTCCGCACAATCTGCAATCAGTAAAGCCGCTAATCCAGGCGGGATCACCCTACTTCACCTGTGCATTTTCTTTTCTGGCGAGGATGTAGGTAAAGCTGTGTCCCTCATCCTGGCTATTGGTGTTGATCCCAGAGGGAAGGTCATTCAACCTGTTGAATGGGAGTATCATGACATACGCTTAGCAGGGACGCCGCTGGATTGGGCTGTTCGCATTCGAGACAAATCTCTAGTCGTTTCATTGCTCCCTTTTGCTCAGGATGACACCTGCTTGAAGCTCGCAATACGGTCTTTCTTCTGGGAAATTGCCGAAGTCATCCTGCAATACGCCTGCGGAGCAAAAAACATCCCTATCAAATACTCTCAACAACTTTCCGAGCTCTCCATAGAGGACATGTACCTTTTGACAATCGAGAGACCCTTTGGTCATTGGTTAGCCCATGGACCAGACCATCTGATTGCACTGGAAAGAACTGTACAAGTGTGCCTGGACCATTGTCTCATGGCTTCTGGGAGCGCCAGCCACCGCACACTCAGTGATATAGTCAGTCTTGCGTCTTTTGAGGATGACTTCTCATTACTTGCTTCTTTTGTGGCTAAGCTGTCTCCTGAGGACGTCAAACGCAAAAACAAAAGAGGCGAGTCGGCCCTGGAGCAAGCCCTAACGACGTCTGAGGATACCGAAGCATGGCGTACACCTCTCGAAACAATCATAAACGTCTATACGATTAAAGAATTAGAAGAGAGAGGATCAATTTCCGTAGATGATTTCTCATATTTACACCTTGCTATTAGCTCCGATTCCTTGATCGGCACTCGCATACTCCTGCAGAAAGGGGTAGACGTCAACCAACGATCGGACGGTCTACTTGGCGATACTCCTTTGACTTTGAGTGCAAGTTCAAGATTTTCGAAGGAGTTTCATTCCTTATTACTTGAACATGGAGCCAAGGATGACGTGGTAGACGATATAACAGGAACGAATCTACTTGTGCATGGCTTAATGCGATCCCAACCTAACGAAGACCTGCTCAGAGGGGTTCTCAGGAACGAAGATCTTTCAGAAATCAACGATACACTACATGTTACTCTTGGATACTTTATCTCCGGGTACTCATTGCGAGGGGCTGTTGCGGAAGTGTTCAAACGAGACGACGCTATGGAGTACAGCGGGACTTCGAGAATAACGCTAGACAAAGATGAATTGAAAATTCTGTGGGATAATCTGCAAGGAATTTCTCAACTCAAAAAGTGGGAGCTAAAACGGATTTTTGGAAAGGAACAGCTCTCTTTGATGCTGAGGCTGGCAGATCTGGACTCTACGCAGCGGCCAGCTAGCCTCGATCTCGTTGTCAATGTTGGAGAAATGAATAATGTCTTAGGCGCAGAGGAAACTCAACACATTCTAGGTCAATGGAACGCCGAACCTGCCGTGAAATCTGGTCGATCCCAACTTGCGGAGACTGAGGACGAAGATGGTCACGAAGATGGCGACGCTTCAGACCCTGACAACTACAACAATGCAGATCAACCAGACCAGTACTGGAAGGAGCTCTTCAAAATACAACTCGGCTTGCCAAACTGGGTCACATATATCAATGAGAGAAACAGTTCCGGCATGACATTGTTGCACAGTGCTGCGTACAACTTACATCCCGAGAGCATTGCGCTTCTGCTTGAAGCAGGGGCTGATGCTAGTATTCCATATGTTTCAGAAGGACATAATGCTGTATTGCCCTTGCAAATTGCTTGCTCATCGGGTAGGACTTGTGAGTGGGCCCGTGTGCAAGGAACAAGTACTGAGATCTCAAGTCTCTCAAAACACTCGATGGATGTGGCTGCTCAGCTTCTTGATTGGCATCATACACGCTCAGATGGGCTTTTCCAAGATGTCAATCAACTTCATCTTGCCTCTCGCATGATGCTTCGAGATGTCGCACGTCGATTGCGCCGCGATGGCCAATGTGTGGATGTTGAAGTACACTGGCCGGGCATTGACAATCCTGTCACTTGTGACGTTTTGGCCTTGCAGCTAGCTGATGACGATCGATTAATCGACATTTCAAAACTGATCACTGCAGGGTACCCTATGAACAAAGCTCAGGTGTAATTTTGTGTTGAGAAGGGCTTCAATGTTGGCTCTTGTAGTAGTCGATAATGTGCGGAAGCTATCTGAATATTGTCTACCCTTCAAATCCACCGTACTCTAACAATTTCATGACTGGGGAGCAAAAGGATCTCTTGTCAAGTGCGCTTCTGCGACAAGCTCCGTATGCAAAATCCTATCAGCCTTCCGCACCAGCTCAAAGTAGTTGTTCGGGTGAGCTTTCGTTATAATGAACTCGCCTAATGGCGTGCGATATTCTGGCTTGACAATCCATACAGTTTCACCAATCTCGAATGGGTACTATGGAAGTCAGTGAGGCATTCATGCAGCACGCAAGAGTATGGTACTTGAAAACGTACGTTTGCAAGCGTCTGATAAGGGCCCACATAAGACTTCCGATCCTTTTCCGCGTCGTTCTATAACTTTCATTAGGGCCTGGCCAATTCCAGGGATGTGAGAAGTCGTAATACTGACCTCACCTCCCGCACGGATGGAACCACTATTATTCGACATTGGCAGATTTTCTGAATCCTATGATATGTGTTGCGGGGTTTTGTAGCGCAGGGACAGTGAGTGAGCCAGTCGGGGACGAGAAACCTTTATTAGCGTTGACAAGAACGGTGAGCTGGCTTTAGGGCAATGCGCGAGCTACGTGGCAGCTCACAGGACTTCCCGGGATGTCACTGACTCAGCCTCGTTGCATTCTGTGCCTTTCACCGAGTATGCCCTGTCACACAGCATCATGCATAATGCAGTAAGTGCAGGATAAATGAAGAGGCTCAAATGCATAGCCTGATCGCAACGGAGCCTCGTCCATTACCCGAGCATATGAAGTTGATAATGTCTATGGTATTATGTTCTATTGAAGCCATTCGAATCAAGGTTCGTCATGACAACAAAATCTAGACGTAGGTACTCTTTTGAGGAGTGGAATGCCGAAGAACATATGATCTAAGAGCCACAGTTGAGCATTACCGGCAAGGCTATCCTCGGCTTGCGGCCTTTCTCAACCTCGACGCGAACTTCACCATCTTCAGACGCTTTGATACTCTACATCTTCGAGTCTTACTGGAACAACAAGATCGATTATGCGAGCTGCAACAACAGCTTGAAGACTGTGACGACGCAGAGACAATTCAGCTAAATCTCAAAAGCCGACGTCAAGACGATAATAATACACGACGAAGTGTACTGCAGCAAGTTGCAGCTGAACTGAAAGATTATGGTATGATTACTAGACACATTCACTGTCTCGTAAGTACCTGATGCGCAATAGACAAAGGCGTGCTCAGATATCAACGCATGATGGCTCTACCTCGAGCGCGCAAAAGTCATCGCCGCAGTGTTCACAATTGGGTGAACGGAAACAAACCAGTCGTGAGGTCAGAGAGTGCGTCTCTCATTGCAGCTCCATTTACTAAAGACTATATTGCCTTGAATGTGGAAGACTCTGATAGAGCTGGGTTCGAGCTATTTTTCGATCGCCTGATGCAGTCATGCCCACGCTTGGCGAGTTATGTTCGTTCTCCCTGATGCTTGATTGAATTGTGTAGTGATAATAATCGAGTAATTCCTAGGTCTCACATGGCATGGTAAGTGGTGATGAATGTCCTTTCAGTTTCACTGCGGCTAATTCACCTAGGCTAAGACAATCGACCACAATGTATTTATACTACGACGAACCTTGTACGAGAGATTGATCAAGTGCCTGGTGGCTTTATGTATTCCTATGGGAATTATTTTCCCCATGATACTTCTATATTGGTTCGAAAAGGGTGGAGGTCGGTCCGCTATTTCTGCTATATTCGTCCTGATGACGTCCTTCGCAATCTGTTTCATGACAAAGGTCACCAAATATAATCTTCTCTTAGCAGTAGTAGCGTAAGTATCAATCCTGGTACAACAATGGTACAATAGACAAGAACTGGCTAATCAACAACTCAGGTACGCTGCCGTGCTTTCTGCATTCTTATCAAACCCATGACCTATCTAGCATATTACTGTTTCAGAGATTTTTTTGCCACCTACCACTCCTTCGGGAAATTTCTTTGGACCTATTTGTACCTCAGATTGACATCTTCAGTGGTTGCCACACCTTTTGACGGACCCTTCTTTGGGTTTGCCATGGCTCTTCAGTCGTCCATTCGCGTTCCTCTAGACAAAATGCCACTGCTTCGCAATACTTCGATCCAGCTGAATGCGCTAGCTTGGTCCTAACTATTTCCAGCAAAGTATCCCGAAGTCTCTCTGGTTTCTTGACGCTTTCGAAGCCTTTTCGACTGCCATCCATACTGGGAAGGGGTCTCCAGCATCCGATCTCTAGCAATAATATCCCCTGGTCGTGTTAGTACGATATGCAGTCTTCCGTCGTAGAATTATTGCCTAGAAGTCTGGTACTTACCAATGCATATATATCGTGCTTTCTTTCAAATGGCTTCGGAGTTCCCCAGCGTTCTGGGTGTCTGTAAATGTTGTTTTTCACGGAAAAATCCACAGTGAGCCTCGACTCCGTCTGCGACGGGCGAGAGCAATCAAAGCCGATGACATAGGGGTTATCAAAATCGTAGAATTTATGAGACGAAGCTTCTCTAAGTGTGTTGTGTAGGTTGCGGAGGATGATAATATTCTCGGATTTTATGGCTTTGTGAAACCAACCAATTGAATGCAGGTGCAGAATAGCGTCACAGATTGTACTGGCAAGCTGAAAACGGACTTCGAGCGGGAGGGCTTTCACGGTACCGATGAGTTCCGACAACGTCCAATAATCGTCTGTGGAGATTCCTGATGGAAGTCGGTACACGAATCCGATGCGTGGTCGAATAGTCTCTTCCACGTAGCCCAATCCCGGCAGTATTCGGAAAGCTTTAGCCTTGTCCTCGATCAGCAGAGCCGATATACGTGCGGCCTGATCCCGGCTCTTGCTGACATCCTCGTTTCCCATTGTCTCATATTCCCAATACTCGACCAAGACCGAATCTTCTTCCTTTCTTCCGATCCGCAAACGTTGATCTGTTAGGGTTGTGTTGTCAAGATACAATTTTATGGCGCCTTTCATCACTTCATCCTGAACCAAAGTCAGACGCATTGCGATCCTGCTCTCCAATTCAAATGTTCCGTAAAGGTCCTGATTCCGAAAGGTGTCCAGTGATTCTTCATTCAATCCTGCTATGCAGTCATTCATGAAGGCAAGCAACTGGTCGGACCTCTCAGAGATGCTTTTGATGATTTGGCGGACATCAAGATCCGCGAATTGGTAAGTTTCGGGAATAGAGAGCACATGGGTAAGAGAACGGGTCAACCGTTTTGCTTCTTCTCGAGTATCGTCTGAAATCCGAAGTTGTGGAGGCACGTTTGGCGCAACAATCTTCGGGCACAAGATCTCGCTACTAACTTGTCCGACAGCTTGCGCTTCCGATATTGTGCGTTGAAGAATTTGGATGTGTTCAATGTCAGATGGAGAGTCTCGTGTCAGCCAACGTATGAGTGCTTCTCTCTGCTCCATATCCATGGGCTGAAACAGAGACAACCGAAGGTATAGAGATACAGAGTCTTCTCTATCTGATGGCGTGCTACTTACTGCTTTCACAACTGTCGCGTCGAGAGGCTCCCACCTGGCAAGGCGAATACCTGCAACAGAAGAACTGCGTGAAAGACTCGCATAGAATGGCTGCTTCACAAGGCCAGCCTCTTTCCGCAACATTTGACGGTGCAACTCAAGAATGGTAATGTTACTTGATTCAGCTGCTACAAGATCCAATAGCTCAATCAGGACTTTGGTAAATGAGGGCCGGTTAGCCAAGTTGCCAGTCGGTGTAAATTGATCTTTATCAGTGGCGGCAAGGAATTCCACGTTGTGTTGAAAGCGAGAACGAACAGCTTGTCCAGCAAAGCAACAGTCTAGCAAGATTGCAACATCACAGCCTGCTCCCAGAATGCCTGGCTGTATGATGGCCCAATCTACTGTAGGACCTCCAGATATCTTCCTATATCCACATGATGGTCAATAATGTATAAAGACATGAAGACATGCTTGGTGACTCACGCAGACCATACACATTCTGAGTTCATCAGGTCAGCCGTCCTTCCTCCATGCCCACTATAGTGCAGAATAATCAAATTATCGTTTTCGCTTCCGCAGCGCTGAATGAACTGAGCAATATGAAGGTACAGTTCCACCTGCGAGTTCTCTGTGGGAATTTGGTAAGGCCAGACAAAAAAGTTGAACTTGTCACGGAAAAGTTGTGCAAGTTGTTTGACCTCATCCGCAACCCCAATATCGTCGTCTTTCCACCTGATCAGAAGCACGTGGACCGTGGAGTATCGTTGGCTGCGGCGGGGATTATAGCGAGATATTTCATTTGAGATGATCGTCTCATGCGACGAAGACATCTTGATGTCCGGAGTAAGGCAAACGAGGCTGGGCTGAAAGCACCCTTACAGGATGTGGGCTATCTATGTCTTGACTAAGAGGACATGGCAGTGGCGATATCAAGACTTATAGAAACCGGCAAGAAGAATGGTGAAGCAAGATTTCAAGATTGCGATGTGTTCGGGTTGAACTCGTCCTTTGTTACACAAGCCTGAAAATATTCTCAAGCCACATTCTATTTTTGTTATTCGTCTAACCTTTTTTGGGATATATCAATTCTCGTTTGTCTACAACTTCTCACACCATCACTCCACATTGTTGCCTAGCTATTGTCATTTCTTTGATACTTCAACGTCAATTAGGAGTATCGTCTCACATTCAAGATTTCTCTACTTTCATGCGACCATGCCTTGCCTGTCAATTGCCAGAGCTACCGTCTCGTTGATAGTCCTTCAAGTCGCGATCGTGCATGCGCAGTCCGGGTACTTTCCTGACTGTCCTGCGGCAGTAGGCATCGAGAATGGGGACTTTGATAGCGGGCAACTCGCCCCATGGTCAACTCCGTCAGCATATACAGTGCACCCAACCATCTCCGTTGTGTCCCCAGGTTACTACAGCGCAGATGCACTGCAACTTGAGTTCCCAGCAGCCAATGTGACAAGTTGGTACTTCTCACAGGAGGTGGGTCTCCAGTGTGAGGGCTCGCAGTACTCCACATCATTTAGCCTCAACTGGCTTAATTTCTCCATTCAAGGCGACCCTGACACCAACTTCTGCCATTTGTCGGTTGCGTCCTCATACTGTTTTCAGACGTCGCCGTATTCAACTCCATTTCCTGGCGATTATAATGCAAGCAATACTCCTGGCTGGCAAAACCAGTCTTACATTTGCACGGCACAAAAGAGTGGCTACGCAACTTTCAACGTAAACATCGGCTGCCTTGCAACTTACACCATCCCAGCCTTTACATGGCAATTTACCAATTTTGATGTTCATTTGGTAGGAAACTCAACGCCGGTTCAATCAGCTCCACCATTTCCATTGACGTCCTCTTCATCGACCCCATTTCAATCGAGATCAACGCCTTCTCTGACGCCTACGCCTACACAACTGTCAAGTGCATCAAGCTTCTCATCGACCATTATATCAAGCGCCACGGCGACTTCATCGAACATCCCAACGAGTTCAGGAACTATCCCGACAAGCTCGATCAATATCCTAACCTCATCTATGCTAACGAACATGACAACTATCCCAATAAGCCCGACAGTTGTCTCTACGAGTGTTACCAATGTGTTGACAACCTCGACAAATCCAAAGACAAGTCCCACGACTCCAAGTCTAAGCGCCGCTGACAGACTAAGCCAAAGTTCCACCATTTACTTCTTGCTAGGCTTGACGGGACTTATCATATGGTCACAGCATACGCCTAGAATTCCCTTTTGCTATGAATCGCATTTCAATACTTTTTCATATCAAGCCACTCCTTAAGGAGCGCTTTCCTTCAGCATCCCTCAAAATGAATCTCCGAACGTGCTATAATTTTCCTGTTGTGGGAGAAAGCTGAGTTGCGGAATACGCAAGCGAGTTGAATGGGGCGAACGGGAACAGGCTTTGTTTCCACGCCCATGTCTGAAAAGGGGTTTAACTGTGGAAACGTATCCTCCTGGAATTATTTCTTCAACGCAATCCTTTGTTCATCTCTTATGAATCTTGTTGTTGGAACTGCGGTACAGGATGACTGGCTCAATTCATATTTGTACCAATCTAATGAAACACAATGCGCAATTGATATTTCTGCAGCAAACGCCTCTCACATGCTATGCTTATCTTGAACCTCAAGACGTTTCACTCCTGAAAGTCCACATCAAAATAACTTAGCAAAAAACTTGTCGGTCCATGAACCGCAGCCACACCCGTCTCCGGATCTCTCCCCACAACCCTCCTCATGGTTGGAACAACAATTCCCTTGAAAACTCTATGATCAAAGACATAATGCGCAGCAACACCGCGCGCAACATCTGTCACATAATCCATCCTTCTAATCCACAATTTCTCTCTATCAAAATAAAACTTCTGTGACCTAGTATGTGCAGGATAGTTCTCTGGGAACTCAACCTGTAATACACGCCATGATTCCGGAATGCTAGCACTGTTGACATATCCTGGCTCCCAATGTTCCTCGAGCTCTTGATATGAGAAGCCCGGCTCGGCGAAGATGAAGGGGTAACCGGTGTAGTTCTGGATTGCGTAGCCGAAGAAGTATGCCAAGTGCAGCTGGTCCCATTTCGTGTCGCGGGTATGCGTATCGAATGCGGCACGTGGCGCTGAGCGAGTCTGCAGTTCGGTCCCAGAGCTATCTTGTCGCCACACTCGATCTGGCGTGAACACCCAAATGTCTGACGGACGCTCAAGATCGAGGCCGGTGAATTCGGTGCGTGCTGAAGTTGTGCTGACTTTCACTTCGGGGTGGTAATTACTGGGAAAACCTTTATGGGCAAGATATTGTCCTGAGAGGTTGATGTTGTAGGTTGCAAATTTGTATTTCTTCCATGTGGACATGCCGCCGTGGGCAGCAATTGCTTCTTCGAGTAGTGAGGCACTTGATGGATATTAATCAGTGATCGTTCCTCGATGCATGGAGATAAACATACCCTGCCTTGGGGTTCTTCACTTGAGGTGAAGCCGCCATGTTGGCTCGAGATGAACGATCGGCGAGGTTGGTGTCTTCTACTCTTCAGAATTGCTGAACCAAAGCACCCGACAGCAGATTTCCACTCCTTTTATGAAAAAGTGGTTTCGTCGATTAGTGAACTTCTCCGGATCATCGATATCCGGCCTACCCCTTCCCTAATATGGACCGGAATAGTAATCCTCATCACTTGCATGAAAGTATTCTGCACGACACGACAAGTGGTGAGACGTTGACTCACACTCATGATTTAGGATGTCAGATAGCCGCTCGTTCCGCATGTTGCTGGACTCGTATGATAACATTCTTTGACAGGTTGTCATATGTTAAAGGCAGATTTGATAAAGAGGCACCAGTAGTTTCAATGCAAGTCGAATACTTGCTCTTGATACTGTCCGCCGAGCATCCAATCCACCATTGCTTCGCCTTTCATGACTCCATGTACGTAAGCCTCCCCAACCCGAGTCGCATTCAAAGTCGATGTCTGCTGTCAGTTGGAATTCGGTTGTCTCCACTTTTATTCGCTGATTTAGGACTAGTTCAGGGGCTCTTAGTGCTGAAACCTTTGATGCCTATATATACTGAATGCTGTACTCTCACTCGAATCCTTTAGACTGATCAAGACTACTCTTTTCTGCCCATATTGTTCCCATGACATACGCACCTTCATCTGATATCTGCTTCTTGTAGCCTGATCAGCCCGGAAAACTAAGCTAGTGCATAGTGGACAAGTACACGAGGGTTCTAAGAGGCAATTTGAGAGCAGGAGAAGAGGTGAACCAATACTATCTTCGACTTCTTCAGCTGATCTCACAAACAAAGACAGGCGCGAATAGGGCCTCTCGTTCTCACGAAAAATCGACCTCAAGCAGCATAATCTGCCAGCACTATATTTGCTCAAACAGTCAATATCGCGCCGCATTCACTTTGGCAAGTTCGTGGCTGAGGCTAAGTTTCGCGCGGATACGGAACGATTGGTGGAGTTGATAAAGAAGGAAGATAGGGAGGGTATCGATAGGGCAATTGCGAATAGGGACCAGGAGGGAAACATGTCAAGGAAACTAGAGTTGGTATATGGAACGGATCTGGACGAGGCAATTGGCGATACAAGGAAGATTGATATGGAGGCTGTGGTTGCTGTGTTTAAAGAGGTGATTATGCCTTTGACTAAGGTCGTCGAGGTAGAATATTTAATGCAGAGATTGAAGGGCACGAAATGGGAATGAATATTATGATCACTCAAGGCTCCATCTTCATTTAAAAGGTCATCTCCATGTCCTGAAAACCCATTAATTGTCCTTGCTGGCGCCTTTAAACGGGTACGCTTATTACGGCACTCTTTTTGTGGCAGGAAGCAACGCCTTCTATGTGGCTCGAGAGGACGGATGCGGGTGTCGGTCTGTAGGTAGAACGGGGCAGTGGGCTGCGCGTTGATACAGGCTTAGAGAGCAAACAGGACAGGGGGGCGTAGAGGAAGGTTTTGCTACTGGGCCTTCCTATCGAAGCAGGCGGCGAAGAGCCTTTAGGGGCAATAGACTTACTGGGCCTGCGGGAAAGCGTGGTAGGGAGGTTTCTGACCCTACTTGTATTGTAGTTTATTCGTAGATTTGCAAGACAATTCTGTGCCTGCTATAGTAGGATGCCAAATGGGCAGCCCATTACGTTCGCGATCACTCTTGGGACTGAGATCAGAACAAAACTGTACATTACCGAGCTCGAGGCGATGGCAGTCGCGATTCAGGGAGTTCCGCCATATCTCTTGAAGCGAGAGCTCACAATCGTCACCGGCAACCTGGCTGCACTACAAGTAGTATGCCAGCCGAAACAACAGTCGGGTTAAGCCTGTATGATACGGATGTACAATGCAGTCAGAGAATTGCGGGAAGGATACAATCGCGTCCTCCTTATGGACCCTAGCACAACACTTGGGGAAAGAAGCCAAGAAGGCAGCACGGAAGGCCACGGAAGCAGGCAGATTACCACAGAAACAATTCTACAACGCCAAATCCACAATTATTAACATAGCAAAAGCAAAGAGGCAAGCTGACGAGACGATACCTGATGGGGTAGGAAAACACCTAAAGAAAATAGATACAGTGCTACTAAGGCGACATACCCGCACCTTGTACGACGCGTTGGGAAGACGAGAAGCAAACGTGTTAGCACACCTGCGGGCAGGCATGGGACGGCTTAACGGGTATCCAAGTCGTATTGGCGCAGTGGAATCGGATCAGTGTGATTGTGGACAGGCAAGAGGAACGGTCGAACACTTCCTCTTAAATTGTTCATTGTGGGATGCACACCGAGAGTGTCTACTCGAGCAAACGAAGACCAGAAGGGGTAGCCTCTCCTATTATTTAGGAACCGACTCATTGAAATGGCGACCCGACATTGAAGCGGTACGAAGCGGTACGAAGCACCATCAAGTACGCCATTGCAACAGGCCGACTCGACAAGGAGGTGGAATACATACCCAGACATCACAGATGTGACTTGCACTAAGATTCTGCCGTTTTTCCTTTTGTTTTCCCCTCCCCCCTTTACTTAAATAGCCCATCACGCACCCTCGCGGCCCAACAGGTCTTGCTTTAACTGCTGAAAATAGGACGTTAAACACTTAGAGGGATAATCTCCAAGTACGCTTACTACTAACAAACCCACGAGATCACCTCGAATTGTAGAATCAAAGGTTAGAACAAAAACCAGTTAAAGCAAATATAGGGGCTGTCATGAGACCATGGCGGCATCAGAGTGCCAAGGTGTGATATAATTCAGAGGTTGAAAAGGGCTTGATTTAGAGTCTCCGAAGGAGCTGACTAATCTACTCGTGACCTTCGGTCACGTGCTCCAATGACAAGAGGGATTGAAACCATGTAAATAGAACTAGTGTCCTTTAGGCTTAGCCGGGCGGAATAGACCTTCATCATCATCATCACCATCACCATCTGGTCAGTAGTAACCAACTAATCTTCATTTACCCCATTCGCAACAGTGCCTATGTATACGATAGGGTAGATTCAAAGCGATCACAGCTGCTGACATGTCCTCAATCGCGCAACGATGGGAGAAGAAGGTTCTTAGAAGCGACGGGTTGGTCAGGTTGGCGGCTCTCGTCGCAGCTACGACCGCCTGTCTTGGTTCTGGCACGAATGTACGCATCGCTTCCAATTGATTCACTTTTCGAGCCTGACTCTCATTCTCGCAGTATGCCTATTCCGCATGGGCTCCTCAGTTCTCTGAACGGCTTCGGATTACATCCGCGCAGAGCAACCTCCTTGTAAGCCAAATTCTGGATAAATGTAATGGGAATCGAAGTATTTAAAATCAGTCAAAGGGCATTGCAGGAAATATTGGACAGGCTCTATCAGCTATACCAATCGGCTTATTCATAGATTCCACCGGAGCGAGGCTCGCCGCTATGATAGGGGGTGTTACCATCGCGATTGGCTATAATTTGATATATTCTGGTAGTAGTTCCTTAACCTCCTTCCACACAAACAGATCCAGCTAAATAAAGCAAGCGTATATGCAAGGACCTGAATTCATGGGCTTCTGGATGATTTGGTGCATGTACTTCTTAACGGGCATTGGTAGTTTCTCGACCTTCTCCGCTGCTATCAAAATTAGTAAGTACTCTGAAGATTGGACCAGATCCTATTAATACATTTCAGCTGCACTTAACTGGCCGCACAGAACAGGAGCTGCTACTTCTCTCCCGTTATCTGCATTTGGGCTAAGCGCATTTGTGTTCACCACACTATCGATGCTATTCCAGACATCTCGATCGCAGATTCTACTATTCATTGCGGTCGGTGCTCCATTCCTCATCCTCGTTTCGTCTCCTTTCTTTCTCAAGGCCAAATCGGAGCTGCCAGACACGGCCGCTGGCCAGGTATATACCGCACTTGAAGGCACAGAAATCGACGGAGAAGCAGAAGCGGAATCATCGATAGAATGCTCTTTCGATCGAACCACAGAAAATCACCCAGGTATGCTACTGTCGCCTTCTACATCTGCTCTCTTCTAGTGCTTTTCATAATTTCTCACTTCTTACGCAGAGGGAACAGTGTCCTCAGAGCGGCTGTTACTGACCGATAGCACTGTATTAAAAGAATTTTCGCAAGAGCTGGACATATCTATACACACGCTGGTCTCAACAGTAAACTTCTGGCTGTTGTTCATGATATTTGGGCTCTACACTGGGATTGGATCTATGACCATCAAGTAAGCCTACAACGATCTGCTCAATCCAAAAATATTACTTTTCTAATGATTTCTAGCAATATTGGGTACGATGTCAGTTGACTTCGAGGAAAATAATCGTAATAGGTCGTCACTGACGATGAAGCAGGCCACAATGCTTTGGAGGAAGGACAAGTCAGAGATTTCTCAACCAGCACTCGAGACGCAGCTACTTTTCCATGTCTCGATCATATCCATCATGAGTTTCTGCGGCAGACTCATATCTGGAGCAAGTTCGGACCTTTTGTTAAGACACCACCAATAGCGGTTCTTATGTGTTGCCGCAAGCTCCGTTGTCTTCCTTGTCGCGCAGCTATACGCTATGTGGTGTAGTAATCCACGCCTGCTTTGGATCTTATCGGTTCTGACTGGTTTGGCTTATGGCTTGTTGTATGGTGTCTACCCAGCCTTGGTCACCGATGCCTTTGGATTGAAGCAGCTAAGTCGCAACTATGGTATTATCTCCCTGGCGCCCATTCTGTGGAGTGGTATCTTCAACCTCAACTACGGCAGGATAATCGATCTTAATTCTTCCACCATTCCCAATGGCGACAAGAAGTGCATGCAAGGGCTGCATTGCTATACGGAGGCGTACCGTTACACATTAGTAGCAACAGCTGGAGGCTTGGGGTTGATTATTTGGTGCGTAAGGCGAAATAATAGCATGCAATGGGCGCGTCGATTGAGATAGATAATTATCAACCAGAGAGTATTCTACAACTTTTTAGTCTTTTGCCTCTCCTCCTCTATCAACTCCTTGACGGTTTTCGCGTACGAAGCATTTCCACCAAATCGACTTTCGGCCAGCTCGATGCAGCGCATGTTCGCCGCCAATTTGTTCATAGTCTCCATCCACTCCTCACTCTCGTTGCTATCGTAAACGATCCCACCGCCGGCCTGCAGATAAACAACACCAGCCTTGGCGAGCATTGTGCGAATTGCAATGCAAGTGTCCATAGGCCCTTCCTCCACAATTTCAGATTCGATGACCCCGGCTCTGGAGGGCGAAGGCGTAAGAAGTACGGTATCGTACCCAAACCAACCGACCGCACCCCCATAGATCCCCCGCGTTTCGCCCTCAGTCTCGGATATCAATTCCATAGCACGGACTTTGGGAGCACCAGAGACGGTGCCGGCTGGGAATACAGATCGTAGCGCGTCCCAGCGACTGCATTCCGGTCGGAGTAAACCGGACACTTCAGAGGTCAGATGCTGCACATGCGAGAAACGATCTATCCCAGGCTGGTAAATCAGTCAGTCAGTCAGTCATCAGTCGAGCTCATTCTCCAACTGATTGACTGATTATAATGAAGGCATCCAACTGACTCACTGATATCCACTTATCAGTCGCTGATCAGTCAAGAAACGTGACTTTTAACTAGTAAATATTTTTATTATTTTTATGAAGCATAATATAGATGAATTTTTAATATTTTGATTATATTTATCTTAATATAGATAATTATCTAGAAGTATTCATTTAAAAACTAAGTTTTCATATTTTTCTTCCAAATATTTAAATATATCAAAAATCTAAGAAAAAACTAGATTTTAAGCTAAAAATAGTGTTTTAGCACTAAAAATAAACCTTTTCAGATATCTCCCAGCTTATAAGCAACTGTCATGCTAACTGATAGACTGACATCATTTAAAATCGCTAACTGATTGGCTTTAACTGATCACTTATCAGTCGACTGATCAGCTAGCTGACTGCTTTACCAGCCTGATCTATCCGCATAAGCCGGTCTACCTGAACTGTGAGTGGGTCACAGACCCGATTGACATCGTTTCGTGCCAGATCCACCAACATAACATGCTCAGCTCTATCCTTTAATGAGGAAAGCAGTTGCTGTGCAAGTGCTTCATCCTCAGCTGTTGTCTGTCCACGGGCTATGGTACCAGCGATAACATGGTTGACAATACGAGGTCGCAATGGGCCTGGAATAGATTGGCTACCGACAAATCTTGGCAGTGGCATTAAACCATCTGTCTTAAGCAGCAGCTCTGGAGATGCGCCCACAAGGAAGAAGTCAGAACACGAGACGTAGAAGAGGTACGGTGAGGGATTTAGACTGCGCAAAGTCCGATAGATGTGAAAGGATGGACAGATGTGAGGCGGGAGAATCGCTGCGACGGAACAGCTTGAATGATGTTTCCTAATTTAACATTCTCCTTTAGAAAGGAGACGTGGGATTCGTATCCGCGCCGGCCGACGTTCGAGTTGTAAACCTGATTTGGTGAGATCGGAGGCTGATGTGGCAAGGGGATATCCGGATGTAGGATTAGTGAGACAGTCGATTTAAGTGTTTCAATAGCATGGTCGTACGCGGCTCGGATAGCGTTGGGAGGCGAATTGAGCGGAGGGAGTTGTAGATAGGTGAAAACTTTGATCACCGAACGGAAATGGTCGAAGACAACAATCGTGTGAAACAACATAAACAAAGCTTCCGGGATATTTAGATTGTCCTCAAGTGTTCGGGCTGTCTTTGGCTCGAAATACTTGATGCAATCGTAGGACAGATAACCCACTGCCCCGCCGTTCAACGGGGACGGCTCAAGGGACGGGATGGAGGCGACACGGTATTGCGAAAGCTCATCGGTGAGGACATCCAAAGGATCCGTCTGGGCGCCGAAACCTGAACCTGTTTTGATAACCTCCACGGATCTAATAGTGTTAGATCAGCTTGAGAAGAACGTGATGGCTCATACCAACTCCAATAAGGCTGTACCGTGCTGTCTTTTCTGTTGTCCCTGCGCTTTCAAAAAGAAAGGAAAAGTTCGACTTGGATCTTGTGTTTATGATTAGTCTCTGGATCAAGAGAGAGCATTGATAACAAGCATACTTTGCAGATAGCTTAAGAAACACTGTTGACGGCGTGAGAAGTTCTCCGGGTATTGTAGAACAGACTGGAACTAAATTGGGCGGTTTGGAGGCATTTCTAGAAAGATGATAGATTTCCTGAATGATCTGCAATGAGGGCTCAAAGCCAAGCTGTACACTGATTTAGTACATGTAGCATCTGACGGATAATCTAGAACAGAATAACTAACGTTTCCCATGTCGGAATCCATAATGTTACTAACACGACAAATATAGTAGTATTAATAGTCAAGAATTTTTAAAATTCGATTGATTTTTGCTGTGGTTTTTTGTGTAGAAAATTAGACACCACTAACCAAACGCCACCACTCGAGCAGTCAGGTGGCGGTCAGATGGATCAGCGAGAATCGCGATCATTGGAATCTACTGCTAAAGACCACCGAAACACGCCTGCTAGTGGTCGTGACAGTCTCTAGAGACTACCAGACGTTCGGCATGCTTAACAACCAGCTTCGTTCACTGTCGCCTTCCCCCACCCCCTACGACAAGGAATTAATCTCCCCTCGACACAAACGACGATTCTTAGGGAACATATAAGCTTTAAGGGATAGGGCAAAGCAAATAGACGAAGCTGAGGGCTAGAGGGGTATATTGGCAGCGGATACAGTGCAAACAGCACGCCAGAGCCAAATAGTATAGATTCACAGACAAGACGACATGATTAAGTGGCCACAACCGAGTATGAATCAATCGACCAATCAGTCGACCAAACTATGCAACATAAGACACATTATTGAACTACAACCTAAAGAAGTGATTAGGAATTTCTCGTGAGACGCTCGTTCTCCTCCCAGGTACCACCTTGCATCTTCAAAAAGTTCTGTATCATTGTCCTCCCATACTCGGTCAGTATGCTCTCGGGATGAAACTGCACACTGGCGCGAAGCTGCCACCCTTGATAGGAGGGGCCATTGGATATGTCGGATACAACTGCGTCAAGTATTTCGAACCAAAAACAAAAAGGGATCTGAAGGATATTGTGCAGATCCCAGAAAGCTTGTTTATGCTGTTCGACACAATTATAGCAGTCGATCATTTCTTCCAGCAGGTGAATGTGTTCACATATGTCAAAGCACCAGGGACACCAGGTGCAGAAGCAAGTTTAGAAGAGGCATACGCATCTGCCCAGAGAATAATTGAGGATGTTGTAAGTAGGATCTTGGTCGACAAAGTGCCGAGACCACCGCAAGGGCCAATTCAGAAAAACCTGCCGTATGAGTCAAATATAGGACAGGTGGGATATGAAGCTCATGTCAGCAAGTTGAAAGAACATATATGCAAAGGCGATATTATCCAGGCAGTGCCGTCACAAAGAGTTACTCGTCGTACATCACTGCACCCATTCAATGTGTACCGGAGATTGCGGACGGTGAATCCGTCGCCGTATCTCTTCTTCATTGATTGTGATGAGTTTCAAATCATTGGTGCTAGCCCTGAGTTGCTCGTTAAATCGGAAAAAAGACGAGTTTCGGTACACCTCACCGCTGGTACAGTCAGGCTGGGGGCAACAACAGCGGAGGACGATGCCCTAGCAGATGGGCTTAAGGGCTCTATCAAAGACAGGTACGCCGCTCAAACCTGGGTACATGTGATATTAACCAAAATTAGAGCTGAGCATGTTATGCTCGTTGATCTTGCGAGAAATGACGTGAATCGCATTTGCGACCCGCTTACAGTACGTGTAGATAGATTGATAGTGGTACGGCGCTTCAGCCACGTGCAGCACCTGACTTCTGAAGTCTCTGGCATTCTTCGACCGAATCAAACCAGATTCGATGCATTCCGGTAAGCTACTCCAGAATTTGTTGACGAATTAGTTAATAAGTATGTAGATCCGTATTCCCCGGTGGTACCGTTAGTGGAGCACCGAAAGTTCGAGCGATGGAGTTGATAAGTGAACTTGAGAAAGAAACTCGTGGGGTGTACGGAGGCGCGGTCGGATACTTTGGCTATAACACAGTTTCAGACGGTGCAGTTGAAGAGGGTGACATGGATACGTGAGTTACTGCACATAGCTGCACCCATGCGTAACTAACGCAAATAGCTGCATTGCTTTGCGTACCATGGTAATGAAGAAAGGAACTGTGTACCTTCAAGCAGGCGGAGGAATCGTTTATGATAGTAATGAGTATGAAGAGTAGTAAGTTTTATCTCGCATGAGAGACACAAAGTGCTAATGTCTAGTATAGTGTAGAGACGATGAACAAGCTGCGTGCGAATATGATTTGCATTGATAGTGCTGAGGCGCTTTTCGCGTCTCAAAGCTAGAGGTTAGAGATTTTTTTTGTCAGGTGAATGGCGAAATATAAACAGTTTGCTGGGGCATTTATTGGTATCCCCACAGCCACATGTCGATATCTTTATGCTGCAGAGTGATGATGATGATGATGTTCTATTCCGCCCGGCTAAGACTAAAGAGCCCGAGTCTATGTTACATAATATACTTCTTCAGTGTTTCCTTTGCCTCCTGGAGCCTATACGAAACCGCCTCTTCCAATATTTTCCAATTCCAGTAGCTGACATATTCGACGAGGTCTCGTGTGTAGTTAATAGCAAAGTAACTTGAAGTCCAATCCTCCAAGTGTTCAATATCCTATCCTCAGCAACTGAAGCGAGATCTGCTGAGGACACGAGGGTGCTGGGGTTGGTTGGGGTAAGAGAATGAGATGTAGTTATGTTGGGGCTTTGTGGTGATCTTACTGGCACATATGGGTCCACAAGATGCAGTCATCATGAGGTGAAGCCGATGAAAGGCCTAGTATATAGCATAACCTATGCATCGGCAGGTGGCGAAAACGGTTGAGGCAGAAAGGGGCGCAATTTGGTACTTCAAGACGGACTCGAGACTCTATGCACAGGCTGGCCAATCAGTCAGTCAGTCAGTCATCAGTTGAGCTTATTCTTCAACTGATAGACTGATCCAAATGAGGGCATCTAACTGATCGACTGTTAGTCATTTATAAGTGAATGATAAGTTAGAAAACGTGACTTTTGATCACGTTACTTTACCAAAAAGTGATTGTACCACGTTATTATTAGAGCACATATTACTAAGAATGTAAATATATAGAGTGAATAGTACAATAAGAGAGTACGCCTTAAGAGAGTACGCCTTAAGAGAGTACACACTAAGAGAATGCACATTGAAAGAGTGCACTTGCATGCTTCAAGAGAGCTCATAAGTCCTGGAAAAGGGTTGAGAGATAAGAGTACTAATAAGAAAAACTTTAATAACCTATAGTTTAATAGATTACATGATTTTTAATATTTTCGTGGAGCTTTAGACCGGTAGAATGGTGGATTAAAGGTAAAAAAAATATTATGATGAAAAGGTTCGAATTTTGTACCGCCTTTTTTGACTAATTAGAAAGCATTATTTTGCCTGACCGTCTTTGAATCTTTTTTAAAAAGCCTTAAAATTATTTTAATAATGACTCTAAAATCGAAAAAATCGAATCTTTAAGTTTATCAGTTACTACCAGTTGGATTTTTGATCACTGATAGATTTATATAATTTAAAATCGTGAATTGATTGACTTTAATTGCTTACTTATCAATCGACTGATTAATCGACTGATTGGTTGGCCAGCCTGTTTATGTAGGGGTTATAGCACGATATTTGCTCGAACAATTGGTGAATCACATCAAGAAGGGTTCAGGAATTAGGGACAAAAGCAAAGGCACTTCATTTTTAATCCTCCGGTACGAAATCCAAAATCCGAACAAACAAGACCATAGCCTTGAACGTTCAAGCAAGAGCTCAACTTCTGCCCTCCAAGATCGGATCCTAAACAAGTCGAAAGTAAATCCGAAACAAGCACAACGACAAACCAATGTTTTACTTTCAAATGAGTCTCCATATTCCTCCCATCAGCCAATCAGGGCCTCCATCTATCCTTCAAGCAATAAAACTCCTTCTTACGCGCCATTTCCATTATACCCAATCAAGTTATTAGCACTCTTAGAATTGACAACCTTACCACTAGTAGCCAAAGCCTTAATCCTACTCTGTACCGCAGCTGGCGTCGAAATCCCCTCCAGAGCAATCAAATAAGCCGCAAGTCCGGCAATGTGAGGAGTAGCCATTGAGGTTCCACTGATCGTGTTGGTAGCAGTCGTGCTTCCAATCCAAGAGCTAAGGATATTGACACCAGGACCAAAGACATCAACCAAAGAACCATAATTCGAGAAGCTCGCTCGGTTATCGTCAGCATCAATAGCACCGACAGTGATAGCGGTGGACTCGGAGGCAGGAGAGTAATTGGATGCATCGGCGTTGTCGTTACCGGCTGCTACCACGACAGTGACACCGTTGTTGACGGCGCTGCGGACGGCGGAGTTGACAGCTGAGGAGTAGGAGCCTCCCAGGGACATGCTGAGGACAGAGCGAGCGGCAGCATTGTTGCCGACCCATTGGATACCTGAGATGACGCCTGAGTTGGACCCAGAGCCGTTCTTGTCGAGGACCTTGACAGCGACGAGGTTGGCTTTCTTGGCAACTCCATAAGTGGAACCTGCGATTGTACCGGAGCAGTGAGTACCGTGGCCGTTCTCGTCCGTGTTCTGGAAATGTTAAAACTATAAGGATGAATTAGGGCCGAAGAAACTTACTGGTGAGCCAGAAATATAGTTTGCTCCGAAAGTAGCACGTCCTCCAAACTGACTGTGGCTGGTGTAGATACCAGTGTCAACTACATAAACAGTGATACCGCTGCCAGCTGAAGAATCGTAAATGTAAGTGGTTGAGTCTTGGTTGCGATGAGAGATACGGCCAAGTCCATATGGAGCTTCGGTCTGAGAAGTCAGGGCTGAAGCATAGACTTTGGCATCCTTCTCGATGTAGGCAACCTACAATCCTGTAAGCAAATTGTTCTAGAAATGTAAGGAGATTTGAAGTACCTCTGGGGAAGCAGCAATCTCAGCAATAGCAGAAGCATCAGCAGTGACTTGGTATCCCTTCAGCATGTCCATGTCGTAGGTAGCTCCAATTCCAGTCAGATCACGTTTGGAGAGCATAGAGCTGACCGAGGCAACGTGGCTGGCAATCATGGTTGAGTTCACATCGTCATTGTAGACGACAATGTAGGAGTCGGGGACGACATCTGCTGCCTCGGGATTGCGGATCTTGAGATGATGCGCTGGAGTAGGAGCAGCAAAGATTGCAGGGATGACTGCTGCCAGCGCGGCGAGACGAGTGAAGTAAGAAACCATGGTGAAGATGTTCTTTGACTGAGGTGATTATTGGTGAAATGTTCAAGGTGGAATGCGATTGTTGGTTGATGATGGACAGAAATGGAGGACATTTGGGGACTATTTATGTTTCTCGAGTAGAGATACATTTCCAAGAGAAGTGTGCTCGAAAGCAACTCAACACGAAATCAACTCCGGCAAGAGCCAAGCTCTTGAGCAATTTGTGTCACTTACCAATCTGCAAGTCCTGCAAACCAAAGCTCAGGATGACCTGCTTGAATAGTCTCTGTTGAGGATGATCATAATGAAGCCATCGTCAAATTGGCAGCTCGACAAAACCACAGACTTCTGTGAAGTGGGAAGGGTGGAGGTGGGAGGCTTGGCTGGATAGCGCGCGTAGACTTCACGGAATATTATAGGCCCAGTCCTCGCTACAGGTATGGAAGCGAGGGAATAGGGGGAGGGGCAGTCGGAGAAACAGGTCATCCGGGGACTTCACTGCCGGAGTGCATTTGCATCAGATAACCTTTAAGCTTGAATACCCCATGTCACTGCACGCCATCGTTAGCGTTTCTTGGGGTGAGCTTTTATGGAAAGTGTCAAGACATTTAGCGGAAGAGATGTAATGTGATTGGAGCAAGCGAGAGCAAGCCAAGATCATTGAATCTTGATAATGCATGTTCGAGGTCGTACATAACGAAGAAAAGATAAAGGAATTTGCAAAAGGGTCATTCCCATAGAAAGGTGCAAACCTGCCTTATTCGGAACAAGCCCGAGGCCAAGTCGTCAGGCTGGGCTGAAGGTTTGGATTAAGAGCATACTTGGCGATGGATACTCGGAAATCACATTGCAAGCGCCACGCTGATGCGCTTTTGGAGTTCGACCCTTTGATAGTGCCCTGACCCCTCATTTGTGCTACCACGACCATTTTGGATATCGAGAATTGCTTATCGTAGTAGTCATCTTGGCATCTGATGTCGCAAGCGATCGGCAGTCTCTGAAAGGCTGGTCGCTTACGAGCCGAGGAATTGATGTCTTGGTGCCAAGATGCTTGGAAATAGGTTAAAGCTGATCTGGACATAATTGCTTTTGGGCTTCAAGATTGAGAGTATATTGGCAGAGACACGAGATAATCAAATGCAGGAGTAAGTCAGATGATTCGAGCTAAAGGATTGAGAATTTGGTAAGCAATCCGAGAGGGGGAATATACACTACAAGGCTTTGAAGAGACCAAACGAAGATAGTCAAAATATCGACCGAGTCCCTGAATTACCCCTTATTCTTGCCGCATTGAGTGTTCGTCCCCTTCACAATATACCATCGTAATATTGTTCCTCAGACCTCTAAGCGTAATATTGAGCTTTGAAATGTCGGAATATATGTTGACTTTGGTAATGAGAAGCCCAGCGCCGTTAAGACACCAGCGATTTCTCAACTGACGTGCGGGATAGATCCTGACCAAGTTGCCAAGAAAGCATCTGGCGGAAGGAATGCCAAAGTCCTGAACAATTCCACAAGGATGAAGAGCCTGCATACAGTGTAAGAGGCATAGACAATACGACCCAAATAGCTAGCGGAAACCCCTGAAAGGGACACAGCAAACCAGACCAGATAGTAAATCGGCATTGCAGCGACGGTGAAGAGGCTGGCAACTCTCCAAATTATCCGCTCGGTTTCTGTGGGGAATTGGAAGTTCCAAGCAATACAGTGGCAGGCACCTAAGAGAACAGCCCCGATGATGAAACCAGCATCCTGGTAATCAACTATCCACCAAACGTTTTTTTCAATCTCATATGAAAACATCATTGCCTCCTTGCTGTACATGTCGTTCGGCATCAATTCAGAAGGTGTATGCTCCATAGCCTCATAGAGAGAGTTTTCAAAAAAGCCGGACAGATTCAGCCACACAAGTCTTTTCTTGGTATCTTCATCCAGTATATAGTCCTGGGTCGTAAAGATAGTTGTACCGATTTTGATGTCTTTTGGCTTCTTCAGCCATAATAAGTACGTGACGAAGGTGCAGAGAGCGAATCCAAGTACGGCAATCTCGAGCTGGGCGCAAGGAAGGCCGTTGTATTTCCGTGCAATAAGCTGTATGATGAACCATATCACTTGGCCAAGGGTAATGAACTTCACCAGAATGTCTTCTTTGCTTTTATCTTCAATCTCATCACATGTAATTGATGGTAGTTGCTGGATGAGTCCCTTCTTCATCATCAGGCAGATTTGTGCTGAATTGAGACATACTGGGAGTTCCAAGTCATCGATATCGTAGTCCGGTGGGTCTTGTTCCACCCAACTATCGTGCTCCTGTCTCCATATGCCACTTTTGTTGCAGAGAAGTCTGTCAAGCAGACGAATAATCCAGGGCGAATCATGTTTTCTCCGGCTTTGCTTTCCCAGCCGAATTTCGGACGAAGAGGTGAGTTGCTGATCTTGAAGGAAATCGGGAGTTGCATCAAATCTCTCTTTCTGCGGTTCGGAGTCCAATCCTTCCCGAGGCGAGCGTTCTATATCTTGACTATGATCGGCTCCCATTTGAGGAATGATTGAAGGTCTGGGTGTATGCAAAGATGGAAAGGAGTGGAGAATGACTCCTCCCATATTTGCATAGTACGCATGTGTCATAGTCCATTCTGTTTTCGAGGCTGCAGCAGCGCTTTGCATGTCTTCGCATCGACTTGATCTGTACGCAGCGACGAACTCGCCGAGTGCTTTGCCTACCAAGTACTCAGGCATAATGAGAGCCACTAACATCCACTTGAGCTTCCGCCATGTTGCTTTCCAGATCCTTAAAAAGAAACCATTCGCCAAGCTGGAAGGCGGCAAACACAGATGCTGGGCAGTCCATGTGCAAAGAAAAATCGTCGTCAAGGAAGCATACAGAACATCTAGTGTCGATCGCACATTTGCACCAGATACGAAATCTGAAGTTTTGGTAGGTATCGTGCAGTTGGTGTGGAATACAGTTGAGCTGACAGCCTGGGCAAAGAAGAATAGCTGAAGAAGCAGCTGCCCAGCGAGAGAGTTCGTCATGGTTAAAATATTTCTCAACTCTGGGAACCTACTTTAGCTTCAGATAGGTGTAGGCTCCTAAGAACAATTGTAAGGAATCATGGCGATCAGCTTCTTGAGGCTGCTTCGATCCCGTGCATGGTCGCATTCTTGGTAATCTACGCCCAGCTGAAGCAGCCCACCAATCAACAAAAGCCACTTGGCGCCGCTGAAGTTTCAGCTCTCAGCCCCCAGTTGCTAAAGTCCAATCTTTTCATCGATTGCGTGAGGCTATGCGGGAAATGTTCAAGTGAAGACATTGTGGTATTTTAATTTTAACAGCGACTTTGAATAGGGCTACTGAAATCAAGTGCTTCTTGTAGAAGACGCTCGGAGACTGAGGAGATTAGACCTTGCTAAGAAGCTTTGTGAAACTTCACTTTTCCTAAGGAGAACAAGACAAACAAGCCGATGATATTCTGCTTTCGCCCAGCGCTACGATCAATTCTCGAAGAACCATGAAATGCACAGTTTTGGTGGCACTCCCCATTAATCCACGAGCGCCATAAATACAAATTATTCTCGTCACAAGTTACCAGACACAGGCGACAGCGACACTCGTCCCCTCATCAAAAGCCAAGCCCAAATAGCCACCACCAGTCCAACATTGAAGAAGTCGAAAACCAAGGCTCCACCGAAGATGATAGAGTCATAATGCCAGGCACTGTCCGGTGTCATGTTGATTCTCGTGACCACAATCGCCCATGGTAACATCCAGAGGAGATTCGAACCAAGAGCCTGGATCAAGTACCAACGAGTTGTGGTAGCGAGAAGGATAGCGCCTATTTGAGCGTTGAGAGCATAGAAGATGTAACACCAATCTATCGTCTGCTATTTGTTAGCTAAGCTAAGGATGACTAAAGATCGCAGCATACCTTCCACATGTGTTGGGTTGTGCTAGCCACGGACTCGGACTCAGAGAGATAGTAGGCGAAAGACTCGATGCCCCAGAATGAGAGGAACAGACAAACAGGAACTTCAACTGCGAGTGCTATGGCACACGATACCCATGCTTTGTGAGTAATTACTGAAGACCGTTAGCGTTGGATTCGGATATTATGCCAGCCGAGCTTACGTAGGAGATCTTTCTTGGTCGCTTTTGGCCGTCTTAGTGTAGCTCCTACTTGTGCTCTCCATTCACCCCAAGCATGGCCAATGAATGCCAAAGCAGAAGCTTGAAGCGCTTGGACGGGAACCATGAAGATGCCCCATCTGATAGTGTTGAAGACACCCCAAGCTGTCGCATAGTCGGATCCCGTTGAGACGATGCCACTAATCAGCCAAAGGTATATGGCATTTCTGAGTGCTGACTCCATGAACGTCCATTTCCCCGGGATAGCCAGCGTCTGTAGTGATGCAAGACTTGGTCTGCTTTTGCTACTTGGCTCGAGTGATCGACGTTGTAACTTCACCACTATGTAGATAAAGTATGCTAATCCAGCAGTGGCAGAGGATAGATCGCAAGCCATACGAATTAAGGCTTGAGTGTTGACAGTAGGTGCACGTGTTCCCACATGGAATCTCGATATGATCAGCAGATCCAAGAATATGTTGATGAAGAATTTCAGACAACTGATCAGCAAGGGAACATCTGGATGATCTAGTGACCTAGTACAGTTTGATACCGCTGTTTCCACAGCAGATGAAAGGGCTTGTACCGAGGAAATCCGGACATAAGTGAGAGAAGTTTGTCGGACTGCTGCTGGGACGAAAGCTCCAGCCAGTCTCTCGGCGCTCGCGATAAATATTATAGTTAGGATAAAACCAAAGAACGTTTGAAAGATGATGAGGGTGTATGAAAGGCTGATTCTTGATTGCTGGGTGCGAGTTGATTTGTCTCCCATGACGGTCCATGAGGCTCGGGGAAGACCGTCATTTAAGACTTCGACAATGACACCAATGTATGTATAGACGTCCGTCGTGACGACTTGACTGGAGTCAATATTCGCTACCCAGAGCTTGCTCAGCGTCGCATAGAGAGCTGGAAGGGCGAATGCACCGATGTTGAAGAGTAGAGAACCGTAATACCTGAGATGTCAGTTAATTGTTTTACTATCATGAGGAGTATCCTTACGTTTCTCGACTAAGAAATTCTCTCAACCAAGATCGTTTCAATTGTGGTTCGTCGCAAGGAGCGTCACAAACCTCGACAGCATTAGGGTCGTCCTTCGAAGGCAACATCCTGTATCTGACGCGGAAAGATGAGGTGCTCATGATGGAAATCCCGCTCCATGTGGGAGAATTGCAATTAATGTGTGATGAGCAGTGCCAGCCACTTCCGCAAACGATTTGCGATGCAGTCGGGTGGTTTTTGGTGGGACTTTGCTGTGTTTGATTGGATTTTGGTGAAGCTTCACACGCGGGGAGAAAACCGGCTCCTACTGAGTGGCCGCCGTGGTACAGCAATCATTGGCCTGCATCGTTACACAGGTCTGGCGGGGTCGAACGGAGGTGTATCCCCGGCAGATCGTGGGGGTCATCGATCTGCTGTTGTTGCCATGGTCTCGCTGGCTATCAGAACAATCACGATCAAGGCCACATACTCGTGATAAACTCCGAATGTCCTCCAGTCGTCCCGTATATCACACTGAGACCATCATTGAATTGCTGCCCCTGCTCCGACAATTGCTCTATCTTCCTGGCACCATGTCTCCTCAAGGCAACATTCCAACTGAAGCTTGAGTAGCCAACTCCTACGAAATGAGCTGCATTCATCATAACCAACAAGTCGACCATTTCTCGTTGCAAAGTTGTCATTTCTAGCAAATAGTCCCTGTCTTTGCCTTTCAAGAGATCGAACTTGGCCGTTACGTCGATTTCTTGAGCTTTGGCATCGACAAATAATCTTGGGACGTCGATGCCTTGATTCGAAGCAACGTAGATGAGTGACATGTTAGAATGTGTGGCATAATCAAGGTAAAGCTTGGATTGTGTCTCGAAGCGAGCATAGTTCTGATCTTCCTTTAGAAGACGGTCGGGATCTGGCGCTGTACTTAGGTAGGCTCCCATGAAGCCTTTCTTTGACGGGCTCGGGTTGAGTGGTAGAGAGTAGGTGCTCGACATCTTCAACAGCACCGTTGTTGCCAGACTCCGAGCATCTGAGCGAATCTTCAGGATCTTGCCAAAATGCTGAGCAAAGTTATCGTCGTCAGAATGGATGGAATAATGAAGATAGGTGCGTCCAAGTGAGATGATGACTGGATCTTTAGTGTCTTCAGAGAGATATTTCTTCAACCATATATTGAGCGCATCTCGCCAATCCACAGAGAAACCTTGACTCCCTTCGGACTTCCCACTGAGCAGAGCATCCGGTAAGAGAGGCAACGGCCCATTTGCACGCTCTTTGTCCTTGATCTCAGATACACTCTTGTAAAGTCGCAATTGAGGACACGACAAATCGAGGGAATTCCTGAAATGATCCACATCAAACAAATGATCCAGACCAGTTGTGTTTCCGGCCAACAGACCACCATAGTCCTCTTTCAACACTATCCGAGGCATAACAAGACTTCCCCCAGCCGCGATCGTATATCGAACACAATGCAGGACAGAGTTTCGAATTTCTGCGAAGCTGCCAATTGGTGAATCGCATGTGAAGACAACGCTCGCATTCCATTGCGTCCTCGCGCATACATTCTTAATCGCAGGAGATGTGAGAGGAGGGAAATCGAAGACGTCGCTTGAAGGTGATTGCGGGCTATTCGAATATATATTCCAAGGGACATGTTCGGGGAAAACGTAAGGACGATCGAAGGCTACCCAGAGCCAGATGCCGGCGAGTAGACTTCCAGCAAGGGAAGCATATCTGCGATTAAGGCCACTTGGGAAATCCATTTGGAAGACTGGCCTGTTGTTGCTGAAGAGAACGGTAGCAAAGATGCTATCTCCTCCTTTGGGGCGTACATTCCCCGGATGAACTGTTGCGGCATCAGCCGTGTGAAATGTCCAGCGACGCAAGGGACAAAGACTTGGAAGTGGCTCAAAGTCTAACCCCAGATTTCGGCTTCTTCAGCCAAGCGAATCAGAAGTATCCACAGCCTTGTCTCGATATGTGGGAAGCAGCCACTGTCTCACTCATACAAGGCGAAGCTTTCAGATATATATAAAGACTTATGTCCTAATTTACAATAATATAGTAAACATAGCAGAAGACTGCAGTCCAAGACAGTCTATCCGAAACGCCACCAATGCACGCACATTGCCAAATATCCATCCATGTAACCTATGTTCAGATCATGCAAAAGCACCCACAATTGCCATAAGAGTTGCCCCTGCAAGAACAGCCCCGAAAGCTTCCCATCTCCTCCTCCCTTTCAGGATCCCATAACTCTTGTCACTCAGGAAATCCTCGGCGAGAAGTTGCACTAAGCCTGCGAAGACCAACAACCCGCTCGAGATCGCATTCATGAATCCCACCATCAATAGCCCCGTGGCACTTTGTGGATCGTATGACTCTTGTACCATAAGTCCAATGGCTTGTCCGATCGGGGTAGTGGTGCCGTACGCCAATACCATGACCCACGGCTTGATTGAGTGGCGAGGAAAGTTAATGGCTGCGATTCTAGATCCCAAGGCAAGTCCTTCGAAGGATTGATGGAACGCAATGGCCACTAAAAAGACAACAAAAGGCGGGCCTGTAGCCACAGATACTGCCATACCAATGAATACACTATGAAAGAGTATACCTGCTTCCAAGAGCATGCACTGTAGCATCTGTTTCTTCTGCTGTTCCTCGGTGGAGAGAGTTTTGGGAGCCGCCGCAGATTGTTCAATGTCGCGATCTGGGGGAGAAGGATTGAAGGCTTCGGCGGTAGGATCGAGCTCGTCGAGATCCAGATCAGAGTCTATATCATTCTCGTCGTGGTACTTGTGATTGTTCGTTCCGACAGCGTCTGGTGTCGAAACTGGTAACGGTGAGACTCCAGCTACCAAGCCCTCGGACGCATCTATATCTTCCAGCGCAATATCGTTGGGACGATTCAATCCAAGCTTTCCGAGCCTGCCGTTTACCTTCTTTCGTAAGGGTTTCGCAGATCCATTGGCCGAATGTTCGTGTGCATCCTCTTCCTCATCAAGCGCGTCCCAATCGTGCGAATGTGAATGTCCGGCACCTCTCGTAGTGAGAAACATCTCAAGACCCACCACGACCAAGGCAGAAAACATTGCGATCAGCCCAGCCAGTGGACGATACTGTACACTGAAAAAGTCTGGCAGACATGGGTCCGTGAGTGAGACGAATGCTGTTGGAAGAAGATGGACGAAAGCGGTCGCAATAAGAACACCTGTACCGAAATGTTGAGATATGAATATGAACCTCGTAGCAGCAGGGCTTTTCGATGATCGTCTAGATACTAGAGGAAATCCGCAAGCTTGAAATAATCAGCAGAATAGTTGCAGATCGAGAGTGGGACCGTACCCAGTGTGCTCAGTGTCAGGATCAAGAACAGCGCAAAGACATGAGCTGGCAAGTTATAAGTCCCCTTGATCCCAGATCCACATTGCGGCTTTGTAGTCCCTTCATCTCGTCTTGTCAAGTCGAATCGCAATATTTCGTTTGTTAATCTGGACCACGAAGGAACTGCCGGAGTTAGCATGATTGTCTGTCCTGGAGATACTGTCTTGTACCTGCATCTGAATAGATCATCTTTCTGTTCAAATTATGTACTATGAAGAAAACGTAGGACCATTGTGTAGCTCTGCAGAAATAGAAAATATCCGGATATGGCCAAATTGCTTCTTGTTCACGATGGAGATTCAAATTCAGCCTTCTTTGTCCGGCAATTGCCGCTTCAATTTAGCCTTGCACGTGTTCTACCATCCAAAACGGGCAGAACCATGAGAATTTGTGTCTGGGATCAACATTTTGGAGATCAATCAACAGATAGAATGCTCTTCATAACTGAAGGTATGGTACAAGTGTGCCAAGTACGAAATGCTGCGGCAACCTTTGCCCATTTGAAGCTGCTTCGTGAGAATTCATAATGTGGGATGGCAGTTGTTGCTTCAATGCAATATCATCGTTTCTGAGCTCCTCATATATTGCTCCTATCACTTACTGCGAATGGGTGGAATAATCCGGGCTCTCATCGTGTCGTACTCATGCTTTTCAGAACTCAGTTGACTACGTCGATTCGTTCTCGCAACGAACCTTATCCATCAAAGTTTATCCTTATGCTACTGTAAGGTGTCGTTATGACACTTGGGCACACATTTCAGTATGATTCAAAGTTTATGACAGGAAATGAGTGGGAGCACTGGAACACGGCTCATGCGAGCAAAGCTAGGAAGATCGTCCTCTCACAATTGCCTCATAGTATCACGAAGTTTTGGGAGCTTACGAGTAAGACAGTAATATGGGCCCAGACGACCGTCAGCTGCCGGTGAGCATGGTATCGAGAAGAAAAATCCTGGGGAAATCTGAGCTGCTGTGGTTGCTAGCAGCCACTCTTCCTTTCCCTTGAACAAGTTCGTAGCACATAGGCGTTCATCATTGACGCTTCGTTATTTCAAATTACGAGGAAACTTAGAAGCTGCAATTTAGTTACTTGCGGATTTACGAGCAATCCAAAGGGATTCATGAGCAATCAAAAGAACGTTGTACTCAGAGGCAAAACCTTGTTGGGTTTTTTCGGCAGCGTTAGATCCCCTGATATCGAAAGCACCGGTATACACGAGGGGAGCGAAAGACTTTCTGCAGAGTCCGTCCTGGTAATACATATGAAGATTAAGGACCAGGCTCGAGTTTTCAAGAATGGGAGGATATCGCAAGTTAGTTTTATCATCACGTGCAGCAGTAAACCGCGATGCAAGACATTCTTTAGCCTATCACAATTCTCCGGCTCGGGATTGTTGCATGCCGAAACACAACGCAGAGCCCAATGCCCAAGTTGGGCCGCAACTGAAGTGATCCTGCTTACCTGCCGGTATTTGATTTGTTCTCGGGTCTTTCTCCATTATCAGAAAGCGAGTATGCCACTTGGGCAGCAAAGTTGCCCAAGGAGGTACCGATGTTCCGTTCTTGCGCTCATGTACAGAAGCGCTGTTCATCTTTCCTATTACATATCCAGTGTATTTCTTCCTAACTTCACAGTGTGCCGTTCAATTTCTACGAATTCGGATCTTTGGGTACTCTTTACCATGGCTTCCACCGATCCTCGGTACGGGAGCCTGAACTCAGCAGCACCGGAATTTTACCCACCTCTACCTCCACATCCACAGGCCACCTGGAGATCCGACTCAGATCATGTCGCTCACCGCACTGTTCTCGACAGATTTGAAGAACAGTGGCGATCTTCTCAAGGAAGGGTAGTTCCTATTGAGAATATAAATAGTCCACCGCTTGACTATGCAAGGACCCACAGCCCTATTCTACCCTCTGCGAACGCACCTTTCTATGTCCCTAGGCAATATGAGTCTCCTGTGTACCAGCACCGAGACCGACAGGATAGGATTACATCTCCTGGTCCCGAACCAGTATATCGAGAGCAAAACTATGTTCAAGTGAACCAAGCTCCAAGACCTCCTGTCATACGCCCCTCTGTCCCAGGCTACCAGCCATGGCAGCGAATTCCAGATATGGAAAGATCATCAGATTATTCGAGACCTCCATTCAACTCTCCTCAAGCCTATCAAGACCGTGTCGCACCTCGTCCTGCCACTGTGCCTCCACAACAATATCGACAGCAGCTTCAGCCCAGGCATACCAGACCAGAATCTCGCTCCAGAAGACATAATCCATACACCGAGTCTCGTCGCAGACGGAGGTCCACAAGTTCTCAGCCGAGACACCCTCAGAAGAGGAGGTACACCCCTCCTCAACATAACCAAAGGCAGTTTCCAAGCAGGCCATCTTTGCTTTGATTAATTCATAATGCCTTTTTTGGAGTGCGATACATTTGCCAAATGACTTTCGCCTTATTATAGAGGACATACCGGGACGGATACATATGCCATGTGCAGGAGACGTGCTTTCATACCTATGGGTGGTCATCATGCCTGTCTATCTTTAGTACCGATACCCTCGACTGGAACAGATGGTGCATTTGAGAAGGAAGACAAAATCTGTCCGGAGATATCTAGATTTAGATGAGGTTTCTTTGGTAGGGTTTTCTGAAGGTCGGGATGTGGCATGCATGTTATAGATGGGAGTTTTGATTTGGACTGAGCTTAGCATTGGTTGTTCGAGGAGGATTTTCCGCTGATAATTTGATTGTTTTATGCTGGGGTCAAGTTCTTGGTTGCATGGTTTGGGTCGCACGGTGGCGATGCATTTATTCTGATTATACCCTTCGCGATATTTTGCAGGTGGATGTTTGGGACTGTTTACTTTGATGGGGCATATTTAGATGGTTTTACTGCAGGAATTGAATGATGGAGTGCACAGAGGTCACCAGCAATAACATATATCCACGTGACTATTCTCACATATCAGCCTCGACCTTGTGTCCATGGGTCTATATACTATCCACACTTGGTTATGCCTCCGAACTTCCGTTTCAATTTCCCACTGAGATCTATTGTGTCCGCTTTGGGCCTTCGAGGAGACGTCCATGTCACCTGACAGCCTAGTCAGATGAGACGACGTCGGGAATTTCCAAGGTTTAAGGTTACCGACACTTCGCGACATCACAGCTCTAATCTCACTTGAGAAACATTAAAATTAACTTATGTAACTTCTTATCTTGCCGCATCTGATTCAACAGAATGATGTATTCAAGCCACATCTGCAAGGCTGTGGGCAGTGTGCCAGCAGGAATTGTTTCAGCTGAACGCCCAGCCGCTGTGAGCTGTAAATTATGAGCAAGTGGCTCTCTGCTTCTTCAACTCTCCCTTATCCTTTATTTATCTGTTCAAAATGCTTTGCAGAGATTCCTTCCTGTTTCTCGCGGTTCTCTCTGCTGCAGCTTTGGTTGATGCCCGAGCCGCCCAAGACATCACGACAGCCTCATCTGTGATTGCCTCCACTTCAGCCTCGCCATCAGCAGGTAGGTTTCTTCTTTCATGACGTACTTGTTTATTATCCTCGAATGATCTTATTTTGATAGACTGTGTTGGTAATGTTTACTGACTACTGTATATGCAGAGCCAACAGCATCAGCACTTCCTAATTTCTGCGGTACGGGCTATATAGGCAATGGCAAGTGTGGATGGGTATTCGCTTCTTCTACTAGAAGTACATACTCCATTATCTGGTCTTGCCTTGCTGTTATTCTGCTTTGCACTTACAAAGTTATTCGTCTGCATACTTGTTCCGCGGAGGAGCACGTGGCTTCTTGGCGTGAAAGGCCTTTCTACAGCAGGAAGCCACGGAAACTACTCTACATGGGGATGACTGTGATAGCTCCAGAGGGGATTACAGGCATAGCATATGCAGAGTTGGAGGCTTCAAGGAGTGTCAGGCGCCAGATGATCAGTAGAGGATACCGGTGGCTACCAGGCTGGCCAACCAGTCAGTCGACTGGTCAACTGACTGATAAGTGAGCAGTTAAAGTCAATCAGTTTAGACATTTTGAATCGTCTCAGTCTATCAGTGATCCAATAGTCCAACTGGCAGTAACTGATCAGTTCAGGGATTCGATTTTTTCGATTTTGGAGTCATTTTTGAAGCCTTTTGGAGAGGATTCAGGGGCGGATAGGCAAAAAAAAGCTTTTTGATTGGCTAAAAAAAGGCGGTGAAACGAACATTTAACACTTAGGATTTCCATTATGATAATTTTGATCCTTAATCCATTACTCCATCTATTTAAAACTCTACTAAAACACTAAGAATCATGCATTTTATTGAGCTAGAGCTTAGTCAAGTCCTTAGTATTGATTTTATGGTTTCTCAGCCCTCTTCTAGGACTTATGAGCCGTCTTAAAGCATGCAACTGCACCCGCATCCTCTCAATATGCATTCTTTCAGCATGTACTCTCTTGGTGTGTACTCTTTTATTGTGCTGTGCAATTTATACTTTTACATTTTTTAATAATATATACTCTAATAATAACCTAGTAAAGCTACTTTTTGGTAGGGTAACGTGATCAAAAGTCACATTTTTTTTAACTTATCAGCACTTATAAGTGACTGACAGTCGATCAGTTGGATGCCCTCATTTTGATCAGTCTATCAGTTGAAGAATTAGCTCGACTGATAAATGACTGACTGACTGGTTGGCCAGCCTGGTGGCTACTCCTCAGCTATACCTGTTTACCCCACTGCTAATCCGCAATAGCTGCTCAATGGTACTGGCGCACTTCATTTGCATGGGAGGCTGTGCTATAGATACGTCAAAAGGACGAGTGCTTATTGCGAAGCGTGCTTTCGTGATCCTGCTGAAGGATGATGAGCATAGAGACGGGATTGTGGCACAACTACCGTCTGATGAAGACATCATCGATCGCAGCAAGACAGACACTCTAACCATAATTCTTGCATGTGCCCAGTCTCTTTGGCTTGTAGTACAATGGTAAGTTGCACCTCAAATTGTAGTGCCTCGACAGGTGAACAGACATACTGACGAGTAGTAGTATTGCAAGGAAGTCTGTGGGCGACGGTATGTGCTGTAACCATCTCAAGTCTCTGACTTTGGCTATCTAACTCTGTACAGATATTTCTGAATTAGAGTTAAGTACTTGCGGATTCGTCTTGTGTTCGCTAGTAGCGTATGGTCTTTGGTGGGACAAGCCTCAAGATGTCGAGCATCGCACTGTTATCCAGATGCCAAAAACAGAAGCAGCAGATGACGCTGTCTCTCGCGCTTTGTCTAAAGCGCTCTCCATCAACATTCAAGAATATGACAGTCACAGGTACATTTGGATGACATTTCCCTGGGTACGTTACCTATGAACCCCATTGCTATATCTTAATTTGTAATAATGTTAACGATTCCCAATCCAAGACAACACTGCTGGCTCCATCCATCTTGTATATATACTCGGCATAATGTTGGCAGCAGTACATCTCGCTGCTTGGAATTGGGAATTCCCAACTCATGCCGAGCTTATCCTTTGGCGAGTGGCGAATCTGTCAACGCTCGGTTCCTGCCTACTGCCTCTTCTGACAGCGACGTCTAATCTTTCTGGAGGTATCGAGGGCACGGTCGTCAATATGCTTCTTCCTGTTTATGCGACATTGCGAATCATTGTTATCGTACAAATATTTCTTTGCTTTAGATCGATGCCTGAGGGTGTTTATAAGGACGTGCTGTGGGCTCAACTTATCCCACATTTGTCTTGATTATATATAGGTGGGCATTGCGGGAAGTTTCTCTTTAAAAATAGCATGGACTACTTAGTCTCAGACTCCGTGACATCGATATCCCAGTACTTTTCAAATCCGAGTTCTGTCTAGCTTCATGTCATTCCAGAGGAATTATCAAATTTAGTTTGTCAATTCAAGTCAATGCTTCGCGATCTGACTAGATCTTTGTCTATTGTCCATGGACGAGCGCAGGTGAAGCACTGCACATATCTATCTACAGACAAACAACACTTAATTAGAATCATCAAGACCCCTCACTCCCTCAAAACTTCCCCGATCCCCCGCCTGATCCCATAACCTCATGCTCATCGACCTAACCTCCTCCTTTAACTCCACCTTGTCGTCACGAAGACCTACCGTAAGGCACACAACCCTTTCATCCAACACGTCACCTCTCTCCACGCGGGCTAAGCTTACGAAGTTGAATCCCCCGGCGACGATTTTCCCCTCCGCTATACTGCACAAACTCCGGAGTTCTCTTTCGAGACCCAGAGCCTGACGATGGGAGTGCAGACGAAAGCGATCATTGGGATTCACGTAGAGATACCGGATGACGTCTCCGGAGATTGATGGGGTTTGGGAAGAAGGGATTTTTTCGATCGGCTTGAGGTGACAACGATGACTCGATATGATGAAAATTGAACTGTTCCTCCTCATTCAGCAATTTCTTATCCCGACTAAGTGAACATGCCTAGTCTGCTAACAAATGCGCCAAATCTCAAATATAAATCAACCGTCTTTCCAGAACAAGAGCACATCCCAAATATCCGATTCCGCTCCCAGCGTCGAGGCACCGAGAGATCAAAATTAGAGTACGTACACTTGCACCTCAATTCCCAAGAACCATCCACACACACACTCACTCCTTCGCAAACAACCCCAATCAAGCCAACACAAAAGCTTGACTGACTCCAACATCCAAAGATTGGATACCCCGTGTCTACCACAGCATGACTGCATAGCACTTTATGGCTGCTAGAGCGGTTGTTACAATACTTTGAGAAGACGTAGGTATGTTGTGCAACTCCAGACATGAAAATGTGCCGTCGGCTTACAGGTGGTTCTCATGCACAGGTGTCAGGATAAGGTTGGTGCTAATTTCTCACGCTGTTCGTGGGGGTTTTCGCTAATTAATAAGGGGGTGAGTAGCGAGTTTGACGGTATTTGATAGGTATTGATACGAATCGAATGAAAACTTTCTTTTAATGGATGAAGATTCTATCTAATTCATGACCAAGACACTTCGGAATCTGACCTCGCCAGATAACATATGGTCAAAAGCTTTCTGTGCGTCCTTCAATGGGAATTTCTCCACCATGCAATGAATGTCGTGAAGCTTGGTGAAAGCAATTGCTTCTTCGGAATCCAAAGCATGGCCTGAGGGGAAACCACAAACTGAAACCGCCTTGACGATGAGATCAATAGAGTTCACTTCGACCATGCCGCAGGGTGACAGAACCAGCAGCTTTCCGCCTGGCTCGAGGCCTCCGGTCAAAGGACTAATAGCTTTGGGATTTGGTGCGGTGCAGACAATCAAGCTTGCACCTCCCATTTCCATCAGCTTCTTTGCTGGATCATCTTCCGAAGTATTGATGTATTCATGGGCTCCCAATTTGTGTGCAAAATCCTTCTTCTTATCACCAGAGCTCAGAGCCACGACTCGATAGCCCATCTTGTTCGCGTATTGTACGGCCAAATGACCGAGACCACCGAGTCCTTGAACAGCGACGATATCTCCCGGGGTGATCTTGAGCTTTCGAATGGAGTTGAAGACGGTGATGCCCGCGCAGAGGATTGGTGCGATTTCGACGGGATCGACGTCTTTGGGGACGTTGACGACGGCTTCAGTTCGCAGGAGTACGTATTCTCCATATCCACCATCTCGGGATACACCATTGACGGCACCGTTTTGGCACATTTGGAATTGTCCTCGCTGACATTGCTTGCAGACGGCGTCATGACCTCCATGCCATGGACCCCCAACTCTGTCTCCGACCTTCCATCTCTTCTCAGTATCTGGAACTGCTGCAATATCTCCCACGATCTCGTGTCCAGGTATGATTGGGAACGAGTTCCCGAAAGCTCCAGCTTGCACACCAGCATCGGAATGGCAGACTCCTACAGCTTTGACTTTGACCAGAACTTCGCCCTGAGAGGGTTGCTTGAGCTCGACGTCTTTGATTGTGAGAGGTGCATCTTTCTTCTCGAACACAGCGACTTTGTAGGTCTTTGGTAGAGGCGTCATGTTGGCGATTGCGGTCTGCGCGGTGTCTTTGAGAATCGTAGGTAGATTGGATAAGGTGTTCATGAGGACTCGATTCGATTGATGGTGTATATCGAAGTAATGTTGTCATACTCCAGTATTTGCTGTATATATAATTAAAACTCTATCGTCACTGCATCCAGTTGTTAACGCCGAACATGCAGATAATCATAGCGGAGACTTCATTTGATTCCGTCTAATCTTGCCCTTCTCGGCCCATTGTGCAGAGACTTTGAGCTTCTCATTGGGAGTAGGTGAAATGGCTTGGGTTAGTTGCGTTAGTAGTGTCTGGATAGCAAGCTTCGATTCGATGTCAATGTTATCTCCGAGTCCCACAGCTGCCGAAAAGACAAAGAGCAAGAATGGCTGAATGGGCAAAACAAAGTTTCATAGTGATGATATCATGCTTCCTAAACTTCGAGCCTGGTGAATGTCGAGAAGTGGAGAGCTTGGGCGCGCTAGCGGCCGCCGTATAGCAAGTGACAGCGGTATCAGGCAGAAAGTTGAACCGGCTTAAGTAAGCCAAAGCCGCCTCTGGTCAAGCCACCAGTGAAGCGACTTTCTTCAGCAGCAGATCTTCATCCTCCTCGCTCGGACGGTGACACAACGTCGTTCGTTCCCGCACCCTCTCGGCATTAAGATCAACACAGGAAACTCTCTGCCTTCCTGTTTGATTGTCTCGTGTTGCGGATGTGAACATCCAGCCATCTCAAATCGAGGTTCGCGGTTCGCGGTATCACTGGCATCGTAGCTCGAGGCCAGGTCGAAAGGCAGTAACCCGCGAATTTGCATCACCAGCCAAACCTTTTGTCTCACCGAAACGATACACAAAAGGTACTTGATGCGAAGCGTCAACCTCACCTTTATCATTCTCGAATTGCTGACCCCCACAAAATTTGTCAATGACGAGAAAGTCAAAAGTCGCCGAGCCAGCCACTCTTGACAAGGTCTTGAGCAGAGCGAAAGCGAGCAATGGATGTTTCGGGAGCGTTGACAGACCCGACGGCGTGGATACAAGCAACCAATTATACAAATTTCTTCGTAACGAGCCTATTGGTGTGCCATGCCAGCCTGCATTTCATCTCTCTGCTATCCGCCACCAACATTTATTCCAGAAATCCCAACATGGTCCTCTTTATCATTGGACTGAATAGACGGTGTTCGCCTGTCAAGATTACCCAACATCATGCACCCCATACGAGACCGGTAAACCAAAGGGGGCTGGCTCCGAAAGCGCCTCGACTATATCGCTTTCTTCTTACCTCTCTTCTGTCGCAACGGTCGTAAAGCTCACATATACCCGGCAAACTCTGTCGGGCTGTCCTCCTCTTGTTTCGCCAAAACATTACGCGGATCTGGATACTCGCGCTTTCGTCCCACATATGTGGAATCACATTGTGGTACCTCTCTGCTCGTAGCGGAGAGCCGCTCCACCCCTGCAGAGATCAAGGCGCATTGACAAGAAACGTCGACTCGGCAATGCAGTGTTCACTTCGTTGATTTACGCTGCAAAGTGTCTCGCATCCAGATTTCTTGTTCGATCTTTCGGCGTTTTCAACGTTAAATCTCCCGATTATCCCGTCACATCGCAAACAGCAAAAGCACGAAATCATTTGTTCCCCCTCTCCTCGTGGGAGAGGCGAAGACGTAGAAGTAGGATCTGCATCGTGCAGAGGTGCTACTGTCTCTTCAAGACACGGTACTACTTAATTGAGACCACAGATACGCTCGTGTCCGCCACAAGCCGTTGAGCACCGCATTCGCAGATACACCAACATTCTCAACCAACTAACTGTTCTTGGCGAACGGAAAAGTGAGGGCTGGTCGACCTTCAAATACTGCCTTTTCGAATTCTTACTGTACAGCGCTTTAATATCTTCTGTGATCGAGCAATCGGCCCGCGGACCGAACAACATCACTTCCCCACGAGCAGCCCGAGAAGCCTCTTCTTGTGGTCACCTAGTACCTTGGCATCAACACTGATAGGTTCAAGTTGAAACGCTCCTTCTGAACTCTGGTATCAAATGCTGGCTCTTACGACCTCCGAATATGTCCCGTTCCAGTTCTAATTCCATCAGGCGTCGTCCCTCCGATGATCCTTGGCCTGGAAAGGTTGTTGAAAGCTCGACGCATGGCGAAGGGAATGTTACTGACTTCTTGACAGAGAACTGCAGAAGACGATGAGGCTCCAAGCTTGAGTGAACCACAAAAACGTGTACGGCGAGACGGTTCTAGCCCTCAGAACGAAGAAGATCCAACTCAGGACGTTATTGCAGGAGCTTCTCAACGAAGTACTAGGAGGTCAGAAACCCAGAGAGAAGCAGACAATCGAGTAGCAACTTCGTCGCAACCATCATCGTGTTTATCTTCCCCTCTTTCAAGCGCCCCTTCGCGTTTGACCGAGGATTGTGGAGAGATGGCGCAAAGAGCTATGGAAACATGGCAAAGTACCTTGGTTTCGACAAACTCTGAATCTAATAGACAGGAGCTGCTTCCAGGATCTCAAGGCTCATCCAATGAGGCACGCACTACTTTACAACCTAGATCGCCTGGTAATGCGCCAGGAGAGTCAAATCAGTCTAGAGATTGGTTACAAGGCGTGAATACATCGGCTGAGAGGCAATTTCGAACTCCTTTGCCAACCCAAAAAGAGCCACGACTGCTAGATGCGTCACCATCAAGCAGTGACAATTCTCATGCTAGAGTCGAAGATAATGCGCAAACTCAGTCGACAGGCGTTCGCTCTCAGACGCAGCCTGCAAATGCCATTCAACGTGCTATTAATGGCGACTATTCCGACCAGCAGCCGGTGGAACATCGTGTAGCGGTAAAAGACTCTGTGCAACTGATCGTACGAGATGCACCGGTGTGGCATACTGGAGGTGAGATCAGATCCCTTCCACCACTACCTTCAATGAGTGCACAATTCCCCACTTTGCCGCGGCCGCATGAGCACCAATCCCCTGGGCTTGCGCACAACACGAAAGGTCTTGAAGGAGGACTCAACACATTTCCATCAACTTTTTCAGTCCTCACATCGGAAGAAGTTCAACGGAATCACGCCTCTACTAATAGAGGGGGGAGAAGGCGAGGTAGGAAACCTCCAGGTCCTGACGCGACTGATCGACTGGGTCACCAAACTATAGCTAACCCTGGAGATTCCCAATCAGAACACTTCTCATCACGACCCGACACCAGACTTGAAGATTATCAAGAAAGACCCTCACCTCGGTTCAGAGATACGGTTCTGCAGCCAGGTATTAGCAGAAGACCAGTCTCATCAGCGAGTACAGCGCCTCAAATCTATCATACTATTCAACCTCAGCGACCATCTACACCACCTACAATCATGGCTCAAAATGCGTCATTTCAACCTCCGCCTGTCATCTTTACTATCAACAATCGAGCTGAAAGTTCTTTGCAGACCCCAGAAATTCAACCTTTCGTGACAAGCTTCACGCAGAACACCTCTGTACTTCTCCCTGTTCCACCTTCGGACAAAGATGCTAGCTCGCATCCCATTACTGTAATGTTGTGGCAAACTCTAAGCGATTTCTACAAATGGTACGCGCAATCAGCCAAAGTGCAGGAGGTAGGCCCTCTGATGTTCGAATTAATAGACGTTCACTGGCAGGAAGAAAAGAGTTTTGTTGTTCCAGAAGGGAGTCTCAACTATTTTCGAACGATCAAACAATATATCTGGGATTTGTACTGGTTGGCCGTCGACATCAACAAGGGGCACGGAATGTTCAGAGTACTCATCACACCATTCTCACCACGGGGAGAGATGTCTCCACATAAACAAGAAGCGCGATGGAACCCGGTGAACTCTGGCATTTTAAATTCGCCAAGGAGCATTCACCACTCCGATCAGCAAGGCCATGTAATCCTGGAGTCTACCCCTGGCCCATTGTATGCACATCAACGACGGTTATCTGGTCAATCTCCATCACTTCCAAATTCAGCAGCCAGAACACGGCCTGTGACGTCTCACAGGCAACACGAAAATTCAACTATGAATAATTCAGCTCGTTTAGACTCTGGACTTCGGCGGAACTCTTTCGAGCCAAATCATGCTGCTCATGAAGCTGGTAGCCAACAGAGTCAACGACCCCATTCCTTGCCATCAAGTAGTCCTCACATGGGTAGTACACGAACTACACGAGACCAAGCAATGTTGCGCGAACGGGCGAGCGCATATGTAATGAATAGCCTATAACCTAACTTAGGATTATGCTGACGTGTATTTAGCTTATCGATCGACGAGACCTCGAGCTTCTAAGCCAGGAATCGACTGTACTTGATAAGCTACCCTACAAAACCGGTGCCGAGGTATGTGGTGTTGTCGTTGACAGACGGAGCGGAAAAGGAATGGTTGCAATTACCGGAAAAGGATACATTACCCTGAACGTCAAAACTGGACCTGACGAGTCCGGCGATCGATACCAAGATATCGCAGTTCAACCTAAGCAGACTTGCATGCTTCATGGAGAAGCAGTGGTGTTATTTTACAAGCGCAGACAGATTCAACCGGAGCCTCCACCTCAGCCACCACCATTTCCATCCGAGAATCACAGCCAGCTCCAACGGCCAAGCACAGCATCAGACGTCGACATCATCATCAGACTCCAGATGGATGGAAGCGGAAAATACAGCCCGGCATTTGACAAATCGGTGCTACGCCCGAACCGCATTACAACAATAGAATTCTTCTCCTGGTTCGCGAGCCAAAGTGGTCATTGCCCACCTCAGGGGCCACCGTATCTCAAATTCACGTTCAAGGATGCGATGCCGGCTCCAACGTCGACGGAGATTGTGAGGGGAAATGAAGATCACTTTAATTACATGAGGAAGGATATCAAGATTCAGTGTGAGAAGGCGAAGAAGTATATGGCAGATGTGAAGGAATTTGTTATTTTGGTTACGGTGCCGGGGTGGAACACCATTGACGAAGAGGAGGAGTGGTGATTGGGGATGTGTCTTGTGACAATTTCTTCACCCTCTATGTCGAAGATCCAAGTCGACCACACACTCCCTAGAAGTGAAAGCGGTACGAGAGATTCAATCCCTGGATAGCTGTCGCGCGATCAAGGTTCGGCAATATTCGGCCTTTTTCGGCACCAAGTCTACCACCTACACCTGGATGAACAAGGCTCAAAGCCTTATGCTCTACACCAGTAACCGCAAGTGGAAATTTCCGACACTGCGATGTCCGGTTCAAGCCGCTGATGTGTATCACGAGTCTAAAGCAACGGCATCTGCAGTCCCACCTGACAGATCTCAGCTTACGAGATGAAAACGAAGCTTACGACAGGACGAGATGGATGACCTGAGTAAGCGACGAAGGAAAAGAGATGCTTGGAATTGTTGTTGGCATTGTTGCGAGGAAAAGGATATACCCTGCATGAACGAGTTTTTGGTTTCTGTTGTTCCAATGTTGAGTGGGCTGTTGGTATCTTCACTTGAAGACATTATTCTCTTCAATGCATGAAAAGGATTTAGGGGCATCCTAGGATCATTGACCGATTCAGCTCTGCTCTTTGTTGTTCAACTTTGCTTGACAAGTACCATGCAATCAGGTTCTGTGCAAGTGCATTCGATAGAACTTGTCTTAGCGCGAGAATCCGCAGAGAGTTCAATCACGTGCCGAGCATATTTCGAAGGTATGGGCTTCAGTGTTGTCTTGTTCTTGTCTTGTTTCATTCTGCCCTTTGACTTTCCAACAATGGCATTATATGAAGACAATCATCTATCAAAGATAGACATTATTCTTTCTTTATCTGCGGACAAAGACATTTTCCATCCTTTGTTAGTTCATCAGCCCTGAGCGCTAGCTCTACAGATTTCCATTATCTCAAAAGCTTCTCTTCGATTATGTTTATTCAAACTTTATCATTGTCACATTTAATTAATTGTTGGAACTTTGTAAGTTTTGGGGAATAGTTATATTCATATACTTTTTTGTACTTTTTCTTTATACCTTTTTTTTTTCTTTTTTTGAAACTCGAGTCCAGCTCGGGTACCTTTTGTAGGAGTTTGACAGTACTTGCTGCCTGGGTGTCATCCGATGCAGAACGCCAAAGACAATACCTCCGATACGCAAAACGCCAACGACAAGACCATAGGATTCCTGACAGTCCTTGCTGTCTATGTAACGATACGCAAAGCGCCAAAGAGAAGGCCACCAATGCAAACGCGAAGGATAAGACCGCCGTACAAAAGAAAGAGCAAGACTTACCGACAGCACCTCATCGCTTCAGACGAATCAAGGTAACCACGTACGGAGTCGAGACACCCTTAAGGCGCACTCTCCCACCATTGTCCGCTGGCCCCTTTCGGAGAACCTCAAATGCCGTCTCGCCCATCTCGGCCAAGACCTTCTCCAGCGTCGTGACTCGGTTAAGAACCACCACCGTGGCCCCTAGGTCGAAGCCCACATCATTATCATCCAACTCCATAATGACCGCGTCCGAGACCGCAATCTCGTCCCCGTCCGCCTGCGCCATGATCCGCGCCGCGACGTTCACCATATTGCCATGGTAATCCATGCGCTTGCTGATCGGATCAACGTGCGACTCGAACGGGGACCCGAAATGAATGCCCATCCTTACCGTCAAACCTCTGTTGTTACTCGTCGGGATATTTCTCTCCACGTCCTTCGCCCGGCGGAACTCGACGATCTCTCGCGACCAGCGCGTGGCGGCGAGCTCCTTTTGCAGGGCGAGGCAGAAGCGCAGCGAGTCCCGCCCCGATTGGAAGGTGTGGAAGAAGCCGTCGCCGAGGTTCTTGACTTCGTAGCCGTGGTAGAGGGGCGCCAGCGCCCGGACTTTGGAGTAGAAGACGGTGTGGGCGTCGAGCATGAGTTGTTGGTCGAGTTGCCAGAGGTTGGTGGAGTCGATTATGTCGGAGAATGCGGCGACGATTTGTCCTTCTGGTGCGGTGATGGTTGCGCTTGGGGAGCTTGGTGGGGTGAGCTCTGGTGGTGTCATCCATCCTGCCATATTGATGTAGGTTTTGGTGGTTTGGTGTTTGGTTGGTGGGTGTGTTTAAGTATGATACTAAGGGATCTTGGATCTGTCTTTGGTAGCTTACTAGGTTGATATGTGTTGTGGTTTGACGAATATAATAGGATTGGAGCTGAATCTGATTGTATTTATCCTTCAATTGAAGGTTCTGTTCTTATGTACGGACAGATGAACATGGAGAACAAGGACATTGTTCTGAATAGAGTTCATTGTTTTGCGGTGGTCTTTGAACAGGCTTTGAAGAGCGAAAGGCTTGTACTCCACAAAACTAGGCCCGTACATCTCGAGGTTTTGACAATAGAGATCAACAATAAACAAAGAAAAGAGAACAAACTATTACTAGTAAACGGAGACTTGAACAGCATATTCTTTATTGGGAGGACAACGAATAGAGCATTACGCAGTAAGTTGTACCTATTGTTGCAAGAGGCCATTGTACATGAGTGGCTCTCCGGTGTTGGACTCTCAACTAGATGACAAGTATAGAGGTAAGGCGTACTTGATCAAACGATCATCGTTGAGTAGCTAGACACTATAAAGAGTCATTATATTTGTAACATGCTTTGTATTTGACGATGAAGTGAGACGCCTGGTCAATATCCGATGGTTTGGCAGGAATCTTGCGCTCTAGCCGCATTGTCACTAAATTCGAAAGTTCCAGTTCAAAGAAGTCCTTTGGAGAACTTGCGCGCAGCGACAAGATCTGGGAGCTCGAGATACAGGCTCGAAGTATGGGAAAACGATTTTTGGTTCATGAATTCGTTGAATTTCGTTCGGAGGCAGGATAGGGGGTTGAATGGCGTCGGAAGCGAGACCCGGTGGGGATCGTGGAGACGCTGTATTTTAAGCGAGAGCCCCTGAAATCACTACGGATAAACTTTAGGCTTAATTTGCCCCACAAAGGTACTCCGCCAAGGGAAAGGAGATCTTTAATTCATCCTCATAACAACTACTCGTAAGCTTTTTGTGTTTCCCCGCATTCTTATTGCAATTCGGTTTTGACGTCGTGAATACCATGGAATAAAATGAAAGTGGGGCAAGTCCGAGGTGGACGATGACACATCCAGAAGTCCATGGCTACTGGCTGAGATTTCGGGTCCGCATCAGAATAGCCTGCAAGAACCTGGTTCTCTCCTTCAATTGAAGTCACTTGAGTTTCTACGGGTGATTTATATTTCCCACAAATTCGACGATCTCTCTATCTCCAAAAATGGGCCAATATAGCAATCTTTTGCTTCGTCTGAGTAGCTACAATTCCTTCTTATACATTGCGTGTTCCTCCTTTCTCATTTCTTTCATTACTCATGAACTGTCTACAGCGACTCCTTCGTTATCTTTCTTCCTCCATCTAACATTCTTTACGTCATGCGTTCTTCTATCTTGCTTTTTCTGGCGGCAACCCTTGTCTCGGCCCAGAACGCGACCACAACTAAAGCTTCCATGCCCACAGTCACACTTGACTACAGTACTGTTGTGGCCGCAGCTGGAAACACAACCGCAGGGTACTACAAGTACCAAAACATTCGTTTTGCAGCGGTTCCAACGGGTCATCTTCGATGGGTAGCACCCGAATGGCCTCCCGTCGAGACCGAAATCAACACCGGCACTCTCGCATCTGCAGACGTCGACTGCGCATCAACAGAAGATTGCCTATACATGGACATCTGGGCCCCAGCCAACAGCGGCAACAAAAGTCTTCCAGTGATGGTCTGGACATATGGCGGTGGATTTATATTTGGTAGCAAATCTCAAAATAGTCCAGAAGGGCTCTTTGATCTAAGCAACGAATTTATATTTGTGGCATACAATTATAGACTCGGATTGACGGGGTTGGCTAACGGACCTACGTTCTTGCATAATGGTGGGACGTCGAAATCCGCGGTTTGGGATGTTCAGCAGGCGTTTCTGTGGACGAAGAAGTATATTGGTAAATTTGGGGGAAATCCGGATGATATTACCGCTGTGGGTTTCTCGGCTGGTGCTTCGCAGGTTTTGTTCCAGATGACGGTAGGTCTTTCGGACAACGAGTTATGGATGAAGTACTGACAGGATTTCAGAGATTTGCTGGGCGTGCTGAGCAGTTGTTTAATCGCGCTTATGTTATGTCTCCAGGCTTCGTGCCTGGTGCTGGTCATCATCATGCCGAGGTAAGTTCACGGTCGTGGAATTGCGATGGATTCTAAGTAGGCCTAGATGTTCTGGCAAAATGTTTCTTCTGTTGTTGGCTGTTCTCCCAGTGACTTAGACTGCATGCGAGCAGTTCCCTTTTCCACTCTTAATACTGCTGCAAGTACTATCGAGTCTGCATACAACTACCAATTTCAACCTCGTGTAGATGGTCACATCATTGCTGATACTTGTGAGTATCCATCCCCTCAAAAGCCTAGCCTGACTTACACTCATGAACAGATGAAGCACAACTCTATCAAAAACGCTTCAACTTCAGCGGCCCTGTAGTGATCAGCCATGAACTTCACGAAGGCAACAGCCAAGCATGGTCAGGAGTCAACACAACCGCAGACGTCTCAACTTACCTCAAAATTTTCTTCCCGGCAATAACCGACGATGTCGTAGATGAGATTCTTTCTCTCTATCCAGAAGAAGACTATGCCAGCCCCGGGCTTCGTTTTGCAGATATGAAGCAATCATTCGATTTGACTGCTCACAATTTGGCACTAACTCAAGCGATGAAAAACCAAACTTGGAATGCGATGGTTGCTCTTGGTGGAGCAACTCATGGCACGGATCAGAGTTATGTTTGGTATAGTACTTATACGCTCTCTCCATCGAATTCCACAACCACTTTTAGTGGACCGCCAGGTGGTGGACCACCAGGAGGTGGATTTCCTGGAGCTGGGTCTGTTAATGCTACTGTTGCTGTAAGTCCTACATTTTTTTCTAGGTAAGCGATGAGTTACTAACAAGATAGGTTATGATGCAGAAATACCTGATGTCTTTCGTTTTGACTGGAAACCCGAATACGCTTTGGCCAAGTGATAAGATTAATTGGCCTATGTATGGAAACTCGTCAACGGCCGGTACGCAACTTGTGTTTAATACCACGTTTCATTTGAGCGAGGATGATCTTGCGAGTAATAAGTCCTTGCTTTGGAACAAGGCTTTATGGTATTGAGTACCTAGACAAGAGACTCTTTCCGGCCGAGTGAGGGTTGAGGGTTGTACGTAGAAGCCAGGATGTCTCTCAGGCTTTGTATATAAAGCTCCGGTGAGGTCTGAGAAAGGAGGTCTTTGCTTCAAAAGGGTCCTTGTGTAAACTACCTGGATCATCTTGAAGACATAGTCATGGTCACGTGCGTTGGAATAGAAAGTAAGAACTCCGGCGCCTTTCTTCGCCTTTCATCCAAACAAAGAAAGTCAGCTGTGTCTTCGCAACTCAATAGCCACTTAAATGCAATAATGTCCAGAAATAACCAACGACTCAACGAGATGCGGATGATGTCTTGTGGAGCTGGAGGATCAACAACGCTAATGTGTGACAGGCAAGCGACCCTGCGGCTGCGGCTGAAACTGCGACATCTCGACAGCTTGTCTTCACCATCTCGTACAACACAACGGATGCAAATACCCCAATCAAGTGAAATCGACAGCAAGCATCGGACCTCACAGCTTCAGCGATCCTTCCATTCTCCAGTTCAGGCAACAGAGACTCGAGATATGTGGACACAATAGCTTATCGATAGACGCGTAATCAGGCTACGATTATTGAAACGACCAAACTTCCCTTCCATTCTCCTTTCTGGAAAGCGACAACAAAACCGCAGATATGGTGTCTATGAATGTATGTCTATCTGCAGATCCTTGGGATAATAGAAAATGCTGATGTTGACCAGATATTCCGTATCCTTGGAGACGTCTCTCACACCCTCTCGAAATGCATCCTCATCTTCGCAATCCACCGAAATCATAGCACAGAAGGTGTATCCCTCATCACACAAGCGCTCTACTGCCTAGTATTCATATCTCGATATCTCGACCTTTTCATGTTTAATACATTATGGAACACAATCCTCAAGATATTCTACATCCTCAGTTCGCTGTACATCCTCTTCTTAATGCTGAGAGTGTATGCGAGAACCAGGGAGAGAGAGACGGCTTGGAAATTGGGTGCGTTGTGCTTGGTGGGTAGTGCGATCGGAGCTCCGATATGCATGATGATTTTCAGGCGTAAGGCATATTGGGGCTTTATGGAGGTTTGTTTCTCACTCTGCCTTGATGGCAAATGCTGATTTGAATAGCTCTTGTGGACCTTTTCTATCATCCTCGAGTCGACCTGTATCCTTCCCCAGCTACTCCTCTTGCGACAGACAACGGTGCCTACAGTGATCGATTCCTATTACCTCCTTACGCTTGGTTCTTACCGCGCATTCTATATCCTGAATTGGATCTGGAGGGAATTCGATATCACGGATCGAAAACCAGATCCAGTATCTATCATCTTTGGGGTCCTGCAAACAGCATTCTATATCGATTTCGCATGGGTATATTATTCTAGACAAAGAGTCAAGCTACGAAATGGCGGAATCGTGGATCAAGATGACATGAGAAATGGATGGTTGCTCAGGACGGTCTTTGGACACAAAGCTATTGTCCCTCACGCAGAAGAAGATGAAGAATCAGCCCCTGCTCTTGGAGACGAAGAAGATGAAAGACCAAATCCAATCAGAAATGGAGGCTCGAAATGGGGAGCCAGAGGCATCAGCGTCTCTGCCGATGATGGAGTCTTGGCTGGAGAGAGGGAAAGACAGAATCAATTCCCAGGACAAGAATCGGGAGTCGTAAATGCAGAGGATCATCTTGATCCTGATGCCAAGATGAGGGATCCGGATGAGTTGGCGAAGATCCTGGATGATGAAGATGACGATGATGATGAGGGCGTTTTGCCTGGTGGGGAAGGAAGTGCGGCTGGGAGTGGGAATGTTTGGGGGGAGAGGTGATTAAGGATTAGGTGCTTGAAGTATGAATGATGCATTTGAGTATTTCTGGTTGTTCGTGATCGCCGTGCCGTCTGCTTCGTGGCCGATGACCCTCGTAAGTCCGAGGTCGGTATTGAAGCCAAACTGCCTCAAATAATTACAATAACCCCGCGATACCATCATGGCCAACGACGAGTACGACGTACGTATTGCCAGCCCATACATCTCGAGTATATGCTAACTTGCCCTTCTACTGGAAATCTTCATTGTCCGGATTATGAAACAAGTGAAGGGGTCAATATGCAAGCCATGAGACATATGAAAGAGAATGTTGCCAATCGGAAAGAGATATAAAAGAGCAACCGAAACACTGGGACGAAAAGTCATTGTGTGAAGTATGCAGCACATAAGAAGATAAAGCTTGGAAGTGGAGATGGTTAATTCAACTGAACTTTCGCTTTTGCGACTAACCCTCTCCCATCTCGGCCAAACTTTTATGGTTCTCGCTTATTTTGCAAAGAACGGCGGCAATTGCGAACACAAAAAAAAAGAATTCAAAAAATGGATAAAAAAATCAATTTTAACCTGGGCTTAAGAATGAATTGATTATGAATATTCATTTAGGTTCTCTCATATGAATAACTTAAACTCTTTTTCTGTCAAAGCCAAGT